TCTGTTTCAAAATTTGTCACAGGTAGATCTTCTACCCACACCTCTATGGTGCGGGGTTTACATAAATTATTTGTACAAACCCCCACGAGCTTAATACCCCCCCCCCCCCCCCCCCCCCCCTTTTTAAAAAGTCATATTATGACCTCAGATGAATTGAGATATTGCCCTTGAAGCGGGTAGCACAAAATAAATGAAAACGCGGGTTCTAGACCGAAGACAACAATCAAATATCTTACCATTGCCACACACATATACACACACCTCTCCCCCTAGTCGTAATGACATCTAAGCGATCGATCTTTTCTTCCATTCGGCTGCTTGCATTTGCATTATCGATACCAATTACCTAACCTTAGGTAGAAGGTAGATAGATGTAGCATCTTCCAGATAAGAGTAGAATAGAAAGAAAAAACAAAAAATCAGATCTCATATATTACCTGATTAGGAAGTAGGTAGGTAGGTAGGAGGTAGATAAGTAATGAAAACTCGTCAATGCCATGCCATGCCATGCCATGCCATGCTTTGTCAACATACCCTCTTTCGACAACCCCCCCCCCAACGTCCAATGAAGCTTTTCCCCATCCGCCCTGCCGTCCCGCAAGGAACCCTTTTATCATTTTATTTTATTTCATTTTCATTTTCTGTATGATCATCAGTGAGGAACAGGACAGAAAAATCCGGGGGTGAAACTCTTCGGCTTGTTTTGGGGGATGTCGCATTGTTATGGGTTGGTTTATTCAGTGTTCTCGGCTGATTGTATTCAGAGGTAGGTAAGGTGAGGTGAGGAAAGGTAAGGCAAGGTAAGAAAGGGGGCTTGGTGAAGCTTCTTGGCGTTAGAAATGATTGCGAAACCCCTGGGCTAGCAACTTCTATTATTGATGCTTGGTATGTTCGATAGTGTTAATGATATAAAGTAGCTGTAAAACAGGTTAATAAATTTAAGTATTGTATACATTGCCTACGTCCTCGAGTGCGAACTGAACACAAGTATATACCCCACTTGTATCAACAAACCAAAGCTTCTAAAATATCAAGATGCAATTCTTATAACTATCTGAATACTTCAGTCTTAATTAGTCGGATCTTGGTAGTAGGGTTCTCCTCAAGCAGGTTACCTTGTATTCTTTACACGCAACTAGAATTTCTCAGTCTTTTAAGTTTTGAGTTTTCAATAGGACATAATCGATCAGGACTAGCTTAGGTAGCCATCATTATGATCACGATTACCATGTCCGTCTAGTCTCGAGACGTAAATTCGCTTTCATCATTTCTCGTCAACGCCAAACGAGAGCAAGGCCAGGAATAGACGTAACATCGTTATATACAATAGGTACAGCATGTGCTATCGTGGCTTTCCTAGGTATAAATCATGCCCCTCTCACCTCGCTTGCATAGGTACCTCAAGGTTCTTATATTAGGTACCGAAGAGGTAGATAAGGTACCTGATAAATTTCAAAAGATTTCACATAGCTTTGGCAACGCTAGCTTTTTCAAAAACGTACGATACTAGAAATACACACTCGAGTTAGCCATCTTTGTTTGCTTTTGTTCTGTCCTCTTTCGCTTTTCTTTTCTTCACTCCAGATTCGGAAGATCCCATCCATCCATGGATGAAGATAAGTTATTAAGGCCCTCAAAGTTGAAATCCATCGGAGCGAGAGAACGCCCGGCGTTATTGGCAGGTGGATTCGATGAGAATATGAATATGGATGGGTCCGATATACTCGTCGAGCCGGATGACCCATTTCCCATATTCCAAGTATCGAACCCGGACTGCCAGTTTACGCCATCCTTGAGGTACCAGTCTTGTCCATCAACGGCGTACATGGAATTCGGAACCTGGTTTCGCCTTGGGTTTTGAGGCGCTTGATTAGAGCTCGTGCCATTCTGAACTGGTGGGAAATTTTGTGGATAATTGAGAACATTCTGCGCGGCTGGAGGCTGACGCCATTCAGGATTACCTAGCCCATCTGTGTCTAAAGGTACGGAATTGCCCATGATAACCACGCTGTCTAGCATAGGTTGGGGCATTTGCGAATCGGGTTGGAAGTTAGATGATGATGAATTCAAGTTTTGCATTATCTCGGGTGGGACATTTGATGCCGGCGCAGCTACTGGCGATGGAACTGAAGTTGGAGGGGTATTGTGATTTGCAGGACTATGGTCAACTTTCCCCGGTGGCGACATCGCGACAGCTGGTGGTGATGGAGATATGGTCATGTGTGAACGAGGTGAAGGTACATCGGACGTCTTGAATGTGCCCCATCTTTCGTCCGTACGCTGTAAAACGTGAGAAGCTTCTTCAGGTAGCTCGACGTTCCACTTACGAGCGAGAACACTGATTATGCTAAGAGTTCGTCGCCCGCAGAGCCAATCTTCTGCAATCTCTTCAAGATGTTTCACACCGTGAATAATATCCCGCCTCGCGGTCTTCTCAGGGAGATTGAGTATGTGGATAGTACAAGCGGAATGTAACATATATACCGCAATATTACAGATTTGGCGTAAGTTGTACAGTTTTTTATATAGTCTCATCAACTTGGAGATAGCACCCGCATTCGCGGTACATATTCTCCGGGGAGATACATGGGGTGGTAAGGGAGACGTAGCTGGTGAATATTTGAGAAAAGGACGGAAGAGGTGGATATATTGAAGATGGAAGAACATGCTGAGCCTGATTAACTATCATATCTTAACTGTAGCGACGGAGAACTTACTGCATCAAAATGACATTGGGCAATTGGCCCTCCTTAGGTTCGAGTTCCTTAGGCAATTCTTTTCGCCAATCCTCAAGACGACGATGCAGTTCGCTTAGTTTTTTCAGCTCGACTGACTTCCCGCTCGACCGTCCTATATGATTCGGATGATAGAAGAATAAGAGAAGGTCGCTACTTATTTCACATAATTTAGATAACTGCAGGCCGATCGTGCGAGTTCGCGACGGCTGCTTAACCGACTCGTCGAAACCAGAGTCGGTATAGGGACACCAGGGTTCCGCATCCTCATCCGGGAAAACGTCGTATTTGGGAACGCTATAGGAATTCTTTGGTAGTTGTGGAAGTCGTCCTAAGTAATTCGACCAGCACTTATCGAATAAGAAGCAGCCCCAGAATGTAACTCTCCGGGCGTCTATCTCCTGCTCGTCTAGATTCTCGTTATCGCTCTTGATGCCGCCAATATCCAGGTTGAGCCCTAGATCCTGCGCCATTCTGAAACTCATCCCGCTATAGACCCAGCCCTTAGCTTCTCGACCACAGCCCGCCTCTCGGACGGACATAAGAGCCAAAGCCTGAACCGTCGTTAACCGAGGTTTCTCATACTCGTCGTTGTCAACAATCAACCTCTTAGCCTCGGCGAAGAAGTGATCTCCTTTGGTCCAGCTATCTCCATTCGTGCCAAAGGCGCAGGCAGCGTCGGTAAAATGACATCCCAGAGCAAGCATCGCATTTACTAATAAAGGCGAGCAATATGCAACCTTATTCGGTAAGATATTAGATCTCCCCCTTAAAAAATCGCGATAGAACAGAGTCCGCGATAGCGTAGTAAAGTACGGATAATGCCAGTTGAAGTACATATCGAGAAGATGCCTAACAACTTCTGGATCCTTGGTTACATCAGACCAACTCGTGATAGGATCTATATCAGCTGCACCAACAGTATTTCGAGACTCGTATTCCGGATTAGGCGCCCCATGTATATCCCAATGTATTAGGTGGGACGTACCACCGATGAAACGCGTCGAGCCGTTCTCCAGCCGTAGCTCCCCCATCTTCCGGGCAAGGTCCCTCTCACCCTCGATGGGCATATCCGTGGTATAATCGGTCTCTATCTGATCTTCTTCATCAATTCCTACACTGCCGAACTCTTCCTGTTTGAGTATCGACTCGGCTACGGCGTCTAAACTATCGCAGGTCCGTATTCTTTTGACTACTTCTAGGACATCATCTTCGTCTGCATTAAGGATGGCTTCGATTAAGATCTGGAGAGTGGAATTCCGCGCCTTCATGCTGTCGATCTTCTCTCTATAAACTCCTTTTCGGCGGTGATCCGAGTTAGGGTCGTAGACACACTCGGTACCGTATACACTTGCGCAGGCGGCGCAACTGGGTAGTGCGCCATCGCATTTCGATTTCCTGCGACGACAGGCTATGCATGCACTAAAGGAAAGCCGGCAAGGTCAATTTACAAACTTGACTAGGTAGTGAAGCAGTGAAGCAGTGAGGTAGCGAAGTAGCGAAGTAGTAATTAGTAGAAAGAAGAAGATATCGGGGGTATCACGTACGTGCTCACGCATCGGCGTTTTTGACTGGACGGGTCCCCGCCCCTCCTTGACTTCTTCTTGGCCGGGGGGTGGTGAGAAGAGGAGTCAGCAGTAGGAGGAGGATGGCCGGAAGACAAGGCCACCTGTGGTCGTAAACCCGACAGATCGGGTCCGTCCATAATAAAGTCTCACAGCAGCGGACTAGATTAGTTTAACAATAGTATTGGGGTATTAGCTAGGTATCGTATTAGGTATCAGGGTTTATCAAAGAGAGGTTGGTTGAAAAAGGGAAACGTAATGGAAAAGACGCAGTTTCAAGGCACATGCAAGCTAAGGGCTGATAGGCATGGATGCGACGACGATTGGGGAGGGGAGGTGCTAAAACGGCGCGCTATCCGGTAAGTTTGGGTACCTTTAAGTGAGTACCTTAGGTAAGAATTGTACCTAATGTACCTACCTAACTAATGTAGGTACCTAAGGTAAGGTGGAGAGAGTATGTAGCCAAGATGTTGACGAACCTTGACGAATCTTAAACTGATATCGTACTGCTGCCCAAATTACCGGTCCTTTTGGTGTTGTTGTTAATTATAAGGTAGGTACTTGATTATTATTTTTTATTTTTTATCCTTTTTCAAAAATAAGTAAACGCAGAAAAAGAGAGAAAGAGAGACACAGAAACAGAGACGCCCCTCTCTCATTAATAAATATTTTCTAAAGTAATATTCCCTCGGTTTTATGTTAAATCTTCAACATGATAATAGTAATAGATGATAATGGCGCCGCGGCCATTGGCCCACGAAAGGCTCGGCGGGGGGAGAACGCTTACGGCAATTAGGTTACAAGATAACGACCGCTGGATCAGACGCTCTTCAGATTCGTGGATGGGATTAGGAAACGGCGATTAAGAAGTCGTCGGCGGCACTCGGGGCGTCCGGGGCGTACGCTCGTCACCTGAAAAAGCAAGTACAACAAGTACGAGAGGTAGAAGATCAGCAACTTGGAACGAATAAAATCGTAAATCGTAGTTTGGAGGGGGGGGAAGTCAGACGCAGATAAGATAATGCAGTATGAAAGATTAGGTACCTCCTAAGTTCGCGCCTTTCGTCTTAGATTAGGTAATCTCATATGCATAACCTTCATGTTGACACTTTAATACGTACCAGGTATCTTTTACGTAAATGGACATGGAATTCAATGTTGGTGGTTTAAGCTCAATGACACGTGACATACACGAACGCGTAACAACACCCAAGGCGCTGTTACCCGAGAAGCTTCTCTTTCACAGGAGCTAATATATAGTTACTTTAGGTAAGTAAGGTATAAATCTGTATAAAAGTACTCAGTCTCATATGAAACCAATGCGCCTCGGTATACTTTAAGAGATTCCCCATTTCCCCTCTCTATCTCAAGTATTTCAAAAGCTAGGTTCAAAAGAGGGACGCTGTCTTTTTTCCTCCTATATACGCTCATTTGTGTATAGGTACTTATCTTCTCGTTACCCCCTCCCAAACAAAAGCAAATCCCGCTCCTTTATCACTAAACTAGAATTCTAGCCCGTGGGAAAAAGCTGGCATTTCGTGCAACAGTAGCAGTTAAGCATCTAAGAGGTAGATAGACGTCTAGGTCTAGGAATATGTACCCGTTAGTACATTCCCGTCGTATCCTCTAAAGGATCACCTTGCCAGCCTCCCACGTAGATTACCCCAGCGAACAGGTTCAAGGAGCTATCAACCAGAAATTATTAGATACAATATAGTAGTATAGAGAGGGAAGATATCGATTGTCTTTAACCTATAGCTATCCATTCTGTTTTCTTACGTTATAATGTAAAGCGATTTCTAGACTCTACTATACCCACTTAAAACGAAGGTCATAGATAATACGAGAGAAAAAGTCAGTGGCGTAGTATAGGGAAATGCCCAGGTACGTGAGCATTTGAAAGAAAAGGTAGAAGCATTGCAGACGAACGAAGGCTATGGGATGTAAAATTTATAAAGGAGTATATGGTGTTTGTTATCACGGTATGACAGATGTCAGGTAGGTACCTACCTGCTAAGGTATAAGAGCTTTATGCGAATATCCGTATTTACCTCCTCAAAGAGTTATAGCAATATTTAGGTAATTAACGCCAAGCTGCTACGCCAATTCTACTGAATCCTACGCCTCAAGAATGCGACGTTCAAGAACCAGGTTCCCATGAGTTCTTTCCCCTGTACGGTTTAACCATGATATGATTTATTGTGGCTCCTGCACTAGAGTTGCAGATATTCTTAATTTATTTTGAAAGTCTGCTTAACTCGAGACGGTCAACCCGGTGTTGGCTTCTACGTAGAAATACATATCCGTCATACCATTAACATCTGGTTTATTGGTAACGTGGGAGTGTGAGTGCAGTAGGGTTGGGGGAAATACGAATAGATACTATCAATCAGATTTCATGACAGGTACCTAATGTAGTGGGTTATCATAGTTACCTATAGCCTCTGTTAACTTACGCCTATCGTCTTCGGTTTACGCATTCAGCTTTAGATTTATAAGTTGCATTGTCCAACTATAAACAAAAATCGGTTTTATGCTCAAAGATGACGCCACCTGCACTATACTTCTACATCTTTTGGCTAGCATCGGCCCGAGGACATAGCAAACACACAAAACATAAATGATATATTCCATGTTTGTTAGGTGCGTTTCAAGGTTGACCTGGAGCTTGACGAAATAACAAGCAGATATTTAATATCTTTAGGTTAATAAGTGATTTGAGTTGTTCGAGTGGACTTACACTGAAAGACAAGACTATTCCTATAGGTGCAAAAGCGGGACATTGTCTCAAGTAAGTTTAGTGAGGATTCAGCACCGTATCCTTCCCTTAAGAAAACACCAATCAACTCGTCAATTAACCACCTAAAGTCCTTTATAGTTACCTAAAGGGGTAGGGAGATCGGAACTTTCCGATTGCATACTATGTATTCGGAATTAAATCGTATTATTATCGACATGGTCAACCCATATACGAATTTCATAGTATAGGTAAACAAAGGGAGACTTAAGTTAATAAAGGCATTGACCGATGGAAATCAAATACTATGCAAACTAGCCTATTAAAAAGATGCCCGCGTTGTCGGTTACTAACGAATCCCATGGGATCGCTGGGGATTCGTCAGTGTACGAATTTCCTTCGCCTCAGTGGAGTTCTTGAACGACAATTACTACGCCGTAAACCCCGAGAAGAACCCTCGTGGGTTCATGCTTCTTACCTGCTACACGTGGTTTAGGGAGCTAGGATGGCTTGTAAGGAGGCTCGCGATGTTGCAATATGGATGACGGTTCTAGAAGATTGCGGTGACCGAAACGCTAACGAGCGGATTCTAGCTGAAATATAAATACGAGAGAGAGGGAGACATCAAATCTCGATCTAGCTACGATCATCTTCAGCAGCTACGAGTTTACCTTCAAAAAAACATATCTAGCCCATACCTAGTCTCGCCTCTTCAACTCCAGATCACTTAGGTACTTACCTCCTACCTAAGGTTAGGCAGTTAGTCGCATCGAATCCTTCCAGCCCACCATGCGCAAGAATATTCTCCTTCTCTTTACCCTCGCCCTCCGGGCAGCGGCCTTGAACGAAACGATCTCGGGCTACAAGTACTTCTTATCCGGACCTAAACTAGGCCAGACCAAGACCGAGTACGAGCATGCTGCGGCGGAGAAGGCGCTGTCCCTAGTCGAGGCGCGTCTGGGCGACAAGCCCCGCCCCGTTCTCCCCGAGGACAGCGTCGAAGCCATCCTGAAGCTCAAGCAGGACATCGGCACCGAGCAGCTCAAGGTGCTCCTAGCTCCCGACCAGGACGACGCCGACAAGTTCTGGCACGATGTGATCGACAGGTCGGGCGACGGGTGGGTGCCCGCCGACGCGCGGGGCGTCGTGTTTCTGCCCAACGTGACGTTCGCGCGGTTCGTAGCGTGGTACTCGTCGCCGTACGCGGACGCGGCGAACCTGGCGGCGAACCCGGAGCACTACGACAAGGAGACGGCGGCGACGTCGACGGGCCTCTCGTCCAGGATCCTGGAAGGGTGGGGCGGCGTGACGACCAACTTCACGATCCCGAACTTCGGCGCGCCGGACCTCGCGAAGAACGCCTTCCTGCGCCCGCTGCCCGAGTTCCCCGTCCAGCAGGCCGGCGACAAGGTGCTCCGCGACGGGACGCGGTTCGGCGTCCTGCACATCTCCCTCCGCCCCGTGAAAGGCGCCGACTACAGCCAGCCCATCGACGGCTTCGAGATCTTCTCGAGCGTCTGGTACCAGGACGGCGCTGAGGACGACCACTTGGAGCAGGAGCGCCGGCACATGGTCATCGAGATCGTCAACTTGACCCTCCAGGCTCAGAAGGACATTGAAAGCGGCAAGTTCACTCCGACAGTGAGTCGGTAAATTGAAGGGACAAGCTTTTGAGCGAATGTATAACTGGCTCGTTGATGTATATATTTACCTAATGTATTTGCTTTATCTCTTGCCATTTCAAGGAAGACTAAAAAGTTGATAAGTACCAAAAAGGAGGCTTTAAAAAAGACATGTTAAGCTCAATACTAACTAACTAGTACCAAAATAAACAAAAAGTTCCAAAATACCTATTATAAACTTCGATATAATCTCGTGATGGTGACTGGAGTTTAGAGAATTGCCTTATGTTTTAAGACATGCCTCTTACCTGGTAGGTTAGGTACTGGGACTATTTTATTCGTGCATGTGCGCGATCCGATATATTCTGGAGTGGTTTAATTATCGTGCTGGAGCGCCTCGGCTTGGCTCCGGAATCTTACCTCGGCTTATTTTCACCACAGCTCCAGGTTTGGTCAGGCTGCTGCTGCGCCCATCTTAACTCTTTACCACGATTGTCTGTGGTAATTGACAACTGAACTGACGTTTGAATACCAGGTGCATTTTTCACTACCTACACGCAACAGGTACCTTGAAATATTATACGTCATTGGAGACGTACGTATGCTTAAGATAGGTCCTTCCTAGTTATATCAGGTACCAGGTAATGTGTACCTAAGTAAGTGTAAGTAGTGCAGTCAAACTCCTTCTGCCCCTCACAAGCTCAGATCTTTAATTGGTTTAGCTCCGACCTAAATCCCCGAACCGGCTCGTTGGATAAGATTTAGCTCCCTGGGGTAGGCGGTGAAGTTGGGACTAAGCAGTTAAGTCCTCAATAGACGGATATGATTCCAATCTCGAATGTCCCATGCAAGTTGCCGCTTTGTGGGGGTCATATATGCTATATATCGAATAGTTTCAACACTTTGAACCAATCAAACCTCGGGATAGATGTCCATTAGGGTATAACTTCGTTGGTCCACCCCCCTTATTTGACCTACCTACTAGGTACCTACCTAGGTAGGGTAGTATACCGAATAGCAGGGATATGACATTTCAATATTCTGCCAGTCTCGTGCGTCACTCACGATTTACTCGGCGAGGTGCCACAGGTTTTTTTTTTTTTTTTCGCTGCCCCTTCCCAAGCGCCTCGGCCTGTCTAGTCTTGAAACTTGGTAATATTTTCGATGCTTTGCTGTCACATGAGTTTCTGTAAGACATCGTCATCACCATCTCGTTGCGGCACCTCTTTGCCGAGTTAATATTTAAATAGCCTCGATTGTGCTTCTAAACTGACAAAACCTTCTTTTCTTGTCTCCCTCCCGTTCTATATGAAAATACTACTACGTCTATCGAGATACCCATTTGCTTCTTCCGTTAGATCCCCAGCCCACGCTCGAGTCTCGCAGAAATCATTGTTCTTCCTACAGTATAATTGTACTAGACGCTTCTCATCTCACTCCTCTACCATGGCTCCGGGACTCTTGAGCGCAAACGGCAGTGCCACTAGAAAACATAAGGTGACCGTTATCGGTTCTGGAAATTGGTATGTCCATCCCATAGTCCCCATCTCACTTTTTAACTAGAGGATGCTAATTACAGCGTGACAAAATAAAAAGGGGTTCGACAATCTCCAAGATCGTTTCCGAGAACACAAAAGAAAACCCGGAATTATTCGAGGAGGAGGTTCAGATGTGGGTGTACGAAGAGGAGGTAGAGTACGAGGGAAAGACCCAAAAGCTCACATCCGTCATCAACACGCACCACGAGAACGTCAAGTACCTCCCCGACGTCAAGCTGCCCGCGAACCTCGTCGCGAACCCTTCCCTCGAGGACGCCGTCAGCAACTCGACCATCCTGATCTTCAACTTGCCGCACCAGTTCATCCACAGGATCTGCGGCCAGCTCAAGGGGAAGATCCTACCGTTCGCCCGGGGCATATCCTGCATCAAGGGCGTCAACGTCACGGACGAGGGCATATCCCTGTTCTCCGAGTGGATCGGCGAGGGCCTCGGCATCTATTGCGGCGCCTTGTCCGGCGCCAACATCGCCTCCGAGATCGCGGCCGAGAAGTGGTCCGAGACCACCATCGCCTACGACCCCCCGCCCATGGACAGCTCCCGCAACCCCTCCCGCAACGCGACCCCCCGCTCCGGCACCCCGAGCCGCAGCTCCCCCCGCGAGTCGGCCAGCGAGCTCAGCATCACCCCGCTCGCCGACCACCAGCATCGCGACGTCCGCGGCCGCATCAGCAAGACCAAGCTGACCCCCGTCCCGCAGGAGTATCCCCCCTTGGACCACGACACCTTCAAGACGCTCTTCCACCGCCCCTACTTCCACGTGCGCATGGTGTCGGACGTGGCGGGCGTCTCGCTCGGCGGCGCGCTGAAGAACATCGTCGCGCTCGCGGCCGGGTTCGTCGACGGGCGGGGCTGGGGCGACAACGCGAAGGCGGCCATCATGCGGGTGGGGCTGCTGGAGATGGTCAAGTTCGGGCACGAGTTCTTCGGGGAGACGATCTCGACGGGGACGTTCACGGAGGAGAGCGCGGGCGTGGCCGACCTGATCACGAGCTGCATGGGCGGCCGCAACTTCCGGTGCGCGCGCAAGGCCGTCGAGAAGGGCGTCCCCGTCCAGGAGGTCGAGCGGACCGAGCTCAACGGCCAGAAGCTGCAGGGCACCAGCACCGCCGCCGAGGTCAACTCCTTCCTCAGGCAGCGCGGCCTCGAGCAGGATTACCCCTTGTTCACCGCCGTGCATAATATCCTCGAGGGCAGGAATACCGTCGACGATATCCCGGATCTTGTTGCGAGGACTTAAAGAGGTTGATTAGGTACCTTAGGTACTTACTACGTACTTCGTATCGTCCCGGCATGGCCCAAAGTGTGACTTGCCTACCTAGACCTACCTAGATTATAGTAGGCAAGGCAACATAATATATATATAGTTGTTGTTGCTAATAGAGATGAGATAATACGAAGAGGCGGGGAAAAAGCGAGTAGCGTGGACAGGGTAGTGCTTTAGGGATAGAGGTGATAATAGATGGATGGATGGTTCAAAGGGTTGCCCACCTCCTCTGCTAGGCTGCATTATATTCACGATTGGTTGCGTGGTAGAAATAGGCTAGGCTAAGCGAGAAGGACATAAAATATATACCTATAGGAGGTAAACAACATTATATCCCATAACTGCCACCGTTATTTGAAATTCGTCAAACGTTAGAATTGATTAATTTGCCTGATTGCCACCTTCGGAATGCAACACTACCCTCCTAACCTTTAAGGACCTACCACCCGCTTACGCTACCAATCCCTCAACAAGGCACTCTTCTCACTTCCCCACGCCATCTGTGCACGTATCCTCCCCGTGCTACTACGCAAGCCATCACCACCATCACCACCATCATCCTCATCCTCCCTCGGCACCGTCCTCTCCCCGTCCCCGAACAGCGGCTTGAAAACGCCATCATACGCCTTCCACATGAGGTTCCTCTGGACCGTCATGGCGACGTCCAACCACCGCGGTATCCCGCCGTCCTTGCCGGCCAGCACGTAGCGCAGCAGCGCCAGCAGGGCGAACAGCGGCACCACCGTGAGCAGGAACACCCAGCGCCCGACGGCCTGCCGCCGCGTGGTGATGGTGTACGTCTCCACCCGCCCCAGGTACGCCTGGTAGTCCTCCGGCAGGTAGTGCTCGCGGGCGCCGTCGCGCAGGAGCCCGAGGTACCGCGCGCTGGGCTGCGCGTAGCCCGGGGGCCCGCGGGTTGCGGGGAGCAAGAGTTTGCGGCACCAGCGCTTGATCTTATCCTTCCTTTTCTTTTTCCCATCATCATCGTCATCCCCACCATCATCATCGTTACCGTCGTCGTCGTCTCCGGGGGAAGGAGGATGGAAAGAAGGAATCCGCGGCGCGTACAGCGTGCGGGCCAGGAACGGCCTCGGGAGCTCGGGGATAGGCGGCTTCTCGGGGACGTGGAAGGGCGGGGGCAGGGCGAGGCACGGCGCGACGATCTCCCGGTAGGCGGCGCCCTCGGTGCGCACGATCTGCGCGTAGTCGTCCCGCGTGACCTCGTAGACCACGCCGTAGAGCCCCTTAGACCAGGACGGGGTGTCGTCGTTGTCCGGAGGGAGCGAGGGGAAGGATACCGTTGCGTCCGAGAGCTTTTCTTCTACCGACGACGGGGGAGGAGGGAAATGAGGTGGTTTCGGCGGATCGCCCGGGATAGGCGGCTTGGGAAGCTTCCGCGGCGAGACGTTGGAGAAGCAGGGTTCCCAGTACGCGAGGCCCGGCAGGTCGAAGGTTAAGTCGAGGGTCGGGACGGATACGTTAATCTTGCTTAGGGGGCGGATGCGGCGCTTGCCGAGGAAGGTCTCGGCGGAGAGGTTGGAGCCGTAGGCGAGGTATAGGACCGTCGACGGCGCGGACGAGACGGGGACGTCATTGTTGGGGGAGGAGGTGGCAGCGAGAGCGAGACGCTCGGGAGAGGTTTGTGGGATGCTTGAGAGAGGAGGGCAGGAATAGGAGGAGGATCTGGAACGAAGCGCAGGGAGAGGCTTCATAGAATGGATGATGGTGTGGTTGATTAGAGCGTGCGCTTGTCGAGGTGAATCGACACGATCGCTTGAGCCTAATAAGAGGCCCTCTTCGAGAGAAGGGGTGTCCGAGCGTAGGTTCATGGCTGGATGTAAGGAAGCGAAATAAGAGGATCCAATCTATTGATTAGCATGGAGTTAAAATCCCTAGCATGATATGATAGTGATGATGATAGTAGAAATAAAGTAGCCACGGGGGGAAAAAAGCAATGGATGAGGCGTACGTAATGGCGCTTTGAGTAAAATAATTGTTGGAGAAGATGATTGCGATAGGGACGACAAGGGATTGAGATGAGACATCTAAGGTTGTATTGCTAGGTACCTAGTACCTAGGTTAGGTCATACCTCTAGGTACCTCTGCTTGGCCTGTACAGTGTAAAACTCCACGGATCCCGATAGATGACTAACTTCCAGGCTCGCTATGAACGAATATTCCAAGAAGGGAATGTGGGTCTACCGTTCTACGCTTATGATTGGCTACGCATGCACGGCTTCTACATAGTAAACCCCACGATACCTAATATCTGCGCTGAGCTGAGTTGGGCTAAACTTGGCTGCTTACAAAATTTAGCCTATCCAGCACGTTGGTAATTTCTCGGCTTTCGAATCAAACAAGATTATATGTATGATATGTATGCGGCTGAGTTCGGCGTGCTATATTGGAGAGATGATATACCTTTATTCGGTAAGATCGCCTCGGCTACTTCTTACCCCCCAGGTAGGAATCACGACAACATTAGATACTACTATACAGTATGGTATGGTACGGTAATTTCAACGGCGTTATGTAGGTCTCAGGGATGATTTCGATAGCCTGCCGTGCTGATGCGACTTTAAATATTATACTTTCTTTTTTTTTTTTTTCTCTAGACCTCGAGCTGCATATACCATCTCATCTCACTTATCATTTTCTAGAAATGCTACCGAGCACTCCGAGCAAAATTTCATTACCTACCAGGGTCCCGGGCGCGTCAGCTCGGCGACCGTATCGTACTGCTACGTTCAGGATTGCTGACTACGACACAATGGGCGAGGCATCAAATCAGTGCCTCACGATCATATAAGTGGTCGGCGATGGAGGGTCGTCCCCTCAAAGAACATTCGCCCGCTTGTCGACCCTCGTGACTTGGCACACAACGGAGCAAGGTTCCGTTGAAGTCCCCGCAAGGCACAATCATTGGCCAAACCCGTAATATTTGGCCGTAGCACATCGTAGATCGATGCTATTTTAGGTAATTTTATAGGTCTTTTGGGCAGTCATGCTTCCGCGCACGAGCTGAAACAGAGCCGCATCATTTAGGAAATATAAACTATAGAAAGATGATTCAGTACTGTGGCTTAATAAGTCTCGTGGATTGGCAGTTTTAGATTTTTGGATAGTTGTTGTTGTCGTTGTGGTTTTGTTTTTGGAGTTGTGTACCTGTTTACCTATGCTTTCCTATCGTACGATCATCCGCGCTTAGTTACCTAGGCTAGGGGAAAACGAAGCAGCTTACGATATGGCATCGTTCTTTAGCGCACTCTTACGGCTACTCTTTAAGAGGACACCCCAAGAAGGTCGTATAGATGAGGAACAAGGAACACAGAATGTCGCTCCCACGGTAAACGCCGGGTCGACTACTGCGGCACCAGTCTTGGCGACTAGTTCGAATGTTCTTCCGCTTGGCCATCACAGCTACCTTGTGCCGGAGGATAACCCTCTTCTTTTGTTCCGCCTCATGGTGGGCATCAGCACTTCGCCGTATCTCGGTTACAGCGAATCGAGCCCGGTGGGAACCCGCCCAGCCGCCAACATCGGCATCTACGCTCGCGTCGTCCACTCGGAGCAGAAGTCTAAAGATCGCTACAAGGTGTTCTCGATCTTGATCAACGCCTGCTACTTCTTACAGATTGTAGTAGCCGCGTCGCTCACAGCCATGGGCGCGGCAGGGGTTAGCCACGGGGCGGTTACTACCTTTGGCGCCATCAACACCATTATCGCAGGGCTCTTAACATTTCTCAAAGGAAGCGGGTTGCCGGCACGGCTTAAGTACTACGGAAACGAGTGGAAGAAGATACGCGAGTTTATCGAGCAGCGCGAACGTGACTTTTCTCGCACGGGGTGCACGCTCGACGTCTACGAAGTGGTCGCAACCATAGACCGGATGTACAATAATACTAAGCAAGAGATCGAGATGAACACCCCCGATGGTTACACGTCGGTGACAAGGAACGCGCGGGGCTTTAGGGATAGCAACGAGAGGGTCGGGGGCGTGGATGTCTCCAAAATGGAAGACTTGGATTATCGATTTAATCAAGGCGTTAATGGCACCGTGCACAGGATGGCGGCGGGTCTAGAGAGAATGGCACGAGACGTTACACATCATGTCCAGGAGCAAGGAAGGCAAATGCAAGAAGTTGCCACCAGGGAAGTCGAAGGCCACGCGGCGGCGCTAGATCGCGAGGTTGCAGACCGGCGTGCGCAGGCCACCCGAGCGGCCGAGGAGAGTCAACGAGAGGTACAGCAACAGGCGGATCGCATAGGACAGGCTGGGGCACAAGCCACGAGGGAGATAGAAGAGACGCAGAGGACGGCGGTAGGGGAGATGAGAGCAGCAGCATCTGCTCAGATGCGAAGAGTCGCCGACAGCATAGGCCACCACCATCACGATTCAAGACACGAAGGTGAAAAGTAATTTTTGGGGGGCGAGGAAGATCAAAAGCTTACGTTAGGGACCTGGTACCTAAGGTAAAATGTTTTAATGCTCCAGATCCCCCGTTCTTGAGATTGTATATATTGTCGAGATAACTGCATAATATTCTTACACAACATAATTCTACAAGAGATAATTACCTACCTCTAAGGTACCAGGTACCTAGCCTAACCTAAGTGACGCCCTCCACGCCCCCCCATATATCGACTCGCATGTACCTCAGCTACTTCGCCTGGCGATATACTCTGTTATCACCGAAAGCTAAAGCCGCCACCGTCGTCGTCACGGGCCCCTATGTATATGGAGTGGTAGTCGGACTTAGAATAGTACATCATAACTTTCTATTGCTTGCCCCGTATATCCCGCTGTAGCAGGTGTGGTGTTCTATTCGAGTGTTTCCAAAACATTTATACTCCTTCTAGATCCTCTAGAGAAGTATTTAAGCATTTGTCTCCTCAGGATTATACTTTCCCCTATAACGACGCCCCGGGATTCCACGCCGTTAGATAGAATGAAAACTGACACGGTTAATGCTGTATACGCAGACAATCTCTTAGACGCACTTAGAGTCGAACCGTTGGTTACGCGAGACGAATCTTGGTGTTAATACGAAACGGTTCGCGAGGAATTTAAAGCCGTTAGGAGGAGATAGTCTTGTAGAAAACAGTAGGTAGAACACCCATGAGGTGATGCGAAAATGAGGCGTGTTATAGTTTGTTTATCATAAGGGGTAAAGTAACTATTCGCCTTGTGTAAAAGAGCTAACAGGTACCTTATTGCCTTCGTATTACCCCTGTTTGAGTTGATGGTCCGGGTTGAAGTATATCCTCCACCCAGCTACAAGAGTAGCAGAGGTAGATCAGCAAAGGCCACACGTCCCAAGTAGATCAAGGAGACCGGAAAACTTTCTTCTCCTAGTTCTTCCTGATAGTTCTGAAGAACAATTCCGAATAAACGTAAGCTAGTTTTCAGGATTATATAAAAGGGGGGGGGGCTACTCCCACTCACTCACGCACTCGCGCATCCCATTCCCCCAGAACTACATAGGTACTTCTACAAAATAAGAACACAATACCTTTTCTATCATCGTTGTTCCATCATATCTACCTAGACCCCCCCAACAAACCTAACTTCCACTAAATCACCCTCTCTATCTTTCATCACGATGTCTACCCCCTACCAACCTAATCAATCCACCTCCATTTCAATCGCCAGCACGTCCAAATCACTCCTACTGGCCCCCGGGGACTACCCACGGGACACATCCAAGAAGGTCCGGTACGCAGATAATACCGCGCAGCCAAGAAACTGGCCCGAACGCCAACTGAGCTCCGAGCAAAACAGTTACCGTTACCAAGAGCCGCGGGAAAGACTCGGAGGAGATCGATACGGACGCCGCGGCAAGAGGATACAAGACAGCGGGAACGGAGGGTTATCCGAACAACAAAAACAGCAGCAGCAGCAGCAGCAGCAAGACCACGGGCTGAAGTACCCAAATGGGGAGATGTCCGGGATTGTTCGCGGTCCGAAAGAGGAGCAAACCGGTCACGGCAAGCGTGTCTTCTCCGTGTCCGACGTGCAGCCCCGAGACAAGGAAAGCCACGACAAATACATCGCCCTCTGCAGGAAAAGGTACGGATGCGGCTACCGCATCCACTTCGGCTTCGACGCGTCTCCAGAAGAAGAGGAAGTGGGAGAAGCGGCAGGAGCGGGAGAGGGGGAGGGAAACGCGACAGAAGCGGAAGAAATAGAGGGGAAAGTGGAAGTGCAGGAGGTAGAGGACATCCATCAAGAGCAAGAGCGCGCAGCGTGCCCCCCTCCAGACTACCCCCCTCCAGCCTGCCCTCCTCAAGACCAAGACGAAAGCACCACGCAGAGCTTCGACAGCGCAGACTTCCCCTACTGGCAGAACGACCTCCACCGCGAGCGCTGGCAGCACGAGCTCGTGCGCGAGGTCGTGCACCTCAAGTACCAACTCCTCGACGAGACCCAGGGCCCGCTGCTCCGGCAGGCCCGCGACCTCCTGCGCGCCGAGAAGGTCGAGCTCTGGTTCCGGTTCAAGGAGCTTGAGCTCACGCAGAAGATGCACAGGGCCAAACAGACGCTGAAGGGACTGGAGGAGAAGGTCAAGGAGAAGACGAAGAAGGCTGAGAGGGTGGTGTAGGGGCAAAGAGAAAAAGAAATATATAAAAAGTTTTATGGATAAAGTTTGTTTGTCCGGCTGAGGTCGGGATACTACAGCGGATGTCAGCGAATCTCATCGCTCGGTTGGGTTGGAGACAGCCTTTGTGTTTTATTGTTTTAGATTTGGGATATCTTGGGTACCAGATAATTAAGCGGAGTTGGCATGAGTTTTGCGAACAGACGATCACAGAACTTTAGCTAGACGGGGTTGGTTTTGCGCAATGCAGTGATGAACTGCTCTGGGCCTTAATTTTGGATTCTTGTTTTTCCTCCATTATAGGAGAGCGAAATAGAAAAATAAATAAGTAAAAAAGTATATAGCTTGTCATTATACACATGGTATTTTTTTGTGATTGGACTTGAGCAATAATAAGTGGCAGGTCAAGGGGTGAAGCTTACCAACAGTATTCTACCCCCCAACATGGTAAACAAGACCAGCTCATATCGGCAACTTGACCACGAATTGGTATTGTGGTCCTTGGTCTTGAGCAGTCCTCGTTCAATTGCTGTATTGTTAGGTGCTTATTGGACCTGTATGTCATTGGCTTGTGATACTATTTTGGGCGGTGATGTTGAATATGGCACGTTAACGCACCCGCTGCCCCACGAGGAGCGTGCGTTTGCCGAGTATACTCCTGGTGTCTCATTGGTGACTTTTGAACTTGCGATGCTGCTCACTACTTCGCCCGCGGCTCTATTAAATTAGCGTCGACCCTAATTACCAGAGCACGGCAGTCGGCCGTTATGCGATACGCGACAGTCTGAAGTTGCAAGAATTGCAAGACAGGTACGCGGGGAGCGACGCTACCATCGTAGGCAGGGATATTCTGGATGGGCCAAGTAGTGCGCCTGGTTTCGACCAAGTACGATCAATATATTCAACAGATGGATATATTGACGTACGGCTACGTGCCGGAGTAGGGTAAGAGTACACTGACTTGGTTGATTCCATTGTTAACCTCCCCTATTTGGCACATGCTTCCATCTTATAGGAACAGCTGCGATGGGCAGTGTGGTTGATACTGCCTTTGAGGTGAAGCGGGTTAGCTGGTTAACAACCTGCGTGTAGTCGCTACCTCTGTGCTTCCTGTCGTCATCGCCGGACATTCTTAGGTCGCAACATTCGCTTTGGTAGAGCGGGCTGCGGAAATTATCTATACTGATCATCGAAAGTCTATAGAGATTTCGGCATCCGTTTAAATGAGCGATTAGTTAACTACCTACCTACCTAAGATTATGATTGATGCCACTTAGTTATGCGTACACGGCTGGACCTCTTAAGCCTCACAAGACGAGAGATTTTGTGTGTATCGATTTGAATGTTGTACTGGCCTCAAATCTCCTTGCCCTGGAACACGATAACCGACTGGTAATGCAAATAAAATGTTAACACTCCATGATAATGCGTATGTTACAAAGCACTAGAATTATGCGATATCATGTCTTTTTCGTCTCTCCCATGTAGGTCAACCAAATGCGTTATGATGGCGCCTAAAATTTGTCATTACCCCCAGACACCTAGGATCATTAATACCTCGTAGCACGTATCCGACATTACGGTCTTGGATTTAGAAATCACTCTGCTGTGTTGTTGGTATCTTCATTAATATGTAACACGTATAAGGTACCTAGGTTGATACCCAGGTAATGTAGGTATAAGTTAGGTAGCTACCTCTTATGTAGCTCGAAATCAATCGCCATGGACCAAGACATCGACAAGTTTCTGTGAGTCGTAGAGTAGCTTGCCGAGTATCGCCGTCTGCTTTGGCGATGACCTAACCGGTATTACCGACTTTGTTGTCTTCCTCGTATACGCCGCAAAGACTATACCGCGATCCATAGCTCCACCCCGTGCTATGTGCTTCTCGCCGATAGCATTTCGGGCTGTTGAGGAATAGCCGGTATAGAATGAGCATGCCCAGCCGCGTGATATCATCTCAGGGGATGCGAGCTCGTCGCGGTACTCATTCCAACCCCTGCATCTAAGCATATTCCTATGAAACTCGGCATGAATTCGGAATGGTGAACCAAATTCACTTAGGCCATAAGCAGCAAGTATTCGGCCAGTCATTCCTGGCTTTTTATGCGCAGTTATAGTATGTTGGGTAGTAACGCTGTCTGCGTTGGCCGCGTCGTGTTGGCAATGAGTAAAAGTTGATTGATCAAGATCTGAGCTTTCCTCTTTAGCTTTCGGCCAAAGGTCGACTATGTACACCAAGTCGAAGTTATAAGTTCTGGCGATGTTGGCTGCCCACATTGCCCCTGAAACTGCTGACGTAGTACTGGGTGAATAGGCCAAAGAGAGAAATTGTGAATCCGTAGGTGTACGGGGAGGGGTAAGTTCTCCAGATATGGGATTAATCACGGTAGTAGGGGCGATCGGCACATGTCGGGTGGAACAGCTTCTGCCGATAGGAGTCTTCGGCGAAAACTTCGGAGGTGGTGTTGGCGGTATATCCGCTTCAGGTATGGGAGTGGCAGGTAATCTCTCCGCAACGTCTTCGTCATCGAGAGCGAAAAAATCGTCAAGTGACGGCTCTCTTATGTAGTGGTTATATATAGCATGTTTGCTCATTGCCAATATGGAAACTATGCCTGTCGAGTTCTGCACCATATGTGGTTGAGAAATACATGCTATTTCACCCTGAGTACTGCATATCAATGCTGGATCCTGGGTTCTCACACCCCACGATTCCCGAACGGCTTTATCACGAGTTAAAACCTTGCTACTGGGTCGGGTAACAGAGTCAGACGAGGGACGCGGCGTAAACTCGATAGGTGAAGATAGACCCTTGATTGATGTTGATCCGTGTATTACGGTTGGTTCATAATCTTCCTCCCCGTCCGACGCAGGTGGGGAATCGGGAGGATATGTAGAGACTGGGCACTGCGAAAGATTACTAGTCGAAATCGTTAGATTCCTAGCCAAAGCCTCGTTCAATATCCTAGATGACTTTCGAGGTGGTATGGCAAAGGGGTTTATCTTCGTCCTAGGAGAAGGTGGAGATGATGGTGTTGGAGATGATATCGAGACTAGTGATTCTATACCGTCTTTCGGGAATCTAGCTAGACGATTGTCAATAGAGTCGATAGAAGTATCTAGACCAAGATTGTTGAACAGCGAAGATAAACGCCGAGGACACCAATCTAGAATATTTGCGGTTGGGAACTCCTGGATACTATGTTCGCGTGATAATCTGTCGCCTGTGTCACCTATAGAAGAAACGTCCGTATGTTCGTTCGTGGGATGGCTATCTGGAAATTTAAAACGGGACAGCATCTCCATGTCAGTTGTATCCTCATCTTCGACTAGTAGCGATATAAGCCGGATAGGGTCGCTGGGGTGGTGCCGGTGATTCGAGATGATGCTGATTGAAGACCGTCTTTTTAGGCTGCCAGGTGGATCGGGTAGGCTCTGGGAGCGCTCTTTCATTAATCTAGACCATGGTACTGGCTCTTCTCGAGGTTTCATGTGCGTTGACGTTGGGTGCATGAAAGAGGGCGAAGGAAAATGAGGGCCATTGGGGGATTGAGTTGGGGTCGAGACAATTGAAACGTCTCTAGTTCTCGTCGCTTTCTCCTTATCTCTCCTCCTTGAGTTACCAAAAAACCTCTCCAATTTCTCTAGCCCGTTGACCATCCTGTTTGCTGGTCTGGAAGGCTTTGATAATCCTGATCTTCTCATCTTGTCAGCTTGTGTACGATTAGATAGGTAGTTTTGTGGGATCTTGGTTCACAAAATGGAAAGAAAAGGGGAAAGGATAAATTTGCAGACAGCGTTAAATTGAAGCATAAAATAAAAGTAGGTATACCTAATGTATGGTATTTCGAGCGAAGGAAGTGCCCAGTGGAGTAAAGTGGTTACCTACCTGTCACGAGTGGACTTATTCGCACAAGACTACCTAGGTAATCAAAGTACGTGAATCAGGGTGTAAGTTCGTTGATAAACCTGACTGAGTGAGAGCGCAAATGCGTCCGGTCCTGGAGGTGACAGTTAAAAGCTGCTAGTAAGTGAGTAATGTGAAAAATAAATTCGTGATGAGCAGGGCCGTAGACCGGATTGATTTGGTGGTGTCACGACTAGGAAATAATAGGGTACATATATAATAGTGTACATATCATCTCGAGGTCCGCCGCACCGGCATTACACAACAGACAGACCGAGTGCTAACGTTGGAGGGCACAGCAGGCCAGGTCGAGGAATACTAAATGAATTTGAGGATTAAAGTATAGAAAATAAAGATAGGACAGGCCTGACGTTGTGCTTCCAAAGCGTTTCTAGTGCGAAGGGCTTCCTTTTGACACCGAAACCTCCATATGAGGACTTGGCGAACTGGTATGTCTTAATCACGGCTGGGGTAATGAGTATAAGGGATAGTGATGGAAAACAGGACTGGATCAGAGTGGCGTATGGGACGATCCAAGGCTGGCTGGTGAGCTTCAGCTTCGGTCTAATGTGTCGGTGCAGTTCTTGCCGAAGGGAACGAATAAGGTATGATGGAAATGGATGAACTAACCAATTGCTATCAACCGATAGTAAGTGGGATTGTTATTTCTTGTTGAATAAAAGAATGTTTAACCACCCGACTTTGATATCGAGTATGTAAATCAATTGAGACTGAGATGGATCGGATTAGGTAGAAGTAGATTAGATGAAGTGGTTGTAATTGTAGTTGGAGTTGTAGCTGAAATTGTAATAGATCGCGTACGCGTCTATTGGACGTCAGCTTGGCTGCTGCTAGTCTGATCTTCTACCTAGGTACTCTAACTGGTTTCGTGGTGGCAGACGATACAATACAGGCACGGACTTTGGAATCTCATTTTCATCCAAAGTCTTGAGCGGTGATGGGGGCTGTGATGTGGAGGAAGCCAACCAGTCATTTGATAGATAAAAGGTAGCCACGATATCATTGGTTAAGATGGCTGGTAGACGATCGGTTTGGGAATGTGGACTTGTTGGCTGGGGGGCCAGGGGTTACTTAGCTGTTCCAAGCAAAGCACGAAGAAAATTAAAATACCTAAAATACCTATATTCATTCTCAGAGAGGGCAGTTGCGGCCAAGTCGGATAGGTATTTTCATGTAAGACTATCCCCCATTTCCAATGAATCCAGGAAGTCGCGGGCTACATATGTAGTAGGTACCTCTTTTACCTTATATAAGTACCTAAGGTACTACCTAAGGTAGACATATATACCTGTAATACCAGGTACCTATATAGTGAGGGAGGACCTGAGCATCTCAAATTTTCTGAGTACAGCAGCCTTGTGCTCGGTGTTTCCGGTTTCACTAAATTCAATGGTAGGTTAGGTACCTCTATGTACTTGGCTATTAGCAATGTGCACCATCGCTCACCTTGGGAATTGGACAGATACTTACGCCATTAGATGCATAGCTCCTCTATGTATGTAGGATATTGTAACTGTAGTCTAGAATCTAGATCTTTCTTGACGGCCTTGACGGGGCTATTAGACACCCCACACCAGCAATGATAGCAATGGTGTGTGGTGTAAGATAAGACGCCGAGGCCTATTCAAGCCATTTAGGCCACTTGAGTCGGGGACTATCCAACCCCTCCTTATCCCTTCTTAAAAAGAAAGACGAACTGCTCCATGACGTTCGGAATACTGCCGAGAGTCGCAATGAGCTTCGACAGGGCCTCGGCTATCATGATGCAATGAGCGGTATGAGAAGCCAGGGGTATCCCCATGGTTCCACAGTAAAAGCAGAATCCCTTTTGTTTTTGAAGGGCCCGGAGGGCTCAGAAGTGCCAAAGGGAAAAAAGGCTGGCAGTAACCGCCTAGTTACTAGGGTAAGGGAGTCCCTGAGTAAACCATCATGACTAAATGCCATCTACCTGATACCATAGCGACATACATAGTATGGAAAAGCAAGAATAATGAGATGATAACCTGAAGTTGAAGCTGGAAAGATGTGATGGATAGAGAGGTTAGGCAAGGTCCGAAGTACAAATTTAGGTACAAATTTAGTGCTATACCTAGCGGAAAGTTAAATCTTGCCAATGAAACCCGCTAAACTTAATAGAGTATAACTGTCGGTGCAACTACGTCTTGATCTTGACGTCTTTACATCTTTGAAGTCTTTTACGGCAGTAACAACGCAACTGCAACTGCAACTGCAAGCTTTTTACTACCCTTAAATTTTACAGAGACTCGTAATTGCATCTTCGCCCTTTTCCTACCTATCTTAGAATATTCGATCGTCCGTAGGAGTCGTAGACAAAAAAAAAAAATCTGTATTCATGAAAAGCTATTGGTTACCCCCCGGACCCAAACGTCCGTTGTTGTCTCAGTCAAGATCCGCACTCTAAAAAAATCCTTTACCATGTCTTGTCTCATTCTCAATCTCAAATATCGAACGTTTTCTTTTCTTTTTTCACCTCAGCTTCTCTATGGATGTTGAAAGCTCTAATGCGATTGGAGTGATCAAATATCTCTACTGCTTTTTAGATATCATGTACCTAACGTAGGTGCAAAAAAATCCAGGGACTCGAGAAACCCCCTTCATGTCGGATCCCGCGCGTACGTAGGCGGATAGGCTGTACCTCATGACATCGCAATCTTCCGTCTGTACGGTGGGCCACGGAGGAGGCGCAAATTACAGGAAGATCATTTAAGCTCCGAGCCCTGTATCGGGAACTAGCAGATGCCTCCTTAGACTTCTTTCCCCTTATGCCATCTCATTGGAAGGCGGATGCGCCCTCTGAGGCAATTGGAGAACGTCCCGGCCGATTGGGTCACTTCAAGGTGAGTCCGCATGCACGAACCACCATCTACATTGTCACATGAAGAGGGCCTAATATGAACCAATCACTTGGATCTCATCGAACCCCTTACTGCAATCAAGGCTGTGCATATGCAAGTCGGGGTTGATTCACAATACCTAGCAGCCTAGCTCATGGTCTACTGCATCGTCAGGAACCGTTCTTACTATTGTCGGGATCTAGTCCGTGCAGACAGATCCGGCCGATTTGCATGCTGCATTAAGCCTGACATTGCTTATTTAGACGGACGGTCTTTTTAGTCAGAGTCGATATGTCATACCAGACGTAATGTACGATCTTTTAGGGGCGTATGGTTCATTAGCCACAGGAAGCCCAGATCCTCATTCTGCTTGATCACATCGGAAATCTAGCTAGGCAGTCATCTGCTAGGATGCCACCACTAAATCGCTAGCTATACTTCTGCTACTTAGTATCAATGGCTTTACTGAAGGCCTCGTCCGGGTACGACGCTAGGCTTCGATATGAAGCAAATAGCCTATTTTACCAGGACCAAACAACCTAGTCAGACGCTAAGAATCACTAACTTACGGATGAGGGACAACAAGCTACCACGGCTCTCATACGTCGTACATCTCCGGGTTTTATGTCTCGGTGCACGGTAACATGCTTTCAGGAACCAATGAGTCTCGAATGGAAGCGAAAGGCCCGACCGACCGACTTGTTTAATTCAGTATACGAAAGGTTCACATTCGATAGATCATAATCGTCCTCCCACTAAGTTCGTCTCAAAATCTACCTTGTATGTACCATTCCCTGATGGTTGTGCTGATATACTGCGACCTGAAAGTTAACTCGGGGTATTGCATCGACCTTACCATTCAGTTAGTTCTTAGCTTAAGGTTATTGAATCGAACTTTACGACGAATAGCTTCCTGTGCGGTAGGTTGAGGTACACATACCTACATAAGAAGATCACGATGGCTGGTGTTCTACAATGACCCCGTGTCCTCCATGTGCCTTGGCTCTTGCTGGTTCCTTCGCAGAATATATATTCTATATTGCTTCTTCTTGCCCAAAGTCGAGACCGTGTACGCACCAAACATGCGTACGAGTTCAGTGCGTCCGGATAGTATGGTTTCGCAATCCACAGCAGAAACATGTGGGTGTCAACGAATCTCCGAAATTCGAAGCTGTCACGAAGTACACAGACACGACAGGTTGTAGAACTTGGCTAGATTTGAAGTTCTGAAAATTGAGTGTCACAAATCTCGAGAGCCGGTCTCACTGTAACCCAATCCACATTTCGTGGTAGCCCAAGCAGAAAGACAAACTCGCTCGCCAGGATTTGTTCTGGCTAAATATATGTGTGGTCGCTGACGGTATTTCAGTGTGGTCTTCAACCTGTGTTGAGAATCATGGAGATCCCGTCGTATCTCGCACGATTTATGAGCCTCGCAAGTAAGGTTGTTACGCAGGATGTGACATATGTCCCGAGTTATAAAGTATAAGCACACCTCATTCGGATGTTTATCTGATTCATTCATTATTTCCATGAGGCAAGAGATCGTATATCATGTTCATGCGTAGGTACTCATTGGATCTCTACTAGAAACAGTATATGTACAAGTGAATATTTCGTAGAAGTGCACCAAATGAGCTCATGCGTCCTATATTCCGCTGACGATAAAGCATTTTGCGCTTAGTTAAAAGTTTTAGATGCAGTAGTCGAATGCAGTGGCATCGGTTATCCACCATCTTCATACTAGAACATATCTCGGCTCACAGTCGCGGCTGTGTTGTCGGTCCTGGACTACGGCTGGTTCTAACTGCACCTAATCAGCACCGATATGAAACACGATAGAGGAGAGTGGACAGTCAGCTTGTGCTGTAATATCTACTTACTCTTGCTTTGGAGTAGGCTCCCCGATCACATTCAAGAACGCCGTGTGAACCTCGTCCGTCAGATCGCTAGCCTGTAGACTCCTACCCTTCTTCTCAAAGGCTAGGCGGGAACATTCCTATCGAAAAACAAAGTCAGCAATCAAGACTCGAGTAACATCGTGTCTTTCCATTCTATCTTTTTTTCGAAAGAAAAAAAACTCACCCTCGTAATAGCCGCGCCTCCGAAAGCAGCCAACCCAAGCGTCTCCCCCTCGCTCAGACTCCCGCCGTGATCCCAGATCTTATCGAGGTAAGCCTTGCGCCAGGCCAGGAACGTCGCGATGCTCCCCGTCAGGGTGTCTCCCTGGCCGCCGCTGCGCTTATACCCGCCTCTCAGGTCGACCGTGAGCGTCGTCTCGCCGTTGCTGATGAAGTCCTTCCCGCCCTTCTGCACGATCGTCACCCCGCCGAGCGCGCGCGACAGCGCCTCGACCTGGTCCGGCGAATCCGCCCCGCTACTGCCGGCCCCTTCGTCCTCTCTCTTGATGCCTTTCCACAGCCTGCCGAACTCGACTACGTTGGGCGTGAGCACAACCTCCCGCCACCCCATCACCAGCTCCGGCGTCTTGAGCACGAGCGCCAGCGCGTCCGCGTCCAGCACCACGGGCATCCGGCGCTCGCGCGCGGCGGCGAGCACCTTCGCGCACGTCTCGTGCATCAGCGGGTCCCGCCCCAACCCGGGGCCTACGACCAGCACGTGCAGCCGCGGCAGCATGTCGATGATCCTGCTGGAGACTTGGGAAGCGTCCGTGTCCGCGGGGTTATGGGACTTGGGGTCGGAGCCGGGCGGAGGGGACTGTCGCATGAGCGGGTGCACCATCAGGTTCGGGCTGTAGGTCTTGATCACGGCGGCGGCGCCGGGCGTGCATATGACGTGGGACTATGAACAGGGGAGAGAGGGTATCTCGAGTTAGCTTGACATACGCTCTTTTTTTGTTCTGGAAAGAAAGAAGGAAAGAAAGCTCAGAATCGAACTTATGCATAGATCAAGGAACCAATAACCTCCACGTACCATATCACATCCCAGGCGAGCACTCGCCATGGCAGAGAAATACGGCGCGCCCGTATAGTCCTCGCTACCTCCAATCACAGCGATGCGGCCCAACTGTCCTATAGCAGCGCATGGTAACAACGATCAGCTTCAAAGTTCCCTTAGCTTAGGTCAGGTAGGAGGTAGCTATCGGAGAGCTTGCGCCATATCGTACATACCTTTGTGAAACTTCTCCAGCATCGGCGGTACCAGCTGCCGCACCTTACCCAGTACTTCGCGCGTGGCCGGGGACATCTTCTTCTCGACGGTCTCGGAGCTCATGTTTCTTTTCTGCGGCACGGCGGCGGGGAGGAGAAGAAAAGGCTTGACGGAAACTTGTTGTTCGTTTCGTTTTGATCACCTAAATCGCGGGGGCTTGCTACGTGCGAATATACAAATTATGAAGACAATTACTGCGGATGTTGAATGCAAACAAATAGAGCGAAGGAAAGAAGACGTTGCATAAAATTGTTGTTGTAGGTAGTATTTTTATCTGCAAGTCGGCAGGTCGGTTGGAGAATTACATATTACATGTCCTAATAATTGTGCTATGATCAAACTACAACGATCGACATGGAACCTATGATGTCACCAAGGGCCACCTCGGGAACTCTAGCTTATTGTAACCTTGGAATTCTAGGCTTACTTACCTCTGGTCTGGGATATTTCTCGTCGTGGACGAGAAAAAGAGAACAGAAAACAAAAATAACAAGCTTAAAAACAAGTCGCAGGAACAAAGGAATCGAGTGCTTTTTGAGTTTTTGGCTCTATTTTACAGGGGTTGGAAGTTGGATTAATTCCACCTCTAACCCATATCCTCACTAATCGGCACCCTTGGCTAATGTACCTCTCTAACGAAAACATGATCCGCCATCAAAGGCCCTTAAGGTATAGACACTTCTCCCTCTCGCTTAACCTCTCATATGATTCATTGATCCATCTAAGCGAGGAAGCTCTTGGTGAAGCTGGAGACGACGTCTCTTAATCTTTGCTCGAGGTCCTTGCTGAGAGCACCTTCCTTGTCGATGGTAGCGAGCAGGTCAGACTCGTTCGTCTTCAGGTAAGCCAGGAAGTCGGCTTCCCACTGTAGGACCCTGTTGACGGGTACTTGGTCGAGGTAACCGTTGACACCGGCGAAGATGAGGGGAACCATCTCGTTAACGGCCATGGGAGAGTATTGCTTCTGCTTGAGAAGCTCGGTCAACTGCACATAGACATATTAGTTCTATTCCGTAGCAAATACAACAATTTTCAAATACTTACTCGTTCACCACGGCTGAGGGTCTGCTTGGTAGCGGCATCCAGATCGGAACCGAACTGGGCGAAAGCGGCAACTTCACGGTACTGGGCCAAGAAGAGCTTGAGCGAACCAGCGACTTGCTTCATAGCCTTAAGCTGGGCAGCGGAACCGACACGGGACACAGACAGACCGACGTTGATGGCAGGTCGCACACCCTTGTAGAAAAGTTCAGCCTCCAAGAAGATCTGACCGTCGGTAATGGAAATGACGTTGGTAGGAATGTAGGCAGACACATCACCACCCTGGGTCTCAATGATGGGCAGAGCAGTCATGGAACCACCACCGTGCTTGTTGTTCATCTTGGCAGCACGCTCCAACAGACGGGAGTGGAGGTAGAAAACGTCACCGGGGTAAGCCTCACGTCCGGGGGGACGACGAAGGAGAAGAGACATTTGACGGTAAGCGACGGCCTGCTTGGACAGATCGTCGTAGATAACGAGGGAGTGCTTGCCGTTGTCACGGAACCACTCGCCGATGGAAGCACCGGTGAAAGGAGCAATATACTGCAGAGGAGCAGCCTCGGAAGCAGTGGCGGCGACGATGATAGAGTACTTCATGGCGTCGTTCTCCTCAAGGGTCTTGACGAGCTGGGCAACAGTGGATCGCTTCTGACCGACGGCAACGTAGACACAGTAGAGCTTCTTGGTCTCGTCATTGGAGGTGTTCCATCGCTTCTGGTTGAGCATGGCATCGAGGGCGACGGCAGTCTTTCCGGTCTGACGGTCACCAATGATCAACTCACGCTGACCACGGCCAATAGGCACCATGGCATCGACAGACTTAAGACCGGTCTGGACGGGCTGGTTGACGGATTGACGGGGCAGGATACCAGGGGCCTTGAGCTGAGCACGGCGCCTCTCCTTGGTGTTGATGGGGCCCTTGCCGTCGATAGGGTTACCTAGAGCGTCGACAACACGTCCAAGCAGTTCGGGGCCGACAGGGACATCGACCTATAGGGGTGGTTAAATCATCTTATCCAATCACTCAAATTGCATCATGAAAATACTTACGATTTGTCCGGTACGCTTGACGGTCTCACCCTCCTTGACGAGACGGTCAGAACCGAAAAGCACAACACCGACTTGTCCAGCTTCCAAGTTCATGCACATTCCCTTCACGCCGGAAGCGAACCTATCCAATGGTCAATCGTAATGCCTTCCATCCGGTAACTAATGAAAACACCTACTCGACAAGCTCTTCGGCCTGGACGTTGGTCATACCGTGCACACGCGCGATACCATCACTGTGAGAACCGTTAAGTTAGTAAACATGATCCATTGGCTTAAAATTATGTAGTAAAAATATTTCGGCAATGGCGACGACATGATAGGAACAGCTCGCGGGCGTAATGTGGTGATGTAGGGACTGGTTTGCGGCGGGTTGAAAAATCTCGCTTCAAAGGCTCCACACGTACCCGACGGAGAGGACACGGCCAGTCTCAGCTAAGCTAGATTCCTCTGATACACCACGAATTCTCTGCTCAAGGATGGAAGAGACCTCTGTGGGGGAAGGCTTCGCATCGGCGGCGTAAGATCGGGCCTGAATGTTGAAGGCGGCGGGTGCGGCATTTCGTGCCTGTAAAAAACAGCCCCGGTCAAAGTTAGCCGACAGTCCGAAAATGTCATCGTGGGTGAGTGGATGAGCGAGAGTTATGCCGCAGCTATATGGTGGGAAGCTTTTACAAGCTCTATAATCGCCCTCAATACTCTTGGTGGATATTATGGAAAGCTTTTATAAAGCTTTATATATGCTCTAGGTATGCATTGAGCTTGATCGCATATATTTTCGGATTGAATTGGGTTGGGATGTGGACTCGACAAAGACCGGGATTTTTTTTAAAGAAAAAAACCTACCGCAACGACTCTACCGGAAGCAGAGATTGCGCTCACGGCGCGCGTGGACTGTCTGAGGGCGTTCCGGAACATATTAGAGAGGTATATCTAAGTTCCTCCGAAATAAGAAAAGGAAAAACCAATTGCAAATCGGATTGCAATTGAGAGGGAGAGGAGATTAAGGAGGACGGGTGTTGATATTGAGGTTTTGCAAAATGGAGACTTTTTCGAGAGGGAGTGCAAGAACTGGGTGAGGCGCTAGAAAACGAAGTGGCCGAGAAAAAATAAGCACGGACCATGTGAGCTAGACCCGAAAGGTCCCGGGCCAAAGTTGTGTGTGGTTGTGTGGGAAAAGGAAGGACGAGAGGGAAAGCTAAGCTTAACGTGGTCCGTGCTTTACATCTTTCTCCCCCACCTACCCACATTCCCACCTTGGAGCTATTACGGATTAATGGTTACACAGACACAAACACAAACTACGACCATTACCTTCTTTTTTCCCATCTCAATTGAATCTCGACTTTTCATAGCAAGTTCATAAATTTTACATTAATAGCGCCAATTACAACCTTCTGTTAATTCTTCGTTATGAAAGCCTATAGTTATCGTGATGATTGCCCAACTCTCTCATACATCACTCTATATACAAAATAACTCATGTGCGGCTAATAATATCCAAAGAATGAATAAAACCGTCGGAGCTTAGAAGACGAGGAAAAATGAAAATGAAAAAAACACCTTTGAATCATAATAGGCCTCAAAGTCAAGACCACGATAAAAACAAGCACCATAAAGAGAATTTAGCATTCCAAATGCAATGATTATTGGGTGACCACCAGACAATTCGAATTGAGACTCAGTTCAGGCCATCGGTGAGCCTTTCTTGCACTCTACAACACCCACTAAAAAATGATCAGCTATCCAAGTCTGCGTATACCAATGCTATATATAAGTAAAGCTGAGGCGATAAAAAATATCCTCATATGAGGTAGGTATATAAAATACTCACTGGTGGTATTCTCTTGTTTGTGGACTGTAACCAAGATTAGACCAGCCTGGTTGGCAAGCTTCTCAAACTGCTGCTCTGACCGTACCCGAGCAGCCATAGTCAACATAGTCAAGTCTATGCTAGCAACGAATCGATGAGGGGGGTCTGTCATGATTTGCTCGTTGATCAGAACTCTTGCCTCCGGTTCGTCATCCGGAAGCGAGTCAGCTAGTATACGCAGTATATTAACACATACTTCGTCGTTGTAATTGTGGAGGCAGCGCCGAATGAGATACACAAGAGCACCTGTATTCGTCGTCGTTAGCATACCTATCCACAAGCAGTCCATAGGCACCGAGGGAGGGAAATCCTTGCCCTTAACTGGTTGTTCTTTATGGAAATCTGTTGGAACTTTCGTTACGTATTTCATGATCGTGTCATTTTCGTGCTCTTTCTTGACATTAAGGATCATTTCTGCGCGGTCCTCAACTACGCACCGGCTTGGTGGTATACCAGGGAACTTGGTTAAATGTACGCGGAGTGCGTGCCCATAACTACCTCCGACATCGACAATCAAAGGCCTCTCCGAATTTGTGACTGCGTATTTCGCAACCCATTCGAAATCATAAGCGCCAGTATATGGCCATGCGTAAGTAGGCATGGCTTGCATGGCATGTCCAAACTGTTCGATATGCTCTGTGCCCCGTTGCGCTACCAATTCCCAAGGGTCCAATTGGCCATCACCACTAAGGCCGAAGCTCAGGGGTAGCGTTTTATCAACGGGTTCGCGGGGACCATACTTTTCGAAGAATTCCGGCAGTTTGGCGAGTCCGGGCTGGCAGTCGTCCCAGAGCATAGCGAACCAGCAACCTTCGCGATCGCCGCTCTTGAATAATGGCGATAAGCGTGAGTGCGCAACGCTGTTGGGCATCGGCGACACAAGCATACCGGTGGAGACAAGCATTTGACCCAGCCGGACTAAGAAGTCAGTCTACGCCGAAATAACATACCCCTTATGGTGAGACAACGTACAAACCAGGGCCTCTTGAGCTCCGATCAGCCCTGCCAGCTCTCTATATGAGACACTGCCTCCCAGAGGAATCTTGTCGAAGAACCCCCACTTCATAAACATGCGAATAGCAGCACATTCCCCGAGCTGTTCAAGTTGTCATTATATTATTATTATAGAGAGTACGTCTTAATGCAGACATACTGCGACGGTTTGCTCAGCAGCCCACTCCTCGGGGTCTATCAGTTCATCTACCAATCTTCTCGCGATTCCCGTCGCCTCTCGCCTAATGGCAATTCCATCGCTGTTAGTGGTACATAATTCCCGAATATGTTCTGAGAGCTTCTTGGACAGCTCCTCCAAGACATCGAGCGACGGGTTCGACATGGTTCTAAAGATCTGTTAGGTAGAGGTTGATGCCCTTGATAAATATTGTATACAGAGTGAGTTTCGTAGCAACGCTTGGTCTTCTATCGTCTTACGAGGGAGCTGGCTGACTTTATATAGCCAGTAAGCGATGCGGGGGCGATTGACATATCACTGCACAGGATGCTGCCGAGACTTGATTCGTCAAATAGTGCTACCTACTACAATGTTGTCGGTTGTAAGCATCGCCACCCGGGCGTTGGCATAAGCGCCTATCGGCGATAGTCAAGGGATTTCTCAGGTACAACCCCTTGCGCCAAAAGCGTACCTCCTGTTGGCACAATTGCTATTACAGTCTATCTGACTAGGTTAGGTAGGTAGATACTTAAGGCTATGTACCTCCTACCTAACCTAATCTTACAAAGACGTGATATGGGGTGATATAAAGGTCTTTGCTATTAGAAGCGTTGTTGAACTGTTTTGTTTTCACATAGTTGCCATAGTTGAACAAACAAAACCATATATCTTGATATTGTGATTTAAAATTGTACCTATAATTTAGGTAATCTTGCAGATAACCAGGATAGAATACATGTATTATATTTGGAATTGTTCAAGAGGTAGACAAAGCCGCAATAAGGAATTGTTCATGTGTAGCTTCATAATACAAAAGCAATAATGAGCAAGCATTCAATTAATGCCAACTAGTATATATAACCGTATATTCGTTCGGTGTCGTATAGTAAGGTATTGGGAATCTCCTCTTGCGTTTTAATTGTAAATTGCAATTCGTATAACACTAGCATCTACTGCCCAATATGTCCGTTGCGAAATCTTACCCGTATCATCACGAAGGGGTTTTTATCCCATATCTCGAGTACGGAGACGGCCACGACACGCATGAATGGATGCTGGATCAAAGAACCCTTAAACAAGGGTTGATATTGATTGCTGCGATTAAAATATCTAAGGTGTTCCTTGTCCAATCTCAAGGATTAAAGGAAGTTCTCATTTGTAAAATCTTAGGTGGTAGAAGCCACCGGATCCCCCAAGAGATCCGGATATCAACAGCAGACGATGCGCCGAACTGCGTCCTACCGAGGCCTCGCATAGTTGGAGGAGAGGAAAGGATATGGTTTAACGAAATGGTGGCTTACCAACGGGTGACAGCAGGGAGAAGAACTGCTTACTCTGCGTATTTTAGGTAATATCTATCCCAAACATCTCTTGGAACTCAGCTTGTTCGTACCATTCCACTAACACTTTAAAATAGATACTGCAACGGTGGAACACTGGAAAAATTGTTGGCAAGATACCATGAGCGCCTTGTGCCGGTACCAGAACATTTCATTTGGGTAAGTACAGGTAACCTGGCTTATTCGTCAATGCTTGTTTAATATCATGTCACCTATAGTTTGATCAAATTCTATAGTGAGGAATATGAAAGGAAAAAGAAAGAAAAAAAGAGCTAACTTCTAGAATATAGCACGTCGCTCTGAGGCTGATCGAAGCGATCCGGTACTTTCAATACGGTGTAGAGCCAGGCACCGACATAGAACCAGACAATTGGACATGTAAGTTCTTTGGGCACCTCCTATTCAAATTTACATATTCGAGCGATCCTATCGACTAACCCATACATCTGTAGACATTACACACCGCGATATGTATATGAATAATATATTTGTCCACTACCTCCCTCCTCCAAAAGGCCCTCGGCCGAAAATCGGTCTAAAGACCAACGCCTTTCCCGAAAGTAAGTCATTCCCCTTCTTAATTACCTGGGACCTATCCATACTTCGGAACTGTTTATTCGAAGATAATCCCCCCTACTATAACTACACATGCACGACGTTGAAAAACAAGAAGAATAAAGAGAACAAGGAAAAGTGCTAATTATCGCGATTGTAGTTGTCGTGGGCGACTTTGGAGAGTCAGCTATGGAAAATTATGATGATGACTGGGTAACGCAGGGCGTTTTCAACATTGCGCCTAATGAATGGGAAGATATGGTACGTACCAAATTCCGATGGCTTCAAAGCTTTGAATATCTTCATTTACGATAGCTAACTTGTAGTAGTAGGTATTTTTGTTCTGCTGGCCTCTATTTGGAGAGTTCCAATCCCCCCTGAATTTCCTATAAATTCGAGAATTCTCTAAAAGCTAACCAGCATGTTAGATATTCTATGGGAGAGACCCTTCTACAGTTGGCTCAAGCACACATAAATAATCGAGAAGATCCCGCTCTTGTTGACAGGCCAATGGCCCACCCTGTACGGACGGTAAACAATTTCATAGTGGCTCCCCACGCTCGTTATTCAGACGAACTCATCCATATGCTTGAAAGATTTGAATATCCTGGCTATGACAATTACGATTTGGTAGATGATGATATTCTGGACGATGACGGCATAACAAGGCCTCGCTACTATTGGCTTCCTCTATTTGGAGAGATCATGAGATGGCTGCCCGTAATCCGGAGAAAGGTCAAGCGACTTCAAGGCATTGAAAATATTCCACAGGGATATTACGAAGGTCTAGATGTTTCGTGGTCAAGGCCTCGCAGAATCATGCCATATGAGTAAGTTGAATTACCCTTATTCGTTGTTTAAAATGCTTGGCTATACTTGGGAAGGTTAATAAGAGAGTCTCCGACTTTTGCAACCGTCCCGGGGGTCTTGTGTCCCCTCTATAATGAAAGGATGGATAACTAACACTTAAATTATTTAAACAGTTATCTAAGGACAGCAATGGAAGAAGTGCATGTGGACCTTCGGAATCCGTAAGTAAAGTCCCTACTGCATTTTCCGAACAAGTGAAATTTGGAATTATTAACTTGAACCTTCACCAGAGACGACAACGACGACGACAATTTGAGCCCTAGTAGCGCGGACTCTTCATTTGTACCAAAAAGACCCCGAGCCGATACCCCTCCAAACCCGAACCCCTCGCTCACACAACTCGCAGGAATCGATAGTATGCAGGGTTACCATGTACAACCTTTGCTCTACAAGGTCCCGACCCTGGACCGCAATGCCATAGATCCTCCACCGGCCCCACTACCACCACCGCCTCCGGGAGGCGACTCGGGAGAGGAGTCCGGCGACGATGGCGACGATGACGATGATGGCGATGGTGGTTTGGACGACGGCGGTCTTGAGCCAGACCAGGATGACTCCGGCAACTATGTACCACCTAGAAATCTGAGAGTACCACCTAGAGCTCCGAGAGCACCTAGAAGGGTGAGAGCCCATTAAGGAGCTGAGGCCATCCTATATGTTTCGCACGGGGGTTAACTATGTTGCGTACCTACCTTAGGTACTTAGTTTAGTTGTTGTTTACACCTGCGGGCTTTTAGAAGTTCTTAATCAAGTTCTGATACAGGTAGGTACTGATTTAATATTTTATATAATACTGACTTTATCTTGCCTATCCTAACGATTTAAGTTTCAGGTTGATTTATGATTGCCGCACGAGTTCTGCTATATTCATTATACATTCAAGTAACTGTACTAGTCAAGCGTGTATCATGATTTTGGTCTGGTTTAGTGTCTTGCTGTAGCAGGAGGTGAAAAGGGGGAAAAGGAGAACTTTGTGGCACACCCGTTAGGAATCTCACTTGAGACTCCTTGGGAACAAAAGAGATGTTTGTATATAGCTTTGGCTTCAAAGCTATCTTATCTCAGTTAGAGTTCCTCGCAGAACAACAAATTTGTTTTCTAATGCTCTAAGCTTAGGACGTGACAACACGAAGGTGGACTTGGCTAAACGCATGCGACCTTTCACTTTACCTTAGGTACTTAAATTCTGTACTCATTATTACAACGTGTAACTTACATTGCATGTTAGGTAATTACTGTGCAGCATCATCTCAATAGGCTTTTTGCAAAGACGTTGCTTTTCGACCTTGGGTAGTAAAACGCGCACATCTCTCTTCCCTACCTAACCTACCAGGTAAATAGGAGTATTGGAGACGAAGGGGCGCCTACACTCGATAAATGTATCGTATAGGGTAACTCATGATCTATATCTGTCTAAAACTACCTAAGGGCAGGGTATAAAGCAACTACCTGAACGCAATGCAGTCAAAATAGAAGACCTTCGCAGTAGATTGATCATTACCATTCCCTCAATTCACCCCCTGGACCGGAGAAGTTTGGGCTCACCCACGCTTTTGTATCCCTTGACAAGGTCCGTACCTGTACCTCGTCAATATCAATACCAAGGCCCGGTCCGCTCATTAAGTCGATATAACCATCAGTGACCCTCCAAACCTCGGGATTTAGCGTGTAGCTCGTCAGATCCTGTCCACCGACGTTGTAGTGAATACCGAGGCTCATCTCTTGGATGACGAAGTTCGGGGTTGCAGCGTCAACTTGGATATTAGCTGCCAGCGCGATAGGCCCTAAAGGGCAATGCGGTGCCAGTGCAACATCATACGTCTCGCAGGCAGCTGCAATTCTGCGCATCTCGGATATCCCTCCAACGTGGCAGATATCAGGCTGCAATATGTCAACACACCCAGCTTCCAAGAACGGTCTTACGTCCCATCTGTTGTGTAGCCGCTCGCCAAGCGCGATAGGACAGTGCGTACGGGCAGCGATATCTTTAATACCCCCGATGTTCTCAGACAGCAAGGGCTCCTCGATGAAAAGGGGGTTGTAAGGTTCCAGCTTGGAAACTAATTGCTTTGCCATCGGCTTGTGGATTCGTCCATGGAAATCGACCCCCACGTCGAGGCCTAAAGCCTTCACTATTTTAACACGTTCCACGCATTCTTCGAGTTTCCGAGGAGAGTCTAGCCATCCTAGGTCCTCGGTGCCGTTCATCTTGACGGCGTTAAAACCTTGTGCTTTTCGGACGTTTCTAAATACATGAAGTTAGATAGAGAAACAATCCAAGAGTAGGGGAGTGATACATACGCTTGCGTCTCTACGTCACTCGGGCGGTCACCCCCTATCCATGCGTATACGCGGAGTTTATCTCGGACTTTGCCACCCAGCAGCTGATGTATTGGAACGTTTAGTCTCCGAGCTAGAGATTATTTAGCGCCCCCTAAATCCTTAAAAGCATTCCTGAAGCATTCGTACCTTTCAAATCCCACAGTGCAATGTCTATCCCGCTCAAGGCACTCATGAGAACGGGTCCTCCTCGGTAAAAACCTCCGCGATACGACAGCTGCCATATATGCTCAATATCGCTTAGCTTCTTGTTAGCAACTTCGACAACACTAAAATCTCAAAACGGCGATTTTCACAAAAACTCACTCTGCCTCGTATCCTACATATTTTTCCGCCCAAGCATCTAGACAACCTTCCACGGCTTGCGTATGGCCTTCCAAGGAAGCTTCACCCCAACCGTAGCAGCCGGTGTCGTCCACGATCTTGACGAACAGCCACCGCGGTGGGAGGCGGAAATACTCGATTTTGGTTATCCTCCCCATTCTCCTTGGCAGAAGAAGAAGTTCCCGTGTCCGGCCCTCGAGCTAGCTATAACAGAAAAAGAAAATTATTAAAACAAAAAAAAAGACCAAAAAAATTAAAGCCCGCTCTTCGCTAGTATACCTAAACGTACCTACCTATTAACGGGTGAGGGGTTATAAAAAGATACTGTACCCTCCTTCGATGGGGCTTTACCCGGGGTCGACCTCTGTGGGGGGGGGGGGGGGGGGGTTGGCGGTCCAATGGCCTACTCGCCCACACTAGAGGCATTTGCCTAACTTGTCGCAAATATGGCCTGATTGTAGATCGCGGGCTCTGGAGAACCCACTTGGGCAGGTTGCTAGTTAAAGCCTAAGGCACTAAAACATGATTTTTTAAAAAATAAAGGCGGTAGTTATAAAGCTAAGATTGGGCTAAAAAAGAGAAACTAAATTATAGGTAATGTTGACCTGTTGGAACTTGGCTCGGCGGTGCGCTAGCGGTATAGGTGTTGCTCAAGCAAACAGATTTGATATCTATCATCGGTCTTATGTCTTTAGAGAGGAAGCAAGGAGATGTGATTTTCAAGGAGACTACCTATAGGAGGTACCTAAGATAAAGAACCCAGAAGTAGATAGGATTATCAGGATTCTAGATGAGACATCTAGAACAAAGAGAGGTATGCTCAGTAGGGGGTACTTACCGTATAGCTGCACGCTTCCGTAGAGGTAGGCTGGTAGGTTAGACACGTTTCGAGTTCCTCGCTGGATCAACGAAGTTGTTTCCTTACTGTTTGGTTCCACCTCGGGACAGGGGTAAACTGATGATCAGAAACCATAACAGCACTCCATAAGTGATTATAGACTAGAGCTTCTTAAAACGCTAAGAGATATGATCTTCAATATACATATAAATTCGAAACAGACGGATCATCCCGCCGTATCCTTGCATTCATCTTCATGAGAACATACCGCAACAACCAGGTGCATATAACAACTCCTACCGAGAAGCCAATAGATGCTGCCATGCCCGTAATAAATTTTGGCGCGTCCGAGTCGGGCCAAAGGTACTATATGAATAATCAGAAGTGCACTTTCGAATGTGTGGATAGTAAACTCTTTTGCATTAGTCAAAAAAGGAGTCAAAAGGGGGTAAGAAATTTATTACTGACAGGTGTGTAAACTGAAGCGACGTTTCCAAACATATTACACATGGCAATCACAACAGCTCTCTTTTCGTTTGACTGACCTAGGACTGAGCTCGCCCATCCTAAGAGAATATTACTTACACCGTAGGTAGCTCCCACAAAGAGCACTGTGGACGAATAAATTAGTCACAATTCTTTCACTAGAACAACGAAGGGAATACTCATAGTGCTACTCACTAATTCCCACGTATCGGGCGGCAGTATTAAGTGTTGCTATGCTGATGACGTATCCAACGATTCCAACTGCTTTTACAACCGTGATATGCCATGTTCGTTCGTCGAAGTGACCGCTGGACCAACAGAGAGCGATGGATACCAAAGCCCCAAGGATATAGGGAGGGCAAGTAAGAACGAGGGCTGTCGTCGTGTCCAAACCGAGATTCTTGACGACAGTTGGTAGGAAGCTCCGGAACCCATCACTAGAAATTTGAAGGTTCAATGTCAAACAGAATAGCCAGGTTTTGTAATCAAGCATAGCTTCTTTGCAGCCCTTCATAACACTTGTCGTACCTTCATGCTTGTCCGTGATGTCGTTAATAATACGGTCATAGGCAAGTTGTCGTTCTTCTGGAGTTAACCACCTGTTCTTTAGTGGGTTGTCCGGCAAGAAAAAGAACCCAACTATGGCAACTGCTGTGGATAGAGATCCCTGGATTATAAATAGCCTATAAAGATTAACATTTATGCAATTGTAGGAGCGAGATATTATCCATTACCATTGCCATCCGGCAAGGCCACAGACGCCTCCCATGCGAGCGAAAATAGGGGCAGATATCAATCCAGAAAAAGCACCGGCTGCTATGCTTGCAGTGAAGAAGATGGACATCCGCGCGGCGATCTCTCTTTTCGTGTAGAACATGCTCAACATATAAATCATCCCAGGGAAGAACTTCATATCTGATGAGCGACTAGGTAAAAAAGCCTCAACGGGTATCAGGAATTCTTACGGGTGCTTCAACAAGGCCGAGGATTAAGCGTGCGATCAACATCGACATATAGTCGCGCACTAGGAACGTGCATAACGTCGTGACGGACCATGCTGTCATAAAGCCTACATTATCAATGTTAGTATCTAATGTGTCGTGTCTATGTTAAGTACCTCTTTAGAAGGGTATCATACCTGCCATGAAGTACGACGGAGGAACTCGAGTTATGATCATGTTCGACGGGACTTGGACGAGGAAATAACCAACGTAGAACATCGATACACAGTTGTTATATTGGTATCCTTCCATATGTAACTGCTCCGCCAATCCATCGAGCTTGCCGTTCACTATCGCGGTGCGATCGAGGGAGCTTAAGAAGTACATCAACCAGGGGATGGGCTACCAGAAAACAATCAGCAATAGGTATAGCCAGAGAGATCATACGGCCGCTATTATCTTACAAGGATATACAAATCCAACTTCCTGACAAGTCTTTTTTCCAATGCATCGCCACTCGTATCATCTTGAGGCTGGTTTGTCTCCGGATCGGCTCTCTCGGATACCGCTTCATCTGTGACTTGCTCGATATTCTCGTGTGCTTTGCTTTTGCTATCTTTTGTGTTTGAGGAATATTCCATCATGCCAATACCTAATACGGATTGAGTCTACTTCCAGAAGTGGTAATGTTGGTTGACCCAGGAGCGCGGACTGCAAATCAGTTGTAGGTCTCACGACGGGCGTCGTGCCTCTTATACACAATCAAACATATCAGTCACTTAGGTGCTCATACCAGGTAGTATAAGCCATACATTGAAGCTTGGAAACCTACAATGCCTGTAGGAAAAGCGAGCCGAATCACCAGTTCAATCACTCCCTATCTCAGAAGTCACGACGGTATCTTCATCTAGACATGGTCCGTCAAACCCTGTCTCACAGCCAATAAACTTTTAAGCAGCGTGGATCGGACAGATTTGTTTAGATCGAACGGCCATGAAGTGTGTGAACACAGCATTTACCCTAATGCATTCTCATAATTTGAAGGACTATGCGCTCCATGCCGTCCACCTTTTTCGATGAGGAGAAGACACTCACCGGTATATTTCAGCGTCGTATACGTGACATCCAGACCGGATATCCCGATTGATAAAAGCTCATCGCGGAAGACCCCTTTTATACTCACCTAAAGTATCAGGATTCGGCTTAATTGTGAAGGACTACCTTACTCTTCCTCTGACCTATACGAACATCGCACGTGCCGCCGTGACACCAACAGTACAAGTCCCTCAAATGGAACCTTAGGTAGGAGGTAGGTAGGTACCTAAGGTAATAAATCGCTCAATATCACCAACAGTTTCGCAACATACGAAATGATGATCTTGGTCGGATTAGGCGATGGAAAAATGGCGTCGCTGGCGGGAAATTTCAGGAGGTAACCTGAAGTCTGTTAATATGCACAATACTGCTAAAGACACACTGGTGAGCTAAAAGTGTATTTCTTAACGCTGTTGTGCTACGATGACTCGGGTTCCAGAACAAATAGGGTAAGATCCCTAAAACGTATGAGCTTCCATTCGACGATAGCCACCCGCATTTCACAATTCCTGCTATGTGATATACGACCTTGTATCTCAACTAATTCAATGGCATATTAATGTCATTGACAGATATTGAGTCGTACAAAACGGATATCTTCGGCAATGCTCTAAATTGAACCTAGCACAGCAGGATTCAGTTAAATGATTTGAATGCCGATGTGCTCATAGCAAGGTAGCATGTCCATTTCCTCATACCATTCTACTAAGTTGGCATAGATTAAGCTGAATCAATACCACGAAAAACTATTAGGAAAGGGGGGAGCAGTACATACCTAGGTACCTACCTATCTTTTGGTGGTGAGGTCGTATTCAGGGGTAACTGAGCAGAGTCACGAACTTATAAAAACCTCATTCATTATGTACCTCTAACATGATAGGTTAGGTACCCAAACGGATACCTCCCAATATTCCCTATTACACATTAAACCACAGACCCGCGATACGCCGCGCGCGGTCATACCCATCAACATCAACGTCAAGATAAAACCATTCCGGACTCACATTAATATGTACAGCCGTACAGTTAGGGTTCCAAGTGATCGTCCCTCTATCACCGGTCGCGAGTCTTTCGAAATCCCACTTGAGGCTCCCGACCACCAGCATCCATATTCCATAAGCGAGCCCCGCTACGGAGAATATGATGAGCAGGAAAAGATGCAAAGAGGCGATGGAACTACCGGATTTACTCTTCCTTGGATGCGATTCTTTGCTTGCCACTTCCTCGTCGTCGTCCCCTGAAAAGCAGCGGGAGAGTAGGAACAGGACGAGAGTAAACGGGTAAATGGCAATGCCGTAGAAAATAAGCACAGTGTATGCGACGGGGCTGTACCGACTTGTCGCGTCGACGTTGAAGTCTGGACTGGTGAAGAACCCCCTTTTGGAGCAGAGGGCCTCGGCGGAACATACAGACCTGCCGGGAGCGGACTCGATCTCAGACTGCACACAGTCGTACTTGTTGATGACATATGTCTCGCGTCCCCGTCCGGTCAGATTCGCCTGGATGTGGTAGAAGTCCCAGTGAACCCGCAAGGCGTAAATAGTCGCGCACCACTGCAAAAGTGCTATGGTATTCAGAACCCAAGACGCCACGCGCTTGGCCTTACGACCCTGTAAAGGGGACCAGCAAGACCAGGGGTGGAAGTTGATCCCGATGGCCAGTTTCCACGTAGAGATCCAGGCAACAAGCGACAACGGGCTCGCGGTCGTGCTATCGTGCGCCAGGGACCCCCATTCTACCATCCAAAACACCAAGGTGGCGACCGTATATACAACCGACGACCAATCCAAGAAACCGGGCCCCTTGCACCTTTTCGGGGGGTACGGGTCGCGTAGGTCCAGGAGGACGTTGATGGCGGTGATGTTGAGGTAGAACCATATGTCGAAAGGGGTGAGCCCGTAAGCGCTGTCTCGCGGCTTCGACGGCACGATCTTCCAGTTCTGGAGACACCTTGCGAATTCGCACCAGTACCCCGCGTTCGACGATGCCTTCCACCCGAAACGGTCCGCGCCCTCGGACTGTCGTCGGTCTAGAAAGTTACAGTTGGGCTGCAATGTGGAGTTCGTCTGGCACGCTTCGAAGCGGGTGTTCTTATATAAGTTGTACTCAGTCGGGCTGGGCGATGGCAGCGCGTTTCGTTTTATCAGGACGGTGAGTTGGTAGCTGAGAAGCAGGGCTTGTATAGCAACCGTCACCGCTAGGAGTATCCAGACGGTATATTTGATGAACTTGCGCCATCCCTCTGGTAGTTTGGCGATCCATTTAAGGCGTACATTGCAGGTCGGTTCCTCTACCACCAAGATATCCTCAGTTTGCCTTAACATACCATACTTAGTGCTGGCCATGCTGTGAACTAGTTACCCCTGGGAAGGTTAAAGAGAATAGCAGTAGAAAATAATGAATTAGGCTCTGAAGTACAGCATAAATAGAAAAAAAAAAATAAAAAAGAGATGTCTTCTTCTTAATTAACGCCTAATCATTCCCATGCGGCCTGAAGGTAGGTACCTAGAGACTAGGGTCTCCGTCTCGAGTCAACCTTACCGGGACCGACGACGAGAGCCATAACTGGAGCCAAGCCGTGATATCCCATAAATAAAGGCATTGATGGGCTGCTGAACAGCCATGACTACCTAACCTACTATGTATAGATATATGCAGCCAATTTCGGTAGCGTTATTAGCGTAAGAATATATACCCTAGAATAGAGCATGACTGCCCAGTCATATTACGTAGATGCAACCATATTTCATCAGCTACTTAGTCAGGCTGAATCTAAATGCCGTTTCGCAACAACAGCAATAACACCGTATGGTTACACCACGAAAAGGCTGGTCTGTCGAGACAACGCCAAAGGGGATAGCGGGTTTTCCTATTTGCCTTCTACGCATATCATGCCCGCGCGGTTGACGAGTGGCAACGTCGTGCATGTGTGGGGCATGCTTACATCTGGGATGAAATCCCTGTGTGATGCTTTCCAGCTTGTGGCAGCGATTAGCCAGCCTCGCGGCAAGATCTTCGGTATAGGGAAGGTGCATAAGACATGGGGTAGTAGGACCATAGCCAATCCAAAGAACCGTGGTGATTATAATCGTCCTAACCGCGTCTATGAGATGGGAACATGAGAGCAGAATGATACCCTGTCGAATAGGAAGATGGATTAATCTCTGCATTAGGTAAGGTAAGTATTTCAACCGTTGGGTCTGGCTAAGAAATGGGTTAATAGGTCTAGGTACAAGTAGGTAAGCAATTACATGGGGAAGTAATACTTTGACTCACGTTCCGCTTAAGGCTAGAATAGTCACCAGGATCGAGGGCGAGGACCCCATGTTATCAAAGCTGAACCGACATTAGCTTAGGTACATTAACATTAGCATATTCATTGCTAATGGCTGCCATTGGTTAGACCAAGGCGAGTACCATTGGAGGGAAGTCCAAGAGAAGTCCAAGCCGCAGCATTGTTCAGGGCGGTGCGAGTAGACGTTCCGCATTTTCGGCAGCTCTGCCGGAAAGAAACAATTCTTCGGCCCCGCTGTGGAACTACGAAAAGCGGCCCGGCAGACGGGGCCCGCCGGAATAAGTCAAGAGATATCTATGCGTACCTAGGAATTCTTTATTATGAGAAGCACACCTCCTAGACATACCTATCGCATATTTTGATAAAATCTGCTTTATACGCGAAGTCATCTCGCTACCAGGTATTTATACACAGCCCGTGGCAAACCTGTATATCAGAACATGCCTCTCTCACCTGTTAACGGATATGCCCATGAGACAAGACCCTTAGGTTATATCGAGCAACCTCTAAATCAAAGCGTTCGATGCTTCCACAATGTTTCAACATTTGGTACGACAATATATTTACAAATGTCTCTGTTGATTGCACTTCGACTAAGACCAAAACAACGTCTACTTATTACCTAGTTAAAGGTAAGCCCAAAGGCATAACCCATGTGCTTAAAGACTTTCTCTGGGCCTTTCATAATATATAACAGCATTATAAAAGAATTTCAATATATTCAAATCATAATTATCTCTAGGAACTTAGATAAGCGTAGTCTTGATATTACGAGCGCGAAAGTCGGGTCCAAGTAATATCCAACACTCAGTGATATCAGAAGACCAAACATGCGTAGCTAAAGGTGAGATTTTTTTTACTTGACTTTAATATGAAGTTTCTCTTTGAATCGCCAATGAGTACCTATGAACCTAAAGTAAGAACCGGATCCGCTCATTTCATTACTATTTATTCCTTTGATAATAGTCACTTATGAGCTGGACCTCAGGTATTACTTAACGTGCCCCTGATGGTATGAAGCCAAGACTCCAACCCACATTACGTACTAAAATTCAACGAGATAAGTTTACTTAAGTTAAGATCGAATTACCACGATCAAATCTCGTAAGGGGCGTCTCTCCTTGCCAATTGGACATGTCCACGTTCGGATCGGGCAGCAGTGCTGATTGGAAGCCACGTAACACGGCGGTGAGCAAGCGTGACGATAAGGCGTATAAAAGCAATAACAACGGTTCCAAGGAAATGAACTAGGTACCTAAAGTTCCATTGTGAATCATTCCAAATGCTATATCCTTTCAAGCTTGAATAATCTTCGTAGACAATTCTCAGCGGTCTAGGCCTTATAGAAGACAAGGCTTATGATTTAGGTGGAGATATTATTTTCGAATCTCTTGACGGCGCTTACCTACATCACGATGCTTCTTCGGAACGAACAGCCTAAGCCATTCATAGCAATTCTGTTTCTACATATCTTATTCCTATTAGCACCCTTTATCTCGGCATCCCCTATAACATCACCCTTACAACTGCCACCCGCTTCGGACTTTCCAGAGGGCGCGGAAATAACCCGCTCCCGAAGCAGTCATGGCAACGCCACGATAGAGAGAAGACAGATGTCGGAAGGCTCGTCGTGTGATGATTCCGAGGGCCAATGGAACTGCCTCACGAACCGGTGGCAGCGCTGTGCGGCGGGGCAGTGGAGCGCCGTGATGGACTGTGCTGCGGGCACGATATGTACGCCCTCAGGCTTGACGACCGATTTCTTCGTACAGTTTGAAAACGGGGCGGCCGGGCCGTCAACGAGTGATGGTACGCGGAGGTTTGAGCCGGGAGTTATGCGTTGGGTCTTCGTCTCCGTTCTAGGTGGTATAAGTGTCGTTCACGCTTTGACTTCCAGTTGAAGTATGCTTCATCTCAGGGGTATTAGGTGTAAGCGAAAAGCACCTAGTTTGAAGGTGTTAAGCTAAACCAAGCCCTTCAGCAGAGCGCCACGTGCCATTTATGGCCATATATTATATCCTAGACCACGTCTAGGAGGTGCCTATATATTCATGTCAGGTATATAAACCACCTACTAGGCATATACCAGAGAATCGCTCATGCTATAAACAGTTGGAATATTAAATATCATCCGCTCTATACAAAGCCCCCCTCTCCCCCCAAAACACTATCTAATAAATGTGCCATGTACTTCCGCAAAAGCTTCTCGCTTCGTTAATCATTGCCAATCTTCAAGAGTTCTTTCTACGCGGCGTTCTCCGGCTTCCGCGCGTAGACAACGCGCTGCGGCAGATACGCGTGGATCGTCCTGCTAGACCGGAGTTCTTTCCGGAAGGTCGCGAGGAATACCTGCATTTCCTCCAGCGAGCGACCCAGGACCGTGTTCCACATAAACATGACAAAACCTGTATTCGCGTGTTAGTTTAGTTTAGGTAGTCTTGCTAAACTTACGAAAGCAGAAGATTTTTTAAGAGAGGATAATATCACTCGCCTTCTAGGTCCTGCTCGAGAGTATACTGAGCCCACTGCCCAATCTCCTTCAGCTTCGGATCGGCCGGCCAGCTCCCCATAGGCACCTTGATATCCTTCACCGTCAGGTCCACGAAGCCCGCGGCCTCGATGCCTTTCCGCTGGATGTCGTCCGTGATGATGGTGAAGGTCTGGCCCAGCTTCTTGCCGCCCTCGGTGAACAGGTCGCGCCACATGTACATGGCGGAGTCGGGCTTCAGGGTGCCGTCGTCGCTGCGGTAGTCGGCCTCGACCTCGAAGCTCTCGATCCACCCGCCCGGCTTGAGCGCGCGGAACGCCTGCCGGAACAGCTTCGGCCAGTCCGACACGCTGCCCACCATGTACCGGATGTGCACGTAGTCGAAGCTGTTCGGCGCCCACGTCCACTCCTTCTCCAGGTCGTCGATCTCGAACTTCACGTTCGGCGGACACCACGTCGGCTGGATGGGCGATATGTCCGTTCCGATGACCTCGCAGTTCGGGTACTCGTCTCCCATGTCGCTAGAGCCTGGTTAGTTTTCCCCAATACAATACGATGTGGAATAACTTTATTACATTGCCCATAATCCTGCATAAGTGGTCAGCAGTGGGCCCAAATTCAGGGCAGAAAGATATTAACTCACCTGTAGCAGTACCAATGTCAAGTACTCTCTGGAGAATTTCAGTTAGATAAGTAAACTCTAGGACGGATTGATGTCGCCGCTTGCTTGCTTGCTTGCTTACTTCTATATCGTCCTTGAGCGGCGCCAGAAAAAGATTGCCGCCGAGACATAGGGTCAAGAAATGATGGCTAAGAGGGACATTAGAAGATTGATACCATTTCGGACCAGTGGCGGCTTACTTCATGTCCATAGCCTCATTTTGTCGCTCATCATTGGGTCCCCAGTACTTATCCGTTCCATGCTTGCCGCTGCTATACGTACGACCATTAAGCGTGCGGTATTGTAGGATACTCTCCGTCAGAGACGCTGTCGAGCTCGCACTATCGCCACCCATTAGGACTGATACTGTTATTTCCGGGTATGGCTATGCTAGGAGATAGCTTTTGCCGAGATTTTTTTATTATTCAGGGATTGGTCTATATCTCACTTATCACCTTCCCCTAGGGCAGAATCCCCATCAAAATCATCATCATCATCGCCCTCGTCCTTAGAGTAAAACAATCAGTCAGATATAAGCGTCATTGACTTTTTTTTTTTTTTTTTTTTTTTTTTTTTTTTTTTCAAATATGGTACGCCATTGAATGTGCTTAGATCTTCTTACATGTTGAGCAACCTCGATCGGTTGATCCGTTAAACCTGGCACTATACCCGGCGTCGAGGTTCCCACCGGTGGAGTAGCCAAGCCAGCTGATGGTCCAGGGGCGTCGGCGGTAGGGGAGACAGCAGCAGGTGGAGGAGAAGAAGGAGAAGAAGCGGCGGGCGCGGAGGCGGACTGGTCTTGATTGGCCATATTAGAAGATCGGTCGAAGACCTTAGATAAATATCTTGGTAGCTTCGAATGCATCGTTAAAAATGAGGAGAAGTGGGGGAGTTTAAATAGCGTAGCGTTCGTTAATTTTACGTACAAGACAAGCGGCAAGGAGGTAGGATTCGCGGGTTCGGGTTGGGATGGGAAACTGGCGGGACGGATCAAAGGACTAGTAGTCGGTATTGAATGTTACTCGCTAGCCAAGTCCCAACTAACAATTAATCTATTGACTTTAGGTAGTTAGGTCGTGGAATTAACTACACTGCTACACTACTACTACTACCTCCCTGCCTCCTAAACAGAGGACGGACCTAGTTTGGCAATGGAGTTTGTTAGAGGTAGTTGATTGGCCGTGGGAACATGGCTTGGGAATAATAATTTCTCCATATTAGCCAATAAATCATGCCATATAGGCTCATTGACAAGGGTTAGTATAGATCCAGATGTTACAACAAGGACCGAATACCTACCTTATCGAACCTCATCGCACTTTAGACTTGACGGGCGCCTTTCAGTCATACGAAAACGAAGTTCTAAAGAGACAAAAAGAGGGATTGTTTACTAGCATGCCATTCATATTGGGTTGTAACGTAAGTCGTTATAGGTGAAGAGCCTCACCTGCACCAAATAGCTAACAAGCAGGAAGCAGGTAGTCATTAATCCGCCCTCTCAATTAAAATACTGCACACAGTAAATTCAATAACCTATTACTTGTGAACAGTCTTTGTAGTCATAGTAGACGTAGGCAGCGATTTCCTCGACTGTCAAATTACCCCTTTACCCTGCTATAGATCGGTACCTCTATTCATCTTGCCTCCTCCGGAACCTCAGAGTTGTACAAACATCGCGGATACGGTGGAACGTAGGACTCGTCGAATTCTGCCTATCAAGTATCAACGCCAAGTCAGCACGAGCACACAAAGCACATTATATTCGCCTCCACGCCGGTATGATCTCCTACTTACGGCACCGGCGTTCGGAGACTTATACAGCACGGGGATGCACCTGAGGCCGTTGGTGAAGATGGTCCCGGCGCACGTCGCCTCGCGGATGGCGGACCCGACGCAGTCGTGCTGCGCGTCGCGCGGGTTCCAGTCGGGGTTGAAGTCGAACCGGAGGTTGATGCCCGGGGCCACGGCGACCCCGGCGGGCGTGACGGCCCAGCTAGCGAGGCCCGGTTGCGCCGGGGCGCGGCCTGTGTTGCAGTTGAAGAAGTCGGGCTGGCGGACGGCGCAGTTGCGCATCACCCGGGCCTTGAAGTTGTTACACCAAGACTCGGAGGACTGGCCGTTGCCGGAGAGCTTGCTGAATGGGGTTGAAGAGGAATGTTAGTTAGTATTAAATATGATTAAAGAAGAAGAAGAAAAAAAAAAACAATTTGGAATTGAAGTAACTAAGGGGTCTTCTCACATGTGGTATCGGAGCCGGTGGTATCGATATCCCCAGTTGTAGGAGTCGGCCTCGCAGTACTCCGTGCACTCGGAACTGACGACGCGGAAATAGGTCAGGGAATATGTGCACTCGTCGGCGTTGTCGTACTGCCAGTGCTCGTTGAACTGCCGAAACGTTGTTAAAGCTTCCTGAACTATGATCTTGAAACATGAAGCGGGGGATACATCCACGGAGTTGGGAAAGAAGTAGATGGAATGGGGGGGGGGGGGGGGGGGTTGGCTTCCACTTACACGTTCATCACCCGCTTCCACGTTGTTGAAGATAAGTGTGCCATTAGGAAGAGTTGTAGGTTGGACGTTATCGAGAGATGTAGTGTTCGAAAGACTGGCGTTGGTGCCTACCATAGGGATGGCGGCCGCTTTGGAAATGAGAGTTAGTAGGAGAATGACGAGAAAAGACATCATGATGTTGTAATATAATAAACTGTCTTTGCTTGAGGGAAAAGGTGTATTGGTGATGTAGAAATCTCTCTAGATGAAGAGAGGGGTTTTATGCTAGAAGTAAGCGCTGGCCTAGAAGAAATACGTGGACGGGAAGTTCGAGTAACCTAGCTGAAGCAAACCAGATGCATGTATGTAGGAGGTAGGTAGTTGTATGTATTTCCAATATTTGCGCTGCCTTAATCACACAGGCGGCGAAACGACTAATCGAGCAAACAGAAGGATATGCACCTCATCATGCACCTCACCTAGGCAGAAATTAGTTCACTCCTCCTCGGGTTCTAGTTACACAATAACTCACAGCGGAGATATGCCCCTTTTTATCTATGAAGCATCAAGTTGATTGAGCATCTTCATATAAGGTAGAGATAACCATACTGTATCTTTTCCACTTGCAAATAATGAAAGCAGCCGACATCAACCGCATATAAAAAGTCGAGTGCTCAAAAAAAAACATCCATTATCATAACCCATTTATTTATCCGTTGTAAATCGCTCTGGTCCGTTGTCAAACCCCATTCTACGCATCAGCCGCAGCGACCAGCTTCCCAACGACCATGTACTTGCTGTTGAACCTCTCCTCCCACCCCTGCAAGCTCTCCCACTCCTCGGGGCCGAACCCCTCAAGCTTGTCCAGCGGGCCGTCGAGGTCCTTGGTCAGCATCTCCTCGTCGAAGCTGTGGTACGCGAGGCCGCGCGTAGCATCCCTGCCGGCGAAGTTCTCGTACGGGCCGCCGGGGCCGTAGAAGTTCCGGCCGCTGGTGACGTCGAAGACGCGGCCGCGCACGGCGAGGTACACGGGCTTGCCGTCCTCGCCGTTGAAGTGCAGCAGGGTGCGCGGGGTGAAGGTCCGGAAGACGACGGCGGGCGGCTCGCGCGGAAAGGACACGGGCGGGGACGGCTTGTAGAGCAGGTAGGTCGTGTATAAGGTGATGAGGAGGAGAATGGCGTTGAGGGGCGTGACGAGACCGGTGCTAAATGGTTAGGTCAGCTCTGTTAATAAGTTGGGACTACGGCGACGGGGTGTTAGTTGGGTTTAAGTAGGCGGACGCACTAGATTTGAGACGGGTCTTTGGCGGCCTCTTGGGCCACGCGGTGGTTGACGAAGTCCATTGGGATAACCTCAAGTTTTAGTTTTAGCTTTGATAGTTATAAACTGTCGAAAGAAGGCGACGTCGTAGATTAGGTTAGGTAGTGACGGAGTTATAAGTACGACGTTGGAGAAGCTGCTTAGTAGAGATTAGAGATAAGTTGGAGATAATTCGCGGGCGGTTCGGCAGAGGTGGGGGGACTGCATTTCAATCGGAGACCGGACATATCACACCAATGGCTCGAGCTTCCATTACTTACCTTAGGTACCTAGGTACCTGGTATCTATTTTACAGAGGTACACTTACAGGTACCTATCATTCGAAGTTTGCTTAAACTTTCGGGTTGATGCGTCATTATATCCGTAAGAGATACTTAAACAATTCTAATGATCTCTTAACTATGCGATATTTCTAGCAATATAACTCGAGTAACTGAAAATATAGGTACCTACCTACCTAACCTAAAATATCTGTAAAGATTAGGTACCTACCTAGGGTTGTAACGGTATTCTTTGGGGTATTATAACTTCGTATCTATAATCTCACGGTTAACTCCCTAAGGATTGGTAGCGGCAATGCGTTTGCACTAATCGATATAAGCTAAACACGTAGGGCTGACCGGCAGACCGGTAGCCTAACTTCGAAATAACCTTCGAACACCACAAATATGTATAGGAAGTAGGCGTGTATTAATAACTGCGTGGAGAGCAGCGATGGATCCTTCCCGTACGATGGATCATGACGCGGCTGTACGACCTAGAATAACGAATTACAACATTAGTCAATCTTCATAATTGTTTCACAAGGATGGAGTTGCTTCCAACGTGACACCATCGAGTACTTGAAAAATATCTCTAGGTACTGCTGCTTCAGGGATATTATAGGTATTGTAGGTATTATAGGCATGTATTTTCTTTAAAGTTTAAAGTACCCGTACTAGCCAACCAGCCAACTTCGTTCCGGCGGCAATCACAATTTACATACCTACAAGTACGAAGTACACGGTAGGTACCTACCTAAAGTATTCAAACCTTTTCATCCACTTTGGGATGTCGCCAGGGCAAGAGAAACTAATACCTTAACAACAACATTCAACTTACAGCTTACAGCTTACAGTCCAGTTCGCAACAAAAGAGAATGTAGTACTAACGCTGACGGTGGGCACATCCCATCTATTATAGCACTCACCGACAATTGGAACTTATTTTTTTTTTATTTCTCTTTTTGGCGTTAAAACCATAAGCCCATAAGACAAGGAACGTGGCTCATTAAAATGAATGATTTTCTCCTATTTTTACTTAATTCTCCACGAACTTGTCTTGGTGTCGCCTCCCCGTCCAATTTTGTTGCGGCTCAGCCTCACTACCAATTGCCAACATTGAATCCAACATTGAATCTAGCAAGCATCCAGCCAGTAAAGTAGCCAGTCAAGCCCATCTCCCCGGCACCTTTGTGTTTCCTGTGCCGCAGCGGCTTAACCTCGAGACTTGCTGCCTGCGATCCGGAGGTAATCAGTTTAATAAGTTGAAAAAGAAAATCGACCATTACACATTTCGTCAAGCGTGCGCCTGTGTATTTTTTTTTTTTTTTTTTTTTGGTATTTCTTTGCCTACCTATTTTACATAATTCGGGGCTGCTCTCCCTTTTTTTTCTTGTCTCTCTCCTACGTTCTTTTGATTATTATTTGTCATAGTCCAGTTGATCCAAAACCGAGCTATCGATACCATTCCCACCGGCATTTTCCTCAAATTAGCAGGAAAAAAACATAGACAATGATCTGAGAAGGGAACGAGGATAGAACCTGTACCATGTTACGACGGATTATCCGTCCCGCACGAAGACTGCCGCTCTGGCTGATACTTACTGTCGCTGGACCTTTCATTTTCGAAGTCGTCGTACACCAATGGCAATATAGCGTATCCCGGCCGACAAGCGAGCTCGACGCACCCTTTTTCACCTCGTGCCAGGAGCCCGACGTCAGCGCAAAGCGAGAAAATGCTGCCTTGGTAATGCTTGCGCGGAATAAAGAACTAGAGAAGGCCAACAGAACCGCCACTTCGATAGAACAACAATTCAACAGATGGTTCAACTACCCTTACGTCTTCCTAAACGACGAGGAATGGGACCCCAGGTTCATAGAGGTGTTAAATACGACGACCCGAGGACTAGCTACCTTTGATGTCATACCACAGGCGCAATGGACGTTCCCAGAAGGCGTAGATATAAACGCAGCAAAGCAAAATATTAAGGAGCAAGGAGAAAGGGGTATTCCACATGCTGGGGAAGAAGGATACCATCATATGTGCCGTTTTTATTCAGGGTAAGTTCTTTTCCATATAGGAAAAGAGAGGGGCGAACGCAGCTCTCGGCGCATTTGGAATAACAACTCCAACTGACAAACTTCCAAAGTAAATTCTATCAGCTCGATGTATTGAAGAAGTACAAATGGTACTGGCGGCTCGAACCGGACGTCGATTTTACCTGCGCGATTACGTACGATCCCTTTGTACAGATGGCACGACATAAAAAGGTTTATGGGTTTACAATCGCGTTGTGGGAGGTGGGCAAGTCTTGTCCGGGTCTATTCCGTTCGATCGCCGATTGGAAGGAGATGATGGGCATTCCTACTAGCAGTCTCTGGAAGTCTACGGTGTCGGCCTCATGGATGCCGTACCCGTTCCGGCGATTCATGAGTTGGCTACCGAATCGCGATGCGTATGGCGACGAGTGGAATTTGTGTCATTACTGGAGCAATTTCGAGATTGCTGATATGGAATTCTTCCGAACAAAGGCGTACCAAGATCTGTTTGATTATTTAGATAAGAAGGGCGGGTTTTACTTTGAGCGTGTAAGTGTCTTTTTTGGGTCATACTTGCGATGGGATACCCAATTGGAGATGGTCTAACAGTATTGCAGTGGGGTGATGCAGCGGTACACTCTCTCGCTATAGCATTGCTTGCAGACCCTCGGAAAGTACATCATTTCGAAGATTTCGGATACCGACACGCTCTTTTATACCAATGTCCGGCTAATGCACCAGGCGGACAACTCCCAGAGTCCGAGCTACTTGGAAGTGAAACGTGGGCAGCAGAGGAGGATAACGGCATCGGGTGCCGTTGCAATTGTCCGGGGCCGTCGCCGAGGAACTTCGGATCATTCTGCTTAAACAAGTTGAAGCAGCCAACCACCGTGAGACGGCCACGGTTCGCGCCATTTCTATAGTATAGAATAGCGTGGCGGCCGTCTACGGTCGGCGCTATCAGCATTCTGGTAGTTTGTATCTACCGTTATTACTTTCTCTCGAATTTCCAATGGTCTCTTAATCGCATTGGATGCGTAACCGGGAAGAGCATAGCCTTGGCGCTTGTGGTGCTTTTGGCGTACGTGTACTTATATCAAACCATCTCAGGGGGAAAAGAGACGGGGAAAACTGGATACCACAGAGCAACTGTTTTATAGGCCTACCGAACTATGGGCGGTCGCGTTACGCACGCACGAATAACGGAAGTGAAATGCGGAGAAATGCATTCATAGGTGATGAGGATTGAGTTGATAGAAGAAGGTTTAACATATAGCATATATTATACCCAGGTAGCCCAGCCATTCAGGAAATACACCAAGTGCTGTTCCAATAAATGGGCTTAAATAGAAATATTGAATCAAGCGCTTTTGGATAGTTGCCAATATTAACATGTAGACATTCATTATAAATATGTTTTTAATAATTATTCTATGTACTAACTCGCTGGTAGTCAATGACCTACTTAACCGTACTCAAGTTGGGTTAGGATAGGTACCTGTCTAACAAACAACGCTTCTAATGCAACTATGACGCCAGCACCTGGGCATATATTACCTGATATACAAGATCATACACTCCCATATTCTATACTTCATACTCCTTATCGCATAAAAAGCCTTATTCCATACCGTACCCCTTTTCTATTTAAACTCTTTAATAATAGGCCCCTCCTCTTCCTCACAGCCCCAAAAAAACATCCGCATCCTCGCCAGATGATGCTCGGGGCCTAGTCGTCATCCTGGTACTTCGGGCCGGGGACGTTATGGTTGTGGTAATCCGGGAGCGCGACGTCGCCGGCGTCGAAACCAGGCACGGACGTGTTGCGGATCCACTCGGTCTCGACGCGGAAGAATATCCACACCCATCGGCGGAACACCTCGAGCAGCTCGACCGCAAAGATGGACCCTTCCCAGTCGGCCATGCGGCCCAGGTGCGGGCTCAGCTTCAGGCTCCACGTGCACCGCAGCAGCAGGTCCGCCGCGACGACGGCGTAGTACAGCGCCGGCGGCCCGACGTGCAGGCGCCGGCGGAGGCCGAAGCCTTTGAGGTCCGGGGAGCTGCGCGCTTGGGGGTCGAAGAGCGCTAGGTCCCAGTCCTTGGCGACGTCCCAGTAGAAGCTGTACAGGGAGTTGACGGCGCAGGCGACGACCCAGGCGCGGTAGTAGGCGGCGGGCGGGGGCTGGCCGCCGGTGGAGCTGCGCTGCAGCGTGCTGAAGACGATGACGGGGAACGCGGTGAAGTACTTGAGCGCGTTGGCCAGGTGCTGGCCGCCCCAGCCCGAGGCGTCGGTGATGCGGCCGCGGCGCACGCGGCCGTACTCGATGAGGCACTGGCGCAGACGGATGAGCGAAGGGACGGCCATGATCAAGGGGACGGCGAAGGTCCCGCCGCAGTTGCGGTCCGGACGCGCGGTGGCGCTCGCGCCCGCCTCGGACCGGAAGAACATGCACAGCGCGACGAACAGGTCGGCCAGCACCTTGGCGTAGCTGGTCAGGACGTCGGCCAGCAGGATATCGCCGAACTTGCCGTCCTTGGCCTCGGCGAGCCCGCCGACGCAGATGCGGCGGAGGGTGGCGCGCAGGCGGGCGCGGCCGCCGTGGGACAGGGACTTGAAGAAGGGCGGGGCGAAGGCGAGGAGGCCGAGCAGCGCGGCGAGGTACAGGAGCGGGAGCCAGTCCCAAGCCAGGACGAGGTCCGGGTCGCGGCGGGTGAAAGCCCAGAAGACGAGGAGGGCGAAGGCTAGGAAGGCGGAGAGCACGGTGGCGAGGCGGTAGGTCGAAAGGTGGTGCGTCGGGTGGTGCGGCGACGACCTGCCCGGGTACCGGATCAGCGAGGGCACGTCGATGCCGCACAGGTACAGGTAGTGCAGGTTGATGCCCCAGGCCCAGACCGCTGTTTTATTTTGTTTGGGGAGTTAGTCCAGTCTTCGAATTGAGGTGGGAAATACGACGAGTATAGATAGGTGGATATAGAGATAGATATACGGGTAGATAGATATGTTGGTATATGGAGTCACGAACCTAGCACGATTATAAAAGCGACGCGATACGGTAAGGGAAAGGTCAAGCTGAGAGAGTCGAGCTCCGGCTCAACTGCTGGATCACCGTCCATGGCGCTGCTGCGAGCTCTGGTATCCTAGCATCGAGACCTTAATTGCGCGACGAAAGTCCACCCGGACGCGAACAAGTGTCGCCGTGATCGAATTGGTATGATCCCGTGGTTGTAAACGTATATTCTTTTTTTATAAAACGTGGAGTGTGGATAATTAATGGTGGTGAATAGGAAAACGATAGAATAATTCGTAACTTGCCAGATAAGAGATAATTGATTGGCTTTTTTGGGGAATTGAAATTAGCATATTGGCGACGTCACCTTAGTGCGGTTACAAGGTTACCTACAGGCTACATGGAGGCTGGTAGGTTAAAGCTGTTAGGTAAAACCATCGACGCACTCCGGGCACTGTGGATCCTTGCCGCGCTAGTGTTAAAGCAAGCCGAAACACCCTGGTCAAATTAGCTTGTGGTAAAGGCTAGAACGGTTATCCAATCGCCGAGGTTCAGCTAATAACTTGCAGGTGCATTCGCCACAGGTATTAACAGCTTCAATCAAACCTAACCTTTATTTTAAACTTTTACAGCTTCAACATTCTTTACTGCACACACACACTGAAAACGCACCTTTAATTAATAATAACCTTCGATTGATATGCCATCTCTCGTATAGTCTTTCAACACCACAATGGCAACCGAAACGGCGCCACCGCCCTCCAACATTCCTCCCACCTCCTCCTCCTCCTCATCACCACCATCACCACCATCATCATCGTCTCCATCCGCATCCACATCTACCACGACGACCACCACCTCCTCCTCTCCATACCCCTACGCCTTCGCCCCCGACATAATCCGCGCCCACCAGAAGGACGCCTACTTCCAGGGCCTCCTGACGAACCAGCTATCCGAGCTTCACCGACGGCTCCTCGGCGCCCGGTCCGCGCACGCCTGGGCCTCCGAGTCCCGCACCCTCGCCGACCTCCTGTACCTCTCCCTCACCACCCTCGTCGGCAACCGCACCCTCGGCGAGGAGTACTGCGGCCTCGTCCAGGTCGAGTCCCCCTCCGGCGCCCTCCCGTCCCTCCGCCGCCGCGCCGCCTACATCGCCGGCAGCATCCTCGCCCCCTACGCCCTCTCCCGCTTCCTGCCCAAGATCCGCGCCCGCATCCGCGCTCGGCTGCAGCGGAACTTGGGCCTCCAGCCCGGCGACGGTAACGGTACCGCGGAAGAGGTATCCGCCAAGCTGAAAACCCAAAAACACCAACACAGGAAGACGATATCCTGGTCGTACAAGCTCCAGGCCTACCTCCTCACCCACCTCACCTCGCTCACGTCCCCCTCGCACGTCCACGCCGTCAGCCTCGCCCTCTTCTACTTCGGTGGGTCGTACTACGAGCTGGCGAAGCGCCTCGCCGGGCTAAGATACGTCTTCACCCGCAAGGCGCCGTCGCCCGAGTCCTCCTCCGACCGCGCCGCCGGCTACGAGCTCCTCGGCGTCCTGCTGGCCGTGCAGATGGCCGTCCAGGCGTACCTGCACGTGCGCGCGGCGCTGGCCTCGGCCTCCGACGCGCCCGACACCGCCGCCGCCCTCGAGGCCACGTCCTCGAGCGTCGAGCGGCCGAGGTCCGGCGGGATCCTCGCCGTGTCCCTGGACAACAACGCGTACTCGTCGAACAATGAGCTCCTGCTCGCCACGGCGGCGGGTTCGGCCCAAGGGGGCGGCGCCGGCGGCACGAGAATCGACATCCTGGCCGCGACGCACACCCCGCCGCCCCCCGGCGGCCCGAGCAACCCCCGGTACGACCTGGCGGACGACAGGGGCATGCGCTGGATCAAGGGCACCCAGCAGCGCAAGTGCACGCTGTGCCTCGAGGAGCTCAAGGACCCGTCCGCCACGCCGTGCGGCCACGTCTTCTGCTGGGCCTGCATCGGCGATTGGGTTCGCGAGAAGCCCGAGTGTCCGCTGTGTCGGCGCGAGGCGCTGGTCCAGCATATCCTGCCGCTGCAGGCTGTTTGAGCTTCGTAGAAATACCTACCATACACTACACACATGATGCACGTAAATATATAATAATATACATACCTAAGGTACCTAGTTGAGACGAATTCCTATTTATTATGTTCATTGCCTGTGTTTGGAAGAGGATAAAAGTAATATGCATAGCATAGGATGGCAATAGATATACCGTGGCGAAAAGGGGAAGAAAAGAGAAGAAAAAATACTTAAAAATGACGTTCATATATTGCAGACAAGTAGATAGGTATGCTCTAGATGTGATCGGAAATCTCTAACAGCCCTTCGTCGTCTCCATCACCCCCCCTTTCTCTCTCTTATCGTCTCATCCCTCCCAACCACATTACCTGCGTTGCCCATACTCAAACATTTGAGAAAAACAAACAAAGGGAATATAACATATAAACCCCCCATTGAAAAAAAAACACGTACAAGTAATGATGACAAGCCGATAGATGGATGGATGATAAAACCAAGTCCGTGCCGCATACCGCATACCGCATACCGGGTGTCGCGCGATCCGCTCCGTCCCTGCTTAATACCCGCCCGACCTTAGGTATTTTTCCTTACACGACCTTACACGAACCTCGTCTATAATTTGAGGCTTCAAGACCAGCTTCAGAAGCAGCCAGGTTTTCCGTACAAAAGTTCCGTACAAAAGTAAACCGGTAGCACACCCCCCAAGATTGTCCGTTTCCTTCTTTTCCCCCCTCCCCTGATGCCCCCGCCCCCCCGTTCCGCACGTTAGGTATCACATTAATTCCCGATAAACAAAAAAGCAAACCACCAAGTCAGAACGCCATTTTACTTCTTTTCTTCTTCTTTTCTTTGGTTTCGTTTGGACAATGAACGCTCAGACTTCGACTGAGAACAATACAATTTCTCCGCGGTCGTTACGACGCATCCGTAACGATCGCCAGAGCTCCTTCTCCTCCGTGGACTTGCCCAAGCTGGTACCTGATTCCGATCGTTCGCGGTGGAATCTCTTGAGAGCCTTGTTCATGCTGCAGCCCTTTTCGCTATCTGGGCCCTTGTTGCATAGGCTTAGGAATAGGTCGGATCTCGGTCGGTAAAGGATCATCTGGCCCGATTCTCCGTCCTTCTCATCACCCGACTTTGTCTTGTATTCGATTAGCTTAGGAGCTTTTTCGGAACTCGATCGGTGATGTCTCGACTTCTTCTCCTTCTTTTCCTTGTCGGACGAATGCTTTCGCTTCTTAGTCTTTGAAGTACCCGACATGAAAGCCTTAAGTCCATCGCTAAACGAATCCCGGCTGGATTTAGGTTTGTGAGACTTGTGCTTCGACTTCCTGATCGTTGGCGACTTCTCGGCGCCATCACCTCCGGAGTAATCAGGCGATGGGGGAAATTGGGACGGGCGCATCATACGGTTCAGACCTCCAGTCAAACCTGTATGCAATACGGGCGGGGCATCAGTCATTACTTCGTCACCATGCGCCGCTCCTAGTGCTAAGGGTCCAGGAGTCTCTATATGTAGTTGCTTGCGTTTTTTGGTCTTCTTTTCGTCGGTATCTTTCGACTTCTTTCGGTGTAACTTAGGTACTGGTGTCTCGAGCGCGTTGGTGGTGACAGGCCCAGTTCCGTAATGGACCATCTCCCCTTTGTCTGCCATATATCCTGTCGAGTCTACATAATCTTCCGTGGGTTTCTCGAAGCGGACAAGCTGTCGACCTCCAGTGGGCGGTGCAGGGTTATTGTAGTATTGGAGGTTGACATTGGAAACAGTTGGTGTATCCAGAAAATCGAAGACATTCACGTTAGGGTCGTCCGCGGCCGCAGGGGGTGGAGTAGGCGCTTCTGGTGGAAGCATTTGTCCGTTTTGGTCCTCGTGAACTAGATATTGCCGGTAATCTTGATATTCTTCCGTTGCGTCCTCGACGTATGCGTTATGAGCCATGGTTTCGGTTCCGCCGTTAGATGCGACGCCGTTGAATTTTTGCTTCTTAGGTTTGTACAGGGCACCTTGGTATTTTTGTTCTTCGGTCATGCAACTCTAGCAGGAATAGAGGCATTAGGTCTTATTTAGTTCGTACGGGAGAGATAAGATTTGCGACTTACACTGTGCGCACGATATTCAGTTCCGGGAAAATGTACCATACAATCAATGCAGGTAAACGAAGCGCCGTAACAACGATTTCTGTGTGGGTCGAGCTTCTTTTTGGTTAAAACATCGCCACAAGCCTGTGGGTAGAAGATATCGAGTTAGAATGATATAAAATCCAATGCGAAAAGATAGTTGGTTTAAAAGATGCGATGAAGGGATACGAAGAATGCAATTGGTTTCAGGGGGGCGTGTGTTTTATCTGGTTGGAGGGGCAGATGGGGGTGGACGAGATCAGGAGATAGAGACGGAGAGGCGGTTCCCAATATTATGGGGTAAATATAAACAAGGGGGGTACGAGTAGGTGGGTGTGAAGGGGTGTGAAGGATGATGGATGGTCAATGCCCAGGTGATTTATTGGCTCTGTGTGGTGGGATGTCTGGTAGATGTATGGATATGTATGGTGATCAGGAGGGATGGCGAAAGAGATCTGAAGGGCTTGAAGGGGGGGCAGCGCAACGCGAAACGTCGTGTGTTGCTTGAAAGGGAAAGGGGACGAAAGGGAGTGCTGGAAGACACCAGAAAAGAAGGGCTGAGCGTGATGGGTAGTGATAGGCAAAGGGCCGTGATGTCAGGCACACAGGCAAAACTTGGTGGTCATTTGGGTCCTTTGGAGCCTTTGGGGGCGCCTGGGAAGGGGGGTTTAAAATGATGGAATTGGTAATATTACCTCACACGAGAAGGAAACCATGTTTCTAACTGGTTGAACTGGCCTAACTGGTCTAGAATCGATGTGCTGTCGGATATGTAAGATGCTGATTGGCGCGCAGCTGCACGATTTCGTGCGCGTAGCTTCGCTGTGAGTGGTCGGGTGTTAAATTTGTTGATATTTTCTGTTTTGCTTCTTATTTTTCTTAGCGACTGCAGATGCAAAGCAAAAGAAGGCAGTGCAATGTAAGTAAGATAACTGCAAAATAGCAGAATGGGCGAAATCGGATCGAGAATCCAACGCTGATAGGACCAAGAGACAACAAGGCCAAGAGAGAGAAAACCCGGGCAATCAGACTGTGGAATTCCAGACTCGGGAACGATATAGTAATAACGATAGACGGCGCGTTCCTTTGCCCGTCTGGCCCGTATGACAGGATTACTATGGATTTTGTATGGATTGTAATGTCTCCCCGGTTTCAAGGTGCCACACTCCCCGTTGGAACAACAACGCTTCCAAGTATTTTTTGTCTTATTTGTCCTTCACCAAGTCGTACAATCGGGGACAATCAAGTATCACTATTCTGTTCTCTTCTTAGATAACGATGGTAGATACCCTCGTACCAGCAAAGAAAACTGGACGCGCGTTGTTCAGATTCTCTGACGACTAACAACCCCAAAGCTCCAATCGGGGGGCCGAAAGTAATATTATTAGAACAGCGGGCGATCTCGTCCGGGGTAACAATTTGCAAAGCTGACCTATGAGAGAGGATCGCGGGAAAGGAATTAAAAGGAACTAGAGGGCGGAGTTGATCAGGAGCAAGAATTGGAGTATACCGAGTTTAAGAGAGAAAAAAAATCCCAACAAGAATTTTTATCTTGCGACCCGACAATGGGGGTTTCCAGATTCTCGTGACGATGAAAAATTTTAAGAGGACCTCGGGTGTGCAAATGTGCAAGTGTGCAAGTGTGTAATGCAAAAATTACATTGAAGTTTTTTGCGTTGGGCGCCGTTGCGTTATGCGGTGCGGGTCTTCTTAATCGGGGAGTCAGTCCGCAGTCGGTTACCGAAGCGGGGCAGCTGTCAACAGGCGCTACAGCTGCGATAATGTTCAGGTGTTGCTAGGATAATCTTTAGCATTGGGAAGTAACGAACATGTTGATTCGCTATACCACGGCCAAGCAACGCTTACGGATAGGTAGCATACCTACCTCATAGTACAGCATTAGGTACATGCAACTAAGGTAAGGTACCTATTCCCCGGGGATACCTTGGATGCCTTACGTGCATACAAACATTAGGTACAGACATACATCATACATACATCCCTAGGTACCCAATGTTATTTACCCAAAGGCAGGACATTACCTCATGTTGGTACTACCTCAGGGTTAGTACCTAGGTAGGTATCAGGTATTAATTGAAGTACCTATTAAGCATTGATGCTTATTCTAGAATTAACATGTAACAGAGTAGAGCCGACATACGCATAACGTTCGTCATTTGCGAGGGCTTCACGCATGTAACCATACGAACAAGGTAGGTCGATAAGTTGACCCATGCTTTTTGGTATTGTTCTAAGGGACAAGATACCTATTTTTACTATGTAAGTTGGTAGTTGGTAGGATTTAAGAATAGCCGACTCTCATACTGATACTACCTACTAACTAACAACCTAGGTTACTTGTAAACAGGTACGCAAAGATAGGTCAGGAACGGGACGGCATTGGAAAAGTTACCTAATCAACCAATAGTGGTTCGACTTAGCGTCTTCTGTTTCTATCCAAAACCGTCGCGGCCGCTAAACAATTTAAGGAAGGCAAGTTTCAACGTTATGATTCTATAATTATTCGGTCTCGTGATCAATGTAGATCACGAATCCCTTATGCAGCAATACTTTTTTATATAGTACGAGAACATCAATTCCCTAGATATAATTGCATACCTACCTAAGTTACTTTTTTCCAATAAAACTGAATTGCCCTACCAATGGCTTATAAAAGGTATATTGACAAGCCAAGCGGTGAAAGAAGGAAGATAGAAATGATCCATCGGCCCAGACTCATCGGCCCAGACTTAGAAATATCGGTAATTACGTGAGATACCTTACACGAGTTTTGTGATCATAAGACCGCCTGGTTTAAAAAAAGACGATAAGAGAAAGGCGAAGGCAGCAGTTTTCAAAGCGGTGATGGACCGCCTCAAAAGTCTAAAAAACTCCTAAAAGCTCCTAAAGACTCAATGGTTAGGTAAGGTCTAGGTAAGATATAGTTAGCATGTAACGATGTATTTTCGGATTTCGAAGCTAGCGAAACCTTGCCAGGTTTAGTTGCGGTTTAGCTACGGTTTAGCCACCCAGCTACCCTAAATCTATGCTCTGAGCCCTGCTAACCCTGCTCTGTGCCTCCCCCGGAGACAAGCTTTGACCGTGGTTCGTGGGTGTTTGAGATTTCTCTAACCGATTAAAATCAGCCAAAAAGTCTTTTCAAAACCTTAGGTACCAAAAGAACTAACCAAAATACCCCCTGCCCGATATTCCCATCATCAATTCCCAAAGGTCCCAAATTCCGCAAGTCGAAGACCCTCCGCTCCACAACGATCGTACACGAGCCCTCCCTAGGTCCCTACTTTTGTGCGTTTCATGTATTCTGGCCAATACCGTACATAATAGTTTAAGCAGTTATTTCATATCTTTTCTTCCTTCTTCTCTCTCTCTCTTTTCCCCTTGATGAAAAAAAGAAAAAAGTAGAAAAATAGAAAAAGTCCGGGCTGCTTTAGTTAGGCCATGTCTCCTCCCGGAGCATCATCGTCACATCTGAGCTATCTGGAGCAGGCCGTCTCGCTCCTCTATACCGTGGCCGCTTATATGCGTTTGCCAGCTTTAGCCTCCACGGTATGCCTTCACGCTCATCTTCATTCCAGTCTTCGGCATCCACCTCGTCTACCTCCAAGTTCGTCCGGGCATGTCGAAACACACAGAGCGCCATTGCCAAACAGTGCCGAGCCGCAGCCGAGCTAACAAATGTCACTCAGGGTGTCGCCGCCGTCCTAACTACCCTATTATACTTCAAGCAAAAGTGAGCAAACCCGGTGCTCTGTCATTGTTTGTTAAGAGAAAGCTAATCATCCTAACTCACCCCTCCCCCTTACAGAGCCCTGATCTACCCGTCTCACATGCCCCAGAATGCTCGAACTAATGTACCTCGACCTTCGCAATTTGGTATCAAGGATTTCGAGGAATTGGTAATACCTACTAACGATGGCGAGAAACTGTCGGCGTTTTATATACGCGGCCCAAAAGGCGGCCGTCATTCCAAATGTACTATTTTAATGTTCCATGGCAATGCTGGCAACATCGGACATCGATTGCCCATAGCCCGCATGCTCATCAACTACATCGGCTGTAATGTCTTTATGCTGGAGTATCGGGGTTATGGCTTGTCAACCGGAGAGCCGGATGAGAAAGGAATTACCATCGACGCCCAGACCGCCTTAGACTATCTACGAAATCGAGCCGAAACAAGCACCCATAAGCTTGTTATTTACGGGCAGAGTTTAGGAGGCGCCGTCAGTATCAAATTGGTAGCGAAAAACCAACATGCGGGAGACATAGTTGGCTTGATATTGGAGAACACATTTCTCTCCATGCGATCGTTGATTCCATCCGTTATACCGCCGGCGAAGTATTTGACCATGCTGTGTCACCAAGTCTGGCCAAGCGAGTCCATTCTGCCGTCCATAACAGAAGTTCCTATCTTATTTTTAAGTGGTCTCCAAGACGAGATCGTCCCGTAAGTTAACCCTATTCATATTGTCACACTTCGTATAAGAAAGAGAGAAAAAAACCACCAAATGATGATCTAAAACAACCATCCACAAAACCTGAGCTCCCTTCCGAGCGCGGATTAAAAATATTGTTCCTGATAATACAGCCACTCCACGCGGCAGACTTGGCATGTCTCAGTTGAAGAGCTCAGCTGATTTGTTGGCTAACGTCACATGTCTCCAGACCGTCCCACATGAGGAAGCTATACGAATTAGCTACTACACCCACCAAGATATGGAAGCCGTTGCCGGGTGGTGACCATAATTCCAGCGTATTAGAGGAGGGATACTTCGAGGCTATATCGGATTTCGTGTCCAACAACGCCGGTGAGGCGAAATCATAATAAATAATTAATTACGACAGATGATGCATCAATCAATAACTTCCGGACGATCAGCCAAGGTTTATTAGGTATTTGGTTTTTTCCGTCGAAAACCAATATATTCCTTTTTCATCGTTTATACCTTGAGATACCCACCCCCCTACCTTCACGTCAGACTACGTGATGAGGTCTAAGCCTATAAGATATAGAATATAGCACGTTGATATTCCTTACGCATGACGGGCGAGTAGTGTTTTTTTGGGTCATCTGGAATTGGTAAATGAAATGCGTCAATGCGGATTAAATGATAGAACATCTCGTAAGGCCTTTAATGATTTGTGTTCCGGAGATGGAAGCGACCCAGATTTCGCAGGATTCCGTCAGCAAAACAAACAAACAAAAAATCCTGCGGCTAAATGCTGAGAGTTCTCGTCGTCTCTGTGCGCTTATCGGATCCAAGCTCGAGGTTATGCAAAGTTCGTCCTTACACCACATACGTGTCACCTATCAGCGAGGCTTAATCCGAGCTGAAGAAGTCGCATCGATTCGCCGTCGCCGGTTGTTGTCCCACCCTTTGAACCTTTGAACATTTATTAACGTTCTCGATCTTGTTTCCGCGCAGCCCTACCTATAGCCCTACATGTAATGCAAGAGGCTACGAAGCCTTCGCAGCCTACCTTATATTCGACATCTGCACAGTGCGGCTTGGCGGAGCAGGCTAATGGAAGCCAGTTGTTCTTGTAGCTAAGCTGTTCGTGAGAACCGCCCGGCTCCGAATTGAGTTGAGTCCGTAGAAGCTAAGAGGGGGGGTAAAGACCCGATTCGATACCTATTATATGATATTGCGCTTATGGTATTACAACTCGTAGCCAGTTATTTTTATCATTGATAGGTAGGTAGAGAAAGGAACGTAGCCCAACCCAGTGAGTCATTCCCACGCGACTGGTGTAGAGAGCTGAGCTGAGCTCGAACATACCTACCTACCTAGACTATCGCATGTCCTAAGGCTTGCATAGCTGGCTCCTCGTCAGCTTAGCAACACTGAGTTCCGCCCGACTTATTTCGTCCAACGGAGCTGTCATCTTGGACATTAATTGGGCTTCGTTTTAACGCAGGCGCATGTCATGTAGGTAGGTACCTAACCTATTGTATGTGTTGCCAACGCGACGGAATCCTTAGGAGCGCGGCTATGTGAGTCAGTGTTGTCCGAGAGGAGATATCGGCTATCTAGGTCGGTAGGTAAGGCTAGGGGGGTAGTTCTAACATACTCGCTTCTGACGGAGGGGGTAGAAGTATTGGGTTTAGGTATGTTCTATGTGACCTTCGGTCGTTTTGAGGCTTTGCATTTGAAACTTATATAGGAATGTGGCCTTGTGATACGAGTTTTACTATATAATATAGAGCCCATCATGTTAGCATGGTTTAGGCAGAGTTCTAGTATATGATGCAACCTCGAAGCAGTTTCACTTCCCAGTTCATCCTCTTTATCCTTATCCAGCCCTACGCTCGTATGCAGATCTCGGTTTCAGGTGAGAAGCGAATACTAAGGCCCAGATTGAGTCAAACACCCGATATTTGAAATCTTCAAGTGATTCTCCGCAAATTCCTGGACCCTGAAGAAAAAAAAAACCATCCAACTTAGTTACCTACAACGAGCGTATAAGGCAATGACACGGGTTCAGCTGAGAACTATGGTATTAGGTAGATTCGATTAGTTAATCGAAAAGCTATAAGCTCTCTTTAGAATTCAATGCTATGTTACAGTCCTCCAGCTTCGAATATAGGTAGGTATTTATCAAGTGGTGCATATCTCATATTCAACCTCACCCTTAGGTAGTTATACGTTAGGTACCTAGGTAGGTACGCTGTTCATATTAGTTAATCGTAACTTGTACACGCTTAACGGATGTTCAACATGTCACCTTAGAGGTAGTAACCCTACATCTAACCCAAACCACTCGATGAAGCAAATGAAAATGACATTCCCTCCGTAGAAGAGGTATCTAAGAGCCCAGCATTCCCAACCGCGATACGCAAATTCCAACCGCATCAGCACGGCCTCCTGCCCGTCGCCGCCAACAGACGCGGGCCCCTGAATATCAGCTAGGAGATCCAACGGCGAGGGACCTGTCAAGCTAGCTTATCGTAAGCCTGTCCCCCTTACTTTTCTCCCCGTCTCCATTCCCAAACCATCGCCCTTTCCATTAAGTAAATGAAAACAGCACCAGATCTAATATGAAGCGGCTTATCGGTGGTATCAGCCTGGCAAAAGCAGACTGGCAGCAGCAGACCTTTCGGGCGGGAGCAGTACGTGACTTCCCCCTACGTTCCGTCGCCTCTCCTTATTATCCTATTATTGGTTTATCATGTTAAACCTCTCCCTTTCTAGCTTGGGCCGCATCGGCGCGTTGTTCCCGCGCGGTCTCGAGAGCGAAATCCAGTCCACAGCACCAGGCTGCTTTCCCAAAGCATGGCTCTCAGCCCCGGACGAGGCCGAAGTGCGAAGTGCCCGCCGCCGGATACGCGAGGTTTGGAAGCAACTACGCGCGGCTCGCGGTGCAGGAGATGCGCATGGGGCGGAGCAAGAACGGGTTCCTGCTGCAAGCGGTCGCGGGCGCGGTTCGTCGGAAGAGCCCGGAGCAGCTGAGGGATATGGCGGAGCGCGTTGGGAGGGAGAGGATTATGGTCTTGCATGGGACAGCGGATAGGATGATTCCGGTGGGTCATAGTAGGAAGTTGATTGAGTATATTAACCCCGGGAAGGCCCTGGTTAAAGAAGGGTTGGGACACACGCCGATTCAACAGACTACGAGGTGGTTCAATGAGTTATTGGAGGAGAGAGATGTGCCCTTGGTGAGAGGTTGAGTGAGAGGTGAGGAGGAGTCTATTTTGGTACAATGATGTAGATATGCTGGTGATGTCGATATATAATAGCAGTATCTCTAACTCATGTTAAATGTAGGAAACTTGTTATATTCACTATCAGACAATAGGCACTAAGTGTGAGTTGTTGTGGCGACTCCTATCCGCACATACCTGACCTGGTGAAAGGCCATATACCACAATAACAAACAATCTCCAAGCCGGGTTGGGCTGTTGGTGAGGTCGCCTGAGGGCAGTAACCTGATGTTCCTAGTTGGCTCTATGGGATAATTGCGGTCATTACGCAGTCGAGGAAAACGTGTACCTTACAATGTAGGTACACGAGGAGTCTTGCGGAAGACTGAGTCACAATCAAGAGCGATCAACGCCAGTGTTCAACAGGTTACTGCGAGGGAGAAGCTGGTTCGAATCCAGCACCTGGTAATAAATTCTTTTTTCAAAAAAAAAATCTTTTCTTTTTCAATTAATCAATCATGTTTACTTCTTTCCAGAGGTAACCCCCCAACCCCCCCTTTTTTTCATCAGGTCTATTCATCAATAATCACTCCCCTATTCTTGGCACGCACCATCAACGCCGGCTTATGCCACAAGGACGAGAGCATCCGAGACTCGCCGTGCCAGTCTAATGTTGGGTCGACGAGTTGTAAATCGTACGTCCAGAGGAGCTTGGTAAGTGTAGTCCGCAGCTCCAACCACGCCAAATTCCTACCAATACATCCTCTTGGACCTACCGACCACGGTTGGCTACACTCTAAGCTGTCGCTCCCGTTGGGCTCTAACCAGCGCTCTGGCTTAAACGACCACGGGTCTTCGAAGTTTGCTGGGGTCATACAGGATGAAAGGGGACTCGTATACACAGTGGTCTGTGATGATGAAGTTAGCTAACTTTCCTTGGGTGTTACCTGATGGAGATTGATGTGGAGGAGGTAGATGGTGCTAACTTACCCCTCCAGGAAGAGGGCAACCATCAACTACGTCTCCGTTATCCGGAACGAGACGAGGCAGCCCCATCGGTGTTGGCGGATACATACGCAACCCCTCCAGGATGACCGCGCGAAGGTACGGCATAGACGCGGTGGAAATATGAGATATATCCGAGTACTTAGCAAATGTGCTCCGGATCTCGTCTGTCAGCTTGGCCATGCTATACGTGTTTTGCAGAAGGTAGTAGACGATGGCAGCCAGACTCGATGCGGTGGTGTCGCTTCCAGCGACGACGAAGTCCGAGGCGTGCGCGGCGATTTGCCGGTCTGAGACTCTCCCAGGATCTCTGTTCTCGAGGATCCGAGTTAAGAAGTCTTTGCGGTCTGTTTTTCTTGTGATTCGCCTTATTTCAAGTTAGTGAGTAGTAAGAAACGGATGTGTTGAATCAAGGTCTCATCTCGCATACCTTTTGACAAGGTCGTAGCATAGTCGCTCGTTGGTTTTCACGCCTTCTACAGCTTTCTTAAGCTTGGAGCGGAAGAGCACGCGAAGAATTGCCCCGATGGTAGGGTAGCGGTTGAAAATATCTACGAACACGCCTTGCCTAAGGCCGTCCAGAGTTATAGATATCCAGGGATGTCGCTCATCTAGCTTAGTATTAGCTAACTGCCTTTCCAGCAAAACATGATTAGAGTGAAAATAGGGGATTTAAACTTACCGTTATCCAGCGCACCGAAGGTCTCCCCGAAAGCGAGATCGCCGGTGATATCAAAAGTCATCGATTCGAACAACGTCGAAACGTCAACCCCCTTTTCCATGGAACCTTTAATTCCAACCAGTCGTACGAGCTTGTCAACAGAGGTAGCAATAAGCGACTCTTGCTCCACGATGGCGCGGTCGGAAAATGCGCCGGCTAGAGTATTTCGCATCTCCTTGTGAACTTCGGGTCTTCTCTCACTTATAATCGAGCTGATTCCATTCCCGGCGAAGTTGCCGCCGTCGTAGAAAGTCCCCTTTATGAAGATTTGCCGACCAGGCTTCTGGCCGTAGATGTCCTTCCATGATTGGGCGGTATTGAAGGAGACCTCGTTTGGTGCAACGCGAACAACGTGACCTATATAACAACATATCAGTCCCATTGGACTCTGAACTCGTATACTTAAATCTGGTTAACATACCATATCTATTATGTAGTTCAAGTAGTTTGTAAGGTTGACGACCTCCGAGCATCCATGAGCAGTACGGTATCTGTGATATTCATAAGTCTTGAGTATATGATACCTATCTCGCTACCAAGATGGTGGCTGAACTTACATCGCTAATAGCGGCGACCCAGGGACCTGGGATCTTAGACAGAGGATGGAAGTAGAGGTTGTATATTATCTGATATACCCAATAGCCGGTAATCTGTTGATGTTAGTTCAGACTATAAGGTTTGAGGATAGGTAGGTTCGTTACAATCAGAGCAAGCGGTATGAGTCCAGCCCGAACGAATTCGGTGAACGTTGTCCGACCTTGTAAAAGTTCCATTGCTGAAGAATGTGGTGTTTGTAGTCTTCCCACCCCTTTCGTGGGTTACACTATCTTTATATATGGAATAAGTGTACCTAATATATCAACCAGGTAGCTGGTATCCTTGTCTTAAACCGCGAGGATAATGGGAATTCGGGTCCAAGCCATGCATTGTTATATCTACAGGGTCCTTAATATAGGTTCAATATGACGCCTTGCTGTCTAGGTTAGCCCTACTCACTTTAATAGGGCATACCGCCGAGTTACACATCATTGCTTTCTTCACACACATGACGATATAGGCGCTACAAGCGATACAGACGATACAAACTCGACGATGTCATCTCTCATACCATAAAATCCAGCCCACTATCATGTATGTCAGATTCGTTCGAGCGGACCCACGGCTAACTAGGCCAATGAGGTTATCGAGAGTAAACTAGAAGAGGAAGCCATCACACACCCCGCCAATAGAGCCAATAGAAGAGAGACAAAAGAGTTTTGTGTAACGACGACAAGTCTAAAAGATCATGTAAGACAATATATCGATGGCGTTTCTTCTTCTAGTTGACCAGCCAATCGATTGCTACCTAACTTAGATTGACTAGATAGATCGAAGTGTGAGAAGTGCCGACCCGAACAAGAGACACATCACGTCGTCCCTTGTACCTTCAAAGCAGCTGCAAGCATATTCCTTGCAGAAAACCCTAGAGAAATCAAGAGAGTGCCGTTCTGGTGTAGCATCGTGGCTGCGTAGCATAGTCGGATTTGCAATGTGTGAGTGGTAGTAATACCACTCATTATCAGATAGACTGTAATAGCAATTGTGGTATTAAGAAATACACTTTTGGCTCAGCGGTGCGTCTTTGACACAATAGTAATAGAGGAAGACACTAGATCTTCTAAATCGCGAAGCCGAAGTTTTCCAGTTTTCCTCTAATAAATGCCACAATGTCGTTCCTAGAGACCAGACCAAACCAGATCAAATCAGACTGCCTGTAAAGTCAGGAACACCCTAACGTTATTATCTATTTAAGTATTACGAGGCAGAGAGCAGCTTAATTGCGAGACAAAAGAAAATCCATTAAGAAAGGAGCTTTGCCCATTTTTTCCGCAACGAATTCCTACCTAGGTAAACTTAAGGGATTAGACTATTGTATGACCAGCTTGTAAGAGCAGGGGTCGGCGACGTCCGTCCAAAATTTGGGCGCAAATCGCGTCTGTGTGTCTTCACTTAAGGTATCCGACCGCAACGTGTTTCTCCACTAAAACTTGGACGCATAAAGTAATCTATGAATGCAAATATATAGGAAGGTCAAGTAGCCAGCCTGAGATCTATATAGGTAGTAGGAGAAAGCGAAAGCGAAGGGGAAAGGGGGAAGGGGAGGGAGGGGGGTGCCCAGACTCCCAGACTCGCGCCCGCGTAATAACGCAAATGCGAGATTCAACTTGTTCGCATAACATGGTATTGCGCAAGAAACGAGTTACATGTACAGAAAACTACCGAAAGCCCAAGAACTTGTTTGTCTTGGGTGTACCACGAGGTGTTTTCGGTGTAAGAATTGGCCGTTCGAACATTGCTTATTGGTTCGGCCTCAGGCGCTATCATGCATATAATCAACACGATGATTGGGCTACGTCACCGGATTCGCGCCATGCATGTGCGATTGGAGTCCTGAGAGGTAACGCAACTCGCATCGAACCAGCCTAATTTTCGTTTGGCCTCAGAGTCTTATCCGATCACACATTGGCCTAAAAACCAAGAAACAAGAGCAAGAACAAGAACATGTCATGACCCTCATACCATCGCATATAAACCCCCTTCGCAAACTCTAGCCACGGTCAGATTCTCCCCCCTTTCTTTCCTTTTCGCTAAGCATTTCGAAGGAGAGGGGGGAGTCGAAGATATCTCTCCTCGCCCTTCGTACGAGTAAGTCACCCCTCCCCCTCTTTCCTTGTGCCCTTAACATTTTCTCCTCTATCTTTGGCACGACAACAACTAATAACGTTTTGTTTTTCCACAGCTTGCGCTAAACTTAACCGACTGTTACAATAACCAACTGTGACTCCCGAGGGAGGGCAAAGTCTGTCCTCCCTCGTCACTAATTTCGGAACGATGCAGCAGTAGTCAGGCAAATGAAGGCTCCGACGGAAGTCCGCCGGAGGTTGGTCTCGAGGGCGCTTTTATTGGACTGGAAGTGTCTCCTGACCTCTTCGAATTTCCCGGAGCCTTTGATGTTCTCGATTACTATACGGGAGGGGATCCTGGAGAGGGGATCCCTGGAGGAGATGCTCCAGACGGACCTCTGGAGGGGAGTGGAGGTGGGAGTCGTGGAGAAGAAGCGGAGGATGCGTGGTTGGGTGTGCCGATGCCTGGTCAATTCCCAATTTCCAACTGGTTGGCGATTGACGTCAACAACGACACTCGTAATGAAACATGTGGCGATGCTGGGTATGGCTGTTCCCCCGAGCAGTCTCTAAATGCCCAGCTTGCCAACTTCAACCAATACGATCTGGGCCTTGGCCCAAATACGGAGTCAGATTTTGACCCCTGGTCACTGAAGTTCGACTCAAATATAGGATCGGATTTCGACCCGTCGTCACTAAACTTCAGCCCCCCTACCGGGCAGCCCCCCATATCAATAGAGGAGCAGAGTGGACTGTCCACGGGCGCGCGTTCAGAAAAGGGCTCAAATGAACATCTTACGAGACCGGATTTCGTGTGCGGTATATGTGACGTCCCCTTCTCTTCACAGGGCAAGTTAAAGTAAGTCAATCGATCTCTAGCAAGGAAAAGAAAATGGGACTAACTAACCACTGCGCAGTACACATAATAGACGTCACGACAAGAGGCATCGCTGCAATCAATGCGATTGGCGATTCCCAGAAGCACGAGACCTACGCCGCCACGTACAGTCGGTGCACCAGCAGGAGCAGGAGCAATGCCCGCAGTGCGGGAAGACGTTGAAACGACGGGGTGATAACTTGCGGCGGCATATGTCGCGTTATTGCAAAAATAAGAATATGATTGAATAAGGAATTCAAGGTGGGATTGGATTGGATCGGATCGACCAGTTTCGCAGAGGCACACCAGACGACGAAGAAAGAGACGGGAAAAAAAAAAAAAAACAATGGCAGGGGATGAGCGCTCCATTCAAAAGATACTTGTATAAAAAACATAAAATACTCTCAGGTAACCGTGTGAGCCCCGATCGACGTGATGATGTATTGTATTACAATACATCATCACGTCGATCGGGGACATGGTTCAGTCCAGCCTGGAGAGGGATTCCTTTATGTTATAACAAGAAACGGTACATATATATATACCTACGGTATATATTTACCTACCCATTCCCTTAGGCATGTCACTCACCGATGGGGAATGGGTAGGTAAATACATACACATACAGTTACCGCTGTTTTAACCTGGATGGGAGGCGCGAACCGATTAATGAAAACAATTCCCTTGCCATACATATGTGCTTCTACTATATATGTGCTCCGTCGATGTTGACCACCTGACCAAATACGTAGCTGGTGCTACTCTACTGCAGTGTAATGTTACCTCTGCCTGTAAAAGTGACTCCGAAATCATACCTTGCTGGAACCCCATTCATCCAATCAAGGTACCTAATGTACCTATCCAAGAAGTCCGATTTTCATGCATGTTAGTAGGTACCGGTACCTATCTGAATTACAACCCGTCCGCTCTCTACGGGTATACCCTACCAGCCAGCCTAAACGTAGACGGGTCCGCCGTATCGACAGCGTATTCCCAGACCTGATCATCCGCTATCCCGTAGAACGTCGCGTCCGTCGTCATCGCGATCGCAGAGAAATTCGTCGCCTCCCCGTCGGCAAAGTCGATCCGCGGTATCGCGTCGTACGCCGTCCTCCCGTCCCACCGAGCCCCCTTAACCCCGCCGTCCGTCGACAGCGCGACGAACAGCGCTTCCGTCCAGTTGTTCATCGCCGTGGCGGCGAACTGCCGCGTCGTTAACGGGTCCACGTCGTTTAAGATCGTCCCGTCTGGTTGGTTATGTAAACACGGTCAGTGGTTCAACTTTCAAACTGACTGTTTGTTATGCAAACAAGCAAAAAAAAAAAAAAAAAAAAAAAAAAATCTTACCGTCTTCCTTCCAGTTCCAATCCCCGATAAACGTCGTCTTCCCAATCGAGCTCGGCCTCCGCTGGGACGCGAGCGTCAGCCCGTGCACGTACGTGCCCATGAGCGACGGCAGGAGGGCCAAGCTCGCGGTCCCCGAGACCGCGCTGGCGCTGACCACGGGCTCCGTGTTATTATCCCAATTGCTCGCGTTGGTGATCCGGATGTAGCCCTCCCGCCCCTGGTACGCGAGGATCCAGTCGCCGACGCAGTTGTCCGCGGGACACCGCTGCCAGGCGACCGCGAGCTGGGTGCGGTTCCAGGTGCGCAGCACCGACGGGCTGAACGTCCAGTAGTCCGGGTTGCCGACCGGGTCGTTCGCGTTCAGCCAGCTGACCGTCGGGTCCGGGTCCTGGTCGGCCGAGGCCTCGGAGAACCACACGTGCACCTCGTACAGCGAGCCCCAGCGGCTGTCGGCCGCCGCGCACGCCAGGGCCGTGCCGGGGAGCGGGCGGATCGCGCCGTGCGTCGACGGCGCCATCAGCCGGCTGAGGTTCCTCGTCGTCCACGTCCGGTTCTCCGAGTCCCACTGCCGGCTGATGAGGGAGCTGTGCGGGTCCTGGAAGAACACGTGCCTGTGGACGTTGCCCCGCGCGTCGGTGAAGTTGGACGCGGTGAGCTTCGACGTGCTGAGGACGTTGACGTTCTCCGCCGGATCCTCGCCCGACGACGGCGAACCGGAGCTGCGGCTCCGGCTCGATAAGCCGCCCGCAACACCGCCGGCGATGACCGCGATTATTATTAATATGACGACCGCTAGGACGATCTTAAATGTACTTGGTGATAAGCCGCATCTCCTTTTCTTCGCGTTACCGTCGTTATATTCCTCCCGGGCGACTGTCGCCTCCGCGTCGACACCGCTTGCTTCCGGCTTCGGGGCATTATCCCACGCGTTGAGCGTCGATACAGGCTGCGGGTATTGACTCTCCGGATGAGGCACCGCTTCCTTGTTCGAGTCGTGAAGGCCGTGAATATTCCAGGACTCTACGCCTTGCACTTCGAGAGTGCTGTAAGGTTCGGGGCCGCCATAGTGATTGCCTACCGATGCCATTGAGACATAGCTACTTCATACAGTAGCCGGGTACGGGTGTGCGTGTGTGTGTTGAATGAAGGAGATGAGAACTTCCAAACACGGCCCCGTAAGGCGAGAGAGAGAGAGTTTTCCTCTCCGCATTTTCTAAAGGGGACGTGGGTGTCTGGAAAAACGATCGACATTCAGTAGCGTACTTGCCTTTCGCCATCCTTAGTTTCCATAGTTTCTCACTCTGTATCATCCCTACTGCGCTCCCTGACGTATAGGTGAGATTTTGGATTCAGCTTGGCAGCGAAGCTTACTCTTAATTGGTAAAAGCAAGTGCTCGAAGACCCGGTAAATAAGAGACATGTACTATATAGTAGACTAAGGATGAAGATCATGCTTCACGTGTAGCAAGTGTTACCGTAAGTGGCTCACAAAACTTATGGAGCTCCGGTACATAGTATATGGCAGCCTATTCTCATTGGGCAATGTTATTCGCCATCTAAGGGTCACATAAGCCCCAGTGAGCCCATATCAGCTATATCTAAAGTTGGCTGTGCCATCCTTTCGTCGTTTCCGCTCGGCATGTAGCCCGGGTATCCAAGCATCTTACTCTCGGTCCTTCGAGGTGTGGACCATCTTAGACGTGCATGCCGATCCTCATAAGAACATGAACGAATCACTACGTGCTATTACACAGGGCTGAAGTTTTTTTTTTTTCTCTTTTTCTTTCCTCTCTTTTCAGCTCCGGCATTGTCAGCATTCCTCTACGCCTGTCTTTGGTTTCTATGCTTCTCGAAGTTTTCGCCAATCTGCTGCGCATTGAATTATTTATATTTGGATAGATTGGTGTGGTTGCTTTTCGGGATCGGGTACTCCGTAGTTTCACAAGATCGTCGGATTCATAAAGGCCTTATCACGTTCTATGATTAGAGTTCAGGTTTAATTATTATATGTCCTCAAGTGCGAATTTGCTATCATACATTACCATATTCAGATATAATTTTTAAGGTGGTATGTTTTGAGCCTTCCGAGGCTTTCATTTGTTGATACAAGTGGGAAAAGAGGTACTGTAGCAAGTTCACACTTGAGGACATAATAAACTTTAAGATTTCACCACAACTTCTTATAGACATTGGAACCATTGGTAACGTTGGCGAGCCGCTTGCCGCGGGGTAAATTTCCAAGTGTTCTTGTTCTTGTACGCACATGTCGTCCCCACGACTCATGTACTAGAAGTTATGACTGTCTTATCATACTACTGTGTAAATAGCGCTATTTACCTAATTTACATTCATACTACCTCTATTGCTTAAATACCGAAACGCACCCATGGACCTAATTATTGAAATTCACTTAGGATATAAAATGAAAGCGTTGACGAAATAAATTACCTGATTAGCCGCGCGGAAGAATGTTGACAGATACACCGCTGAGCCAAAAGTGTAGGTATTTCTTGAGAGCACAATTGTCTATCTGACCTATGAGTGGTATTACCACTCACAAATGTAATCCATGTGTATGAAGGGGAGAGACTTTGAAATGTCTAAAGATTACACATCATAATCAACCTTGTCCCACTTAAGTCACTTATATTCATCTTCAAAAGTCAGGACATTTAACCAGTGGACGGCACTAATATTCTGAACGTAGTTGGGTAAATTTTTAGCTATTGAACCGTAGTGTCTTTTTTTTTTTCCTTTGGTAATTTCACTATAGGTAATAACTTAATGAGCGTATGCGGGCCGGGCCGGTTAAAAGTGGAACTCTCCCGAAGTCTACCTAAAGTATGGAAGCTACCTAAAGTCCCGGAGCTCTTGGATACATTGAGAAGTGGTATAACCGTATAATGAACAATTATGTGTTGGACCCGACTTGGTAAAGATGCTTCGGTAACTACGGTATGAGAAGATCAAGGATGGCTTGTTGCGTATTATGCGGAGTCTAGAATGGAAATTCAAGTAACACACGAAACGTATAGTCTTGCAGAATCATGACACGCATTCTCGTGCTTCGGTATAGCTTAGCCATCAATTCTTTTTTAACTCCCCGCTAGCTAACAGAAAACCAAAGTTCTTCTTTTTTGGAAGTGCGAACCCTCTGCATGTTTGCTTTCAGTGTCGAGAAATGTATGTATGTACGATGCTCAATATTCCTACACCATTACCCCGTCCATCACACCGTCACTAACCCGGTTCAGTCGTCCGTGTCCTTTATCCGACTCCACTATGCCCCGTCTCGTCCGTCCGTTCATTTTATTTACTTCCTTTTCCTTTCCGCGGCGTCCATCTTCTCCTCGAGTTGTTGGACGTACGCATTCAGTCGCTGGCACGCAGCCTGTAGAGCCTGTATTTTCCGAACAAGACAAAAGAAGTCAGTCGAGGGTGTTGCTTCCGAATGAAAGAAGAGAAGAGTCGAAGTCGAGAAAGAGGACAAACAGCAGCAGCAGGAGCAGCAGGAGGGGGAATTCCAACACTGGAAAAAGAAATCGCTGGAGGTATTTCCCCCCCAACTCCAGCGCTGAGAAAAGCAAAACGCGAGACTCGGAATAATCAAATGCAGTAACGCACATAGATGTCCTCCGTCAATAGCTCGTTAGAAGCCTTATATTCCCGTCTATTGAACTTGCGGTTAGTATCTTATTCCTAGGTAGTTATTTCTGTACGGAGTATTATTTTTTGGTCGAAGTTCCTGCGAGGTATACGCTGTATATCCGAGGACATGAAGGCACGTAGAGACTCTAAAAGAGCGAATGAGACGTAGCTGTCTGGTAGGTAGGTTATACTGACAGGACGTAGCTGTAAATGCCAGCACCGGTAAGAGTCGAACCTAGGAGGAAACCGAACAGTCTGTAACAAGCCATATGCCATTAGTCTCTCTGTATACCTAAGCTAGCCCATTTCCCATATTGCTGTATTCTCGACTCACCCTCCGCGAAAGGCACCCACGGGCTTGCGAGTAGGTAAGGGAGTCGTTGTGTCGGCCATCGCTCGAGTCGTAGCGTGGAAGCCCCGGGCGGCGCGCATCGGAGCAGCTGCAGAGGCGCTTTGAAGTCGGCCGAGTAAAACCCTCGACGCCATGGTTTCGAACAACGAAATTGAAGATATTTCCGTGCGCAATGTTTATTTAGACTATGTAAAAGGATTCTAATTGAAGCGTGTGTAATTTAAGGTTGGGTTTAAACCAAGGTGCTTCGAGAGGACGTCAGTTACAAACTAACGGAGCTAGAGATTCCCCAAGGTGGGCCACTAAGTAGTACCTAAGTTGCTCAAGCGGATATTTTTCGGCAGGACGGTTGGACGGGTTCATAGCAACCACAGGTACCTACCTGGCTGTTGGTCAACCTCGGGACAGCTCACTAAATAAGCCCTCTTGATTGGCTACTGCGATACAGTACATTGCTTACAGGTAGATACCTCCTAGGTACCATGTAGCTCAATACAGCATCTCCGTCACAAAACAAAGCAAAACAAAACTGCATCAAAATACCGATAGCTTGTCGAACCCAATGCAATCGTAAAAACACGTGAAAGAAGAAAAAAAATTCATAACCCTTTATGCTGAACTACCTGAAGTCAACATTCGTATCCCAGTCCCAGTGACCCCCAGCGTACCGGCTGATTAAGGCGTCCCGCTTCATATGGCTAGAAAGTGTACATTTGCTTTTACTTGACTTATTCCTAATTCCCTAGTTTACAACTCATCGTGCGTCGTCTCGGCAGCCTCGCTGCTGGTAGACGAAGACTCACTTGCACCCGATGCAACGGGGGTCTCTTCCTCCTCCTTCACCGACACGTCGGCTTTGTACTTGCCGTTCTCTTTGACGAACTCAATCAGATCCTCGACAGTTCGGCTGCCTGAGTAGGTGACCGGCTTGCCCTTGGCACCGGCGGGGTACAGCTTGATGGTGGGGAATCCCTGAATCTCATCCGGGACATCGTTGGTGGTGGCGTCAACCTTTGCGATGACGACCTTGTCCTTGAAGTCGCTCTTGCCGTACAGAGAAGCGAGGTCCTCGTACTTAGGGGCAAGAGCCTTGCAGTGACCGCACCAGGGAGCGTAGAACTCGATCAAGACATCCTTGGAGTCGTCCAAGACAATTTCATCGTATGTCTTGCCAACCACAACTGTGACCGGGCCCTCCTGCTTCTCGGGAATGGGCTCAGACTTGAGGCTAGGCTCAATCTTCCCGGCGCTGAAGTCGTCAACAAAAGCGCTGATAGTCTCCAAGGTAATCTCCTTCGACTGGTCAAAGGGGAACTTTTGGTTCTTAACAGTCTCCTGGATGGCGAAGGCAGGGAACTTGTCGGCCTTAAGGTTAAGGTTGTTGGCGTGGGCACCGAAAGCCGAAGCATCGATGGTAGCAAAGTTGATCTTGCCACGGTACTTCTCGGCAACGGGCTTCAGGGCATCGCTAAGTTCCTTTCGCTGCTCGGCAGTCTCGGAGAAGATGTAGGCAAGAGGAATACCAGCAGACATGTAGCCGGAGTAGGTCTCAGGGCCGACCTCACCAACCAAGGGGGTAGAAGCAACCTTGGCGAACTTCTCAATAGCTTCCTCGTCAAACTTCTCCGTAAAGGTAGCCTTGCCCTCATCGAACTGCTTGTACAGAATAACAGCCGGCGCCTTAACACCCTCAGCTTTAGCTAACGCAGCATCGTTGGTGGCGCCGAAGAGGTAAGAGTCCCTGTACTTCTCAGCAACCTTTGTGTAAGTCTCGTTAGAGGCCTTGTCAGAGGCATCGATGTATGCGACCAAGACAACCTTATCGGCGGTCTTGAAGTCCTCGAGGGTTTCCGAGGTTAGAAGCGAAACGGCGGGGAGAGACTGCTTGATCATATACGAAGTGATCCTGGAAATGGAATTAGCAATCGTAATTGAACATTAGATCGAAAGGACTTACGCAGCAGCTTTCCTTTGGCCAGTGTAAGGAGTGATGTTGTCCAGACCACGGAAGATCTTAAGCGTCGGGTAACCCTCAACACCATATGTTTGGCAGAGTTCACTCTCCTCTGTGCAGTCGACCTTGGCTAACTTGATCGACTTCTCCTTCAGCGTGGTAGCAGCCTCTTCGTACTCGGGCGCAAGAGCCTTGCAGTGGCCACACCAGGGGGCGAAGACTATGTAGAGGATTAGCTATAGTCACCAAAACTTATAAGTTGGAGACACAACTTACACTCTGCTAGAACCAGGTCATTGCCCTTGACGAAGTCGTCAAATGTGTCCTTATTTAGTTGTGTGACATCCGATGCGGCATCTGCAGCGTGAACGCCTGTGCTGGCTGCAAGCAGGCCAAAAAGAATGCTACAAGCCTTATACATGGTCAAGCAGCTATGATCACAATTGGTAAGGTTAGCGAATTCAGACTGCGATTTACTGGTGGAGGACGAGGCAGAAATATCGAGCTGGGGGGAGCTTGTAGATATAAGGTGGGGGGAACACGATGGAGAAGAGGGGAAAAAAAAAAAAAGAACAAGAATTAATTTAGCATACCTATAATATACCACTAGCTAGCTACGTTAGAAGGGTAATGAATTGGTCGGATAAGAAAAATGAAGTAAATGTAGAAGCGTAGTCGAAGACGTTTTGTATTCTCCTACAATGGTATATGTGTCCCCTTGAGAACAGGGAGTGTGAATTTGGAGAAGATTGACGGAGTTGGATAAATGGCTGAATAGTTCCGAATATCTGGCCACAGCTTGTACAACCGGTTCAACCTCAAAGCTGAATCATCAGATAGTGCAAAACCGTGCCACTAACTAGCTGTGGCTTACGCAGCTCGACTGCTCAAGCAGGCGATATTGGAAATGCAGGGACGTGGAGGAGCCCCACTTTTCGATAGTAGTTCAATAGAGCTAAACAACCTTATCCAAGCGGTGTGGAGCTCGCTTGGTGGCCAAAACTTAATGACAAGTGTTCTCTTTTCCTACCCCTCTCCCACCAGAAATCTAACGCAAGACGCACCGCCACCCCTCCTGCCCCGATGGGATTTTTTGGGGAACCCTTGTGTTAGTGTAAATGGGTTCCACCTACCGCCGCTAAGCATAGCTACAAACCCCACTCCAATACTTCAATCGCCAATGCTACTCAATCGCAAATACGGTGCAAATTAAGTCAGATCAACACCTAGATCAGTAATTCGGAAGGAAGGACTCGGGATTTTGGTCGGACGCAATGGCAGAAGCGACAATATCCGGCAGAGACGGTTCAAAAATCCGCAATCCGCAAATACCATTTATAAATCCTTGATAATACACCAATGCGCTAAGTATTCCAACAGGCCAGTTGTCAACTTTTCTGTATACATTAATTCGTGACGAATCAAGGGGAATATCAATCATGAGACCTTACCTAACCTAAAGACATGCATGTCTACGGCGGGTAACCAGGTAGGTAGCTTACTTGCTTAACTACCTAGGTACCTACCTACTTAAGGTACCTGATACTTAACCTAACCTAATGTACATTACATCCGCCATCCCTGCATATCATATGTTGTTTATTAATGCACGCTGCCAGATTTATTACATTCGATGGGTAGATTAAGGTCCATTCCGCGGCGAGGCTGAATAATGAGCCCCATTCTAGGACCCTGAATGTTACAACCAGGTCTTTGCGGCGTTATTATTTCCCATAGCATAGGCAACTAACTACCTGAGTCCCTAGCTTCCCTGTTAGTTATTATATCTACCTCTTGAATATAATTTAATCAAGATTTCTGTCATATATCGCAGTAAAACTAGAACTATTTTATATTGTAGTAAAGTGTCTTTAGACTGGAAAAGTCAATATTCACTTGCTACGGAGGGAGGGTGTCAGGATCCGGTAGAAGGGATAGTTGCTTGCACAAAGAGGAAAATGCCAAATAATCCCGATATCTCTTACGATTCGGGAATTGACAGCTATAGTTTTTTCAGCCTCGCATGGGGAGTATGATAAGAGAAGCACGACTAAACTGCAGGTGATACCCGTACTATGATGCTGCTCATAATGCGTATAGGATTGCTGAAAGGGCTCTCTTGATTACCATTGCCAGTGGGTATACCCCCTGAAAAATGGTTGGTTAACTCTTCTTAAAGATAAGGAGAACAAGCCGTGTTGATTTATAGGTTAGATACCTCACTTAGAGAAGGTCAACTAGATACCTAACCTTATATAAATGTTGACAATTAATTATGTAGAATCCACTTTGTAAAGTATAAGCCCAGGTCGATAAACTTAGTCCCTTTCCACTCTTGCATAAATCTTAAGTACGAATATATAAGTACAGCTAAGTAGCATGACTTTAAACTTGTGGAAGGTGTCAACAAGTGAATTAACAGATGAAGAAGGTACAACTTCCATTCATGAATTGTCAGGCGACCATTCAGAGTCAGACCAGCTCTTACTTGCTTATAATTTCTATCAGATTCATGGTAAGGTGTCCATCCAATCATCTAACCTTCTACTATAACCTTCTACTATATATTTTGCTTGTTACATGTAACTTTTCTATCTTAAAAGGTTTAGTACTACGTGGAGTGTGCTCTCAAAATACCACAAGCTTTTCTTTCCCTCCCACTTTGTCCGACTTCAATATCCTACGTTGTCTAGAGACCTTGTGAACCGATAAAGCATCGAGAATCCAAGCAAATTGGCTTGATATCGCTCTAGACCTGACCAACTGGACGGTCTCTTCTCTACCCAAACCCAAACCCAAACTGCTATCTTAATCTCATAATCTGTCGTCTTTCACTTTCTTCTTATTATCGTAATTATCTCTTCATCCCTTAAATCCTCTCCTCGGATGGAGCATCATCGCTTGCCACGGCATAGTTCGAGTCATGGCACTCTTCATAGCAGCTATTCTCATGGTCGATCCACTCACGGACCCTCTCCTGTCCGTCCATTGCATAAACCCCTACGAAGCGTCAACGAAAACTCTGTTTTGCTACCTTCGCCAGGCGCATTAGAAAGCATGTTAAAGACTACCACTGAGACGGGAGATATCGGGATATTCAGCATCAAACCCATACCGCCATTGCCACAACGAAGAGGTACGTTATCCAAAACCAGTCAACAACACCTCCCACCCCTGTCCTACCACTGGAAAGCTACATCACTACATCACCAGAATAACAGTCAAATGCCCCGTCATGTAGAAATATCGCCTTTGAGAAAGTTTCAATATACATCTCAGAGAATCATACACAAGTTACAAGTGCGTTAACATCAGCGTCTTCAGAAGACATTGGGCTGCGTTCATATTCAATGACCACATGTGAATCCCGTCAGCTTTCTCATCATAAGTCGACGACAACTCTGCAAAGTCAAGCTAGCGGAGGCCCGCTTCAACGTCCTCGATCGCCTTTCCCGTATCCGACTCGTTTGAAGAGGCCTGGAGTTCGTCCGGCATCTCCGGCACTTACTGAAACCGGGCGGGTTGACTATAGCCGTATGGTGGAAATTGACCGAGCCTCATATGTAAGGATTAAATCCCCTTTTGCAATTAAGACTTCGCTAAGAGGCTTTAGAGGACCCCCCACGGCCCTTACAAGCCCTCTTATCACCCGACGCCGCGGAGGCCTACTGCTCTAGGTCTCAGGACAGATGCTAACCTATCTACCGTTTCGCTGCCGTCGCAATGCCTACCGCCACTTAGTCGTTATGGACCACTAGGACCTTCTTCAATCAGAACTCATTCCACAGCTTCGATGGCATCTTATAATGCCCCATTTCGCGAAAGATTTGATAGTTCTTCGTCCAGGACATCGAGCCTTACCTCCATAGTACATGTGTACCACAAGCCACCACACACGCCTAGGGTAGGTCCTAGTGGACATTCGACGGCAGCACCGCGCTATTACGACTACACCGAAGGGTTCGAGAGTAGGCAACCGCGCGATACAACTCCTGTTCAACCTTATGCACCGGTCCCGACTCGCGTGTCAAACTACCATCATCCACTAGTACTACAAGATTCCGATGAACATCTAGCAGCTGTGTTCAGGGAGCGAGATTCGCCATTTTTCGAGACTGGCAACCCTAGCCCCGATAGGATGGGTAGGTTCGATATTTTTGGTAATGCTCCTAGGAATCAAGTTGGAGGTTATCAAGCGACAGTGGAACGAGCCCCTTCCCGTTGCCGCACTGGTTCTCTCCGTTCCGATTGTAGATCGATCGCATTTGACAGCGCAGATACAGAGAGAAAATTCGAAAAGGGGAGCGACATCGACTTATTGCCGTCGCAAGCAGGTAGAGATTCTATGGATACGTTCAATCCAAGCCTTGATCCGGAGTCACGGGATGCCCCTACATACAGATACGCAGATTACCGGCTAAAAGCTACGGCAAAAACTAAAGAAAATTCACTGGAGAGGCAAGTTCAGGTTCAAGGCGGTAGAGCTCCTACGATTCGAAGTGAACAAGGAGTGATATTAAGGGACGACACGCAGGGGGAGACCCTGAACGACTATGAGATAGGCGAAAGTAATATTGGCAGCCTATCTGAAGAACGAATTCAACGAAGTTTACTGAGCCCTTCTACCATAAAACGACCATCTTCTGCACCAATTCGAGAGCTCTCAACGTCGATTCAACATGAAACCAAGGACGAAGCTCAAGCCGGATTTTGCACAATAGCCCGTTCTCGTTCAGATTGCAATAGAGTGATCATTCGCAATAATAGATTTCGAACGGAAGTTGTGAATAGCGCCGATAGCTGCGAGTATGACACTCTTGACAATGGAGAAGACAGCGAAAGTAAACATTGCGGCAGTAAAGAGGTCGACATCGTCTCACCTTCATCAAGCCAGACAACAGTCGTACAGAGACCGCGGTTTCGACGTCATAAGAGAAACCAGGCTGTACCTAGAATTAGCACCAGTAGCTTGCCTAGAGAGGATAACGAAGGTTTTCCTTATATCTCTCCTTCTTGTTCTACTACACCTATCGTCTCGCCGAAGCCGATTTCACCTGCGCGCCAACTAAAGCTGAAGAATAGCATCCCTCAATTAATGAAAGCATTGCCCCCTTTGCCTGGAGATCCCAACTATATACCGCCACCAACGCCAAGTACAGAGAGCACATCAAGCAACGATACCGATTCCATCGAGGTTCTAGCTCCGTTTCAATTCTCTCGGTCTCCTACAATTGATCAAATTGAGGATATTGTTGGAGTGTCGAAGTGTAATCCTAATGATAACCGAGTTGTACGCCTACATAAAAGCGCTCCAAAGTTAAGACTCAAGACGAAAACGTCTAATCGCTCAGAAGCTACGACATTTTCGGGAACGAACCTTTTGAATGCGCCAGCTTGGTCCCCAGGAATGGCTAATCCATATTTTGAAGCCCAGAACGCCGATCACGATGTCCAAACCAGGACCCGAAATAGGTTGAAACTCAGGTCATCCAGGAGTACCGTTGCTAGCAGTACTCCATCCGCTACAGTTCGCCGGAATGTAGACGGAGAGGTTTCCAACCCTATCATCGGCATCACACGACAAAGGCCGAGGGACTTATTCACAGTTTCAACCAGTCTCAGCCCTACGCCCTCTTCGATAAATAAAAAGTCACCTCGACCTCGATGGATTGAGGACTGTTCTAGCAGGGGCACTTCTGAAATTGACACATCGAATGGGGTAGCATCTCAATTTCGAGAACGGACACTGGTAGTGAATAGGGAAGGCCAGAATAGACCGCTATATGACTCTCAATCTATAAATACCCGTGCGGCCACTAATGTGAGACGGCCCCAGCGTTTGAGAAGACCCTTATCAGACCATTATTTACAGGTACGATCCCTCGGGCCAATTTCGACGACAACAGACAGCACTATTGGACAGGACGTGAAGGAAAATAAGGCAAACAGAAGTGTTTCCCCATCAAATATCAATATTACCAGTCGACAATCAATTTTAAGGGATGGACACTCGATTCGAGGGAACCATGATCGAGCTAGATTTAGTCGAAGGGTCCGATCCAAAATTCTCAAATGGGTCAAGAATGCTAAAACGGCAGTGCGGGCGTATACGAAAAGGAATCGCGGTGTCTGAGAAGCGAAAAAGAGCTGGCATATTACCCTAAGCAAATTCCCAACACTGTAGATTGAACCTTGTTCTTTGGCTTACTCTACAACAGGTCTTAAGCAACTAATTGGTAGGAAAGGTTTTGGACGCGTTATTGAGCAGGCCTGAACAAATGTTTCTCGGTGTTTGATCAAACCGGGTGGGTAACGATGGGACGGGAAACTTGGTATAGGCCGGTTTGGAAGGTTCAGTTAAGAGGTACCTAGGGTAATTCGGGTTTGGTGAGGCTAAGGCTAGAGAGTGCGCTATGTACTTGTGGTAGCTATCTGCTACCTGCTGCCTTTGTGTTTACTTATATGTACGTGATAGTCTCGAATAACAGGACGTACTTGACGGTCCAGGCTACCTAACTTAACTGCTGCTTCACTTTGGCTAGGCATGAGTTTCTTTTTAAAAAATTAAGTTAATGGTAAGAGGATGAGATTAAAAATGAATCAGCTCGAGTAAGTAACCAACACGAGAAATAGGGGGGCGAAGGGGGAGCGAAGGGGGAGAGATAGACTTTTCAGCACCTACCTACCTCATACCTACCTAACCTAGGTACCTAATGTACCTAAAGGTAATGCCAGGTGGAAGATGTTAAGTAACCGGATTAAACTTAAATATGTTTGAATTAGGCAGGAGTTATAAAAAGGTACATGCCTGCAAGACGAGGACCGCTTTCTCTTTTCTCAAGAAACGGTATTTGGAAGGAAAGAACTGACCGAGTCTATTCTTGCATATATAATTAGATGGAACTTTAATAATTGGTAACTCACCTGATATTCTAGCAGACTGGGGTTTTTACTTTTTTTTTTTTCTTTTTTTTCTTTTGGAATATTCTAAGAAAACACTTCATTCATCACCATAAACCGAGTCCATCATTTGGTAGCTTCACTCCGCTATGCGTTCTTTGAAACTACCTCCAGAAGAGCTTAAGGCTATAGCACGATGACATCTCCAACCGACAAGATTATTGCTCTCGTCTCACTTTTCTCGACGCTGAAGGGAGCTCAGTTTATAGTGCACCAATACTTTGATTCAAAGGCATTGTTTTCACTTCAAGCCTTCAGATATGAGCTCTTCCCAATCCTTTTTTTATCCATTTTTTCAACTGCGTTGTAACGAAGCACACAAATTCATTTAACTTGCACCCAAGAGGTACATGCACGGCAACCTAGATCGTTTACAAAACGCTCATCCCTCTTCCTAGGTACTCATTACTTAGGTAGGCAACAACACCGAACATACCTAATAGGAAACTAAATTACATCATATTAACACATTTGCCTAAGTGCCTTGAAACGGCAGACAAGATAGAAACAAACCAAAGCCCGAGATGGCATCGTCTTTTTCAGGTTCTTTTAGCAGGCCACAGTCAGCGTTCTCGCATAGCAACGGCAGAAAGACATCCATCGCAGACCCCTATGGAGAGAACTCGCGTGGCAGCAGTGGTATTAATGCTACACCAGACAAGACAAATAGCGAGGAGACTCAGGGAAAATCTGGTAACCACTCGACATGGAAGAAGGTGTGTCCCATTCTTCAGCTGATAAGGCAGCCTACCAGGTAGATGTTAACAACAACACGGAAACAGGAGGGAACATGTTACAGGGTCGCCCGGGATGCTTGGCACAAGGTAAAGTTCCTCTTCCAGGTTGCAACCGCACCGCTATCCGGCAAGGCCAAGGGGAATGCCGAGACGAATGAGGTTGAGCTGGACGTGATGTCGAGCGACACTCATCGTTCCAACAGGGGAGCTGGCAGCTCAGCGAATTCGATGCCGGGACACCAACCACAACCTCAACCGCCGGCGGGGCACGAGAGGATTAGGACGCAGACTTGGTCTCAGCGATACAAGACACGCTTTGGATCTCGACGCGACAAATACGTACCGAGGAATCCTTATGATAACGGCTTCCTATCTACGCCCAGAAGCACCCCGTGCTCGACTCTAACTACAAGAACCCCCTGCAAGGACAAGACGAATGTCGAGGAATTCAGAAAGACCCCAAGCCCAGGGAAATGGTTTGCTGGCTTATTATAAACTTGTCGAAGATAACTGCCTTACTCAAGGTACTATGTACGATGTTTGTTATGAGATAGATACCCAGTTATTGCGATTAGAAGCGATGGATTCATTAGTGCATAGATGTCTTGATAAGGATGTACAAAAATTGCGTTATATATATTTTGCAACGGTAATTAATAATTCAAAACACGCCTCCCCCAATGATAAACAGCCGTTCCTCCTCGCGCTTCGCCCACTGCATGATCTTATTAGCACCCTGCGTCATGACGGTCCGCGAGGCGTTGGGTCCCGCTACGCAGTAGAACTCGAATATAGGCGTGACCCACGCGAGCGACGTGGCGTCCTCCCCGACGCAGTGCAGGACCTTGACGTGCGTGTGCTTGGCGTGGACGGTGGCGTGCAAGCTGTGATAGAGAGACATGAGCCGCCGATGGGAAATGAGGTTCGAGAACGTCGGGTGCAGCGAGGGCATGCAGAACTGGACGTTGGCCCGCGACTTGAACAGGAAGTGGCTGACGTGCGTGCCGGGCGCGACGTCGGCCATCCCGGGCCGGCCCTGCTTCGCCGCCGCCTTGATGACGTCCAGGAGCCCCTTCTTCCGGAGCTCGGCTACGACGTCGTCCCGCATGCGCTGCAGGTCGAAGAAGCTCTCTTTGTCCGGGCTGATGAGGATGACGGCGACTTCTTCTTCCTTCTCCTCGGCGCTGGCGCTGGCGCTGCTCGTGTCGCGCTCGGAGCCGGGGTCCGCGTCCAGGAAGCTGACGTACATGTACAGGTAGCCGCGGCTGTTGAAGGCGGGGAGGCACAGCGGGATCCAATTCTCGCCGCCGGCGGCCTTGACGCCGGCGCTCTCGAACAGCATGTTGAAGATGAGCTGCAGGTCGCTCGGGTGCAGGGAGTGGCGGCGGGGGCGGATGACGCTGACGAGGCGCCCGCCCGCGACGATCAGCCCGTAGAGGAGCTTGTCGGTCCGGGTGCGGAGGAACGCGTTGTTGACGGCGTGGCGGTGGGATTTCCGGAGCCGCAGGCATTCGAGGGCGCCGAGGAGGGCGGACGGGGACCCCCGCGTGAAGCTGTCCGCTAGGGAGGAGAGCAGGGACTCGGTGCCGCGGAGGGGTTTGCGGAGGTCGGTGGACGGGCGGTTGGCGAAGATGTTGGTGAGGGTGGGGAGGGTCAGGGTGGACAGGATCTGCATGTAGAGGGCGTCGAGCTGGGCGCGCAGCTGGTAGTCGCTCTCGCCGAGCTTGCTGACGGCGACGAGGTAGAGGGGGCCCTGGGCGACGGCGACGACGAAGCGCGCGTCCCCGGCGGAGAAGCCGAGGAGCGGGTTCCCGGCGCCCTGGTAGAAGGAGATGATGGTCTGGACGACGCCCATGGACGCGTTGATCATCTCCAGGTCGCCGTGCCGGCTGTAGATGGGCTTGCCGGCGGACGACAGGATCATGAAGTGCTTGAGCTTGGACTTCCAGAGCTTCAGCCGCGCGTCGTCGCTCCACGCCTCGCCGGGCTCGGGGATGTCGTCGAACTCGCGGGCGAAGTCGGCGAGGATAGCAGGAGTAGTAGCAGCAGCAGTAGTAGTACTGCCATCGTCCTCTCCGACCCGGATCGTTTCGAAGGGCTGCACGGCGGCGGACTGCGAGTGCAGGAGCTGCCACGCGGGGCTCCTCTTGCCCACGTCCCCGACGAGCAGGCTCTCCAGGTCCCCCGGCGGCCGCAGGGTGGGCGCGAGGCTCATGATGCTCATGGATTCGTCGAGGTCGTTGTGGTTGTAGTTGTAGTTGTTGTAGTTGCTGCCGCCGCCGACGGGACTGAAGCCTACGATGCTCGCCGCGCCCGCGCCCGCGCCGGGAGGAGTCTGTTCAGTGCCTTGGGAAGTATTACTACTACTATTGTCCCCAGCGGCTGTTGAGAAGGTCCCACGTGACCCATCCGGGAACGACAGCGTCTGAATGTTCATTGACGAAATTGCTGTTGTCGGTTTCGACGATAAGTTCGGCCTCTCCGGGGGCAGCGTGGATGAGCCATTATTGTTGTTGTCGTCTTGCGCTTGAGAAGAAGGCCTGGGAGGTAAAGGGGGAGGCCGTTCTCCGCCTAAGGCGGCGACGGCGGCATCGGCGGTGTTGGCTCGTGATGAGCCAGCATTCTCCGCGCTCATCGTACATCCGTTTCCGTAATGGTTTGTTGTACCATTCTTTTTCTTTCCTTTTTTTCTTTCCAATTTACTTTATTAGACCGTAATTATCTTCGGTCTTAACTAGATGCCCCCATCTCGCGATAGCTTCTCATTGAGAGAGGAGAGAGATTGAATTATACCTAGTATAAAGTATAAGTAATCAGTGTAGAGCTCAAGTCACTTCTATCATGTGCATTGTATGGATTGGATTCCCTTATCGTTATCAGGTACCTGGTATTAGAAACGTCATCCCTCGCCAGTTGGTGCAGGTGGGTTTCAGAAAAAAAAAAAAAAAACAAATATCTTTAGCATAAAGCTGGGGAATGTAACCAATGGGATAGCTCCAAAACTTGCCTCATTTCGAAGTGCCGTTTTATGCAATCGGGCCCTTGTGGGGATGCACCTCATAACTTGTACTGGCTTAGCGGGTGCCTGCAACGTAATAGGTTTCCCCCAATACCTAATTTCGTTTGGGGCCTCGTAAGTCGTACCTCGTCTCGTACCTTGTACCTATCGTATGTGGTCTTTTCTCAAAAACCACAAACGAACTTCATAAAACAGATGCGCCGCTGCAAAGATATGCGCCTCGACTTTTCTGGTCTTAAACGCGGCCCCATGGTCTTACGGCCAGTACCTCCTTAGTATCAGCTACCTTCATTATGGCCCTCGAACCCGGTCCCCGTCGCTCCATATCTCTGGATAGCTCTGGACGGAATACACCCATTATAAGGCAATGGAGGAATCAACTGGGCGCAGGTACTTCACGCTCATACCTACATGATATTCTGCTTCACCTAGGTGATGTACTCACGCCTTGCTAACGTAGTTCATTCTAGAGGATGCTCCCATAAAAGATAAGCACTACCGAAAGTACGCGTCAGGCGTCGAGCGAGCCCTGTCGCTGTTTGATACGGCTTTAGAAGAGTGGGCGGATTATATCTCTTTCCTAAGTAGATTACTCAAAGTAAGACGCTCGGCCAATATATCTTATATCCATTGCGACTGATGCTAAGATACCCTACCTCTTATCATAAGGCTTTACAAGCTCGTCAAGCAAGCATAACATCCATACCCTCGAAAACCCTAGTCGCAAAGCGCCTCTCGCAATGTCTAAACCCTTCGCTCCCTTCAGGTGTACACCAAAAAGCGCTCGAGGTCTACACCTACGTATTCTCGATCATAGGAAAAGATGGACTGACTAGGGATCTTCCTCTTTACCTCCCGGGTCTCGCGCCGACCTTGTCTTTTGCATCCTTGACCGTCAGAGCTCCGTTCCTCGATCTACTCGAAACCCATGTTCTTCGCGTGGATCCTCGATCGCTGCGGCCGGCAATGAAGAGTATTATCTTAGCTCTTTTACCCGGGCTAGAAGATGAGACGAGCGAGGATTTCGACCGAACGCTCAAAATCACCGAGAAATTCAAGGCGGCCATCCGACCACCCAATTGTAAGGATCTTACATCAACAGATTCGACGGGCGACGATTTCTTCTGGCAATGCTTCTTCTTGGCAACCATCACAGGCCAGACTCGTCGACCTGGTGCTCTTGCGTATCTCGTTCGCAGATTACCAAAACTAGGACATCCGACCACTCAAGAAGTAAACCCAAATAAGGCTCAAGAGGCTGAAGCCGATGTACTGTCATCTGAGCTTTCGAACCTCGTAACTTCCCCTGAGCCAGGTCTACTCCTCAGATGCTTCGCTGCCGGGTTAGGAGACGAGCAGCTCCTCATACAACGAGGCTTTCTGGATCTTCTAGTTACACATCTCCCCTTACATTCTAAGGTGCTGCAGAAGAGAGTCAAGAGTGATGACCTGGAGCTTCTGCTTCGAGCTGCTGCTTGTGTTGTCACCCGAAGGGATATGAGCCTTAACCGACGGCTTTGGGCTTGGTTTTTAGGACCTGAACCTTCGGGTCAGGAACAAGAGAACGGCCCAAAGTCACCTTCCTCCCCATCGGACCAGCATGGTTTTCTTAGTTCTAAAACGAGTTATTTCGAGGAGTATGGGTTACACCCTCTAACTCGAGCATTATTATCAATGATCAATACCGCTCATAATAACAATCCCACAGAAAGAGCCCAGCCGTATCGAATATGTCTATCGCTTATGGATAGGTGGGAAATCGGCGGTCTAGTAGTGCCGGAAATCTTCCTTCCGGTAATGGTCAGTGTTAAGGATTTCGAAAATAGAGCTTCCAACAAGGCCGAATTCAATGAAGTGTTACGAAGTGCGAGTGTGTTTTTTGACGGTGTCGAGAGCGGACTCATATTCGGCGAGATGATAGGTCTCGTGGCCCAGGCCGTTAGCCCGAGTAACGCGACAGAGGCGGAACGCAATGAGAAAATAGCTCTTGTCCAGTTCATCATGGAACACTTTAATATCCGGGACGAGGAAATGATAACCGTCCACGCTCCTCTAGCTGCTCTGTCAATCTTAGCCATGTTAGAGGACGTGAAGGAGAACAGAAATGCGTCCGGAACCCCAAGTGGGAACGATGCCTCAGCCGTCCCATTCCAAGTGCTCGAGATCGCTCGTAATTTGATCGAACTTATCCCTCAACGAGCGTTCCCGACTAGGTCAGGAGAGCGAGATTCAGTTGGATCTATAGAGGGCCCGGTAGTGGCGTCCATGTCAAACAGCGAGGTTCTCAAAAAGATCAGACATTTCTACGTCACAGACCAGGGAAATCTCGAGGCTACGTCGGCTCCCTTTGCTCCGCGGACTGTGGGCGCTCTCCTGATTCAAAAGGCGTGTAGTTTAACATGCGACAGTCTAACAACCGCCAAGCAGGGGTCTGCGATATCTATTAGAAGTCGACTTATGGGGCTCCTCTTGACCAAAATCCCTGGAGAATACACTGTAGATACAGCAAAGCTGCTCTCGGCTATGCACACGCGGTTATCTGAACCGACCGTACCATTTATATCATTCAAATCGATTCTTTTCTTGTCGACACAACTTTATACTGGTGATCGAATACCGATAGATCATCTATCAGATCTAGTTGAGCCATTAGTTCGTCACGCGTGGGGGTTCCTATCTTTAACAGAACCAAAATATCATGTCGAAACCGTGAGGTGTCTCTGGCAATTACAGACAGCCCTCACGACTTCGAACCGCGATATCGAAGCGGTGATTTCGGATTTAATGCTCAAGGATAGCACAACGGGCACATTTGCCGTACGACCAGCTGATCCTGGTCGGACTTATACCATCCTTTGGTCTCACACGTTGCAAGATAATGCCTCTCATTCTGACCGAAGAGCTCCAAAAACCCCTATTCATGACTTCAGGTCGGCAACTCGGCTGTCTGGCATGGATTACTACGATGTCATGCTCACCAGGCCTTTATTTTTGATGCTTGATTCTCTACTAGACGAGCGAACTCAATTGTTTATGATGGTGAAAAATTGGCTGAACACTATGGTCGGCATCGACAAGTAAGTTTGACTTGGTGCAAATGGACAAGCAACCTTTATGTACCTAAGGTATCTAACACGGGTACTTAGGTTATTCCTGATTTTCGTCACGAAGATATCGGAACTGAAATTCCTTCGAAATTTCCCGCAGGCGGCTAATCCCGTCGCGTCGAGCCAGTCTGTTGAATTCTCGGCGGAAGATGACCTTGACTTGGCGATCTATTATCTCCGTACTTTGTCCAATATGTTTCGGTGGGGTCCTGACGCATTCTGGGGAGTCCTTGCGACGAGAATAATCGAGGAACCTAACCAGAGTCTGATACAAATAGGTGAGATAGTTCCATGAGGGTGTCCGAGTATACACTGACAACTTTTAGCTGGCACGGAAAATAGTCTGTCGCTCTTAGAATTCTTCCTACGTGTTTGCATGAGGTGCATTGCCGGCAACATACTCCCGAGCGACAACCATCTCCAGCTCCGGATAACTCAACTTCATCGTTCCGCCTTAACTTTTCTTCATCAGATATTACTTAATCCTTACGCAGATGGACTGTCACGTCTAAAGTTAGAAGACGTCTTAATTGACCGGCTCACCCAGTCCCTTCAAGGACCCGATCCATATATACAGGTACTTCTACTCGACGTCACCTTTGACGCGCTTAAACTTCGAGATTCATTATCCGTGGAAGTACCAATGTCACCGGTGGGAGAAAAGCGAACTATGAATTACGCCTCTGGTAGCGTACAATTATCTGCGACGTCTCTTGAACATATACCCGAGGTGACGCCACCACCGCCCTCGTTACTCAAATGTATACAGGCCGGTCTCGCCTCTTCCAGCAGTCGACCCGTACTAGACAGTTGGGTGGGTTTCCTTACGGAATGTCTGCCTTTCTATTCAGATTCTATCTTCCAAGTTCTTATTCCTTTAGTCGAAACACTCTGCAGCCAAGTGTCTAGCACATTCAGCAATCTTCAGGAGACTTTCAAGCAAAATAGACAGCCACCAGAGATGATTAATGCTCCTGAAACCACCCTCATATCGTTACTCAATGCGCTTGAACAAGTGCTTGCTAAGGCGCATGATCAGTTAGTAGCCGCGGAAGCTAGACTTCAAGCTATAAAAAGTCCCGATCAACCTCAAGGATTCTTCGGCAATATGGTGTCCGGCGTGTTCAACTCGGACGCTCCACAGTCTCGAAGCGCAACCGCGAATGACAGATTAACAGTTTTGCTTGCCTTCCAAGATGCTGTCCGGATGTGCTTCAAGATCTGGTCTTGGGGACAAGGGAGCGAAGCTAACAGTCTGGATCTTGAGTCGTCTTCTTCGTTTAAGTACACATCACTGCGTATGCGAAATCGGGCTAGACGCCTGCTAGAACACGTATTTGCTGCCGAAGCGCTTGAATGCTTAGAGACGGTAGTTGATATCTGGCGAAATTCGTTGAGTGATCCCGACACCACAAAGCACTCGGAAGTATTTAACCTACTTCCTGCTCTGGACGGATCCCGGCCGAGGCATACAATTCCCGCCATATTTAACGCAATCTATAGCCGATCAAATCCTAGCGCTCTAGAGACGTCCAGAAAATCAACGTTGACTATCGAACTACAAGACACAGATCTGGTAATCTTCTTAGTTGATTATGCCCGGTCTCTCGAAGATGACGCAATGGACGAGATCTGGCAAGACTGTATGGTTTTTCTAAAGGACCTCTTAGGCAATCCTTTCCCTCATAGGCAAACATTGCCGAGCCTCTTGGAATTTGCAGCAATTCTAGGGGAGAAAGTTGACAATACCAACTTCGGGGAGCAGAGAAAGATGCGAAGGGAACTTGGGGTACGTACTTGGCCTTTGTTTTCGAATCACTAGGCTTATTTGCTAATACTAAGTTAGGATCTCTTTCTACGATTGCTCACGGCCATTTTCACCACAAGGCCAGCCTCCTTCGCAGATGGACAACCATCCCCACAGTCGGAGAAGTCGAAAGCCAGCGAGGGTCGCCTCGTGTTACCAACTGAGAGAGCAGATGATGTGGTTGGCATCTTATCTCACATCGTTCCTAACCTACCTAAGATTCTCGTGGAATCTGATCGCGTTTTGACAGCAGCTGGGGCTATATCTACAAACGTGATCGGGCCCTCCATCCGGTCAAAGGGTTTCCCTGAGACTATTTCTAAGAGTACACTAACTCTACTCCAGGAGCTCACCAGGCTCCCCAATAATCAAAAAACCTGGAAGAAAGACATCGGTGATGCCTTCAATGATTCCAGATTCTTTAACTCATCTGTCAATTTAGTACGGGGAGACTGGCTACCGCTCTTAAAACTTTGGACAGTCTCAGATAAGGAGCGAATACCGGAAATATTAGGCCGCATAACGCCACCCACAACAGCTGGTATAGTCTTCGGAGTGGGTGCTACTTCAGCGAGGTTAGAAGCAGACAGGAAGACGCAACTCAATCTGCGCCGCGTTGCGACTTTGATCCTTGCGTGCGGCGTAGACACATTCGTCACGGACCTTCCACTCATCCTCGAGCGTCTTATCGAACTGCTGGCAGCAACATCTACATCTTCGCCGTCCTCGACTACACGGTCCGAGATATATATGGTGGTCCGCGCCCTTGTCCTACGAACATCTGCCATCCACCTTGCGCCTATATGGCCGACAGTCAACGCCGAGCTACACGCGGCTATATCCTCCGTTGCGGCACCGGACAATAGCGCCTCGTCGGACACTTTCAGCAACACATCCATTCTCCAAGCCTGCAAGCTCTTGGACCTGCTCATCGCCGCAGCGCCGGACGACTTCCAGTTGCACGAGTGGCTCTTCGTTACGGATACCATCGACTCCATCTACCGGTCTCCTAGCTACCAGCCGGTAGGCCTTGTAGACGAGCTGTCGGAAGAACTAGGCAACGTGGCGTCCGACGTCACCACCGCGGCCCTGCAGACGGAGTCGGCGGCCGCGACGACGATAAGCGGCCCGCCTCAGCGCAGGCCTCTCCTAGGTAATCATGCCGGAGGGATCAGCGACGAGCTGGCGGTCGACCGGAAGGACGAGCTCGTAGCGAAGATACTGCGGCCGTTCTTCGCGCAGCTAAGCATCTACGCGTTCGAGTCGACGTACGCGATGGGCGCGCTGGACGTCGAGACGTGCGTGGAGAGTCTACTGAGGGACTTGTTTGACGAGCGGACGATTGTTAAGGCTTTGTAATTATACCAAGATAGGTATAGGTACCTACCCATTACCTAGACAGTGTCAGGCCTAGTCATGTAGTATTTAATTAGCCAATGGTATAGAGTATTAGTAGAGATAGATGGTGAATCAGATATATCACGACGCATGCGTAAAGTTGAGTGTATTGAATTCTATGAATGTTTAAAGCGACATAACCTGTACCTATTTGATATTTTATATAGACCAACTTGAAAAGATTTTATCGATCAGCCCCATAACCTGAAAATAGTTTTGATCGTATGCTTTTTCTATGTGCCTTTTCCTTTTAACTCACTCATATGCACACATAAACCTCATTTCCTGATTCCTACATCCCGCGCCCGCTTTCCCATGGTCAATTTCTCTTTTCCCTCATACATACCTACATACTCCCAATCCCATCGCTTATCTCCAAATCAACTTTCAACCATCAACCACCAACTACCAAACTTTATATATACCAGGTACCTAAGGTACGTTAAACATACCTAACATAAAACACGTTACAATCAAATCCACTCCCCTCCTGCCATCCCCCCAACCCCGACCCCAACAGGCCCCTCGGCACTCACCGCAACCCCGACCGCCGGCGCGCCCAGCACCCTCTCGAGTACGTCCTCGAAGTCCACGCGGCGGATCACGGCGCCGTAGTGCACGCACTCGACGGCTCGCGCGAGCTCGGCGCGCAGCCGCGCCAGGCGCGGCGCGTCCGCCAGCACGGCCGCCGCCCCGCCGTACACGCGCGCCATCTCGAACCACGCCTGGACGGGCGCGAGGTCCGGCGCTGCGGCCGGGTTCGGGTTGAGCACCGAGGCGAGGCCGTGCAGGTTGCTGAGGGTGAGGTCTGGGGTGGGGGGTGTGGGCCAGGATGTTATGGTGGTGTTATGGGATGGGTGAGGGGGGGTGTTGAAGGAGAAGGAGAAGGAGGACGATAGGCGAGGATCGGAGTGAGGGTGAGGATGGGAGGCTTGTCGGTCTTTTTCCGCGCCGATGTGCGCCCATGCCTCGGGCGGCGCGCTGCGGAGCGCCAGCGCGCTGACCATCAGCGAGTGCCCGTGCTCGCTGGCTTCCGCGTCGTAGTCCTCGTGGCCGTACATCGAGGGGTGGAAGTGGCCCCAGCAGACGCGTTCGAGCCTATTCGATGGGGGTTAGTTGGTTTGGTTTCGCGTCTTTCACTTGCTCTTTTCTCTTTTTTCTCCTTCTCTCCCTACCATGACCTTCCATAATTACCTATGTAGGAGGTGGGGAGTAGAAATAGGAGGTCCTCGTGGAGATACAGGACTAATTCGATAAAAGAAAAAAAGGGAGAAAAAAAAGGGATGAATGTTACGTACTCTAGGATAAAGTTTATAGCTTGCTCCGTCTCCGTCTGCGGCAAGAACCCGCTCCCCCTATCCTCGAACCCAGCGCCCGCAGCATGAGCCCACGACGGCGGCCTCGACGTCCGTTGCACTTGGTACATGGGCTTGTCCAGATCCGTGGCCGAGCTAACCAGACTAACCGTGTACTCGGGCAGCGACGACGACACCGACACCGACGACGACACCGACACCGACGACGCCGTAGTCCCGTACGTCAACAACGTCGGAGGTACCGCTAGACTGGGCCTCGGAGCCGGAACTGGAGCCGGAGCTGGAGCTGTCTTCCCGAGCAGCCGGTGGCGGATAACCTCGTTCTCGGCCCTTATGGCGAGGCTCTCCCGCTCTGTCAGCTCGATCAGGTCGCGCAGCCTGGCGACGTCCATCTCGAGCTCCCGGGTGTAGTTGACTTTCCGCTGGCGGTGCTGCTTCTGCGCCTTGCGGACTTGCTGCCTCCTCGCTAGGGCCTTGTTGGTCTGGTCCGACTCCTGCTGCTGCTGCTGTTGATCTTTTGCGTTGATCTTCTTGCTGGTTCCTGTGTAGAGAAAGAGCCAGGGGTCAGCTTTGACTAGCACCACGGATGACATGGCTGTGAGGTATGTAGGGTGATGTGATGTGATGTGATGCGATGTATCTGGAATATATAACGTCTGTCCGTCTGTCTGAATTTAACACATGAAAATAACCATGTGAGGTGGTATAGTAGTAAGCCGGCTGTCTGCGCTGTCTTGTCACTACCTAGCGAGATGCAGTAGATGGTTCCTCCAGACAGAGAGGTAAGTTGGGAAGCCAAGAGGTAGTACTTATTGACCGGATAGGGGATAGAATAAGAGAAAACAAACAGCATATCATCCATGCCCTTCTTAGCCCAGTCCCGATTCCACATCCGTATAACAAATCCCTCTGGCTGGGATGTTCCTGCAAACACTTTCCGTGGCGGCATAATTACATATACCAACCAAGCCAGCCAACTAACACGGGACTGCCCATGATTTGATTTGATGTGATTTGATATTTTTTTCCTCTTTCTTCCCCTGTTACTTACCAACCAACCAACACTACTACTACACCCCTCGCGCACGATGCTGCACCTCAGCCCTATGACAAATACTCGTGGCCCGTTTTGGGTTAGGGGAGACGCGGAAACCATAATAGACAGAGCCAAGCTGAACAGGCATATAGATAGATAGACAGGACAGGACAGGTGTATGGATGGATGGATAGATCTCAAATTCCCCAACAAGGCAAGCTACCGGTAGGTAACGATGTGATATATCAATTTAAGAAATTCAACATACCTGCGCTCTGTTCCGGGTTACTCGACACGAAGGTGATATGTCTCGCCGCCTCCTTCGTACGTTTCCAGTAATCGGCAAACGAGGGTCGAGATCTGTTGTTGTTGTTATTATTATTGCTGCCATTATTACCGCTTCGGCTAGTATTATCTGTTGTTGTTGCTGCCCCAGCAGCATTAATGCTACTACTACCACCCGCCGCCTCGTCGCCTTCCAACGACGAATAGACCATCTCGTTCTCGTCTTTTCCCAAGACGGAAACGCGCACGGACACTTTACACACCTGCGGTAGACTGTTAAAGTTACGTTATGTAAAAACCGCGATACGCACGCAACCGTGGACGCAGAAAAGTGCATGCAGGTATGTATGTGCGTGTGTCTGTTTATGCGTATGATGTGTGGTTGCGGCTTACATGTCCCTGGGATGGAATCGACGGATGCAAGAAAAAAAAAGAGAGAATAAGCAAGAAACGTGGGGTTATTATTTCCAGGGGTTTTTGCTGGAAGATCAGCTTATTTGGAATCTTGGTCTCCTCTTTGGAGGATTCTGCGTGCAGGGGGGCTAGAATAAAAGATTATACGGAGGTGAGATATATGTAAAAGACTATTGATTTATTGCTTTGGACTTGAATTTTTGGCTTTTTTTCTCATTCTCGAATTATTACCAAACTCCTAGAATTAGAAATCTTAGCGACGAGTCGTTCGCACTAGACTTACATATCCCGGAAAACATTTGAGTATGAGTAGGTCAGGTTGGAGAGCAAGATTATCGCAAATACTAAAAGTGTAATTGATCAATAAGAAGACAAACGCCTAACATCCTGGAAATCAGTATCAAACCGTCAAGGTCGGTTGTGACCGAGAAACGCCGTCCCTAAATACAGGTATCATTCCCATTTTTGTCCAGCCCGTCCCATACCAAGTACCAACGCCGATCGAATGCATATCGTAGTGTCTTATAGGGTACATTAGGTGCTCAGACCAAGGTGACTACTCCTCATCTCCGGCTTCGTCATCCGTGGCCGTATCTTCTTCTACCTCTTCGTTCTCATCGTGTTCCTCCTCGTCACTATCCTCGTCCAGTTCGTCTCGATCAAGTCCGGGGATAGGTCGCCATTGCAGGTAATCTTGCTCGATCCATCGTTTACTGACTGGGAGTTGGTAAGGGTCAAACGGGAAAAACGATCCTAACTGCTGCCAGCTCTCATCATTCACATCGAAGGACAGGTCGCGTAAGGCACCTCCGCTAGAATAAGCCCCAGCTGAGAACTGCGATAGGCGAAGTCGCTTATTGGACTCGATGGTCGGGTACACGTACATGAACCCGAACCGATGGGCTAGCTTTGCGAACTGCTCCACAATAGCTGGCGAGCAGACTTTAAGAGGATTCAATTTTGAATGGATATTGCGACGCATAATGTCTTTGATCTCGGGCTCCCATTCAATCTCTTGGCCAAGATACGACGAAAGATCATCCGGGTCGACTTCGTCGGGTACTGACTTGATCAGGTCCGGCCACCGGAAGCAGAAAACATACATCAACGCCTGCACCAGCGCGTAAAATGGGGCGTATCGACGAACGTCAGGCCCGCGGCATGATGTCTCGTAGAGGGTCCGCATTTGATCTAAGTGGAAACCCAAGACTTCAAAGATCTTCACGACGATATGACCAGGCACGTGTGCTCCTCGAGCGACGAAGCTCGCTAAATAGGCAGATGCCGCTTGCTGGAGGATCATCGGACGTTGGGATTCAAAAGCGATGTTGATGCAAGTGCCACAGAATGCGTCCATGAGCCTCTCGGATTTCTGTCCAAAATGGAAGATCAGGAATTGAGTGTGCCTCGATTTTATTGTAGGTAAGATGAGATTCGAGAATTCGGATAGGAGATCCTCAAACGCTCCCAGGGCTTCATCCGAGTCTGGGTCGGCAAAGCTGGGCGTATAAAGCTCGAAGAGAGTGTCGAGAATAGAATCCATCTTTTCAATGTTCTCCTTTGCGGTTTTCACGCGCGTGTACTCTTCATCTTCGGATTCGTCGCTATCCACAGACTCAGCATCGCTTTCGTCATCGTCTTCTTCGTCCTGATTTCGGTTTTCTCGAGAAGACTTGAGAGCCATCGCCACCATCGTAGTAAGTCTATCGTCCATATCGTCCAGGTCCATCTGCATTTCCACGTCAATCTTGACCAAGCGGCCTATGATTAAATCCATGATATCGGTCTTCAGGTCGGGGCAGTATGATCGTAATCTTAGCAGATTATCAACGTAGGCCAGATGCATGCGCTTAGACTCGTCGTGGAAGGGATATTTGGTAGCTGTGAGATGGTCTAGGACGGGTTTAGCAGCGGGGAATAGTTGTATCAGGTATTTTAGAGCAACGTGAAGTCTCTCCTGCGCAGCTTCGCGGTTGACACTCGGATAGTTAGGGACAGCCCAGTCAGAGAGTCGAGAGTCGGTAAATCTTTCAACGATGGATGACAGTACTTGTGTTAGACGGGCACCTTGCGCGCTGACGAGAGCAGCGAGGAATTGAACGTAGACTTTCGCAAACTGGTCATCTCGGCCGAGCCATTGACATTGCAATACGCTCTTGACAAGACCGTCGCAGGCTCTGCCTAAACGAGGGGAAAAGCTTGCAAGTGCGATCAAGTATATCTTAAGTTCCTGGCGTCGCTTTGCTAGTAAAGTAGGATCTGCATCCTCGTCATCTTCGTCGTCGTAGGAAGACGACTGTTTTCCAGATAACGTCTCTTTCAATATATCGTAATCTTCGTCATCTTCCTGATCATGACGATCCAAGGCTTTTCTAATTTCCTGTTTTACTTCGTCGACCGATCGTATTCCAATCTCGTGGACTTCGATGTTGTTCAGATCGAACTCTACTCTCTGGCGTTTTCGAGGGCTCTGTGGGGATTCCATGCTGTCGCCGTCGAAGCCAGCATCGTCGCTAGTTCGTTTAGAGTTAAGCAGTGATGATGACTTCAATATCGGTTTAAGCGGAGTAGCCTTCACCATAGGCCGAGCAAGCTGCGGCGGGGTGGTGCTCGTCATAGCGAGTTTTCGAATCTGCTATCGTATGCAAAGTCCAAGTCACCTTAAAGTCTATTATGCAGTAATCTGGCATACTGGTCCTTAGTTTTGACACGTTGTGAAGTTGCGAGGTTGTCGCGAGTCGGCAAGAGTGACAAGATTAAATTTTAAGAAAAAGCAACTTCACAAAATTTCATCGATAATGCACGTCCGCATCCACTGAAAAAAAAAAACAGGGGTCTTCAATGACTATGTAGGAGGGGCAACCGCAACCTGTTTCATGTGGTCCGTGCATATCGCGTTAATTGTGAATTACATAGTATGTAATTGCCATAATGTGGGCAGCTGCTTACATAGTACGAGGCAGGTACCTCTAATAAGAGGTTCCCAAGGTCCTCAGATTTCACCAGACCAATCGCTTTTCACTGACTTGCACATACAAGGTACTTACCTAGTCTCACCCACTCAGCTTGCCTACCTCCTAAATGGCGTATCCTCGCATTATCATACGGAATGAACTGAGAACTCACCCAACACACATAATAATAAATCTCTAGGCATTTTGCTATTCTCCAATAACCACACTCACTTGATTGTTAGCATGGTAGATAACTTATTTAACTCATGTAACAGTTAATCTTCTCAGTCTCTTATACGTATAAGTCATTGATTCAACATGTCAACCACCTCTTATATCAAAATATAGAGAAGAAAATTATTGACTTCATTCCTCAGCCTAACGAAATGATGTTATATAGCTTGTAATGCTTCGGATATTGGTCTGTTCTCCAATGCCCATAAAGCTGGAATCACTGCCGAATGTAAATTGGTGCGGAATCTCAAGACTGATCATGAGATGCGCTGAGAACTGAATAGGGGGGAAGAACGCCTCGGGGAATCTATCGAAATGAAGAGAAAAAAAAGAAGTGAGAAACCAGACCCTTTTTAACGCGCAATCCCCCTTCCATCGCCATCCGTTGCGAGTCCATATACAGGGGGTTAAAGATGCACACTCATTCCCGATCCGAAGAGCCAATCTGGGGACGAATGCAACAAAAACCCTCAGAATCCTTCTAGTTATACACACTTGAAAGTAGTATAGACCATCTCAAACTAGATATTAGAAAAATCAAGTCAAGCTGGCATAGCCCGGCCATCTCGTCTGCAGGCGCTAGGCGCGAGACTTAATAGGTCTCGCCGGCCGCGCCGTTGTGACTAGGTTGGGTGTAGATGTAGCCTTCACCTGATTCGCCAATACCTCCCGTTCCGTCACTTCCTTGAAAGCCTGAGGTTCCAGCCGCGCCGGATCCGCTGGGAGCATTGGCTCCGTAACCTTGGCTGTTCGGCCTATTCTGCTGGTTTTCACCCCGGTTGGACTGGGACTGCTAGTCATTGGTTAGCACTGCTCACAAGCGAGGTTGAACACGGATGGCGTGCACGCCTCGAAGCAAGGGATAAGGACGGAAAGCAGTACTTCTCGGTATTTGGACAGATATATCTTTAATGCTTCTGCATAATTCTCGAAGCCTAGAGACGTCATGGCGAACAGAATGTCTTCGCCGTTCACGGTTTTCCTTTTCTCCTGGTGGCATTTCTCCGATGCTGTGTACGGTGTTAGCGTTCGCTTATACTAGGGGAAATAAAAAAAACACCAGCAAGACGAGGGAAAAAAAAATAGGGCCGCGTTCTCACCTTCGCTAGTGATGAAGGAGATGAACTCGCTCACGCACTCCTGCATACACTCTTTTGCCTCCTTTGCGATCTTGGCATTCTCAGGCAGGGCAGTCTTCATGATCCGGGCAACTGGAGCGAAGTTTCGTATGTTAGCATCGTAAATATCATACCTGTCTGCTTTGGAAGCGCGAGGCGCTTCCGGCGACTTGGAGGACGAATCGTGAGACATAGACGCCTTCTGCTGATGCGCGGCTGTCTCGAGCTAAGGGGGCCCATAAAGCCGATAAAGCACCAATTGACGGACGCGCCGCGGTCAGAGCTCCGCAGGGAGCGATGCTCTCTTTCGAAGCTTGCAGGCCAAAACGCAAAAGCAGACTTGGGCGCACCAAATCAGAGACAAGAGTTAGAGGAGGATCTCAACTCACCATTGGCTATGGGCAACCATCTGTCCTGCTCTTTTACCTCGAACTCATAGGCGAGGCCAGAGCCGTGTGGGTCCTGAGGGTCGTTCATTTGTGCTTCATCGTCGGGTGACTGTACACCTGGCTCGACGTCCTTTGGAGGAGATTGGGGGGAATCCGACATATTTGGCTACCTGCAGCGGGTGGTAGCTTCTTGTAAAATTTTCTTGGACTGCCAGCTCGCACAGCTGGTTACAAGGTAGAGATGATGTGTCCCTGCCTCTGACACGTTGCAAGTGGTAGGGCTTGCAACTGAGCGCGGCTTAGCTGCAGACGAGTGCGTCAATCCTGCCCTGTCGCGCGGGTCCCAGAATTATGACCTAGAGCTATTTACTTGTCCCCGTTGGCACGCCCTGTCGCGAACTTCAGGCTATGACGGAATCTGCAGCGGAAGGTATGTATGGGTATGTATGTGGTATGTACGGATTGTGTATGGATGTATGGATGTATGGATGTGCGTATGTGCGTATGTGCGTGTATGTGTGTATGCAGCAAGCCTGAAGCCTGGGCTTGGTAGCTTGGTATAGTGGTATAATGGAAGGTAGTATACTGTAGCGCGGTGTAGTATACCTACCTAAAGGTAGTGTAGTGTTAGGTTAGGTAGTAAAGTGTGTAGGTAAGGTATGTAGTGAGTAGTGTGAGTAGGTAGTGTGGTGGTGGTGTTTGGTGTACGGTACAAAGTCACAAAAGGCCGACGTGACTTTTGTGTGGACAGACTCGACGAAGATGTGGATGTGGGAGAATGGGACAGGATGCGATCTGAGGTATTGTACAAAAGTTGAGGTACAAAAGTACCTAAAACGGGTCCCGGTTTGGAAAATGGAAGCGGGGGTTTGGTTCTGCGGGTCCTTCTTGCTGACAAGACGCCGAGGGTTGCGTTACGGCAGTACGGTTTACCTGCTATGTATTGTACCTCTAACTTGGAAGACCCGCTGTTTCCTTCCAACTACATACATGTACCTCATACATTTATGTAGCAAGCCAAACACTTACATGGATGTATTGTACTAAAAACTGAAAGACGTATTAAATACCTAGGAGGTAGGTATTTGCTAATATTATGTAACTGTCTAACTGTCTGTTTAAACTTATTATTAATTATATCACTTATATGCGAATTATTCCCTGCCTCCCAGCCTTCCATTTTCCAACCCTCTCTTATTAATTATCTACTATTTCAGCTCCCTAACCTCCTAAGCTCCTAGCGCCGCGGTGGCGGGGTGTGGTCTACTTCAAGTATAGTTTTTTAAAGCAAGATCGCATTGCTGCATTGTTGCAGATTGGATATTGTATGTACCTAAGGTAGGTAAGTACTGGACCTAAAGTTCAGTAACGGTACATGACATGTATGGATGGATGGATGGATGGATGGATGGATGTATGGATGTGTGGATGTGTGGATGTGTGATGTCCAATATCTACGTGGGGTTGATACATAAGATTGTTTCCTAAATACTGTATGAGGAATTAACGTTGAGGGTCAGCAGTGGACAAATGTAGCTGGCTTGCTCATAGGCAATACTGTACGTCGTTGTTCATACATGTAGCTTAACAAACGTTTTATTATAGGAGATAACCCGGTTTATTTTTTTAAGGGTGTGAATGTGTACAGTATGGGTTACACCAAATATCGGGACTACCCAAAATCTCATTCTATAGCCGAATGCTTAAGAGGATCTGGGATGGCCGGGATGGTAAGAAACATATGATTGAAAGGTGAAAGAAATTTCAACTCCAGCGGAAACTGGAGGCGGTTTTCTGGAAAACTCCAGCTCGAGGTTTCGACGCATGGAAGTGGATTTTTAATGGGCTGGCCGCATACCGCGTTATCATCACCAGGGCATGTGCAAACGACGTAGTTCCCATCATTATAGGTATTTTATTCGTTACATTGGTGGTTCAGATACAGGTTCGAATGGAAAACCAGCGTCTAGCTCGGCACTTTTACAGTGTTGGTATTAACTCATATCCATAGAGACATTAAGAAGATAGTTATTGGTACTTACATTATGTAGGATACGAGCCGCAAACCAAAAATAAACCAACAAACGTAATACCTCGTATTTCTGCGTGCACGCCGAAGAATAGGTAAGTATCTACCTAGAGGTAAATACAAGAAACATCTGAAGTATAAGTCGGTATACGCTGATATATACCTAAGGTAGAAGACTACGGTATAGAAGTACATGTTAAAGCTTGCATTTGAGCGTCTACGTGGGGGAACGTGCAGGAAACCCCTTGAGAAGGAACTACAGCAAACCAACTAATAGAAGCCTAAACAAGATTGGTCGTTAATAATAGAAGTTAATCAAAATTAATAAGTTAAGGACAACTGGTTAACTTATGTATGCAAGAAGAAACGATATGGGAAGGAAAGTGTCCAACAAGTAATTTACCATTTATAGAGTATGGGAAAGAGTGATGGTAATGATAATACTCATATAGGAGGTATAGGTACCTGGTATTGAAGCAGATTATATGAGGTAGAGTACATGGCAAAGTATACCTGGAATACGGTATGTATCGTGCCTACCTACATAAATCTGCCTAACTAATAATATTCAATGCCGAATTTATTAACAGATACGTATGTACTTCTTTGGGCAGAGGGCAGTCATTACATCAAGATAAGGCTTACACACATGCAATTACCTATACCTAACCTATTAGATGCCCAAATTTATCTACCTTTAGTAACATTTTCTTCTCCAGTTCAGGAACAACTTCCGTCCTCAACGTTACTAGGTAGATGGAACCTCTGCAGCAATCCATGCTCAGCTTTCTTCTAGTTTTTTTTCTGTTCAAAGTTGCAAGACGTACATAGCTTTCGTGTTCCCAAACGCAACATACCGTTAGACGTACATGGCGTGCTACAGTATGCTATGATGATATCCGCCACACCAGCCCATTCCTCCACGGATCAAGCCGGCCGATGCACCTCATACATGAAGCGGTGAACTTAAACTTACCCCAAGTTGGCTGAGTGCATCATAAGATGCCATGAAATATAGGCAGCCTTATTTTCTTATTGTCGGCATCATTCACTTTTGTTTAGATGTCCGTTGTCGCTCGCCCCATGCGGTCGTTGTGATACCCTCTAGGTAGATATCTAACGCAACTTACCTCGACACGGGGCAAGTGGAGGGGCGGTTCCATCGTTGATTCGAGTTGATTCGACAATCCCCGACATAAACAGTTGTCTGACATACGTGCTTACCCGGCAGGAACAGGAAACGCGGCCTGGCTTATGGCCTTCCGATCTTGGGGGTCGCGGCGTCTGTTTGGATAATTATTTCAGCATTTCGAGATGAAGACGATGACGACTGGTTATAAAGATAATCTAGGGGTTCGCATTAATACCCTTTGTTGGCCAATTGCAATACCTAGCACCGAGTTGCGGTTCTGATTGGAAGCAAAATCGCAATTCTAATTCAGGACGTCTTCCTGTCCCGGAATGTGGAGAAGGGAATGATAGGCTTTGAAAGCTTCCATGGCGATATCGCCGTCGTCGCTAAATCCTGGTAGCCCATAAAATCCAGCCCTCCTTTCTTGGCTCGACCAGCCCTGCAAAACTTAGTGCGACGCAAACCGCCGTAGTTGCGTACTTGGTCGACCTCGACATGTACGGTTGAGCTCTGGTACCTACCGAGATGCACGTTGTATGCGACCTAACTGTGTCCTACGAACCCACATATATAGACTTTCTATTCTATGGGTGCCCAATCGTCGGAAGGGAAAGTAACCTTGTACCAGTTTCTTGTGATGCATACCTAACTTAGCAGAGGTAACTAATGGTTAAATATCCCATCTAAACTAAGATTTGCTCTAGGATGCACTAAAATGAGACTTGCTGCTGTACTGGGAAAGCAACTCATTGACGACATCGTGAGCAGACATCTAATGCGCTGCTATATCAACAGTCCCAAAGCTCGAGTATCCCGTCCGGTTCGGAAGGGGACGTGGGATATCCCCCCCATCTTCCCCTCCGGATCAACACCCTGCTGACACTTGGGCAGAGGTGCAGCCGTGCAAAGCTCAAAAAGTACTTGTTTGTAGTTCCTTATCCAGGCCAGCTGGAAATTTACCTATTCGATCAAAGCAGCCTACATACAGCAGCATTGCGCCGTCACTTTCATCCTCCTAGAGCTGCCCGGGAATTCCGTATCACGTCGATGGCAACCCAGCACTTGCAGACTACCATGTGTTGGGCTGAACTTTTCAATTAGGATCGTAGCAGTCTTTATCGTCACTCCCCTCCATGAAGTTGTGCCATCTCACATATTATGCAAGCCTTGGGCGGGTAAGTCGCGGTTTGCGCAGTCTAGGAAGAGGTCCGTCACTCCTGTTTCAGGTAGGCAGATCATTTTCATCAGCGACACGTTGTCAACTCGACCGTCCAGGCGTCGCCGGCACTCTAAGGAAACTATCATGTGGCATGTGGAGTCCTCAGTGCATGCCAGGGACCCCGCCCTCGGAACATCTGCCGATAAACGAGGCAGATACTATGCATTCCGTGATATCTTTAGGCCATATTTCTTGGAACTTTTCTCAATGAGCACAATACAGGGATGTTGTATTGATGACAGGTTATATCAGTGTGCCTCTTAGATGCAGAGTCAGCGTAAGCCGCCCTATGTGATCAGATCATTTACGACCAGTCAAAGCAGTCAACCCTTCCCGCGGCCTACCCTCCAATCGCTACCGCTTGCAAACGTTGATCATGACAGCCTTGACAGAAGCCTGTCGTTGGGCACTGAGACGCCTTTGACGCTAGGCCCCGCCGCCTGCACCTCCAATTGTACAACGCATCAACACCATCTTTTCGATATCGCTGTGGCTTTGCCGGCGCCGTGAAGGCAGGCGCTATACGGCACAATCTAATCCACCTCAACGTCGTGCGACAAGTCAGTCCAGCTGGATCTCGATCGAACTTCTAATATAGTTATAGTGCCCAAAAAGACCAACACATTCCATGAATCAGTTGTGTTAAAATGCTGTCTGACTTGGTAATCATCCATTAGCCTACTCATTTCGGAGCATCTGTCGAGAGAGCATCGAAGACACTCCTACCCGTATCGTAACCTTAACATGGTTCCTAGAACAACGCCTCTGCATTGCAGCGTCGAGGCTGCGTCACGACTGTACGACCTGGATATTATTCTTCTTCTGTGCAAACAGTCATGTAAGTTCATAAATCTAGTCGAAACATATCAAGCTAGAAATCCCAGGTCTGGGAAGATGACGTACCTTCCATTTCTCTAGGTCATCCTGCTTGATCTTGTACTGTTTGACCAAGTCCTCGAGTACTTTCTTCAACCCCTCGGCGTTAGTCCTCAAAGCAGGGATTACGTCCTGGACTGTCCTCTCCACCAGCACGCCGTTGATCATGCGGAAACATTTACGATCCCCAGGAAGCGGTTCCAAGGTATCAAGAACAAGCCTAGCGAGACAAGTTAGTCGATGGATGGGCGGTGAGTTCAGCAAGTGAAGCGGTGAAGTCCGTGAGAAGATCTGATCAATCCGCTAGAAGTAAGAAACCCTGGTAAGGCTGAGGCCATGCGAGCGGATTGCCATGTGGTTCCATGCGGTGCCATGCCCTGTCATACCGGGAAAGCTCACAAGCATGATTGGGTGATGTCAGAAATATGAGAATTAGAAGAAGAGTCTCACGAACTTGTGTTCTTCGGCTTCTTGCTCGACATCACCAATCTTCTGGGCGAGTTGTTGCAGTGTATTCTTATAGTTTGAGTATGTTGTTTGCAACTCTATGGGATAGAATCAGCGAAAGTTCTCTCAGTCGTCGTGTAAACCGTCTTCTTGTTGACACACCTTGCTGCTTCTTAGCCGATATGCCTTTAGAGGCCATGGTTTCTAAGGAGGTAGATATGTGGTTGGGCACTGTAAGGAGATAAGGCTCGGCCTCGGTGTATGAGGATGGAGTTGATATGGAGAATTATAGACTATGTTAAAGATAGGTAAGGTCCAAACTGAACTGAAATCTAGCAGGCTTCGAATTAATTGACGTTTTGGTGGATGTGAGCCACTAGAAATTAGTTCATTGGAGGGGCTGAGGGGTCAAAAAAAGGGCTGGAGGTGTTGATGGTTGATTTGTGGAGCCTATAAAGTGGCCCATGCTTACCTAGCCTAACTCTATTCCTGTCGCGACTATTTTTTGGTTCAGTTGGTTTTGCGACTGAGAGTGGCACCGTTCAACTCAAATCAAGACCAGTCAAGACCAGTCAAGACTCATCCCATCATCCCTACACCTCGTCTTAGTCTTAGGTACTTTCGCAAGACATTTCAAAATGCATCCGCACTTACACACAAAGGATAACATTGGTATATATACCTCTAAAATCTTCAAATACCTAGACGTATAAGAGTCCGTGGACAACTTCGCTAACGGACGCATCATGCAGCCTGCGAGGAGGTTATGACCGCCCTTGAGGAATGTCACGCCAAAGGCTTTCTCTGGAAATCAATGGGCATGTGCAACGACGCCAAACATCAAGTCACCCTATGCCTTCGAGCCGAGAGACTAAAGCGTACCGCAAAGAATCGCGAAGCTGCCAAAGCTCGACGTGACTCGATTAAGGCCGCGTGGGCCGAGATCGATGAAAACTCATGACGAATAACTACATATATCGCGAGTCCTGCTAGTCTGTTGTATCATAGCGAGGTTAAATAAAGGGTATTCTTGGGCATGGTACGGCATGGCGTTATAAAATGGTCCACATCAGCACATCAGTTTCCACCTCGCTTTACATTGGCAACATGGCTTTCTTTCTTTTTTTGCCATGGATATTTGATACTTGAATGGTACTTGTATTCCACTCTGGATATGGTTCTTAAACATGATTGTTCTTGAACTTGTTTCAATCAGCACCAACTGGAATTTGACAGCTACATAAAACTTGGCCCGAACCCATTGCGACTGCGCCAGTAATAATCGAAAACGTCGACTCCCGTCTACGATCAACCTATCCCTCACAAAGTCTTTCGGAAGGCGTTACCGAAAGCCAACAGGCCAAATATAGAAATGAAGCTTAGTACGGTCGGGACCGGTTTTCCGCTACGAAGGGCTCGAGGAATAGAGGAACCACCAAGTATAGCAGAGGCGAGAAGAGCAAGTTCGATACCGAACGGTTGACGCGATTGCAAACGATAACCTCCCAAACCGTCTTTGCGACATCAAGTTAGCTCGACTGCACTTTACGAACACACTTCATCTTCACTTGATAGCTGTTGACGTACACAATATGCCAACTGTCCACCCAGCAATGACGGAGGGGAGGGATCCAGTCTTGACATAGCCCATAGTACCGCCGCCGGCGGTCAAGGCGCCCAAGACGAATGCGATGGTCTCCAAAGCCTTGTCGCGGACCCCCACGTTAGCTTCGACTGAATATAGCAATCGGGTTTGTCGAACTCACCATTGTTTCTTCGATACTAGATGATCCGAAAATTGCAGAATAATGAAGCAGTTATATAGACGTTCCTTGAGCTTTGGTTGGCCGGTATCAATGGCGTCTTTAGAAATCAAAATCGTAAAAAGGTAGACAAAGGTCAGGGCTCTAGGTATCATAGATGATGAGAGCAACTCGGAAGGCCGGACCCCCGGGACCGTAGCGCCGAGGGGGGATGCGATAGATCTGGCAAATCAGGATCGCAGATTCAATTAGAAGGTACGAGATGGAACTGTGACCACTGTAACCATTAACCTTCACAGCCTTCAACAGGTACCGTACTGTGGCGGAAGCTCTACTGTTTCAGCCACATTTACCCCATGGTACCTGACTTCACGTATCCACCATAGGCCTGTTTAATCCTGTTAATTGGTTGATTTTGTTGTTGATGTGAACTTGTCAACTTTTTGAAGCTTTCGTGTCCCTTTACTCGTAATTCCCGGGACCCATTATTTCGATGATTGAAGAGTAACTCAACACTTCACCACCTTCCAACACAAATCCCACGGCTACTACCACCGGAAGTGCTCGATTTAGATTAGGTATAACCACGATGGCGCCTAAAAAGTCCGCCGCTGCTGCTTCCAATCCTGCGCCTGCGCCCGCGCCAACCACGTCAACGACCACTACCACTACTACTACTACTAATACAGCTCCCAGCGTTGCCGTAGCCAAGCCTAGCGCTAGCGATCCTCAGTCGATCAACCAGGTATCATGGAACATAGTCGAGCACTACCAGAAGACGACGCCCCAACGCACCAAGCTACTTGACGTGTTCATGGCGTTCCTAGTCGTCGTCGGTGGTCTCCAATTTGCGTACTGTATTCTGGCAGGCAATTACGTATGTGTTTTTTATTTTTCCGCAATGCTCTGCTCCTTGGAGAATGGCATGGGTGTGTGTATACGTATGCCTGTCTGCCTGCTAACTAACTGCTCTTTGATACTTGCAGCCATTCAACGCTTTTCTTTCGGGCTTCTCGGCGACAGTTGGTCAGTTCGTCCTCACTGGTATGTCTTCCTGGAATGAATTGGATTGACGTGGGGTGGTGGAAGGGTGTTAACCATGGAACAGCGTCCCTACGTATACAAACCACGGAAGCGAACAAGGCAGAATTCCCTTCGGTGTCGCCAGAGAGGTACGGCTCCTACATACCTATCCGCATACGCAGATCTATAAAGCTAACATGTCTGCGTAGGGCATTTGCAGATTATGTCGTCGGCAGCTTGATTCTGCATTTTTTCTGCGTCAACTTCATAAACTAAGCGAGCCACGTCGGAAGGGATATATGGAGGGTAGTAAGGAAACCCAATGGTTTCCGGGTTCCTCTTACGAAGGGGGAAGTCTCTGTATCAAGAGACACACTACGGGTCATGACCAATGTATAGCAAGCAAATGAATAAACCATGCTTCTTCTTTTGAGTCTCTCGCTCTCTTGCTGTATTACGTCTTCCATTTTAAATCGTTGCGCTAAGTCTAGTCGACGTCACCATCATTATTATCATCTTTCCCACCGTCAGCTTTTGGCTCCTCGGCCTTTGGAGGCGCTTTCGGAGGACCACCGCCGGCTTTAGGAGGCGGCGGAGGCGGCGTCTTGCTACTAGATATGTTCCGATCCAACTCCCTGCTCTTCTTCTCCTCTTCCGCAAAGTAGTCGTCCATCAAGCTCTTCGGAGCGTGCCCGTGCCTCTCTTTCTTCTTCGAGCGCGGCGGCGCGCCGCTGCCCGATGGCGGAGGCGTGCTGCTGACTAGTTGCGCGGGAACGAGGAAATCAGACGACGCCGCTGGGACGAACGTGCTTGAAGCGTCGCCCGGCGCCGGCGCCAAGGTAGTGAACTGCTCCGCGCTCGCGCCGACGTTAGCCGTCGCACCACTGCTGATGTCGTCCCCGTCGAACATCGTCTCCCCCGGCGCGTGCACAGGCTCGCTCAGCGGCGGGGGCAAACGGTGCAGCGCGCCGAACCCCAGGACGCAGCCCAAGGCGCCCTCGCCGCCCCAGGCGCGGCTCGGGACGATCTGCAGCTCGCGCGTGACGTTGTACTCGTTGTTGTAGACCCACAGGCGCAGGGGGCGCTCGAGGTAGTCGTCGACGAGCTCGCCGAGCCCGCCCTCGCCGTGCAGCACGCCGTCCGGGGTCCCGAGGATGTAGTCGCTGTAGGGCAGGAGGCCCGCCCGGTCGGCGGGCGAGTTCGCGGCCACGTCGAGCACGTGCCAGACGTTGGAGGCGACGGCTAGCGGCGTCCACTGCAGCGACAGGCCGAGGGATCGCGTCGAGGGCGGGACCGGCACGTGCAGCACCCGCGTGCGCTGGCCTTTCGCGCTCCAGAGCCCCAGGGCTACGGTGCCGCCGGCGCAGTTGCGGATCTCTTGCGCGAAGAGGCGGGGGTCGGGGTTGTCCTGTTTTTTTGGGAGGGGTTGCGCGACTCGGCGTTAGTCGTAGGTATCTAATTCTGCATTTCTGCTCTTTCGCTGCTTGGAGGGGAAGGGAAGGGAAGGGAAGGGAAAGGGTCTTACGATGACGCGGCCGTTTATCCCGACGATAAAGTCGAACCACGGCTCGATACCTAGCTCGAGGTTCGTGTTGCGCAACACCTGGAAGCCATATCCCGGACCATCTTTCTGCTGCGGTCGCGCATCGCCGTCGAGGCGCGAGAGGTAGCGGTTTAGGGCGTTAAACATGGTAGATGTGTCGTTACGGGTTCATGTGGAAGGGAGTAGTTGTAGTGTTATTTTCTAGGTACTTAACCCAAGGTATTGGAAGTTATGAAAGTTTAGGTATTGCTTGGTCAGGTACCTAATCATCTGAAGTACTGTAACACTTTACTAAGATGTTGGTATGCACCTGCTTCGGTTCAACATGAAGTCACAGCTTATCAAGAAAGCTGTCATTTCCTAAGCTCGCTATCAGCTTTACGCTGGCTAGGTTGCTAGGTTGCTAGGCTAGGCGCTAAACGTTAACAGTGGTCAAAGCTTTCATCATAGGCAGCTGAGAGTGGGTCTACAGTCTCTATCTCAATTGCTGTTAGCCTCCTCTACTTCAATCAACTTCAACTTTATTTTCCACTTAAGAATTTAATTACTAATAATTGCACCATTCTTGTTCATCCGGTATTTCTTAGATCGGTGGTAGTTTAGTTATTCTTATCCCGCAGATATACATGCAAAATTACTAATAACTTTGGATTCAACAATTACCTTAGGTACTAGGTACTCATATTCAAGGTTTTCAAAGGCCAATTAGGTACTAAATAGGCAGCTCATGCATCCTGGTCCAGCACTCTCAAGATGAAACGAGTGAACAAGCTCCCCCTGACCAGCGACTGTCATCACTGGACGCGTCTGGCCGAAGTGCCTTGGGATTTACAGAAGTAAGTTATTATATCGGAATGTTGAAATACTTACCTACCTAGCAATTCTATTGTGAGTACCAATGGTTTACTAACACGATCTTCAAGGTACTGGCAGCAAAGATACACCATCTTCCCCTATTATGATGAAGGCATCTACGTTACCCAAGATGCCTGGTTTGGCGTCACTCCCGAACCGGTCGCCAAGTAAGTTTCATGTTTCAATTCCTATCTAGATCCTCTGCTGCAGCATCCCAGTCTTAATACCATCTGACAACGTTCTTCTTATTCTAGCCAGATCGCCCGAGACATGGGTTCTATTATTAGCAAGTCAAAGACCACGGTCATAGATGCCTTCGCTGGCGTAGGCGCAAATTCCATTGCTCTGGCCTTGTCTACAGCTGAAGACGGCTCGACGCCCCGCTGGGACAAGGTGATCGCCATCGAGCTGGATGCAGCCACTCTCGCCTGTGCTCAGCATAACGCTTCATTGTATGGTGTGGCTGACCATATCATCTGGGTCCTAGGCGATAGCTTCAAGTTTCTAGATGCCTTAGTGAACGCGCCACATAAACTAGAGGATGACGTACGAGTAGACACGGCGTCTACGGCCGTGTTTGCATCACCGCCTTGGGGCGGGCCAGGATACAGGACCGATGAAATATTCGATTTGAATACCATGGAGCCTTATAACTTAGCCCAATTACATGGCGCCTATAGAACTATGGATCACGCCCTTTATCTGCCACGCACAAGCGATATAAGGCAGATCGCCAAGCTAGCACCCGATGGGACCAAAATCGAAGTTGTCCAGTACTGCGTCGAGGGTGCGAGTAAGGCCATGGTAACTTATATACCCGCCACCAAAGACGACGACATATCTATGGAGATTTAGCCTTCTAGCCCTTTTACTCGCTTGTCTCAATTTCGTCACTAGGTTGCGTTGCTCAGTTCAGTCCGCGATCAGGTCCGTACGTTATGAAATCGGTCTCTGGAAATAAATTTTAATTCATGTCTCATAAGACACTAGCCGTACTACTTCCACGGAACCTGGCCTCCCCCCATTGGCTCCATTGTGCTGCGACGGCTAGCTACACTATATTCGCTCATACTATACTGGCTAGCCCTATATTGGCTGTTCCAATGTTGGCTGGCCCTGTACTGACTCTGCCTATTCTGAATATCCAAATGCTGATTCTCCATGGGTGGAATCTCCACCGGAGGGCTCTCTACCCGGGTGCTCTCTATTGGAGGACTCTCTACCGATCGACTTTCCGTGAGGCTTCTTTGTCTATACTGGCTCTCCATAAATTGGTTTCCCATGAACTGACTTATCCTCTGCTCGTCCGCCATATCGTTGGTAGCTCTGCTACCTAATCTTTTTTCTATTCCATCCCGTAAAAACGTTACAGGGTGCGCAACACACAACCCAACAACAGCTTCCGCAACAAGAAAACTGTCTAGGCCCGCAAAGAGCGCCTGGTTCTTCGCGGTCCAGCTCCCTAACCCGTTGGCTAGCACTACCGTCTGGTAAAGTGCTCTCGCAAATAAGCACATGGCGGAAAGCAATAGCATAGCAAGGAAAAACTTGAATCTGTAGGCCATCGGGACGTAACCATGAACCGGATGGAACGTCGTATATCCGAATTGGCTGTTTGCTACGGCAGCTCGGAATAAAACTACACCGAATAGCCCTATATGAATGAGTAAGGAAATGGCTTGTATCGCCATGCCAGTGGCGATAATGGGACTACCGACACGGGAATTATGGCCGAGGCCCGTGTCGGAAGAAATATCTGAGAAGGAGACGACAAGTCCAATGAATTGAAAGACGAATCCAGCTGCGTCGATCCAAGTTAGGACTATATAGCGCCAGACAGAGATTGGCGAGTGTTCCGCTCCTAGGATTTTGATTGCTTCGGGTATGGTCAAGTAGATGCTATAAACAAATCAGTACATTATCTAAGGGTTGTGAGCATAAATTATGAAAGGGATGATCCCACTCACGCTGCCGATATAAAAGCTGGTGGTATTATGATGAATGCTGTCGAGGCCGCGTATAAAGAGACATCCCATGGATCCGAAGCGCTCCCGATTCGTATGGCGTAGCCGATGCTCTCAAGGAGACAACCTATCGAGATTGGAATACTGAATTCCAGCCATCTATTCATCTCGGCTAGATAGAACGAGTAGACCAGACATGCGACGAAGGACCCAAGGTGGATGATGAAGAAGATGACTCCTGCTGCTGCACTTGGCGGGTAACCGTACGGGGATGCGGCGACTGGGCATGTTTCGAAAGTACACGAAGCTATGGACCTCATCGTGAGTCGAAGAGGTGATCTCGAAGATCTACGGGCATTTCAACCCACAGAAGAGAAACGGTATTCGACGGGGGAGACAAAGGCGAGGGGGACCGGCGATGGGGCAAAGGAGCGATAATAAGTAAAGGTGACCCAGTTGCAGCTGGACATGTGCTATGCAGAGCTTGAATCAAGAATATTCCTTACAATTTACCCGGGTACAGGATGAAGCTGGCGCAGTTGCTGTAGTTTCAACCGCTGCATAGCTCTTCAAAAATAGGTACCAAAGGTACCTAACGTGATCACTTACCAGGTAGCTACGAGGAGCTGGGTCTTAAGGGTAAGTATTATATCCGAAACATGATCGTTTAGGGTAGATCTTGATCCTACTGTACTTTAACTCGGAGGCTTAATATCTTCTCATTACTGCATAATACCTAAGTCCGGCACCACCCGCAATTATCCATCACCGTGAACAGCGGCATGGCTAATCTACTTAGCCCAAGGATCGCTCTGACGGGGGGGAGGTCAAGGGGTGGCTGTGCCATTTATAAATATAAAGTTAAGTTAGGTGGAATTGCTGGAAATGTCACAGATCTAAGGCTGACAAGCCATCCGGGGCCGCTACCGAATGTCACCAAAAACAACTGCCTAGCTGGGCTTACGCCGTGCCTAGGGTTACATCTAGCTAAGGTATCTTCTATCTCACCTGGCCGAGAGCTAGGCATCGCGGCCCCAGCGTTGCCTTTTCGCTCTTAAGCTTACAAAGTCCTCCTGATAAAGCAGAGAATTGACGCCGGCTTTACGAGGAGTTACTATTCTTCATTATACTTACCTACATTGCATGCGATATTTCAATAGCTCTTACGTAGGTGGTCTAGACTTGTACAATCTTCCCAAGCCTCCCTAGACTCTATATATATTCCGCAATTAGCCTACCAAAATCTATCGTATGCATTATACTTTCTACGCAAGATGGCTATCTAATTGCCTATCACGGTTATTTTCTTATTACCTAGTACGCCGATTCCGCTTTTAAAGCTTAAATTTTATTCTCGAACAATAATTGAAAGCTTTGAAGAAGCTAAAATCAAGGGACGACCCATGACGAATTAGGCATAGGTAATTCATTAATTAAGCTCCTGCGCCGTTGAGATCCTCTTGGCAAGGCTAATAATCAATGATATTAAGACCATCTTAAGAAACTTCCCACAATTATGATATAATAGAGACTGCAAAGGGCTACATATTTGCAGGTACCTATCACTACCTCGATGGTGTTAGGTATAATATAAAAAACCGAGACCAGCAAGGCCGCATGCTTGGGTAGTATTACATTACCTGGTACTCGCGTCTAACAGCGAATTGTCGCTTCTCGTCTCCTGCCGCGCCTACAAGATCGGGGGCTTAGGGGGGCTGACTTCATACACATACTGTATCTCCTAACTTACCTGAACCTTGGACCTGGAGTTATTGTGCAGTCACACATACATACTACACTACACGTAACGGCGTGTAGTCGGAATAGAGAACTGGGCTTACCCACATCAAACCGTCGTCTAACATGCAAAGCAGGCCAGCACCAATTTAGCCCGCGTCGAAAGTACCAGGCTTAGCGTAAAGCATGGTCGCGTACGCGCGTCTAACGGCGAAAGAAAAGGTCCTAGTTAGGCTCAGGTACATGCGGCCGCGGCAATTTGCCCATACGTACGGAGTTATCATTGAATCTATCTATTTCAAACGATTCCGATGCCAGACATCGTTTGCTTAAGAGGTATGCACCTATAAGAATGGCCGTTGGCCAAGCACGTGGAATTCGCTATGAGGCGTCGGACTAACCCCTAAGATGACGTCGTAGCTAGGACTTGGGTATTGTATTGTACATACGGTCCCGAATACTTAACTGCATAGCGTATAGACAGTTGGTAAGTCAGTCAGTTAGTCTTCGTCGCGGTTATTAAATGCGCTGCTACATACCTCCTAACCTAACCTCTAGGTACCTACGTACCTGTTATAAGCAGAGCTCCAACCTAAGTGGCATGACATGTAGCGCGCTGCTTTAAGCATTCTGCTGCCAGTTCTGATTCGGCCGTCGATCTTCTGTTATGCCTCCTATTTCTTGTCACAAGACTTAGGTACCTAAGGCAAGTAAATAAGTTAGGCATTGCTAACCGAAATATGTTAGATAGAGTAAGTGTAAACCACTTCGGGATACAGGTACAGTATGTGACTTATCTGAGGGCAGCCTTTCTCGACCCGTCTTTCCCGGCGCCACTTAGATAGCCATGTCCGTTTCTTCCGGTATTCTAACCTAGGTACCTAATATATATTCTACGGTACGTCGACGTGGATTCCGGGAGGAGAATGTCAGAAGGGAGAATATTATATTAGGCAAGTATTGAAATGCGTTGCGGGACGTGTTAGGAGGATGTATTAAGCTACGGACGTAATACGTTCATGGGTATTAAACAGTATTTAGGGGGCTGGCTTACCTTGACCTTGAAAGGGCGAGTTGGTGATAAGAGAGAAGGTGAAAATGGAAAATATGTAGATATTTCCAACATGTTGTTTTGGATATGTGTGATTTAATATATTTGGTTTATAAGATCTTGCTTGTGGTGTTACTCCAAGGGGTGGTCATACATCAGGGGGTCACCCACGTGACGTCCATCTTCCAGACCACAGCCAACGTTGTAGGTAAAAAGCGTGCCGTTTATTTTTTCCGCATCAAATGCTCCTTTCATTGAACACATGTTTCTCCTGACCGCTGTGGACATATATCTTTTACCTGTTGGCGTTCTTGTTCCTACGTTCATAGGAGTTAAAGGTTCTCATCGCAATTTCTACATCAGCTGGTTACATATATGACGAAGACTTGATTCCCGATACTTGCGACATGATCCATGATGACATCCTTGTTGCCGTGCTCCCAACAAACCTCGGCGACGTATTTGCCGACTCGTCAGGGGTTCTCTCCTTGCTGCTCAAGCTCCGGAATCCGAACCACCTCGAGGGTTAATCGATCCCAGGGGTTTTTACGACTGTGAGATGATACAGGATTGAAATTTATAGTTACGTCGGGTCGGTGTAATAGAAAAATGATATGGTGCAGAATACTGGGAGTACACCCACGCCGTTATGTATCATGGGCCCGCCTTTCGCAGCAGGGCAAAGAAAGACTCTGTTCAAAAGGCGACTCACGTAAGTACGTGTTGGCAACCGTCGAAACTATATGCGGCTGAAATCATGGTCTTAGACCACTCCTCCTTGGTCGTCCCAAATGGCTGTCGGCCAAATATGGGGGTGTAGTCGAGGGCGACCCGAGGAGCATAATGTCTTTGAGGAGGCCATCCATCGACTTGCGATCGCAGTGAAAGGTCTTATGAGCGATTGTATGTTAGTTAAACTAGTTGCTTGAATATTATCTGAAGGTGTTAAGGATCAATTTTATATGTACGAGCCGAGTCACTGTATCCTGGATATTGGCCCGGTTAAGGAGGTATGTCCCCATGTCGTAAGGGATAGCCGTTTTTTGTTTCTACTGTCATGTAATTGCTTCGGTATAGTTCGCTTCAATAAATATTTGGCGAATGGATAAATAGTCTAATACAGGCGGATACAGCTTACCTCTAAATACTGGCTACTCGGTTAACATCTGAGCCTCGTGTGATATGAAGTTCCGCCTCGTGATGTGCGAAAAGTGATCCATACTGATTTGGTAGATATCAAGTCCAATTCGCTCCATTCACTTCTACTAGTTCATTCGCGCCAATGATATCAATGGAAATCCATTACCCTTGAGCCTTCCGCTTCTAATAACATGTCCTATTTTGTCTTCGAGGCACCAAGGCCTTCATACTTGTTGCGTATAGCAGGACGCCCAGAAGAGGTTCTCTAAGCAGGATATGGTGATGGATAGAATATGCCAAGGGAAGCCTCTTATAGTCACTTACTTCAACTAGCCGAGCAAACGACGTAGCCTGCATTGTTATCCCACGCCACTCCGACCAACACAGGTACTCACCTCCTTTGATCCCAACTAAGACTTACGGGCAAGATGTTAGACCTATTGATAGCTCACATGCATAACTTACCCATGTTGACGCCATATGTTAATGCACATAACCTTTCTCCGATGGACGGCTCAGTTATGCCTAACACCGAGAGTTAATGATGGCCCCCAATGTCGTTGTTTTGTCGAAATCGTCGGACCCGTTGTCTCGGGCCCTTTTCTTCGGTCTTCCCCTCTCTGGTACTGAAATCACATCTTGAAGATACCGCTGAGCTAGAAAATTCTCTACAACATGAAGAAGCATGAGCGTGAACGGGAGCGGGAGCGAGATCGCTCGCTACCAAGAAATGTCATAATCGTAAGCTATACCTATCATCGAGCACTGTTTTGCAACTGCTAACGTTTATGCCCTGGAATAGGTCGGCGGATCACTATCCGGACTGATGCATGGCATAATGCTCCACCGTCTCGGAAATACAGTCCGGATTTTCGAGCAGTCGCTTACCCATACGCCTGCCTCTCATATGGCCGGGGTATGTCTCGGCCTCGACGTGCAGCATTTTCTAAAGCGCTTCGACCTCATCCCAGAGCGCCCCTTAGGTATTCAAAGTGTTCAATTGCAGTCGCTGGATGAAAATGGCCAGGCCAATCCTTTCCTTCCGGTAAACCGCATCATGTCTTCTTGGGATGCGCTCTATTTCCGCCTCAGAGCTAATTTCGACATGCGGTCGAGCGAATACGTTCCGCATCCGCCGGAACTAGACTCTCTCGCAGGCGAGGGTGCAGAGAGCGCTCGAGCAAGAGCACGATATGAAGTAGGGAAGCAGGTTACAGGCGTAGAACAGTTAAAGACGGGCCAAATAGCGGTTCGTTATAAGGACCATGAGGACGGTGGGAAGGAAGCGCAGGCGCTAGCAGACTTAGTCCTTGGTGCTGATGGACCAAACTCGATAGTTCGCAAGAGCCTGTTGGAGCCAGGTCAGGCAGACAGGAAATACACGGGGTATGTGGCATGGCGAGGTGTAGTTTCGGAAGAGCAGGTTAGCGAGGAGACTCGAGAAGTCTTTGGAGCCAACATCACTTATTCGATATTAAAGGAGGGTGTCGGGCACGTCATAGTGTAAGTTATAAGTGGTTAACACCAAACCCTACAATCTTGACAGCTACTGATCCACTGTGCACCTAACCCAGCTACTACATCCCAGGAAAAGGCGGTTCCATCGAGCCTGGCAAGCGGCTCTTGAACTTCTGCTGGTATACGAACGTCACAGGCTCCCCCTTGGATTCGACCATGACCGACATTGATGGTACACGGCATCATACCAAACTACCCGCTGGACAGGCCCGGCCCGAGGTTTGGGAGGCCCAGAAGGCGAAAGCTAGCACGCTATTTGCCTCTCCGTATTTAGACATCATCGAAAACATCAAATTACCCTTCGTGCATCTCATCACGGATTACTGTTCTCCACGCGCCTCCTTTGCCGGAGGTAAAGTCCTGCTGGTCGGTGACGCGCTCACCCTGCTGCGCCCGCACACTGCTTCTTCTACGAGCCAAGCAGCGTACCATGCCCTCCTGACGGAGGAACTCGTAACTGGAAGGCTGACCCGGGAGGAATGGGAGTACAAGGTCACGACCGTTGCATACCTGCAGTGGAGACGAAGTGCGTGGTTTGGAGAATATTTTCAGCGGCCCCTTTACCGTTCGATCGGGTCGGGTATTCTCTTCTGGGCCGCCGCTGCCTTGGCGAAGATGAGGAGTTGGATGGGTTGGTTGCCACCGCAAGAGGTTTAAATGTCGAGCTGGGCGCAGGTATTAACGGTAGTTTCAGTGTCTGTTCTGTGTTTGGTAATGATGCAGAAAGGGGTATGGTAGAGCTTTAAGGAGAGTACCTACAGTAAGGTTACAATTACTGTTTTCAATATATTTACTTCATCGACTTATCTAACCTAATTGTCTCGTCGTCTCCCCGGTTAAGCATGAATGTGCTTAGGGCAAAATAGCACAATGATTAATATGTTGAATTAGGTACCTGTCTTACACGCCCAGTACCATGTTAATATTCTCATTACCATTACCATTATCATTACCATTCCTGCCATTACACATCTCATGTATTGTACATAAGGCAACAAATGATGCCTAGGCAGATCCCTTTTGTAAGGAGTCTCACTTGAGACTCCTTGGAACAAAGGAGATATTTTGTATATAGCTTTGGCTTCAATGCAACTGTAGTTAGAGTTCCTTGCGGAACAACAAAGTTGTTTTACCTACTGCATGCTCTGCGACGTGACACCTTTAGAATTCTGGAGCCCCCCACCACCGCCGCCAATCTGATAATACCGGATCGTCGCATTGAATGTCCAAAAGCGCTGTTCGTGTTCCATGCGGTGAATGGATACGCAATATTGAGTTATCTTTGATTTCCATCCAAATGTGATTCACGAAACTGCGACGCAATAAAATCCCATAGAGAGACCGTATATACTGGTGAGGAATGCGAGGAATTTTTGTCCGTCCGATTGCTTCTTTGATTTCCACTGAAACCCCCAAAGCGTCAAGGACTTTTTCTGCACAACTTGGGTGGTAATTTGCTATTTTTGCTGGAAATTCATTTCGGTATCGACTTTCTAAATTTGTGAGTATGGTTATGAAGGATATCGCAACATCATAGGGCAACTTCGGCATTCTTGACATGACGGGGTAGGTCTCGTATAGAATCGTACCAACATCACCTGCGAGAAGCTGTGCCTTTATCAGGCTTTGCAGTTCCTGCAACATCACATCAACCTCAGACCGAATATCCCCTTCCTTATCTTTGAGCATTGATGCAATGGCCGTTGTAACGTCTGTTGGATGTGTCTCATAGTTGGCTCTCAACAATGCTAAAATACGCGGCACATCCGTCTCTAGTAGGTTCGATTGCCTACTCAAGAGGAAAGCTACTTCGTAGCGGACATATTCGTTTGCGTCATCAAGAAATCCACTTATGATTGCAATTGTCTCCTTTGAAAAGTCCCTTTGGGATCGTAAAAGAAAAGTGACATCTGAGAGGATCTTTCTATTTTCGCTGAGGAGCAATGTTACCAAAGCTCTGATGATAGGTCCCGGCAAATCCGTACTGCCATTTGACTTCAAGATATGTATGGCCGCGTGTTGAGCTTTGGGGTTTTCATCCTCCAATAGTTGTACGAGACCTGGAGTGATAATCTCTGAAAATTTCAAGTGGTCTTCTATTATAAGCAGGACATCTCCTCTGTTGTCTTTTGTCTTTGGGAGTAATTTTATGAGGGCTAGTATCGCGTTTTCCGATAGGCTCGATTGCTCTTCTAAAGCTTCGATAGCATAACGTCTTGTGGTGCGGGTTTTATATTCTATAAGGGTTAGAAGAGCTGTAATAGTTTGTTCCGACAAAATAGATTGGGTTTTAAACGCTATAGCAGCGATATATTGCTGGAGTGGATCGGGACTTTCCGTCAGCTCTTTAAGACTCCTTTTCGTTTCTTTCGACAGGCTTGTTTGGTAGGCTAAGGCTTCCGCAGCCGTTATTTGAACGTCCCAAGGCGTGTTAACTAGCAGTTGCACAAGGGTTTGAATAGTTTTTTCCGGTAAATCTGAATTTCTAGCCATGCTATATATAGCTTTCTCGTGGATCCAGGTTTCCCTCGATACCACCATTGTCGTGAGAGTTCTGATTGTTTCTCTTGACAGGTTTCTTTGGTTTCTTAAGACCTCGGAAATAGCATTTTTCGTTTTCCAGCCAGCGTTTTGGATCGATTCGACCAAGGTTGCGACAAATTCCTCGGGTAAGTCTGATTGATTTACTAGAGCAGTAGCAGCGGCATATGCGACAGGCTCATATTCATCTTGTACTATTTCCACCAATTTTGCGATAGTTTCGCCTGGTATATTTGATTGCGCTGCTATGACTTGGGAGATATGGTCTGCATTCCGTTTATATATGTCTCCCTTCGTTAGTATTAGCATAAGACGAGCTATAGTCTGTTCTGATAAGTTCGATTGATTCCGAAGAGCTTCAATGGAAGTATCCCTGATATCCTCGTCTCCGTATGTAATTAATTCTTCCAAAGCTGCGACTACCGCCGTGGAAAAGGGCACCTTCCGCCCATAAGCAAGTGCATTTAGAATTATCTTTTTTTGCTCCGTAGAACCTTCCATCTTTAAATCAGCAATGAGTGCACGATCTGGAAACTCAGGTTCTGTATGTAAGGATGGAAAACGATTGTGATCCACCTCGAAAAGTAGCCACTGTCTTAGCTTCTCTTCCAGCTCCGGTCGAGATTGCAAATCGGTCGAATCTCCCGTTTCGCTCAAGCAATGCATGACTAGTCGCTGGTGCACAGGCCCTAAAATATCACGAGGTTCTTGTTCGATTAAATCGAAAAAGTGCTGTAATCCCTCGCCCCTGAGCAAGCCTGCAGTGAAGCGCCATACTATGTCAAAGCGTGCATCGTACTTGTTCTCTCGGATAAAATCCCTGGGGCTAATCTTTGAAGGACTTCTTTCTAAATCCTGAAAGTCTAGACATTCGAGGATCCCGGATTTCCACTTCCGCACTATGTACTTCGCAGCAAAAAACTCCTGGAATGTCAGGTGCAAGAAGTGATAGTTTTGCTTCGATTTTTCAGTATTAAAGTAGCGTGAGGGTCGTAGAAACGAAAGGCGACCAAGCCGTTCATTTAACGGAAACTTCGAATCACTAAGTGCAATGTACGTGCGGACCTTGTCTCGATGCTGTGGGCGAAACTCTACTACATCATTGCACATTCCGTTGAAGGCGAGGTGTTCGAGGTATTCGGCTTCAGGTTTGATACGCTCGTAAATTTCCGTTTCGGAAGCGCCATTGACGTAATTTTTGCTTTCCCTTTCTAGTCGCTCGATATCCTTTTCCCATAGGTGCTGCGTGATAGCTTCGTAGATGGTTGTCATAGTGTCCGGGCTAGGACCTTTGGTTATTCGGTCCTTTGCCTGGCAGAGGGCATCTAGCTGAATGGGGATTCGGACCAGGCTCTGGATAAGTTGGTGCTTTTGTATGTACAACTTAATCTCCTGCACATCGGACGGCTCTTCCGCAACTTTTTCCAGGTAGCATTGAACTTGATCTGGGTAGAACCCTATTGTTTCCAATTCGAGGTCAATCTTTAAGGACGGTGAGAGCTGCTTATGGGGCCTAGTTGTGATAATGACGTTAGGCTTCCTTAGAAGGCCGAGCACTGTTGGGTGTGATTCCACCAGCTCGGACAGCTCATCCAGTCCGTCAAGGATAAACAGACAACGTTCATATTTCTTAGTGTCTATCGCGTGCCACAAAGCTTCGGCGAGGATGGAGCCGTCGGTTCTGTCATGGAAATAGAGTTGTGAAAACATCTTATCCAGCTTTTTCAGCTTGATTTCGTTCAGTTTTCGCAATGGTATCCAAAATATGTAATCGAACTCGCTCGTCCACATTTGATTGTGAATAAATTCATGCACAATCTTTTTACACAACGTGGTCTTCCCAACTCCCGCTCTGCCGCGAATTAGTATCCTCCGCTGTGCTTTCTGAGACCCATCACCTTGTTTCCGGGGATCGAATAGTGAATGAAGCCCGACCTGAAGCTCCTTGGCCGGTGTCTCAACTCGCAACCGAGTCGAGAGTGAAAATTGAAATGACTGGTTTACGAGAGCATCAGATGTGCCTCCAAGATCTCTCACAATCGCAAGATTGATATAGCATTGATCCATCGGCAAACACTGGCCTGATAGCCGTTCAATCTTGAGGTTTTCTTTCGTGTAGATATTTTCACATATATGCCGATATGCTACTTCAAATTTGGACGGAGCCCGAAGTTCTTGGATTTTCTCCTTGAGTTTCGCATACAGTGTATCTTCCAAACCACGGAACTTGTTCAGCCCTGTATGGTTCGTGTCCATATCAATATTGTTTGCGGAGAAACCAGAAGCAGAGTCCCTATTGACAATCTTAGGGAGGATAGAGATTAGCTAACGACTGGCTTCAAAGGGATCAGTGCTTACAAGCCCAACAGAAAACCACCGCATTATGTACGTAGGTCTGGTCTCATAGAAGTAAACGACGGGGACATCCCGTGAGCACGATGAGATTTGACGCATGAACCTATCTTGAAGATCGCTTAAATCTGGTCCATGGCTTTGAAGAGACAAAAGCAGCGTGTTGTCAGATCCCAGCAGGCTCGTCCAGGAGGCAAGCATAGCCGCCGTGAAAGACGCTGATGAGCCTTGGTGAGGAGTTCCGAGGAATATGATGCCGCATGTATCTTCAAGAATCTCCCTTGAGCACTGGGCTGAAGATAGTGCCTGTAGAAGATTAGCCGCACGAAGAAAAGAAACGTATTATCGCTAACACGCACCTCCTTTATGACAATGCCACCGAAGCTGTGTCCCATGAAGATAATGGGAAGTCTCTGTCAGTAATGTTAGCAGTGACGCCTCAAAGGAAATATTGCCTTACTGGGCTTTGACGCTTTTTCGTTAGCTCTTCCAGTAACCATTTGCTAATCGGCTCTGTCGACTGAATTGGCGCGTTGACCAGCCAGTCGGAGTTATAAGCGAAACTGAGTATTCTCGCTTCTGGAAAGCTATCTTTAAGCAGCTCGCGAAGTAGATGGACACCTCCGGGTCCTTTCCATGTATGCTCTGGGTGGGCGCCTAGGCCGTGGACGGCAACAATTCTATGATAAAATGTAAGTAAAGTAACACGAGATGTATGCTTGCGCACAGAGGGTCTCTTAACTCGAATTTAGCATTTTGTGGATTGGCGTATATTATAATGCCATCTGGACGAGGCTCTTGATCGCGCCGACGAATCCTTTTTCCTAGAGGAAGAAGTAGTATATAGCCCAACGACACTATACCAAGAACAATAGCGAAGCCGATACTGGTGTACTCCATGCCCATGGTGAGCCCTGTTTAGGAACGAACTCTGTCATGTAGAGACATATCTTTCGAAGAAATATTGGTGAGAGGACGAGGAGCAAATGTTGTAGGTAAAAGAAGTAAGCTTGGAGGCGATCCAAACTATCGAACACCGGTAGATTTAACGGGGATAAAGGATAGAAAATTGGGCAGTCAAGCTGGATGGTTGGGTATTAAAACCTAACTCAACGCGGGGAATTATTTGGGGTCAGCTGAAAGGTAAAATATTTCATACTGATCTGCCAATGGGCAATGATATCATGTAGGCTCGCCAACGCATCAGGTACCATTCGGCCGATGTACGGCGGCCTCTACATCCGTGAGCTGAACAATTCCATACAACTCAACCAGGGTTTGCTTACAATAGGTACTTCTATCACGTTTCTCGCCTATCACCGTTTTGCTTATCTCCATTTCTCCTAACCTGTCTTTACGTACCTCTAGGTACCTGGCACTATGCTACATTGTCGAGGGCTAGGGAAGGAAATTCACCGTCAGTTCAAAGAATGGATTTCCCCTGTTCAACTTCATCATCCAGTTTCATCGCAAACCCGGTATCACTCTGTGGAGGAAGAAAGAGATAAGTGCCAAACGATTACCTACCTAGGTACCACAGTGCCAGGAGGGTTATGCCCTTGATGGATGCCATATACAGAGCAGAGAGGTAGCTATAACAAGAGGTGGCCAGCATATTCCTACCATACCCACATAGGTACCCTGATAATTCTAATCTTTGTTACTATTTATAGCGCTAGATAGTAGGTACATATTGATCCATTACTCGCTCTTCCAAGGGCTGAGATGTCATTCTTCGAGTCTACAGCGAGGTAAATTCAATTATTAGTCTGCAGTCTCGAGAATAGCCTTATCCTATATGTCGTGTGGAAGCTTTAGACACTCACATTATATAATTCTGACTTGACTTTATATTGTCCCTTTTCGTTCAGGATACGAAGCCCCTTTTCGTCGAAGTCGCATTCGCCTAAAGCCGTCTTGATAAAATCGTATTTACGAACCACAATGGCAAGAATAGTGCCCGTTTCAAGATTGGCAAGCTCTGGTCCGATATAGGTCCTTGGTTCCCATTCGAACGGCCGCCATGCGCTCGCGGGAATGCTCTTGTCTTCCTCGCCCAGCTATCACTCAGGCACCCAATTGTCTGCCGTGTCTCCATTAGGTACCTGACATTGGGATCCCTCTGAATGATGCTTGGGGACAAGTGCATTATGACACTGTCCATCTGCTACTCGTCGCTAGTCGATGCACAGACCGTAAATACAGTTCTGGGCTTCGCCATACGAACCGTGACCGCAGGGGGATAGACGGAGCGTCTCCCTAATGACGACATTAATGTTTAGTGCATGCATAGGAAAAGATGCTCTCCGTTCTCGACATGAATGGCGCATATTTTCTGACGTCCGAGGATCAGTCTTGGGCTCCAGGATGTCGTCGAGTTCGTCGCGTACGGCCTTGAGCGCACGGGGGGTCCGACTGAGTTCGTAGAACGCCCATTTAAGTGTACTGGCATTATCAACTACTCGATACGCTTGACCAGTTAGCTTTGTTTTGGAACTGTGAAGGGTATGATCCACCGCGGGAGGCTGTTCTTATCATCGCTACATGTCCTGAATGATCTGGTAGAAAGCGGCCATGTCATTAAAGCATATGTCTAATAGAGGAGCTTGCAGCTCACGTCGAAGGTATCAGAATGAGAGCAAAACTACCTAAAGGTAGGGGAGACAGGGGTTTCTTGCACTTGCATAATATGGGTTATTGGAAGTTTAGGGTCACTCGCTTCGGATGTTCTGAATAAATCTTTGTGGTAGTTGTCAATACCTATCTCGGGTACCTGCGTGCCTAAGACAGAGATCAGATAACTTCACCCGAGCTTTTTTATATTTAGGTATCTGAGGCACCCTTCTAGCTATCAAAAATCATGCCTCCCTTTAGAATCAACATCCTATGAAAACTCTTGGTGTACCTTGCATACCTGATAATTGATAGTGTTGGTAATTGTCCGGATCTCGAATCCTTCATACCGGATCCACGAGCACTTTATCTCCCACCGTGATAGTGGGGAATTGAGCCTCCTTAGTATCAGCTCTTGGCGGAGGTATATGACACATGTGTGTCCCAAAGAAGACTTTACCATCAAACCTTCTCGTCTTAGCCAATGTGACGAAAGGCTCCTCGCTCTTCTCGGCCGTGTCCTGATCTATGCATATCATATGGCATCTGCGACAAGAACCTAGCATCTTGAAATCTTGTTGCCCAATCCTTAAACCCGACCAGTGATCTTCTGAATAGGCAAACGACTCCGAGTCGGTGGATGAAGAGGCAATTACGATATTTGCTCGAAAAGCTTCCGGGGAGACAGGCTTTCCGCCATGGTCAACTATCTGTCGATTTAATATTTCCAAGCTAGATAAGTTGATGGCAAGTATAGGGCTCTCGTTAGATAATAGAATTCGCTGTCGCTCGGATTCCGAATCTGAGTCTGGCGGTGTATCCATACCCGGTAATCGAAGGGGTATCTTGTACTGTATCTTTTTATTGACCTTTTGGTGTTTTTGAAGATGGGCTTTAGCATGTCGCATGCGGTTCCCCAAGCCACCTGGTGGGAAGCGAGCTAACATGCACGGGACATCGAGTATATCTGAAAAATAGTCATTCACTTTGTTAGAAGTGTATATTTGGGCGGATATTTCTTCGCCGCAAACCCTAGACGCCATTGGCTTGGAGGCAGCAGTAGTTTGGAAGAGAGAGGGGTTCGCGGAGAGAGGGATATATAGTGCAGATTCGCTATTCTTTGAAGAACCCAAATAAGAAACTCGTAAATGGCCCTTAGTAAAATCAATTACCGGTCGAATAAGTGCCATGCGCGGATATCGCTTCTGGCTTAATGCCTGCCCGGTACCTCGATGAACCAAGCACCATTCTCGGTCCCAGGCTAGTCCTTCTTCTCTTACTTCCCACGTCGCCCCAGCAGGAACACAAAACCCGCCACAGCTCTTGATCGGAAAAATTGTAATGCTTTTTACATATAGATTAGCTTGACTTTGGGGAGGTGGGACTGGGATTGAAGACAAAGGCCCAGGCGTATCTGCGGTCCTGTAGAACTCGGCAACAAAGGCGATGAACTTATCAACATCTGAAATAGTGCTAATAGCCCCTAGGCTTACTCTGATAACACCAGTAGGCTTCCCACCTATAATATCGTTCTCAGTTCCACACCGAAAGCCAGAAGAAAAGTTTCTCTTTATCTCCCACGGCTCGAGGCTAAGAGAAGACGCGATTCCACCCGGATTGCACAGCCCTCCTGTGCGAATGTGGAATCTTTTCAACACCGCAAGCTTTTCGAATTCGGCTAAGCTGACCCAACCCCCAAGATGGTTTTGTAAGTTGAAAGCTATGACCGGACCGTTATCTGACGTGCAACCGGGTTGTGAGTATAGGACACAGACTGGTTCATTATTGCTGTGTTTTAGGGAAGCTAATCCATCGTATAGCCGCCGGCTTAGGAACGAGGTATGATCCGCGACATCTCTCATGGACGTAAATAACTGGCGATGAACATCGAGGGCCGAATCCAGAGCGATGATGCTGTGCACTGGCAATGTCCCATCTTCTAGCGACTCATGTAGGGCTTGTGACTTGGGTGCATGCCATTGTTCTTTGACACAGACTACCATATCGACGGTGCCACCTCCGAAGTATTTTCGTAATGCAAAAATTGACGCCGCTTGACGTCTCACGATAAGCCCGCCAAGGTCTGGGAATCCAAAGATCTTGTAAAAGCTTAGCACAGTAAAGTCGGGTGCCGTTTCGGAGTTGCTTAAATCCAGGGGCGATGTTGAGACGAATGCGGCAGCATCTAGCAGAGTGAAAACCTGGCGGTCTGGGGCAGATTGGCATCTACGACGAACTTCATGGGACCAATCTAACGGGAGCCTTCTGCCATCCATATTGGATTGGGCTGGATATGCAAAAAGAACTGGGCCGACATGATGTTCGAGTTTAGTAGTAGGGTCATTTCCACCAAGCCAGTTTTGTACAGCGGTATCATCCAAACAAAGGCTACGTGGTGTTTCTTCTCGAACGCCAACTAAGCTGGTATGGCACGCTTGATGATACAAATAGCTAAAGCCATGTTCGTGACCCCGAAAAGCATCGGCCACTAGCTTAATGCCTGCGGTTGCGTTGGCAACAAAAACAAGATCGAACTCGGAGGGGTCAGCATGGAAGAATTGCAAGACCCGGAGTCGAACATCTTCAATCCTTGAGGTTGAGGTCTGAGATGAAGAAGAAGCGGAATGAGGGTTGCCAAAGAGATTCGACGTCATGTCAGCGGCGAATTTATCCACAAGGGATTTCGGATATAACGTGGTCCCAGCATGATCGAGATAGATTTCATCTGCGAATTGGTTAGTTAATTAATAACCTAATAGATTAAGTACCTCCTAAGGAGTAAGAATAGGAAATGCAAGCTTGCCTCGCAGCATCGGAAACTCATTTTGTCGAAGCCCCTCTATGTGGCTGTTATATGCCGTATTACCACCGTCCGTCATGTCGATGGTGTTATAGAAAGAAATGCAGACATCGGAGCCGTCCTACCCACCAAGCATATACCTAATATTTTATATCTTATGTCACTTTCGCCTCAGGTGGTTACTTCGTACACCGTTATTTATTTATGGTGCTACCCGGTAGAAGAAATAGGCAGAAATATAGAAAATTGTCGAAGACGATTCATACTTCGTCATTATCGAATTCAAAGAGTGGGATAATATATTCATAGGAGGTAGCTTTGGAGAAGTGGCAACGGCCCAACTACTATGTTAGGTATCTGGCCTGCTAGCCTACAATACCTAACCCAACAAACACCCTTACCACCGATAATGAATGATGATTGGAAGTCCTTCGGATGCTAACAATCGAAAGTGCGGGATAAGAGGTCTCGGCAGCTGGCGGTTTAAGAGACAAAGAATCCCCCCAGCTGTCTACACTGCTATAGAGTAAAAGGTCGGGTCCGGAGTTCGCCTTGTTCCATTGTATATAAGCTTTACTAGCGGTAAAGTGGGGTTTTATTAGTGCTGAAGCTGGAAAGTACCGAAATACCTAGGTACACAGTAACCTGAGTAAAAGGTGGGGTGTGTTTTGCGCGTCATGTTCGCGCTATGCCAAGCAAGGCCTTAGCCAGGGGAGAAGAGCATTGACTTTTTAGGTGGAACAGGGGGAAGCAAGGAAAGCAAGGCCTCCGCGTCGAAATCACTTTACGCGACTTTCTCGCGTTCAGCGGACCCGCGTCATCTCCCTTTCCAATTTCGAGTTAAAGTTGGTTTTCTTATCTTCCCATCTCTCCTGGCCAACAATTTTCTCCACATCCTAAACAACTTTTGTATTTCCCAACTTCGCATTTCATACATAGCACCTACCTTGAGCAAAACCACATAATCAAGATGGCGCGATCAAGTCTCGGAAAGAGGACGAGGAGTACAAAGGAGACTGGTAAGAAAATTAAACTTGCAGCTAGCTATCTAATATTTCAATTGAAGAAACTGACACCGAGTCTAGAAGTTGTAGACGTACCTGCAAAACGAACACGACACCAGACTCGTACTTCCTCATCCAACGACGAAAACGTAGACCCCGAAGATGTTACTACCACTACTACTACGGAAGACAATCTCGATGACCAAATTAGCATCCTAAAAGTCACGGATAATACACCCTCTCGACGCATTCGCAGGATCAAGAAAGAGGAAGAAGGTAAGAAAAGATTATACAACTAAGATTGTAACAAAGAGACATTGATCTAATTGAACCTGTAGAAGAATGTGCACCACCTACTCCGCGTACGCCGAGTACGCCTCGTTTCCGAGATGCGCTTTCAAAAGTGCCCGTCACCCCACGTCATCGGGTTATGTCGGCCGGAAGGGTCTCGAAGCGCCTTTTCCCACAAACACCGCTTACGCCCACCGCCCTTCAGACTGTATACCATCACGCGCGTCAACTTTTCTCGCGAAGCGCAGACCCCGGCCAATTGATTGGACGTGACGAGGAACGCTCACAGCTAAAAGAATTCCTACAGCGATGCTCAAAGCCCAACCCTAACGGATGCATCTATGTCAGCGGCCCACCAGGAACAGGGAAGAGTGCTATGATAAACGAAGTTACGCAAGAGCTGGTTGAGAAGAAGACCGTGAAGAAGGCTTACATCAACTGCATGAGCATAAAATCGTCCAAAGATCTTTACGGCACTTTGATAGACCAAATATGCGACGAGACAGATATTTCTGAAGGTGATGCTGCCGCAACAATTGAGAAGCTCTTTATTCCGCGCAAGAAGACGAACGATGTCTACTTGATCGTCCTCGACGAAATCGATCACATTCTCACTTTGGACTTGGAAAGTTTGTACCGAATATTCGAATGGTCCATGCAGAAATCATCACGCCTTGTTTTGATCGGCATTGCCAATGCGCTGGACCTGACGGACCGATTTCTACCACGCTTGAAATCTAGAAACCTGAAGCCAGAGCTCCTACCATTTTTACCCTATTCCGCAGCCCAAATTAAATCTATCATCACCACCCGTCTCAAGAGCCTTGTGCCTGAGGGTAGCCCACTACCATTCATCCACCCAGCAGCAATTGAACTTTGCTCCCGTAAAGTTTCGAGCCAGACAGGTGACCTACGCAAAGCCTTCGAGATTTGTCGAAGAGCCCTCGACCTCGTGGAAGCCGAGACAAAGCAGAAACATGAGGCGGAGATCAAGGAAAAGCTGCTCCTCGCTACACCATCCAAGAAACCTCTCGGGGAGAATACAAATCTGTCTTCATCACCTAAACGATCATCAGAGAAAGCCCCTTCGGCTATGCTGGCAGAGTCGTTAAGAAGGTTAACAATAGAAACTGCACCCCGCGTGACCATAGCGCATCTCAACAAGGTTACGGCCGCCGCATTCAGTAATGGAACGAATCAGCGATTGAAGACATTGAACCTGCAACAGAAGGCGGCATTGTGCTCGCTCATGGCCCTAGAAAAGCGAAATAGAGCATCTCGAACTTCATCGGTCCCAACCACGCCGTCGAAGTCACAAACCATCGCTCCCAGTATCAAGCGATTATACGAGACTTACAACATACTATGTACCCGAGAATCCGTGCTGCACCCGTTGTCTAGCTCGGAGTTCCGAGAAGTGATCGGTAGTCTCGAGACGTTATCTTTAGTCTCCGCCGTGGATGGGAAGACAGGTTCACTCGCGATGCTTCAGACACCAAGCAAAAGAGGGAAGAAGGGTGGATTTGCGTCCGGTATTGGATTGGCGGATGAAAAGAAGGTTGCGAGTTGCGTGGGAGAGAAAGAGTTAGAACAGGCCGTAGAGGGACTCGGCGTTGATATCCTGAAGAGCATTCTTAGCGGCGAGGCGTTGGATTAGATTTTTAAAGGGACACGATTTTGCATAGGCATGGCGTTGCATTACATGCATTCACGGAAGCATCACGCAGCATACCCAGAGACTATCCTCAGATGAGGATCCATGAGATAGTAATGTATTAATTTTAACTCCAACACATGCCAATGACTGTTGCTCCTCGCATTGTATTCTTACTTTCTTTTTCTCTGTCGCCTCACTCAACTGCCTATTTCCACACACCTTTTCCTCAAGCCTGGGCCCCTTAATTAAAAGCAACCGCCATATTGCTGTTTCTTACCCGGGTAATTATTACTATCTTGCTGAATTTGTCGGAGGTTCTGAATGCTATGGTTTACTATAATTACGCAACCCGATGAGATAAAAACAGACCTCTAGGTACGAAACTAAAATAAAGAAAAACAAAAGATTTTACTTCATTATTGTCATAGCTATCAGAAGTATTATTCCGTGTGTCCTCCATTACATATGATACATTAGGTACCTCCCACGTTCCTTTAAATCCCATAAGCATACCTTAATTCCGGACCAGAAAACAGACAGCTCATGTCTTCATACCAAGCGCCATACCCCCATCCACAAGGTAGGAAAGGCCCGTAACATAAGACGACCGCGGACTGCATAAGAAAAGCACGGCGTCGGCAATATCATACGGCGAGCAGAGCCGGTTGATCGGGACAGTCTTCAGGAGCGAGTCGGTGGTCATCCCCTCGTACACGCCAAACGTGTGATGCAGCATCGGCGTGTCGGTCCAGCCGGGGCAGACGCAGTTCACACTGATATTGTGGATCGCGCTCTCGAGGGCTGCGCGGCGATAACAACAACGTACGTGTTAGAGAAAGAGAGGAGAGAGAGATGGAAGGGGCATTATTGATTCGGTCGTGGGGCAACTCACCAGCTGTGTTGGCGATTCCCATCACGGCATGCTTTGCCGCCGTGTACGGCGCCAAGCCCCGTATCGGGAACAGGGAGGAGTACGAGCCGATGATCACGATGGACCCGCGGGTTCCCCCGCGCTCTGGACGCGCCGGGTCGACGGCGGCCAGGTCCTGGGTCTTCATGGCCGCCGAGATCAGGCTGGTTATGAGATAGGTCCCGTGGACGTGGACGGCGAGGGACCGCTTGAGGTCGTCGAAGGTGGCCTCGTCCAGTCGTCGAGATTTCGATATCCCGATCTTAATTGGTTCGGAGAAAAAGGATTAGAATCAGTAAGTAGGGTTATACCTATGAGAGGTGTTCTTTGGCGAAGATATCATAATGGGAAGATAGATAGGTAGGTGGGTAGGTTTAGGCTAGGTAGACTTACCCCTGCACAGTGGACGCAGTAGTCAATACGCCCGAAGGACTCGATCATTCTGGCAACTGACTTTTTCACGGACTCTTCGTCCGAGACGTCAAGGTGGATTGCTTCGGCTCGGAAACTCGGATTAGTAGCGGCGGCAGTAGCTTCTGCGACGGTTTCCTCGGCGGCCTTGAGGTTGATGTCCGCCACGAGGATGCCCTTAGCACCCTCTTTCGCCAGAACTATACAGCAGGCCTTCCCGATTCCGCTTGCTACGTTATGTTAGTCGTCTATCAGGTAGCTATAAACCATGATAGTGGACTCACCTCCTCCAGTTACAAAGGCATTTCCGGTGATGTCCATATTCCTATATACTCTGAAGGGTGATTGCTGGGGCGATAATGAACTTAGTGTCGAAAGTCGCAGCGATGTTATTCGGCTGGATGTGATTCTCTAGGTACCTAACCGAGAAATACGAGATTCGAATAATATATCAACAGTTATATAAACAACTCTACACAGCTGAAAAGCTCATTTGGACGTTGGAGAACTGCACCCCATCGCCAGATCATCTGCACTCGGAATTCACGGAGTGCGACACAACCCGCGTTCCAACGCATGGATCCTTGGCCAACTAGTGCTCTTTGCTACCGATTCTATACGTGAAGACAGCATCTCCCCGCTCCTCTCTACCTCGGTATACTGCCCCAGGTAGGTTATATATGTGACAGTCTACTAACGTACGAAGTACGGCATATATCATATGGGGTCCAGACTTCCTACACGGGGATTTATTGCAACATCCCCCGCGCTACCGGTAAGCACGATGACTTCAGGTTGGAGACTAGAAGCCGTCCGAGCCAGAATTTGGCCCCCCCGAAAAAAAAACCCTTCTTACGTATAACATGACCGATGTTAGACGAAGCAATGTGGACAACCACTCGGTATAGCAAGCCGCCATGGGCTTTGAACACGAGCCTCATGCGGGGTTGACATCATATGGACAAATGGAACGGGGTGGAGAGATAATAGCATGGCCATGAATGGGTTGGGTATGGGGTATGCTAGGTAGGTATGTATGTATATCAAAAGCGCTGCTCCAAGGGGGCTATGGAGATCTTAACCTAGATAGCCTAGAGAAATCTTGGGAGTATGAGATCCGTAGACTGATTAGATGTGAACATTTAGATCTTCCAACTTTGCCCAGCAATTTGTACAATACTCAATTACTCGATGACTAATTCATGTTAACATAATAGACGTTTGTTTTCCTGTCTAAAGCAAGATTCTAGTAGAGCTTTGTTACAATTATGATATTGGCCGTCAGTGTAGTAGGTTGGGTTAACATCTCTTAGTCTTTTTGCTAAGCGGTTATTCCGTATCTCAAGCCGCGTTGGAGTAGCGAGTCTGTCTGATTCAAGCAAGTAAGAACGAAAGAAATATTTTTTTTCTATTTTTCTTTTTTTTAAAAAAAAGAAAGAAAACAGTCTGTAATTGTAAGAGATAGATAGGTAGATTTCATGCGTAGAGATAAAAAGTTGAAGAGTTGATTCTCTTTTCCGAACTTGAAGATCATGTGACTTCCCCACATGAACAAGCATCCCCTTAACCTGCCCCTAGTGATGCACCGATTGTTTTCGGCTAGGTGCCGCCGACAAGCTAAGCTCTGTTTAGAAGAAAAGCTTATTTGTCCGGTTTGGCTTGTATTGGTGTAAAGTAGTTACGTAAAAGCACCTGATGTATCTAGCAGTTTAAACCATTAGGTACAATACATACCTAGGTAATGTACTTATTATTATTATTATTCACCCATCAGCCCATTATAGAATCTCAAGTTCAACTCGCTCATGGTGACGCGCGAAAAGCGGAGATCACGACCAGGTAAAGAAGGATAACCTCCATGTTGAGTCTAGACAAGGCGGTACGACATATGCGGCAGCATATGTAGTACGTCCATATATAAGCGAAGGCGTTTCGTTTGGGGTACGGGTATTAGGTGTCTTCGGCTCGACCTCAATTGAAACTCCAAACTCCGATCAGCTGCCATAGGAATTAATTAAGGATAAGGCCGAGGGACAATAAGATCTCAGTTGCTGCGCCTTCGAATCTTTACGTGGCGTGGCGGCTTACCATATCCTGCGTTTTTTTTTTTAACGGTCTGTCTTCCATGCCACCGAAGCGAGTGTCGTGTGTCTCGTGAGCGTACTGTGAGACCTTAATAGTCTCTCCTCTTCACCACTCACCTTGAACGTTGTCAGGTCTGTGGTCCCTCGGCTAACTTAGCTTGCACGTCGTAATGCGCTATACGAATAGTGGCCTATTACCATTGCTATCAACGTTCTAGCCTAGTAAGATATTAGAAGTACCTACAAAGTTAGATTATGTCTGTATAGGAGGTAAGCAGGAAAAAGAATATCTCATAGCCGCAAGTCACGGTGCTTATCCGATGTTACCCAATTCCCTGAACCAACTTGCTTTTTCGTAGGTGTAGGAATTCAAAGGTCCCATTCCGGGACGTTGTGCATATACATATGTGGAAGACAGTCGACAGTCACAACGATCAGGTGTTGAGTTGAGTCTTTCTCTACTACATCTTAACCTCACACAGCACAGCACATTACATAGGTACCTACCTAGAGGCTAGATGATCCCATGTCTACTATCTGTATGCAGCTCTTGCCTGTGAAACATATGATTAATCTTAAGGGAATGCATTTTCAGTGTTCTCGACTCACGCCATGCATATTAGATGTATGCCGAATAAATTGAAATAGTTCAGCTCGAACTTGACGTCTCTCTAGTTGATACAACCTGGAAGAGACTCCCGTCTTGCTGATGCGCTACGCTACCTCTTTTATAAAAATACATAGGTACCTAGGAGGTACATAGGCACATTTTGGATTTCGAATTTTGGGGGCTAATAGCTTTATTCGATCCTTCTGCAGTCTGTGCCTAACTTCGTACATCGTACATCTAACAAATTTCGCTTATGATGTATCACTACTACATTTAAACGTCAAACGTCGGAGTTTTTCCTCTAGGTTAGGTGTACCTATATGTACATAACTTTAGGTACCTGGTAGAGAAGCGGGATTTCGTCCGGGGCGTCGGCTTTGTAAGATGTACTGCGAAGAACTTAAAACCCTCGAACTAATTTTATTAGTCCTGTCTGTCCCATTTAAGTGCAGTCCAGAAGCCTGGCGGCCGGCCAGGAGAAGCAAAAGGCAAGTAGCCGCCCGGCATCAGACCTGGGGTAGTACCTAACATCTAGTACCTAGGTACCTCTTTACCTCTTAGGAGGTACCTTTCTATATTGTATTGTACACTGTTGTACAATGCAGTACCTTGGGCCACCTCAACACTTCCAGTGTACCCTACCCGGCCTAACACTGAACCGTGAACTTTAGCTAACACTTTTAGGAGCAACTATTAATAATAATAAAAGCTAGAAGGTCCCGGGACATCTCTTGGCAGCCGTCCCCAAACCCAAGTCCCTTTTTCTTACCAAGCTTCTCCCACAGCTTGGCACATGCAACACCCAAGATCTTGGTGAACCCTCCTCCGAAAGCCAATCCCAACTAAGCGCATCTCGAATCGTTTTTTCCCTCCTTCGCGTTCCATAACGGCGCCCTAACCATAGGACTCCTTTAGGGGTCCTTTTTAACCTTATTGTCATCGTCTTGGTCGTTATCTCTTAACCTTAGAACCCGACTTTTGACTCTCGACCCTCAAAGCTTCCAACCCTCGACCGTGTCCGCCGCGCGATCTCGCCGCCTCACGTCTTAGCGTCAATAACGGACTATCGGGTAAGTTGACAACGGTATCCGTGTGGTGTCATGCAACTTGACACGCACGGCGTTGTCAATAAAGACAAGTCGAATAGATGGGTACCGACGCCGACAAAGGTCAGAGCTTGCCGGTCGACGATCAGCCATCCAGGCCCTCTTTATTTTCTCGCCTGACGTCGCCTCTCCGTTCCCGAACACGTAACCTAGCCGATTTCCATATTCGTCTCCAAGAGCCTCATCGCCAATATTCTGCTGGTGATCATGTCAAGGGCCACGTTATCCTTTCCGTCGTTAAGCCTATCCGCATAACACATTTGACCGTCGCCCTGCACGGATATGTTCGCGTCTATAAACACGCCGGGGCCGCGGCGCAGCTTACTCCCGTCAACCCTGCCGTAGTGTCCCACGAAAGAAGTAAAAGCGTTAGGTATTGCGGGAATGGATTGGCCTCCCTCTTCCAAGATGAACAGGTTTTGTGCGGTGAGGGGAGACTTAAGCCTACAAGATTCGAATTTGAATTCGATCTCATATTTCCTTCAAAGGGGCTGCCGAGTAGTATTGATGTATGATCCTGTCTGCCTTGACGACTCCCCCTAATTACTGATGGCCGGTAATACTGATATACACCGTCGTAGTTCGAGAGAGGAACAATATCGTATATGGTCACGGCTACGCTAACACGGCCAACCTCAATAGCTGCGACTTCTAGCTGTGAAACAAAAGTAGCGTTGATGGAAAAGGTGGATATAGGTGTTATCGCCCCGCCGCGAGAACGAAGAGTGTGTATGCAAACTCTACGCAGAAGACCAAAGAAGAAAAAGAAGCCGATACCGACAGTGGCATCAGCGGCCAATCGCGGTTCGATATCTACAGAGACGCAGGAACCGGCGTCGGACCTTGACTCTACAAGAGTCAATGAGAATTCCAACAGGAGTTCCGTAAGTTTAGGAGATGTGACAACGTCGGTCGGGCCACCCGGAAACCATTTGCCACGAAGCCCTTTGCGGAGCGATTTAATCCCGCATGATCTACAAAGCGAAATAAGCGGCGACAGTGCCGTCAGTAACAATAGCGGTTCTAATAGTGCTAGAGGCGCCGATGCCAGTGCCGAATCTGTCGCTGCAAGTAAGCTGTCGGGGGGTGATGAAAGAGAGATCACAGCGACAGTTGAACTATTAAAAGGAGGTTGTCTTCCCGGGGATATATTACCTGTTAAGATCAAGGTCGAGCACAATCGCCGCATGAAAAGTATGCACGGTGTCATCGTTACGCTATATCGCCAGGGCCGCGTAGATTATTCACCACCACTTTCCCTATTCGCACCCGAGCTTTCAAAAGAGGATGCCAAGCGACTTAAACACGAAGAGTATTATCCAAGATCAAGGACTGGACTGGGTGGTCTGTCGTTATCTTCCGCTGGTACCTGTAGCGTCTTCCGAAAAGATCTTTCTCAAGCAGTTGCACCACTTATTATCGATCCTGTTACGCTCACGGCAAACATCACGACTTCCATCAGAGTACCAGAAGATGTATTTCCGAGCATAAAAAATGTCCCTGGAGGACTTATTAGTTTCAGATACCACGTTGAAGTTGTTGTTGATTTAGGCGGGAAACTTGCCGGTCAATCAACTGGGAGTTCACAACAAGCAAGTAGGATAGGCTCATTAGGGGTTCCAGGTGGTAACCCTGCGTCAACAGTTGGGTCCTATGATCTGAAACGGCTTTCCAATTGGAACGGCACGATAGTAGACACTGATCATTTAAGACGCGAGAAAGGTGTTATATCAGTATCCTTTGAAGTTGTTGTAGGGACTATGGACTCGAGCCGCTTGCGAGGCAAGTCTGTAATGCGCCCGCCCCTTACAATACAGCCCGCCCCTTCAAAAGACATCAACGCTGAAAATGACGAATCGAATTATACATGGCAGCATGAATATGACGATGGGAACAACTACGGCGGAGATTATGCGCCTTCACAACTTGAATCATCACCACAAAACTATTTTCCACCGAGAGCATCTCCTCAAACATCCTACTACGATTTTCAGGGCGGCGAAACGCACGCCCCGGTCTATATACCGCCACCGGAAGTACCTCGAGAAAGCGAGCTGTCCGAAAAGGAACGCGTTCGGCAAGCAGAACAGAGGCTATTGCCCAGTCAGCCGCCGCCCCAACCTGCAGAATCAGAAGCTGGACCATCCCAACTGCCCTCTGCACCGATTGAAGAATCTGTTGGTGAAGTTAATGGTGATCATAATTCTAGCAGCCACGCTTCTTTTGCCGAGCGAGGAGAGGATATGGGAGGACCATCTGCGCCTGCCTTGGCGGATCTAACGCCAGTTAACCCTCCATCCTCATCTAACATAGATGACAAGCAGGAGCTTGAGCGTCGGCGGCTCCTTCAGGAAGCTAGCGCACCCCCCGAGGTTCCAGAAGACTACGAAGGCGCAGAACCGTCAGCACCAATCCTTAGCCCGTCACGGACTCAGGAGCCAACGGCTCCAACTCTCGATGACGATCATGACTATGGAGGCCTGGATCCTTATCATGATATTGCTGGACCATCCGGACGAGTCGCGGGATCAGAACCATTGCCGAGATACGAACGATGATATGTACACAAGGTGTCATAAAAGTCACTTACTCGAAAATAGATTATTACGTGGGAATATCCTTATCTGTGATTGGAGAGCTGGGAGTGGAGGAGTTTCTAACTATCAGCCATGTAAGAGAAAAATACCCATTCAGCGCTTCGGATTTTAAGTTGTATGATAAGGAAATTCCACAATTGGAATGATGAAGGGTTTGCATAAGATGGTTCGATATAGCTACTAGTTTATTCATTCGACATTGCTCGGCATGGGGTGTTAGAGGCGTTTTGGGGCTATAGGTCTACATATAGGGATCGTGGGCAGACTAAAAGTAACTGATTCAATGAGAACGTCTACACTATTATTGCGCCCCTGATATCCGGCTCTTATATGATCGAGTAGTGCTTCAAGCTTGAGAACTTTCCAAGCATATGTTCCTGCTCATGTCCCGACTAAAATACAACGCCAGTATTCAAATCGGCATAATTAAGGTATACTTGCTTGTCAGACTAACTCAAATAGTCTGGGGTTTTATACACATAACAAGTATTCGATACAGCTCTAGAAAATCCCAAAGAAATTATCCCCAAAACGCCATAGTCATAAGCCACCCAAGCACTTGTCGATCCACAGAGCGATTATTCCATCACCACAAAATACAAAGACAGGCTACGTAAGTAGGAGGTATGTAAGTAATACCTTAGGTACCGTATCAAACGGCCTGCAGATACAGACTCGGAGACATAACGGAATCAAAGAGGGCCTTTCCAGGCGCATCATGCACGATCCCAATCCACATGAACGAATCCAGCACAGCGCGCATCGCAGGCCACGAGCGCACGCCGCAGCGCTCCAGGTTAACGCGCAGCAGGGGCTTCAGCCAGCCCTCGGTATCGGCTGCGCCGAACAGGGAAACGGCGCCGATGGTCAGCAGCCAGACGAGCAGACGCGGAAGGCTTGAGGCGGTGTCGGGGCTGCTGCCGTAGGGATGATGATCGGTACCTAGGATGGGGATGGGGGTTGGGGCGGGGACGGACAACGCGAGGTCCACGACGGTGGCCCGGTATACGCGCGGGAAATGCGTGTACGGCAGCCGCACGCTGGCCCACTGCAGGAACACGCCCGAGCAGAAGGCCAGCAGGCCCACGCGCACGGCTTCTTCTGCTTCGGGCGGCGCGCCGCGCGCGCGGCGCATGTGCAGCAGCCGGTAGGTGACGGCGGCCATGGCGGCCAGGAGCGTCTGCTCGGGGAGCTTGGTGCCGGCTGCCGCGGCGCGGTTGACGAGCGTGCAGAACTGCTTCATCGCGCGCCACGCGCGTGCTAGCTCTGCATTCCAGGTGGTGGTGGCGAGGACAGGCTCGTCTTCGTCTCCGGGGTCGCATGGGATGTCGTACAGAGAGAAGTCCGGGTATGCCCAGTACGGCTCGCGGATCGGGTCGGCAAAGAATAGCGGTTGGGTGCCGTTGTGCAGGGCCATTGCCATGTCGCATCTGGTAAGTTAGGTTAGGTTACGTACCCCATATGCGGACGATTAATTAAAAAAAAGGGGATAATTAAGAGGAGGGATTCGCGGAATTGTGCTTTAGGTAACATAACCTAACCAGGTAAGGTACCTACCTTAGCAGTTCGATCACGAGCTTCACGTTCCCGAGGCCCGCCAGTCCCCCCTTCAGGTCGACGATCTTGCGCAGCCCGAGCAGGTGGTGTCTAGCCGTCTCGCGCTCGCCTGTCATGTGCGCGTGGAAAGCGAGGCACAGCACGACCGCCGCCGTGCTAAATGAGGCCTTCTCCACCGCCGCCCCCGCCGCGTCGTGCTCCGTCGGCGGTGGTGCATCTAGCCGCTCGCGCAGGAGCCGGAGCGTCTTGAGCATGTGCCGGTAAGACGCGGAGGCGGGATGCCCCGTGCTCGTGCTCGGCGTGCAACCATTCGGCATTAGGTCGAAGTACGCGCGCGTTGAGAAGGCCAGCGCGTGCAGGTACGCGGCGTCGACGGTGAGGGCTTCCATCCACCCGGCTTTTTCCCGCGCGGCGAAGGCTATGCATGATTCGAGGGGGAAGAGGGCTTTCTTCGCGATGCTGGAGACTGCGGGGGAAGTTGGATTAGGTTAGGTGCCTCCTATATATCAGAATGCGAATCAAGTGTTGTTGTACCTTAGGTTAGGAGGTACCTAAGGCACTAAAGATGGATTCAAGGGGTGGGGGCGATGGGTTGAGGTTACGCTTACACTCTAATATGACGGCGATGCTAGAGTCCTCTATCGTGTCGGCGAACCGTATAAAGGAGAAATCACCACCGACCCTTCTGGGCACGACGACGGGGGTTAATGTGATAAGCTCGTCGTCGTCATCATCATACCCTTCCTTCTCCCGACTCGACCTTAACCTAGAATCATGCGACTCCTCCGAGCTGCTTGATTCACCCGCTTTGCTACGCCTCGGCCGTAGAATCTTTCCGAGGTTCTTGCCTATCATCACGTGGCTCCTGATGAACTTCCGCATCTCGGGGTCGGGCTTCTTGGTGCTTGTGGATACTATAAACGGCAAACCCTCTGTAGGGTTGAGTGTATATGTGAGATACGGTACTCGGGCTAGGTAGAGATAGTACCATGATTCATGCAGCTCTTACCTGAAGTCATGGGGGCTGGCGCCATGTTGTCGGTACTTGTGACTCTATACGGAGATAAATAGTAACTCCCTCAGATTAGCTCCGTTCGTAGAGGTACGACCAAAGTGTATAGACGATATTAGTTATTTCCAAGGTAGATGATGAGACTAAGAGAAGTGAGTAAGCTTCTATTCGATAAGGCATGTAACAGTCAAGATCAGTTAGTTAATACCGGGTTCTTTTCCAGCTTTTAGATTGAATCCCTAAACAAGTATATGGTCGAAGAGAAAAAACTGAGATTGATTTCCAGAATGGGAAAACCATCAATGTCAGAGAAGGTTCAGACAGACAAGTATTTAAAGCGTACCAAACGAGTTTATAATCTACGTAGGATCCCGTCAAGCATAGATGGACAATTCAATGGCCGTATAACGGTACCCGTTCACCTAAACTCCATGCGGCCAAGCGTCGTAGAGATTGTTTACCGATTTGGGTATAGACTTGACGCGCCGCCGGGGCGAATGCTTCATTTGAAAGAGAAGTCGGTTCCTATTGGCTGAGTATTATGCAAAATTACCTACCTCGGATCCTCATCCTTACATAGTAAGCCTTTAGCACTACGGGGAGCTTGTTTTTAGAAGTCTCCGTGCTAGATATTCTAGATGTCCTATCTGTTTGTTCTCATTATTATTATGATACGGATAGGGCTTCGCCGGACTTATTATGTAGACGTGGCAATTAGGAATTTATAAAATGCTAGACCGTTCAGGCTGTGTCTGTTCATTTAGACTTGCCAATATATCAGAGCTCTCAAGTTACTTGTCAACCACAAGCTATAAGTCAATATTAGGTACATAATACACCTATAACAATATCCAGATAGAATCATCACTTACGACCTGAAAACAAACACAATGGCCACATCGAAAGACTTACCGCCATTAGACGTTGGATTCGGTAGTATCTTCGTCAAGAACCAATTTCGTACCAAGCCCCAATATCCGCCGAGTACTACCGATCTTACCGGGAAAGTCGCCCTCATTACTGGAGCTAATACCGGTCTTGGATACGAAGCTGGTAAGCAAATGCTTGCGCTCCGTCTATCTCATCTCATCATTGCAGTCCGGAGCAAGGAAAAGGGAGATGCAGCTGCTTCTAAGCTTAGAAGCCTATATCCAAAAGCCAAGGTCGAGGTCATGATCGTGGATATGAGCAAGTACAATTCTGTCCAAGAATTCGTCCGTAATGTCGACAGCAAGCTATATCGGCTAGACATCGCAATTCTCAACGCAGGCGTCATCAAACTAAAGCACGCCACGGAACCCAGCACCGGCCACGAACAAATCCTACAAGTCAACTACCTCTCAACGGTCCTGCTCGCCATCCTCCTACTTCCCATACTCAAGAAGAAGTCTCCACCCGGGACCCCCGGCCGACTTACAGTCGTCAACGCGGCCCTAGCCCTCACCGCGCCTCTGCCCAAACCCGACCACGGCCACGAGTCCATCTTCGCAACCCTCGACGACCCCAAATCCTTCGTTCCCAACACCGACAAGACCTACAACATGTCCAAGTTCCTCGGCCAGATGTTCGCCTACAAGCTGGGCGAGTACGTGTCCGCGGACGACGTGGTCGTCAACTTCGTGTGTCCGGGCTATGTCAGGGGCACGGATCTGGGCCGCGAAGCCAGCGTTCTCATCAGGCCTGCGGTCGCCTTGTTTGCCGCTGTGGCGGGGCGGTCGACGCGGGATGGCGCCTCGACGTATTTGGATGCGGCGCTGGTGAAGGGGAAGGAGTCGCATTGCTCGTTTATTATGAGTTGGAAAGTTTCGCCGTGAGTGTTTATTATAGGTACCTACTTACCTAGGAGGTACCTAAAGTACTTAACCTAGGGAAACCTCTCTTTTTTTATACTTGCTAACTGTTTTGGTACTCTATTAGGTTTAACTCATTTCTGTATACTCCGGAAGGGAAAGATACTGCGGACCAAGTCTTTGAGGAGACGATGAAGGAGTTGGAGTTTGCTGATGCTAGGGGGATTTTGGAGTCGATGAAGACCTCAGCAGTTGTTTTCAGGGGTCAATGAAGGGGTAGAGCAATTTGAACATTAGAGGGCGTCATCACTTGTATACTATGAGGAACAGCGAGTATCATAATTCATATATGTTATTGATAGTTATAATGATGGCGTACTTAATGCTGCCAGGTATTCACTGTTACTCCGGCGTGTCAGTTCTCGATACTATTTGAAACTGTTTATTTTATCTAACTTTTAATTTTATGTACACTGATGTTGAACTCTATTTCCTGCAGTTCCTCTGAAACAAATACTCCAGGATATCAGCCGGTACACGCGGGTATATTTCCAATCTCTTTCTCTCGAGTAATCCTTATGAGTCCAAGTACGCCATATTACATGCAACAAAAGGCAGATTAGGTTAAGTACATCTATGTTAGGTACTTTAAGGGGTTAGTTATCTGGTACGAATCACCAGTGGGAATAATCTGCTTCGGCCATGAGAGCCGTATCTAGTATCTTATCTTGGAACTTAATTCTCTTACTTTCGAACTCGACCTGCGCACAGCAATGCGGATTTATAAACGCTCGAGCGGGTATATCATCAGGGTAGATATCGTACGCCAGCTGTTGGCTCATCACCCTAATCCAGTCCACGCGACACCTCAGGCAATAGCCCGGAACGGTGCCGCCCTCGGGGATCGTCAGCGGGAGCTGCCCGTCGCGCTGGAAGCGCGCGTCGTACGGCCGTATCTTTATCTCGTGCCCGCATTGCGGGTACACGAGGAAGAAGCGGCAGACGGGGCAGTCCGGCGGCATCTCGTCTTTGACGCGAGTCCGGATCCAGTCGTCGATGCCCTTGAACCCGAAATAGTGGCCGCACGGTAGGACGGCCATGGGCTCCGTGCGGGCAGCCTCGTTGGGGCCCCGCGGTCGGGAATTCCTCGTGTACATGTCTAGCGAGGTGTGGGATATGTGGCATGTTAGATCCAGCTCTACCTGCCGCCCCGCGGAATCCAAACCCGGCTCGATGTACTTGGCAAAGTCACCGAATACAGATACGTCATTGTTGGTCAGTATGCGAACGTGGCTAGCTAGTGCTCTCTTGTAGGTAGAGTAACTTATGGCTTGGGGTGTTTTGGCTCGCACGAGCCCCGGAGGCGGACTGTTGCGAACGTTACTATAGATGTCCTCTGTTACTCCGGGAGGAAGAGTTATAGCACGTGGTTCATGGTATAACAAGTTTTCCCTTTCATCATGTATACTATCAACATCGTCGCAGCTTCTAGCTACAGAGACTTCACGCCTGGGCATCGTTATAAGGGTGAGTTTGATGGCACGGACATGTGGACCGAGGAATAACACTAAAGCGAAGCTTCCCGACGAGTTGGATGGGTGACGGAGGTAGCAATACCTAGAAAACGTGCAAATCGAGTAATAGGGGATCTCAATCTAAAATATAGTCTTGCTTATAAGCCATCTCGGACAATCGCATGGGAGATATAAAGGAGAGAAGAAATTCAGGTACAATAACAATGAGCTTGTCCGAGGGATAAAGAACGTTTTCTTTAAGAGCCATTTAGTATGCGCTAAAGTCGGTTGTTGGATACTCAGACTAAAGAACTGGACTTAAATACATAAGGGGGCCATATACTATGAAAAGACTTTGGAGCCAAATTTTGGTCATCGGATTAATACAGGCACTTTTGGAATTGGCTTGGAATATCTAAGAATTGTGTAAATTTCCGAAGTGCGTGTTATATTGCTGCCCAACCTTTTGATAAAAACGCACCTTATACGTGCGAGGAAGCGTTTGTAGACAGTACTAATGTGCCGTCTCGAAATACAATACTGTTTCATTTGGACTTTTCCTATAGCCATCCTTTCTCAATAATTGGCTGTTATATCCTACGCCCATCCACATATTTATATAGCCTAGTAAGTTAGGTTAAGTTAGGTTAGAGGTACCTAATGCATGCTGATCATTGGTTTGGAAATCACCGGCTGTGCAATGGCTATGTTCGATACGCCTTAGTAGGTTAGGTTCCATATGTTAGGTACCCAAGGCAGTTTCATCAAAATGTCCAACTTGAACGTACCCCTAGCATCGTGAATTAAAATTCTTAAACTTCATCTTGTTTTCTTTTTGTTTTAAAGACAAGTCCAAAGAGAATGTTGCCCGTGTAAAATTGCCTAAGGTAGCGTAATATATTGCAGCCGGCTTTATTATGTCTTTCGGATTCTCCGTAGGCGACATCCTGGCGGGCGCGCAGCTAGCGTACACGCTTTGCAAATCTTTATCGGAGATTCAAGGAGCTTCCAACGACTATCAAGAACTTATTGCACAGCTTAACGTTGTCCATAAGGTTCTCGTTCATGTTGATGAACTCCGAGCCGCGAACCAACTTCCGCCAGCAACCGTTAATGCTCTTCTATTCACGATCAATACCACAAATGAGGCTATAGACACATTTCTAACTCAATATGAAACTTACGAAGAGAGTCTACGGCGAGGTGGTTCGGGAAACATGGTTATAGATGTTTATAAGAAGGGGAAGTGGGCTACTCAAATGCCTGACAAGGTGACAGGGACACTATCATATATAATAATTTTAATTAATACTAACTCATAAGTATCTAAGGTACGAGATCTGAAAGGAACACTGTCTACGATGCTGGCGGCTACCAACTGTCTTGTCTCTCTGGCATGTTACTATAAGTATGTTGGGCATGTTACTGCAATTATCAGGGCTTCGCTAATTCAAGCACCTAATAGTACTAGCTATCATGACAAATATGCATCTGATATATATACGAATTGTGAAGAATCCCAAGAATACTATGGCGATGCCAGGCCTATCAAACTTGCAGGTAGAATATACGGTAATAATTTCGATTACCCAGTCTCGTGTCCCGGATTCGATGAACACCGACCCCAGTTTTTCCGTCCCGGCCAGATATTTGCGGCGCAGATCACCTCGAATTGGCTGTTAGAGCCAAAAGAACGAGAGTTTGAAAAGGTTGATTTCGGAAACCTCCCACTTGAGCCAACTTCGCTACTTGAGGAGAAGGCCGCAGCGGAAAGGCTCGAGAACAGGGCTAGACGGCTCGATCAAATCCGGAATCTCCCCTTGGAGAAAATGGTCCGGTATTGTGAAGATGTACCAGGCGACTCTACTCAGGTCAAGTGCCTGCTTTGCGAGCGTGAGCTCATGGATCAAAACACCAAAAAAGAGCCTCCGACTTTCGCGAAGGACCTTTGGGCTAGTAGTCACTTCCGCTACGACCATTGGAAAAATTACTTCCCAATGCTACCTCCCGACGCTTCCCTGTCGCTGCGGTGGGATAGGAAGAAAGAATTAGAACCCTCTAGTGACCTTGCCCCCCATATTTTGTCCTCGGACTTCTCGGCGGAGACATGGATCGATTTGACGCACGTAACGGATGACAGACCGATCTATACGGATAATGAAATAATCGGACGCATCAATAAGTCAACCCGTCACAAGGTCCACCCCCTTATGGGCCCAATCCTCATTCGACGGTTTGTAGTTGTCCGCCAAGGGCTAGACGATTGTCTATGTCTTGGAATCCATACGTAAGTGAGCTCTATCTATTAATGTTCGAGTTGTAGCTTTTAAAGTCATGTTCCAGCTGACATATCTGTGTTGAACAGATACTCTCGCCGGGGTTGTGGAGATCAGCCAGACCAAGAGCTGTTCGGCATCCTTCATTCAAGTAATAAGCCACCACCGCCCATGCCTAACGAGACAAAAATGGTCCTCTCACCTGTACGAATGAAATCCGACCATCCGTCGACTGCTCTCTCGCGTACCGCAAGGATACACTACGGCCGCGCGTACCGGATATCTCACAAGTTATGGGTCCAATCTATCGGGCTTATTAAAGATGCCTCCATGGAGGTGCTACTTGACCAATTTGAGGCAAACGTGTACAGAAAAACAGACGACACAACTAGATTAATCCCTACCGACGCTCTTGAGCCACAAGCAGAAGCTGCTGATATAAACATAGCCCAGGCAATCCGAGAGAACGTCGTTAGCGTACTGGGACCCGATATAGCTCCGGAGATGTACCAGCCGTTGAATACGGGGGATGCGAGACTTAAGAAGACTTCACACGCTAGCATTATGGGCAGGTTGCTAAAGAAGAAATGGTAGCGGTTATTATTTACTTATTAACAGGTTGTGTCCATATCATCAAGTTGGGACTGGTCAGCCCACTCACTCCATTTTCCCACCAGTATTGTAGCTTAGCCGACGTACAGCATGTTCTTCATAGTAGGTCAGCGTACAACACCGACGATATTTTTTTTTTTGAAAAAAAACAGTGAAAACGAAAGGCTACGGGTCTTTGAAAGAGATAAGTCATCTGGCTAACACGCTATGATTTTCACATCACCCCTTACTTCTCAACCCCATTTTTATATACCCCCGCCCCCTCCCAGCAAAAAGACAACTATGCATCTACATCCGAGCTTAGAAAATCGCCAGAGCATTCGGCGGAGACCCAACCAGCCCGGGGATATTCAGCGGCGCCGATGTAAGGAGGAAACTATACCGCCTTGAAGCTTTGCAGTGTGCAGACAGCGCCTTGAGGTCCCAGAGCTCGCCGATCGACATGCCGAACATCGAAAGAAGCCAAGGGTGGAGAACTAAAAGTAAGTGACGTGAGTAGATGGTTTCAAAAAAAAAAAAAAACAAAAAATACATGAAGCAGGTTCCAGAAATCATCCAGGGGGACTGCTAAAAAAACGTACCTAACTCCAGCGGCGTCCCCACCGACCCGTCCTCCTTAAGAGGCATCAACGCCTCGAAAGCCCAGGAATCGCCCGCGACGGCGGCGAAATGCTTGTTCCACAGCCACCTGGCGGTGTCGACGACACCGTGCACGCCGGCGACCGTCCCGGCCTGCAGCTTGGCGAAGTCCTCGGGTCGCGGCGCCTGCAGGATCTCGGTGAGCCCCGTGCGCACGACGAGCACGTCGCCGGGCCGGAACTCGACGCCCTCGTCCCGGGCCACGGCCTCGATCTCCTCCACCGTGATGCGGTGCCCGTCGAGCGGGTGGAAGACCGCTTCGTCGCCCGTCTTGCCCTCCGCCCGCGCGCGCTTCTCCGCCCACTCCTTGAAGTCGATCAGGACGCCCCTCGCGACCAGCCCGCCCGTCGCGTGCCAGTGGTCCAGCGTGGGCGTGCCGTTCGCCGAGGTGTGCGCGGCGGAAAGCCCTTCCTTGGTGACGGCAATGCCGTTGTAGGCTAGCCCGGAGGGCTGGTGGTGCCAGTGGACGAGGCTGTCCCACTGGCTGCTCAGCTGCGTGTTGAAATGGATCTCGTCGTCCCAGCCCGCGCCTTCGGATAATCCTGCTTCTCGCAAGGTCATGTGCTTGTGCACGGGGGCCATCCTCCCCGGCAGCGGGAATGCTATCGCATTGAGGGGCCAGCTGGACGGATGGGGTGTTGGAATAAGCCAAATGTACCTAACATAATATAATACAAGGTATACTACACGCGGGTAACGGTGAAGACGAAGTAGTAACCGGAACTCACTTCAAGGATATCGATATGCCATCACGCGCCTCGCTGTAAGCAGCCTTCCTAACAGCCGGCGTGACGAGGTTTAATGTGCCCAGAAGATCTTTCTTGCCGTCCTTGTCGAATACACCCCAGGCGCATCCTTGGGGCATATCGGGGACCTTTGGCAGGTCGTCGAAATCGGGCAAATCCGCGGCATCCATCTTTAAATAACTAGCAAGTATACTTTTCTAGCAATCGAATGACTCGAGATGATGGTGCGAAGGATCAATGCTATGGGGCATGGTACTTAATGTACGGTAGTAATACTAATGAATTGACGATATCCGTTTGTTGGTGGTACGATATATACCTTCAACGTGCTATACCAAGATGCACAGTAATAAAGCCCCCTGCAACTTCTTGGAGCCGTTGATACTTGACTTGACGGGGGGTTTCCCCTCATATGCGTGGTCGGGCGGGATTCGAGAAAGATATCCCGGCTAGTCTCACATAGTATTACTAGGATTTTCCCCTTTCCATCGTTAGTTTCTGCGGCTGTCGTTGGGATTCGCGAAGTATGCGAACTTCGTCGTCTTCGGATTCGGCTTGGCCATTGCCAACTCGACACGACAAAAAAAATATAAGACAAAAAATACGAATACGATTTTCTTAACTCTCGACGCGGATACTTACTCTCCTCTCATAGGCTGAATATTGCTCACCCTTACACTGGCCTATCACGTTTCTAATTTGTTAGTGTACAAACCGACAAGCTGCATACCTGGTATAGACCCTTTCCTTGCATAAGTCCTGGCAGCTCCAGAGCGCTGATAACCAATCAGAGCGAGGTATTCGTTAAGCTCACCTCTTTTAGGTGGTGGCAGACATATCAGAGCTGGGATGAAAGCGACAATTGGAGAATTTGGGGTTGAAAAGGAGCTACACCATACCGACATTAAATAAGTTGTTCCACCTCGTCAAGATTCGCTTATTTCGTACAACACAAGCTTCTCTTCTACGAGAAGACGTATCATTTCCAGAGGACAATAAGACGTAACAAGTTCAATTATCAAGCAAGACATTCTTTCACAATGGATGAATTCGCTCGCGTTCAGGCGAAGTATAATGAAGAGGCCCAGAAACGTCTGCGACCTGAAGGCGCCGCTCAGTTCCAGACGCTGGAACAGAGCGACTCCGACCAGCTGCGGCACCTAGCTGACGATTTCTGGGCTGACCATGCAGCTCTGGACGCACTCCCGTCACCCCTCAAGCCCGGCGACCGTGTCAAGTTTCTCATAGCAGGAGCAGGAATAGGCGGTATCGGGGCTGCAGTCCGACTCATCGAGGCCGGCTTCTCGGCAGACCAGATCCGGATCATCGAGACGGCTGGCGGCGTCGGTGGCACATGGTACTGGAACAGGTATCCGGGGCTGCATTGCGACGTCGAATCTTACGTTTACCTGCCGCTGTTGGAGGAGACGGGCTTCGTACCCACTCAGAAATACTCTTCCGGTCTCGAGATCAGAAAATATCTGGAGGATATCGTGAAGAAATGGGACCTCGAGGACAAAATCTTGTTCAGGAGCAAACTCGACAAGATTGAGTGGGACGAAGCCGCGCGTCTGTGGAATTGCGACATCACTGCCGGAAGAGGGCCAAGGGGTGACGAAAAGACAACTTTCAAGGTGCAGGCGGAATTTGTCTGGGGAACGGCTGGTTTGCTGAGCAAGCCCCAAGTACCGAAGCTCTCAGGCGTCGGGATCGAAGGGTTTAAGGGCGATGTTTTCCATACCGCGCGGTGGAACTACGACGTTACTGGTGGCACTCAAGAGGAAGTCTTCCCAGAATTGTCGAAGCTGAAGGGCAAGCGAGTGGGCATCATCGGAACTGGCGCTACGGCAATCCAAGTAGTGCCATGCCTTGCCGACTACGCAAAGGAGTTATACGTATTTCAACGTACTCCTGCTGCAGTGTACGGCCGTGGTCAAAAACCCACCGACCCAGAGGAATGGAAGAAGATCGCCGGTGAACCCGGTTGGCACGAGGCCCGACGGCAGAACCTAGCACTCCACATCAGCAATTGTGCTCCCCCCGGCGTCCCGGACTTGGTCGACGACGAGTGGTCTCGACAAGTTGCCTATGCGAGCCTGGTAGGCGACCCCGAATTCGCGTTCGTGGCGCCGGAAAAAATACCCGAAGTTATCGGCCAGTTTCTAGCTCGCGACGCGCCGAACCAGGCACGGTTGCGAGCACGGATCGCCGAGATTGTTCAAGACAAAGAGACAGCAGAGAAGCTTACGCCGTGGTATCCGGTCTGGTGCAAACGGCCAACCTTCAGCGACACATACTTGCAGACTTTCAACAAGCCCCATGTGCATCTGATCGACACGGACGGCAAGGGTGTCGACAGTGTAACGCCGGACGGTCTGATCGCCAACGGCCAAGAAGTCCCCCTTGACGTTATTGTGTTTAGCACCGGATACCGGGGTCCAAGTACCGACGGCGCAGACCCGTCGAAGCGTTCTGGGATCGAGGTGCACGGCCGCGACGGCAAGACGATAGAAGAGTCCTGGGCGGACAAAGGCGCCAGTTCGCTGCACGGCTACGCGATCCACGGGTTCCCGAACCTATTCTGGCACTCGCCTCTGCAGGCCGGTGTCGGCGCGAACCACGCCCATGTGCTGGACACGCAGTGCAAAGCCATCTCGTACATACTAGCCACGGCCCATCAGAGAGTAGGCGGTCCGAAAAAGAGCGGAATCACCGTGGAGGTCGAGGAGGCGGCGCAGGAGGCCTGGAGCACGAAGATCATGCAGGGGGCGGGTCGATTCTCGACGGTAGCGGTCTGCACGCCGAGCTACATCAATAACGAAGGCAAGGCGGTTGATCTGACAGCTAGCCCTGAGCAGCAGATGAAGCAGGCTAGGGCATCGCCCTATAGCGGGGGTCTGAATGCGTACATCAAGGAGTTGCAAGACTGGCGCGACGAGGGTAGCATGAAGGGTATCCAAGTAGCTGCGTCATGAAAATAGCGTGATTGAAAGAACCGCGAAATAGAAGCTTTTTACTACTATCTGTTAGTGTGTAGTATTTATCTCAGAATCATAGTATGGATTGGCAATGCCTCCAAGTCTCCTGGTAAGAGAAATTGTCAGCTATATCAACAATGAAGTTACATGCGTTATGATTTCGTAGTAAATGCGCCCGATAGCAAAACAATATGTGAGGTGGTTTTTTTTGAAAAAAATCCTTAGTATCATATATAGGTTCCTAGATATTCATGAAGAGATTTATTTCCTCAGATGCTAAGAGATTCGTTAGACATTATGTAGGGCGTAACTTCAGCATTCAGAGATAGGCACGTCGGGTGATCGATCGTCGCAAACTGCAAGACAGACAATCCTATTGGCTTTATGCATCTCATATCATTCCCTTGAGAAACTCCTAACCCCAAGGAATACCCCAACCTAATATTCGGCAAGATCTACTAATCTTCATACGCTTCCTCGTATTCCTCTTGGTATTCTTCCCGAGCCTCTTCGAGCTCTTCGAAATCGCTACTACTAGCGTCGGAATCTTGTGCCTTGGCGAGAGCTTCTTCGTAATCCTCGCGAGCAGAACGTACGGACTCTCGGTCGCTAGCGTCAATGTATTCGCCCTCTGCATTGTACGCGGGCTCGTACACAGGCTCATAATAAGCAGGGGCGGGAGGCGCGTATACTGCTTCCAGAGCCGGAGCCGGAACCGGAGCTGGCGGAGGGGCATGATGCTCATCATCTGAATCATCTATATGTACATAAATTAGTAAAAGATCTCGCAGAAAATTAGGTAGGTGTCTATATATATATAGCCAAAGGTGCCATCCTCAGAAGGGGTCCTTACCGAGAGCGTTGGCTATGAGTGCACCACCGATAGCACCCACGGCTAGACCGCCAGCAGCACCTAGTAGGAGGCCGCTATGGTCCTTCTTCTCCTTCTTCTTCTTCTCCTCGCCTCTGTTGTGGTCTCCTTCGGAGGAGTGGCCATAGCTTTGGTCTCCATGACTATATCCATATCCGGCTTGTTCGCCGTGGCCTCCATAAGAGTCGTGGCCGCGGGAATCTTGAGGATAACCGTAGCCTGGTGCTCCATGACTTGGAGGTCCATGACTTGGTGCTCCGTAACCCGATGCGTCGTGGGATGGGTAGTTGTTAGATTCGCTGTGCGAGCCGTATCCTCTGTCGCCTTCACTTTGGCCAGGCGGGCCAGGGTTGTAACCTGGGGCTTCCCATTGGGAGCGACCAGTTGCCTGCTCGTAGTAATACCAGCGCTGGTAATGCTGGTCCCATTGTGGTACCCAACCGGTCGGGATTGGCGGCTTATCCGAAGGCGGCGCATAAGTAGGCCCCGCACCCGGACCAGGAGGCGGAGGACTGCTGTAATTACCGGGCGGGGGAGGGCTATTATAGTTTCCAGGAGGCGGAGGAGAATTATAGCTTCCCGCCGGTGGGGGGGAATTGTAGTTTCCAGGTGGGGGAGTATTATAACTTCCATGTTGCGGCGGATAGCCACCGCCGTAACTGGGGTTCGGCGGGTTTGGTGGGTATGGATCTCGGCCGTAATTGCTGCCGTACTGCTGAGAAGGCGGTGGGTAATTTTGATGGCCTAAGGGAATGGTTAGTCTTACCCAAGGATATTGTACCTGGGGAATAAAATGAAGGCTGCTCACTGGGATATCCTCCGGGTCCCTCTCGATCTCGTGGTTTATCTGATCCACCGAGATTTAGCTCGTCGAGCTTACTTGTTAACTTGTTGAAGAAAGACATTTTTTTTGTATATTTTTGTATATCTTTGTATAAGTGGAAAGTTTCCTCTTGGTCTTTTTTTTCTTCTTGCTTTTGGTATTAGATTTTATACTGGAAGAAGTTAGAGATATGAGTTGGTGGTGATGCGTAAGACAAATCAAAGACAACTTGATGCTAGTTAAACTAATTGTCTTCTTGTCGTGAAGCACTGTGAAATATGTACGTGTGTTTGGAACTGATCAGCTACTAAGAAACTAATAATATGCGGGCTTGTGGAATGCTTCAGAAGTCCGTGATGGAGAATGATGGAGATAATTGGGTTAGAGTCCCCGTTTGGCTGAAACTGGTAGCGCCTTATTATATGCTTGGGACCTAACATGGCATAATTTTGTACTATATAAATTTAGATCCAATACTCAGGAGATGAGTTGTGTAAAGTCTTCAAACTCTTGGCGGTTGCTTGAATGTGTTAGGTATAGGTGTATTTAGGACTTAAAGCTTATGCGGTTACTCCCGGTTCCTGGGCTGTTAAATGTGAATTGGGAGGCCTAAAATTGACAAACAGGTACCTAATTCACCTATCCAGCTATCCTATCTCCTATCCTATCGCCTGCCTCCTTCTTGGAAGTTTAAAAATGGTTAGCCGCATAAGCGCTGTAGCGGCGTAGTGGGCGGCCTCCTTTTTGCCCCTCCAAAACCCCTCCCTCAAACCCCCGCCAAGGCTATAGTCTCCTACTTTGCATTTTCACCCCACCACTAGCGTCGATCTTGGCTGCCGTGCTATCCGTCAGCCCTACTACAGTTAGAGGTACCTAACCTAAGAAATCAACTCGTTGCACTGTTATCGAGACCATTGAGGACCGTTCAACCATTGAACGAACCACTTCTCCTATTTTATTTTATCACTTCTCAGCCCCGAATCTCACATCAACTGGACCCACACACAATCGTAGAGATATTCATAGATTTGATACCAACTTGTTCTGTATCTCCATATAGTATCTCCATATTTCAACAACCACGACCTCTTTTTAACCGAGTAGAAACCTTTGGTATCGTCCCATTAGTCAGTCTTTTTTTTTTTTTTCATTAATTTTATTTTAGACCTTCTCGTCACCTTGGAACATGTCTGGTTGGGGTCACGACCAAAACTACGGCGGAGGATACGGTGGTGGTGGTGGTGGCGGATATCACCAACCTCCTCATCAACAACAATGGTCGTCACCACCCCCTCCTCAAGGCTATAACCAGTATGGACCACCTTCCGGTCCTCCTCCGGGTCAGAATCAATACGGAGCTCCTTCCGGTCCGCCTCCCCAGCAACATGGTTACAATCAATATCCCCCTCCATCAGGTCCTCCACCGCCTCAACAACACGGGTACGGTCAATATCCTTCCCAGGGTTACCCCCCACCTTCGCACGGCCAAGGATCTAACCGGTATCCTCCGCCTTCCCATCCCCCGCCGCCTGGGCTAGATCCATACGGATATCCCGCTCATTCCGGTGGCCCTCCCGCTCAAGGTTACGGCGGTCAGCATAGGGCCGGTCCTCCTCCGCCGACTGCCCCACAGCAATTCGGTCACGGTGCACCTCCAGAATATACTTTCCAGTATTCCAATTGTACTGGTAAGCGTAAGGCCCTATTGATCGGCATCAACTATATCGGCCAAAAGGGCGAACTACGTGGTTGCATCAACGACACCAAGAATGTCTCGCAGTTTCTCATCGAGCGTTACGGGTATAAGAGAGAAGACATGATTATCTTGACCGACGATCAGCATGATCCTATCATGAAACCAACCAAAGCGAACATTCTTCGAGCAATGGAATGGCTTGTCTCCGGTGCTCGTCCTAACGACGCATTGTTCTTACACTACTCAGGTCACGGTGGTCAGACGGAAGACGAAGGTAAGACAATCTCCCAGTAGCTCTAAGTATAATTAGTTTACTCATCTCGAATCTCAGATGGTGACGAGGAAGACGGCTATGACGAGGTCATTTACCCCGTTGACTATGAAACTGCTGGCCACATTGTCGATGATCAGCTTCATCACGTAGTCGTCAAACCTCTTCAGGCAGGTGTGAGGTTAACGGCCATCTTTGACTCGTGTCACTCCGGCTCGGTCTTAGACCTACCGTACATCTACTCAACTAAGGGTGTCCTAAAGGAGCCAAATCTTGCGGCCGAAGCGGGGCAGGGCTTACTCAAGGCATTCTCTTCTTACGCTCAAGGTGATGCAGCTGGAGCAGCTGGCGCCATCTTTAGCCTTGCCAAGACTGCGTTCAGAGGAGACGGCGGGTATAAGAAGACGATTGAGACTAAGGTAACAAATGCCCGAAGACTATTATACTACAATGATAACCTGGGAGATATGTACTAACTATGAATAGACGTCGCCCGCAGATGTCATCATGTGGTCTGGCAGTAAAGATGATCAGACATCGTAAGTGATAGTGCAGCCGAGTTCTAACGATGCAACTAGATACTTACTAGTACTACAGTGCCGATGCGACAATCGCATCTCAAGCCACCGGAGCAATGTCCCACGCGTTCATCGCGGCTATCAAGCAAAATCCCAAGCAAAGCTATGTAGAACTACTCAATAGCATCCGTGACATATTGGAACAAAAATACTCGCAAAAGCCACAGCTGTCATGCAGCCACCCTCTGGGTAAGCTATTCCTCAACCCCTCGCGATCAGAACTGCGTACTAACTTTTATAGATACAAACATCCTATTCGTTATGTGAACCATTGCAAGGTGGGACATATATTGAATGAATTGAGGAACATGACCGAGGCAACTACCTAATCCATGATGGTGATACGAGGTAGTCTGGAGGAATGAGGAAGCGGAAATCTGATGACGATTTCGGGAAAAAGAATTACCAAGACACATGTTCCCTCTCTCAAGACTTCGTGATATGGAATTATCATGGAATTATTCTATAAGACAGATAGCCACACTTCATATAAGGCTGGGTCCGGATCACTCTGAAACTGCTGTTGTCTGAAACTGTTGATGAAATTTTGGGAAATATCGTCAATTCATAAATATTTCAATTACTTCCAAGTGGGGTAATAAGCCACCAAGCTCAAGTCCCGTAGCAGCATCTGGATTGCCAGATCTACTTCTCGTTGCGACTCAGGCGTAATCGTAACCGTGTGGCTAGCCGTAAGATATCTGTGAGTCCATATAATTCGACACTAAGCAATAATTGTCAATTTTTTTTTTTTTTTTTTTTTTTGCGACCTTCAAGAATAACCTTCTATGGAGCGAGTCTCTTATGATTGTGTTGATCCATCCCAGGCTCCGAATAGTCCTATATACGTGCCTACCTGGCGTTTAGGAGCTATGAGGTTGTGCCCATACGATTTAAGAAACCTTAATAAGTCTATCTCGTAGTAGACAATGAGATTCCTGAGACTATCAACTTACTAATGCTACCAAGGACTTCAATCTCTATACGAAGTAATCCGGTAAGTGAGTCATTTCACCGTAGCTTTCGGCAGAGGATCCGGATCCAAATTGTGAAGCGGTATAGTAGGATCGAGATGCAGATTAGCGACAGGGATTGGCCACATCTAGCCCATAGCTACATAGAACTCCATATGGATAATATACTATAGTTGCTACCTCTCCATGGAAGCGTCGTATACCAGGTAGGTAGGTTAGGTTTTGCTTAGTCAGAAGGCTCAAGTACAATATTTATAACTGTGTCTTCTTCCCGCCTTGATATTTTAGATGGTATGTGTATATACACCAAAAGTTAAGATCAACCCATTTTCACTCATAGTTTAGCAACAATCAACCCAGGATGGCCGACGGAAATATCGACACTAGCTTCCAAGAAGCCATCGATGCTGGCAAGATCCACGGCGCTATATTATGCGCCACGGATGCTGAGGGCAAATTCACCTTCGAAAAGACAATCGGCGAGCGTACCTTATTATCCGGCGAGAAAGTTGCTTACAAGCTTGACGACTTCCTGTACCTTGCTTCGGCCACCAAGCTAATCACTGCGATCGCCGCGCTACAATGCGTCGAAGACGGGCTCCTATCATTGACAGGCGACCTCTCGGCCGTCGCGCCTGAGCTTGCCGAAAAGCAGGTCCTCACGGGATTCTCCGAGGACGGCGAGACGCCCATCCTCGAGCCACAAGCCCGCCCCATCACCCTCGAGATGCTCCTAACCCACAGCTCGGGGCTCGTGTACCACTTCCTCAACCCGCTCATCAACCAGTGGCGCGAGAAGGCGCGCAAGGATCAGAACGCCGCGGGCCAGAGCGGCAAGCGGACCATCGAGGAGCTGTTCGACTACCCGCTCGCCTTCCAGCCCGGCTCCGCCTGGCTGTACGGGCCCGGGCTCGACTGGGCCGGGCGCATCGTCGAGCGCGTCACGGGCCAGCGGCTGCTAGACCGGATGCGCGCGCGCATCTTCGAGCCCCTGGGGATCGCGGACGCCGAGTTCTACCCCGTCGTCCGCGCGGACCTGCGCGCGCGCATGCCCGACCTGAACCCCGCGGACCCGGACGCCGTCGGGCTCGCGGTGCTCGGCGGCAACGGCGACATGAACAGGCACACGCGGGGGGACTTCGGCGGGCACGGGCTATTCATGACGGCGCCGGGCTACCTGCGGGTGCTGCGGTCGCTGCTGGCCAACGACGGCCGGATACTCCAGCCGGCGACGGTCGACGGCATGTTCGAGCACCGGCTCACGGCCGAAGCGACCGCGAGCCATCGCGCGCGCCTGGCGGGGCCCATGGGGCTGTTCTTCCGCGTCGGCACGGCGGTGGACGCGCGGTCGGGGCACGGGCTGGGGGGCCTGCTCACGCTGCAGGACGTGGCGGGGTGGTACGGCGAGCGCACGCTGAGCTGGGGCGGCGGGCTGACGTTTACCTGGTTCGTCGATCGGCAGAATGACTTGTGCGGCGTCGGCGCTGTTCAGGCTTTGACGACCCGGGACGAGGACACGGCTGAGGGGCTGAAGGATACTTTCCGCCACGACATTTACCGCAAACGGGAGGGTTGGAAGAAAGCGCAGTCTGCGTGATAGGAATTGTTTTCGTCTAACCTACCTAAGGTAGTGGGTTATATATATGGTCAGGGTATAGTAAACCGTGTGTCAGGTGTGTTCGTGAGGTAGCTGGCGTATTATCGATTACCCCTGACTCTGTTCGGGAGTAATTGTGAACTCGATTCATGTAAGCAATGTAATATAAGTCCTGGGTATAATTGTATCTGACAACGTCAATTCGTAGCTTTGATGCCTATTCGATTAGTGAATGATCCTGCCAGTCAACTTGAAGATCGAAACGTTCAGCAGCCGTAAGTCCCAGACTGCCGTTTGTTCTGACGAGAGTAAATGTAAGGAGACAGAGGACTTCGACTTTAGTTATTAGATAATATTCAAATATCCGTTATTAATAAGTATTCCTTAGGAGATCATTAGAGTTGAGACATGTAGATTAAGAGGTAGGTACCTATTTAAACTAATTGCAAGGTCACTAGCATTGCAGTTCCACCTTGAATGTGCTAGAGACTCGGAATTATGTGATCTAAGTCCCCTAAATACCTTCAATTCCCGATGAACATCCTAAACACCTATATTGATCATATTAGGTGACACATTCGTATGGAGATAAGTGATAGGGATATGTGTGGGTTAAACGTACCTAGAGCAGTTGCGATAGCTTCTCCCACCCCTTTAGCCGAGTTAGGGTTCTGGCCGGTGATCAACTTCCCAGCGACGCGAACACAAGGCGCCCACGGAAGAGCTTTCTGATAGATGGCGCCTTTCTCATTGATCTTATCCTCCAACATGAACGGCATGTACTTGGACATCCCCACGGAATCCTCCTCCGCGTTGCTGAAAGCGCTAACCTCCTTGCCCTTCATGATATTCTCCCCATTCGGCAGCGTGACGTTCACAAACGCAGCCGGTCCGTGGCAGACCGCCGCGACAACTTTGCCCTTAGCCCAGAACTGGTTAACCAGGGCGATCGAGTCCTTGTCCGTCGCGAGGTCGAACATAGGGCCGTGCCCGCCCGGGTAGAACAGGGCGTCGAACTCGTCGACGCGGCCCAGGAAGTCGGAGACCTTGCTGGTGTACTCCCAGAGGGATTTCTTGTTGTTGAAGAAGTTGGCCGAGGACGAGTCGTCTTTGATCCACGGCTGCAGCGAGTTGGGGTCAAGGGGTGCTGTGCCGCCCTTGGGCGACGCAACGATAATCTCGCATTTGGGCGAGAGGACGTCATAGGGATGGGCAAACTCGGGCTTTGTTTTTTTCAAGCATATTAACGAGGGTTCAAGTTCGAGTTGAATGATGATTTAATTAGAGTAAAAAGTGACATACCAGGTACCATCCGGTCTTTTGAATTGGCTTTCCGGCGGAATCTAGGATTTCCCCATAAGAGGTCAAGACAACGAGGACTTTCGGGGCCATATTGATCGGGTTTCAGTATCGTATCAAGTGAACAGAGTTTATTATGAGCAAGGCTCGTAAAATCTTCCTAAGCTTCTATAGATGTCGATATATTGTTCAGTCATTTATCGAAGTGATAAAAGGCAGGCATATTTATACAGTATTGTATCGTATGTCTTTGGTTTACTTTGACGTCAGAGACTTTTAGTGTATATCTCCAGCTTGCGATGACTTCACGTGTAAAGTATAGGTAAGGTAGGTAGCACAATCATCAACCAATGAAAGACATATATAATCTTCTTAGCTCCTTTTAGATCCTTGCTACCATATATCAGAACGAAACTGTATCCGAATGTTAGGTTTGGATATATCTTCATCTCATGAGATCATTAAAGCAAAGCTTCCACGGAAAATGCTATGTGCTATGTGTGTATACGTCCTATCCTATTGCTATTAGTTTTATGTTCCTAGTGGTAAAGTCCGATATGGATGTTACCTAATATCAACCTTGGAAGTTATATTTCTTCAAGACGGATTGGTTATAAGAGATATAGTAGAACTTACCTATCTCCTATGTGTGAGCTGTATGAGACAAGCACAAGGAAACAAACCCGATAATAATAGTAACTAGGAGAGTAAAAAGAAAACAGGTGGAAAGAGATGAAATATTATAAACTGCTCTGAGCCATCGGTCTGACCATGTTAGTAGGTATAGGTCATTTGCAAAGTCAAGACGAAATCACTTCATATTTTTTTAAAGTACCTTATATTTGTACGTTCACCTGATCTTTTGAATTTGAATCTACGTGACGTGCATGTGACTAATGTACCTAATATCAGCGTGCGTCGCATGTGGTAGATGGCGATTGGGCTTTGGAGGAGTTTTGGGTAGCTTTGGGCGCCAATGGGCACGACCTTAGCGGTCTTTAGTCCACTAAGATGACCCCTCACGTTTGTTTATCTGCCCGCTAAACTTCAAGGCCAGCCAAAGAAATTGCTTAACACCTTGGTGTGACTGCGACTTACGTATTATATTGTACAATACACATACCTACCTGATACATAGGAGGTAGGTAGGTACTACGTACCTGAGATATGGAAGGTGTTACCCCTCCCCCTCCCCCCTCTATCCTCCCCCTCGGATCTTCGATGCGTTGTCATCATCATCATTTTCTTCATCAACATCAATCAGCAATAGGTACCGGTATCAAACTAACCATCTCTTTCTAACTCAACTCGTAACTTTTATCTGTCTTATAGTTGGCAACAATTTCGTTAGCTAACGCTTCTTTGCCAACTTGGTATCGCTCATCTGCGACGCTGCTATCACAGGAACGAAGCTCATCTTCTGTCGTAAGCTATTGCGACGCCACCCGCTCCAGCTTCCGTCATTAATCTTGTCCCCTTTTACTCTTGTACAGAATTAGACCTCTTTCAGGGGTCTAGGTTTCATTGAAACTGATCGCCTGCCCACCATTCATCGAGCCTTGAAGCAAAGGTTCCAAAACAAAAACAAAAGGAACTTTATTGTCCATCTCCGAAGTGATTGTTTTGAACATTGTTCGTGTCCCCAAGGACATCTATCACACCCCACTCAGTACTTAGCATAGTCAATATAAGATAGAACTTTCGCAGTTCTTACTTTACTTACTACAAACGTTTTCCCATCTTCCTCTCTACACTCTGTACTCTGAACAGAATCCTCATCTTTTTTTGGACAGCTATTGCATTCGCACTCTGCAACAGACGACAGCTTCGATATACCAAGCTTGACATCTATCTTGGGCGTGGTGAATAGGTACTCTTCGTCCTCAAGTTTCGGATATTATCTCTAACCCCCTATTTTACAGAAAATGACTTATTCTCAACCAAACATACAAAACAGCGACGACCTGGCTGCACTGTTCGCTCGTAACCTAACCTTACAACCTCAACCAAACCAGGTTCCCCGAGAAGTGCCGCCGGCGCCAGAGCCAGAGCCGGAGATAAAATATTCTATTACACAACATTACCATCACTCTGCGCATATCGCCCACCAAAATGAGCCACAAGCTGAACAGCAGAGGCCGGCATCGGAGCCGCCACAGATCCAGCAGTTCTCTGTCGAGTCCTTTTTAAACGCATATGGCGTCGATCATACCACACTTTCTCTTGCGCAGTTGGAGCTCTTCTGGTCGGCTGATGATACCCAAAAACTACGTCTGATCGAGTTATGGCGAATCTGTCCTTCTGTTAATGCCCGTGAGAACCCATCCGCCTCCTGGAATACCACAACGATCGAGCAAGAACAACGTCTAGCTCAACTGCGCTATGAGAGGAAGTTGGCAGAAGAGGAGCAACAGAACACAGTGATGTCTATGGACGGTACACCTCTGACGCCAATTCAGACTGGATCTGGACAGTGGGTTGCTACGTACGACGTGGAGCCCTACATGATGTCCGGGTACGAGGCCTTGGCTCGACGTGAATATGAAGAATCGGAGAGAGAGAAGTACGAGGAGGCCATGGAGAGACCCAAAGACGTCTACAGTCATTTTGGAACCGCGGTTGGTGGTCCTAATTACCGTCCAGCGACGGATCCCGTCTACGATAACGAGTGGATGAGAAAACAACAAACTATGGAGAACCAATACGGACTTTTCCAACAGATGGGATGAATGCGTCTATAGTGCAAGCCTCAAGTGTATACACCTATCCTTCATCAAATTAGCATAGCACAGTTTAGTTTAGTTTACTTTGATTAGGCAAGCAGCAGGTACAATACAGAGAGCAGTCAGTGGTGGATATCGTGCGGGGAGGTCAAGGGACTATTATGGACTCACGGAAAGATGCAAGAGGATGAAGAATGAGGGTAGAGAGCACCCAGACTGGGCTTGCACATAAGTCAATTTCATGTGGTGGGGTTGGAGTTGGCGGATATCTCTCCCCTTTTCATAGGCTTTTTTATACTTCTTTTTCCTGTCCCCACACCTTACATAGTGTATGGCTAACAAATTCTTTGACTTCCAGAGTTACTCGGAAAGCTCAACTTCCATACTATTCAAGGTATGTGTGTATCCCATCCCAAACATATACCTCATAAGAGCACACACGTCCAATATCAGCCTCCGTCCTATACACCCCTATCCCCTTTCTTTCCCACTCTCGTAGACCCCCTTCTTTGTTTTTATTGTGCTCTTGGAGTACATGGACATGGTAAACCCGGCGTCCCACATACCCCATCCCTTGTTTATTTTCTCGAGATTACCAGTCGAGTTACTCTTCGATGTCAACTAGTATACAGCCTCAGGATAAATGAGAATAATAAAAATGGGGGAAATTTCACCTTCCTTTTTGCCCTGTCTAGATTACTCGGTGGATATATGGCATGATACTTGCGTAGAATTATTAAGGGCCGGGTGGGTTATTTGCTCGTTCTGAGTGGCGGGAACGGGACGGCCGCTGCTAGGTACATATCAACTGGGTTGGAACATTTAGATCCTCTTTAAACCGAATGTGTTCACTTTTTTTTTATGATCCGCTATATAGATTCTCTGTATGCATCAAAGAGAGAAACTAGGCATGAGGACGAGACACGTTTCCATGCACGCCCCTTTCTTTTCCTTCTCTATCTGTCATACGCGTAAAAGCAGCCAAGGCTCATCACGACCCCCTCCCATCTCCCGCTCCGCCGGACTCCCGTCAGATTCCCGCAAGCCTCGTACCTAACGCTTCTTGTTCCTCTTCTTAGCCTTGCTGCTGCTTCTCTGCGCCGCTTGGCTCCCCGTGGCCTTGGGCTTGCTGGGCAGGTCCTCGACACTGGTGCCCAGGAGCTCGAAGTCCTCGGCGGAATCGGTCGAGGGGGTGCGCTGCGCCGGCTGGTCGGACGAGGAGGAATCATCTGCGAGATCGTCGGCGGCGGCGTTGTTGTTTTCGTCCTCAGAGAGCTGGTCGTTGCTGGAGGAGGCGCGCGTGCCGAAGACGCGCCCGAGAGTCGCGGTGTACGCCCATATCGGAAGCTTGACGAGCGCGGTGTCCTTGATCGTGGGTTGGGGGAGCTCGTTGGGCTGTGAGGGTTGGTGAGTGTTAGTTAGGTAATGGGGTCTATAAGATAGATAGATAGAGTGGTGGATATGAGGTGGTTGAACTTACGTCGAGAAGGAATTCCTCTACATTGCCGTCGGCATCTTCCTGCTCGAGATACACGTCCCCGAGAGAGTCGACAACGAGCACTTTACCGTTCTCAGCCACAACGCGCTTCTTCGGGCCCGAGGGGCCGCCGCCTCCCTGGGATTGAGGCACGGGTGTTGCGCTTCCGCTTGCTTGTCCGGGGCGTCCTCGACTACGTGGCTGGCGTCTGCCCTCCTTGGCCGATTCCTTGCGTGCGTCACGCTCTTGCAGCCGTCGCTGCTTGCGGTTCATCGGCATCGGGGGCTGCTGCTGGTCGTCGCCGGCGGGGGGTGCTTGAGGGGGAGGAGTAGCGGTGCCCGGCGTGTCGACACCCGGGATGTTGAGGTTATCGCCCCACGCGGCCTGTCGGGCGAACTTGATATACCGCTCGACGAACTCGCGCTGTCGTTTCCAACTCATGTACAGAGCTAGGTAGTGGAAACCACCACCGCCCACGAGCAGACAGCCGAATAACACGGTGCCCAAGCCCGGCCGGTAGCGGCTGTAGTAGTATTCTGTCCCCTTCCACACGGGGAACCCGTTCGCCATGAAGTGGTCGTAGCGAGCGCGACCAGAGCCTCGGAGGATATTCGCGATGATAGACAAGCGGGCCTGGCGGTCGCCGGCGGCCTTGATGGCGGCCTTGATTTCGGACGGGGTAGGCTGCTTCGTGAGGTGGACGCCGGACTTCTTCCCTTTTCCCTTGCCTTTGGCTTTGGCCTTGGCCTCCTTGGCGCGCTCGGCGGCGAGCTGTTGCTTGACCTTGTCCGGGTGCAGGGCGCGGGACTTCTTGCGGTAGGCCTTGTTGATCTCGTCCTGGGTGGCGCGCGGCGAGACGCCGAGGAAGTCGTAGAAGGTGACGTTGGCGCCCTCGTGCTGGGCGAGCTCGTCGCGCAGGCGGAAGATCTCGCGGTCTTCTTTCGTCCAGGCCGACGTCAACGGCGTGAGCAGGGCCAGGAGGCCCACGGAGAGGATGGAGAGCTTCATCGTCGCATATATACTTGCATAGGAGGTATGTAACTCTACCTTGGGTACCTAGGTTAGGTTAGGTAGACTTGTCTTGGGCTCCAGGGAAGAAAGAGTTTAAAGGGGGAAACAAAAAGGAAGATCGATCCAATTGAATCAATCAAAGCTGAAAGAGAAGAGTAACTATTATTTTTTATAAAATGAACGATAAATAAATCAAGGTTATATGCCGGATAGGCACGGCTAGCCAAAGTTATGTGGTTTTGCGCATCAATTACGTCGGTTGTGACATGCGAACTGGACTTTGTTTAACTTTAATATTTTGTTACGAAGTACTTGGCTCGGCATTTCGACTTTTTTTTTCTGTCGTTTGTCTTTTTGTACCCTTGTCAATTGCAATGTGTCGACATGTGGCGGGGCCAAAAAGTCCTATGCAAAATGCATCTAGGGACTACATTATGTAATCTCACCTTTTATGAATTACGCAGTGGGAGGAACTTAGCGATCATTTATCTCATGCCCCAAATTCTAACCTCAACACGTCGCGCTTGTGTTTTCATAAGGACCTGGATAAAGTCTTCCAAGACACGGGTAAATGAAATCCTCTTACCATAGTGTAAGAGTCTTAATTTATGTTCATATCATTAACCGGATAGAGTATAGAACCATCAACTAGGCTAGGTACGTACCCCTTTATCAAAGCGGCACAGTCTAGGTACCTAGGAATGTCTCAGGGGGATAGAAAATATATAAACCAAGTTGTCGTCTCACCAGAAATTATTCAACTTACGGATTACATTACTCTTGGTCTCCCGTGTCTCCGCCCGACTTCATCACAATTTGGAGTACCTAGGTACCTTCCGCGAGTTGCCTTCAAACTCCTGACAATTCTATCTATTTGAAACTATTGGATTTGTCCCCGGTTAGTATTCCCGAGGTCAATAAGTACTAGGTATTGGACACGACATTGTAACCAGGGACGAAGATATCCTAGCCTAGAAGGGTCGTCAAACAACAAGATGTCAAGTACCGAAATGCGGGGAGAACTAATTTGGAAAGCGCGTGGTCAGCAACAGAGCATATCCGAAGATCGTGTCGTTTTCCGCCCCGGATATACATCCACCCCACACGTGGTATATGTTGGGGAGGTAGGAAAGATGTTATACAAAGTTTGGGTAGCTATCAGACCCGAGATGATAAGCCATGTCGGGTTTCTCAAACTACCTACAAAGCGGTAATATATATCCTCTTTAAGTCGCTCTCCCTTTTTCGTTTTCCGTGCTGTAGATATGTCTTTACCCTCTCTACCTTATCTCCAGGATCAGTAAAATCATGACCACCGTTCCCATGATGCCAGAGACGTCCCTCTGGGCGAATCGAAAATGTTTAATTATATGCGCTACCGTGGCGATAGCCAACATGCAGTACGGTCTAGACTCGGCAGCGATTGGATCCCTCCAGGCGATGCCTGGCTTCTTGGAAGTATTTGGATATAAGGATCCCAGCCAGCCAGCCGGGTACGCGATTGAGGGAACTTTCCAAAGACTTATCGGGTCGCTCTTAACTCTAGGTGCCTTTATATCCTCTCTTGTTGCTGGAGCGTTCGCCCATTTCTTCGGTCGAAAAGTTGCGCTGTGGCTCGCATGCGTTCTAAACGCGATTGCATGCATTATTCAGATATCGACGACGAATAAAGTAGCGGTTTACATTGGTAGACTTATTCTTGGTCTTGCTAATGGTTTTTTGGTAACTTTTTCAAATATTTACGGTATGTGCAAGTATATCATCCACGAAAGCGTTAGCTTTCACGTTTTCGTCCCCACCCCCTTTTTTTCTAAGATAGGTAATTAACAGGTTGATAGTATGTAGTAGCTCCTTCTAGCATTACACCACATCAATTCCATATTATATTGCCCGTATCCCGTATAGGGATATAGAAAAATGGTGATACTCGAATATTCTCAGTATGTTAACGTGTGACAGACCGCCGAAGCAGCTCCGGCACACCTTCGGGCCGTTATGGTTGCGCTCTTCTCAGAATGGGTTAATATTGGGAGTATAATAGGTGCAGCGGTAACGAACGCTACTAAAAGCCGTTTAGATAAAGCATCTTACCAGATCCCGCTGGGCACCCTTTTCATCGTACCTGCCTTCCTAGCCTTAGGTCTCTTTCTCGTACCTGAATCACCTCGATATTTATTATACAAAGGCAAGACGGAAGCTGCAAGACGGTCGTTAAAGACGCTTAGGGGCGAGTCCTTATCTTCTGAGGCGTTTGAACTCGAATGGGTTGAGATGGTGAAAGGTATCGAGGAAGAAAAACAAGCAGCCAGAACAATTGGGCCACTAGATATGTTCAAGGGTAATCGAATTATTCTTATTCCATATTTATAAGCAAAGAAACTGACAATTGTTCCTATAGGTACTGAGCTGAGACGCACACTTCTCTGCTACGGTATCATTGCGACGCAGACAGGAGCTGGTTCGTGGTTTATGATCAGCTACTCAACTTACTTCATGATTGTTGCCGGGTTGTCAGTAGACGACGCCTTCAAGTTCTCAGTTGTAAACACTTGCCTGGGGTTCATCGGGGTCAATTTTGGCATGTACCTGATGCGTCACGTCATGGGGAGACGAACTGTCTTGATGACCGGCGCTGTGGCTCAGGGATGTGCGATGCTGGGAATGGCGGTCTCCGCAACCGTCGCCTACGGAACACTTTCGGCTCGAAACTGCGTTATTGCTTTTATCGCGCTGTATCAATTTTCGTATAATGCTTTCGTCGGAGACGCGACGTACCCTACTGCTACGGAGATGGTGAGCACCAGATTAAGATCTTGGTCTGTAGGATCAGCTATCAGTCTAGGTTATTTCCTCGCTTGGCTCACGGGGTTCTGCTCGCCGTATTTCATCAACCCCGAGGACCTCAATTGGGTAAGTAGATCCGTGAGTCTGGTTGCTGTATTGACTTTATATGGGTGTATATGGCTAACATAAGTCATTAGGGTGCTAAATACGCTTATATATGGGCTGGCTCGAACCTGTGTTGTTTGGTGTTCTTCTACCTTTGCGTCCCCGAAACCAAAGGTCGAACATTGGAGGAGATCGATGAGTTATTCAATAACCGCGTATCAGTCCGAAATTTCAAGACGTTTCAGACGACGATTATCGCAGAAGCTTTCAAAGATGTAAAAACCAGTGTCGGGAGATCGGAGAACAGGTTGGCTATTGCCGAGCATTTTAATCAACCATAGTTTAAGTATGACACCGTGTGGTGGATAAGTTTGAGCACTATATATTGGAATTTAGACAGACAAAATTACATGCATAGCAGGTAGGTACTTTACCTTCCTAGTCTTAGGTACTCAAGGGAACTGTATATAGTTCACCATGTCACTTGGGTTAGGTAGAGATCAAAACCAATGCAGTCATTCGATTATCGAGGGGTATAGTAAGGAAACATCTGTCCAGCTTCATTCGCGGAAGATCAAATTGCTATTTAACAGTTCTTAGAGGATGATCGCTACCTAAATATCTTGACCAATGCTACTGTGGAAGTTTACCTAGTCGTCAATACTGTCCTTCGTCTAATATAGAATTTTTAAGGCTCTATTAGGACACAAATTTTGGCCCGGAGACGAAAAGGCAATAACGTAACATCTTCACAAGCACTTATAGGAACATGAGCGCCTGTTACAAGATATTCGTCACTGAGGGAATCACGTGCCTGCCTCTATCGGCCCTTGACATGCGCTATACAATAGTTCGCTAATTTTATTTGGGAAATCGACATAATGAGTGTCTGTTCGACGTCCGAAACCTACTGGCCCCTTCTGATTGAGAATGTAAGTCTCCTATTTTACAGAGCTAGAGGACGCGGTGTGCTCCATTATCAAGTATGTTCCCTTTGTTGGGACCCTGTACCCTTGAAGTGCACTATGGTTACGTACAAGAACCGTGACTGTCAATCTCTTGCCAACTTCATCGAAGGTTTCATCCGCGATGTCGTTCTAGTTTACGGAGTGACCGAGGCCACGCCTGTCGTGCTCCTCCACGCGATGGCCGAATCCTTCACGGATAAGATGATTGACATATACTTCAGCTATGAGAAGACAATCCAAATTAGCAAACCACTAATTAGCTAAAGACTCTACACATGTTATCATTGCTAAGAACCGTGGTGGGAAGTCTCAAGAGAATGAATGTCTTCCGTAACCAATCGAAAGGCGCACATTGTTTCCCCGGCGCCGAGTTCAAGGGACTATCAAGCATCCGATATATACCCCGAAAGGCGAGACAATCCACCTTCGCATGCCGCATGGACTATACAATGACGCGATGCCGCGCGCGTGGCGTTTTCTTGGAAGTGAATGGCAGTCCAGCCTGAGAGGTGCCATGCCTCTAAAGATCAGATCGCAACGGAGACAAGAATAGAAGTGAAGGGTACGTGAGATGATGTGGGCTGCTTCGAACAACTGGACTAAAGCTTCGGGTACTTTTTAAAATAAAACTTGGCGCGAGGTGGATTTCGATTGATGCATTTACCGTATACTTGGCGTCTATGTGTTTTCCTAATAAATGAATAGATTCATTGTATGAAGCAAATACCTAGGTATACAGCGGGTTAAAGAGGGGGTAAAAAGGAGCCGATGAATGTTGTCCCCTTTTTACGATATCACGAACTAATTGGTAACGGTGGATAAGATGAAACTGCTATACTTCCGGCACATTTTCAAAAAGGGATAGAGACGAGATTATCCTGCTGAGATAGATAATCCTTGATAATCGGATTGAATAACGGAGTTTTCCAAGGGTCAAGGAGTATTTACAGGGCTGGATTCCTTTAGAACCAATGTTCCTCGATCAGTAAATCATGAAGTGCAACTCCTGAAATATCTATGGCATCGCGTTACTAACTAACGTAGCCCCTCATCACTAATCTCGTAGGCTTTTCAGATTTCATTTCTAAAATACCACATTAATAATCTGCAAAATAACTTCAAGGTTTGAAATCAAATCGAAAGCATGACTGTTGGATAAGGACGCCGCTCTGATAGGTCAGAGGTATACTGGCTCATTCAGGTATGAGCTATATGATATGATATGATATGCGTCAATACAGGTAAATGTGTGAATATGCAGAATCCTAACCCCATTCGGCTGCTTTTGACAGGATTGCTAACCTTATGAACCGTTCGGGAAGATTAATTCCCACCCCGCTCTCGCTCCACATACAATTGTTACTACTACAAGTGCCCGAGGTACGGTACTGTTGGTAGATTAATAATGAGTTTAAGACAATGGCTTATAAATGAAAATAAACAACGCCAGCTGCGACGCAAGATCATGGAAGATATTGAAGACAAACTGACTGACTGACTTAGCTCTTGTGTGAAATAAAGCGAAGGATATAGAGAAGTCATCAGGCTTTGTTGGCTAAACACCGAAGTGAGGGCATTGACATTGACAACCCACCACTTATACACCACTTATATCAAACAACATATCGACAATATATCAACCATGGCCAAGGTTCCGGAACTCAATATTCCCGCTTCGACATCTACCGTCGACGTCTCTATCTTGAATACCACCGGCACAATCCTTGGTCTCAGTCTTAGTAACTTCGTCGAGCCCAAGGTCGAGGGCCATGACTATATCGCGGCACCCTGTTATGCTTTCTTGATCCAGCATCCTGTTTCCAAACGGACCCTTGTGTTCGATCTCGGCATCCGAAAGGACCTCTGGAACCTGCCTCAGAAAACGCAAGACCTGTACAACTCCATGGGAGTGACCATAACCGTGCCGAAGGGTGTCCGCGAAATACTAGACGAGCAGGGCGTCGACACCAAGAACATCGAAGCGGTGGTTTGGTCCCACTCGCACTTCGACCACACCGGAAACCCATCCACTTTCGAGCCGAGCACCGCGCTGATCGTTGGTCCGGGAACTTCCAAGGCTGCCTTCCCGGGATATCCCGCCAACCCAGATAACCCATACATCCTCGAGTCCGACTACACGGGCCGCGAGGTGAAAGAACTCGACTTTTCCAAGTCCAACCTGAAGATCGGGAAGTTTTCGGCCATCGATTATTTCGGAGATGGCTCGCTGTACTTCCTCGACACCCCGGGGCATTGCATCGGCCACATCTGCGGCTTCGCGCGGGTAACCAGCAACCCGGACAGCTTCATCCTGATGGGCGGAGACGGGGTACACTACGACGGCCAGCTGCGGCCTAGCCACTGGCACCCCCTGCCGGACTCCATCTCGCCGCACCCGTTCGATCCCGCAGCCCCCCAAACCTGTCCCGGCGAGCTATTCCACAAGGTGCTCCGCGACGGCAAAGAAGAGCCGATCTACCTCGCGGCAGACAGCCCGGCCCACGCAGACGTGGTGCAGACCCGAGCGACGATCAAGGGGCTGCAGGAGTTCGACGCGCACGACAACATTTTTGTTGTCCCCGCTCACGACCAGTTCCTCCTGAACGTCATCGACTTCTTCCCCAAACCCGCCAACAAGTTCCTGGAGAAGGGCTGGGTGAAGAAGGCCCGGTGGATGTTTTTGGCGGACTTCGCCAAAGCCGTGGGGCGGGAGGCGAAAGTAGAGATTGTTGGTGATTATCGTCCGATCCCTAAGGAGGAATACAAAGGATTCATAGGGAAATAAGCTAAGGGAAATTTATGAATGTCTTGGAGCGGATGATACTTGAATGAATTGCATGGTAAAATGGAAGAAGTAACTAAGGTGACCGTTTGCAGTGGTGGACGCAAACCACCTCATATAAGAAGTACCTGTTCGGCATTTGGGTTTACCTGTCCACCAAGGGACTCACCATATGCGCATTAAATACCTAGGTATCTCATATAATTTATAGTATACAACGCTCATTGGGTGCATCTGCCACCTATGACTTACATACGTGAGAGTTTTGGGACATATGAACAATCGTGTCCATTATTACAAAGTGTAAGCTTTGTGAAATGACTTAGGAAGCCTTGGTAAAGAGATAACTTCTAGAGCCGAAGGAAATTTCATCGAAATTTATTCACAGTAGAATACGAATAAGTATAAAGCAGCCTAACCTATCTACTAGTTCCCCCCTTAAAGTTCATCATATAATGTTGTGCAACAACACCCATATAGAATACAGAAGAAGCAAACGCCAGATTTAACCCCTCCTTTCTTTTCCCACCCCGCTTGACTGGCCGAGAGGCATTTCTTGTCAGAGATATGAATGCGGCTAACCACCTCGATTTGTACCTAGAAAAATATATCGAGTTAGGAGAATGAAACACTTTGCGGATGATTTGACGATATGAGGCCGGGTTATTCATAAAGTCACGATATGTTAGGGATACTACAAATATATACCCACAGTGGCCGGACCAAAGTCGGGAAGTACGGAATGTGGATTAGGCACCTGGATAGATTTGCTAATACGTTATCCTAATGATTCCCTGCCTGGCACGTTCCTAGCATACCTACCTAGGTACCTAGATAAGCATAAATATAATCGAGTCCCAGCGATGTTGCAGAGGCGGTATGATGTGGTGGTGGTGCTGGTTGGCGCAGGGTATCATCATCGGAAGCCCTCATCCGATGCGGACCACAAAGAAGTCCGGGACGATTTGCTAGTGTGACTGGGGCTTTAGCGACTTATCTACTGGACTTGTTCTCTCCATTTCAGAACGCCATTGACCATATTTCTTTTGAGATCGTTTACGCAGTGGCGTAGTGTAGTGAGTGTTTTATGTACGGTATATGCAGGTATCGGTATCTCGTGCCCACCCTAGAGTGGGCTTCTCGGATGTCTACCGAATTTACATATGACGGGCTGGAGAAGATATATATTAGGTATGCGTCTATGAAGCCCCCGGGAATGATTTTTGAAAAGAATTAATTCTCAGGGTAAGACATTTATGTATAACCTCGTTTTCGTTAGATGACATAACATCATGGAAAAGCTTTTCTCTCCCTTGTGGCTTAGCTCTTTAAGTCGCCGTCCTTTCGGCACGATAAAAAGCAAAAATATACTGCTGATGATGATAGTATAATTAGCGCAACTATATCTTCTACCAGTCCGATTTAATAATTTAGGAAGGGAGCCAAAATTTTGCTACATATTACTGGTAAAGCCCGCCGAGCGAGTTCATATTATTATGCTCGGGAGGCATGGGCTGCGGCATGCCGGACCAGACCGTCCCATATTGGCCCAAATTCGACGCGGGCTGCTCTACGTGTCCGACCAACGCGTTGACGCTCGGATTCATACCAAAGTTGAACGACGGTTCCGCCGCCGCCGCCGTGTTGCCGGTCATGGTGTTGACCATATAAGAGAAGTCCGCGCCTATTCCCGGGGACCACTGGCCCTCGAAATTCGCAAATCCCTTCTGGACGTTCGGATCTAGGTGGACGGGGTTTCGCGGCTCGTGCTTGCCTTGGGCGATGATGTCCATGATGGCCGATTTGATGCGCTCGAAGACGTCGCGGTATTTCCTCGCCGACGGGTAGCGCTCCGTGACGATGTATAGGAGGATTTGGCAGTCGGTTAGCGGGCCGTCGACGGATATAAAGGTAGGAGGGGCCAGCCATGCGCAGTAGATCAGGGTTAAGCCTGAGTGGCGCGCGTTGTCAGTACCAATTCCCGATCTGCGCACGGTCGTAGACGAAGCATGCATGTTTTGCTTTGCTTACCTGCTAAGAAGACGGATTGTATAGACAAGGCCGAGAATCCTATCGGAAAGGTGTGATGCAACCGTCGATAATCGGTAATAATTCCTATACAAGAATCGGCGCACATCTGTAAGTAGTGCATATTCACCGGGATTTTGGCAAGCTGGGGATATAACAGAAAGCGAACGCAGCGGTAATAATGAATCGTGTATAATTCGACGCCTTCGTACGCATCCTCTTGTCGATGCACGTAGTGCGCCGTGTCATAAGGGACCACTTCTTTCCACGCATTTAACCTATCTAAGAAAGCACTTATAGTAGCGTCGGAAACGTCGTTTGGTCGATCAACTCGGTAAACGTCATGTTGAATTTCGGACTCGATCTGTTTAAGTCTCGTCCGATGGATAAAGGATGTTAGTGTATTAGGGGGGTTAACAGGAATATTGCTAACGCGCGTTGCGGCCTGTTGAACAACCTCGTCGTCAAGGGTATCTTCATTAATATCCAGGGGCAGTTCTACGTCAATATCTCGGTCCGAAATGCTAGGCGGTCGTCCAACGGCGATGGAAATATCTCGATCGAGAAAATAGGCTGTCCAAAATCGTCGCTTATCCATTTCGCCTTCAACGCTGGGTTGCTGTCTTCGTTGCCGTCGATGCAACCCCATTTCTATACATAATCGAATAGCAGCTCCTACATATGTCCAAGCCCCAGGATCCCGAGGCGCTCTTGTGCAATATAATGCCATGAGTAATAAGTAATTGACCGTCCGAGAGTCGCGAAGACGAAGCATCGATTCCAACTCATCAAAAGCAAGTTCATAATGGTGGTCGCTAAAAAAATGTCCCATTTCGCCGGCCGACTCTAGCCATCTCCCACTAACCGCATATATAAGATGAAGGATGGTTTGCTCATATTCGTCTGTTAGGTTATCCCTATTATTGTGAAGGCTTACTACTTGGGTCGAATGCAATACGGGGTATCTCGTGGCTATATGTCGGAAGTAACCATGAAGTAGTCGTGCTGCAACTTGGTCGGTTAAGAAGGGAACTCCAATTACATCGCCCGCGACTGTCGAGTATATCGATTTCGGTGCAGGGTCGTTTTCGCCTTGGATTGCTAGTTCTTCGTGGGTACCCGACACCGATGATTTCTGGCTATGGACAAACGAACTGAGCACCCGACCTATACTAATGTTTGAAGACGCCCCAACATAGTGGCCTGATGCCGAAAGTGATAGGTCCCTCACAGCAAGCAGAATGTCATTCGAGTCGTCCCCGTCATCTCGAGGGGTTTGTTCAGCGACCGGTATCGCTGTTTGGTTAAGCTGACCGTTTGGTAGAACCGCTACATTTTGAAATGACGATGTCGATAGCCCTAAACGTCCTAGGTTATCATTGTTGACGTTACGATGGCCGATTGAAGTAAGATATGCTTCTAACTCGGTAATTCGGTTCTCGAGAGCTTTGATATAAACTTTCTTTTCGCCCGCCGCTGGGACAAGAGGTACAATGTAAACTTAACACCGAATTAGAAGGCGGATCCCTTAGGTTCTAGGTAGGCGTTAGGGGATAATGGCATACCGCATTTTAAGGACAACCGAGCGCAAGAAGCACAAGCCGGTCGCTGTCCATCACACTACAATGCGATAGTGTTAGAATACGAAGCCGTGTCGTATAGGTTTGCTCTTACCTTCTGCTTTCTGGTTTTACACCTGTTCAGGGGCTAATTAGCGATCGAAGACGTGTTCAAAGCGTTTATGATGCTGACTCACCTTTGACAAGCTAAAGCGACGCGTTCGCGCTTAACAGTCTTACGCTGTGCCGTCGGCTTCTCCGGGGCCGGAGCGGATGGCGAGGCCCCTTGGCCAGGGCCGCCTGTCTCCGTAGAGGACCCACTAGGTTCAATGTGAGACATTTGCTAGTGGTTGGTGAAGAGAGCAGAAATATCAAGCCAAACGAGGCAGGGGGTTTCGACAAGGCTGTCCTAAGAAATAAGCGGTTACAATAGCGCCGGAGACAAGCGGGCTAGAAAGATGCTAAGTAGATGCCCGTGTCTGCAGATCTAAAAGCTCGATAAACCACCTAGCTGACCATTTGGCAGCCACAGTAAGCCCGGTGTGATATAATTTCGAGTTTAGCCCAATCTGTCTACCAGTTCGAAGATTTCCATCGAACTTCGGAGACGCCCCGGAAGGGAGCCAATGGAGCTGGATGTTGTGTGCACTTACAGGGAACGTAGGCGCCAAAATGGCTTCCAAGCTTAGCTGTAGTTGCCCCTAACATTTACACCTGATCTCATAAAAAGGAGATCGCTCTTTCGTACCAAGATTTCAGAAATTCTCCTTGACCGGAGAGCTTCTAACGACCTATTAGCAATGTAAAACCGGCGCCTTGAGGGATAGCAGGCGTGGCGCATATACTTTTGCTATATTGAAAATAACCAGGATAGTTGGACCTTACTGCTACTAGCCGCAAATCGGAGACTATAAAACTGAGAACGTATAGGTCTGAAAAAAAAGTGATACTCCAAGAATAAGTTTCACCGGTAATATAGTCGTCCCGTACTTTGGAGATTTATCATACCATCTCCTTCATAATATATCTCTCTATTAGGCCTAGGGAATAATGAGCGTAAGCATCAAAAAGACACACTGACTCTCATACCCATATACGCCGGTCGTATACATGTGCACGGATACACTATAAGCGGTAATATCGGTTTGTACGGAGGTGGAAAAGCAAATGCATTAAGCCGTCGGGGAAAATAAAAAAGGCCCAAGGTGTTACTTTTAGTGATGAGCCGTGCACAAAAAATACTGGACCCCTGGATTCTACGATTCTATTCTCCTCGTAACTGGCGGAATATTTCCAAACTACCTAAAAACAAGGTTACTTCAATTTTTAATGGGTAACTAAGTACCTCCTACCTAATGCCAATCCAAATCCTAGCAGCCTTATTCTATTTTACTTAAGGGCGTGAGTGAAGGAGTATGTGTGAGGCATGTTTTCGCTAACGCAATCTGCCTATGTGCCTGAACTGCTGTTAAAAAAGGACGGCGGACCATATGCCATCAAACCGCCAAACCGCCCAAAATTGAATGACATAATCAGATCCGCCAAGAATTTAATGGCATAATCACAAGGCTTTTGTTAAACATCCGTTAAGCCCCCGTTTAACCTCCGTTTAAATTTTTTTATTTTTTTATTTCTTATAGAAAAATAGAAAAAAAATAAAATTTTTAAAATAAAAAATTAAACGGCAGTTAAACGGGGGCTTAACGGAAGCTTAACAGGGGTTTAATAAAAATTTACCTATTTTATGATTATGTCATCCAATCTTAGATTATGTCATATACTTTTTGGCGGTTTGGCGGTTTGGGGCATATGGCCCACCGTAAAAAGGCCCATTATAATCGTCTTAATAGCCTTGAGTTATAACGCTAACGACAGCTCTATCTCTTAGAATCTAGGCAACTTAGGTACCTAGCAGCTAGGGTAATAACTTTAGCTCATAGGTATAATGATGTAGGTTTCCCCCACAGGCGCTTGAATAATAACAGATGTTATACATAATAGAAGCCATTATAAGGCAAAGTATGACAACGATGGGATGCATGACATTAGTCTCCAAATGTCCGAATTTTTCTTTTTCCCTTTTCTTCTTATTTTTGTGACAAGTGGACGGAACAGGCATCAAAGTCATTGGCATCTCACTCTTCTTCATAAAAAGAAAGACGGGCCGGGCCGGGCGAATACTTCGCATAATTAGTATATCATCGTGTTAATCTCACCCATCGAGACAATTGTATTACCACCACCTCCCGTGGCTTTTCTATGACCGTGTATGTTCGGAACTTGACTCCCGTTAGCGGCAACTATCAAACCACTGTACGGAATGTTTTTGTGCAGTGTTCCACAGATTCCATGCGTGGGCTGTGAAAAGCTGATGTGTATTTCGGAAGTGAAACCGGGTTTTATTATATTATTTCTGCAAACTCCTCTTTCGTATTTATGGCATTAGCGCTAGATAGTGTAGTGTAACTAGCTGTATATTTCTGATTTTCGTTGCAGTCAGGGAAAGATGGCTATTTATACTCGAAGCTGAGGTTGTCCCGAATTCGAAAGTATCCTAATAGCGAAAATGCATCTCCTTGGGACGATGACGATGTCTTATAATTAGACCTATGAAAAAGCATCATACTACGCATTTATTTTCTTATTCCCAAGGGAACGCTATTCAGTATACATAACCAATCTTCCCATCGGATCGAGACTGAAATACAGAACTGTCAACCTCTTGATAAACCCTCCATTATAACCATAGTGGTTTCCGGTACCCTGCCAGGACGCGATTAAGCATCAGCGGTGTACAATGGAGTTGCGGCACTCGGCTTCCCCAACCATTGCAATCATCGGCGCTGGTATTGCCGGCTTAGCTCTTGCTATCGGCCTCGTAAAGCGCGATGTTCCAGTCACCATCTACGAAGCCGCAGACCAATTCTCCACGGTTGGTGCCGGTATCGGTTTAGGCCCGAACTCCCTGGACGCCATGGACGCGATTGATCCGAGGTTTGGCGAGAGATACGAGGAGGTGAAGACACAAAACGAGAAACCAGACTTCAAGCACAGCATCTTTGACGTATTGTACGCCGAGGAAGGTTTTGGCGAAAAGCGGGGGTGGAAACGCGGTCTCATCGGCGCCCCTTACTTCACGCGAAGTGGTGCACACCGCCGCGACCTGTTGGATATTATGGAAAGTTTGGTCCCTAAAGGAATCGTCAAGTTTGGAAAGCGCGCGTACTCAGTCGAGCAAGTGGGTAATAAGGTCTTGATGAGATTTCAGGATGGTACGGTAGAGACAGCCGATGCGGTTGTGGGCTGCGATGGTGTTAAAGGTATTACGCGCCGGACCGTCTTGGGGAATATCGCACCCGAAGAAATTCCACCTACGTTTTACGGTATGTACATGTATAGGGGAATAATACCGATACGAGAGGCGAAGGAGATCTTAGGGACCCACGCCGGCGACGCGAAGTTTTTCATGGCCATGGGAAAAGCTGTGGTGGTCTATCCTATTTCGCAGGGCAAAGAAGAGAATTTCGGGTTCATGATTTCGAAACCTGACCCCTGGATGGACGGGGACGCTGCTGTGCCTTGCACGAAAGAGGAGATGCTTGAAGATCTGGAAGGATTTGACCATAGGCTACTAAAGCTACTAGACTACGCCATACCTCTGAGATGGCCGATGTGGCATCACCCACAGACAACCACATTCTATAATGGACGAGTATGCTTGTTGGGCGATGTTGCGCACGCTTCCAGTCCTCATCAGGCCGCCGGCGCTGGCCAGGGGTTGGAAGATGCTGCCGTCCTCTCTCACCTACTCACTCTTGTCAAGACCTCCGATGAAATCGAAACAGCCTTCCGAGTCTACGACGCGGTCAGACGGCCGCGTGCGCAAAAAGTTGTCCTTACGAGCGCCGAAGCAGGACTGATTTACACATGGCGAGGACCGACTACCGGAAGCGATATGCACAAGATTGTCGAAAACGCGAATAGACGCATGCCTTGGATATGGCTGCATGACCTCGATGCGGATATCAAGACGGCCGACGATAGCTTCTATAAATTAGTACGAAAGCAGCAGGACTTATTACACGTACAGGATGGTGATCCATCCAAGGCTGGGAGAATAATGAGAGGCGATGGGTTAGGAGCTTCAGGTCCCATTGGGTGTACGTAATTATTATCTTCACATTATGAATTAATCAAATACTCGGGGTTTGTTTTTCCAGACTTATACATGTCGTATCTCACGAAGTCATGTGGCCAACGGAGATAATTATGAGGCTGCAAAAAATTCTATAAAAATGCGCCTCGAAAAATCTCGGCTAATACGAAATAAAGATCCCACGCACTGGGTAACTATCGAAGTACCTTTGGTGAGTAATCCGAAGCAGTAAGGCGGCACCAAGTCGATCACCGACCCATTGACCTGGATAGCCGGTACAGATGCGCGAGTGCGGCACAGATCGCTCAACTCAGTTCAAAATTTGTGACAAAATTGCCCTGCAATCTTAGAATCCCTGCGAGCCGAAGAAGGAAAATCTACTGGGCACGACAGCGTTTTGATATATGCCGAAAAGATAGAAAGCGACGTTGGTAGAATTTTGTATGAGAAAGGTTATATCTAGAGTTAGCGATTTCTAACGAGTGGCCTTTCGAATCCGTGCCCCTACCGAAATGGAGTTAACAGTAAACCGAGCTGACTCGTTTTCGGTGCTTTAGGTAGGGCTGCTAAAGTGCTGTGCCCCCCATTTCCAGCTTCCAGCTCAAGCCCTTCAGGGGGTTGTCGAAGTGCGAAGCGACAAAACTTCTAATCTCTACACTAATTCGTACGGAGTAAACACCTACTATCGATATATCGGGCATAGTATATTAATCCTATATAATCCTAACTATATTGAAGTTCCGCGAAACCTCCTCTTTCAGAATAACCCATGACGATCCGATTCAAACGTTGTCTTCATTGGCCGCCCTGATTTGCAGGAAACAATTCGTCCAATGCCTGGTTATTCCCTATCTAAGCGCATATATAGGTAGGTACACGAAGAAAAAAGGTCGAAAAAGAAATTAAGTCGCGTCCACCGCAGGTCGCCTAGGAATATTAAATATTATTAGGCGCATATTAAAATGCCGAGCTTGCTAATCTGTATGTATTACGCAGATGGTTGCATTTCCGATCGAGACTAAATTGCGGACGGTCTTCTACCTGCAGCAGAGATGCATGATAATATATCGTTGTCTACCTCTTTCTTGCTTCTAGACCTCCTCATAATTATTAATCATAATACCTTAAGATCTTTATCGAATTTCTACAAGTGACAAACTCAACCGCTATATTCTCGTATTCTTCGTTAGCATCGTGGCGTTATCGCCATATACCTGTACTTCTTCGTCATGGCGATAACTTCTATATCCGATACGGAAGATGTCCAGAAGATAGAACAGAAGAGAGACAGCTCGACGAACGGGGAATCTGGCGCCTTTACTACGGAAGAAGAACAGAAACTTGACCGTAAAATTCGATGGAAGAGAGATATAGTAATCATACCCATCATGGGGACCTTATACATGCTGTTATTTCTAGACCGGACAAACATCGCCAACGCACGGAGTTTGGGCATTGACCAACCAACCGGTTTGGAGAACGCCTTGGACATGCCATCTTATGGATACAATACGGCCCTATGGATCTTCTATATTCCTTTCGTATTAACGGAGGTTCCGGCGAACTTAATTCTAAACCTCAATAAGATACGCCCTGGTATTTTCCTCGGTGGACAGGTGTTTCTCTTAGGTTAGCGGCTATTGCCACCACAGGTTCGTCTACTTGTTATCTTCTACTTGGTGTTAACTATGGGTTAGGCGTACTTGGAATGTGTCAAGGCCTAACAGCGAGCTACGGTGGACTATTAGCCGTCCGCTTCCTATTAGGTGTCTTCGAGGCTGCTCTTCCTGCTGGCGCGACTTACATGATATCGCTGTACTACACGAAGCGCGAGGCGTCTAATAGGTTCGCCTGGTTCTTCAACTTCGCTCTCGCAGGTCCGCTTTTCTCGGGACTCTTAGCTTATGCCCTTGAAAAAATGGAAGGTGTTGGAGGTTACGAGGGCTGGCGGTGGATATTCATCATCGAAGGGCTGATGACATGCGTCCTCTCCGCTATTATTTTCTGGCTATGTCCCAACTTCCCTCGCGAAGCGCAATCTTGGTTCTTGTCAACCCAGGAACGGGACCGTCTGATTGATATCCTCGAGGCGTCTCGCGGTCTCGAAACCGAAGGCTCGGCTGCGGACAACGTCCCTGTCTGGAAAGTTCTTGTCGATTGGAGAATCCATCTCCTGACTCTGTGTTTCTTTTGCGTTGATGTCACGGCCTCGTCGATAGCGTCTTTCTTGCCGACAATACTCACTGAAATGGATTGGATGGCAACTACTGCTCAACTGATGCTGATGCCTATCTGGGCGGCTGGAATCGTGTCCACCTTCATTATCACTTGGCTTGCTTCTCGTCTCAATTTCCGCGCGCCCTTTCTTCTCTTCTCTATTAGCTTACAGATTGTTGGATGGAGTATTATAGCAGCTTATCCCCCAAACGCTATAGTGCGATACGTCGCGCTCTGTTTTATGACAGCGGGTACCTATCCGCAGATGTCCATCTTAACGGGATGGCTCAGTGCCAACCTGCGTGGTCGCAAGTACCTCGCCGTCGGTATGGCTTGGATGGTAGGGTTTGGTAATTGCGCTAATTTCATCAGCTCAAATGCCTTCATCACTACCGAGCACCCGCAATATCCCACTGGTGTTGCCACGGGACTCGCCTTCACGATCCTGGGTTTCGTGCTGACATGGGTCGTATTTATACTCTTGATCCTGGGAAATAAAAGGCGGGATAGAATCCGTGCGCAGTTGACGGATGACGAGCGCGAGCATTATAACGAGCTACATTTCAAATTTGTTTACTAAATACTGTTTATTGCCGTTCAAAGTAAAACAAACGCCAGGGGAAAGATCTTGTTTAGGTGTTATGACAGAAGTAGCCAATCTTTCTCTAGCAGTTTTCCATATATTTCATACTCCCAAATATCTAGGCTAACTTGTTTCTGCCACAGGTCATACACTGCAATCGTTACGCCCGGAGGCTAAGCATGAGGCATCCCTCGAAGTACCTCTGCAGATCCTTGAAGTCCTCGAGATCACCCACCCAACCGACGTACTGGTCCGGCCTGGCTACCACAACGCACCCTCGCTCCTTGTCCACACCATAATTCTCGTAAGCCTTTCCAGTGTCCTCATGATAGCTTACATCGTCTACGAATATCTTATCGTAGTCCCAGCCGGTATGCGGATTATAGGGATGAAGGATCTCGGGGAAGTCCATCAAATTTGTCTCAACCCTCTCCGCAGAATGTATTGTCAACACTTCGATGGGTGCGTCCAGTGGGGGACTAGATGTGGCAGAAGTGCGGAAAAAGCTATCTGGCGCACCTAGTGCCTCGCAGAAATCTTCCAGGCGTTTCTTTTGTGGGGGGCTCAAGATGTTTCCTGCAAAGACGACTATGCGGAATTGGCCGGTCGACCTAAGTTTCTCCTGAAAATGCCAGGGTCGAGCGTCAGACTGGTTGACCACCTTGAAGCTGTTGAAGCGCATCCCGATGGGCAGACCTTTAGCAAGTGATTGCTTTGTGAACGCGTTGGCCGAACTGGTCGCATCGCTCAGTACTTCTTTCGATTCACCCACGGCCTTGCTAACAAGATTGCTGGGTTCGTAGTTGACACTCAAGCCAGATGCGAACAAGTTGCCTTTCTCAAAGGCCTCTTTGAATTCCCCCATGCTAATACCTTCAGCGTCCATGATGTCTTTAGCTGGTCTCCCGGAAAAGAACCTACTAAAGCGATGGTCGAAGTCGATGAGATCTTGAGCTATTTTGCGCCGCTCGCTCTGGTACGTGCTCAAGATACTTGGCTTTGCGATACCCTTTGCGACGAGCGCTATCTTCCAGCCAAGGTTATAGGTGTCATTCATAGAAATGTTCATGCCTTGACCAGCCTTTGGGGAGTGCGTGTGCACGGCATCTCCTGCGAGGAAGACGCGTTCATGAGAATCAAACCGCGTGGCCACTCTTTGGCCGATCTAGAAAGCATTAATACATGTACATATTCCTAGCGATATCAGGGGATGGCTACGAGGTGTTTGACCATACCTGATATGCAGTCCACCAAGCGCAATATTCATAGTCAATCTTATAGGGACTAAGAATCTTTTTGGCCGCATTGAAAATGGAATCAGGGCTAATCTTAGACCTGTCCGCACGACCTGAAGCATCGGGAGTTACCTCTTTTAATTGGATGTAGAGCCGAACAAGTTTATCCTCCCGGGGGATTACCATCAAGGTGCCATTCTCGGTCGAATGAATAGTACATCGCATTCGGATATCAGCTGAATCTACTGTTAGGAGGGGGATAACTCAAGCTAAATATGTGAATGCTTACGAAAGTCGGTAATGGGTATAATATCAAGGACACCCCAGATAGAATCGGTCGCCTCGCCCAGCAACTCAAAGCCTAAGGCGCGCCGAGTCCAGCTGCGCGCACCATCGCATCCAATGACGTACTTTGCGTGGACTATCTCCCCGGTCCCAGCCCGGGACTTGTTCTTTCGAATCAAGTCGTCTTCGTCATCTGTATGCGTCAGATTGCTCCGGAAAAGGCCATCTGATATCTTGCTTCCGCTGATCTGCTGCTGGGGAGTTGCCTCTTCGTCGGTGAGGTGGCGCAGCTTCACAGTCACCGGATAGGAAGATTGGTCCTCGACTTCCGTCTCGTCGATCTCCAGAGATTCCGGAAGGACCCCGCGTTCCACTTTGATGGTATCGTTAGAATACTTCTTGATATTATCTAGAAAGAAGCGTTCGATGCGTCCCTGATGTAGCGTAATCTGCTGGAACCGAGAAAGTCCTACAATCGTATCTGGAATACGGTCTGAACGACGAATTATGCCATCAGGCCCGGGATTCTGGAAACGAATTAGACCTTGTTATACATTTACGGATAGCTAGCAGATAATACTAACCCAGAGGCATATCTATCCCAAGTTACATTAGCAAAGAATAGATTCATCATTATTCTGGGGTTATTACCTCTATCATATGGTTCGCTTCTTTCCATGCCCTATCCGCGAAGCCGAAACTGTCAAATATCTCGAGACTTCGACATTGAAGCCCGTCAGCTTGGCCGGAGAATATCTTGGTGCCCCTTTTATCGATGATTCGGGTTGTCACACCACAATGTGCCATCCAGCACGCAGCCATCAATCTGTAGCACCATGAGCATGAGCCTGAAATTAAAAGCCATGCAGTAATAAATTTCGCGTAACTCACCCGGCCGGGCCGGCGCCAATAATGAGCCTATGGGTAGGGTTAGTAAGGGAACCTGCTTTGGAGAACGCGCCATATCGACGTACACATCTACGTTCGATTCGGGAACATGCTCGCTGATGGTCATCTTCACCAAAGTATTTTCTTTTTTTCGGAAAGTCTAGATTGCAATGCTGGGGAAAGTTGGGTTGGATTGTAGAACGTTCAGCAAAACCAAGGCATAATATGCAACGCGGAGGGCTTGAAGTACTGGGAGGAAAAAGGGGGTAATGCGAGACTATTCCTAATGAATTCACTCTATATTCAGCCTCATATCACCGAGCTGTAAAGATCCTTGGCGATGATTGACAAAGTGTTTGCTCCGAAGAAAATGATAACAGATGTATAATTCCTTTGGGTGTCGCTTGAAGATGTCCCGCTCGGGACGTGAGCATACGTAGCCTGGTAGCTTTGCTTCTCACGCTACGTTGATCTCGGATGCGGACCTAAGTCACGGCAAATCCAACGAACGATCACTCATCCCCTCCCCTCCCCCAAATGCAAATGCAACCCTAGTCAGTAAGCAGCAGTTCGGTGGCCACCAATCAGTTTCCCACCTCGTAGTTCTTTGTTTCACGAAGGGCACACGAATCTGCGACAGTACTCCCGTCAGTCGCTCTCATTCGTAAGAGAGAGGTGGCTTTCTTACGGGGGATTTTCTAAGAAGCTTACGATATCTGATTCCCCTATCGATCACCGGATGTACGTGATGAGTTGTTTCACCTCACTTCCAATATATTTGAAGCCTCGTTTACACAGTAGGCTCTAAGAACAAAAGATGGCGATGAATACGTCTCAGATCATATGTAAGAAAAAAAAGGAAGATACATGTCAATACTCTGTTCCGGGTGCTGGGGTGTTCGAATGTATATTCCAGTTTTTATTCCGGTGTGTTACCTGCTTCCGGGAACGAACCTCTTGCAGCAGATGTTGGTTTGGCCGCCCGTGATTGGTCACATCGTTTAATATGGCTTAAACAACTTATCTTGTGCATAAATCGCAACGAGATCGATATCTGATATGTAGAAAGCCCGGTCCAACCATGTTAGAAAGGATAACGTACCTGTCTCTAAATGATATATCTATTCGTTTTTTGATTCGCGTAATCTCGCCAGGAATTCAACGCCCAGTAAATCAGTAAGGGTCTAGACTACTTAGCCCTAAGACAAAATCATTGAAAACATGATATGTGGGCATGATTTTATATAGAGCTTGAAGGGACATCGCTTAAATGCTTGCGAGCACTGTATCACACTCTCGTATCCCGTTAGCTGAATGGTGTAAAGAGAGGTGATCCGTACTGTAATAGGCGTAAGTCCATTGGGCTGTCCTACAGCTTAATATGTTGTCAAGCATATAGGCAGGTCCCGTTAAACTTACCTTAGGTTTGGTAGGTTAGGTACCTGGTACTTAACCGAAGCATCATCAGAATTTCAGCCCTGTGGAATTTAATTGATATGCTTGCCCATCTCCCTCAATTGGGACCCTATTCTACAACGTTCTAGGTACCTGATAGAGAACCTTTTTAAATTTTTTAAAAAAAATAAATTCTATGATATCAAATCAGAGTCGGTATAATTCTCAGTTCTACTAACTTCGCCTCTAGTTTTCTTGTCACATATCTACGATGACTGTTTCATGATATCTACATGGATAGACATTATGATTTATCGGAACCGCTAGCTGGGAAGAAGTGGCCACTGAGCAAATGACAAAGGCGACGACCACGATATCCAAGCGACCTTTTTTCATAGTCGTTTAAGGTTGCCGTTGAAGTCAACATCTCTACGATGGAGGAATGTGCTTATACGTAGCCCCTGACGTGCGAAGGTCGACATAGTTAAAGCAAACTTCACTCCCAAATAAGTTGGTGCGAGACTATCCTCAAGTTAACAAATTCTCTTAAACTTCCGTTGAAACCTTGGAGTTTGAGTAGTAACTATGCATACCGAGACTGAACAAGCCTTTATTCGGGAGGTTTGGGCGTTGCAAGGAACTTCCTATATTGTTGTCGCCCTTCGTTACTACAGCAAATTTTCGATCTTGGGATGGCAAAGCTTGGCATGGGACGATGCTATGATGCTCCTGGCCACTGTGAGTCAACCAGCGCTATGCTTATATCTGATGAATGTTTGCCTCTGACATGATATTCTCAGGTGTTTTATACGGCAGAATCGGTCATGGCCTATTGTGTTGTGGCCTACTGGAAAGGCCTTGCCAACAATGCGATGACGGACGCATACCGAGAATCACTTGATCCAAATTCAAGAGAGTGGTATCTACGAGTCGGCGGATCAAAAAGCAACGTTGCTGGTCTTATAATATATGCCACACTCCTCTGGCTGCTAAAGGCTTGTTGGCTGGTGTATTATGCACGTTTAACGTAATTACTCCAAGGAATCCAGCTCTGAAAATCAAATGACGTTGACATTTTTCGCAGGGAGGGAGTCAATAACATGCGTTCCATGATACGCTGGGGGGTTGCTATTATTGGTTTGAGTTACATTGCTTGTTTACTTGTGGCCTTCTTGAAGTGTATTCCCTTTGATCACCAGTGGCAAATCAACCCTTCACCAGGAAGTGAGTACTGATATCAACTCCAAAAAAACAGGCTTCCTTGAAGGATGCTAATAATTATGTTCTAGATAACTGCATGCCCGCGATTTCTACCCTCCAAACTATTTTCGTTATGGTTATGAATACCCTCACTGATTTTTATATCATGGCTATACCACTACCTGTACGTCTACCATATTTAGACTCAAGACCGTCTCTAAGCGTGCTAATATTTTTTTTTCAGCTGGTATGGAAAGCGCATCTTCCTTGGAGAAAGAAATTCGTACTTCTATTCATGTTTGGTGGTGGCTTTCTTGAAATGGCATTTGGTATCCTGAGATGCGTATCTATATTGACAGTAAGCTTTCCTCCTCCGATTTACTTGGTATGTTATGTGAATATGCCTTTAATCGCTCTGATGAATAACTATTTCATATGCCGAAGTATCGACTAATAATCTTCAAAATAGCTCGGCGATATCGACCCGGCCCAATCGGGATACTGGTCTGTTCGCGAATCTTTTGTTTGTGTTGTATTGACCAACCTGCCTATGGTATACGCATTATTTAGCAGATATATTGAGAAGGGAGTGAGCGCGGCTAGATCGAAAGGTGACAGTGGGGTTGGAATTAGAGGTTACCGGCTCAGCAGTCTGCGAAGTCGTGGTGCGACTATAGGGCAAAAGCAGAGGCCACCCGGGACTGATCCCAACGACACAGCATGGGACTCTGAAGAGTATATAAATGCGGAAGGGGTCCAGGGCCGCTCAATAGACAGTGAGGAAAGCTTCTTGAATCTCCCTAAACATCAAGCGGTTGGCGTTGCGTTTGATGAGAGTGGGATACCTGGGGGGGCTGCTCAGCCCACGAATGGTACTCGTCAGATCATGGTCACAACAGAATATACCGTAACAGAAGGAGCTAGGCATGACTCGAGGGATATCAATAAAGCAGGCTTTATCGGGTAGTATTTACCCGCTCTACTCCAGAACACATTTGCCTACCCGACATTATCATACCGTTACTCAAACCAGCGAGTGGTTGAGGAAAGGGGTATTATCAGATTTCAGGACACACTACATAATTGCGGGGTTATAAGTACTAGTTACTATTTACATACCTATTTATAAGACGTAAAGTTTTAACTGCTTACGTGCTTTGGCAATCTGTCTTCTCAGGGGTTCATAACGACACACTGAGGATCGTCCCCATTGATGGGTAGCAGGTATAAGATACGTCCCCCCAACTTATGGCACATTGAGTTTTGAGTTATAGCAAGTTGAAATCTCCTGAAATGGAATCGTCACTTGGAAAGAGTTCCTGATCTGTGCTAACAACCTAGGTGCAGTTACTCGAATTTACCTTATGAATGTAATTTCGGCTATTATTGCCAAAAGAAAATGAGACAAAGTCTGAAAGTTCTTGAAGATTCATAACTGTCATTAGCTACCTCCTAATTCCGTTTGCAGCGACCCATGGTATACAGTAACTCAAGACTTGATATACTTGGATCCAATTCCCTTCTGGACGGCAGGGCGCTGAGCAATGCGGTCAATCCACTTTAGCAAATGAGGGAACTGTTCAATCTCCTCCTTGGTGAAGCCACCATACTGCCATCCCTTAACCCAAGGCCACGTCTTGATGTCTGCTACGGAGTACTTCCCCTTCCCCTTTCCAGCGAGGTATTCCCTCGGCTCACCGGTGTACTTCCCGGAGAGTCTGATCTCGAGCACACCAAAAACTCTAAGTGTCTCGTTCCTGAAACGATTAATGGCGTCTTGACTCTGTCAGTTCACCAGTAACACAATATTAAAGTTGGTTATAACTGCAAGACTTACATTCAATCTTCTCGGGCGCAGCCTTGGTAAAGTGGTGCACCTGACCTTGGTAGGGAGCGCCGGACCCGTGCCAGAAAAACGTCCACTGCAGAGCTTCGCTGCGCTCAAGGGCGTCTGAGAAACCGAACTTGTCGTCCTTGTCGGCGGCTTGGAGCAGGTACCAAAGTTCTGCCGACGTCTCATGGACTGGGAAAGGGGGGCTTTGGTTGTTGTCAACCAAGACCGGAATGCGACCGTTAGGATTCAATCGCAGGAACCATTCCTTCTTTTGCTCATTGGTTGAGATGTCGATTAGTGTAGTCGTCCACGATGTGCCGTATGTCTCTGCAAGTTCCTCCAAGAGGATTTGCACGGCTTGTCCATTTGGCGTATTCTGGGTGATAAGATGGAGGCCCTTGGCGTTCTTCACGTCTTCGGGCGTTTCAGATATGTATAGCTTGTCGGCCATGGTTAGAAGCAGCTGGAGTCTCGAATTGGTCTTTTATTACTGGGTTGTGATGGGAAGTGCGTAAGAGTATATCATAGAAATATTCTTTGGAGGAGGGGTAGATGAGATTATTATATAGGTGCACTAATGTTCCAGTAACCTTTAAGAGGTAGCATTCATGTACGCATCTTCATTACCTATTTTGGTTAGGAACAAGGGATTGATGAGAAATCAACGTCATCACGACAGAGTGCGATCATATTGCGAATCAAACATCAGCAAATGCCGTAATCGAGCTTTGAATTAATAATGCAGGACTTTACGTTAGGTATTTTCTATTTGTAATAGGCTTTGTTAAGCTTAGTCGGGTCAATACATTATATCCAACTTAGTTCTCACATAATAAATAGGTAACCAATTCAGTCGCATAGAATCGTTATTAGTGCATGAAGATGAGTTAGCAGAAGCAAAGAGAGCAGCGGGGAATCTTGTAGCTTATAAATTCCCAGTTGCGCACGGGGCCTTTACGCTTTGATGTCCCTCCCCCTTTTGGATTGCATGCACCATTTCTTGGCATGGAGCCATTGACAAACAGAAAGAAGCCATCAATTCTGAGGCTATAGAGTATTATCAGTTGAATGGGGATTACCATCCAATTCATTATAATAAGCTCTTATCATTTATTCATAAGGTCTTTCAGTTATGATGGAGAAACATCTTCCATAAAATGGGTAACTACCTCCTATTTACTTCGGTATCTTGAGTTTGAGACATTTAATAACCACCACCTAGAGCCAATATTTCCAGATGGTTTGTCACATATACCTCTTCAGAAACTATAATAGCAGAGGGGTATCATCATTACGATTACTATTGACCTTTGCATAGTAAAGATTCCAACGCTGTCTGCGCTATTACTCTTGAGACATATATGAAGAAGAAAGAAAGAAAGAAAAACAAAAACTAGAGCCGGACGCTATCCGTTTCATGTGTATCATCCCCTTTACCAAACTTATCATTAGCAAATAAGCTCTACATCAAGTTACCATCGTTTCTCCCTGTGACCTAAGAATGTGGAATAAGCAAGCTGAAACCCAAAGAGCATACAAGCCGACTAATACAAAAATGACTGCGCGAGCAAGTCTATCTATAAGGAACCGCCTCTTGGATGTCCAGGGTTATTGGTCAATGAGAGCTCATCCTCCACTCTGTCGAAGGATCTTCCTCTTGCCTTATCTATTTCATTAGAGGCCGTCTCCGAATTCGTTGTGCTCTCGACGCGCACGTCGACTCTTTTATGAATTCCGTTCACGTTTTTCAAGGCCTCGAAGTCTTCTTCTGATCCTCTGCCTCCGTATCCTATGGTTGTTGTGTGGTATGTCTCCAGCGCCACGGCGTCATTGTGACTGTGATGGATATTGGATCGTCCGACTTGGCTTCGGTTATTGGCGTATGAAAGAGAAGGGTCGTGGTGGTCATTGGTCTCCTCGTCTCCTAATCCGGCGTCTCGGGCAACTTTGGTAATCAAGGTAGCCATAGACATTTCAATGTTGAGTTTCACCATATACGTGACAGGGTGGAATTGAACAAAGACAATTGGGTTAGGGTATGACATTAAGCAAATGAGCATGATCTGGAGGATTGACAAGTTAGTTTTCGTCTTAGAAGAACGAGTTAGACAGAGTTATACACGGTGGCAACTTACATCCATGAGAATCGAGACAACCATAAGTTTATCGTTAAATTTCGCCAGAGGAGCGTACTTGACCAATCCATGCTGCTCGACCAGGCGCTTCCTCACCGTTCGCGAGAAGTAATAATTGAGAAGAGCGTCAACAACACAAATGAGACACTTGGATGTTCTATCCCAATACTTGTTGATTTCGACATACCTTTTGACATCGTGTTAGCACCTGGCGTTCTGAAGTCAAAGTCATTTGGATTACTTACAATGGGCTTACGGGTGGGACGAGATGAGCCGGGATAAAAATACAAAAAACTGCGATATTAATAGCTGTGATGATAATCGCAGTTCCATATTTAAGTTTTCGTATATCATCTTGACATTCCGCAATAACCGCGATTCGATTTATGATAATTTGCATAAGGAACTGAATTTCGAACACCCAGAAGAACAGTATAAAAAAAAGGAGTGGTACGCTTCGATCATAACGGGTCGTTAGCTAGTTGTCATAGTGTACCTAAGGTACCTTGAAGCATCGCAACTTACCTCGGCCTGTCTCCGAAATGTCCATCGATCCAAAGATAGCCGATGATAAGGATAACTACATTTGCTATAATCTCCCCCCAGAGCATATATATCTGCGACGAAATCGTGTTAGAATCAAGTCAGAACAACGCTGGATATGCGCATCCCCAGAGTGGTATATATCTCCTTGGGAGGATTTGCCTTGAAAATGCGTGGGTGTCGTGAAGCCGTTACTCACATATGTGCTTCGAAGAGGATGTCGATTTCGGCGCGTTTGCTTTATGGCTTCCCAAACTGTTAATATGCCGAATCCCATAGAAAAGCCAGCCGCTAGGGAGGCTACTTGGATATCTGTTATATTCGACATCGCGCGCAAAACTTGATAAATTTTTCTTCTTTTCTTGTCTTTCCGTCGATGCTAGGCGAGCTGTCGGATTTTGTAAGTCGATGCAGGATCACATTAACGAAGGTGGCCGGCAGGGGTAGTGCCACAACGTTAATCAGGGTTCGTTAAGGAAACTAGGGGAGATAGTACGGATGCGTATGGTTACCAAGGTATTTAATTTAATATGACTTGACGGACAAGTTGGGCTTCATTTGTCCCAAGACAATGGACTAGCCTACGCTTGAAAACTTCCGCCACACTTGGTTAGTGCTCGTCAGATAGCGGCGACGACACCGGACATTACTTGTATGTGACAGGGACAGGTACTGTTTAGGCCGGCTTGAGACTATCGCATCCCCGAGGGCTTCTACTTGTCGATCGAGACCTTCGTGTATTAGAGATTTTCGCTTAGGGTAACCTGCTAAGGGTAGTACCAATAAGGTGCGAGTATATGGACTACGAGACCCAGATTTAACTTGTGTATAATCCAGGAGCTTAGTGGAAACGTTGGGTCTATGGAGACAACGGTGGACCCCCTTTTCCCACTACCCTGTTTCAAACCGAAGGTCATAGCTGTGTCTGTTTAGTGAACACTGAAGAAACTCCAGGAAAATGGTGTTAAAAGATGATTAGATGACTTGATCTCAGCTACGCTTAGATCGTGACTAAATGCTATAGCTACCTCCTACCTAACCTAGGTAGGCTATGATAAGCGGCGAATTGTTTTTGGTGCGCAAGTCCCAATCGCATGGCGGGCATGGATATCGGCATTGATGGGCCCATGCAAGTAATAAAGTGGATTTTCAGATGAAAATCTGCAAGGGGCTCGGAATGATCTGTGTATATGGTCAAGGCGAGATCTCGGTACCTGATAATGAATCTACTCTCTTCAAGAACGAAAGAGAAAAGAAGAAGCCAATGACAGGTACGGTTATGAATCCCTTCTCTATATCAACTCCTGTTTAATAATAACTTCTCATTATATATTTTAGGGTCGTTATGCGCCTTAGGTAAAAACCTACCTGAATATGATCCTGGAGAATTTTAGTCTTATTAAATATCAATCTTGCGAAACCCTTAAACCGAATTGGTCGCGCGTGACTTTTACTGGTATCACAATGAGTTTCTAGACACGAATCGGGACAAGAACTCTTTTATATAAGGGCAACGATATAAGGGCGACATAGTGTATTAAGTACAAAAATGCGCGAGTCTCTTGATACGGAAAACGCCGAGTTTCCATTAACCCGATTCGGGTATTCGGCCTGAACTGCATTAGTCAAGCGGGTACCTGATGCGAGAACAAATTCTCCTGATATTTCTAGTTACAATCAGTGGTTGACGATATGAATAACAACTCAATCGTCCAAGAGTCTGTTGGTTTCTCCGACTTCCGATATATATTATAATCATGTACGAGGCCGTGTCGATGTTTTCTTGGTTCCAGTAAAGATTGGCACACCTCCAGATAAATATTGTCAATGTACGGTTTAAAAGGTTAGTTACCTACCTCCTAACCAAATATATTCGATGAGGTAGCATCCGGCAACCAAAATATGACCGATAGTACGGTGGACCCACGACGTTGAATCCACAGTTATTCAATAGTCTATGCTCTGTGCTCTTAACACCTTATATATTATATAATCTTGTAGCTATGAGAAAATAGTTTCTGTCTTCAAGGCGGAAAGGCGGAAAGGCGGAAGTTACATCGCGGATAATTAAATGGAAAAGACGATGGGTTTAATACGTATATCTATAAGCAAAAGAAACAAGCGTCTTAAAGCTATGTTAAGTCGATTTGGCAAAGTGCGAGGCGGACGCGCATTAAGTATACCCCACAAATCTAATAACAGGTAAGTCTAGATAGTTGGATATTTTCGATTAGATCTAGGTAGTAATAGACCAGAATGCACTCCTCGTTGGGGAAGTGGTTTATTGCTTAAACTAGTAGCTTTCGATGTGATTTCGTTAATACATTCTTTTTTCTACTAATATCAATGCCGTACCCCAGAAGTTAATTAAGCATCTTGAAATTCAAAAGGTGTAACTATGCCCCATAGCAAAACTGGAATTTTACATCTCGTTTTTTTCTTGTTGTAAAATAACGGAACATATATCAGTCACCTATATTCAAAATCACCAATCTCATGGTCAGTACTTCGCGGAAAGGATACCAGGTACAGGTAATGAACATGAGGCCACCCTTCGGATAGCATAGGAGCCCGAAGTTTAACTTGCCTTAGCTTTACGTCCGGCTCTTCAAACTATAATATATATCGAACAGCTGTTTAGCTTACGGCTCTTATATCTATAACTCTGATATCTACGGCTTTTATATTTCCAATACTAAATAGCCGCTAGCTGCGAAACAGAATTAGATTAAGGCTTTCCGTAGCTATTGCAGTAGCTACTTTAGAAGATACGTAGTATACCTACCTATATTTTCGAAAAAGTTGTGGAAGAGGTAGGGAACATCTTCTAAACCCATAACATTAGGGATGTATCTAATGAAATATTTCTCCCCCAGCAATGCACCTAATAAAAACGCTTAGAGCGTTGCGTACAGATAACCTTCTTAATCCAGACGAGCTGGGTCGATATAATAATCCCGAATGAGCCGTTAGCTCTTAACGATTTAGCACTGCGTTGAGGCGCTCTTGCAAAGCCGTACGATTTTATTTCAAGTGGCACCAAAAATCACAAAGATAAAAGTCCAAACGTATCAATAACACAACTCCATAGGGAACCGGATCGCGAAGTTCCCCACTTTTAACAAGGAGGTAATTTATGAACATCTATGTCAGGTGTCTTTAGTAGAGGACCTTGAAAGTCAACGGAAACAATTCATTACTGGGTGTAACAAAGCGATAGAATATAATAGACATTCATACATCTTTCTCCTATGAACTTGTCCACCTATTAAATGTGTGTTGGTTGTTAATCATACAAATCCTGTCTTGGAAAATGAGAAATATGTCATTTACTCACATCCTCTTGATAAGAGGTACCTACTACATAACGGAGTATCTTTTTCAATACCTCTTATATACCTACCTACTATGAGCTTATGGGAACGTTTGCCATATTTACAGTTAATTCATACATTTTGCATTGATCCCCTTCGCCCTTTGAAGAATGCGAGCCGGAAACGGAAGCCTTTCTAAACAAACGGCGAACTAAGGATAGAACTAAAAAAGCATTGTTAGACATCTTTCGCGTGGTATTAATTGAACAGTACTGCTATTAACCATTTGATGTAGATGAATTTGGTGATATTGATACTTCACTACGCAGGTCAGTCAGAATTCGGTCAAATGTCTTCCAGTCCTTTTTCGCCGCGAGTGATAAGTTTCACTTCGAAGGGCTCTATATAAAGGGAGGCCAAGGATCGATCTATAAACTTAAGTATACCGAATTAAAGAGAGGGCGGCCGGTCTGTAAGAGATTGGTGATCAAAGTCGCGGACCCAATTAGGGGGTCAGATGTTGAAGGTCTGATACAAGAGAGAGAAATCTTAAAGGTACTGGTTATCCGATTGCCACTAGAAAGTTTTGATTGCTGAGTTTATTCTCTGTTGGTAGGGTTTAAGGCATTGCCTGCATATAGTAAATGTCGTAGAGATACCACAGGATCCGTTGGCTTCTTCTAGGCACCTTGGCTGGGAATGGATGTATCTAGATGAAATAGAGAACGGCACTTTAACTTCTTTTATGGAAAGGGCTAAAATATTGGGATTGAGATCACTTCCCAACCGTGCTCTTTGGCGGATATTCCTTTGCTGTTAGTCTTCGCGTCACGCTTCTTCACATGAGCTACCTCCTACATAAAGATGTCTCATTAAAAACGATGTGGACCTAAAGCTAACATTTTCTTTGCTAGTTGTTCGAGCTTGTATTGCCATGGCATGGCCTATTCGTTTTCCTACTGGCCATGAAACTACGACGGTATATTCTGGTGTACCAACAGGATTGGCTCAGTACGTAAAAGCTCACAGATCTCGATTCCCTTGCCCCTTCGATGTTTAAATAATTTAGAGGCTGATTCATCCTCGGCTAGCTAACTCGGCTGAGTCTATAGTAATCATGTACATGGGAGTAACTTCATGTTCGGACCTGTCATTGATGCCCCTGAGCATGATGTCTTTCCCATATTAAAGCTTTTGGACTTCGGGATCGCCAGGATCATGTGAGTCGAGAATGAAGTTTTAAAGCCAAGTTTCGATTACCTACAATAGGGAATATAAGCTTACATGCTCATTAGCCATCATAACCACATAGGCCCGAATGGAACAGGAGAGCAACACAACATTCAAGATATAGGAATAGTACGTATTGATAGTTTTCGGATTACCTACCTACGTTAAAACAATGTTGGAAAATTTGGTTACTAATGCATCCTCAAATAGATGATGGCTAGTATTTTCGCGCTTCAAACCGACTTAAAGTACACGGGAGCTGAAGTAGAGGTTGATTTAAGCAAACTTGGATATCCATCCTATACGCTATCTCCAGCCGCTGGTATATTGGGCGATCCGGACAACGCGGAAGCAGATCCACTTCCACATATTGACCGAGACATGCGCCTCATTGTCGCCGCCTGTATGGCGAGCGATCCCCGGGACCGCCCAACCCTTGCTGATCTCGAGAGGTGGGTTTATAGCGAAGTAAGCAACACGTACCCTGCATATTACGGAGCTAATCCTGGAGGCGCGACATGGGAGGAAAACGCGACGATTAGACATATTCTGCAGGAATGTATATTTAATGCCGTATAGAATCGCTGGCTAAGACATTGTTTATTATGAAAATGGTCGCTGTCTGCTGTAGATCCTGCCTAACTGAACACCATCCAGCCGCTAGGGACTTTCATGTTATCCACGGACTTGATCCTATAGCTACCATCCTAACTATCTCGTTAAGTCACACGGGTCTGCTGACCACCGTACTCGAACAAGATTCTAAAGAAGTAGCGAGGGGTTAGTCAGAAACGACTGAGCCTCGTGACGCCGTCGGTCAAATATATATGTGAATGCAAGCTCGCTCTCACTGGGGAAACTGCTGAAAGTCCATCGCATGATTGCTGTTCTAGAGCTAACACACATTGTCTGGATATTCTCGACACCGAACCGGAATTTCTGGATGAAACAATTGTATAAGAATAGGTGATTCACAATTTGCACCGGCCCTTCGATGTCTAGGACGCGGGATTGTACTGATGGAATCTGAGCGGTAATCGGTATCTCATTGTATCTTACGTAGGGGTGCATGTTGCCTACTATGAACTGCCCAGATGCGAACAGTTGCATGAGCCTTTCGGCCCCTCGACGATCCCAGAAGAGTATATGTGCGATCGAATACATACTCTTAGCATGCAGAGGGTGAATAGTCATTAAATATATCTTTCCGGTTTGTCTGAGGCCTTGGCCAAGCATTGCATAGTTGCAATTGAGTGGAAGATGAGTTACCCATACTGAACAATTCCCTTCAATATATGAAAAGTAGTTTAGCATTGGGAGTACACGGTCTCGGGGGGACTCTGGCCAGTCCTCAGGCCGTCGTGACGAGAGTTCGTTTGCACCAGATAACTCCATGGCTTTTGACCGGGTATTCACTTCTTTTGGAGGTTAATTAGCATATAACGTAACGAAGGGGCTGAACACAATCGAAGTCATGCGTAGAGGGTATAAGCTAGAAGAGCCCAGCTAACATTATGAGGAACTTAGGCGTATTATCTCTGAAGATATAGACCAGGACGGCTTGGAAGAACCTACCGGAATTGTGCAAGATTGATATTATTTATGATATTGTTTTCGAAACCGCAACCGCTGCGCTCCAACAAAAAGGCCTGTTGAGGCCAATGGATTTAGACATAAATTTATATTGGAGAGTAGGGAGGGAAGCTTTCGCTTTATGAAGAGGCAAAAGGAATCCGCCTATCCAATGCACTCATTACTGATGTTTAATTAGGACTTAGGTAGTGACCGTAGTTGGGTAAATGGTATAACTGGTGGTATCGTGAAATTGGGACTATGTTGAAATGTATGTCTGGGTATTATATTTGTTAAGTACCAAGTTTCGACACCCGAGACAACTGGTGTGTACTTAAGGTATAATCACAAGAGTTTCGAACCATGCATCTCCCCTGAGCTTACCTAGGTACCTGTTATTGGATATGAGGAAATAACTAATGTGCTCTAGAGTTAACTAAATATACCTACCTCTACCTATTACTTTAGACTTCGTCTGTAGTTGCCTCGAGAACTTCAACGTCCTTTCTTCTACCTAAATCTCATTGGATTATATAGGGTCGTTAGGTATATCCTCTCGTCACTCCTTCCTAAATATGAAGTTAATTAAGTTGCATCATACCTGTCAATGGCAATAAACTGAAAGTGCTAAAATGTGAATGAGTGCTTCGGTACCGGTTTGTCTTTGAGGCTAGTTTAAGTCATAGCAATTCATTACGATACGATCTATTCAAATTGATGGCTAATAGAAAGTAATGAAACTCACATATATATTAGTAGTTAATAAATGTACATTCCATTCTAATAAATTGAATTGATACAGGTGATATCCAAAGCCATGAAGCCGATTCCCGGGTTGTTTACACGTTTGACATGACAATATAATTCTATTCAATGGTAATACAGAGACAGCGAATTATACCTTGTACATTTATGAATCTATCGTGGCCCTGGCTTGCTTTTGGCCCTGGCTTGCTTGAAAAGGCCACCGGTGTAACCCCCCTGCCCCCTTACCTGATCTAAGTAGATCATCACGATCAGCTGATAAGATCAAACCAAGCCACCGGGCCACAAGCGCCAGCATCCCTGCAAATCCGTTTGTCAACATACATATTTGCACAGCCCCATTTGTGAGGTAGGACGGATTACCTACTTAGGTACCTCCTAAGGTAGTTACATCTCTCATATCAAGGTCTCTGCCCGTGGATCGTGGATAGGGATTTTTTTTTTTTTGTTGAGCAATTCGATTCAACCAAGGTACCTATTATCATAATGTCTTCCATAAGTTCCCTTCGCCACTACACGACAGACCCAGAGGCTCTTTTTACGCTATCTGACGAAGCGCTTCTTAAACTAATCCACGACGACTTTGAAGATGAGCTTCATCGTTTGAAGAGTGCATACTCGGTTGGTGGCAGAGGGGAAGTCGAAATATCATCCAAATCGCCTTCATCGATCTTATATGGAAAAAACTACGATGAAGTCAATCGAACTCTTGTCGGAGTGTTAACTCTGAAATGGATCCACAACGGAGAATACGATACTCTTGTCGCAAACCAAGCCGACGCTCTCAAACTCTCTCGCGAGACATTTCAGTGGATTCATGACTTCTACGCCCACTCAATATCCAATCCGGATGAGTTATATGCCCTCATTACATCCATAGTAGTGAACGATGTCGGAAAGGATAAGCAGCTCGCATCCGATTACCAAAAGAAAACTGGGGAGGATATTGCCTCCCTGAATCATGATATGATCCTACTTAAGGCGGTTGAAGCTGGCCTGTTAAGTTGCTTGGATCAACTCTCCGAGGAATATAGGGGGGATATCATTCGCGGTATGGAATTGGGTGCAGAGTTCAATTTTGGACAACTTGCCCAAGCGGAGAATGCCCCGGCATGTTTATCCAGCCTGGAGAAAATTAAAGGCCACGCCCGTAGCTTTCGGCTTCGGTTCCAGGAGCAGCTACTTGATATTGCCGGCGCAGCGGGCCACCTGGACTGGACGTGCGCAAAGAAACTAACCCAGTCTAATTTTGACGCTTTCCATACTGTGTACGACGCCGGAATAGGTATCATTGAGGGAGGACTAAGTCTACGCGAGGGGTACGACATGGTATTAGCGCGACGGCTAAACTTGCTTCATGAAAAGGGCTTTCGACTTCTTGATCTCAATGTCGAAGATGATCGTGCTCTCGCGAGGCTTCTATGCATGAGCAGTGTAGCCGATCTGACGACTGCTGAATTATACAGCCGGGTGTGGTCATCCCTTGACGACAACGTTAGGGAATCCCTGCGGAAGTATTTGAATATCGACGGCTCCGTATCCAAGCCAGCAGTTCAAGTTACGTATATACCGGCACTTATCACCCAGGCAGTTGATATTAATGGACCCTCAACCACTGAGGATAAGGAACGTGCTTTACGGAGCGCGCTTCACTACCTATGCAGAGTTATTTCGGCTCCAGATAAGCCCGATGGGCCAGTGAGCGTTATCGAACGAAACGTGTTCTCCACGTTGAAGGACGTTGTACAAAGTCCTAAATTCCGGGAGGATCCTACTATCTTAGAAACAGCCCCGATACCCGAAAGTCTCGTAGCGAAGATGGAGCTAGATGGACAATAGTGAGGATGGCATTTTTCTGAAGAGATCTTACGGTGCTTGAATGGCTAGCATCGTCGCGTTGTTCGGGTCGGGTTGACATAGGGAACGAAGGAGATGGGATCATTACGAAGTGACGCATCGATATCACTCTGATATACCCTTATAACTCTCGCGAGTTGAATACGGTGGCTGTCATAATATAAGAAGCTGTAACTGAATTTAGCTAGGTACCTACTTGGTAGTTGTACGTGTTATTAACTGGTGTGTTTCATAGTGCGCGGAAAACACCTAAGTGATAGGAGGTTGTAATTCTTACGGAGGAAACGACTAATTTCATGACGTCTTAGGCGCCATAGCACCTGCAGATGTACATGTCAAATTTGTTGGAGATGAAACAACTTGCACCAACACACGAGCCGAACTAACCAAGTGAGCAGTCATATCAATGTTCTGAAATGTCACGACATGCACTAACACGGAAGCCTGAGTTGACTGATCGTTTTCTTAATATAGGAAGTTATTGGATGTGGTAATTACAGTCTCCCAACATACACGCCTGGCCCCCACGATCCATTGACGTGGACTGCGAAGTCTTGAACCACTTGGATATTAACCCCGACTTCCGCATCGCATAGAGGCCTCCTACCGATTATTCCGTTCCAATCTACCCTTACCCCAAAATTTATGGCGCCATCTACGATAGAAGATAGCGCAAGGCAGCGAATGAGGACATCCAACTTAGTGTGCATAATTTGCGTTACAAGGTTTTAGGTTCACGTTGGTTGGATTGTCGACAAGGAGTGAAGAAGTGTATTAACTGTCAAAGGCGCCTAACAAATGGTAAGTGATTTGTTAGGGTAGTGTTACATCGTAGCTACCCTGAGACAGTCCTGAAAGTGGCGCAACAACTTCGTTATTCCACCAGGAACCTACATAGTATGAAATTTTAAAGGTTAGATACCTCCTGCCTAAGTTAGGTAGGTTCAATAGGAGGTAGATACTTCTCTTTCCCTGGAAATTGCGACTGAGGTTTTAACAACGACTATCCAGGTAAGAGGTACCTAAGGTAGGCGTTTTTGCTACCGAACTTTCCAACTATCAACTCCCTTACTTAAATCTTATAACCGCCACTTCATCATTCACTTGTTCGAGTGCGAAGTAAGATACCTGTGTCTTATCCTGTCTCGTTTAATTCCTTCAAGCATCTCATCAACTATCGACTCATCTCAGCTTTATTGAAGGAAAACAACAACAACAACAACCATGCGCGTCCGAAATATGAACAGCAAAGCGCGGCTATCACGGCCTGCCTTGGGAGAACATGTATCATTGGGCACGTTTTACGATGCCAGAACCGATAATTTCCTTCCCCAGTCTCTACTTAGAAAAGACGCCCAGATATTCAAGGAGTCAGCTTCAGCTCCTAGAGATCAACCCCCCGAAGTCAAAGTCATCTTCAACGATTCCTATTTTTCACAGTTTGACCTCATGGACATTGGTCCCGACTTAGGTGCCAGTATTCTTGCCAAACTCATTAAGCCAAGAGGAGCTTGTGCGTATCTTGATGCTCCTAAGCAAGGGGAGGATATCTTATATGCTGCTATTCACCACAAGGTCGTTTCGTCACGAGAGAATTTCAATGTGCTGCACCCACGGAATGAAAGCGTTGTGGAATGGGAGGCCTTAAGGAACTCATCGGCTACACATTTTGTCGTTGGCATCGAGTGGGGTATTCAAAGCGTTGTCTCGATCAAACATGCAGCTGGCAGCCTAGAAGCCTGCAAGGCAGTTGAAGACCAGTTCAAAAATGAGATCTCCGAATTCCAATCAGCTGTTGAAACCGACTTCTCAACAGCGCCCGAGAACCCCCATCATAACTCAAAGGACATGCCCCTTGAAGTCGCAACATACTGCGATATACCTACAGAATTTGGCGTTTTCGGGGACAGTCTGGATAATGCACGCTCTCACATGAACCTTGTCCGTACACACATTGAGACAGAATATTTTAACCTCGGCCGGCCGATGATGTACAAGCTATTGCCAATACATGTTCTTGGAGTGCTTATGGGGACAGAGGATATTGTTGGTGCGGCCATGAGTGATGTCAACTCGGAGACTGAGAAACGTCTCATTCAACTATTCGACCAGTTCTTTCAGTGTCATAAGAAGCTTCGCGACGATTATGATTATATTTCACAACACGAGAAGTACTGCTCTGAGCGTTTCCGCAGGGAAGCAAATTCAAAGATATGGAAGCTGCAAAGTAACATGAAAGACTTTGAACAGCAGTACACAGACGCTCTTGTCAAAGTTCGGGGCGGGGTAGAAGAAGAAAGTGTCCTCGAGCACCTCTATAATACTTACGTCAACAGCGAAGCATCACCTACTACTCTAGTAAGCACGGCCGATCTACAGATCACCAAGATCAAATTCATTCTCGATGTCACGCAGCTAGGTGCAGTGTACATCAGCAGCGGAGACCGAATCACTCATCCGACACCTGCTAAAAAGACATACGTGTTCTTGATCAATGATGTGGCTTTGAAAGACAGTAAATCTTGGAATGCAAATACCGCCCTATTCCGGTACCTATTGGATGGTCAGAAATTCGATGCAGATTATATTATATGGGACGATCATGCTGTGGAGAACGTTTCAGCATGCGTATATATCTCCTGCTATGAAAAAGGAGAATTAGTTTCCGGGGACGTACTCGAAGAACAGAATTGGCTGGCGAAACAATGTTTTGTTCAGTACGATGCAGATACCCTTGAAAGCCAGGCTATGCAGAGACCGCTGAAGAGACGTCTTATTACCATGCCTTGCCCAAGTCGTAACTGCAGTCGAAGCCGCATATGTGAATGGAAATGTTCTAAGTGCCGTACCCAAGTGGAGTTTGGGTTCACCGATAAGTATATATACTGCCATTGCGGACGCAGCTTATACAAAAACTTCAGCTTCAAGTGCGACCACTCGAGCCACGGCGGTGTTTACGAAAAGTGTCAATCCCAGCATGTATTGGGGCAGCTGAGAAACCTAGGGGATTCAGAAAACGTAAATATTCTGGTTTTGGGCGAGACAGGCGTTGGAAAATCGACATTCATTAACGCATTTGTCAATTACTTGACATTCAACTCCCTGGATGAAGCCAAAGCCGAAGAGGAACTCAACTGGGTTATACCATGCTCGTTTTCTACGCAGAAAATGGATAGAAGCCGATCAGATGGAGTTATCGAACAGATCAAGATCAAGGTCGGTACCAGCGAGGGCGAGCACGACGGCAGTGAAGGAGCGTCGGCTACACAACGAACAATGGTCTACCCTGTCACCATCGGCAACCGTACAATTCGACTTATTGACACTCCTGGTATCGGGGATACACGGGGGATTCAATACGACAAGAAGAATATGGCCGACATACTAACAACTCTCAGTAGTTATGACGACTTACATGGTATACTTATCCTAGTCAAGTCGAACAACGCACGGTTAACTGTAACCTTCAACTTCTGCATGAAAGAGCTGCTAACACACCTCCACCGCTCGGCAGCGAATAACATGGCCTTTGGCTTCACCAACACTCGCATCTCGAACTACACCCCAGGCGATACCTTTGGACCACTAAGCACCCTAATACAAAACCATTCTGATATTGGCTTATCTTTGACAACACACACTACCTATTGCTTCGACTCAGAAAGCTTCCGCTACCTGGCCGCATTCAAGAACGGGGTCGTGATGGAGAACGAGGAGGACTTCCGACGCAGCTGGAAGCATTCGAGGATGGAGTCACTGCGTCTCATTGAATATTTCAAGTCTAAAAAGCCTCATAAAGTTCAAAACACCATCAGCATCAATGGTGCAAGGCAGCTGATAGCAAGCTTGACTAAGCCAATGGCCGAAATTTCTGCTCTCATCAAGGCTAATATTGCCATGTCTGAAGACAGAGTCAAAGAAAGTGAGTAACATCTTAATTGGTCTATAAATAGGAGGCACCTAGGAATTCCTTAATTTTACTGAGGTAACTTCTTATAATTAACATGTTATATACTATTGTTCAAATGAAGCAGTTTAGTTAACTTGAGTTCTCTACAGTGGCGGATACCCGTGTCACAGGGGAGAAACTGAAAGAGCGGCTTCATATACAGAAGATGCATTTACGCACCAAACCGCTCGAAATGCCTCGAACAGTCTGTGCAGATAAGGATTGTATCGAGCTCAGGGACGATGGAGGAGGTGTGGTGGTCACAGTATACAAAACACACTGCCACGCTGAATGCTATCTCGATAACGTGCAGGTCGACCAAGTAGCTCACTCAGGCCTCATCGGGTGCGCCGCTTTTGGCGGTAGCAATTATTGCAATCGATGCAGTCATCACTGGCAAAGCCATCTCCATGTCCTCTTTGAATTAGAGGAATATTTGGCAACAGTGACGGATACCGAGGTCGAGCGACAAATCCAAGCAAACGCGAACGATGTAATCCTCAGAGAGGCGGCAATTCAGGCGCTGAATAATCTCATCGCCGAGTATAAAGAAGAGCATAGTACGATTCAGAAGGCCTCCGCCAGGTTTGGGGTTTTCCTAAAAAAATACTCAATCACTCCTTATAACGATGCGACGCTCGAGTATCTGGACATGCTAATTAGGGACGAGGAGATGAAGGTTCACGTTGGCGGAAATAGAAAGCGTCTTGATGGTTTACTAGAAGACCGCCGGCAGCACGAGGAGCTCGTTGACAGTTTGACGCGCAACATGGACAACAAGTACGAGTTACAGTATCAAGTCCTTAACGAAGCTGGAGTGGAGAATCTCGTTTCTCAGCTGTATGCTTTGCCCCATTTTGGTGAAAACCTCCAGGCGGTCAAGAACACCATATCGACGGCGCATGAGGCCACGAACCGGGAACACCCAATCCATGTGAATCGGGGATGGTATTCGGCTTCTAAGAATGTATACAAGGCTACAGTGGAACGCTTCGGTAAGTATATAAGCCCACGAGATGGATCAGAATCGCCACCGAAGGCTCAACACAAGGCTAAATTAAGTAAGAGGTATTGGGGGGGCATTCCATCTTTGTCACTCAAGAAATTTCAATAGGTATCTGCCTCAGAGGGTATATTTTTATAACGGTTAGTGAGTTCAGAAGATTGAGAAATCGAAGTGGTAGGTCTCTGGCCTAGTGCGAGGATAGCTGTTACGCGGATTGCTCATTGAGATGTTATATGAATATCACGTAGTTAGTTTCAAAGTTGTGGTCCTGGTTGTTTGCTCACGATAGTTAATATAAAGTCGATCTCCTACGAGCACCTAGAAGATAGATGTAGATGAGTGTTTATGTTCATGTCCTCTTGCTTAACGGGACATTGAGAGGTTACCCCGCTAGGTAAATATATGCGGGTATAACGATTTAGGTAGTCCATCGAAACACTACTATATTTCGCGTTTAACCAAATAAAAAAGGGGGATCGCGCTAGGCCCTTTTTCAAGGCTCAAAAATGGCAGAGGCAATTGTGAAATCTAATCCGACAGAGGGTAATACTCAAAAAGCCGCCCTTTCTCCACCAGATTGGCTTAAGATCTGGAGACGGCGTTTCCACGGCCAGCGATGGGGCTTCGTCGCCTTCCGCAACGCCTACTTCAGCGACGACAACGGCGGCAACAAGCGTTGGGATACATTCAAAGAGGAGTTTGAGCGGATCATTCGGTTGCCGTTTGCGCGGGATGCCGCCCACGCGCAAGAAAGGGGCCTTTCACTCCCGGACGGTTTCGACGAGGCTAGGGCTAAGTTTACGGTTCAATGGGTCGATGCTAGCGGGACGGTTACTGCTACAGCGATTGCTAGCGCGGAACCGCTCCGGGCTAAGTACGCTGCTCTGAGACCTGCTTTGGACCCCAGGATAAGCTAGGAGATCTTCCTGTGCGCGTCTCCCGAAGCGGTCCAGTCGTTTGAGGACCAAGAGGCGGCGGCGAATACGGATGAGACGAGTAAGTTCTGGAGGACACGCGCGCTGTTTGTGTTAGGGGTTACGGCGCACGGAGAATCCGGGTTGGGGGAGGATCATGATGAAGCGGCGTGGTTCAAATCTGTGTTCAAGGTTGCGGTTGAGGTTTTGGTGGAATCGCTATTCGGTGTGCTTGATATGGGGACGTCGATGGAGCGGATTACGAGGAGTGTTGTTCGGGCGGTGGAGCTTGATGAGGCAGCAATTGGAACTGAAAAGGAAAATGGGAAAGAGAAGAATGAGAAATTGGATGGGAATGAAAACTCAGATGATATCTGATGGTCGATGCATCCGTCGCCTGCGCGAATGAGAGCCCTGATAAGGATGAGGGGTATCGGGACCGTGGAGGAGTGAAGTGCTGATTAATGATTGCTCCGGGTCCCTTTAACTTAGGTCTTCTTTCTCATATATCAAATTGCCATGACGGGTAAATTGATTAGATACTGAGTCTTTCTGTGTATGGTGAGATCAGAAAGTGAAGCCTACGCCGCTCTCGGTAAGTTTACTCAAACCTTTATCACATCAAATAATCCTTGATGATGATAATACATAGGTATACAAAGAGGGGAAGAATGACTCAAACTTGACATGGAATGTGCATGAAATGAAACGATAGGCAGATATCCTTCGTGGTCTTTATCAAAGACGAAACTTCTATACTTTAGTCTATAAAGCCGTATGAGAAAAGCTTTGGTCTTGAGATTTTTCATACGCCCAATTAATAATAATAATAATAAAAAGGGGGGGGGATCAAGCTGGGATGATTGTTCATTCACTGAGAAGGTTAAGCAGAAAGCTGCTTACCTATACCTAGGTGCCTAGGGGTTGATAACGATTTATTAGATACCTCCTATGTGTGTTTAGCTGCCGAGAGTTTCATACCAAGAGTGTCCTAGTAAGCAGCAACATGTGATACTACCATCAACTGACATAGGTACATAAGTCGTTACCAATGTTACAGTGTCATCTCCATTATTAAGCTCTATCATGTAGTCCGTATAGGCTATTAGATTAATCCTGTGGCGAGTCCGAGTAGCATCGGACCGTCGCAACGGGCTGAAAGGGAGTGAGTCGAAACCGTTGGGAGTCAAGGTATGGAAAGACCTTGAAATACATTGATAAAACTACCTGTTAGTATAGAAATACCCGGGTAATCTTGTTGAGCTCTGTCGTGCTGGAGGTTCTCCGTTGGTCAAGTGGCGAATGGTTCATGATAGGTAAATTATCAAAACTACAATTGAAAAAGTTGCTACCTAATGCTAAAGGACAGAACGATTAACACTCCAATCGTACCACTAGTAATATATGACAAAGGTCGACCTTGAATACGCCGAATAACGGCATCTAATGCTATCAGAGGTGTATGCGAGCATTAATATAAAACGGAGGGATCACATCGCAGAAGTTACATTGTAGAATCCTATATGCAGTGTGCGGCATGATTAACAACGGGGCAAGTTCCCATTGGTAACCCATAACTTTAATCCGATGACAAGAATATTAATACACTTACCTGCTGCTCTTATTACTGGCTGCATTGGGTTACATCCGGGTACAAAGTTCATGGAGTAAACTACGACAAGCTCCCTTGATACCACCTGGTTTCTTGAACCCCCACCATGGTTCATCAAATTGAGAAAGGATCAAGAATGCATATGATAACCTGAAGCCTTACAAGTCTCCTCTACTAAGTACTTTGTAGACTCAACTTGATACAGTTGCCATGATGATAGTTTGCCGTGTTATAATTCGTTATCCAGCTGCCGTAGGCACCTCCCGTTATCAACGATTGGATTCTGCACCGTCGTCGGGGAGGCGGGCCGCACATGGGAGAAGGTACCTAGCACAGGTAAGGAATAACTATAGGAGAAGTTGAGTCATTGTGAGGTTGTATCTCAACTTATATTAGACTGTGGGAGACGCTGTGGAACGCTTCTTGAAATGATCAATCACACTGTCATACTCCCCCCCCTTACTTCCAACACACTTTAAATCACACTTGTATGAACTGCATTTGCATGTATTACTCGACATAATGCGCCCTCCGGTAACACAGCAGACCGTCGCAGCCGATACATCTAAATCTAGCAGTTTAGTGGCGGGTAAGTAAGAGATCTCCTCTATATATCTAAGTATATATTTGAAATGATACATAATAGGGTATCAGTTCATACCCCAAGAGAGGATGGAATTGGGGTTGTACAAACTCAATCTTAATACCGCAAGGTAGAGGAACTCATGCTATTAACCTACGAACCATGCACCCTTTGTTTCGCTTGTGACCTTGTTATACGCCAATGGTCGACTTATTACTGACAAAAGACGCAGGAAATATTGCCACGCCTACGAAGCAACATGACGTTGTAGTCAACCCTCCCCCTGTGCGAGTATCACTCGGAACCAGACTATGGTCGCGCCTCCGCGCATACATCTCCAACGCGGTTGACGAAACCGTCCAAAGCCGCGTCGAAGGGCGCTTCGAGAAACACGAGGAGTGGCTCGCCGCGCGCCTAAACGACATCCTCGAGAACAGGACCAAAGCCGACCACCGCAACAGGCGCGACATCTTCGAGGCCGCGTGGCGCGACGCAGCCCTCTCGAGCGCGCGCTTCGTCCACAAACACCTCCCCGACGCGGTGCCGTACTACGACAAATCCGAGACACTCCAGCACGCGCTAGACGCGGCCCCCAAAGAGGGCCTGGCCCTCGAGTTCGGGGTCTACCAGGGCTCCACACTCCGGAAGATCGCGGCCAGCCGACTGTCCGGCGGGGTCTACGGGTTCGACTCCTTCGAAGGGCTCCCCGAGTCGTGGCGCTGCGTGTTCCCCGCGGGGGCCTTCGCGCTCGAAGCGCCGCCCGAGGTGCCGGGCGCGGAGCTGGTCGTCGGGTGGTTCGACAAGACGCTCGGGCCTTTCTTCGCGGAGCACGCCGGGCCCATCGCGCTGCTGCACATCGACAGCGACTTGTACTCGTCGGCGGTGACGGTGCTAGAGCACTGCGGGCCGCGGCTGGTGGCCGGTTCGGTCGTGATATTCGACGAGTACTTCAACTTCCCCGGATGGGAGAACGACGAGCATCGCGCGTGGCAGGAGTACGTCGAGCGGACGGGGACGCGCTTCAGCTGGCTTGCGTTTACCGCTGACGACGAGCAGGTGGTGGTTCGGATTGACGATCCGGGAACGCAGCCGTGATATTTACCTACCTAAGGTTAGGTAGGTAGTCAGGGGTTTTAAGAAGGGTTCTGTTCCATCTCCATCTCAGCTAGGTTACGTAGTAAAGAACATATGGGATTTTTAGCGATAATTGAATGAATGAGCGGGTATGATGTATAGTGGAGAGTTTAAGGTTATGCAACGCCTTTGCAATGTCTGAGACTTGGAGTGACATAGGGGGTTAGATAGCAAGTTTCTATAGAGCTAATACGAATTGAACTCAAGTATGCTGATATTTTTACGCCTTGAGAAACACTGGGAATGCGGCTACTGAAACCCCGACTGGACTAAATACCATGTAGTAAGAAATAAAGGGGAAAAAAAGAATGGGAAGGAAATAAAACAAATTTAAGAGTCCAATCCGTGGTAGCAAGAACCAACGTTCAACAATTTCGAATTCCCATTGCCACGTGAAATGACAAAAGTAAGAAATAGCTGTAATCAAATCATACAAGGCGAGTATTATATGCCTTAGGTAATGATTGAAATAAGCAAGATCCGAGCACATTCTACCGACCTGTTCAATGTACAAGAGGTAAGCAGCTCAAGTACCTAGGTAAACTAGACCGAGCCACCCAATCTCAATCTCTAGGTACCCTCTCACGTCCGATTGGATGATACTTATGGCGAGGATAACCATGTGCCATCCACTTTCTGAGGCCAACCATAATTCTAGGTAGTCTGTCCTTTCTTGCCCAATGCTGGATACGAAAGATAGCATTTCGAAGTTTCTCAGCATTCTCGATCATGTCCATGTCAAAGGAATCGACAAGTTTGATGCGATATGCGGGAGACTCTTCCACCTCCCCCGTACGGGTGATTTTCTTTTCCACGTCTCGCCACATAACGAACAACCTAGCAAAGTTCGGCATTGTGCTCAGAAGGAAGACCAGGTCTCGATCCCCGAGGAACGACCAGATTCTGTCCAAACTTATGCGGCCGCTGACAAAGGATCGGTTCTCTGCTACGAAGAGGGAGCCTAAATGGCACTCCGACTCTATGATCAAATATGGGCAGGAAACCGCGGACATATGCATACACTTGAGGATGTCATATACCTTCGAAAACCGTTCGTTCCGGAGGCCATCTGTCATAGGCAAGAAATTGTACCCTAAGATCAGGCTGGGTTTGGGGTTATGTAACGTATACTTAGGGTAATCCTTTATGGGAGGTAAGCTTCCCTTCCAAAAAAGGATCCTTCTAGCACCATCAAGACCAAGCCACTCAATTCCCATAAGGTAGCAAAATTCATTCAAACAGGTCCGTTTGTCTTCAACATTCGAGGCAAATTCCCGATAATATCTTTGGTGCATGGCTGCGAAATCGACCGGAATATCATTATTGGTATATGTATCGATTGTATCAAGGTGTTCTTCTACCCATGTAGGAGTCGCATCACGCCAGTATAAGATCCGAATCGAATTATAAAGAAGCGTCAAGGTCCGAAAGGAATGACTTTTTAGCCATTCTGCCTTATAAGTCGCTCTCCCAAGATAGCTGCCAAGCTGCACCTCGCTTTGGTCTTCGGTGTCGTAATCTTCGGTGTCGCAAGAGTCCGTTTCGGAACAAATATCGGCATCGGACTTTGAACTGTAGAGGTAAGCCTTCGGTGTCTCTGGCGGGTCTGCTTCGTCAAATGTATCAAGCCAAGCAGCTATTCTGGGATCATTCCGGGAGATAAAGCCGGGTTCTTGTGTCGTATTATGTGGCGGTATGGGAGGGGGTATGCTGGGGATATCTTGGGAAGGGGCTTTGGATCTCTTTTGGGGAGGACTTTCGACGTCGGACAAGTTGCTATGCTGTCGCTTCTCCGAGGCAGAGGACGGATAGGGGAGTGGATGGCTAAGTGATGGCCGTAGTTGGTAGGGTTGAGACTCCATAATGTCTAAGATGTGAATAGGTACCTAAGGTGCCTAAACCTAGGGGTGGGAGAGAACTGTGTGGGAGGTAGGTAGAAATAAAATCGAAGAGCTTTATATTGTTTCTGTCACGTAGTCAATGCACTGGCTTGAGGCCGGAAAGTCATGTACAAAAGTACCTGGCAGGTAGCAATCAGTTTTCTGAACGAATTGAAACGACATATCACTTTTGCTTCGTCATACCTTCCGAGCTGCAGGTTTTTCTTTTTCACAGTATATTGGTAAATGTTACTTATCAACATATAGAAATGCACATGACTACAGGCTGTGGTAATTGACAGTAGTCAGATAGACAGCAACTCTCTTAAAAGCCATGTATAAAATGGTATACCCTACGCTCAAGTGAGCATTTATGTAGACTTTCCTGAACCAAGTAGCTATATAGGTACCTCCTGATAGGTATCTTCCTATCCAAAACCCCTGAGTTCCAGGCCAGACCGAGAAGTAAACATAAGCTACCAATGACAAGCTAACCGACTTGTGTACAACCCTCTTAACCAACCGACCGACGAAACATCTAGACCATCCACGTAGCTATTCAAATATTTAACCATAGCTAAGCATATAAGCGAAATGCCTAGATGTGTCCACTCTTCAGCACTAACCCACCATATACCCATGTGTAGAATTTATGTACCTCTCGTCCGATAGCCAGGATCATATACTGGTAAGCGACCCGCCGCGCATGACTCTAACAATGCCACCGCTTCTAGCATTACCACCGAGCGAATCCGGGGCGCTGAGATCACTTCCAGCATCATCGGCGTGTCCGTGGGTCTTCCGTCTGGATAACTCCAAGGCGCGTTCGCGTTCGCGCTCATTACGCACGGCCGTCGCGTCGTGGTGTCCCCGCGGCAATCCTTTGCGCCTATCGAGGCGTGCACGGACTTCTTGACGTAAGGAAGACCAAGTAGTTGAGAAGAAAATAACGGCATTCCAGACGCCTTGAAGAGGTAGCACAACGGCGCTGGCCAGGTTCAGGGCGAAGCTAGCGCTCTCAGCGTAGACAAGATCATGCACGCGGTTGATACTGCTCGGTGTCCATGTTACGAACACACTGATTGCGAAGACGAAAGATGTGCGTAGGTACGCCAACTTTACCGGATCCATGCGATTCAATCGGTTACGCCAGCGTTGGAAGTTTTCCTTGGCACGCGCCCAAAGGCCTTCTCGCGGCACAGGGTCCGCGGTGATGCGAGTAATTGTAGTCTGATATGGATTCTGCGACGATATGGGTGTCAAAGGGTTGTCCATATTATTTTTGTCTTCGAGCGGCCCGTCAAACCAATTAGCGGGTGTTGCACCGGTCGACGATGGCCCGCTGATAGAATGTGCGGTGGTTGAGTTTACTGTTGTTACTTGCACAACTTCTCGATTGACACTGCCCATAACAGCGGCATTCGCGAAGAGATTCTGTTGACCATTTAGTTACTCTACTTTAAACGAACCATAGTTGATTAGGGAGGAACAATCGAGCAACTTACCTTCTCCCCTGAGTCGCGCGGCACTGGAGGGTCAGGAGCAGGATTACTCAGGGACAAATTACGCAACTGGTTGCGCTGTTTAAAGACATAGTAGCCGACGGCCACATATATTAAGGTAGAGAGGATGATGCAGACCCATATCGGGAGGTAATACGTGTATATACGCAGGTTGGACCAGTCCTTATCTATCCAACACCATATCTGGAGATGTAATGTCAGCATTACCTAGGTTAGGTAGACAACTATAATACGAAAATCCGAAAGGACTTAGCTGCAGCAACTTACAGTCGCATTACCATATACAATCTGCCCGTTACTTCCACGGACGATGAGTAACCATAACGCCGGGATGAAGGGTATTCCGTAACAGACGAGAAAATATGCCCACCAGTATCGGAGGAAGCTTTTGGGGTTTGCAGAGAAAAAGAAGACCATGTACACGTTGACAGCCATGGCAAAAGACCACCACGGGTCCGATTGCATAAAACTAGCATACGTTAATCTTCGTTCGCAGATAATATGCCCCTTACTCTAGGAGGGCTATAGATGAGGAAAGCTTTTATCAGACTTACAGTTCAAACATGAAGGCCTGAGCCTGGCATAGATGACTGGTCGATCCTGCCAACACCCCTGAGTACCCTATCAAGCAGGCAATGCTCGCTCCCAAGTTCGCGAAAGATGCAAAGAGAATGAAAGTGTTTGGTACGGTGCGAAGTCTTTTAAAGATGGCATAAGCAATGAAGATGAGAAGGACCCCAGTGACAGATAACGCCGCACCTAACCTCTCGAATATCACAATGGTTTCAATATGACCTTTTGTAAGCTCCCTCGGGGAAACAGCCTGGCCAGTTCCATCCGGATCACTGCGTACCGTATCGTCCATCGCAGATATCATAACGTGCTCGAGTTAGGCTTATAACCATTGGGAGGTACGAAGTGCATATGCTGTACACAGTAGTTGAGTAGAGTCGTCTCTACAGTGTTGCTTTTAGTATCAGTCCAAGGCCGGATATGTATCCAAGTTGCGAGGGAACCTATCAGGGGTCAAAGTTGCCCCGCCATGTATAAAGGGAACTGAATTTTGGAGTTCAGCAAACCAAAACAATGTCGCGGCCGTGAATAGAAAATGGTCCGTATCTTGGTATGTTATGCCGCTTGTACTATATCCGCCACGCAATGGTGCCCCAACCCTGGTCCGACACAAGAGTGAAGACTTGCAACTAGAGGAGTGAAAGGTATCAGAGACAAGGAGCCGCGTATAAATGGAGGTTTTAGCCAGTGTTTAAGTAGAGCCACCCCAGCGCCGTTAAGCATAAATAAATAACAGGTCTTGAAGAGCGACAAGAAACTGCAGCCCTCTTCCCGCCGAAAGGAACTGATTAGAAGCAGAATTACGGCTAGCGACTTTATGAACGGTATCTTAGTAGGAGGTAGAGAGGGAAATAGATAAAAATTCTCGACGATCAGTCATTCGAAACCCCGGCACGAGGTTTAAGAGAAGAGAAGATCCGGGAGATAGGTCGAATTAAGAATTAGATTTGAGTTGCCGATCGAATCAACTCACAGCTAGTACCCTTAGGAGACATATACCGTGATGGGTACCTTCTATGGAGATTTGAATGAGAGCGAGGTCGAACAAGGTTGTAAGCGCACGTACCCGTAGCTTTCGCTTCGTTGGTTTAGATGTATACCAGGTCTATGGCTAAGTGCCGCATCATGACGAGAGTAAAAGAAGGGGAGAAGAGAAGTGTTCGGTGTATACTTGGTTAGGGTATCCGAGGAGATATGGATCAGTTGGGTGGATGCATATTGAGATACGTCCTCAGCCTTGGTCATCTAAGGTTGTATATAGTATCTGGCTATACGCACCTTGGAAGGTGTAAGTTTGTAGTAGACCTGATGATGGGCATGTGTAAGAGGAGAAAGGATGTAGGTTAGAGGTACGTACTATGTGTATCTAATAGGTACTGGGAAAGGCAACTACCTACATCCTACCTGATTGCTTGGTCCCTTCCATTATTAGATGTATACCTACTAAACAGATAACCTGGAGTAAGAGGTACCTTAACATTTGCGGTACTTATTTCGGCTAGGCAGGCAATCCCCCAGATTTCATTCATAGATATAATCACCTGGTATATTCGCTTATATTCGCTAAGGCAAATAATGAAACTAGGATATACTTTTGTCCTCACTGTTACACACAACAGGGATAGCTTTAGTACTCGTGCGGGAAAACATGGCAATTTCATGTCATAATTTCCATGGGAACGGTACGCTCAAAGCGTTCAAAGAGATCCTTTCAACGTTTGATCGTTACACGTTAAACGACGATCTTGGCATTTCGGGAAATACAGTAAACACGTGTGGCAAACGCCTCTTCCCTTTCACCTCTTACTTCCAAGGTTACCTCTTACACACCTCTATAGCTTAGGTACCTATCTAACCTACATATAGGTAACAAGGAGGGTTCGCTAATAGGTACCTAATGCAGGTAGGTAATCCTCCAAGGCACGCAGTACCTTAGGTACCTAAAGTAGCTATTCTAAGCCTCCTCAAAGACACCGGTCTTCGTATGAAAGGATTTTATATTCATCCTTTATGAAATATGCAACATTATCTCATAATCAATCAGCTTGCTTTAATATACTGCACCAATTATTCGCCTATTGTCTTGCTCCATACGTCAGCTTATAAAGGGTATTGCAGACGTTACCACCCAATCTACACTACCTAGAGGCAGCTGGGCTACGCATATTTGGTACCTTGGGTATGAACGAATACTACTCAACCAGGATAATGTTGCCTTAGATAGTCCTTACCTTGCACGTGCATTAGCTCTAGCCTTGTAAATAGGTAGTAAACCCTGATACAACATTGTGACTCTGCACGTATGTAGGAGGTATATAATCCATCACTCGCAGTACGGTTCGTCTCCATACCTAGCCTGCATGGATAAACAGTCAAGCCTTACAAGATATTACCAAAGAAGCGACCGAAGATGTGAAAGGACAGGATAATATGCGCTTAGAAGTGCAATTCGGGATCCTAAAAGGATTGTGGAGTTGGAATCAACAAAAAGCAAAAGCTGGTGTATCTGTTTATCATCTACTAAGCCAAAGTGGCTGGCATTTTCTCCAATTGAAATGGATGCCACAAGAAACAAACAGTACTGCGCTGATATACGGAAATAGCCTTAGTGATAAATGGAGGGAAAATTTTGGGGTACCCGAACAGTTCCCATGCGCGCCGATTTCTTCATCTCTCTGAGTGTCTTATCTTATGCCTTGCGACTAAACATTGTTCCTAGCTCAGACAAGAGACCCCTACGTCGATCAGCCGGGGTCAGAGTTACTGGGATGACTCCTCTTCAGAATCACTAAGAAGCGTCTAGCCGACCTCTGAGTACCCGTAGACGGGGGATACGAGAGTAGGTAGTTCGAAGAGACGCAGCCGGAGAAATGACATGGAAACATCTTCGTAGGTACTAGGTAGGTACTAGGTAGGTAAGGTTCACCTCTCTTAGACCTAAGACAGGCATTTAAATGTATTGATTGAGAAAGAGGGTGGACAGCTGTTTGCTACACCACATGATGCATCCTGCAGTCTTAATCCAATAGCAGCAGGCTCTCACATATCAGTTGAAATGCACCGAGGCTAAGTACTGCCGACTCGAAGGGGGTTCGAACCAACCAGAAAAGGCTCTTTACTGAGCGTAACAAGTTCATAACGGCTGGTCTCGGTCACCGAATGAGTTGTCCGGCTACGTTCCAAGGTTACCTACTTGAATTCGTATGGAATATTGCAGATAGAAATCAAGCTTCCCGCAACATTGAAGAGGAAAAGTTTCACGACTAAGCTGGGTTCAGGTCAAGTTTCCGAGAATACCTGGTAGATATCCGTACTTCAAGATATATAATGTACCTGCAGGAAGGTATGGGGTTAGAGACTCCTACATATAAGCTGTGTAAACACGTCTTCCGATAAAGTTGTCTTTGATATACAAATCTAGCATTAGCATAGGTACCTACCTAAGGTACTACTATTTCTTCTGTTGTAGCACTAACGCCCTTTGAGACTTCTGCACAGACTTCTTTACATTTCTGTAACTCTAAAAGACGGCAGAAAAAGAAAAGGCGCTAAAAAAGCCGAAGTCGACTTAATCAACAACAAAAAAAAAGAAAAAGGTGAGTGTGCAATATTAGCGATCCCGCCCCCATCTTAGCTTGCGGGGGAGATGCGGAAACTTGGAAGGTACTAAGAGGTTACCTACCTGTATGTACCTGATTCAGCGCTTAAGACATTTAAGACATTGCCGTTTGTGGCGGATAACCCCCGGTCTACGCGATGTGATTGGCTGATCCGGGGCCTTCGATCTCCTGGAGGAAGATATGCCATCTAAGATTAAAATTGAACTTACCAACCTTCCATGCAAGTCAAAGCTTAAATAATTTATCTCAATACCTCACGTCATATCTAGCAACCACCTGCACCGCATAGACCGTTGGTCCGTATGTTTACCTGAACTAATGTTTATATAAGTAAGTCACATAAATGCAGTCACTTTCACAATCCTCATTCTCATTCTCGTTCTCTTTTTCTTTCCTTCTCAAGCTTTAATTGATTACCAAAGGCTATGGTTGGAAAGGTACAACTAGACGAACGCGAAAAGTACCTACATGTAGTCTAAGCTTGGTGGGATAACATATATCGTAAAACAAATGAGATCCGAACGCACTCTGCTAGGGGTAATTACAGCATAGAGAGAGATCTCAGCAACGATTGTAGGGTGTGGACATATAATGTCGGTGGTGCACATGTTAAGAATCAGTCCCTTAGCCGATTGGCTGTCTCTTGAAGTATCGTCACCCTGCAAAGTGGCTGTATCGTACGTATGAGGATATCCAGCCTGGGGCCTGAGTCATCGTCAACAGGCTAATGATGAGTGTCAACTTGAAAGTACCTCCAGAAAAATATATACCAGAAATAGTGTTTATTTGTACTGAATGATAAGGACCTATAATGATATCAGGATAACAGGCTTGGTAAGAGTGTTGACTGCTGTAATCATATAATTACATCGACACCTTTGCTATAACCAAATCAAATACATACCGACCCCTCTCCATAATGTGACATGTCCCCAAGCCACGGGGTCCGTGGACTGTGGCGGTTTGGTTTTCAGCAATATCCCTCAGAGTTTAGGCAGACGCGTTTCTCGAACCTTGATGAGCGTGAGGTTGCCTGAAATCAACAATGAAGTCCACCTCGATAGAGGTAGGTGCCTAGGCTTTCACGCTTACTTTTAAACAAATCTTTCCGGCTTTTGCGTAGGTATTCTCACATCTTAGCTATCTCATACCTATCATGGATCTTCAAATCAATCAACCACAACCACGACCATCAGAATCCAGTTCAATGAAGCGATCGAAAAGCACCTCGCCCAATATAGACAACCCCCCGAAAAAGTCTAAATCCCTTCTCGAGAAAGATGGGCCCACGTTCCAAGATATTGCCAGCGCAGTTCCCACATCACCACATACTACCCAAGAAACCAACGCTACATTGAGTGAGTGGTGTGGTACCCTTCAGCAAGCAGACGCGCCAGAGGTAGTAGAGTCCTATTCCTACTCCGATATGCCAGGCAGGGGCACAACATTAGAAGGCCAAAGTATGAACCGACCCGAAAGTATGAACCGACCCCAATCAGACAGTAGCAGTCTCTCTCGGTTCAGGGAAAGCTATACATTAAGCCAACCGATCTTTCGATTTCTTATACTTCCTGAAAATTCGACCACGCTGCTAGATGATGATGATCCAATTCCGGAGTGGACGCAAACCATATCCACAAAATTAACACATATTCGGATGAAGATATTCCTCCTAACTTCGTACAGGATTGGAAAGTACTCTACTTAAAAAATCTTAAATCTTCTCCATCTCCGCCGCACTTCAAGTCCGCGTACAGATATCCTCTAGACCTATCGCGTCATGACAACTGGGCCCCAAATAGCGATCGAAACAATCACGAAACGGCTGCACAAGACAACAGGAAACTATTATACGCGATACTTGGTGCTACGTTTGACAGGCATTACTTGACTCCTTTAGGCGCACATACATTGCTCAACCCAAAGCAAGACATCATTTTCGGATACGATCACTCTGCTATTTACGACGGCGGGTATCATCATGCGGGGGACAACTGGATGTTTAAGTGTATCGCTAATTCTTATGGTCTTTCTTTTCCATACTTGATTGTGCAATTGGAAGGCGATTCTGGCAGTCTCTACACAGCCGAGAACGAAGCTTTCGTCGGTGGTCGCGTGATCTTAGATATAACCTGGCCAATCCTCGGGGATCAGGATATCGTTTTCCTGCACGTTGCGAACCCGAACCTAACCAAAATATATGCTATGTGGCGGGACGTGGAAAATACCTCCTCTACGGGAGAAGCCGTCGAGTCTCCGGTCTATTATGTAAAAGCCATCGCCCACTTCTGTCCATGGGTGTTGGAAGAGGCTAAAGGGCTTCGAAACTTTATTTTCCGACTCCAATGTTGGGCCCGGGAGGACAGATATCCTCGAATTTTGGAGGGCATCAAGAAATGGAAAGAAAAAGGCCGTCCTCTTCATGCATTTTCTCTAAAGGGGCGTTAATCTTGGGACTGGATCGCTTACATTATGGGGAGGGGGTATTAGGTCTAGTTTCAGCAACACTTGTAGAATGTGGACATTACGTGGTGCTGAAATAACTGTCCTCTATATGATTGTGTCAGGGATATGAGGATATGAGAATATATGGGTCGAACAGGGGTCAGTTGTCTACCTAGTATATAAAGAGTGGCCAGCTCCCTCGAGGAAAGGTAGAAGGCTAGGCGTTAGTCTACAATAGATTGCATACTCTGCTCCTGACACTCACTCTGTATATGACATCCATCACGGGCATAACCTGACAGATTGGCTGGCTGTGTGGAGAGATTACCTACAAGGTTTTGGGTAAGGTTTGCCGTATTGGAGTATACATATTTGATACAGCTACTGACGTTATATCCGAAACCTCCTCGGGCTGGTATCGTTGATTCTGATATTGTGTTGCATTCCTGACATTGTGGTACCGAACTATCAAGTCATCGTTAATAGGCCTCATAATAATTACCAAATAGAAAATTCTTCTGGCATGATGTCTACCTGACTTATTAAGTAGTAAGTTAAATAGAAAAGCGGAACCAAGCGAAAATACGAGGTCATGCTAGGTAAGCAACTAGAATAAGAAATCGAAATTATATTACCCGAACGACTATGGCATTTCTATAGGCTTTCCAACTCATATCCTCTAGTCCTGTCCCAATTTCTCCAAGTAGAAAGAGTAGCAAAAATATAACGCTGAAAGATGTAGTAGGTATTCCCAAGGAAGAGGAGAGGGGGTTCCGTTATATATACCCGCCTTTCCTCGATAGGTACTTGATATACATACTATGCAACACTTGTTTAGAAACAAGGAGGAGGAGATAACCAAAGGAGCCCTCTTGTATATCTTACGCCTATCCGCATCAATACACCCATCAAGTCCGTCTGCGAATTAAACTGTGTAAATGAAATCAGGCTTATCGTCGCCCAGCGCTTCAATTTCCTTCTGGCTCTTCCCCTCAATCAAGTAGTCCCTCTTCCCTTGTCTGCGTTTCCTGTTCTCGATCCGGAGCAATGTTGTCATTAACAAACTACCACCGAACAGGAACAGCGCCATGTATGCGACTATGACCCCGTGGCCCTCGAGGTACCTGGGCGCGCTGAAGTAGATGTTTGAACTGACAATGCCGTTCAAATTACCCCAGCCGATTACGAAGCCTAGTACCACACCTCTCTTGTAAACGCCCTCGATGTTGTTTGCCATCCAGCTGATCGTGTTTGAAATGCAAGGGTAGATACCAAGAGCCCCGAGGAAAGTGCCAGCATACTTAACCCTAGGGTCCGTAGACGCTAGAAGCATTAGAAAACCGGCAATACCAACGACACTAACGCAAATGTTGCACAGGCCACGCTGGCGAGTTCGGTCCGCAACAAAGCCAATGGTAACGGTGAGCACAGCGGCGGCAGCGTAAGGGGGGACACTCAGAAGTTGAGACCGAACAGTACTTGTGCTCCAGCCCAATTCCTGGATGATGCTCGGTAGGAAGAGGGAAAAGGCGTAGAGAGGCATGTCGCATCCCATGTAGATAACCATTCCTAGCCACATCTTCCAGTCCTTCAGACCAGCGATGAGATAGCTTAATTTCCATTCCTCGTGCTCAGCTGAAGACTGTTGGTCTAGTTTGAGACGACGAACTACGCGAATGCGGTCTTCGTCCGAGAGGAACCGGGCTTGATCGGGGAAGTCGTGCACCATCCAGAAAGACGCGGCGCCGAAGACAATAGTCAGCAAACCCTCCAAAATAAATATCCATGCCCACCCAGGTCGGCCACCAATACCATCCATCAATTCTATTGCGGCGGCAAGGAGTCCACCGAATGAACCTGAGATAGCAGCTGCTGAGAAGAATATAGCCTATCGTGATTTGTTAATTAATACGAAAGACTTACTGAATGAGGATCTGAAGAGCTCGACTTACGGCACGGACACCAAATTCGGAACGCTTGTACCAGCACGACAGGTAATAGTTGATACCAGGGAAGAGGCCCGCTTCAGCTAGGCCGAGGAACCAACGGGCAGCCATCAGGCCAGAGTAGTTGTAGACGAAACCCATTCCGAGCATAGAAGCACCCCATAATACCCTTCGGTATCACAGCGTTAGCTCGCCGTCGGCTAGGACCCGGAAACCACTGGGTGTATGTGAAACTTACATGATAATTGGGATGAACACGGAAGGCCGCAGCCGTTTAAGCAGAACGTTGGTTACCGGCTCGAAAACGGAGTACGAGATAAAGAAAATGGTAAGCGTCATATTGTACTGCTCGGGTACCGATAAATGCAAGTCATCCGTGAGATGGGCAACCTTGGCATTGCCGATATTGGTTCGGTCCAAGAAGGCGAGCAGATAAAGGATGCAAAGCTAGAAGCATTATGGAGTGGTTAGCTACGTACAAATTAACGGATCGCCACATTATCGTCAACTTACCCATGGTATTAATATCCAATCGAGCCTCCAAACCAACTTGCGGTCCTAATATAATTATTAGCGCCAGAGGATCTCCGCATAGGATCTAATTAATAACGACGTGCTGCGACCGATAGTTACTTACAATCTTTTCTTTCTCTTCTGGGCTAAGATGAGCATCGGGATCAGGCGGGAGTCCGTCGAAAATTCCGCCTTTCCCTTCGTCTTGGGAATCGTGAGGTGAGCGTTTTTCAATGTAGCTCATGGTGGTAATAGTATTGTGATGTCACCCACAATGTATAAAAAGAATGAGGAAAAATTATTCAACTCTGTTGAGCAGGAGCAACGAGATAAGGTAGGAAAGATGCGAGTATCTCCGTTGCTCACCACCCGAACATAGGATGCTAAGATCAGATCAGGGCGCAAATAAATACGCGCAATTGGCCAGGTTTCAGTGCCAATAATGAGACCAAGACAATCAAGGATCAATCAACCTAGGGAAGATCAAAGTGATCGAGTGGGTATTAACGAAATGAGGTGAAGGAAGGGAGCGACGGATATATGAAGGTATACGAAGCACCGAAGCATTACCTAACACATCGCATAGTAGTATAGAACTAAGCATGTAGGTGTAATAGATGGAGATAGGATAGAAGAAGCTTTGCTGCTAAGGGAAGTATTTAGTACAGCGTGCAAGAAGCGTTATTAGCTCGAGAGTGATAACGTTCAGGTCGCAGAGCTAGTCGAGTTGCATTGTATTATAGGTTGACAAATGAAAGGTAGCAACGGGGGGGAGCCAAGGGGGCCAGGGGAGGAGGAGAAAGAGGAGGATCGGCACTTTGTTTAAATGGATATGGCATGGGGATGGTTTTGGAGGGGGGGGAAGGGGGGTGGAGAGAAGCTAAGCGATAACCGGCTTACATTGTCTTATTCAAGATAAAACTCTTCTTCCAGAATTGGTGTTGGAAGACTATTTCACAATACTAATATACGAAATCCCAGCCTGCCTAAGGAGGTACCTAGATCTACCTACTCGAGGTTTGGATTCCGTATTCCTTTACACTTCGCACGTGGCATACCTAAAAACCACCAATATAGACGGCAGGGAGATGACACGTACTTCGGGCATGCCAGTAACTCGTCCAATGGAATGCTGTAATATGCTTATCTCGGCGGCAATATTTTCGATATCCTAAGAATAGAGAAATTGCTATCCGGTCAAGGGGATTCTGAAGAAGACATGTTTGAAATCTATCTCGTACGACGGGCTCTCATAACTCAGCAACGACTAAAACGAGAAGGTTAGAGATCACTTCTAGTACAATATCGACTAGTCTAGAAAGGTTGGACCATGTTACATCCTGCGGACTAAGAATTACCTATGGACCCAAGGCCAAGATGCGGCGTAGGACCCTTGTGATGCACCTTAACAAATAAGGCTTACGCTGATAAGAACACTAATAAGACACGGGGATTTTGGTTAGTTGGACTAGCTCGGATGTGCCGTAACTCTAGGTAACTAAATCTCGAGTTTGCCAAGTTATTAATATGCCTGGCGGATACATCATGTACATCACCTCAGACTGCAGGTGCTCTGGTTGACTGAAGTTTGTCTGAGCAGCTAAGCTTAGGCTAGAGTCTTAGGTTAGAGTGATGTAAAATAAATAAATAAATACCATGTTAAACGTGATTATAGAAATCGTAGTTATACGGTAGCTAGAAGTGTTAGGTCGGTATATTCTGTGCTCGTGAGACGGTTGAAAGACACGAAATCCTACACAATGTTCTAGGTATTACATGGGGAACTCATCTGCCTTAAATACCTCTAGGTAGGTACTGTACCTAATTGACGGGTTACCGGCAATGATATATCATGACATTGTCTAACGTGGTATTCTTCGAGAGTCTTGTCTCGGGTGCTTGAGCCGCATCGATAGGCTATCCGGCCGTGGGATATCTTTGTCGGATGGGAGCTATGGTATTTCCCCTCATACCCCGTCAAGCAAATGATATTAGACAGCACGGTCCCACACAGGGTTATGTTGTAGACAATATGCGCTACCTGTCAATTAAGAGGAGAGGTAATACGCAATACGGGTCACGCGTCACGCATTCTTTTGTCTTCACTCTTCACCGCCGGCGAACTAGCTGGAAAGATGACCCGGAAAGACTGTTTCAGGGACATCATCGGGGAACAATTCCTTCAATTGGACTCGGTATACGGTGTTTGAAATATTGTGACAATCGGGGCTAAAATTAGTTAGCTGTCGAACAAGACAGGAACTAATATGGAAAGCGAGAGAATCGTGAACTTTCTAGACTAAAAAGACTTGAAGTTGTATTTTTGACCATTTACGTCGTCATTCGGGTCCACCGGCTTTCGCGTCTTCTATGGGTCCAGTTAAATACCTAACGTAGTAAGCCCTTGGGTACTGCCCTGCTGGGCTGCCCAGCTGTCTAGGCTTTCTCTTGACCTTATATCCTTGCTATTTTTTAACCAGCTTTAGCAGGCGAGCGAACTTCCCCGCGTTGAAGGATCCAATGTAATGGCGGGGATTAGCCCGCTCAAAAGGAATGCCCACTTGGTTTACCCCACCAAAACCCCATTCATAGGGGATTCCACTACGGGACTAACAGACCAAAACTTGTGCCGAGCTGCGTGTTGAGCACCTGCAGTTGGGGTACCAGTCTCGATTACTGCATATCGCAAAACTTTTCAAATCATTTATTCAACATTACCTTAGGTACCTGTACCAGAGAGTGACGGCTTCAAACCAATTTCCGATACTTGTTCAATGGGTGCGCCATGTTTACTTTCTTTTTTTCTTCTTTTTTTCCGTTTTCTTTCTCTCACCAAGTCGATCTTAAGCACATCTGGTATTCGGTCCCACGTTGTTCAGCCTTGTATGCGAGTGTCGCAACAAATAACCCTTCACAAGTATTTGATCCACAGATATTCGCGTCACCCGTCCCAAATATCTGGTTCCTATCACAAGGCTCCTGTCGCACAAGAAAAAAATATTTATATATTTCAGCTGACGTATACTTGTACGAGTCTTTTTTATTGAACCTGACCATCGAGCACCCATGGGTTCATGGATATACCATGTTTTTTCAGCCTTCAAATATACCATCCAGGACTTATGCAGGTTTCCCACTCAGCCACTCGTTAAGCTCCCATTAGCATACATCCCCTAATATGCACCGAAGCCTCATAAGGACAAATTAGTAATGCGCTGTAGGGCCGAGAAAGGTGCATTCTTAATCTGAAAGGGAACCACAACTTCTGTCGGGTGAGCTGCTTTATGCAGTTTGCTTTGCAACGCCTGCATACAAGGAGAGAGTGTTGGTAATTATATTTTACGAGGCTCGCGAGTTTTGGTCGCTTAACTCCGGGAATGTCGTTCTAAAGATTTCAAGGGATAAGCCACGGCGTTAAGATTGTCCACTAACTTCTCGCTAAGTTCTGAACTACGTGAATTCACGTATCTGATCGCAAGGGATGATATTAAAATTTTCCTGTGAGATGAAAGGGGTGAATGCTTACAAATATTTCAAGTCTGTTGGGTACGCAGTGGCTCTAGATATACTACCAAGTACCTATCACTAGTAACCTTGAAGTGTTTGAAAACCTCTGGGTGGGCCGTGGCATACAGCTATACTTGGACTTTCATTATCGAAAATTTCATCTCATGTGGATAGATACCTGGTAGCTTACTGTATAGTGCACGGCAACCTGCTTAAACTAGGTAGTATATATTGGCCTCGCTCGACAAGGGAGAAATGGTTGTGTTATGCTTTGGGAGAGCACGTGTTGATATTGCGAGATTCGGAAGCTCCCGCACGGAACCGTTCAAAGCTGAGGATCTTATTCTAGCCGGCGGGTATCTGCTTCTTCCCGCGTCGGCTTCCGTTGTTGTTTATCAATCATACTTTGCATATTATGTATCCATGATAAACACAATCTAGATATCCAGACGGGTTGCCACCGGACTAGTCATGATAGGCATGAGACCGGATACTTGAGACTTTTCAGTAGTGATCCGCCCGTATAAAGCTAATGGTCCAGACATTCATTAATATAATTTAATTCTTCAAGAACATGATCAAGTTTCTTCGCAGTTCACAGTTTCAGGGGCCCGCTGAGTCTTTAGCGAGATGTCTCGGGTCTAGCTAACTACCTCGCTTTTAACGTGCCGAATGTTATCAAAGATGTGATTAATTTGTTGCGGGATGTGGAATAAAGACATAGTACCACGACATTATATCTCATGATGAATTGCAATTGCCTCTTTAAGTAAAGGTAAGTAGGTAGGGTAATGATAGGAAGAAGTTTGAAAGTGGTTGATGATCTAAAGTTACCTCCAGATGAAAACGTTAAAAGCGCCGATTGCATTACCTCAGCTCCCAGCTTGGCCGGTTTGGGTAAATTCCAATCCACCAATAAGCCGGCGATCGGCGTTTTATTGATGCGCCAACATCTATGTGGATGGGACAAAACTCAGTAATGGGCCCTATTGATAGGAGGTACGTAACCCACCACAGTACCTAGTCCATTTTACCTAAAGCAGGTACTAGTGAAGATGACGCAACGCAGCAACGTTCATATGAGTAGATTAATTCAATAATACTACTACCTAGCTGAGGTGAGGTAAACATTAAAACTTGTTAGTTTTCATTGAGACTCATACCAAATATTGTCGCGATGTCTTTAATCCTTGACTGAAGCAAATTGGCAACACCTATTTTTTACCTATCTACTTGAATATTTTACGAAATCATAATATTAGGTTTGGAGATTCAACGTAAGACTTTGAAAACCGCAACCTATTGTGTTCATTTATCCCGATCATCTCTCCGACACCGACTGCCATCAATCCCCATCCGATCCCTCCACATATCCCGGACCCTGGTTCGGGCCCGGATCATGACGAAAACTATCTGTATCGTCGGTAAGAAACCGAATAATTTATTCATATAACCACCACGTTACACTTTAGTTCGTAAATGGCTCACATGCGATATAGGCGCTGGGCCTTCTGGTCTCGTAGCAGCGAAGACCTTATTACATGACACACCTGAGGATTCATTCAAGGTCACCATCTTCGAAGCCCAGCCCCGAATCGGCGGGCTGTGGCCTACGAAAAAGAATGATGTTGGCGGCCTCGTGCATCCGCTCATGGTAACCAACCAGAGCAGGCATACAGTCCAGTTCAGTAACTTTTCCTGGCCAGACTCCGTTCCACAATTCCCCAAGGCGTGGCAAGTCGGACAATATTTAGAACGATACATCGATGAGTATAGCGGTGCTGATATACGGCTTGGGTATAAAGTTGTGAAAACCGATTTACAAGACGATGGTTCGTGGAAAGTGGAAGTTGAGTCGGATGGAAGATTTGAAACGGCGACATTCGACTATTTACTCGTCAGTACAGGATTCTTTGGGAAGCCGATATGGCCGGATTACGTTCCGAAAGGGGCGGATGTGCCTATAATCCATAGCAGCGAGTACCGAGACCTCCAGAGTCTCCTAGCAAAGTCAAGTCGTGGTGGTGGTAAGATTCTCATCGTCGGCGGACAAATGTCTGGAATTGAGACCGCGGCAACCATCGCGACTCATCTTTCATCTGCTACCCACTCACCTGGAAAGAAGACAATACAGGAGCCCGAGAGTTACTCCATACATCATATCGCCCATCGACCTTCATGGGTATTTCCGTTATTTACATCTCCAAAGGTAAGCAGGTGCTCTTATGGTCTTGTCTGTTATGAATGAGTAGCAAGCAGTAACCAGCGAAAACAGCCGGCTGCATCAGCACCGCCATTTCTACCATGCGATTTACCCTCATACAACTTAGCTAATCGGCCACACCCTCTAACAAACAGCCAAGGGCATATAAGCGTTGAGGCGGCACGCACCTTGAACGCGATCTGCCAATCAACATTGGGCACAGATCAGGGTGAATTCTCGCCCGAGACCAAGATAGATAATGATCTACTTGATCAACAACCTTTCGTGGCTATGAGTTCTTACTATGCGAACCTCGTGCAATCAGGGCTCATCAAAGTCATCAATGGCAGACTCTTATCCTTCGACGAGAATGTAGCCACTATCTCTCCATCGAACAAGAAAATCTCTAATATTGCCGCTATAGTCCTTGCGACGGGTTTCGACCCCTCTCCGGCCCTTTCTTTTCTTCCACCATCTGTCCTTGAGATAATTTCTCATTCCGCTATCCACGTAAACCTACCTCTGGCGCTCGCTTTCCATGGGACGCATCACCCATCGCTACCTACTCTAGGCTTTGTGGGCTTGTACCGTTCACCTTACTGGGGTATTATGGAGATGCAGGCTCGATTTGTTGCACGCTTATGGACGTCAAACACTCTTCAGTCCCAGTCCGCAGCCTTTTGCCAAGCTCTTGCGGAGGACGACACTATTGCGCGTACACTAGCCTTACGCACCGATCCACGCGTTTCGCAGTTCCCTATGGGCGACTACTCCTTTCTAATGCAGGAGTTTGCACGTGCTCTTGACATTACCATTACTCCTCCGTTGGGAAGCACCCCGCCGCTCGCCACAGGGAAGTCCATGGACATTCTAACGCCGGCTCGATACCCTTCCCTCTCAGCAGCAACCGCTCGAAACCCCCGGGCTGTGGAGCATACAAGAGCAAATCTACTTGCGACTTATGAAACAGCGCTGGCGGGACTTTCAGGTGGCCGATTTGTTGCTGGCGCCGTCTTCCGCTCGCTCCTCGGTGAGTGGCGGCTCGATAGGACGCTTTCTTCACGACTACCGTCGCATCCAAGTGGGCGATTCTCTGGAACAGCACAGTTCCTACTGCGGGAGGGAACCGGGGATGGGATATCTCCGGCGCTCGTGTCCAAGGCGAATTCGGATTCGGGACAAGGTCTCGGGCTTGAGTACTTGTACATCGAGGATGGCACGTTCACGGCGCAAGATAACCCGAAGTTATCGTTTAGAGCTACCAGGCGGTATATATGGCGGTACGACGAGGCGCGCGATGTGCTGAGCGTATGGTTTGCGCGGACGGATGAGCAGGATCGTGCAGATTACCTGTTTCACGAAGTAGAGTTTTTACCCCCAGTTGAAGATGCGGAGATGCTAGTCGAGGGTCAGGCGACACCCCTAACTATAGGCGCTGCGATAGAGGAAAAGCAACAGGCCAAGACAAAGAAGGGCTGGGTAGCGAAGGCAAGCCATCTGTGCATCGACGACTTGTACAATGTGCATTACGAGTTTAACTTCAATGCCGTGAACTTGAAGGAGTGGACGCTGGGATACGCCGTTAACGGCCCTAAGAAGGACTATACAATCAATGGGGTTTATAGAAGATAGGACGCCGGCTCTAGATACCTCATATAGTTTAAACATCTAACCCCAGGCAAGCGAAAGGCGTAGGGGATAGGAATTTTAATATCTCGGTTAACTGAGGGAATAAGGGAATAGTATAACTCGCATCGAGTCTGAGGTCTTATAGACCAAGGGTTTATGGTAGCGTCTATCGTAGGTACCTAACCTAGGTAGGTATATAGCGCTTTTCCCCCTCCCATGCTATCAGCTGTCTATATGAGATAGCCGCGTTTCGTAAAGTTCTATTCGGGTTTATGCGCCTATAACGTCCCAAAACTTCAGGTGCCTATTTAGGTACCTTCACCAACCTATAGAGGGTATATAGTCCTATTATTTTAGATGCGGATTGGAACAGACCCCTCCTGAACCAGCGGTTTGCCAACCTGGCCCTGAACCAGGGCATTCTTGCACTGCCTCCCGTGCAAGAAGTCATCCAGATTCTCCATCGTCCCCTCGGCGATCTCGCGCAGCGCCTCCTCCGTGAAAAAGGCCTGGTGTCCGCATATGAGCACGTTGGGGAACGTGGTCAAGCGCATCAGCTCGTCGTCGTCGATGATATGCCCCGAGTGGTCGTTGTAAAACAGCGCCCCTTCCCCCTCGTACACGTCCAGCGCCAGCCCGCCCAGGCGCTTCCTCTTCAGCGCCGCGATCACCGCCCGCGTGTCGATCAGCCCGCCCCGCGACGTGTTCACCAGCATGGCGCCCGGCTTCATCTGCTCCAGCGTGTGGTCGTTCATCATGTACCGCGTCTTCTCCGTCAGCGGGCAGTGCAAGCTGACGAAGTCGCTCGCCCCCAGCAGCTCCTCGAGCGGGACGTACTTGCCCCCGCACTCGCCCACGAACTCGGGGCTCTCGATCACGTCGTGCGCGAGCAGGCGGCACCCGAAGCCGCGCATGATGCGCGCGAAGGCGACGCCGATCTTGCCGGTGCCGACGACGCCGACGGTCTTCCCGCGCAGGGTGCGGCCGAGAAGGCCCTGCAGGCTGAAGTTGCCCTCGCGCACGCGGTTGTACGCGCGGTGCGTGTTCCGGTTGAGCGTCTGGATCTGGGCGACGGCGAACTCGGCGACCGCCTCGGGCGAGTACGAGGGGACGCGGGCGACGAAGAGGCCGAGGCGGCGCGCGGCCTCGAGGTCCACGTTGTTGAAGCCCGCGCAGCGCAGCAGGACCGCGCGCACGCCGCTCGCGTGCAGCGATTCGAGGACCGGCCCGCCCAGGTCGTCGTTCACGAACACGCACACGGCGCTGGCGCCCTGGGCCGTGGGCGCCGTTTCGAGGGTTAGGGCGAACTCGTGGTAGACTAATTCGATGTCGGTGGTGGGGGTGCTGCTACTTTTGTTGTTGTTGAATTTGGTCTCTCGCGCGCTCGTGAGGTATTGCTTGTCGTAGGGTTTGGCGGAGAAGACGGCGAGCTTCATGGTGTGGTAGTGAGGGGGTTGTCTAGTTCTCTTTAAGCTGCTTTCAAAAGGATGGAATGGGATGTAACATCGGATGTTTGTCAATGCTATCAAAAGAGGACAATTACGAAGACAACGTTCGTGGAATGTGTTGGCTTGGACTTGGGTAGATGATTTTCAACTGGTAAGAGAGGTAAGAAGATAGATAGGTATTCTAGGAATGACTACCAACGTCATTATTAGGTATCTAGAGTTTCCGGTGTCATTACCTGCAGTAGTCACACATGAGGAGTTCTTAGTTTCTTGGGAGCTTGGGTGTGACGAATTCCCAATCATCTATAAGCTTGGATCGACTTGTATTGCATCTTGGCAGCTGAAGTTCCACAACCTTGATGTCACAGAGAACTAATGATGAAATCCTATCCATCTCTAATATGCTCTATTCTATGTGATATCAGTCAGTTTATGTTCTCTGAACTATAAAAGTGAGCTTGAAGAGGGGTAAAAATGATAAACAAAATGTTGGATTCGCGGGGTGAGCCCCGGAAGAGGTTATGATATGGCCTATTATGATTAATATCGAGATATAAGGAATATGAATATATCATACATATCTTCCTGCATAGGTTTCTAATAATGACAGTGTCAATATCTGATATCTTTTGCTATTGGATACCTATTGGCCCTTGAGGTAAGCTTATACGATCAACTACTCTACAGACGTAATATGTGGTTCAAGCCCCGTATACTCACTTATTGTATGGACTACACGGCAACCACGAAATCATTTGTGGTTGACGGGTTGCCACCTCAGCTTCACATCCCACAGACACTCCTATCTTTTTGAGTTTCGCTAATATAATGGTGTGTAAGATACCTAGATACGTGGGTTGAGTTGTGTGGTATGTATTTACATGTGTGTAGACCGCCGTTTTATTTCATTCGATTTGAAAATAAATCAAGTAGCTATCAGGGTGTACCTAATCTACCTGTACGAAGAAGTTTCCCGGTTTAACTACTCCCTATAAACAAAGATCACCTATGCTCGATCTTCAAAGGAATCTGGACGCATATATCACCATATACTCGTACGATAAATGCAGGTCCTCATCTTTGGAAGAGAGTCCCAATCCCAAGAACTAAATACTGAATGGTTATATCTTTATTAGCATTAGCAACAGCCGGTTCACCATGAAGATCCCACCAAGCAGGAGCGGCGAGACCTGGAATGATGCTCAGAATCATAGCACCCAGGAAGCTTCCGATAAGGCCGGCTTCAAGGCTGAGCTGGACCAGCTTTCGACTCAGATGCGCCAATATGTCGACTTGACTAATAGCCTTACTCGAAATGCCGTCAACCTCACTGCTTCTCTCGGGGAGACGCAGGGCACTCTCGCATCAATCAAGGAAGAACTTACTTCGCTCAAGCTCGAGAACGCACAGCTCCGGCACGAGATAACCACTCTTCGGCATGACCAGGACATCAATAAAAACCCGCCAAAGATAGAAGACTTTCCTTTAATGAAGCTTCCGCCAGATATTCGTTGTAGAATCTGGCATCTGGCTGCCGGGGCTAAGCGCAAGGAGATATTTGAAGTTCCGTGGCGGAGTCTCGTTCCAGACACGGAGCCACGCTCGAGAGTGACGATCGACAAGAGACGTATGAGGGTGTCGCATACCTGTCGAGAAGCGAGAAATATCTTATGCCCTTACCTACGACGTTGTGGGCGGCCTCATACCCCCGTACAGACGTACATGGACCCAGACCGTGACAGCGTCATAATTAGCGACTTTTTTATGACGGGGACGGGCTTTGAGGATATACTGGGGCATGTGCAGCAACTCATTCTAACGCCTTACCACGGAAGCTTTCGGATTATAGAAGAGATAGCCTCGAGCTATGGTCCATGTTCGAACATACAGTCGGTTAGCTTCGTGCTCGAGACTTGGAGTATCTCACCCCAAGCGAGCGCTCGAATCTGCAAACGGCTATCCGCTCGTATGCCGGTTGTGATTGATCTAGATGATGATCAAGAGATGCTTCGGGCGATGAACGATATTGTCGACGGATCTTGGCATAATCAGCGCCGCAGACTGGTAAACTCGCAGTCCGACTTTCAGAAGCAATGTCATATAACTCGAACAAAGAAATCGTATAACAGGGTGACATCCTGTGGGAGCAGGTTATGTACTACAAGGAACTGGGAAGGGTTCTGCACTGCGTTCCGCGTGGGTTGGCATGAGCAGAGTCATTGGTATAACGAGAGAGTGCCAGATATAAAGAGAGTCGCGCTGTTAGTCGAAGGAGACGAAGGGACTCCGAAGATATCGCAGCACTTACCTTGGCACCCGAAGAATTCATCGCAGTACTGAGATCAGAGATGTGTGTGCGCACTAGCTTTATTTACTATTTCGCCCCTAGACGGTTATTGCATTAGAGCTGGAAGTGGTATCCAATCAGAAGTTGAATTTCCGAACTCACCCGCAAGTCGGCTGATTCGGATTGAGGCAAAGGAGTTATAGGATGCCTGGTTGATTTAATCTTATTACTTAAACGGTCTCTCTGCATTTTATCAAGTGTCAATTTATCTCTCAATTCCCCTCTGAATAGCGTCCAGTCATAATTAAACTAGGTAGACTTCCATTGGTGATGAAAGTCATAATCGTCGGGGCGGGTCTTAGCGGCCTCAGCACCGCCATCGCGCTCCGCAAATTCATCCCTGCTAGTCAACCTCTCGAGGTCAAAATCTATGATAACATTAACCCAGCTACCGGCCAAGCCACGGAGCAGGTCACGCCGCAGGTTCGCACGAGTCGGTTAGGCGCCGGGTTAGGACTCCAAGCTAATGGGCTTCGTGTTCTGGAAGATCTTGACCCAGCGCTGAAGCAGAGGGTTTATGCGGCCGGTTTTCCGTGTACTCGCTTCACGTGGAAAACGGCTAGCGACTGGCTGTTGGGTCATGAATATGTTGACGTCCTGCCTATCTCACGACCTCTCCTCATAAACTGTCTCTACGAAACTCTACCTTCCGATTCGGTAATTCAAAAAAAGATAGCTAAGGTGGTCACGCGCCAAGGAAGAAAGCCTGTAGTTCAATTCGAAGACGGGTCGCCAGACGAGACGGCGGATCTTGTCGTAGGTGCAGATGGGATTCGCAGCACCGTTCGTCACGATTTGTTCGGTGACGATGAGAAATACCGACCTCAATACGTGTAAGTCCCAACTGTTTGGCGGTCCCGTGACTAGAGCTAATTGCCTTTAGCGGAATCTGCGCAGTCGGACAAGAACAAGCTGCTCTACTGGTCCGTTTATGAGACGGACTTGCCTGGTAGAGGCCTAAAGCTAAACCACGACCTAATGCTCCAGCAGCTCCGGGAGCGCCACGGAAATTGGACGGATCCTCTCATCAGTCAGTGTCTAGAAAATGCTCACCTCGACAATGTATACCCCATCTTTGTCATGCCCGATTTACCTTACTGGGGCCGCGACGGGTGTGTCCTTGTTGGCGATGCGGCTCACGCTTTGCCTCCGAGGAGCGGCCAAGGTGCTAGCCAGGCCTTCGAGGACGGCGAGGCGCTGGCTTTACTTCTAGCTGGGTATCTCGAGAGGGAGCATGACGCAGGTGATGCTATCTCTCGCTCGATTCTCGGGCTGTTCGAAGTCCGCGCTCCAAGAGTGAACGGGATCAAAGCAGATGCTCTGCGATGGAAAGAACCTAAGATGCCGATGTCATGGTTGAGGACTGCTGGTCTCTATATTTCTTTATTTATATTAGTTAGGGTGAGAAGAGTCTTGAACATCTTCACTCGCAGAGACTTATGGAACGTGCGAGACGCGGTGAGTAAGTATCTGGCCCAATAAGCCATTGTCGATTCAAAGACATGATAGGTGTTTGATGATGATCGTCGTCATGTATATAGATGATGTGCTGTATGATAAGACTACCTAGGTGCTATCTTGAGGTTTCTCCCCTCATACGGAGAAAGTGTATTTTTTAATAAAAAGAAGAAAAAAGTATGGAATTCTAAGGACTTCAATTCGGACACCCAAGGGCGAATCGGATGATTTTTTCAAGCTTGAAACAAAGCCACGTGGACGGAATATGAGGATACGCAAAAACGATGCTGGGTTAAGTAAAAGTTGGCAGTGCAATGTTGGGACTGCAGGAATAGCAGGAATAAGCTGGAAGTTAGCTTGGTTCAAGGTGGCTTAGTTCAATAGTAAAGGAAGGGGTGACGTCATATAATTTATACGAGAATACCTAACCTCATGCAAAGTACCTGACTTACAACGCATATAGCATAAAATAGGTGGTACAATACCAACTCACCGCTTAGCTCACTAACACGAGATTCACAGTCTTAAAGCTCATCTTACACTTATACTTGAACAACTTATAAGTCTTATTTTTCTCAATCTTCTCTACCTAGGGTACTCATCTAAGGTTAGATATCTTATATATCCTATAAACCAACAGCTAATAATAAATAAATCTACCGAATACCGTAACGCAATTCTAATACACCAAACATGTCGCCATCACAACCCACTACCGAGACGACAAACAACCAGACCACGCAATCTAGCGGGCCGGCGGCTCATCAGCCCGTCCATACAACCCAACCCGTCGCTCTCCAAGCAATGGGTATGTTCAACACATCTTAATCCATCCTTATTATCTCACAACATCGATAACATCGGCGAAGAGGAAAAATTCGTGAGACAGACATATTACTAACACTTAGAACAGATCCCCAACGTCCTCAGCCTGAGCAACCTGAATACGGAACCATGCGCGGCGGAGAGCGCAGTTCGTGCTGTCCTGGCCGCTTCTGCTTCTGTATTCCTTGTCCGCTGCCGTGCGATTTCTGCATTATTTAAGCGGCTTTCGTTAGTTATGGTATCGCTTTGATCCTTGTCGAACAGTTAATTGCGGGCGTTGGATCGGGTACGGAAGGAAATCATCATGTTTATTGGTTTGGGTTACGGGTCCTCTCACAGTGAACGTTCTACGTATCATCATCACTAGCAACAGTTACGAATTACGTCTATCAAATATGATAGAATATTGATACTTGTTATATATAACTACCTAACCTTCTCAACTTTCCAGTCCACTGCTGACCACTCCGATTTTCGCGATTCCGTCCCCTCATTCAAAATCACCCGTTTCTTTATTTCATTGTCCTGCCCACAAGACCCCGCCACCTTGAATAGGTCCTGTCGGTAGGTAGGATATGATGGTTTTTAAACATCGGCAGGTCCACAACGTACCACTAGAATTTCGAAGAGCGTATTACTGCCGCTGCTAATAGTAGCAACTCACACCGGCGCCTTCGGGGAGTCTTCCGAAACCTAAATAGAATTCGTCGCCGAATGCGCAGCCGGAGCCGGGGATCACGGCGATTTTGCAGCCCACCCTTGCGGTATATGAATGAACACCCTACTCAGTTCGCACTTCCTTACGCAAACTATTCACGTGTTTCCTAAATGTAAGCGGGGTATATCGACATCTCATGGTACTCCAACTACGATCTACGTTGTGTCAGTAAGTCCTTCGCCGGCCGGATTCAAGCAGATGTAGCTGTCTAGTTCTGGTCGCTTCATATTCAGGGCAGCCAATCGTCACGTTCACGCTCGCCCTCACGAACGCGGTATGAAAAACCTTGCATCACTAGTTCTAGCCTGATTCTCGGTTTCAACCCGATACCCAAGTTAAGGCCTTACCTAGACGCTCATTGGCCATCAAACAAGCTAATCACCTTCGGCTTCATGTTCATCGACGGTCTATATGGTAGTCGTATCTCCACGTCATAACAAAATAGATCCCAAATGCAGCTTTTTTCTACTACACGTAGCTCTGCTACGACTTTACCGCCGAATCCCTTACAAGGTATCCCGGAAACAGTTTCGCTGGTCTCTCAATGCCGCGTGGCAAATTAACTTACGCTGCGTAGGTAGACTTGGATTGAGGATTAGAAAGAAACCGCCTAATCAATGAATTCGCATTCTGTCTAATATGGCTATTTTCAGTTTTCTTCATCCACTCCAGTTCCTCTCACCTTATCCTCATCACTCTGACTAAATCCTATCTTGAACTCACAATGGGCATATTCGAGGACGCGCGCAATGGGACCCTGGACGAACCCAAACTAGACCAGTACAAGACGCTCTCCTTCGATATCGACGCGCTAGACCCCAAAACCGGACTTACGCTGCTCGCTACGGCTTCTCTGAGAGGTCGTGCTAACGTCGTCAGGCTGCTCATACAGAACAATGCGTCGGCGACCAAGCTGTCCCGGGGCGACTGCACCCCCGCGTGGTTCGCGGCGGCGGGGTCCATGAAGACGAGCGACCGCGCCGAGATCCTCCGGCTCCTGCACGCGCACGGCGTCGACATCGACAGGCCGTCCCCCCGGAACCGCAACTATACGCCTCTCATGAAGGTCGTCGTCGAGTGGGAAGACCCCGCTATCGTCCGCCAGCTCGTCGGCCTCGGCGCCGACGTGGCGGCGGAGAACTCTGACCGGGAGACGGCCTCCACGCTCGCCGCTAAGACGAAGAATCGGGTCGTCATTCGGGCCCTCGACGGTAACTCCCCGCGGCGTAAGAACTTTACGGATTTTGTTTTGATGGTCGTCATATTTATTCTTCATGTAATAGTTTCCGTCGGTGCGGTCGCGTCGGGGGTAGTACAGGGTGTCGTCGAATCGAGATACCAACATGACAATATCAGGAGCGCAAGCCGTTCAAGGGTTAGTCTCGCTGTATACCTGCCTACCTGGGTACCTAGATAGGTATTCTTTCTGGGGTTCGGTCTGATATTTGCCTATAGGAACTCCAGGAAAGCAAGACGATAGAGGAATATAGTGCCGACCTTGTCAAGTTCATAGCCGACAACAACCTGGGCAACTTCTTCAAGAAGGGCGACCCCTTTCTCAAGACGCTTGTCCACAAGGCTGCCAAGATAAAATCCGACCCCAAATCGACGTTTAAGACCGACAAAGATATCCGCGACCTTTTGAAGCTGTCACTGTACCAGCAAGTCATTTTTTGCGGTAAGCTAACCAACAGTCCACAAGCTGGCGCCGTATCACTCGAACCTACCTAACCTGAACTGACGTGGGGTTCCAGACGACAGTACTTCTATGTCCATAGGCAACCGCCTCAAAGCCCAGCGACGGATCGTCAAGCGGATCGCGAAAGTCGCCACTTCCCTCGCACCCGACGGGGATGGCGTAGAGCTTCGTTTCATCAATAGCTCCGTGTCCGGAAGCGGGCTCCGCGACGCAGAAATCGAGGCGATCGTGGCTGGTGTGCGACCTGCAGGGGACACGGCCATTGGGACGAACTTAATTGCGAAGATCCTGAAGCCACTGGTATACGACAAGTTGGCGAGCCAAGAGTTGAAGGGTCCTGTACTAGTGTCGATTATTACCGACGGCTGTCCGGACCCGGAGGCCCCGGACATGTTGAGGGATGCGATCAGAGAGTGCGGGAAGAAGCTTGTCGAGGCTGGTTACGGCTCCGATGGTAAGTGCTACATATATCTTCTACTGATTCTTGCAGAAACTATCGCTAATGCTCATTTATCAGTTGTGCTTTTCCAGATCAGCCGGATCGGAAACTCCAGAGCCTCGAAGGAATTCTTCGATGGCCTACGAAATGATGAGCAGCTGCAGAGGGTCCTCTACTGCACTACTGGTAAGACACGACTCGTTGACTTTTGTTGTCTCCGATTATAGACTTCTCCGACTTTAGACTAATGATTATGTTATAGATCGACTAGAAAAGGTATGCGAGGAAGTGAGTGAAAATGAGAACGAGAACGAGAACGAGGACCAGCTTGACGAATGGGTTTATGTAACCGTTGTCCCCCCTGACGAGCTATCCGTGGTTGTCTAATGAGTATTAGTCAGAGGATGACTTTTGCAATTTGACTTCCAGGGAGTCTCATTTTGTATATACATTAGGGTACAGCGTTGGAAATTGGCGACGAAGAAATGGAATTATTATGTTTTTATCGCAAAAGTCTATGGGATGGAGGCCCATATCAGTCAAATATTTATCGCGGATTGGTATTATGCGGAACGTGTAACATTTGAGGAGCAAACTTATATTTTGGCAGGTTACACGTGGAAAATACTTCAGTAACATCGTTATGCGTGTTACCAGCTTATATGATTCTTGCAGGTTACTGCCTCTGGAAGCTTAGTGTACAGAGGACAAGGTGAAGTGTTAGGTATCTGCATTTTGCACCAACCGCTAGCGGTCATTGATGCTTTGAAAACCACCGAAATTTATGCTTTACTGTTGCTGTGTATGAGAGGTTGCCGTGAGTGTTTATCATCACCTCCTCCACGCGGCTTGTCATTGACGATTGTTGAGTGCTTAAGGAGCTTTACGATATCCACTGCCAACTCTGGAATTCCGCCTAAGATTGCTAGGAATCGGTCGGTTTTCGTGATTTGGAATACACTCTTAAATATAAAGTCTTTGACTACATCTCGGAGAACTTTGTACGAAGCCGAGGTTGTCCCATATGAAATTTCAATCACCTCGAATAGGTACTCAACCTCTTGGCTGGTAAACACTTCTCCCAAGTCTGTATTTGCCTGAGGCATGTCGCGTAAACGAGCTGCCATTTCGTTTAGTTTAGTGCCTATTATGGATGCGATCTCTTTCATCAAGCTGTTGACCTGAAAAAAATTTGCCGCTTTGAAAAGTTCCGAAGGAAGTATTTCAACCATAAATTCCGAAACTATTTGGCCATGGTATGTTAACTCTACTCGATATTTAAATCATAATCGGCGCTCACTTTTTCCAGTGTACAAGTAACGAATGACCAGGTCTACCTCGATAGCCTTTTGATCTTTTACTATGAGTTCTCCCGTGGTGGCCTCCTAGCAAGAAATATTAGTATATATCAGGTAGGTACCTAAGTAGTTTAACATGATGCTCTATGTTTGTAGACACCCAACTTACCTGGAACTGCCCATTAAATGCTTTGTTAAAGTAAGGGCACCTTGGACAAATAATGGATTTATGGAGCTTCCAGACCTGGTCTTGGCACTTGACCGTCACGTCTGAAAACATTCCAGATTCCAAAATACTATCATATCTGAGTTAGTATCGTTACTTATAGGAGTATATTCTACCTAGCCACGTAAAGACTTACGATTCTCCGGACTCACGAAGCATAGCTTCGGATGATGGATAGTCTTGACTCATGCTTGACGGGATGAAGTTATGCTGATTGGTAGCTTACCAGTGTATGAGATAAATGTGCTGAATACTTCCAATGATGTTGATTTTTTTGGGAATGGGCGAGGGGGAGAGTCATCTATGTTTTAGGTAGGGTAAGTAGCTAGCCTAATGTATTTCCCTGGTCTTTGCCCTTTCCAAGTTTTAGTCATGGCATCTTAGGAAGGGCTTACCTTATGTACCTACCGCATTTGCTATTTCTGGATTTAAATGGAAGTAAAGTCTTGCCAATATCTTAATATGTACCTGCCTAGATACCTACCTGTTACCTAATGTAATAGATGCCAAGGAAGCTACGCCTCAGATCAAAAACTAGCTGTAGGATCTGTAAGTTTGCAACTGCTACGTATTGATTTGATATGAGCACAGCTTCCATGTAAATTGGTATCGGAATGGCTAGGTACTCTCTGGGCTTTATATTCAAATCTCAACCAGTGGAAGCTGCCTGTCTACACATATTCCCAGGCGTTCCCTCCTCCCGGCTGGTATGTTCGCACACTCGCCCAGTAACACCCTTCCATATCAGTCTTCCCGACGTACAACTGGTAAACCTTTTCTTTCGGCTCTCCCTCGCCAACTGGACATATATACCAAGTCCCGCTGGCATGGTATAGTAATACCGGGGCGCCGAACGCGTTGCTGACTTGACGCGAGAAACCCGTGGCGACACTACCATCCGGAATCTGTCCCGAGTGAGGTATTGTATAAGAGAGAGCCCCATTTTCGGCAATGTAGACTGTGTACTGGTAAGCTTAGGTACCTATAACTCCGAATAAAGGATACGTGATGACTGGGTGTATTTCATTACCTTGCTGCCCTCCTGGCACACCTACATCCAGGAATACCGTTCCGTTCCCGCCATCAAATATCGTTTCCGTCCCTGGGTATTCAGAGCAATCTAGATTTTCGATATCGCCTGGACATTCTGTGCTTGCTGCCTTATTGATCCAGAATTTCCCACCGCTAGCATTTATTGGAGTGCCCCAGAAGAATACATCGGTACCCTCGGCGATTTTCCACACACCTGCAGTCCACGGGCCAGCAGGAGGTTCAGCTCGCGGTGCAATAGCGGCCACAATGGTTACCAGTGGAAAGGTGAGTAAGCTCGCGACGGCCTTCATGATGGATCTTATAGTATTGAAACAGGGCTTGATAGATCTAAAGAATTAAATCCACTAAAGAACATCACAGGCTTAGATTAAAAGTTGCGAACTATACAGTGAAAGGTTGATAAGTGTTTTTTTAAAAAAAAAAGAAAAAAAAGAAAAGAAAAGAAAAACAATCGAGGTCCAATTCGTAGACTTCTTGGTAAATCATACGTTACTTGACTACTTTAACCTATATCTATTGCGACGGGGTATATAATCATGGCCCAATACTAAGGTGGCAGTCCGAACTTCTGACGTGAACTGTCGTGACCTTTGGATATTTTGCCGGCTAATGTCATATGGTTACAATACATATTGGCGATTCGTATGTCAATACGAGAATCTAGATATCTGAATACTACCTCCTATTTAAGGTGGGATCGAATTAGGATTTACCTAATATTATAGAAGCACCTTGCAGCTGAAAGTGGTTGAGGGTGTATAACAGCATCCTACTTAAGCAGTATTCGTCAACGGAATTTACCAAGCAACCCAATTCCGATAATTCCATCGTGCCGGTACATCTTCAACTCACCTTGTGTTCCAATCATTTGATGTAGGTATTCGTTAGAAACTCCTTAGGTCGGAGTAACGTATGATAAAGTAGCGTCTTAGGTGATCTTCGTTTTCTATGATGAAGCGTATTCCTTTTTCGTGATGAGTAATAACAACCCCTATTCTAACGGCAGCGACGAGCGCTTGGTAAATATCCCCTTTCTTAATCACACTCATAAAACTCGTTCACGACGGCCGATTGGCTAGGAGGATACCTACGCCTCAAATTAATAATACCTATCGTATATGCATTGTCTCATTCTCAGTAATTCATACTTAATCAAACTCTTACAAAACTCTCGCCTTGAGTAGCGAACGCAGACACAGCCTGTACGGCAGCCGACAGATCTGCGTGGAAATTCGGATAGTTGACGCCATGCGTAACTGCCAGTTGCCCAGGACCCATCGGAATTGCTTCCCCATTAGAGTTCTCGATTTCTGCATTTTCAATATCCCTCCTAGGAACACTAGAGGGTCCTCCAAGCACCCCGTCGGGAGTTGTTTCCGGTGCATTATTCTTCTTCGCGAGACTGAAGACCGGGGACCAGGGGATGGGGGCTTCCAGTTCTCTTTGGCTTGGGTAGCCAAACCCGGCCATAACCAACGCCCTGCGTACCCAGCGGTCGTCTACGCTCGCAAAGTGGAATTGAACGGTGTCTGGGGACGACCAGCGTTCTAATTGCTTGCGAAGAACAACCAATCTGTGTATTGCGTCTGTGTCGATGTTGCTTACGGTAGAGAAGTCGAGGATTAATGCTTTTAAAGTTGGCTTGGATGTCTCCGAACCAGGTTGGTCCGAGGAAACACACAAGGCATGCTCATTCCACGGTCGATCCTTTAATACAAATTAGCGAATGGTCTTTTTCTTTGAGGAATTACCGTACTCACACCAGGATTCTTGTATTCAAGTGGGGTAGTTCGACATGTTTCTTTTACGACGTATGTGTAGAGAAATTCCATATGTTGGGCTTGATTGACGTAATTGAAACCCTCCGGGAAACGATAGATAAATACACCGGGACGGGGAGATTCAACGTGGACAGACGGGTTGGAGGCGTCTTTTCGATCGATCCGGAAGAAAGCATCCCTTGAGGGTGTTGTGGATATTAGCGATGGATCAGTCGTAGCTGTGTTTCGTGAGCGGGAGTTCGGATACTGGTAAACTTGAACTCGGCCGAGAAGCTGCCCCTGCCCGTGAATGAGTCTGATAAAGAGGAGGCACGCAGATAAAGCCGTGGTGACATAGATTCCATTTTCGAGAGTACTAAAAACCGACGTTAGGAGTCCAATAGAATAAATGACAAGGTCTGGCGGTGATATCAGCCACAGCTTATGTAGCTCACTTAGAGACATAGGCAGACTGATTACCGCATGTATAATAAGAGCCGCCATGGTAGCAACTGGAGTCCAATACAAGGCCTGGCCTAGGACATACAGAACAAGCACGAGAATAACCGCATTGAAGATCCCAGCCAAGGGCGTTTTAGCGCGGGCCTTCGACAACAGAGCGCTACCGCCGAATGAAGCCGTTGAAGCGTAAGCGCCAATAAATGGACCAGCTAGATTTATTCCGCCGAGTGCGACTAACTCCTGTGATGGTGCTATAGTGTAGTCGTTCTTCTGCCCTAGAGACTTGCCGATAGCGATATGTTCCACAATAATAACGATGGTCGTGGCCGGGAGCTCAGATAGAAGGCTTCTTATTAAGTCGGGTTGAAAGCTTGGAGGCCCAATATGACCAAAGCCTGTTCGACATGTAAGTTAATGATAACTCATTGCTTTGGGGTTATTTAGGTACGTACCTGCTGGGATGTGTCCGAGTATGCGAAACTTGAATTCTTCTGGTGGCAGATTCCTGTTAACCAGATAACTGACCACTATATAGAGGAAAACGGTGAGCGACAGCCGAAGTGAAGAAAGCGTATCCCACGTCTTTTTTCGATGAGGCGTCCGTACGGCTAAGTACCCGAATAAACGCTTTATCGACATCAGTAGTAACAAGGCGGTTAGTCCCACCGCAGCATCTATCTTGACTCGCCTGAGCCCCCGGCAGCTATCGATGAAGACTTGATAAGCGGAACCCCTTGTATTTACGCCTGTGATTCCTAGTAGGTTGGGTACCTGTCCGAGAGCGATGGTGATTGCCGCAGCAGTGACAAACGCCGAAATAGCCACGTGGGGTATTAACTCGACGATCCATCCTAATCGCAACAGACCAAGGACAAGGAAAACGCAGCCAGATAAGAATGCCTGAGTTTTGGCAATTTCTTCGAGGGTAAAATTTGGGTATCTGTCAACCACATTCATACCCGTCTTGCCAACGAGGAGAGATATTACTGCAGTGGCCTTTCCAAGTGTCAGCATTTGTATGTATCTACGCATACCCCGTAGGAGATCCATACGTACCCCAACGCATATGTCCTTAGATGTTCCGAATAGCCAGTACAGTGAAGCACCTGCAAACGTTGTAAAAAGTCCAAATTCAGGGCTTATATTGGCCAATATCGCATAGGATAACCCCTGTGGGATCATCACCAGACTAAGTGTACAACCTGAATATAGTTAAATCATGCCCACTTAAACCAAGACATAAAGGGGAGGCCTTACCAGCGATGAGATCAGCAACTAGCCATCGTTTATTATATCGTCGAAGCCAACCAAGGAAGGGTAGAAGGCCGAGAAAATATGAAATAGGATTGGCCCCACCCGATAATTGGTCTATGATCCATTCTCTCGTTGTTGGTATTTGTTCAATAAATGGCTCGAATGGAGAAATCGCTGCGCTACTACGCTGGACGACACTATCTGGAGTTAGATGCGCATGGGCATTCTCTTTATCACCAAACACCCTCGTGATGGCTTTGCGGCTCTTTTCTAATAACCCGGCCATGGTTTTCCTCTCCGCATACAATAGATGCTAAGAATAGAAGGCGAAAATAATGGACTGACAGAAAAGGGGCAAATGAGAAAAAGGTAGACTTTACCAGAAGACAGAGCGGAATAAGTACGGTCTGCATTGCAAGTATCTAACTCCTTAGATATCATGACAGCCATGATAGGTGACAATGGGATATCGACCTAGTTAGTATTACCGAGTCATCGTAGTAAAGCAGAAGCCAAGGGGAAAACCTCTGACGAATCCATTGCCGAACGTATATAAGCAGTGAAGTCAATCCAATTTGTATCTGCCCTAGAAGGTTTATATATGATATATGACTTTACTTGTTTCGCTCATCTTGTGGTAGTCTGATTATCATCTTTGACATGCCGTACCTTACCTACGTTATATTTCAACAATCACAAGCACTATAATCAGAGCAACTCCTGACTTGGCCAAGGGAGACAGGATCGACAGCAGGAATATTGGCTTTTTGATTCCAAACATGGATTCAACCATTTATCAAGAGTGCCGAATGGTGAGATGTTGTGACAGAATGGACTAGTATTTGTTCTAAGTCTAACACTTAGTTGACGCTGTACCAAGGTGAGCATGGAAGAAGATAAGGAATAGGGGCTTTATCTATCTACCTCTTGAGCATTATATAAATCATGTGATTCTTTACATTCTAGCAGAGAGTTGCAAACAAAATATCCATTGGTCTGTGCTCTAGCGCTAACGTAATGTACCTAGGTACATATGAAAAGGTGCAAGATCTTTGGGGACGTTCTAAAAAAAATATTTCCTAAGACAACAGCCCCTCACATTATCTAAAGGACCCTCATAACCACATATTATAATAATATAAGACGATGCAATTGAAGGAGATCCAACGGCTTGAGCTGCCGCCTGCGGCAGACATGCACGTCCATTTGCGACAGGGAGAGCTCATGGAGTTGATGGTTCCCACCGTGCGTCAAGGCGGTGTTGACACTGTATTTGTGTATGGCCTCTCTACTTGATGTCTTCAAGGGGGAATTGCGAGCTGACTGGAGATCACAGCATGCCTAACCTTGTATGTAGTCTTCATGATGTTCTCGTAGACATATTACGAGAGTCACATATCTATATATTTACATACTAATGCAATGAAATTCAGATTCCTCCCTTGACGACTGTTGAACAGGTATGAGTAAATAGACCGTGGAGGATTACAAGAAACCAGTGATTAACTACTACAAAGGTGCTTGAATACCGATCTAAACTACAAGCAATAGCCCCAGATGTGACTTTTCTTATGTCACTATTCGTAAGTTTCTTGCTTTTGACTACGTCTTTTCGAATAAGGGGCCAACAAGACTAACACTACTAGCTTCACCCGTCCGTGACGCCCGATGTCATCGCAAAGGCTGCTGCATCTGGCATTACAGGTGTAAAAATGTACCCACAGGGTAATCCTGCCCATTCTCGTTCCTGCGTGTATGAGAAAACTAATAACTTTCAGGAGTAACCACCAATTCTGAGTCTGGCGTCTCGAATCTTGAGGCCTTCTATGCTACGTTTGCAGCCATGGAACAACATGACTTAGGTATGCATAGCCTACAATATCTTAAGCATCCGATTCATATTTTCAAACCGTCTAGGAGTTACTTCGTATCATGGATCCCATCTTCATTTCCCAGCGGTCACTCCGCTTCCTTTAGGTACACAATAGACCTGGCTAACAAAGCTACGTGCCTCTTTAGTACTGAATCTCCATGGCGAAGTCTTGGAATCTCTGGCACCAGCCGGTACAACACTTGAAGAGGCGTTCCTGCCAACTCTGAAGACGCTCCACGAGCGCTTCCCGAAGCTACGCATTGTAGTACGTTGCCCGACGCAAAAGTCTTTTTTTGCTTTCCGTTCAAAGTAACCGCTAACATGCGCTTCAGCTTGAGCATTGCACTACAGCAGCAGCCGTTGAAGCTGTGAAGGCCTGCGGACCCACGGTCGGAGGTAAGATATTCACTCTCCTTCATTTTATGGTGAATGTTACTGATTTAAATGCACGTCAGCTACAATTACTGCCCACCATCTCTATCTCACTTCCGACGAAGCTCAGTGCGACCCCTTCGCTTTCTGCAAGCCTATTCCAAAGAACCCCTCAGATAGGGACGCATTGGTCAGGACGGCTGTCAGTGGCAATCCGAAATTTTTCTTGTAAGTTGCCTTCTAAAATGCATTCACATTTAAAGCGTTGCCAATATACTGATTACTACTATCGCAGTGGAAGTGACAGTGCCCCTCACCCTCTTCAGTCTAAGACGTCTGCCGAGAAAGGCAAGGCCCCAGCTGGAGTGTTCACTCAGCCCTACGTTACACAGCTCGTCCTCCTTGCCCTCGAGGAGGCTATTGACCGTGGAGTAATCACGGAAGTGGATGTAACGGAAGAAAAATTGGCCGGGTTCCTCAGCCAGTTTGGGCGACACTTCTATAAGCTTCCCGAAAGCTCGGGCAAGAAGATCGTTTTAGAGAGGAAGGGGGAGAAGATACTCGCAAGTGTGTCGAACAAGGACCGCAGCATCGAGGTAGGGATCTCGAAGGCGGGGTCTGAAGTGTTTACTTTAAGTTGGGAGTAAGTGCGGTGACTACGGAGAAAGAGATGGTAAGGAGTTAAGGACTTGAGGTACCACAAAACAGAGGGGAAGGCAAGAAAGGTCGATTCATATCTATAAGAGGTAGACGGTTAGAACCGACCTCAGGCATGCTTCGTTCTTATCAAATAACGCGTTATATACCCGTTAAAGGAACATGCGACTTTTAGAGAACGCAGATAAAGTTTTAAACCTTATCAATACTAACCTTGTCTGAAGCTGTAAAGCAGAGCGAGCCGATTTAATACTCGGTGTAGGATATCTGTCTCGATAGAGGGGAGGATTTTGATACTACCTCCTATGCAATAGCTTGGTTGCTTACCGAGGTACTGTAGATATTGAAGGGTTATATTCCAGTAAGGACATTAGATAGAAAACAAGCGCAGTGCTGTTATTTACACATAATTGCTATTATAGTACCCAAATATCCCTTCTAGAACTAAAACGTCTCTAGAATTAACGCTCAATCGATGTACATGTATACGCAGAACCAGGTTTACTCCCAGTCTTTTTCGACACGCCACTGATCTTCAAGCTTCAGCGCTGTTTCCTCGACCAGATTGCATTCGCGGTGCCCCCATTTCTGACGGAAGACCTCACGTCCGGCCTCAGCCAAGATCCAGAACGATGCCGCAAATCCTTCCGCGTTATAATAATAGGGCTCGCCGACCCCGCCGTGCTGGCTGTTTTGCCAAGAGTTCCGCGCGTTCTTCTTGTCGCGATACTTATACGCGCCCATGTCATTACCAACGTTAACCAGCTCCCGGAAATATTCAATCGACCTGGCAATACCCATACTCTCCGTATCATCAATTGTCTCATTCCCCCTCCGATCAACGTTTGCCTCGTTCCCGTCCTTCCCTTGTTTCTTATCCGACCCATCCTCCCCCTCTTTTGACTGTTCCTTCTGGTTCTCTTTGGCTTCTTGTGCTTTTGGCGAAAAAGCCGGGTTCGGATCGATAAACCTGGGGATAACGTTTGGATCGCGATATAATGCGGCCAGATCCTCCAATACGGTCGATACGTCGTTAATTATCCCCACCCGGCGATGCCTCATAGTCCATCCATCCATTTCCAACCTCGCGTTCATGTCGCAATCGCTGCCGTAATACGGCATCAGCGAGTCCCATCCGCCCACAGCGTCCAGCGCTGCTCTGTTTACCAACGTGAGGTGATCATACTGGAACCAACGGAAAGCCCAACGCTCTTCCCTCTCCAGAGTCTGGTTTAATTCGCGCAGGCAGTTTTCGTAAATTGTTCTATATCCCTCCTGGCCGGCCGCTGCTGGGCGCATAATATCCGCCTCGTCCTGCTCGTCGTAAAAGAACCACTCCCTATCGCCGTCGCGCTCCAACGTATCGGGCCCGTCCTCGAACGAAAACACCAACACGTCCTGGTGCGAATAGAAATAGTACGGCCAGGACCGGGAGAGCGCGGTATTCAGAAAGAAGTTCTGCATCTGCGAGAACGTCAACAGGACGGGAGTCTGTATGATGTTGACCCCGAGCTTGCGTAACGTGGCGTGGTCGAGATAAAAGGGATTCTGCAGACTAAGTTTTCCCTGCGCGTTCGAATCTTGCACACCCGTGTTTTCGACTACGTAGATGGATTCGGGCGGCCAGCCAGCTGTTAAATAGCCAACCACGCATTGCAGAAGCATAGGCCATTGTCGGGTGAACCCGATGAAGAGGGGTGGAGTATAAGAAAGGCCATACTCTCTGTGTAAGCCGGGACGGGGAACATTATATGCCGGTATAGGCGGCGGCGTTGCAGTCGACTGGGTGAGCAGAGGGAATGGATCGGTTACAGAGGGGGCCGCATAGGTAGGTGTTGGCTTGTACTTTGGAGGCGGCGCCTTGGTGTTTGTCGGTTGGTAACTCTCATGGGCACTAGTCTGGCCTTGTTTTCCGTTATTAACGATGGAAAGGTTTCGTAGGAAGCTGTCGTTGCCCCCAATGCCACGATATAATGCCAAAGCCACAAGGCTAATGGCGAGCAGCCCAATTGGAAGAGCGAAAGAACGTAGGCCTCGCGGGCTGCCAACGAGCGTCATAGTTATGTTTAAGGGAAAGAGGAGCTATTTGGTGGTAGCCAAGCAAACGAGAAAAAAACGGGTAATCATTCTAGTTTTGGCTGCTTTCAGGCCCTAAATATTGAGTGGGTAGTGAGTGTTAATTACTTCCGTCTCTATTCGAAATCATCCCACGTTCACACTCATATAAGGCTCAGTGAATTGTTTTTTTTTTTTTTTTTTTTTTTTTTTTTTTTTGAAAAAAAAAAAATTATAAGTCAAAATAGAAAGGGGGATGTTACCAACACGTACGGACCTTAAAACCAGGACAGACCAGATCGCGGATCAGGTCACATCATGATGATCATGATCTGCATGAGCTCCCACTATCCCGCCTCTTGGCCTCCAGGCATTCTCGTTAACCCCTGCATTAGGCCCAGTCAATTGCAGCTAATTGCCGTCTACGGCACGGTCCCCGGTCTCATTGCTACCTTATTTCATTGTGAACAGCGGCTGGAAATGTTTCAGCTCTTGAAGCTGCAATTTTCTTGGATGGTATAAGAACTGCGATATGAAATATGAGATATCATGAACATTACTGTATGAGGTTATGTATTCGTAGGTAGGTAGGTGTTATATCTTCCTTCTGCTTTGTCTCCTCGGAGATCAAGTATTCGGGAGAGTATTTCACCGTGCCTGATCAACACACTCTAGCAGGGATCAGCCGCGTAATGAATATCGCTTAAAAATTCTGAAAAGTTTCTAAACCAACATCTGCAACAAAAAAAAAATCTACCTAGGCCTAACTGACTAAAAATAAACAAGACACATTTGTACGACGTTATAAAAGATATTTCCTCCAATCAGATTTTGCTCAAATGATGTCGTCGCAGAAAAAGAAAGCGACAGGTATCTTGTTATTTGCTGCTATAGAATTAATTTTTAAGCACTGACACAAGTAAATTCAAGTATATCGAAATTCAACTAAAAAATATGAACATTCCAGATATTCCTTTAGCAAAAGATCTCCTAAGAGGTAATGGTTTCTTCAAATCATGTACCTTTGGCAGACATAACCATAGCCTTGCTATCAAAGTAGTAAAATACGCGGCCACGGAGGTTTGGCCTCAAGCGGGAAATACCATAATATCAGGTAAATAATTAAGTATGGTCAGGAGTCTCAAGCAAAGGAGATATTTGTATAAGGTATGTGCTTTGGCTTCAGAGCTATTCCAGTTAGAGTTTCTCGCGGAACAACGAAGTTGTTTCCCTTATCAAATGATCTGCGACGTGACGAGTATGAATGGGCTTTTATTGAAGTAAGAACGCGTAATACTTCAGGGCAGAACCCGTTCAGATATATCCCTATTGCCAGTTAATCTCCTCGGGGCCGATATAGAGGACTCAACGTCACAAATACTAGTAAGTTATGTTAGTTTCCTACCTGCGGAGACATCAAAAGAGCTGGAGCAGCTATTACCAGGATATACAAACACCATTATCTTTGAACAATAGTTACTTCCAGTCATAAGATCAACGAAAGTACGACTATAAACCTTAAGTCCTAGATATTACCTATCTAGGTAGGTAACTTCTTTATGTATTTTAGTATTTTATTTTCTCAGTATCCAATAGGATTTGACTTTAAAGATCTAAAGTTTAGTGAGAGGTATTCGCGGTGAGAGTGTGACAGCGTGCCACCTTGTTTGACGCGTTTCTGAGAGGTAAAAGCCTTCGCCAAACTATACGTCTAACCACAGAATAACGCTCTAGTTAGAACATCGTACTTTGGGGTAAATCCCCTACATCTTACGCAATCGGATTTATTACGATGTCTGTCAACAAGACTTGCTTGTCAGTACCTAAATGTTGGCAGCGTAGGGACCCGGTGAGATACATAGTATTTCGGCAAGCCGCTTCCTAAACCGAGTATCTTACTACAAACGAATCATACCCCCACTAGGTGAACTTAGATATGTGTTTACGTATATTCTAAACCACGGGCGTATGGCACCAATAGCGATAACTTCTTTCCTGGTGTAGGAGGTCGTACCTGACGCGAAACAGGAAACGCAATCGCCATGAACTTGAGTGCGTACTCACGCACAGTCTACAGCAAGCGCACATACGCTCCTCTCATACACCTGTTCTGCGGAAAAGCTATATAAGTTGAAAGATCCCCCTCGTTGAACATGAAAACCTCACTTCATCATCAACCGCTATTACCTCTCCACTTCCAAAAATAACCGACCACTATTACCTCTCTCTAATTACAACATGTTTAGCTCAAGAATTATGTTCTTTTTCATAATCTTCGCGGTGTTGCTTGCTTGCCTCCAGGGAGCGGAGGCATACTGGCGAATGTCATGCTCCCTAATCCAGACCGGCCGTCTGGACCCCATCGTTTCCCCGGGCGTGGCTTCGGCCCACGTTCACAAAGTCTCCGGTGCCAGCAATTTCGGTCTCGTTAACACATACGACGACCTTATAAGTTCCGAGTGTACGTCGTGCGAAATCCAGGACGACAAGTCGATCTACTGGAACCCACGGGGTTCGGCTTCCACGGAGACTTCATGAACGGCTGGGACGCGGAGGTTCTCGCCGCCGCGCTGAAGTCGAAGGAGTGCGTTGGCGACGACTCGTCCGACGGTGTGATCTCCAAGTACCCGCCGCTAGCCAAGTCTCAGATCCCCGATTACGCCGCCAAATGCCCGGAGCGCAGTGCCATCACCGCCGAGAAAATGAAGGGTACGATCGACGGTCTCCCTGGCTGCAACGTCGTTACGCCGGGTCCCGAGAGAGCAGAGCCACCGGTCTGCCCGGAACACGCCTTCCGGTACCGCCAATGGTAAAATGTAGCGATGGGACAGAAGGACTGGCTTGTTTGGAATTTGTATAGTTGTTGGATTAATGTTAACAGTTAGTAATGGTTTGCAAAATATATTGGAAGGAGTTGTTTTGTATCTAGGTAGCTTTGGCTTCAGACCTACTGTAGTCAGGGTTCCTCACGGAATAACGAAGTTGTTACCCTACCTCATGCTCTGCAACGTGACATATATGATATTGTTTCGAACAAGCCTTATGTAAAAGTGTACTCTATATGAGCACCTGACCTAATGTAGTTTTACAGTTAATAAGAATAGAGAAGCAATATACCTAGCAGAATGTTATTTCCATATAAAACGTGCGTATTTTGTAGGGGGGATTTTGATTCTAATACTGTACCCCTTTTATATCTTATAACCAGTATAGAAAAATGAGAGTAGTAACATGGATAATTCCTTGTCTAACCCCCTATCATCTTATACTTTCATTATACTCCTATTTATTTTTATAAAATGGTAATACTTCTTGAATAAGTGTAGATTTTGGTGTGTCAAATAGGGTATGTACGGACACCTTTCTCCATTCAGTAGTATATGCTTCTCTATATTTAACCCCACTACGGGACAGAAGCTCGGTGAGAGCACGCTCGTATTCGCCGGATGCGCAGCAGATAACGGTGCTTTAAGGACATTGGGCACCTACCTTAGGTAGATACTCTAAATTAGCCAACAACATGACCATCGAATATTGTACCTCAATCTGCGAGGCCCAGGGCTTACCCCTCGCAGGCTTTGAGTATTCGAGGGAATGTTACTGATTATGCTGTGTGATACCCGATGGGTGGTGATCTCAAAGCCGTCAGCTCGGGTATTAGGTACCTACCTAATTTCTACATTTACTACATGTACTAGCCCTCGAAGAATACAGACCTTTCATCGACGTGAACCCCTCGCCACCCAATGGGCCCCTACTTAGCGGAGCTCGATAGCAGGTACTGTCCTCAGTCCGATACGCTGGTGAGGATCCAACCTATCTATCTCATCGACGACGTCAACCAAAGCCGGCGGTGTTCCGCGGCGTACTTCGTCGGCAACGCCGTACCGCACGAGCCGGGGCTTCACAGGGGCGTTGTCACCCCACGCCCTCAGGTACGCCGCTATTATGCGCAGCCGGTACTTCTGCAGCCGGCTCAGCTGGTCGATATCGCTGACGGGGACGATATCCTGCAGGTTCCTTTTCAGCGTGTCGTAGCTCACGCAATCCTCCAGTCCGCGCCTCAGCTTACCTCTCATGGCATCGTCCGGAGAGTTCCAGTACAGGAAATCGATCTGGCCGTCTTCGGCTACCAGATCTTTGTCCAGGGGCATGTCGAACGCCTTGTCGTCGAGCAGGATCCAGTATTCCTGCATGCGCACGTACGGCCTGGCGAAGAACCCGAAGAACTTCTTCGCGCCGCCCTCGTCCAGCATGTCCAGCTGTATAACGCTGCGGTACACTTCCGACAGGCGGACCACGACGTTCGGCCACCAGACCGGCGCGTCCTCGTGCGGTACCTCGTCCGGCTCCTCGAGCTGCCGGTAATGGTAGTTCTCTAAGAAGTGGAAGTCAACAGGCCTCAAGCCGTCGTACAGGGGGTATACCTTTGCGGTCCGAGGGCCGACCATCGTCTTCGGTCGCCAAGACTCCAGTACGTACAGCCTCTCTTCCGAGTTTACGAATCTGCAAAACGTGAAGTACAAATGCCACGTGGCGCACAGCATCCGCGATGCTTCGTGCGTGTAGGGCTGGACCCCGCCGTATGGTTGGGACGCATCCCTAATGAAGTTTGGGATAGTCGAGTCATTGTAGAATTGGACATACAGAAGAGCTGGAACCTGAATCTCACCTGCCAGCCGTATCCCTATACGTGAAGATGGCTGCATATTGGCCTCTATATTACCGGTTGGCTTGTCCTTTCACGATGAAGAGCTACAGGTAAAAGGCTTACCTGATAAAGGCCCGCTGATTCGACATTATTCGTACGCCTTCGCTGATATAATAATATATGTAGAAGTTTTATCAACATGTAACGATCGTGAAGTTTCCCTAACAATTTGATTGTACGCCACCGAAGGTACAAAACAATGTCACTTGAGGTAACAAAGTACAACCACGGAAATACCAACTTCGTCTTGTTGTTCAACGTTGATATAGTACTTGACGATATTTATCCCCTTTGTAGGAAGGTACACTGTATCCTCGAGTTCCTAAATATAGATGTACAATGCTATATATTTAGTCCTATGAAGTATCTGACGAACGGCCCGTTCACGGGCAGATGTAAAATTCCTAGTTCCAGCTTATAACACCGTTAAGCGTATTGTTAGCATAGTGGCTATCGTATAGATTACCCCTTTTTTCCTGCAGCTGATAAAGCTTCTATCCCATACTCTGACCCCATTCGCTGAATCCAACTATTACTCATCGTCACAGATACGGTGGGAGGTGTCTGCACCGTTCGTCAAGCTTGTTGCCGACAAACCCACATTACCTACCACCTGAGATCCAACGTAATCTCAGTCACATCCCAAAAGACCCTTTCGAATACTGCAACACAACAAATAGGAAGTACAAAAGATTGCTTCATTAAGTAATAAATTCGAATTATTTCGTAAAAGAATAGAGGGGGAGTTTAGGCCCGAAGGAAAAAAAATCTATTCCGGGTATCAAATAAGAGTGACAATAACCCTCAAACCCCTCTTCACATCCGTCTTTAACGGGAAGACGCATAACCGTCTTAAAAAACAACTTAACTCATATTACACGGAATCGAATCCCCCCCTTCTCTTCCCCTGGGCTTTCCCCATGAAAATCTGATAAAACGACCAATTACTCTCTACATCGCGGCAGAGCCAAGGTTTGTTCCACCCTTAGCTCGGCAATCCTGCATATTCCAGCTTCTTTGACGATCCCTAGCCATAGAGATGGGGCAAACGCACATAGAGGATTGCGAGCGATTACGTGCTGAGTAGGTCTAAATGTAATCCAAATAGGGTACCTCCAGCAATACTAATGCCATCCCAAAACTCCCTATTCCAAACTTGCTCGACCTGTATAGCTCACTCAACCCCGCTCGCCGGCCGTGACCGCTGCGCAACCACTTCCCGAGCATAGAATTCGACAAGCATCGTGGCGTAAGCTTCCAGATCTTCAACAGGTACAGCAAGGCGGAAGTCGTTAAGTAGGAGGAATTGCAACTCAAGGTGGTTGAGTTCAGCTAATGGAAGGCCACCGACCTAGAAAGCGCAAAAGTCAGTATAAGCTACATGAAGCAAGCAATGGTGGACAGATACTGGGCAGGCATCTGACAAGTATGCGCCTGAAAAAAATCGGCAAACACCTGGGAAATAAACTTACCTTGGCATATCTCGAATTGGTGTAAAAAACATCCGAGAAAAACTTGCTCGCACAAGTAACACCAGCAATAATTAAACGGTGTATGTTAAAGCTATCGACAACAAAATAAGTAGCGGGAGAAATAGGTGGTGGCTGCGGGGCTCTTGCTCGCTTTTCGCGACTCCTTTTCTCCCTCCCCTTTTCGTCGGGATCGTCGTCAACGAGGTCAGATTCAGTATCGTCGCGATCACTATCATTATCCCGCATCTCTCTGTCAGCGTTGTTGCCGGATTGTGTCGACGCCGCCGAGGCCAGAGATCGTAGAAGCTGTTGGGCTTGTGACTGCCTCCTCGCTGCTTCTGCTTCCATCACCATGGTATTTACTCGCTCTGTCATTCGATCAAAGTAGACTAAAAGACTAAGGAACACCTCGTACGTAGTCGGGCAGTACTTATGAATCCTGCTCAAGTAACTCAAAATTGTAATTGCCGGAACATTTTTGCCATGGAAAGCTAGGACTGAACTGCTCAAGGGGCTCATCGAGGTACCTTCGCTGTTGTGGCTGGCAGCAGTCTGCTGGTGGGTGGCATTTCTGTGTAGAGCATCGTGCTGAAGATCGTTGGTGGTAGTGATCTTTGTTAAGAGAGCCGCAACCATCTCGATGATGTCACCTATCGGCATTTGGCTAATCTCATACTTCATCGCCTGTAGCGGGGGGTCGTTTAATATGCCCGGTCCATTACCTCCGTTCATCAAATCGGCGCGAGCAAGGCTTTGGATATGCGCGAGATCGCGCACATAGACAGTTTGTCCCTGCGGCGGGGTTGAGGGACTATCGGCATGAACGCGGGGTGTCGGAGACTTGCACGAGTCGGAATCCGGTGATGGCTGCTGTTGGGTAGGTGTAGGCGTGGAGCTATTAGATACTGCGGGTACAGTGGTTTGGGTCTCCGATGCCATATATTCCGACGACGGGTTTGCATTCTGTGCTCTTACGCGTGCAGAAGCGGGGTTCGGCGAGGAAGAATCAGGTGGCGTGGGGAACCTCGAGGCTCCGCCGGTAGGTGAGATGTACTTTTGTTCTGTCCCTGCCTCCGTAGATTCCCAGGATCGTTTGGAAGGTGTGGCACTTGGTGCCGAAGGCCGGTAAGACTGGGTTGATACGGTGGGTGAGTAAACCTTCTGGGACGGCGTTTCTCGAGGTCGGATCCTGGAATCTGAACGATATGAAGATTCGCGGGATCGCGAGTGCTCGTGAGCTAAACTAGAAGCTGCAATCATATTATGTAGGCGGGTGTGATCCGAAACGAAATCTCCGATTATAGCAGCCATCGCATCGTCTTGCAAAAAAAGGTGTAATAAAGTCTAGTTGGTCGATTAATATGCAAAGTGGATTATCGCAGTCGAGAATTATTAATAAGAAGCCTGCAAGAAAAGAACCGGGTATTCGTTAGCAAATCTATCTATCGTTATTACGTTCGTCGTGTTTATTCTCTTTCGGAACGAAGGTGGAACGAAGAGCGATTCGACTCAGCTCAGCTCAAGCTCAATTAAGTCAAGTTAAACGATCACCAGTTCGGTGACTCGAGTCTGGCTGGTTGGCCTCTCTTCCTGCTTCGCCTTCGCGCATAGCAGAACTTCTGGGTCCGCGAGTGGGGAAAAACGGGTAAACAAGAAAATGTTCGGGCCACAATGTCGACAGCCCAACGATCCACGACGAAACAGATAAGGCCAAAATGGGTGGGACGCCCCATATGTCACTTGTGGTTCCAAGGTGGCAAGGTTCACGGTTCCATACAATAACCAGACGTACTATGTAAGAAGTATCGTGGTTCTTTCGTTCGTGCCCGAAGATGCGCTTGACAAAGACGGAATGAATGAATAAAGAAAGACATGCTTAAGTTAACCACTAAGGAAGGAAAAGAAAAAGAATGGCTGAGTCGTGAGGTGGATTGTCAAACTGAATGACTAGGTCTGTGTAAACAGAGATAGACAGCCTCTCCAGCCAACAAGGCGCATTTCATTTCACAGCTTTCTTCATCATGACCCAGCATCTCTCGACTGGTTCCATCTGCCAACACTGCCCTCTGGGATAGAGGGACAAGCGAACGAACACCGAATTGTTGGTAACAAGAGGAAAATAATATAAAAAGGACGAAAAGACGGAACCAAGGGGATGGATGTGTATATGCATGCATGCATGTGTGTGCAAAAGAAGCCAGCGAACGTAATCTTCAAGCGCAGGCCCCAATGCGGGACACAGACGACGACGAGACGAAATGTAAAACCATGATGGCTTACCTGTTCTAATACTAAGTGCTGATGGCGCCGTAAGCCTAAACTTTTTTTTCTTCGGTCGCTATCGAATGAAAATATGCGATGCGTACAAGCAAGTGTATTCTTTATTACCCGTTGGTAGATCAATGAAGATTACCAAAGTTCGGACGGAGCAATAACCTCAAAAAAAGCTCGAGCGTTTGGTGTCGCGCCTTAGCGGAGACAATAGTAAATTGTCAATGCGTTGCTTTTGTAGCGACGAACAATGTAGAGCTAAAAGAAAGCTTAAAAAAAGGATATCTCGTCGGTGCAGGCGTCCCAAACCTAACAAGTAACAAATCGGTAGATGATTGCTACTGTTGATGATAATGAAGGGACGATTTTGAGGAAAATGGATTGCGTTGTTGTAAAGTTGTTGCACGTAAGTTGGGGGTTCAGTTCAGGTTCAGATTTAGGTCCAATTCCAGGGAAGCTAAGGTAAAGTAAAGTTTAGGTACCTAAGTACCTAACAACAGGCGGAACCCTGGCAGAAGCGGTGGGTGGATTTTTAGGTTGTTGGTTTCAAGATGCAGGTGGCGGCGGCGAAGATTGATACGACAGGCATACGTCAAAGCCTCAGATCCAATGTCTCGGCGCGTTGAACAGGGTCGTGCTTTCCCCCCAAACCCACGCTAACACCTGGCTTGCCGAGCTTGCTAATAGGACGGTTAGGTTTTTTATATGTACCGAACAATCAATTACCTACGATACCGTGCCAGCGAAAAATAAAATCCCTAGGTATTCCACTTAAAGATAAAGTAAACAAAAAGGTCCCGACTCGCCAGTTGACAAAATTGGCTTAAAAAGTAGGAGGAATAATGAAACAGATAATCAAATGCACATTGCAATGTAATGCACTGAAATTGGGATAACACAAATAATAATAACAAAAAGGATAATAATGGTTGCCCCTCCCGGTTGAGCGCGCGCTTCAATCCAATTCGGCGTATTGGATTGAAAATAGGTAAAACACTGAAAGCCGCGGGGATAGGTGTCTTCATTCCTCAAATGATAAATCGAATCTATAAGAGCTATCCATAAAAGCAAAGATAGCAAGTGAGGTACCTATCTGTACCTAGGTAATCAAAGATGAAGTACGGTTTACGAAGATAAGAGAGATGCAATTCTTTTTTCTAAGTATTTTTATTTTTGATAAGGAGATAGCGGTTGCAGATAAAAATCGATAAAAGGAAAAATATCCAAGTCGTACAGGAAAAAAAAAAAAAAAAAAAAAAAAGGGGGGGACGGCGAGATGGCGTGCGATAGGTTGAAACTTGACACCTCGAGAAAGGATATGACATTTCTCGTTGGATAGTCTTGCACGTGTTCTGGATGCTTGGGATGGGTGGATGGGACGACAGGATCGCTTGAGACCCGGCTCCGGAGCTGCAGGTAATAATTGCGTGTTAACGAAATCGGGAATAGCAGTGAGGCGGTGCACTGTCGCGGTCAGCAGCTAATGCACGGAAAGCTCTGAGCTCGTTGGCTCGTGGGATTTTGTGCTTTTTGTGCTTTGCGCTACTCCGGTGTAATGTATACCGGGGTGGTGGGAGAGAGAGGAGATCTTTATTACAGTTAGGTAACTACGTGAGCTTAGTTGAAGGTGAAGTCGAAGTTGACTAAATTCAAGCGTAGTAAATATCCTATAGACGCCAAGTGTCTCTAGTGTCTCTAGTTGTATGAGGGGATAATTCTTTCCGCTCATTTATCATCGTGTTAGAGGTAGGCACTTACAAGGTCTCTTATGGCATCACAAGCGATATGTCACCCAATGGGTTGAAGGAGATATCAGGTAAGTTGTGCATCGAGTGTCTCTAACCTACGTCATCTGTGCTCACATAGCAATCGGACATTTGCTATAATTTCCTATTACGAGGTACGAATAGTAGTTGGATATCGTAAATACATACCTTACTATGTTATAGACCTCGGGTATACGATACGTACGGATCTCGTGTGCTAATTGCCATGGCATTTTGTTACGTACGAACGGGAGCCTTAAAGTCTACTAGTCTACGCTCCGGTCTAGTCAATTTAGTAGTTCGCCCTCGCCGGCAAATTCGGGTCCGCCCTTCGTCTAGCCCGGTCCCATTCTCGGAGTCTACGAATTCAGGGTCCTTAGCAAGCTTAGCAAGCTTAGATAGTTCTAGTATGAGCTATCCACGCTGGATGTCGATCTCAACCTCCCCATAAGCTTTTAGGAACAGCTTAGTACTTGCCTAGGTAGTTAACCTTAGGTACCTACTTACCTACATTATGCACTTGTGATCATTACGTGGTATTTGTTGCTGTCGATATCTAACCGAGATCTCATAATTCTCGAGAACCAACTCTTCGTGGATGAACGTACTTGAGGTTAGGTACCACCTACCTGAAGGCAACTCGTATGGATGGATGTAGCTACATATTCCCTATCCCGTTCACCTACGTTCTTAGGTTAGGTACGATTGGATAGATACGGTACATGTAGGTAACAGGGTAATATCATCCCGCACTCTCTATCCTGGCGCCAAGAGCCTGGCAACGGCGGGTTCTCGTTTCCCCCCTGTCTGGCACCGAGAGGCTGACGATGCGGTGTTCCAGAAGCTGAGTAAAGCAGATGTGACTTGATGGCATCATCGTAGCTTTGCGAATTTCTTCTTCTCTCCCCCTTTTTTAACCCCCCACGGGTTATTTCAGTGATGGGATAAAAAGAAACTAAAGAAATAAAACCCACGGGACAGACCTTCTGGCTAATAACCACTCTCCCCCTTGGATATACATCCCCCCCTATTCCACTGCGCAACCAAAACTCATTCCCTCTCTCACCCACACTCTCTCTTCCATTCACGCTCTCGTACTCTCTTAAAACAGCAGGATGTAAGGTTCGGAAAATTATCTTGATAATCATCAATAGGTACCTTACCGACCTATCTGCTATCGTAAAGTGACAAAATCGCTCGCCAAGACCTCGACGTTGCTTTCTCCTATCGGGTTTCGACGTTTAGCCTAAAAAGAAAAAAAGAAACAAAAAATCACGACAACAAAACGCATTATGAGTTTTACTGTAGGTTAGGTACCTACCTGAGGTAGGTGATCAATGATCACACCTTAGGTGCGTCAGGCATCGCTAGCGTAGCACTGATGACGATTAAACGAAGGCGGGAAGAGGGCTGGCTGCTGGTTGGGCGAATGTTGCAAAGAGGTACCTACCTACCTACAGTATCTATCTAAACCGTAGCTTCGAACCAGATACGCACGCTCTCTTTTTTCTAATCGCTCCGTCCTCGGACGAACACTTAACGAGAGGGCTTTCTTTCTCTCTTAGTCCAAGTTAAATTCCCTCGTAGCTCAGCTCAGCTCAGCTTACTTCGGGATCAACATTTGTCCCCATCACGGACGAAATCGTAGCACGATATCTAGGAAAATAGGTACCTAGTAGTTAAGGGGTAGTTTCGGTAAGGCCATTGTCAGATCGACCCAACCACTAGGTTAGGGGACCTTTCACTCGTCCGTCGAATTACGATTCTATTGGTAATTCTATTGGCAATATTCCCGCCGCACTACATAGCATGTATGTGACGACCAGGGCCTAAAGAAATTTGTTCGACATCGTATCTACCTACTCACCGCCTGATTGTGTGCGTGACGCCAAGGATTGGAGCTCGAAATTCCCCCAACCCTGCAGCATTAGAGAAATCCCATCCCATTCACGAGGGGTGTGTGTTACCACAGATTGAATATCTGATTACCCAAGCGATTGGAAATCTAATATGGCCCCATTGCAAAGCTTCTATTGACCTCATATCAAATCACGGCCACGTAGCTTATAGCGGCTGCAACACGTGAATCCGGTTGGTATTATACAGATATGGGACAGAGAGAAGGGGGGAGAGGGAGAGAAGCATGCTTAACCCTCAAAGCGCTATTGGATCTCGCCTACGTCGCCATGTCTAAATGCGCGATCTATTGATGCCGCACCTGGTAGTCTTCGTCGGGCAAGTACAGGTGTCGATCTGCTCCTTTCTTCGTTAGAACAACCATACGGATAACTCCTCCTGAGCTTCCATCCCACTTGATCGCCTCCCGTAAAGCACCCTTTACGAAGTTGACGGCGTCCTGCTCTTCCATTCCCTCCTTCCAGTTCGCATCACAGTAGCCATAGATGTAAGTCGAACCGGAACCGCCGATCGCATAGGCCTGTTTGTGTAGAGAACCTCCGAGGGGAATGGAGTAGACTTGACCTCCGTGTCGCTCGTCCCAGCCTGCTATAATAAGGCCCGCACTGCAGAACATAGTCGCATCAATACCCATATCGTTTCAACAGGGAGAATTAGGTGGTGAGTCTATAAGCCTACCTCAGACGGTCTTTGTTTGAATAGCAGATCTCCTGGAAGATGGCCGCAGCCGTTTGGGTAGTAGGTGGCCTGCCATTTCGCATCGCAAACAGGCCAAGTTGATATTGGACAATATCCGCCACAGCTTGCGTATCGGCGGCCGAACCAGATCGGCAGCACCAAATAGTGTCGTGAACTTGTGTCAGCTTATCCGTAACTCGGTTTGCGATGTATGCTCCGGTAGTGGTTCTCGAGTCGGCGCCTGGAAGAAGAAATCGGTGATGTCAGTAGGTTTTCATAGGTGGCTTCGTAACGGAGTACGGGGAATAAAGCTATCATACGCACCTAGAATAACACCGTCCTTGAAAGTAACGGCCATGCTAACATTGGGTCAGCTCACGATGATTCTAGGGGTATAGCTTGCTAAGGCTAAGCTCACATCGATGTTCCTAGACTAATAATGAATTCGTTAGTTCGTTGGTTGGCAGCAAATGATTATATGATACTCACTTGACCTCGCCCTTCTTTAGTCTATCCATGTCAACATGGATTCCATCTATGTAAAATTCCTATCAGCCCAGCTCTGCGCGCCCAAGTTGAACCTCTTCAGAGGCGAATCTCAACGGCCGACGGTCTTAACATACCCTCGCTCAATACGCCTCTGTTGCCGAATTCCATGTTGTAGACTTGTAACTAGAAGGAGAACTACGCGCAGTGAGTGCTAATGATTATAGTTGCAAGGAATTATCGTAAGAACAAGGTCGGTCGTTGTCGATAGGAAATGTGGTTGAAGAAGCTTAATGGATTGGTGGGTTGGTGGGTTGGCAGCTGGAACAAGCTTCAATGATTGTTTGATCCAAGCTCAAGGCAGCTCTGACGCGCAAGGCTGGGGTCGGGGGTCGGCAGCTATCCTTAGCCTTGGACAACCACCCCACACATATCACGTGTTATCTAGGCACTACGATAAGATAGGACATACCTAATTGATAAGATACTTAGTCCGTGTACCTGCATATACCTGACGTACTTCGTACATTCATACGAGATCCCGTCATTCTGGGATGTTTTTCGCCTAGGATTTTACAGGTTCTTGGTGTAATAGTAGAAAAAACAGATTACTATTCTAGACCATGCGAGAGAATATGAACTACAGCCAAGAACAATATAAGATCTATGTAGATAGCTTTTCCAGCGTCCCTCTTCATGCCAGGAGAGAGAGCCAATATAAAAAGTACCTAATATTTTGTCTCCCATTCCAAAATCGAGAACAATTCCCCAAAACTCCAATCGCTATGCTTCTAAATGTAAAGTAATGATAGGTACCTAGGTATTGTATAGGTAGGTAGGAGGTAGGTAGGTAAGGAACTAATACAATTATCCACCCTTGGTCAATCTAGAGGGCCAGAACGTTAGCACGCGAGCGACAATAGATATAATTTCTTTACGGAGAAAGATGCTGAGCCTACCCTTCTTTCTCCAACTTTAGTTCCCCTATGCTCTCCGAGCCCTCCTTTTTGTCATCTCCGCAACCGCAGTCGTAGACGGCCCCGAGGTTCTGAGGAGTACAGTCGAAGATAGGCTTCTTGAGCCTCTCGTTGACCTGGTTGTGCACGAAGCACGCCCACCCCGCCGCCGCGCCGCGTGAACTGACCTGAGGCGGATACTGGGCGAGGAGCTTCTGGAAATGCCGCGCGCAGTCGCCGCACGGATACAGGCGCGCGAATAGCTGGATGAACGTCTTGAGCGCGAGAGAATCGTCTTCGGTGGGCTTTTCGGGGAATCGCGCCATCATCGTATGGAAGAATTTCCAGGTCGAACGGCCGAGTTCAGCTCTACAAGAAATCAAGACAAGTCAGTAAAGTTCAAGCTTCGTTTTCCGGACTACAGAATACGGGAGACATGTTATATCATCGCAGGGATGGGAGGTATACGCACTTGATGGTGGCGTTTTCAAGCTTTGGAGCAATTGCGTCTCCTGACAAGAATCCGCTCGACAACGAAGGGAAGTCGGATTTGGAATCCGAGACGGCATTTTTCTTCGCATCTTCTTTTACTTTTCCTTTTGTATCCGGGACCGTGTCTACCTTCGTTTCTATTTTCGAGCCTCCTTTTGTATCTGGCGCGATGGTACCCGAAGCACCTAATGGCCGTTCGGCTAACCCTACCGCAGGGACCACCTGTCTTATTTGCTCGGTTTTGTCGCCGAAAGACGTCATAAAAGACAAAACTAAGAAAGCCGCGACCGCAAGGATGACAACGACGGAAAGATGCCTCGCCATTGTTGGACGTAGGGACCTCGAATCAGGGTTATTAAAGATGAGGACGCGGGAGGAAAGTTTGTGTCGGATCGCAATCCAGAGATCGTTTAAAGGTAAAAACTTGAACAAAAAATGCAAACTTCAAGTCAAAATCTATATGATAGGTAGCTAAAAGAAGATGATGCCGCGACGTGGCGAAGGAAAGAAGCATTAGCAAGTATAAAGAATGGTTCGATTCAGGTCGGATGTTAGCATTCAGGAGTTTGAAGGTTTCAAGGATTATTATTTCTGACTTAGTACCTAGGTATAGGTACACTTTGACATTGTATTGTACTTCGTACCACCTAGATTTCAGTCTAGGGTCCATAAAGTGGATATCTCCGGATGAGTGGGATCCACTAAGCCCGATATAGAGTTGCCAATCGTGGAAGCACGACGGCACGGGCATGTAACGAGGTACACCCAGGAACCCCCACATTTTTGGGAGATGCACACATTGGGCATGATCCATGGATGTCCATATCTCCTAGGTATGTATACAGGTACCTAGTACCTTCTTAAGAGGTACCTTTTCATAAGACAATTAGGTAGATATCATCATCTTCCAAATAACGTATTACTTCCGTTCAGGTACTACAATCTAACTCTCACCACCCATGCCCTCAAAGCAATTCCCATACGTGAAATAGGCGCTACGTTCGCCGGCTCCGCGACTACTAGGCAGATACCCCCAATTTACCTCTTTGAATACAAGAGAGGCTATGATGAACAAGACTTTAAAATATCAAGTATTGGATATGACTGATGTCTTCTGCTACGGCTTTCGAAATGATGGGGGATATCTGTTTTACCGGTTGTGGGTGCGACGGACTCATCTAGGTCAGCTTTATCACGATAACAGACAGGTACCTCATATGACGGATGCTGCTGATGTTCATGAGGTTATCGGTGGTCTGTACGAATGAACATTTAATCATATTGCTTAAATCAGATATAAAAGGAGGTAAGCATAATTATAATTCGTTCGGCATGGCTGGATCGCTCCATTGAGATGGTTATGATGATGAAGGAGTGTACACCCTCACGAAATGCCTACCTCTCGAATGCTGTAGTTTAATGCAGTCAGTTATTCATGCGTAAGAGGGCTGCGTCCACGAGGTCTGGAGGTCCGCCATCCTAGACTATAACCATTCTACGCCTGTGAATGGCTAGGGCTGTTAGATTGTTATATCCCGGTGGAAGATTTACCTTGTTAATTTGTACGAAACGTATCCATTTCCCCATAACCGTCGATCTACATCTGGGAATCCCGAATAAGGTGCGGTTCTCCGACATCATATGAATGCTGGCTCTAACGACGCATAAGAGGTAGAGAATCCCGCCCCTATATTGGAGCACGTCAATTATAATATGGATTTCTGTGTTTTAAGGACCGCTCATTTGGAGGTAGGCATGTGCCTAATGTAGACTCATTTTGCGGGGAATCTTACAGATATTTCAGGGGTTGATGAAATAGGGGGGTGAGACGAGTTTTTCAAGTGTATCAGTCAATTCTTCTGTCGCGGCTAATTTATATGGAAAATGCAAATCATGTTCGATAGGGAGGGGCGGGTAGATAGGTAGGTAACCAATGGGAGTTGTATATTTCTACCCTTCCTAGGCTATACGAATCGAATAGCCGTGGAGAACGAAAAACCAATGCCCCCAACAAACTGGTACCAGCAGCAGCTATATACCACGGCCCCTTGGTATCTAGAAAAAACAGATATCGGTAAAAAGCTAGGAGGTTAACAATATGAGGCTAGGTTAGGTACCTATCACCGCCCGTAGTCCCGTTGTTAAGCATCACCACAGCGATCCCATTACAAAATAGCCACTCAGATCCCTGCCAAACCAACCCTTTATGAGGGAGCGCCGTTGAAGGCCAACTTGTTGACGGTGCCGGAGGGAACACCGGAGAGGATGCCGCTGTTGGCGGTGGAAGCGATGTAGCTGCAGAGCTCCTGGGGGCTCTTCTTGCCCTCGAGGGCTAGGAGGTAGGCACCGAGGCCAGCGATGTGGGGGGTGGCCATGGAGGTTCCGGAGATGGTGTTCTACCAGGCAGATTAGCTTGAGCTCGTATATATCATAGACCAACGAATGAATAAACTTACGGTCCTGCCGTCGTTCCAAGTAGAGAGGACAGAGCTGCCTGTTTTATTTGTTAGCAAAGCCAATAATTTGACTCGTAGAGGTTGGGGAAGGGGGGGGGGGGGATAAGTACCAGGGGCGAAGATGTCGACAACAGATCCGTAGTTGGAGTAGCTGGCACGAGCATCAGCCGAGGTAGTAGCACCGACGGTGCAGACGGTAGGCTCGGAGGCGGGCGAGGAGTTGGCGGCGTTGGTGTTGTCGTTACCGGCAGCGACGGCCAAGAAGACACCAGCGTTGATCATGGCCCTGGCAGCGCTGTTGATCGAGGAGGAAGAGCCACCGCCGAGAGACATGTTGGCGACGGCGCCGTTGGGGCAGGATCGGGTCTTGACGTCGGAGGTAACGAAGTTCATGCCAGCAATGACGCCGGAGGTAGAGCCAGAGCCGCTGGAGTCGAGCACCTTAACGGCGTACAGCTTGGTCTTCTTGGCGACACCGTAGGTCTTGCTGCCCTGTTAGGAAGAAAGGAAAATAGTCAGCGGGCCGAACAAGCTTGGCTCAGGGGGGGTGACGGGTGAATTACAATAGTGCCGGCAACGTGGGTTCCGTGGCCGTTGCCGTCAGAGTTAGAGCTGTCGGCGTAGTTGGCCAACCAGGTAGCTCGGCCCTCGAACTCCTTGAATAGTCGTTAGTAACGTATTGCTAAAAGTTATACCGCGAGTCATGCGTACCGAGTGCGAGGTGTAGATACCGGTGTCGATGACGTAGGCGCAGGTATCCGCACCGGCGCTGGAGTCGTAGATGTAGTTGCTGGTGCCAGTCTTGTGAGACAGACGAGAGATACCCCAGGGGGCGCCGGACTGGGTGACATAGGCATTGATGCTCATGATAGCATCCTGCTCGATGAACTCGACCTGCGCAATTGGTTAGGCTCCAAGTTGGTCTTGCTAGTATAATCCGTATGACTTACGTCGGGGTGGTTCTGGAGCTGCTCGAGGTGCTCAGCCGTCAGGGAGGAAGCGAAGCCCTTGAATCCCTCAACGTTGTAGACGTGGTCGGCGTCGCCTTCGAAGGTGCTCATAGCATCATCGAGAGCGGTAATAGCAGCATTCTCGTAGAGCTTGACAATGTACTTGCCCTCGATGAGCTGAGTTCCCCGAGGCTTGAGGATGGGAGCGGGAGCAGATCGCTTAGCCGGGGCAGCGAATGCCAGAGGCAGGAGAGCGAAGAAGACGGCGGAACGCATGTTGAAGCAAGTCAAGGAGGAAGCGCTAGTGACTTTGGAACCTGGGGCTGGATGATCTGTAAGTGATGAGGGACAGAAGCTTTCTTTAAGTCGAGGGCATCGCGACTATTTATCATGGTGAGGGCCTCAGCTGAGCTTTGATATATGTCGTGCCCGTCGATCATGACCTTCCTTAGAAGGAAAGTTGCAGATCTGCTATACGGCATTATGGTCTTATTCGGCGGTATAGTCGGACAGGCTAGATGGCGATGTAGTTTGTAATGAGCAGCCCGTCAGGAAGTATTGGCTAGCCGTAATGAGGGGACCCTGATGACTTAGGCGAAGTAATTCGTACCTTATCAGGGACCCTTGCTCTTCAACCGCCCTGCAGCTCCAGCATGACATGCAGGGTGAGATCCTGATGCTATGATGGGTTGGGGAAGCGCGGTAGTTAGCAGAGCTTGTTTCGCAGGGGATGGAGAGGCACTGGTACTTTCCCACAACCGTTAGAAGGAGAGATTGGCGACCGGTATCAGCTCCAAGGGCACTTGGAATCTCTAAGCTCTTCAGGACTCCAAGCCTAGATCCGAACCGTGGATCGGAGCAAGGAAGATGTTGAGTTGCCCAAGGAGATGGTGGACTCGGGCGGCCGGTTGCAACACAGGCTAAGAGTCGAACCCAATAGCGTGGAGAAAGGGAATCTAACAGGCAGTATCATAATGTTGTATCGAACATATGCGCCAAGCCGTTACGGTTCTCGCGAAAAGCAGACTTGAGCTCGCGTCTCGTGGTGCCCAATGGGCGGCCTTCCTAATTCGGCAATTAGTCACCTTAATGGCCTCTTCTATTCTTCTTATCAGCGCTCAGAAATATATAAAGAGCCAAGAAGCCAAGACTGAGCTTGTTTTTCGTTCCAGATTGTGCATAGTATCTCGAGTGGAATCGCGCGGCAAGTCCAGCAGGCCTTTATATTATACTACAGGTAATACGACATGATGTGATCAGTTCTCGTTGCCGCAATTACCGAACAGTCGGCATTGTCGGTGGTGGTTCGTAGGTTTTTTTGGGGGTGTTTTGGGTATGTATCCAAATATCTACACACAAATGCTCATGTTCATGCTCATGCTCATGCTCATATACACTCGCAGGTATGCTATATCTTGAAGAGCATAACGTTATTCGTATTAATTATGAGCGATCAGCAAAAATGAAAGTTGAAAATAGCCTTTATTGATGAGCAAGCCACGGGTAGATATAACGTGATTGATCTGTAATATATTATATATACTTTATTTGACCTATCCTAACATTAGTTTTAGTAAATATATCACGTACGTACTGTGTATGGTATTATATACCTACTTACATAGTACATAGATCAAGTTTGACTACCTAAAGATTCCGTCAGTTCCAAGGAGTCAGGGACTAATCATCTTAGGGTTAGTACTATAGATCGAGCCCCGGGACGGAGTATTCCGATGACTACGGGGTACTTTCAAGGCAGGTCCCCTCGGTGATCACCCACAAGTACCGCGCCTGCCCCGCATTACGACGGTGCTGTATAGGACCTCTGAGGCGTCTAACAGCGAACTGGCAGATGCATGCATGAATCGTGTGGTAAGTCGATAGTACATGTGACAATTCTCAGTAGGCCATTTTGAACGACTAGCCTTGAAATGTCTACAGCAATAGCCTATAGGGCTTCTTCCCCCACAGCCCCCCTCCTCTCCCCTTACAGAAGATTCTAGCGAAGATCACACCTTCTTTAAGTAACTTCATAAACCCGTCTCCAGTCCGAACGGCATCCGGAAACGTGTACCTACCACTAGGTTTAGCGTTGATTCGGCATCACCTACTATCTCTTATTATACTACCTACTATATATAATAACCACGATAGCTCTATGAGATGTATTCATCGCCATTGTGAATTGGCAAATCCCTAAGGAGGTAGGTATCTAAAGAGATTAGGAAGTAGATACTTAGTTCGATTATGCTCTTAAGGCAATTGGCGCCGTACGAAATGCCGTCGACGCACAAACTAATAATATCCTTAGAGCTCGGTACTAATTCCGGCCAATTCACCTGTATTAGGAGGGAGAATATCACCATCAGACGGACCCGTCTGACGTGCATCATTAGCTCTCAACATCACAGGCGCGAGGCTCTAGAGATATCCCAGCTTTCCCCTTGTTCTTGTTCATGTTTTCTTTTGTTTTCTCCATCGATCGGAAAATAGAACAACGTTCCACGAGTCAGCAGCGCAACCCCAAGTGCGCGCCTAGGGATCTATAATCCATCCAAACAGGTGCAAAGCCGACGATCCGCTACCTTCCCGAATAAGGTTGAACTTCCAGCCCCATATTAGCGCGCCCCATGGGCTCGTAGGGGTAAGTAGCTTGATACGTGCATCTCAAAGTCACGCCTTTCTTCTAATTGCTATTCACAAAGGTCTTGGAGAAGCTAACAGTCCCACTACTATTAAACTAGACTCATAGCAATGCTACGTATTATGCTCCAATGTTCCTTTTGTTTAACGAACCATTACGTTTTTCTATTGAGCAAGGTCGGAAAAAACACCCCTCTTATCGTGCATCTCGTAAAGGCCGGTTTGGGTTCCACATGATAATGCATTGGAGCCTAGAGTTGCCGATATACTTGGTAAATTTTATTCTTGTATAGGGGAAGTATAACCCTTTATAGCCCAGATGATACGATTGGAACTGTCTTGGTACTCCCATCGATTATAAATGCTCAGCAAATAAGAGTTCTAGGTTAGGTAGGTAGCTGCTAAAGATCCACGAACGGTTCCAAGAAGGAAGTTTAACAGCCAAGGTTGAAAGTTAACCCTTCGTGCTTCTTTTCCAAGCTAACTAAAACCATCTAATCATTTCTTTTAGCTTATCTACCAGGTAGGTTAGGCACCTAATGTAAACGTTGTTATTCTATTCTGCAACCTTGTGGGCTAATTTATTATTTTTATTCCCCTTATTACCTGTAAGTAATTATACGACAATGTCATATTCAAAGTAAGTCTTCTCGAACTTGAATCAGTGGTTAAATTCACACCCCTGATGGCAACATAAGTGGTAGTCTTTAATCCAACTCTATGCAAGGAGATGGTGACATGATGCGTCCTGTCTTACCAGGTTTTTTTTGCAATCGGAGTTACCTGCATGGAGATAGATAAGACCTGTGTGAAGATTACGACCTAAGAATTACCATCCGAAGAAAATATTGCTTAACTGCATGTTAAAGATAGAAATTTAAACTACCTGCCTTCTAAGTTAACCCGATGATACAGTACACACTGATAGGGTCTCACGAAGTGCAACTTTAGACCTGATTGGCTGAGAGGGTTTACATCTTTCCGTGATAGGTAATTACCAAGACCTGCCAGAGTCACGATTGGTTCTACTCCTTGCAGCTCTACCATGGGGTACTATTCTAGACCCTGTTGTGCCTCGGAATAGCGGGCAGACAAAGAGATAGCGAGGTTGCAACTTTGATACAACTGTCGTAAAGAAAAGCCTGTCTAGGAGGGTTTGACTTAAACTTGCCTCCCCATAAGCGCCAAACAACGCAGTCCTATCACATAAAATACAACTGAGAAAATGAGCTGCATTTTTCTTTTTTTCGCAGCACAAAGAACATCCAGTCAAGGTATGGCCACATTGAACACCTGAACAAAGCTTCTGCGCATTAACCTCGGTCATGTAGGTTTCAAACAATACGTTTATCTTCATACTAGCATATACCCTGACGCTCAGTATGATCGTGAACGACAGCAAGGTTCGCGAAATATCATGTTGATAGAAAACACGTTTTTAGGGTGGCTTAAGTATATACACGTAGGTTATGCCACTCGAAATTGCCTATTCCTCTTCATCGTCACACTCCAGCATTCGCAGAGAGAAACATACGACACCAAAATCTAGAACGTGCAGTAGAAACCATACTTCTAGGTAGTATTACCAAAAAAAATCCCCAAAGAGTACCTAACCGCACCTAATCACCAGTCAAGATGTCTGACGAGAACGCCACCCCTCTCCCTAACGAGGAGGCCGAAAAGAAGAGTCTCGACGCTTTTTGCATAGCGGCGATTGCATTGGCCGTAATTGTCTTGTTCTTCATTTGTATCCCTTGGTTGATACCGAGAATTCGCGATTGTCACATCCAACGCAAGAGAGCTAAAGAGGAAATTAAGAGATCTTGTGCGGAACGGCTCAGGAGTGACCTCGAGGCCAATGCGCAAGCTTATCGGGAAGATCGCGAGCGGCCTGCTCAGCGACGACCAAGGCCCGTCGGTGGCGATTTCTCAGGGTTTGAGTTTAGTAATAGTCCTTACGCCGGAGCTGGAGTACCTCCTGCACCTGATACACCTGCTGTGCCCGCCCCAGCTGCTACGCCTGCTGCTTCTGAGTCGGCTTATCCAGCTGGGCATGTACGGGATAGTGTTGATGGTCCTGCGAGAGGTACCTCAGAACAGCGAGACACTGATGCCGAAGCGGCCCCTAGAACGGCAACAGAAGGAGTAAGATGGTCGTTCCATAACGGCAGAGATGAGAATGGGTTTGAGCTCGAGGAGATCGATATCCATAAAGACTAAGCATAGGAAGCCAGACGTAGAGTAGGCGACCTTCTTATTTCGGCAAGGTGAGTTAGTCTATTTCGAAGCCGTGTCTCTGTAGACATTATAGAAAAAAACAAAACTTAGAAAAAGAAGGAGGGGGGCTATTTCCCCCTGAGAGGCAAGTGTGTAATATCATTTAATCCATAAAAGACCAAATATTATCTGCACGACGATAAAAAAAGTGCTTAGCCCCCGTGAAATAATAATTCTAACTTGGAATGTTGATTCGGTCCCTCTTGCCATTTATATAGAACTCGAACTAAAAAGGGATTTAATAATAGAAGAGAAAGAACTTGTTATAAAACCTAGAATTTGTTTGGAGAACCTTTCATTCTTGGGTATTAAACTAACGTCATATTTAACACTGTCTGTTATAATACTTCGTCTCAGCTGCTCTCACGTGGGTGCAACCTACCCGTACCTTAAGGTAGGTAGATATCTTTATCCATCAGGAACCACTTCTTAGACAGACTCAGGAGCGCTCATCCACCACTTCCAGTATTTCTCCAGTCTCCCAATCGCAGGTCAATTGACCACTATCAACCCACTCCAAGCGAAGGTTCAAGATAACGTCCGCCTGACGATCGCTTTTCCACGACGAAGACGTATTCCACAGCGCCTTTTCGATCTTATGGCGTATTTCCCCGGCTTCTTGCGGCTTCGGATACGCGAGGCGCAGAACGAGCTTCTGGCGGCCGTCTTGCACGCGCAGGACGCACTGGAATCGCCCGCTGACGTCGGTCTCCGTGACGCCGCGGATGATATCCTTGAGAGTCGAGCAATCCAGTGTGGTGTTGGCAATCTTGATCTTTGTCGGCGCCTGGCTGCAGTACCTGAAGATTCGGGCGTTGTAGTCTAGCCACTCGGCAACGTCACCTACAGGGAATCGGATAAGGGGCTGCAGACGGCGTACGAGATGCGTGATGACAACGTTCCCTTTGATGCCGGGTTCTTTGATGGCGACGCCGTCGTCTGCCACTATTTCCAAAACCGCAACACAACTGGACACCCTGTATATCGGGTCGATATCGAGATTCTTCCCGGTTGAAATGGGACCTGGTGTCGCCAAGGGGCCGATCTGAGGTTTGTCGTAAAGCGGAGCGTACAGCCTAGCATTCGGGAATCCAGCATGCAATGATATGTTGATATGTTTAGGCACGGTCTTTCCCTGGTAAAGTATGGTGCGCACCGACGGTAGTGCGATATGACTTTCTACGAGGTACTCGCTAAGTCGAAACATGTCGGGGAGCGACCCGAATAAAAGATAGGGTTGGAATCTTTCGACTTCTTCTGCGATCTTACTTGGCATCTTTTCGTTTGATATAAACAGTTGGATTGCATCTTTTGGGAGGAGCATTCCGCTGGATATGTTGAGTGTATCCCAAAAGCTGATGCGAATGTCGTGAGGGCTCATGATATACGCGATACGCTTTGCTTTATCGAAATTCAGGGTTCTCGCCCACAAGTTACACCTGGTTCTGGAGATCTCGAATCCCTCTTCTTTTGACAGATGGACAATCTCGAGTTTGTCGCTAGGTCCGCTCGTGCAGTAAGTCTTCCCATTCGTAAATGGACCGGTCATCACGCTGGAAAGATCATTATTTGCAGATTCCCAGTAGTCGTCGGGATAGATAACTGGCACGTCCTCCAGAGCCGGCTCTTCGTCAGGGACAGACTGATATAGACGCTTGTAGAATGTCGAATTTTCGCGGGCAAAAATGATGGCCTCGTGGGGGTCCGAAAACCTTTCATTCTCCATAGGTAGCTCCAGGACAATTATTGGGTCGAAAGTGCGAGGAAGAAACTTATAATAGAGAGCGTCGTGGTATTGCGGCTTGGAGATTGTTTCGGTTCGAAAAGGTTCTGGGAAGCATTAGACATAAATGCATTATAAGGAGGCACTTAACCTTAGGCAGACAACTTTCGCAAATGCATATGGTCAAAGTTCTGCATTCAGGCCAGGCACTCATTTTGGTTCTTGTACTAATGATAGCGTTGCTGTGATACGCGCCGTGTAGATATGCTCCTAATCACCTTGATTGCCAGATAACAAACAGGTCAAGAAGCGAAAACAAGACGCGACAAAAGACAGGACCTGCAAGTGTCATAATGAATCACTTAATAGTTAAAACTCAGATATAAGGTATGCATGCGTGACTTTTTAGCAACGTCCCCCGGGATTCGAGAAAGTTAGCAACTTCAACCACAAAATCTTACACCTTACGCTCGCAGTAGGCAGATGTGCTGTCGCTCACACCGTTCGAGGGTGGCATCGTTAGCAAGCAAGCACGGTGGCCCTTCGTAGATATTTCCATCAAGCCCGGAACTAGACTAATAAATTCGTTTAATACTTTCTCAGAGTGTAGGACTATGATACTGCATTTTTTGAGGGTTACTTAGTGTACACAAGGGATAGATCGCTACTAGTATATGAAAGTATTGGACGATAACCCCTTAGAATACAATATCATTTGGTCTGATATTAGATGCTAACATGTAACTGTCCCCCCGTGTCAGGTATGTCAGGTATACCCTGTGATGGATATCTTATACAGAGCAAGTGTCAGGGTCGTACATATGATATATCGGGTTGAACGAGTAACACATAACCTTCTGCATAGTATTCTCTTGCGAGGGAGCTGGCTACCCCTTTTTATATAGACGGTATAGCCGGTCTATCCCTGTAACCCCATGTATCGAGAATCCTTCTAGAACGCTTCTAAGCGGACTACCCCGCAATACAGCAAGCATCTCATCGCCAATACATATAGGTTAGGTACATAGAATAATGATATAAAAACCGACATTGTGCCACCACCATAATCCCAGTTCCACTTCTCATAATAACCCTTACCCACCCAGCTCCTCATAAAAGCCTAAAGCGAACCATTAAAAAGAAGAAAAAGAAAAGAAGTAGGGCAAATACCCCACAGCCATGCCGTCCGGACACGTCCAAGCGACAGTAAACGGCACCGTAGTCGCCGAGTCGGACGTCTACGAGCTTGTCGAGGGCAACGTGTACTTCCCGCCGGCGGCCATCCGGCCCGAGTTCTTTAGCAAGACGGACCTGCGCACGCATTGCGGGTGGAAGGGCGATGCTGAGTATTACACCGTCAAGGTCGGGGGTAAGTGCATAAATTACCTGATATTCGCAATAGACAATAAATATGATATGTATTGACAGACTACCTGTTTAGACACCGAGCTCGCGAACGTGGCGTGGTACTACCCCGAGCCGTTCGACAAGGCCAAGCATATCAAGGACTACGTTGCTTTTTGTAAGTATTGTCTCCTGCTGGGTTATTATAGTATGCTTTACCTATAGTGCCCGAGACGCTGCGAATGGTATAAATGAATAAATAAATAAGTCTAATGCCGGGGATAGATAAAACCAAGGTAGACGTGACAGCAGTGTAATTCTATAAGTTGCTGTGCGTAAAGGCGGAAGCGAAGAGGCGGAAGCGAAGAGGCAAGAGGTAGTTGGCGGAAACGATATGACTCGTCGGGTAAAGATTTATATGAATGCTACGCTCTGCAGAGCTAACTACAAGAATCGAAAGCGCGCCTTGTTACCTTATTACCTAGGCCAATGGGGGCGGTGGGAGAAGGAGAAGATCTAACGGTTGAACTTGGGTATATATTAATCTACCTATATCGATACTAACAACAACACATGGGGAGACCAAATGCATGTTAGGTATTCGTATCGGTGTAATGAATTACATGCCAAACCAATTAAACCCCCCTTTCCTCTTGCATGGCAGCTAGACATACTCGTCTCTAGGTACCTAGGATATAGAGCCTTGCCACAGCAAAGCCGACCTACACGACTTAGTCACGGCGTTCTCCGCGTTCACGCATGGGGATAAATAGAAAGAAAAATTCGGCAAGAAATGGAAAAGAAAAAGGTCCAAAAATTATAGCGACTCCGCGGTCTTAGTCTGACTGCTCCCCTCCGCACCCGACACCGGCGGCGGCGCATACTGGTCCTCTCCCGAAAGCTCCTCGAGGGTCTTCCGCTTGGTCTCGGGGATGAAGATGGTGGTGACGATGCCGAGCAGCATGAACAGGGCGTAGATCTCGAGGACGTGGTCCATCCAGGGGGCCTCGTTGTCCTTGGTGGCGCCGCGCGTGCGCAGGATGGAGATGGCGCCCTGGCCGATGATCGAGCCGACCTTCCCGGACGCGGCCGAGATGCCGTGCGAGGTCGACCGGTAGCGCGTGGGGAACACCTCCCCGGGCACGATGAAGGTCGTCATGTTGGGCCCGAAGTTGAAGAAGAACTGCGCGAGCACGTAGATGGCCAGGAGGCCGTTGCTCGATATGTGGTTGTACGCGAAGCCCATGACCACGAACAGGATCGTGAGGATGATGAACCCGCCCATCTGGATCGTCTTGCGCCCCAGCGTGTCCAGCGTCGCGACCGAGACCCAGTACCCCGGGACGGCGCCGGCCAGGACGATGATGAGGTTGCCGATGGCGGTGTTGTACAAGATTTCGTAGGTGCTCTTGGCGTGTTTAGTGGAATACCCGATTACTTCTAGAATGACGGCATTGTTCAAAGATAGACCGTAGACTAGGGTTGAGTGTTAGCTTGTTATCCTTCTAAACGCGAATGGATCCCAGGGATAGTGACTTACATGCAACATCAAGCATAAACCATGAGCCAGCCGTACCAAATAGAAGAAGACCGTTCTTGGGGATGGAGTAGTGGCGGCAGAAATCACTCCAGCTAGCTTTCGGGACGGTCATCTGGGTCTGGGCAGCCTCACGGGCTTGTATGCGAGCAACGTCGTCAGGGTGGCCTTCACGCTTGCCGGATATGTAGGCTTTAACATCATCGGCGGCCTTTTCGACGTCGCGACCGATATCGAAAGTGTAACGCTAATACTGATATTAACATATTTCGTTTGTCACTTCTCGGCATAAGATGGCTTACAGGAGTTTCGGGTATAGTTAATCTGTAGTAGAGAGCAATGCAAGCCGGGACAGCACCGAAGCCGATGAGTGTCCTCCACATTTTGTCGACCGCAACAGCGCAGTAGCCGTTGCAGTGGGTGGTATCCGGTGCGGCGGATAGCGCCTCCCTGAAGCCCAGGGTAACGAACAACATGACAAAAGCGCAGACGAGCTGGCCAATACCTTGCATGGCAAAGACGGCGCCCATCATAGCTCCTCGCCATTTCGTCGTAGCAAACTCGGACGTAATGATGCTGGATAGTGGGTAATCTCCACCGATTCCGACTCCGAGGAGCACGCGCCAGAAGATGATGAGACCGACAATGTTGACCGAGGGAGAGCCGGAGCTAAGGGCCTGGCCGAGGGTGGCGAAGATGATGATAATCAGCTCGAGACCATACATGCGCTTTCGTCCGACGCGGTCCGCGAGCCAACCGAAAACCAATTGACCGACGACGGTACCGGCAGACGTCGACAGCTTGATAGCGTTATCGGAGGAGGTAGGCAGTTTACCAAGCTGCGGATAGTACACGATTCCCAGCATAGTATTTAGCAAGCTGACGGCAAAGATGTCGTACGAATCCGTGAAGAAACCAATACCGGCGACGATGCAAGCCCTGCGTCCCGACTCGTTAGCTTCTCGCAGTAAGAGCTACCTTAGGTACCTTTGCGACACGGGGAAAATATTATGTACCTACCTAGGTTAGGTAGGTTAGGTACTTACCTCACATGGTACCATCCGAAGGGAGCCTTGTCGATCTCAGCAAGCGCGAGACGGCGGCGCTCGTTGGGATCCTGAATGTGCAGAAAGTCATTATGAAAGTTATGATAAGCGTTGTTGCCGCCGGAAGTTTTCGAGGCGAACGCCTGGTTCGCCGTAGGAGAATCTGGCGCGGTGGCGTCAGCCATGGTTATGGGTTATGGGATGAGGAAGACACTTGTTGTCTGTGCTCTCTAGGTGTGGCCGATCTAATATAAAGTGATTAAGGTTTTAAGATTCCGCAGAGCTTCTCACTGGTCGCAAGGGAAGCAAATGACAGTCAATAGATGAGAAACAAGGGAGGGGTCTGTCAACCCGAATAGGGACTTGATGCTGACAGCAGAAACCAAAAAAGCAGATTTTATGTCTAGCTGAAGGGACGTGCCATGCTTTTGTATCTTCTCGTAACCAAGCTCTGATCCTAGCTCTTAAGGCAACCCTCGATTGAAGGCAAGCTCTTTGTGACAGGGGACACCGAGTCAGCTAACCAACAACATGCGAGATGTATTTTATTGTACATACGTACAAATACAGGGACAATACATAGTGTTAGGTACCAGGTGGAAGGGTGGGCCGTAATGCTTCACACAGCACACAGTAGGACAGGATCCCAGGTGTTATTATAATACCACCACTCCGGGCGGTCCCTCCGGAGCTGCTTCGCCTATTGGTAGTCCTGTTTAACATGAGATAAAAACGCGGGCTGCAAGGATCAATAACTGTAATGCAATTTGGGTTGCAGTATCGTAGACCAGACCAGACTTCCAATGAATAATTGACCTATTACGTCGGTGTCTACAAGCAGCTTCAACTACTACCTATTGCACATAACAATGCGTATAAGAAGGGCGGTTGGACTTTCGAATCATGCTTGACATGCTGGGCAGACTCGAGTACGCCTGCAAAAAATGTTTGAACTTTCCTTGATTCTACTCCTCGTACATCACTTGGCTTGCCCCGCCCCTTCCTCCCCTCCCTCCCCGGCGCGGTGTAAATACGGTTAGAGACAAGGCGAATATGTCAATTATTTTTATGTAAGATGACGGTCCAACGCGTGGGAGGGTCTCGAGGTATCAGACCAGGCTGGGGAGATTTAGTCCTTACCATTTCTTAACTACGGAAACCCTCGTCTAGGCATATTCCGTACATTGGGACCATGTGGTTCCCGAGCGGGCAAACATCTAGATCGAGATGGTAGATCCTTTCGGGTGCACGTTTTCAAAGGGAATTCCGTCTAGCGTCCAAAAGGGCCGACGAGAAATAGTGTATATCATCTTTGACGTAGAAGGACACAAATGCATGGAAGCTAGATCGAAGGGGAACCGAAGCTGACGGTTTTTTTCTTGCCCACGCTGCCATGCTTTTTTTTCTAAACTGATCATTGATGCACGCGGGAACAAGGCTAGACTGGAGTCGTGCCTAGGTAGTTGGCGCAGCTAGCAGAGTTGAACTTTGAGAGTTGAGAGTTGATAGGTAATTCACTGTAATTCTTATCCAATTCTATACAATCAAAACACATGCCGTTGGTGGTTGAAGACGAATTAGAGTTGTAGCTTGGAGCACATGTTGCGGCTCCGACGATCTGATTCGCCAGGGTTGCTCAGATCCCTGAACGACACATCAATTCGTAAATCTCTCCCTGTCCAGCTTGTATTGTACGATCCCTGCATTCCCTGTAATCCCTGTAACTATGGGGGTGTCTCGTTGCAGACGCCATCCTCTTTGAAATAAATCATTTTTGGTCCCCTATAAACACCAATCTAAACATGGCCAAGATATCAGGAAGTCGAAATAAGACTTTACCAAGAGACCAAGACTCGACGACAAGACGGCAAGAAATGCTTAGTATCTATATCCGTAATTGCATCAACATGCCATGATACCACTAAAGTCCATAAGCTTTTGTATTTCCCGTCACATCTACACTATACAACCCTCCCGGAAACCTACACCATATGTAGATAGTATCAGTCATCCGATTGGGGGCCTCGGTTAGAGTAGTTTCGTTTTGATTCGGTCCCAGTTATTAGAAATTTGTAATTTGTAACGCATCCTTTTTCGACATTCTCAACTTTTATCAGGCTAGATTCTGCAAGTGAGCAGACACCAGGACCTGTCGATTGACCGACCTTGCTCCAAATCGCAGGTGGATCGTATAGCTATTAACTAAAATAGCCCTTCAGTAATATCTAATGAATAAGAGCTGTTTCTCTGTGTTTTTAAGTGGCAAGTTGCGGTTAGGCCAATCAGGTTTGGGCATTGGTCCACGCTCTCGATCTTTGAACGTTCCGGGTCATGACGACAATGACTTGACGGCTTCTTCTCGGGCAGGTATAACAAAAGGTTCCAGGATTTCTAACATTAAGGCCTACCGCCAGCCGGATCCGATCAAGCTGGCCAATCATACAGCTAATCCAGTAGAATTTTGTTAGCCTTCAACTCTCGATCTCGAAGGCTAGCCGACTTCCTCCTTGCAGAGCTTTAACATGAGGTCCGCTTTATTCAACCCTCGAAATTACGAGGATCCGTCATTTAGGTATACTGAATACTAGATGCTGGCCTAGAGGCGTATTAGTCGAAATACAATTCGGTTTTGGTGGACGGCTAAAGCCCCTGGTAATTTTTTTTCTTTTTTCTTTTTCACGTATATTTCGCCTTCACGAGAATGCCCTCGGTATCGGTTTTGGTATTATATTCGTGCTGGAAGCCTGACGCTAGCTGCTGCACCCACTCGGATCCGTCCCTCTGCTCCAGAGATTCATGATTTCCAAGAAATCGGACACAGCGGAGCAATACCGCGTGATTCGTCTTGGCTAATGCAATACACCCCATCTAGCATGGGCGTAACAAATTCTGCCCTCCCAACTGTCAGCCGCATTTCTCCATTTTAGGGAATACCACCAGCCAAGAAACCTAGCCGGCTACTGCTGCATGGCATTATCTCGACGGACTCTACCCACTAGAGAATTCGGACAGAGCGAGTTGCTTTGAGGAAGATCACTAGGTTAGTGGCCACTTTGATGGGTGTAGCCAAACAGCTCGAATAGCTCTCCCTAGACCCTGATAATTCTCAGCAGACGCGGAGCAGATTTGCCAATGGTACATCGGTAAGTTCACATATCCTCTGTGACCTACACCTCGACAATTTGGTCGTCATCGTCATCGTCACCGATTTCCTTAATGCGATCATCTGTACCTGGCTCTGCTTCATCCCGCATCAGAACCTGAACTAATCGCTCGCAGGCATCTCTAACGCCTTCATCATCAACACGCAAATGTGTTTCTCGAATGATCGGATACACCTTAACATTACGCATGTGGTCTCTGCCTTCCCTAGTGCTCGACAGAAGTAGTAGTGTCTCCACATGCGTTTGGATGATGTTCGGATCACTATCACGCTGCTTATCAGGGGGGAGAAGCTGAAGGTCAGGAAGCATTGACATCATTTCCTCCTCGTCGTACTCCTCGTTCCCCATTATAGGTAACAGGACATATGGCAAGATATCGATATCGTCCTCCGATAGGAACAGTGGGTGTGAAGGCACGTCAAAAGCAACGTTTTTCAGGGTGGAAGCGACTCCCTTCCGCCTAACGTTCGACTTATACTCGGTGAAAACCTTCAGTTTCGTGATGGGTATTACCCCATCGTAATCTTGCTTCTGCACGAAATACTGCCGTATCTCGGCATGTTTCGTTAGGTCAGCGAAGAGGTAAGCTAGATGATCGAAGTCTGCGTTCTTGTTGTACGACCCGTCTGCGCCTTTGACGAATAAATCGACTAGCTGGTTCAAAATAAGCTCATTTGATCCAAGCTCAGCCGGCGATGGCTGCTTCTTAGTTAAGACTCTCTTTATAGAGTCCCATTTTGCAAGGTTTGCCAAAAGCATAGAAAGGAGGTTTGCGTTTGGTTCGGTTGGAATCTGATATACACATCAGCTCGGTGTCCAGAGAATCGATTGGGCTCTATACTAACAATAATCTGTCTAAGGACCTCGTCCAAGAATTTTTCGTCCGTGCCTAAGCTTTCGAGAATTTCTCGATCGGCCGCAAGATTGATGAGAATGGTTATAACATGCTCGGCAATTCTCTAGTATGTGTTTTAGTTACGAATCTTACGTGCATTCAATCTTGAGAAAGGGAAGTTTACCGGATGATCCTTTATTAAAAGCTTCAAATTTTTTACAGGCTGGAGATTATCGGCCTTGAAGATACTGGGCTGTGACGTCGAATAGGGAACTAGATGCTCCATCGCAAGACCGCGAATCTCAGGCCTAGGATTGGCGATGAAGCCGACCAACTGATACATGGTTAACAAGAAAGAATAAAGGGACACCATTCTTTCTTAAGCGTACCTCCTCTAATTCCGTAGGCATTTTAGTAATATACTGAGATGTATAGTGTATAGGTACCTAGACAGGTTAGGTAGTTATATTATGAGGTAGCTCTCAAATCCAACCGTGTATTTTCTATGAGCTGAAAAAAAAAGTTCGTATCTTAGGTGCTGAGAATTTTGCGACAGAATAAACCGTAGTGTAACGTTGGAGGGGTTGCGCAGCTCTATGGAGGGGTTTAGAAAAAAATGACGTGAGTGTTCTTGGTTCAATGCACATATCCCAAGTTTCAAATGCAGTAAAACAATATTAACATTAGGTAATAACGATAAGATAAAATTTTCGAAATTCGCTTTGAAGTTTCTCTTCAATTTATTTTCGAAAATAGTCGAATACTTAAGAGTCTATTGGAAACTCTTCAAATCAATCCCAAGCCTCAATGGCTTGATCCTAAAGGGTACCTCGGTGTAATCCGGTGTAATCCGGATCCAGATACCTAATCCAGTCTTTGTGGCTCAGCTGGTTAGAGCGTTGGTCTCATACTTCTCCGTATGACTCGATTCTAAAAAAATTGGGATATCCAAAGGTCGTGAGTTCGATCCTCACCAAGGACACTTTTTTGGGTTTTAACCATTGCCCTTATATTAGGTATTGGCCATACTTTTTTTTCATCATTTTTGTACAAATGCGTACTATGTAGAGCTTCCGCTACTGTGCTACCTATCGAGGTACCTTAGAAGTTATAGGTTGTTGCCTGTGCAGATTTTTGGATGAACGTGCTTTACTGTTGGCTGTTGGCTCCATGCAGGTGTTGAAAGGTTAGGTACGTACCTGGTACTTAGGTACAATACCATAGCTGACCTCAGCTCGAGCCTCAAGGGTCCAAATCCGCTAAACGGAATTAGTTCCGTCCACCCCTCAAAATTTTTGAATTTTGAAAAGAAAATTAATTTGCGCCCCACGTCGTGATCTCGAAAAACAGCATCCCGAGGCCGACTACCTATTTAAAAAGAAAATAAATAAATAAATAAACCATGCCGAAGGCGACCACACCAACTTCTGTTCGCCAAGGGCGGCGACACAACCCCTTAGAAGATGACCTCGTCGCTACGGGTCCCTTGCGCGCAAAGGCTCCCAAGAGGAAATCCAAAAGCGGCGACGACGATGACGACGAGCAGGAACACTATATAGATTCTAAGGCGTCCAGAAAAATTTTGAAGATCGGCAGAGAATTAGCCGAAGAGATTGATGTCGCGCCTCCGCGACCGCCAAAAGAGAATAATGCCTTCGGATTCGACTCTCGGTTTGACGACGAGGACGAAGATAACGAGGCGTTCGAAGAGGAGGAAGTCTGGGGTGATGACGATGAGATAGTAGAGGAGATCGAGATTGAACCTGAGGACTTAGACACCTTCAACAAATTCTTACCGACGGATGAAGATCCTTTATTAACACAGGGCTGGGGAGGCCAAGCATCTGCGCAGCAGCAGGGCGGTGGGGCCAACCTCGCCGATCTGATCCTCGCGAGGATCGCGGAACATGAAGCTGGGCAAGACAGAGGACAGGAACTGGGACCTGCGGATGCCGATTTCGAGGTCCCGCCAAAGGTCGTAGAGGTGTATACTAAGTACGTCGACAGGATTATGTGGCAAGTCCGTCGGGTCTCACCTAGTACTAACATTGTATAGGATCGGTCTGATATTGTCGCGATACAAGTCCGGCCAGCTACCCAAGCCGTTCAAGATCCTGCCGACGGTCCCTCACTGGGAAGACATCATCGAATACACGAAGCCCGACCAATGGACCCCGAACGCGTGCTACCAAGCCACGAGGATATTCATTTCCAGCAAGCCGATCGTGGTTCGACGATTCATGGAGATGATCCTCCTCGAGCGCGTGCGGGACGATATCCACGAGACGAAGAAGCTGAACGTGCATCTGTTCAACGCCCTGAAGAAAGCCCTCTACAAGCCCGCCGCGTGGTTCAAGGGCTTCCTCTTCCCCCTCGTGGAGAGCGGCACCTGCACCCTGCGAGAAGCGACTATCATATCCGCTGTGTTGGCTAGGGTTTCCATACCCGTTTTACATTCCGGCGCAGCTATCAAGGGCCTCTGCGATATCGCGGCGCGGGAAGCGTCCGCCGGAACGGAGGGCGGAGGGGCTACGAACGTGTTCATCAAGACCCTCCTCGAGAAGAAGTACGCTCTTCCCTACCAGGTCATCGACTCCCTCGTATTCCACTTCCTGCGCTTCCGCAGCGTGGATCCCGCGTCTATCAGGGAAGGCGCTCCGATGGACATCGGCAGCGAGCGGGCCGCTATGCAAGTCAAGCTCCCGGTGATCTGGCACCAGTGCCTACTCGCCTTTGCGCAGCGGTACCGCAACGAGATCACGGAGGACCAGCGAGAGGCTCTCCTCGATCTCTTACTCACCCACGGGCACCACAAGATCGGGCCCGAGATCCGGAGGGAACTGTTAGCAGGACGTGGCCGAGGCGTTCCAATCGAGCAGCCGGGTCCGGCGTTTGATGGCGATGACACGATGGTCATCGATGGGTAAGGGGGAAAAAAATCAAAATCAAAATCAAAATCAAAATCAAAATCAAAATCAGGATGATCTTTGAGGGGGAGGCTAGTCAGTCAAATCGTGCTAGACGTGATACCAACGAAGAAGAAGAAGATACGGATTAGGCATTTTTTGGTGTTATAGGCGTTTTTCTGCCGGGCTCCGTATGGCCTGTATAGGAATTCATTTACGATTTCAAGTCTTCACTGTTCGCTCACTTTGGTTTTGCCTCGTGTTTGTCATATACATATGTGATAGTGGTACCTACCTATGTACCTGATCTGCTATAACGATAGGAAGATGGTATTTATAAATAGATGCACAACAACACTTATTGCAGTCGGTTCGATTTTTTTTTTTTTCTATCATATGAAATTTTGATATCTAACATACACACTACTACTGGCCTAATAAGATGCGTCTGTACCTAAACTATCGAACAAAAGTCAAGCTAAACGCAGCCTTAGGCACCACCTAATACATATTCAACTTGAGCTCCGCTATTGTTCCTGTATACAGATAAGTGTCTCTAAAAAGGCGGAAGGCACCCTCTTGAGAACTTTTCATATCGGGATTGCTGTTGTTGGTATCATAAATGGCTTATCTTGCCGTTCTGTGTTGAGCTCGAGCCTGGGATTCGCCTTCGAACAATCCGGCGAACATATGTTATCCAACCCCGATGTATACCTATTGGCGAAGAGTGGTGGAGGGACTATTAATCTGAACCTTCTACGTACCACGAAGCCAACTGCATTAGGTACATAAGGCCGGAGCCGCACAGACGCCTTGATTTGATGATGGTTGTACTGTTCAGAATTTCGTGGGTATCGTAAAAATTCTTGAGGAAAAAGATCGCGGCTGGAAGTAGTAATACATAGACCCCATGCGCAGGCAATAACAACACTACTACTACTACTCCTACTCGTCGTCCTTGCTCTTCCGCTTCTTCTTCTTCCTCTCGGAGGGCCCGTTCTCCTCGGGCGCGACAAAGTCCTGCTCGCGCTGGCGCTTCTTCTCCTCCTGCTTGACCTTCTGCTTCTCGAGGCGCTCCTCGTTGGCGATGCGCTTCTTGGCCTCCTTGGCGAGGTGGTACTCGCCGGCCTCGATCTGGAGGTCGACCTTGCTCTTCTCCTGGGGCGGTGGGAAAGGGGTGTACACCTTCTTGCTCTTGTCGGTGACCTTGAAGGGCACCTTGCGCTTGCTCAGGCTGCGCTTCTTGTAGTTGGGTAGGAACCGCTCCCAGTTCTCGTGCGCCAGCTCCGGGTCCTTCGCCAGCTCCCGCTTGATCATCAGTTCCTTGATCTGGTAAATCGGGTGGATGTTCGCCATGCAGTCCTCCACCACTCGTCGTACCTCCTTCAGCCCCTTGTAGGGTCCCAGCGCGCTGACCGTGTTGCCCTGCACGAGGATGTACGTCTGCGTCAGCAGCTCGAGCGCTTTCAGCGTCTGGCCGCCTGGTCCGAGGATTCTCTGCCGTCGCTTCACGAATTTGTCCTTATTGCGCACTAAGTTTCTTATCTTGATTATATCGCAGGCCATATCGTCCTGGAGTATTTTTAGTGCTTGCGGCGCAGGCACGCTACGTGCTAGTAGTTTGATGAGGTCGCGAGCCTTGAGGATGGCGGCGGGATCGTATGTCTTTCTTGTCGTCTTGACTGTCATGCATCCTGTCATGACTTTGTTAGTGCCGATCCATTTAGTGAAAAAAGAAGTAATGGCTTACCTTCGACAAGATCCAGTGTGCATGCGATGCCATGCTGTTGGAGCGCTTGTGTTATGCCGGGCCATGCTTCCTTAAGGTAAACTTCGCGATATCGAGGGAATAAACTGGTGGTAAATTAGCTTTTGATTACTTACTACCTGATGCGTTGCAATTTAGCAAGATGTACTTACACTGCAAATGAGGATTCTTCTGCAAATGTTCCGCCAGCATTATCTGAAGGTTTAAAAGGTTCGACCTTCCATTTATCTGATGTTTATGTTAGATACTTTAAGAGATATATTTTCCACTTTATTGATACTTACCTATGTCATCGGTATCCCATGGCTTATCTTTTTTATGTGTAGACGGCATCGTGACGGTGGTGATGTCGTATAGGACTTGTGTTCGCGATGCAAATGAAGATTAATGATTGGCGACGATGAACGATTGGGACTTTTTTTTTCTTAGATATCGGCAGCCGGAGGGTTCTTTTATGGGGACGACTGCTAGCCCCTCCAATGGTTTAGCTGAAGTGGATACTGTCTCGAGTATCTAAGTACCTAGGTACAGCACCGCTCTGCAGAATCGACCTTATTTATCAATCATGGTAGTGAAGAGCGTGTTTACCAAAGAGTGTTGCTATTTCAGTAGTAGTCGTTTTCAACGCCGATTTCCTCACCGCCTGCCCAAAAGGCCTTGCTACTAAAGATTCCCCTACCTATCTTTTATTCATGTACACCACGTTATTCATTATATTTTATTGTATTTAATAATTTAAGATATGAGAATTATATTGTTGGTTTAATTTTGATTAGAGCTTTTTAGTAATATAAATTTCAATTTAATGTATGTGGTATTTAAAAAGCTATTGAAGTGCGAAAGTAGCTCCTCAAGTACCTTGTATAAGTAGTGGTAACGCCCCCTTTTTGCGAAACAGGTACTTAGCAATAACCTTTGAAATACCATATGCATCTAATTACAACCTATATAGTTAAAAATCTCTAATCAAAGTCAAGTTAACGGTATAATTCTTATATATTAGATCGTTAGATTTAATACGATATAATGGTTAACATAGTGGTGTAATGAAATTAATCGAAAATAGGTGGGGGAATATCTAGCCTTTCTGCCGGTCTTTTAAAGGCAGTAAGAAAATCGGCGCTGAAAATAACTACTACTAAAACAACACTACTACTGAAATAGCAATACTCTTACCAAAGTAATGTGTTGTATTAAATTAGGTATTCTTTGGCTCCTAAATGTTCTAATGTAATTACTATATTATTTTTCAGTGTTGATATAAATACAGTATAGACCGGAGTATTTAGCTAGATGTTACTACATTTAACAATGTTTAGAACTGTTTCTATGATTTCAAAAGTGGTTTTACATATGATGGATATCAGATATTACAGAACCCCTAAAGCATAAAAGTGATGTGAAATAAATGCAATAAACAAGAAAGCTGAGATCGTGTTAGATCCGTGTCAAACTTATACAGCCTTGTGTCTATTCTTTCTTTCTTTATTTTGACTAAAGGAAAGAAAAGAAAAAAAAAAAAGAAAAAAAAAACCTATCTTATGTGAAGATATATAAATCCTAGGGAATACCAGAAGACAGTAGGTTGGTACAAGGTTTCTATCTGAGGTAGTCTAACAAAGTTCTACCTTATCTAGACGGATACTTCTCCATTGCTACTAATGATATCCTCATCGTTATTAGGAATATACCTTGTTGATTCCATAGTAAGTAATGTACTATTTTACATCCCTACCTCGCAATACTCAATACTCGACTGTCTTAAAGCTTGTCTCTTAAGCCAAGAAGATCAGTGCTGTGGCAGTTGTTTTACGAAATGTTGTCCATGAAAAGGTATGTATTTACTATACAGAAGGCTGCAGCACTGCTAACCATTTTCTATATACCTAGCTCTAGGATGGCAAAGTTGCTATTTGATACTATCCCTCGTGTAGGTTTTGAACCATTCCCTAGACCAGGTCACACTTACAGAATAACTCGAGTTAAGAGCTATTATATACTAGTACGTTCATACAAGAGATGAGGGTAGCCTCATTGAGTGTTGCGCCGTCTCTGAACCAATTGTAACAAGAGAATATAAATTTGTCTATAGCAAAGACGAGCTGGTGAGATACTGAGAGAAATTCCGAGTTGTCAATCGGTGAAATAATTGTAGCCTCGGAAGCGTAAGAGTGTACACTTGCAGGCACAACAGCGAAGGCGCTTTACCTGATGAGGTGAGGTGTAAAAAGATTATGCACATTGAAGAAGCATCTTGACGTGGGAATTACAAGATGTCCAATTGCAATCAGATGGTCTTAGAAAAAAGGTCATTAGCCTTCCTACTAGATTAGAAACATTTTCCCCGTTGCCAAGAAAATAAAATCTAAATCTACCTAACCTAAGGTACAGAAACGTAACGAAAAAAAAAGTAAGTTAGGTAGGGGGAACCATGACACAATGTACCTAACGTTAGTAATATCTACCAGGATATACATTCGTATCTAAGATAACAATAATATTTTTTTTTATCAAGTTTCTATGTACGTGTCTATCCTGCAACATCAAAGTTCAGGGCTCAGGGGATTCCAATTCTCTCCTGGCGCGTGCCCATCTTATTTACATACCATACCGTACTTTTCCCTTCCGTATAATTCCATATTTCTGTCTTCGAGAGATTAATAACTGATTGATTAACGTTACTTTCCTGTCCTTATTGTCAGTTCGAACTTCGGTCCAACTTTTTTTTTATCAGTCGAATCTTTTAGGCCTTCGGTTGATCCACTCTTAAGCTGTGAACTGCCAATCGCTTCGTCCTGATTTACGATTTACGGTTCCAAGATACAGTGGGTTTTTAGTACAATACATTTGTTACAGTACTTATGCGTACTGCCCGGTCTGCTTCTTTGCAATCATCTACACAAAGCCGCCTTCATACCGCCAGATCATTGGCGGTCAAGGTGTGACGCTCCCATTACTCGCGCCGATTAATACCCACTCCTCGATTTCTCGCCTCTGCCACGATTGTTCGTCCCGAGGAGACTTGGGACCTTGGAATTTTACCCACCACGGCATCCTCCACACTGGCATCATTACAGGCAGATAGCAATCTGCCACCAATCACCTCGCCCATTCCGACACGTACGGCATCACCAGCATTACCACCTATAAAATCAGTCATGGAAGAGGGCGCGGCGCCGCTGCCGGCAACGGCAACGGCAACAACCATCGACCCAATATCGCGTCCGAGTTCGACTTCTTCGACGACGGCCTCGGCAGCACCACTTCCAGGAGTTTCCGCGTTGGCGGCCGCGGGATCAGCAACCAGTTCGCCACAATTGAGGTGAGTTTACACCTGAACTATCGCATATGATTTTCTTATACCAAATTTCTTTGGGTTAAAGGGGAATTTATTACTGCGATGGTTGTATGTCTCAGAGGAGGGTTTGCGACTCGCCAGGGTGAGGACGGAAAAGATATCAGAAAAGATTCAACACCTAAGTGTACACTTGGCAGCGGTATTATTACCGTAACCTTTAGTCACTAGGAAAAGACAATGTCTTCTACCGATGGTGCAGGTCTCGTTGACTTACTTCCACGTACTCGTCGAAAATGGATTATCCATCTTAAGTCACGAATACTGAACTGTTTGTGGCAAGTTAGTCGCAAACCCAACCTTCAAGACATACTCGTCTTCGAACATTACATTGGCAGTATTCATCATTCTAACTTGTGAGCACCACATATAGAGCAACAAATACGCCTGCACCACCTCCGATGAATTCCTCTCCTGCGGCGCACGCTCCAACAGCGTCGGGCAATTTGGTGAGTTATTATTGAGTTCTGTTCTGTTTATCTGAATTTTTTTTTCTATGTCAATATTTTCTCTTCTCTTCTCTTCTCTTTTCTTTTCTTTTCCCTTTTCAGTATGACTCGCATATCGGTTTTTATTTTTAGTTTAATTTTTTTTTCCTAAAAAAAAGGAAAAATAAAAACCGGGCTGTATGTAGTGGAAGGGAAAATGGAATGTTGCATCTTGTTGCATTCTGCACCTTTTGATTTACCGCTCGAAAGTTTCCATGCGGGTTAAGTCATGTACCATGTACCAAGAAGTGTACAGGTTGCTCTTGCCTCTGTTGTATGCCGTTGACATGGAAGGTGGAAATCCCCCCCTTCAACTCGGACATGGAACTTTGGGAAATCGCAGGTACCCTTGTACAGACAAGGTTTGTACTAGGCTCTGATTGGCTGCAGCCTTATCAGCACCCACTTTCTAGAAATTCTTCAATCTTGCCCGTCTATCAGTTCTATCAGTTCTATCAATTTATCAATTCTATCTGTCTATCAATCAACCTATCCTTCCCTATCGATATCTCTCTCCCCCAGTCATCCCATCGCGATACTCTATCCGCCGACACCACCCCTTCTTCAGCTGAAATATTCAGTACTCGATTTCAAAATGATGGCCTCACACCCCACAACGGCCGCAGGCGCTAACAATGACACTTCTTCTACGCAGCCAACCTGCCAGAATTGCGGTACCTCGACCACTCCTCTGTGGCGTCGCGATGAGACGGGATCCGTCCTGTGCAATGCCTGCGGTCTCTTCTTGAAGCTGCACGGCCGTCCGCGCCCGATTTCCTTGAAGACAGACGTTATAAAGAGCCGAAATCGCGTGAAGACAATGCGTCCGGACATGCAGATAAAGAAAAAGGTATGGAATACACCCACCCCCCTTTTAAACCCCGCCCGCGTAATGATATTCTTATAATGCTTACAACGTGGTGCAGCAAAGCCTTCCTGCAGCTGCGAGTACCAATGGTAACAATTTCAATCATGATAATGCAACTGCCGCCCTTGCTGCCGTTCGCGCGAATCAACAGAATGCCACAAACGGCCACGGTACAGACTCGCCCGTGTCGCGCACTGCGACCCCGTCTATATATGATCCCCATCTGACTGCTTTCCAAGCTATGGATCATTTCCAGTCGGATAGTTTACCTCAATACCCCCTTCCCGATGGCTCCCCTAGCCACCAGTCTCCTATGAATGGCGACCAGCACATCACCGATGTCCCGCAAACTCACGAGCAATTAATTGCCGCCAACTCAAGCTTGAAGACGCGCGTTAGCGAGCTCGAACTCGTCAACGAGCTGTACAGGGGTCGATTGCAACAGTTGGAACAGGACATGCAGACCGCTGACAACTACCGCCACGCTGCCGAGAATTCCGCCAAAGAAGCTGCTACGGAGCGTATGCAACGTGAAGAAATCCAGCGACAGTTGGAGGAAAGCCACAGACGGGAGAATATCCTCAAGAGACGACTGGACGAGATGGAGCAAGAGAATCAGGAACTGAAGGCCAAGGTAGAAGAATCGGAGTCGGAGCGCGCAGCAAAGAGACCTAAGCTAGACGTGGACGAGGCAAAAGTCGAAGAGACAGAAGTGCCGACACCGCAATCTGCATCCTAAGGGACGGTGTTGTATCCTTCCTCGCTTACGTTTAGTGATACCTTTTTTTTTGCAGTTTGTCGCTTTCCTATCTGTAATACTATCCCCTCACGACTTTCCTTGCGTTAATTTTTGATTTTCTTGTTCCGCAAATACAGCGATAGGAGGATGCGCAGAGGCATTTCGGATGCAGGCAGGTCTACGGCTTCGTTAATTAGTTGATGTGGAACGAGGAACTCTCGGCGGTAGCCTTTCGCATTGGCACGGTCAAAAATCTTGAGCAGTATTTTGAGGTGGATAAAGTTCATCATGATGATGAGACGGCTTGGTCTTTATGGCTATCGACCCCATGGCAGTTACTAGGAGGATGGGGAATATGAAAGGAGTTTTAAGGAGTCACCACTGTTGCCGGATACTAACCCGCCGGCTAATGGTCAATAAAAGTTCAATTGCATTTCTGACAATGATGCTAAAAAACTGTTATTAGTCTACAATCATGTTGATTTTGAGCTACGAAGCCAGAAAAAGATAAAACGTCCTGTACGAACACTTGCGTTTGGAGATGTGTATGGTTACTGGTATTATAGTAATTCGTATGGTGGATTATATATATAGGTACCTATATATACCTAGTCTTCAGCAATCACTAATGTTACTGGCCTCCTCGTCTCTCACCTTGCCAGAGTGCTGAAATTGTTCGCCCCTTACAGATGATTCTAGTGGGAGTAAGAGGACATGGTGACATATTCTTCGCATAGTAAGTAGTATTATACATATTGCGAACGTACATTTCCGGCAACTTTTCCAACCCGATGCTTTTATTTATTTATTTTTACACCTTTCTATGTATTGTCGCTCGGCCCGTTTCCTTCTGTTTTCGACTTGCCCTTGAAGCCCATGAGCTCGCCAATGACGCCGCCCGGTTTGGGAACGGGGCATTCCCTCTCTTTCCTTGCCCTCGTAGCGACGCGGCCCGTCTCGCCGGCGACGCGCTCCAGGTCCTCGCTCGGGCTCTCGAACTGGACTATGCCGTCCTTGACGACGGCCGGCTCGGGCTTCCTCCGCCGCCGCCGCCGCGTGCCGTCCGCGGCTACTTCCGAGTCGGCGTAGGTCACCCGCGGCGCGGGGCAGGGTAGGATGTGCGGGAGGGTGACGACGAAGAAGCTCGCGGCGACGGTCGTGGCGAACAGCGACGAGGTCATTCGCGACCGCGGGTGCAGGTGCGGCGGCATGATATGGAGCGGACGGATTCTTGGTGCGGAGGGGAGGTAGGGGGGAGGGAGGAGGAGTGAAAGCTATAAGTTTGAGGAAAACATGTTAGTGATTGATATTCGTTTAATCATTTAGATTACCTACCTAGGTTAGGTAGGTAAGGTACCTCAGGTAGGTACGGACTTGAAGATGGCCAATTGGGACGGTAGAGCTGAAAACGTACTTATAGTATGCCTGTATGGTCCCGCAGCATGACGATTGGAAGTGGGAGGCCGGTGGATGACGTGAAGGATACGATGTTCGTTGCTGTTGTTTGAGGTAGCGCATGCATAGAAAGAAATATTGAATCAAGCTTCAAATGCTCCAATCTCCAATCCAATGGACCCGATTCGCGGCTAACACCCGAGGAATTTCCAGGTAAGGCGGGCACGCTGTTAGGCATGGGTGGCATGGTGGCATGGTGGCATGGTGGGGACAATTTTATAGGGACGTAGCTGCTTAAGTAAAGTACCTATGAATGAGACTTATCATTTTCTTACACCAGTTAATTACCTAACATTAGGTAAGAAAGGACTAGGTACAGTAAAACCCTACCATAACGAATGGGAAAAAACAGCGAATCAAATTCGTTATGGTGTAAATTCGCTTTAAAGAGTAAAATGGAACTAGTACCAAAAGGGTAAAGGGTAATAGGTACGTACCTAACGAACTAATTAAGCTTAAAAAGGTTAAAAAATTTAGCGAAATTAAAGATAACTTTTTTTTTAAAAATAACTTAGTATTTACTTTAAAATAGTATAATATTACTTATTTTATAACGAATTTAATGGTAATTAAGTATAAAATTTAACGAAATTCGTTAATAAAAAAATTCGTTATATATTAGATTCGTTATGGTATGGTTTTACTGTAGCAAGGGGCCGGGGGGATGGGGGAAGCTGCAGGCAATTCAAGGACCGGCTAAAAATGACTTGAAATTGAGTTGCCCGTGCCAGATCGCGCGGCCAATGCCCGGTTCTACTTTATTTTTCTAATTTTGGATCGTCAACTGTGACATGCCGCACGCGACGAACCTGTCGCGAACCGTCATCCCCATATCCCCCCATATCCCAATTTGCATAACATAGAGAAGAACCATAACGCTTATCGCAACACACAATAGTACCTTAGGTTAGGTATTTTACGTGCACGTTTTTATATGCCCTTACCGATTATCTCGATAATGTTATGAAAAAGAAAAAAGAATAGGAACGATACGAATATCGAAAATCAACCCCTGGCTCGGCGTTAGCTTCCATTACAGCCTCGGTCTTATCTTCTTCTAACCTTCTCAACCATACGGTTTAGACATGAGCGATCTCGATAAGTACGACGCACTCTACGATAATGGCATAGCCTGCGATATATATCGCTAACCACACACATATATATAGAGCAATCGCTCAGCTCCGAGCATGTCGCCCGATACCCGAGGCCCAAGTTAGGGAACTTTGTCATAAAGCCCGAGAACTCTTGATCGAAGAAGGGAACGTTGTGACAGTCACGGCTCCCGTAACGGTACGCTTTGGCTCAACCCAACAGTACAATCCATGATATTATTCCTAACATCGTACGCGCAGATATGCGGCGATATTCACGGACAGTTCCACGATCTGATGGAACTTTTCAGGGTCGGTGGCGATCCACCAGATACAAATTATCTCTTCATGGGTACATACATATTCCGAATGCCTTCTTATTCATTCAATAAGCAATATCTCTAACTAGGTGTGCTCATATAGGCGACTTTGTCGACCGTGGCTTCTACTCATTAGAATCATTTCTCTTACTTCTCTGCCTAAAAGTCCGATATCCTGATCGCATGACCCTTATTAGAGGCAACCACGAATCCCGTCAGATAACGACGGTGTATGGATTTTACGACGAGTGCCTCAGAAAGTATGGTAGCGCTAATGTATGGAGATATTGCTGCGACGTTTTCGACTACCTAGCTCTAGGAGCTATAGTACTCAATGCGTCGAATACCCTCTCACCCCCCAATGAGATGACACCTAGCGAGGAATATACCGAACAGGATATCGAGATTGAGGTCTGTAACGCAGACGGAGATGTCATGAGCCGATTCATGAGGCGGGACGGTGACGAATCCATAGACCGCGAACGGAAAAGCCCTAACGGAACCCAGCCCAAGACCGGTCCTCCCGGTTCAGGCGCATCAGGTTCCAGTGGAGGCACCATCGGAAATCCCACTGGCGCGGTTTTGTGCGTGCATGGTGGTTTGTCCCCGTTGATCGATACGGTTGATAAGATTCGCCTATTAGATCGTAAACAGGAAGTGCCTCACGAAGGTGCCATGTGTGACCTTCTATGGTCCGACCCGGACGAGATTGATGGCTGGGGTCTGTCACCACGCGGTGCAGGCTTTCTATTCGGCGCGGATATTGTCAAGGTCTTCAACCATAAGAACGACCTTTCGCTCATCGCGCGTGCCCACCAGTTAGTCATGGAAGGGTTTAAAGAAATGTTTGACGCGAGTATCGTTACAGTTTGGTCAGCGCCGAACTACTGTTACCGGTGCGGTAATGTGGCCGCTGTCCTAGAGCTGTCTGAAGACCCGACCGGAGAGACCTTCTTCGCGCGCAGCAATGGCGACGTGGGCCGGAGCTCCGGCGGAGTAGAAGGTGTTATGATGGAGGGCGAGAAGAGGCTTAAGAATGGCCCGGCAAGGAGATATCGCGTATTCCAGGCCGCGCCACAGGACTCTAGAGGTATGCCTGCCAAGAAGCCGGTAGCAGATTACTTCCTATAGGGCCTCCTAGCACAAGGGGCTAGATTGTATAATACGAAACGAAACGGTTGGCAACGAAAGTAGCATTCTGCTTAGCACGGACATCAAGAGTGTTTTTTTTATCCCCCTCGGTATGATACCTAGCGGAGTTTTGGCGACAGATGAGAGAGAAAGAAACAGATTATCAGATTAATGAATAGGGTGTGTGTGTATGTGTGCATTCAGGTCTCTATTAGAATAGATAGAGAGAAGATATCCAGATAGGTACCTACCTAGGTAGGTAATCATACTAGGATATGTTCCTATGCAGCCACCCGGCAACATTCATCATCACAGTGAACGGGAGAAGGCAAGGGAACGAATACTCTCAACAAACGGAAATACCTAAATTAAATTTATCCTACAAAGGAAAGCATAAGAAAAGCTCTATGGCAGTAGGTTAGATGTAAGTACCCTACAAAAAAGAAAGTGGAAAAAAAAACCCCAATTCTCTCCCATCTTACAAGTCCCTCCTAACTTAAAGCTCCAGAAACTCCTACCCTCCTAGCCTCTCCCTCCTAAGTTGTATAATATGCGTGATTCAGGTTCCCCGTCGAATAAACTAATCCTCCGTCCATCCGTCCGTCCGTCCGCCTACCCCTTCTACCTTTTCTTTCTTTCAAGACAGCACCGACATATGCCCATCCCGTCCCACCTTCATTTTTTTTTCTTTCTCAAAGTTGCGCCATGCCCGGCTTCCAGGCCACCGGCGTGTTGACCCCGCGGATCCGCCACTTGGCCTGCACCATACGCCCCGCCCGCTGCGGCAGCGCGACCTGCGCGCGCTCCGCCGTCCGGTACGCCCGCATCAGGTACTTGAGGTCCGGCCACCCGTCCCCGTCCGGCACCAGCTCCTCCGGGTCCGGCTCCACCGCCTCCGCCGGCTCCAGGTAGTCCCGCACCTTGCGCTTCTTGCTGAAGATCGAGCGCACGCGCCGCGGGCTGTCTGAGATGGTCTTGGGTACCGGGGCCGGGCCGGGAGCCGGGCCGGGAGCTGGAGTAGGTCGTGGGGCAGGGGTAGGGGCAGGACCCGGGATATGTCGAGGTACTACTGGTGGTGCTGAGTATGGGGTTTCCGTGGAAGGGGGCAATTGCGTGGGTGTATGAGGCGTTGTCCTGGGTCGAAAGGGGGACGGCGTCGGCGGGATAGTAGGCGAGCGGTGGAACGGACCGGGTAAGGTCCTGTCGCGCGGGCCGAACCTATGTGGGCTCGGGACGAAGCGTCGGATCTTGTTGGCAGGACTATCCCCCGGCGCCGGCAGGCTGGTGCTGGTGGCGCCGCCGTATTGGGTGCCATATTGCCCCGGGACCGTAGGCAGGACCGGCGGGAACCGCCTGGGCGGTATGACGCTCGGGACGGGCGCCCCGCTCTGGCCCTGTGCTGTTCTCCCTAGCCTTTCCATGAAGTACTCGTCGAAGAGACCGGACCGGGCTATCACGCCGGTATCTATTATGTAGAAATGGATTAGCGTCAACGTCGGGGAACCTGAATGACGTTTTTTATTTTATTTTATTTTTTTATTAGTTGCCTGAGTAGAGTGATCCGGAATCAGTTTGGCTGTCCCTACTAGTAGTCATTGGAAGTGGGGAAAAAAAGAAAGAAATGGGAGCATGCTATGGGATGGGATGGGATGGGATGGGGTCTTGTCTTACCTGCCTGATTGGCCTCGTTAACGTGTCCGGACGTCAACAACGATCTGAGGGCCTCGCGCCTCAGACGGTAGAATTGCCGCTCGGATAGCGCGTGGCTCGCCCGCTCGCTCTCGTCGAGCTTCTGCAGGTACTGGTCGTACCGGTTGTCGACGAGCTCGGCCCAGTCGCTCCAGTCCCAGTACGAGGGGTGCCGGGACAGCTTCGACGCGCCCGACCGCGACTTCTTCCTCGACGGCTTCGGCTTCGTTACCCCCCCGGAGATGGCCGACCCCTTGCTGACGGGGGTTTGCGCGTGCGGCTTCCTGGGAGACTTCGTGCTGGGGAGCTTCGTGTTGTGCACCGACGCGGCCGAGGCCGACCCCTCCGGCGGGGCGGGCTCCGGGTAGAAGGCCTTGGCTATGTTGTCGATGCTAGCCCGGATGGAATTGAAGTCCTTGATGGCGCTTATCTCGTCCGGCCTCCTCCTCTCCGGGAGCGAGTTGTAGTATTCCTCGAACGTCATGTTCGCGATGTCGCTCATGGACCACTCGCGGACGGGCCCGCTCTTAGGCGTCGCCGTGGTCCTGCGGTTGTATTGCTGCTGATACAACTTGTCGAGCTCCTTGGGACGCTGGAACGCTTGGTTGTGCGTCTCGTTGACGTTCGCTACGGAGCTCTTGATAATGTCGTAGTGGTACTTGGCGCTGTCCGTGTCAGCTTGGAGGGACGGCGGCAGCGTCTGGAGATACTGCTCGAAGGTCATGCCCGGGAGCTCGTTCCAAGACCACTCGTACGTGTGAGCTGGCTGGCCCGGCTGGTTCGAGGGGACTGCATCATCATAAGGGTTAGTCCTCGGGTTTCGGAAACGGTCGGCACGAGAGTGGACCACACGCCTTCTGTCGGGGTGTGAGTGCCCGTGCAGCGGCGTGGCCTCCTCGGTCGACAAGTCAACAACGGTGCGCCCCGGCTTATTAGGAAATAGGGTTCGGTTGACGGGGTTGTGACGACTGCGACGGTAACGGGGAGAAACAGGAGGGTCACCACTTTCACCCCCGGACACTTCTTCACGCAGGTCGACAGCGGGATAGCCAGCACGACGACGTTCGTAGAAAGCTTGAGACTGACCTTGATTGTCAGGAGCCGGGCCCCCGGTCTGATAAGCGGGAGGTTGAACTGGAGGTAGAGTCTGAGGTAGTGGCAGAGTCTTTGGCAGTGGCAGAGTCTTTGGCAGTGGTACAGTCTTAGGCAGTACTGAAGGTTGAACCGGAGGCTGAACGGGATTCGAAGCTGGAGGTAGGGTCCTAGGCGTGGTGGCCGGAGCAGGATATTGGCCGAAGCTCTGGGGAGCGCCTACGACGACCCTAGGGATGCCTGGCGCCGGGTGATCGCCGGGCAAGTTACCGGGCGCCAAACTGCGGATATCCCCAGGCAGATCCTTCTGGCCTTCGAACCTCTTGGTATACTTGTAAAGCTCCCAAGCCGGTAGAGGCGCAATGATAACATTCTTCGTACTCGCGCCGAGATTGTCCAGCGGCTTTCGACTTCTCAGGTTCGCGATCTCCGTATCCAGGTCCCAGATCAACTTGTTGTACGACATGATCTGTTCGTTGTTCGCCTTGATCCTCGGCGCGTCGCCCGGGTCACCGCCGTCGAGCTGATCGTTCGCGTCGATGTACGCTTGAAGAGACAGCGCGTATCCCCTACGCAGCCGGCTGAGCACATCGATTGATTTATTTATGCCCTCACGAGTCGGAGTCTCAGGCGAAGAAGTAGTATTGGTTTGTGGCGGGAACACGTCCGATTCGCTGATATCGTCGGGATCTGTGGGATCCTGTGGCAAGGCGCTATCAGACTGGTTCTTCGTTTCCTCGCCCGAATCGCCAGCACTTTCATCCCCTGGCGGAGGAAGAACGTCCGGGCGAACGGGCGAAGTCTGGGGCGGTGTCAGTACTCCTCCCCCTGTAACGCTCTTAGACGTGTTGTTCTGCTCGGGGAACGCTGTCCAGCCCTGGTCGTTGAACTTTTCAAGTGCTTGGTTGAATTGCGCAATAAGGGTTGCCCAGTAGCCGTCTAGCTCTCTCCGTAGACGAACACGGCGAGCGACCACGTCCCTATCGTTTTCTCCGATGGCCTTCCAGCTGATTTGGAATAAGTCGAACTCTCCCCAGATCTCCTCTTGCCTCCTTAGGCTCTCTAGGAATCCAATCTCCGCCTGGATCAAATCGGTGATGCCTTGATTATCTAGTTCCAGGAGCTTGTTACAAAGGAAAACGATGATGAGATGGCCAATGGTCACGTCGAAAACCTCGGCTAGCGCCCCGCTGAATCGCTCGGTTCCTGAAGTCGGGTTCACGAATCTGAATCGGCTCCTGCCCGATACCGCTTTCGAAACAAAATCCTTGAGGAACGCCTCCCCGTTGACCCTGCCCATGTCAACGGCCCGCTCAAGGTTCGATATCGTGGAACGAATGAGGTTGGTATCTGCAATCGTTTTGGCGCTTTCGTAATGCGGGCTGTTCGTGGCGATCACGGCCTTGAGCCGGTTCGAGAGCCTAGCGCGTAGCGCCTCATCGAGATCCGAAGAGGGATACATCAGAGGCCCCTTGATTTTCAGGTCGGCAAGCTTGTCGACGAGATTGCCCTTGTCCAAGTTGGAGTTTACTCGGGCCTCTCCCCAAGTCTGTCTTGGCCTCGTCCATTGGAGATCGAACCGCCTCTTCAGATTACGACTCCTCCTGCTACTGAAGGTTGCGTCCGAAGGGGTCGAGGCAGCGCCGCCCCGGATATTACCGAAAGTACTCGGATCCCGCGCGCCTCCCGATAGAGGAACATTCCCTCCCCCCAGGGCTGTCCTGACCTTGTCAAAGGACGGCTTGTTAAATGGCGGGTCGTTAACATCCTCATGACACCCTTTCTGCTGATAAAGTAGGTCCTTCCAAGTAGCTGATACATAGCGAGGCGCTGGGGTTCTTTTTTTCTCATCTTCATTTGTATAATCAAGAGGATAAGTACAGGCGTGGAAATGTCGCCCCATATGGATTGCCTGGAGAGCTCTCTGTATGAAAATACGAAGCTTTTCGGTCTGTTCCGCTGATCCGTTGAATCCTGGGCGGCTTTTGTAGTAATCCTCACATTCGCGGATGACAGCTTGGAACCGCCTGTTGATGGACAGCTTCTCGTAATGTTCGCCATACCAGATCCCCGCCGCCGTCGGCAGCGGGTATACCGGGGGCTGGATAGGCCCGGCCGCGTAAGCCAGGGCAGACTCTTCGTACGCCGAGTTATCATCATCAGAGTCCTCGAAGTCTTCAAAGCCATCCTCGTCGTCGCTCAAGCTTCCCCTGAAGGGGTTGAAGTGGACCGGCTTTGACCCATCAAACCCATGGTGGCTTCGACGGCTTCCGGAGTATGGACCTGATCCATAACTATCCTGTTTTTTTTTCTCTTGTTAGACAGATTCTAATGCGGCCGTGGCCATATCATATAGTCTATTGGGCACGGAGAACGCTTACCCCAAATACGTCCATCTTATACGCTGGGTCAGTTGCGATACTGTGGCGAGAAATACGCAGCGGCTAAGGCCGGTTTAATATACTCTATACCTATATATCGGTTTCCTGCCCAGTCCAAACTCTTACTTCGTTTTTTTGAAGATTATATTAGATTCTTCCGCGTTTCAAGGATGTATATTGTATGACCTGGGATTGCTATGCAAGTCAAGTTGAAAATCGTATATAAAAAAAAGGCTAGGTAGTTGGGAAAAGAAGTGATTCAAAAAGCGTTATTATTGTTTTGTTTTTGTTTTTTTTTTTCACCAGGAATGTGATTATAACGAAGCTCTGAAATCGAATTGACGTTGTGCATTATTTTATCGTGTAAATAATTGGAACCGAGACAAAGAGTAGACGGCCAGCTTTGTGCAATACAGTTCCCGCACACCCTCACGCTGAAAACAGCGACTAGGCCAGCACCGGCGCATCGCTTTCACGCTACGATCGCTTGCAGGCAATTGTCCCCGAAGCTACCAGACAAAGGCTGCGCGACCTAGTAAAAGGTGTAGCATTCCAAATGCGGCTGGTGGTGGGCGGACAGCCGCTCTGGAATGTATCAAAGGGAGGTACCTATAGGGGGGGAAAGCCCGCAAGTAGAGCAAATCCCTGCCAGGGGTTTAGCCCGTCGCTTTCGATTCTGCTACGCAGAGTTACTTACTTGCCTTTAGTTTAGGTACCTCCTAACTTAAACGATCCTCCTAATGGACGATTCGAGCCGGCTCAAAAAAGGCAAGTGCCTGCCGTAGGGGTAGGGGTATATAATTGAAGTAGAGTCTGGGTAGTGTCATTGTGGCTATTGCCCGCGACGTAGTTCCCAGAAGAAACATGATTAATTTGGTTCTGACAGTGCTGTAAAGCCGTGGCAAGCACCTGGCTTCCTGCTATAGTAGAGCCGGCAGGTTTTGCTGGAGCAGGAGGCGACTCTAAATATGCAATCGCTATGTTGCCTGCTTGATCGTAAATAGTTGTGCTTTGAATACCAGGGCTCGTACTGAAATGGTTGTTGTGTGCCAGAGCCCCGTTAGGCAGCTGATCCGCGCCTTGTGTATAGTCCAGTGTTGATTCACCTTGAGTTTGGCTTGGGGGGGATTGCGATGGTAAGTATCTTGAATATCCTGGACTTACGATGTCGGTGACGGTTTGGTCTATTGCTGCCCCGCCGTGCATGTGAAATCATTCGTTAAAGTTGGTAGTAAGGGTTTCTACTAACTTTGCTTGGTCGTATGTTGAGGGTTCGGTAATATTCATACCAATGCTGGTGTATACAGGAGTGCTTGGCGGTGAAAAGTCGGGGGACATAGTTTCCATTGGATTTATGCTGCCATTTTGAAGAAAGCAGTCGATCCTCTCATCATTAAATCCAAGAGTGTTAAGGAGGACTCTCATTTTCTGATATTTCTCCGCTATCTTTTGCGCAGCTCGTTGGATATGCGATGTGACCTCAACTCCTTCGCGCTTGTAGAGTCTCAAGCGCTCCTCGAGGCTCCTTATATATTCCTTACGTCGAGCCCGGGATCTTCTTTGATTATCCCGAATCCTATTAGGGTTGGCCTGAGTATTCGATACCATGTCGGTCAATGTAAGTGCGGTCCAATTCTCATGGAATCAAGCATCATTAGTAGATATAATGGAGATATAGAATAACCATGTAACTAACGACTTGACGTCCTCACTAGAATCATGGTAGGTCATCAGTAGGGAACCTAGTATATTATGACCTGGCGCGTAAGAGACAAGACCGAAGCCGGAATGTAATATATATATACTGAAACAGCCAGGTTCAAGATGGCTCGGCGGGTAAGATTAGCCGCAATACTTGGAAGCTTCAGGAACCAGCCAAATCGAGACAGGTGTCAGTTGGCGTAGCTCCCATCCCGTGTGAGGCTTTGATGACAGGATATCCAGTAGTCCGCTTTTGTCCGACTGGTAGCTGTCACCTTCACCGGTGACGCCTTGGAAACTAGCAAATATGTCAACGTGCATAGAGGATCATCGCCGATAGATATGTGTTCACAAAATAAGTAAAATCGTAGAGCCCTTTTATCTACAACTCCTCGCAGGAGGTATCCAATCTAGGTAGCCTGTAGATCAGACACGGCTTCGTAGAGCCCTTTTTGTGGCCTGGTACATGCGGTATAATACCAACTTGGGCACCATAATAGGTAGGTAGGTATCAAGGGTATCATTATCTTCTGTTGTTGCTATATCTCCAACAACCACCGCAAGGGTTTGACATATGCACGAGAAACCTTTAAAGGGCATGCTTAACGCTATTGCCTAGTGGCAGAACGCCTACAGCAGATTCTCTGGAGAAGACATGTTCGTGTGTGCTTTCGACGAGATGCGTCGGGATTCTACAGGGCCGTTTGGGTAAACGTATTCTGGTAGTCCTAGCTATCCTATCTTGCTCAATATCTGTCGAAACCGGAGTCATTAATACATGAGAACGCCACACTGATATTCTCACATTGCTTAATCAATGCATTTAATTAGGTAGGTACCTAGGTTATCAAGCCAGTTATGCGCTTCCCTATTGTCCCAGACTCGTAGTTGCGTCACAGGTATAGCTTTCAAGTCAGATTAGAGATTGCAGAGCCATCAAGCCACCTTCGGTTTAATTCTGCAGTGGCCTCGGAGTAGATTAGGTACTGTATATGCGAGCAGGCGAAACATCTGCCGGCCACATGAAAATTCCTGGAGTTAAAATGCTGCAAATACTATTGGAAGACTGGTCGCACCAGTTACGCCTTGGTGAAAGGAGGTAGAACATAAATGGAGAATAGGTATGTGTAGTATTTATTGCGTTGAAAAGACTACCTGAGCCGCACTTTGTCAAGGACTCAAGGCACAGTTTTACACAACTTATACAATATCCACATATAACATATAAAATTTTATATATAAGAAATAACACTTATGGAAGCTTTGCATGTTTCTTACCAGAGTTCGAACTTTTGGCGGGAAATAATCCTTATAGGTATTAGGCGTTTCCCTCATCCTGTATCTAGTAAAGCATTGGTGAGCGGACGAATATTACTTACTTGACAATATCAACTAGCCCTTAACAAAGACTTTAATCACATCAGTACTAACACTTAAAGAACCCCTGCTAGCTTTGGGCTGCTAGAACGGCTGGGTATAGGTAAGTCAACAACTGGTGGCGGTGTTTCGATGAAGGCTGATTATATTCTCCGAATACTTTAGGTACGCTTGTCTAAGCATTTATAATGATATACCCGGAAGAAAATACCGATCTAGCACTACGAGTGCGATGACTGTCTGCAGAGCTGACGCGTCTACCTCATCAATTATTCCCATTCTTGCCTGGACTTTGGTTCTAATTGTTGAGCTCTCAGTATGGTGGTGATCATCGTTTTGCTTAAGAGTTCTGGCGTGCTATGTATTTTCATCTTCATCTGCACAGCAGCCAACCTACTGCCCCCCAAGGTTTAAATCGATGGGGAAATGAGGCTCTACTTGTCGTACATCTATAGCCACGTGGGAGCCGCTGGGAATCTTGAAAGTCTGACGAGATCGGTGATGAATGGTCGCCGTGGAAGTGTTCAAAACGGAGAAATTACAGTGGCTGAGAAGGAGCCTTTTGATTCGAGGCAAGGGGAGCCGAGAATCACAAGCTTTGGTTTGGTTATCTAGTCGTGCCGTCTTGTTTGGCGTCATTGTGCTTGGGTAGGGCGATTAACCATTGGTCCAACTCATACTTTATAAACATCCATATACCTAACCTGGCTAAAGCCACATTATGTGCGGATGTATTTCCGCATGTGAAAAACACTTCTGGCCTTGAACTCCTTTAAGAAGCCAGTACACGTATCCTTCGTATTACGCGATAGTGCTTTTGGTTACCGATACCCATATAGGAAGCAATCGACAACGGTGTTTGAGTTCTAAAAAAAATGTCTTGTATGTGAAGGTAGCTAACAAGTGACTGCCAACGTTAAGGTCTAGCAGACTTGACACTTTGAGTGTGTCGGATATAAACCAATTATCTTTACGGACTAAGCCTCTCGAGAGTCCATTCTTCTACACCTTCTTCTCCTACCGGTGTCTTCTTCTCGTAAACAAACCGATCATGGAGGCGATTTTGTCGGCCTTGCCAAAATTCCACACATTCGGGGATTATCCTCAAACCACCCCAGAAGTCTGGAACCGGAATGTTTTCTTGTCCTTCAAATCGTTTTTCAGTCTCTCGAACCCATTCGTCGAGTATCTTTCGTCCGTCATCTTCCTCTTCACCGTCGCCTCCTTTGGTCGGTTTCAAGACCTGGCTCTGGCGACTTGACCAAGCACCAATACGGCTTCCACGGACCCTGGTATCGAAATATTTCTGGCTCTCCTCGCGTGTGAGCCTACTCGCCCGACCCTCGACTCTCACCTGTCGCTCAAGATCTTCCCACCAAAAGGTGAGGCTTGCCCAAGGGTTTGTGGCAAGATCCCGAGCCTTCTTGCTAGTATCAAAGTTGCTATAGATAACGAATCCTTCGGCATCTAGTTCTTTCAGATAAACCACGCGGGAAGATACACGGCCGGACGGCAGCGAAGCAGTGGATAGGCAGCACGTCTCTGGGTGAGCAACGCGTCCAGACCGTTGGGCTGCAGCGAACCACTTATGAAACTGACGAATGGGCGAGGTTGCGTCCAGGTCTGAGCGAGTTAACACACCTCTAGTGAATTGTTCTGCTTGTCCATGAGCCTCTCTGCCCGCGGGAGCAACTATTTAAGATGTAAGTAAGAGTACGCAATCATGTTAAAGTATTACATCGGATCAAGTAGTGCTACACACATATTAGTTTACTGCTCTCAGTTGCAGAATGTAAAGCCATCCTGCACGTAGGTGTCAAAGATCGTAAGAATACTAAAGGCATGAAAATGTAAAGATAAAAGATGGGTTCTCAACGCTTAATGAAGCGGGGTGTGGAAGATGTTTTAATTGTGAATAGGAAGGTAAGAAATATGAAATAGGAAATCACGTTGCTCATATGAGATGACTTGCCGTACGACGAGCTGCAGAACGTCGCCTGAGACGTAATTTTAGCGCAGTTCTTGGCTTGGGTTTCCACTGCCTAAGGAAGGTACACTCTTTTCGAAGTCTAGACGTAGGTAACGTATTGTACATGTACCTAATGTAGGACCAAAAAGATGATGTGCAAGTTATCGGATCACGAATGATACGTTAAAGAAAAAAGAAAAGGTCTCCCTGGGAATCGAACCCAGATTGGCGGAATCAGAATCCGCAGTGCTAGCCATTACACCAGGAAACCTGGATGGTGAAGGACTGGCTAACAGTATTTATTTATATGCCAAAAAACCAACTGAGGGGAAAAAAATACATACATGTACGTAATAGCGCTTCAATCAGATGTCAATGTGGGTACGGTGCCTCTAAGGGATCTTGATAGAGGGGTTGCCTGCATTATCGTATACAACGCTACTTGATAACAAAACTTTGATGCGAAAAGTCAATTGCCCGCTCCGTCTTCCGATCCAAACTTTTTTTTATCTTTCGTTGTTACGTCTTACCTGTTCCTTTCTCGATTCAAATTCTACGGGAGTTTTCACACATCGGGACTTTGAAATTTTAATTCACCATGACGTCCGACGCCGATACCATGGCAACTATCGCGAGCCTTCGCGAATCTCTCTGCTCCGAAGCTACCCCGCTACCCGTCCGATTCCGCGCCCTCTTTTCGCTAAAGCACCTCGCACGACACGAGACTGGAGACCGAGCCCTCGGAGCTATCGACGCTATTGCGGCAGCCTTCACATCCCCCTCGGCGCTACTTAAACATGAGCTAGCTTACTGTTTGGGCCAGTCGGCCAACCTGGCAGCTGTTCCTCATCTTCAGAAAGTCCTAGCAGACCTACAAGAAGACCCTATGTGCCGCCATGAAGCAGCGGAGGCTCTCGGCGCTCTCGGCGATGCTGGAAACTTGGAGATTTTGCGCAAGTACCGTGATCGCGAGGGAGAAGATGTCGCTGTCAAGGAAACCTGCGAGATTGCCATTGACCGGATCGAATGGGAGAACTCGGAACAACGAAAGGCAGAGAAACTTCGCCAGAGGTATGCACATCCATTTATAAGAAAAACCGACTCTCTGTATAATGGCTATACATCTTAACTATGAGAAAATAGCGACTTCGCTTCTGTCGACCCAGCTCCTCCGATGCCCGACGCTGCGCACACCGTCCAGGATTTAGAGAAGAACTTGATGGACACAAGCAAACCCCTCTTCGTCAGATACCGTGCAATGTTCGCACTACGAGACCTCGCCTCGCCACCGGATCTTCCAACGGCTGTTCCAGCCATCCATGCTTTGGCCAAGGGATTCGCAGACCCTTCCGCTCTCTTCCGCCATGAGATTGCGTTCGTATTTGGCCAGCTCTCCCACCCGGCCTCGATTCCAGCCCTTACCGCCGCCTTGAGCAATCTCGAGGAGGCTAGCATGGTAAGGCACGAAGCGGCGGAGGCACTGGGAAGTCTTGGCGAGGAGGAAGGTGTCGAAGAGACCTTGAAGCGATTCCTTCACGACAAGGAGAAAGTCGTGCGCGAGAGCATTATCGTTGCTCTAGATATGGCCGAGCACGAGCAATCAAACCAAGCAGAATACGCGCTCATTCCAGAGGCTCCAAAAGTAGCGGCATAGATGGTAGTTTTTTGTTTGGAAACTGGCGTTACATTTGGGGTTGGCTGCAGGATACCAAAAAAGGGATACGCATGATTTGATTTTATAAGACTTTTTCTCGGGTTCAGTACCTGTTCTACTCGAGAAACCTAGAAGATAGCATCTATTGAGAGAATCTCAATTGTTGGTGTTCCACCTATTTCAAGAAACCGATTAGCGGCTTCCAATTTATACTCCTGGATTGGAGGGGAACAACATACTTATGACCACAGTCGCAGGTGTAGAATATAGTGCTACCTTCGTCGGCGCTTCGTAATTGTACTGCCGAATATTTAACTTCGGTGCGACCGCACTTCTCGCATGTCTCGTTGACGACGGCTTCCGTCTGAATTTTATGTCGCTCGACAGATTGTACGATGGAAAGTTTTTGCCGAAGTACGGAAGGGAAATCTGAGGGTTTGCTTTGCGTGACGGTCGTCTTCGATGCCGTATCTATCAGAAAATCTCGTTAAAATAATAATAATGGAAATACGGGCATGGGCATGCAGCAGCCATTTCGTAGTTAATAACGAACCTCTGTTTTCGGCGCCGCAGCATTCGCAATGTAAGATATTCTTGACATTGCCTTTGGATACGGGAAGCAAGTTACCGCAGTCGGTACAAAATACTAAAGAGCCAATGGCAGCCATTTTTGATATATATATATAAGGTATACTTGTTACTGAGGTTGTGGTGGTGTATTGTATTATTGTACGTATTTGATTGCCAATGTATGCTAGTTACCAGCAAAGAAAAATTGTATTCGAAGATGCAGCAGCGCATAACTTACTTTAGCTCCATGCTGAGAGATCTATGTAGAACTATTTTCTAGTTGCGCTATCGATAAGGTGATAACAGACCCTGGCAAGCCTGGCCAGCCTGGGAGGGTTGTAGGTACATTCAATGAGGTAGGTACTGGTATTGTACCTGCTTCGTACCTTAGGTACTTGCACAATGCGTGGCAAGGCGTTTGCAACCTTGAAAGGCGCCTTCAAACGGATCAATCAAATCACGTAAAACCTCTCCAAGTTGCGCAAGGCTACGCTATCAGGCTGTCCGTTCGCGTTTCATGGTAACAATTTAGCATTTTTTTATTATATTAGGTATCCCATCTGATCTTCGCCGCTTCTTCCTGTAGTTGTTTATTTCGTAACCAAACAACTTTATAATACAGTTACCACTGTACCGAATCTCGAGACCGCCCATTCAATCCCTTTCGCGATATTACGCATGTCACGATCCACGCTTTCGCCCTGCTCTTCACGATAAAGACGACTGCAATGAGTTGATACGATAGCATAGCGATTACGACATAGCGGGAAACCGAGTAATTTCCACCGCCGTGGATAATACAAGTGCTTAGGTAGTAGGGTGGTCGGCTGAGTTGAGCTACGATGGCGAACCCATATCATATCGATCAGAACGGCATGGCGCCTCAATTTGATCAACAACAGGCCTATTCGCAGCCTGGTCCTGAGGTTTACCAGCGACAGAATGGCCCGAGACCCTTCACGTTGAGCGAGGCCCTTCCTTATACGCCGTTCACATCGGTCTTTCCTTTTGAACCAGGTGAGTCAGCTTCTGAAGTCGCTCCTTCCTTCCTCATTGCTGCAATAGTTGTATATTTTATTTTCATTAAGTTTAGTTTTTCTCTTTCTAGTTTTTTCTTATACGCGTACAACCTTGTAACTTTTCAACATTTCTTCCCGTAACCTGAACCTGAACCTAAAATCTCAAAAGATATCATCAGTAATCCTGCTATTGGATCTGGTCCTTTAGCGCCGTCGCTCTCCCGCCTAGTCTCGAAAGAAGATTACGTTACCTTAAATCAGGAAGCCGAAAACCCGGGCCTTTCTAAACGTGTCGAGGGAAGCCTCGAGTTTATACAGAACCTCCTCAAGGCTGACAGGATCACAAAATTGTGGGTGTTCTCATTTGTGTTCTCTTTGAATGTGTTCGAACGAAGGGCCTTGAAACCACATCTGCCCGAGCTATGCTGACCAAAATCGCTATAGCCAATTCAAATCCGCGCCGAAACCTGCCTCTGCCTCTCTAACCAGGAGGCCAACCCAAAGTCTTGTCGATGGCCTGTCCCCTTTTGCGAAGATGGTTTATGATAATACATCTATATCCTTCCACTGTTCTGCCACCGACACTCCGAACGTCTCAATACCCAATGGCCACAGCATGTCGCCTCGGATCGCGAAAAAGTCGCCAAAGGACCGTAGGCAAGAATTAGCTAAGGTTGTTAAGCACAATCCTGCTTCTTTCAACGCGCAATCGGTAGCTCAGAATAAATCCCGAATCGAAGTTCATATACCTACACGAAGGGAACTGGATGCGGCCGCATCTATGTATACACCAACAAAGCCACCTGCTTCGTCTCCTTCCCCAGCAATGCAAGCTCAGTCTCAGACGGTCTCGCTTGCGGATTTGATGGTGACCCCAAAGACACCTGCTCTCCCGGTCTCGCAAATTCCGCAGGTGCCTTCTACGTCAGTGCCCGAAGTGAAATCAGAAACCCCCCAACCAACGCATGCTGCTTCAGGGAACTTGGAACCGCCAGAGAACTATGAGAATCCACCTCATAAGACAGACCAAACCCTACCAACTTCGTCATCAAGCTATTCTAAACATGTTAAAATTAGTGTTGAAATACCCACGGCGAGTTTCAACAGAAATGAATATGCCGTGGTCCCTGATTCACCTGACGCCCCTGTCCATTTGTCCTCAAAAAGGAAGCACGCTTATGAAGAACTTGAAGATCCCCTTGGGGGTGAGCTCAACCAGCGTGAACTCGCTAACGCTGCTTTTTCCGATTTGCGCCGATGCTTTCAAGAGATATTTACTGCTGAGGATCAACTATCAAATCAGCATGGTCCCACATCACACCTAGTGGTTTTAACCAGTGAACAGGAACCTACTATGACAATAGCTGCACATGACAAAGCACAAAGACAGATTAACAGAGCCATTGATCTTGGGTGTTTCCGTCAAGCGCCCCTTGATGATCTCCTCCGAATCCAACGTTTAAGTGAAGGTTCCTTGAAACACGCCGATACGCTCGAGTTCAAATTAGATGAGGCATGGGGTGAAACGGATGTTAGCTTTTGGGTTCAGCAGCTTCACGATATTGAAATAGGTCTTAAGGCAGCTCGCACGGCATTCCGCATCATGTGTGGCGGTCGAGAGGAGAAGCAGCTGTACTCCGAAGATTTGATTCAACAAGGCCTAAATCTTTTTAGAAATGTCATAGGGGATATCATCATCCCCACGGCTGAGCTTAGGAGTACCGGTCCTACCAGTAACTTATTTCGCCTTCTTGCGATACACAAAAAAGTCATTAGCACTCTATTCACGACCTGTCAGAAGGTCTTTTCTCTAATGTCAGACCTAATAGCCAGTATCGGCCTCTCCGGAACCGTTGTGCATACTCTGGAGTTCGTGGCATCGCGTCTTATTTTCGTTGAGAACGCGCATACAGAGAAAGATTCAGTGGTCGGAGTTCAAAAGTTTGACACGCTTCGCTTAATAGCTATGAATGTGCTATCGCAGATATTCCTGATGAATCCTCCCCAGAGGGAAGGCATCTTTAATGAAATTCTGACATCTCTAGAGAAGCTACCTATCGGCAAGCAGAGTGCAAGGCAATTTAAGCTTTCGGAAGGAAGAAGTATCCAGCCCGTCTCGGCTCTGATCATGCGACTAATACAAGCAAGTGCTGGGAAGGTGAACGACCGCGAAGAGAAGCTTCATGGCCGAATGATGCAGTCTATAGCGGAAGATAATGGGAGCAGTGACCCGATGTCTTCCGCCGAAGGTATCAATGGAAACCTCGACACTACATATACGATCAAGACAGAGGCATCTGCAGCGGTTCAGCACTCGACAGCTATCCAAGAACTTCAAGCTCTATCAAAGCCTCTTGCTGATGGCGCCTACCGCAATGCTACGTATGTCGTCAACTTTATAGTGAAACGGGCACTAAAATCGACTAAGTCTGGAGATACTCCTTACCGAAATTTACTAGATCTATTTATAGAGGACTTTACTACATGTCTAGATTCCCCTGATTGGCCTGCGGCAGAGCTGTTACTTCGACTTACTATGTACATCATGTTTCAACAGATGGATGGCGATAAAAATGCGGCCCCGGCAAGAAACATGGCCTTGGAACTTCTCGGCGTTATGGCTGCAGCCATATCAAAACTGCGATCCCACGTCCGGAAGACAGCCACCAATTTTGAAGGCAGCGACTCCGACGAACTCGGCCAATGGCTTGCCGATCTGACTCTGAACGTCTTGGAAGGCAACAAGTCCATGGAAAAGACAGTCGGCTGGTTAGGGCCATATCGTGTCGTTCTAGAATATTTGCAAGACCGCCTAAGCGATGACCCCTATCTCAAAGGAGCTATTTCGTATTTAATAACAGATTGGGGTTCACAAGTCAGCCTTGGGTACGACTCTGCCGAAAGCGAAGATTCAGAAGAACGAGATCGTGAATTCGGGAGGATCGCATTTCGCCTCCGTAACATGATCGAGGATCCGAAATGGCTTTCCCGGGAGTACAGCTTTAAGTCCGTGGTTCCGAATCATGCGAAGCTCTCCCACTCGATCATATTGCTTAGGTCAAATTTCTGTGCATCGTTCAAGAACATCCTCAATATACTTATGGGATCCATGACTACAGATCAGGCAACCGTGCGCAGCCGCAGCCTCAAAAGCATTAATCTAGTACTCGACACCGATCCTACCATCCTTGACGGCGATAGTGCTTTCATCGAGATCATTCTCCAATGCTCTAACGATTCTTCCCCCCAAGTACGCGACTCGGCTCTTGGCCTTATAGGAAAATGCATGAGCATGCGTCCTAAGTTGGAAGAGAGGATGACGCCAACAGTCATACAACGTTTCATCGATTCTGGAGTTGGCGTGCGGAAGCGAGCAATGAAGCTGGCTAAAGACATCTACTTGGGAAATGACAGCAAGGCAGTTCGGAGCGCGATTGCAAATGGATTATTGCATCGGACGCAAGATCCGGACGAGGGTGTACGGGAGCTTGCTAGGCAGATGATAGAAGAAATTTGGATTTCGCCTTTCTACAAGGAAGATGACTCGGTCGCTTTCAAGCAGTCCCTTACCGATCATGTCGCTCTCATGGTCCAGACTGTTAAGCACGGAAATACCGCATTGGTTCTGGACAAAGTCTTCCAAACAATACTGTCGCCAGACTCCAAACTTGCCGAAGCTAATGCTAGAGTTTGCGCACGACTTGTTGCAAACCTGGTTGACCTTATCAACAACCCCGAATCTAACGATCCATCGGTTCCATCTAGTAGAGATGCCTTCCAAGTTCTTATGATATTCGCAAAAGCTGACCCAAAGCTTTTTACCTTTGAGCAGATTCGACAATTAGAGCCTCACATTGCGAGCGTCAGTACTAGTGAAGATCTAGCAGTTTCGAGGGCTGTGGTTATCATATACCGCCGTGTATTGCCACAGGTATCCAGCGTGCATTCGAAATTTCTTTCTGATGTCCGCAAGGTTCTTATGCCTGCGACGTCTAAAGTGACAAGAGCTCTTCTTGACGACGTCGTAGCATGTATATGGATTATCAGCGAGCTTCTCCAGTCATTCGAAAACCTCACGCGACTACTACTATCAGGTCTAAAAGCTATCCAAGTAATGAAGAAAGGGCCGCTTGACCAAACGAAAACCAGGCAATTTGACCGATATTCTCTTATAGTTGGTATGATCGGTAAACATTGCAACCTAGATAGTCACGAGGAACGATTCAAGTCCGATCCTAATCTACCAAAGTGGAAGGGTTCCGTATCGAAACTCATGGTAGACGTTCTAGTCCCTTTTGCAAGTCCCTCGCAGCCAGCGGATGTGAGGCGTCCAGCACTAGATGCTATCGGGCTGATTTGCCAATCTAACCCTAGGAATTACGTCGCCGCAAATGTCTATACGACATTCCAACAGGCCTTCGACGAGCACATTCCTGTTCTAGAATCCATGATTCTCCGGTCTTTTAAAGAATTTCTATTAATAGAGGAACAGAGGTCCGAGCAAGCAGCCTCGTCAGCAGCTGCCAGCAAAGAGTCTATTAAGAAGGACTTGAAGGTTATGGGCAGTACTAGCTTTGATGATGTGGCGAGCGCAACCACACAGCGATTCCTCAAAGACATCACCCGCATCACTCTATCGACCTACGATGACCACGCCTTTCTAGCTATGGAGGTGTTAGCAAGTATCAACCGACAGGGTTTAGTACACCCGAAGGAGACTGGCGTCACCCTCATTACGCTTGAGACTTGTCCAGTACCCAAGATCTCTGAGCTCGCATACCATGAGCACAGAGCGCTTCACGAGAAATATGAGAGTGTGCTTGAGAGAGAGTATGCGAAAGCCGTACACTCGGCCTTCCAGTATCAACGTGATGTTGTCAAGGACCCGCGCGGCGCGACTGAACATCCATTTACGTCGAAACTCCATCTTCTTACCGAAGTCCTAAGGATTAGCAAAGCTAAAAATCGCATCAAATTCCTTGAGAAGCTTGTTGGGCAGGTCGAGTTTGATCCCGCAAAGCTTCCCTCAGATCAGGCGTTATCACCACACGTCGAGTTTTCTCGCTTTATAGCTGAGAACATCGCTTTCTTCGAGTTCGTCACTACCGGCGAGTTGCAGGCTACAATTACTGCCATGGAGAAGATGGTAACTGCCATAGGGTCTAGTATTGCCCAAGCTATCGAATCCGAAATCTTCCAAGTACGTATGGATCAAGCCTCCATCTCCCAGGAACCCGCTGGTGGCGAAGAACAGCCTGCTGCTCCTGCACCACCTCCTGTTGACCAACAGCGGCTTCGCCAGCTAGCAGCTGGTTCGACCATCCTCCTTATTCTTTGGGAGGTACGTACTCACCTACGCCGACTATACGGGCTTAGTTCCAATCGACGTGAGAATAATAAAGGGAAGAACGTCCTGAAGGATCTCACCAAGCCGCCAATTAAAGTCCAAGGAGTTACCGGAGACAAAATCTGGGATGACGTCACCAGAATCATATCTGCATTGGATACGCCAGAACGCATGATGGAACAGTGCAGGACTTTTGTCGAACTTCTTAACGTTGACAACGAAATAAAAGTGCCAGACGAGGAAGAAGAAATTGATCTTGATGGCGAACCAACATTTTCAGATGCAGAAGGTGCCGAAGACATGGCTGATATGGACCCGCGCGGCCGCAAGAGAAAGGCCGCGGCCGGCCCGGGAGGACGCAAGAAACGAGCGCGGTCTAGTTCAAAGCCTAGGCCTCGAGGTCGGCCCCGAAAGCAGAGCACGGAGGTAGTGGAGGCCGATTTAGAAGCCGACATGGAGTGGATCTGATAAATACCGTCGTCAATCCCGGAGTATTCCACGGTATAAACGTAATTTTCGATTCTTCATTATACCTCTTCATAATAACCCCCGTCACTATACATAAACGTAATCACAGACAACCGTCCCGGTAATACAGACGGGTAGACGGTGGGAAGTGCCGCATTACTGCACAGCATGGCCGGCTACGTTGATGAGCATGAGAAACTGGCGTTTAAAGGGCGAGAATAGGGGGACATTGGGTTTAATATCAAGGTGTCCGGGGCTTGTAAAGGTTTACTGTTTTTTTCTTCTTTTTTCTTTTCTCTCTTCTCGAAAGTGTGCTGCCGCCAGGCAGGTGAGGGAGGAGGTACCGCGATCAACAAGACGGGGCCGGGCTCTCTACACTTGCTTTTCTTTTCTTTCTTTTCTTTTTTCTTTTTTTTTTTTTCGCCATGATACCTTTGATCTGCTTCCTGTACTATGAACCACCCTGTGCTGAGCCGCTGCCTTTTTGGAGGTTGCTCAGCGCGATAAGCTTGTTATATACCCGCTTTCAGATAACACCTAGAACACAAGAAAGTACTAGGTAAAATAGAGATTCTTACCCATCTCGCAACATCATCTAATCTTGCCAATATCTTTTTTGGCATTATTTATTTGACTTGATCTAGATATCGTGACTGATGAGATAGGTACCTAGAGAGGTACCTAAGTGGAATTGCCTCACGCCGTACACGGTAGGTACGCAAGGTCACTCTAATCCACTTCATTGTAACTGAACCTTTCCAAATGCGATGAATCCAAGCTAATCCGGCACCTCTGCTTATGTATTTTCCAGAACCTCACCACCTCATATATTCAGATTATGTACCCTGGATAATTTACTCCATTGCCTCTGATCCCTCAAACATGCACAGATACCTCAGGTATGTATTACTACGTCAAAGGCTCTCCCACCTGAGACCAAACCTCCTCCTCGTCAACCTCATCGCTACCAACAGACTCATACCCATCACTATCATCTCTATCCATAGTAGCCGACGAAGCCGAGGTGCCTGCCGAAGGGGGCGTGAACACGTTTCGGCTGCCAGCGCCAAACGGGTCTGATACGGATACGGATACGCCGTCGTTGTCGTCGAGGACAGTGCTGCTCGGGCCAATATTCGACGGCACGGCATTTACAGAGCGCCCAGCAGTTAAGGTAGCCGTGCTGACATCGCTAGGCGTCTTGTCAGACTGGCAGATGCTCGAGACGTCCGTCGCCACGGTGTCGCCCGTGCGATAAGCGGGTCCGGGGCCAATAGGGCCCAGATCGGCGTCCGGAACCGCAGATTGGAAGACGCCACCGCTGCCGTCGTTCAGCCCGCCGGCCCACAGTGGCAGATACTGCAGCTCATCCTCGGTCAGCCCCAGGACGATGTGCCCCGTTCTTGTGAGCGGGACCTCGAACTCGCGCTTCGTCCAGGAAGACCACAGACCCACCAAGGCCTGGTGGAGCTCGGCGCGAAACTCCTCGAGACGGAAATTTTCGCGGCTCCCGCTCTTGTACAAATACGACGTCGCCTTGACTCCGTTGTTGTTGAAGTCGCTCACGTATTGGGCCAAGAAGCGATCGGGATAGCACTGGCCCTCCTTGTCCGCAGCGTACGAAGCCAGGTGTTCCCAGAACCACGGAGTCAGAAGATGTTGAGCTTCGGAAAACTTCTCGGTAATGCGGTAACCGGCAGTCCGCCTCGATCCCTCGACGTAACATTGCCGGTCGCGATCGTAGTCGTTATCATGGTGATACCCAGTTATGGCGCACATCGCACGCTCCAAGACCAAATCCTTGTACTCCTGTAAGCTTGTGAAAAGGGTTAAGAAAGAATCTAATAGTTCGGTTAGCAGTTGATCACGTATACCATCCGGTTCGGAGGTGGGGAGGCTGTTATCTGGGCTTGGGTCGGTATTAGAAAGAGCCGCGCGGATGACGCCGCCGGCCTCCATGAACTTTTGGTATTCCGAAATTTTAAACGTATTGTAGAACTGATCCGATTTCAACTTTGCAAGCGTCTGGTGGACGCGATCGGCGAGCTTTTGCGCCGCATACTGAACAATAGTCTGCAGATCGTCGGGCAAATCTACACGAGGGCGGCCGAAAACTGTATACCGATCCTCTTGTGCGCGAGGTTGAGTAGCTAAAGTGTCCAAGGCTCTCTCGACGACAAGGATGCGAAAGGCGGCTTTGGTAATACTATCTATCTTCAAGGTCCACGCAATCTTAAACGCGATTTCGGTATTTATGTCGATAAACTCGGAGTTGGGCTCTGTTAAAAGCCACATATACACGGAGTCTCTCTATAAGGGAGCAAAGTCAGTAATGAAAACACATAACATGTACTTCTCCAAATGTTTCTTCCACTTACGATAACACTTGTACAATCTAATATGTTGGCGATAACTGTGAGCGTGTAGACCCGTGGTGCCGAGTTCAAGACTAGGTCAAAACCTTCTATGGCTAAAAGGAGACGGATTATATTTACGCGGTGGCGGATAGGACAATAATCATCGATAGCTCTCGACTCCGAGGGTTCGATGTCGTCGAGATCAATGTCTGGAAGAAATATTCTAGGTCTTTCTGGTTGGGTGTAGGTGGACTTTTTCCTGCAGTCCAAGGCAACTTCGTCGTGACAAGGACAGTGGTCGTCGTGGCCGGAAACTAAATACTGTGATATATCAAGTCTCTCCTTTGACATCCACCAGTCCGTTACTCCGGGCGGGAGAGACAGCTCCATCAACTGGGCGGCTAGATCGTCTCCCTCAAACGAAGGGGTGAGATCGATAACGAACTTGGGCAAGGCCGTTTCACCAGTAAGTCTCACACGCTTTAGGAGGCGAGCCTGTTTCGCTGGTGACAGTAAATTTGCGAAGACTTTGGAACCAGTAGCAAGAAGCTTCTCCGAATGGACGAGGAAGCGCTTTTGGGTCCACTGTGACGGAAATACATTAGTTATATGGAGGAACAGAGGCAGCAGTAGTTATTCGTATGAAAATGCCCTTCGTGAGATAAAGCATACGATGAGATAACTTTGGGCTCTTTGATGACAAAACCAGAAATTCACTCACCTCTTCCCTACCACAACTCAGGTAGCCCGAAGGGAAATCAACGATAACCAAAGTATCACCGGAGGCACATTCGACATGAACGTGTAGGAGTCTAGTGAGATCTGACTTCTCCCGGGACTTTGAGAGGTAGTCAGTGTCATCTTTACTAGGTTGGTCCTTTAGCAACTGATCGATCGCGGCATCGATCAGGGAGCCTCGAGGTACAGGAGTCAGATCCATTAATGGGTTAGGTTCCTGGAACTCTGTTTCGTGCTGATCTGGCTGCTGCGGCAGCATGATGTCGCTCCGGGAGCAAGGGTTCTAAGCTAACTTTAATAATAATACAGGTTAGAGTAGGAGGGATGGGATGCAATGTTTTCATATGATGATACGAAGCAAAAGAAAGTAAGAAATTTTAAAGGAAGTTTATGTCGATGACTTATCTAGAAGTCTGGAGGTCTGTAAGAAAAAGATATTGAGAGGTAAATAAAATAAAATAAAAAAGACTGCCTAAATACATAGTATAAGGCTGCGGTCGCCTCCTTTGATATTCCGACTGATGACTGCCTGCTTATATTCCAAGCTTTACGCGGCACGCGGAAAGCACACATACATACAAGGTACCTACCTAACCTAAGGTACATGCATGTAGGCGTTTGTATATGAGGTAGTTATAGGTATATGGAACTAGCTAGAGGTATAATGTCAGGTAACAAACGGAGGTACTATCTACCTACCCTTTCCAATCGTAGGCGATGAAGATCTACGGATAAGCCTTAATAGGTACGTCCAAAGCCTTATACATTGTAAGCTACCTAGAACTATTCAAAGCTATTCATTGGCGGCCGTGACTTGCCGCTGTGAGACTTGACAAGTCAGCAACATAGCTGTACATAGGTAGTATATACGGTTACATCAGGTACATATGTACCTCGGTAAACGTCTATTACCTATCTACCTAATGTCAGTTATTAAGTCCTATACCACGGAGCAAAAATAATTAGGCGCCTGATAGAATATTAAGACTATTTTGTCTAATGTGAGAAGCTTAAACATTAATTTATAAAGTCTAATACAAGGTAAGAATTATTTATCCATTGCCTCTTATGAATTATGTAATTGGATTGTACGTACATAGCTTTAATTGGATTTCATTCCCCGCATTATGATTCATATGATATATCTTAGGCTATGTAGCTACCTTATGTACGAAGTTACCTGGTTTAGGTAAGCTACCTAGCTAATCTAGGGGAATCCTCCCGATAAGGTGTTATCTCATTCGCTCGTGTGCCCCATAACCCGATGCAGGTCAAAGCTTTTTCCTTTTTTTGCCTCCCTTAACTTTTTCGTCTCGCACCAAAAAAAGATCAAAGATCGCACCATTGACCTCATCAGCATCTGCCCACTTTCTAACCCGAAATCCTGGGGAATCCAGGCTTAGGGCCTAGGTTAACAGGGACGGGACCCCCCTTGTATGACATAAAATCGGGGAATTCCTCTTACCCGTACCTACACTACCTCCTAATCTAGGTAGGTATCGTACCTTAAACCTACCAAGGTAGTCCAAGGTCCCCGTCGGTATGTGGCGGTCAGTAAACTAAGGTTGAAAGATAATTGCTCCCTGTGCATTTATCCTGCATACATAAATCGGCTTGTCTGCCCGGCGATCTTCGCTCTGCTGGATTTGTTGCTTTTCCCAAGTTCTCTGCGTTACCTCTAGGTACCTACCAAACATCCAGTATTGACTTTATTTTATGATTGATACAATAAATCGAAACTTCATTCACTCTATAAGAATTTCGGAAATTTCTATAAACAGTTAGTTAGTCTTTGTTATAACTACCTAACCTACCTAGCTACCTCTAGTTATACTGGTATCAGTATAACTTTTGTCAAACATCAAGCTTGAAAAAGGGAAACAATGGACCAAACCCGAGCAGCCAGAATCACCACCGGAGGACGTCTGTAAGTCATACCCTACATACCACCCTAATCTCAAACCACTTAAACTAACCCCCCTCCCCCCAACTTCAGATCCCGCCACCCGGGCCTCGCCCTCGCCGCCGTCGCCACGGCCGGCATCGCCGTAGCCGTCCAGTACCGCCGCTCCGTCCTATCCCGCAACGAGCGCGCCCAGAAGAACTCCTCCGAGAGCCCGAACTTCTACGTCAGCGTCGACCGGAGCGGCGGCGGCATCTGATAATTCACCTAGGTACCTATCTACATAGGTAACCTTTAGCTATCCTAGCTAGCTACCTACCTTACCAACCCCTCCTCCCCTAGGAAGAGCTTGCTTAGATAAAGCTGTTTGGAAGAGAGGGATATATATATATACGCTGGAAAAGAGGCAAGAAGAGATATAAATCATAAAGAATGACGAATGAATACCTATACAGAGCAAAACAGACCTGCTCTTACCTTTGTATGAGGCAGGAGATGTTGTTTGTTAGGGATATTTTAGGGGTTTCATGACACGATTGGGATAAGGATTCATCTATCACAACAATAAGAAAGGGTTGGTTATACGCCCTGTGCTATTAAGACGTATATATGTATGAGGATATCATGATTTTGGGTAAACGTAACGGCCAGCGTTGTTTTGTTTCTTACTACTACCCTTAGACGTTACAACATGCAACATGAAATAAAGAAGAAAAAAAGAAGCTCTTATGAAAATAACAACAGCCAGCTCTGAAAAGCTAAGCTGAGCTGTCTTAATGCACAACCCCACACTTCTGCTTAATAGTACAAAATAAGCTGTCATTAGGTATATCGCATTGCATCGTATCGCATCGCACGCCAGATCAGACTTGGCTGATAGGTTATATGCTTCGAACCGACCAACCCCTGGTATCGTATTAAAGACAACAACAAAAAAAACTCAGGCCCTTTGTTTGCCGTTCCCTTCAGAGCCCCTGAAGCAAACCAAAACGCCAAGATGCATCATTTGCTAAACTGACTCATGGAAATAGAAAGAGCCTAGCAAGAAATTTCTCACAGGACGCCGTTCACAAGGAACTCCCCCTTTTTGCCAGCTCTATTACCTGTTCATCTTCCGTCTCGCCAGCACTTATTGTCCTCTCAACTTCCTTCCCCTTTCCCTTCCCCTTGAGCCCGTGCCCCCCTGGCCGAAGCGCCTCCAAACCGTCCTTTTGTTCCCAGTTACTCCCTGGCCGACTCCCTTCACTTTTACTCTTTCCTGATATTCTCTTGCTGCTCCCCGGCCTTCCGCCACTTGAATTAGTTCTCCAACCGCCCTCATCCTCTGAATTCTGTGTTGTGGTTACTGTACTTCGTGCTCGGATCTCCTTCATAGCGTCCACAAAGTTCTCCTCGAGGCTCTTCATTCTTGCCAAAATTAATCGGCTTATCCTATCTGAGTCCTCCCTATCTCTGCCGCTTCGGTTCGGCGCCTTTAGCTGGCCGGTGGCCATGGCCATTTGCGTTGCAAACGAAGATGGCACAGCGCCGAGTTCGTTAGTCACGTCTAATCCTATATCAGAACTGATACCCCCATCAAGAGACGAAAGCCGTCGAAGTCTCGGGCCGGCATTAAGGAGGATTGAGCGGTTAGGTGCCGATCTTGCAGGAATCGGTCTTGGCCTGGTGACCAGGGGAGGTCTATTTTGCATTCTCCGTGGCGAACGTGTGCCGCTCGGCATAGAAGACTCAGCTGCTGTTGTTAGCCTGCTCCTTCGCGGTTGAGCGCCTGCTCCCGATGGCTCTTCCGAGATTAAGGATGGACTTGCTTCAAAGTGATTAGGTTCCTGTGGAGCGTAAAGGATCGTATTTGTGGAAAGCGTGCGACTATGGAGACCTTGGCGACGAGGCGTATTGCTAGTTCTAGGTGACGTGACGACCATGCTTTGGTGGTGCGAAGAACTATTCAAAGATGATGGGGCTAATACTTCACGCCTTAAGTCTGGAGAGGACGTGAAATAGTCATCGCGGTCTTGTGGGCTAGCAATGCTGCTATGACGACTTGGGACAATCATTTCGTCTTCTTCCTCATCATTTGTTACGAATTCATCGTCGCCATCTGCTCCCGTCTGATCCCTGTACTGTGCCTGTTGCTCATCAATTTGGCCGTTGAGTTCCCTAACATTGGAGCCGGGAAAGCCGCTATTCGATACAAGGTCGGCAGGGTCGCTTGCAGCCGATCGAATGTCAGAGACGCGTCTGGACCGCTTAGGGAAGTCACGGCTCATGCTCATCCTTCGCTGCGAAAGGCTTCGACGACTATCAATCGTTGGCCATTGAGAGAGACGCTCACCAATCTCGTCGTTCTGTTCCATCCAATTACGGATAGCTGTCTGTGTCTTCCTCCTTTCTTGTCTTCTTTGGCTCCGTATTGTGCTAACATCAGGAGGTCGACGGAAAACCTCTTCCAGCGCACGGTCTTTTTGAAACCCGGCAATCGATTCCTCGCGTGTTTTCATGCTTGGGCTGAAAAGAGCTGTCCCCCTACTAGCGAGATCGGTGAACGAGATTCCTCTTGTCTTGCGGCGCCCTTGGTGCTCGACTAAATCCGTTGGTTCGTAAATTGATGGGGCGAGAAAATACTTCTCATAAAGAAATATGCAAAATAGGATAGGAAAATGGGTTAATTTGATGACGGTGCGGTTCAAAATCACAAACTGTCTGATGGACATAACGTATCGCAATGGCGTCAAGATCCATGCGAGGATATTGCCTGGCGCAACGTAGGAGAACATGGCATCGTTCTTAACCATGGATATAGTATTAATCGCGAAGAGAAATCTGTATCAGTGTAAGTAAAACAGACCATCGGACTGTCGGTGATTACATACTGGTGCTCTTCGTTCGCATTCGATACGATTGCCGTGAAAGAGTTTGTAAGTACGGTGATTAGAATCGTTCTGCAATCTGTTAGAACCGTATCCTCTTCGTAGGCAAGGACAAACTGACACGACGAGGAAATGACAAATGATGAGAAAAGCCGCTAGTAACGTCTTGCCTAAGAAAGTATACTCCGGCCATCTGAAAGTTTCGGTTAGCTCATATTATCTCAAAGATCCCCGGGTGCTTGTAGACGTACACATCCCACGCAGCTGGCGTAAACCCCATAAGAATTTGAAATATCTTGTAAGCTACTTCTGGGGCTGCATTCTGATTGCTGGAGAGTGTAAAGAACACGAAGAATCCAGAGCAACTAATCAGAACAAGAACGAACACGGCCGCAAGATCCACCGCCATGAGCCGAAAGGCAATCAGAAGCTGGGAAAAGTAACGATAGTGATCTAACACACTGAAGATACGGGGTAACAAGAGTATGGCGTTCGCTGCCAGAACATCATATGCCATCTCGTTCCAGCGGTGGGGATCAACGACAAACACCGCATATACTCTCAAACAGTAGAACACGATGAGTAGCAGTAGGATGCCAAGATCGAAAATGTTCCAGAAGCTCATGATATACAAGGAAAAGCCCTGCTCGTTGAAGCCAACAACTTCATCAAGCATGAAACCCGCGCTCCAAAACCAGAAAATCAATTCCAGTTCGGTGATGTGACTAGAACGTTCTATCAAGACCGCTAGAAACAGACATATCAAGGCAAACAGAGAACACGTCGACAGAAACTGTCTATAACGAGGTACTCGGAGGCGGGATAGCTTCAGAGGAGAAGCTTGGCGTGGGTCATACAGATTGACCGTTCGTCGTACAGGTATCTGATGTAGCGGCAATTGAGATGACGGTTCCTTGGCTAGCTGGTGGCTAAGAAGCGGCGTTCGAACTCCCGCCGCGCAGTTTTGTGCATTTTCGCCTTGACTCGGAGGATTTGACAAAATCCGATGAAGGTTATCTTGTGACGAGTAGAAGCTAATAGCGCCATTCCAGATAGCCTCGAGTTGTTGGACTACGAGAGGGTGCGCGAGGAAGTGTTTAGCAGAAGCACGAATTGCCACCTCGAGCGTCGAAGATCGGGCTACAGCTGGGCGGTTCTTAGCATCGGAGGATTTTGAATGTGTCGTGGGTGCCTCCGGGGCTCCTTGAAGTGGGTAGAAGTCATAGGACAAAGCATCAATAAGCTCCCTCGTACTATATTCCTTTAACAATTTCAAGGCGAGGATTTCACAAACCCTCGCCCGTGTCATACTGGTCCCTACGTTACCCGGGTATAACTGTCCCTCCTTCGCAAATTGGAGACAGTTTGCCATTAAAGCGTATAGCGTTACACGACTGAAATGTTGAGTCCGAATCTGTTGTTGCATAGGTTTGACTAGGAATTGAGAAACCTGGGGTGATCGAATTTGGTCCCATGTCAGTGTGGTCTCGGTCCTTGCTTGGACAATTATCCTAATGGCATGAACGACATTATAAACGGGGAGAGTATCTATTTCAATCTGTAAGTTCAAAGCTCAGCGGGTAATATACGCTCACTGGAAGGTGACTGCAAACATACCGAGGTAGCTAGCAGAGAACAATGGTATGAGAGAAGCCGAGCTCCTACGCGCGGTCGTTTCCTGGAAAGGTCGGTTCAACCGACGCCTGGATAGCCCATCGTCGAGATCGAATTCGTCTACGTTCTCATCTTCTTCCTCATCCTCATCTTCGTCGGCCTCAGTAAAATCGGCAGTAGCATGTCGCTGTTGGCCATAATCGCGGCTCATAGGGTCGGGGGATTGCGTATTATCGTTGAAATCGAAACGCGCCGAGTTGGCGTGCTGAGCGACTTGTCCCGGTCGCAGCAGCCGCGAAGAAAGCATATTCCTCGCGGGAGCGGCCATCGTTATTCCCAGTTCCCCCCTTACCTCCGCGCCGACGTGCTAAGAAAGATATAAAGACATTTGGAAGACAGAAACGGGGCCAAGTGCAACAGGTTCGTCGGCCAAGCTAAGTTGTTTGCTCTTGGAGTGCGTGTGATGCAACACGAAGAGTTGACCGCGTTACGCGAACAGGCGAGATAGCGGGACAAAAGAGAGGAAGGGAGAGAAAAGAAAAAAGATAAGGGCGTTGTGAAGGTCACGACTAGCGTTGCCAGCATTGATACTATTGACACTCTGACAAGGAAATCAGCATATCCACCCTAGATTACCTCTAGGTACCTACCTTCAAGGCTCAACAAAAGAAGCAGGGATAGATGACAAGTAGCGTTATGTACCTTTACAGGTATGGTAGCTTGAGGTGGAACCCGTCCTATGTTTCCCATGTGTCTGAGAGGCGCTGCCATGGAACTGCTAAACCTGACCTAGTGCACACCCATTTTTGAATCACGAATGACACTCACCCTACTCACCCTAATGTCTCTTGGGTCAGGCGTAACTGGCAGACAATGCAAAGTAGCTGTTCAAGTGGCGCCGGGTTACTATAATTTGAGTTGCATCGCAGTAAGTGGAATTCCACATGTCAATCCAGTAAATTCTGCATTAAATTACAGCAGTACTATCCGAGAGGAATGATGGGATAAGAATATTGGAAGTTATCGAAATTGGCGAGACATGAGAAAAATACAAGACGCATGGAAATGCAATGCCAAAGTCTACCTGGTAATTACATGGTTAATTACATGGTTACCTAAGATACACTTTCCCTCCTTTTCAGCTGCTCGCTTGGAGGAAGCTGCAGATACAAGCTTGGGCAGGTTGCATCATAGGATGATAATATACCTACCTAGTACCTAAAGTACTTAATGCTAGGTACTTCTCACATAATAAAGTGAACCTTAAACCTCGCCTAGGTATGTGAAGTTGCCGCTTCGGGCCATTCTTTACAACCAAATGGCAGTCCATTGGTCACGGTCATATCCCGACTACATGTACCCGACTGTACTATGTTAGGTCTACGAAACCGCATGTCTACGGTAAACCATCCAAGCGCCCCGCGCGCATTGAAGTTATACTAATTCTTTACCTCCAAACCATTAGGTAGGAATTATCTTATCTCATACATCAGGTAATTACATGCACTATGTTATATTTATGTCTTCCCCGCGTGGGTAGAAGCCAAAAAAGCTCACCACGGCTTACTGAGACTCGGGCGGATGATCGATCTGCAGACCGACCTACCTCACATGCATCTACATATGTACGTAAAACCGATGAGGCATCCCGCATGATTGGCAACACCCGCTCATTGGCTTCGTTATCTCGGAACCTGAACATCGAGGTGAGGGAGCTTCTTCACCACCTTGATCCGCAACGATATTACCATCACCCACCATCATCTCAGCACTGTAAGAATGCATCTCTAAAAAAAATTTAAATTTTTTTCTCCGAATATTATAGCACCACGATAATAAGTAAGACGAAAAAATATTCCCCGACGTACTTAAGTGTGCTTACCTTTAGAAATCCGTCAGTTCACTTGCCACTTGCATAATAACGGCGCCTCCGTCTATCTTGGTATACCGCACTACTCTCAAGGATCACCGAGACTATGAACTTCCAGGTATACTTAGCATCCTCGTTGGTCAAAAGGATTGCAGTGCCTCATCTCCGAGTAGTACATACATAATACATACTAAGACATGCACACTTAGTCTATCGTACCACCGCACGCCGTAGAACAGACCATGAAGATGAACGTTTTTCTTCTTCTCTTGAATTTCCCATCGAGAATATATTCACCGCTCCTTCAACCACATTCGAATCATCCCTCCCTGATTGGCACAGTTCTGAGGTTACACTTATCTAGCGTGAAATAGCCGGCAGTGGCACATGACGAGCATGTTACCTTGCATCAAAATCCTTACGATATATCTTTACCCCACGTTCAGTAGACTTAAACATTCCGGATCACGCAAAAGTGCATACATGTGGTATGTATGATACCAAGATTTGCAAGTGAGCTAGCCCCAAGATGGGATTTTCCCTAGTTTGCGATACATATATGAGGCTGCCGCGTAATGCATCGATGAACGAGGTGAGACAAAGCATGTCCTGGAGAAAATAAGGGCAAAGACAACCCCCGACCTCGACGCCTAGAAGCCCTGCTATCTATACCATCAAAAACACACCGATGAAAGCTTGGCCATAAAACAATACCTACTTGGTACAACCAAAAGAAACCCCTATGTAAAGGAGGCATTCGGGCCAAGTATCGGAATCTAGAGGCAATAAGCAGAAGTAGTGAAAATCGCGTCAACAACTACCTAGTATATTTCTCAGAATTTACATTTAAGGCCATCCTAACGATTTCGAAGTAGTGAAGTATCTCATTGGCTAAATAATAATTCTAACCTACGCTATGATAGTCATTTCAGTATCTGGATTTCAAGTTTTGAATTCAAGATTCATAGAATCTCGATGCGATCATTGTCGCAATCAGAGCACGGGAAGCAAGAAGGTGTGAATCTCGTACTTATCAGATATTTGGTGTTATTATATTTCTTGAGTCGGTGGAAGACAGAGGCATGTGATAACAGGTAACGTGTAGAGGTGCCAATCTAGCACAGCCACATGTCTCAGTCACGACAGTATAAAGCCTAGAAGTTTGCCAATGGTTCATCAACTGTGGCATCGCCATTTAAACATTTCTACTACCTCGGTACCTAGAGCTTTAGAATATACCTACCTTACCTACCTATACATGCTTACTAATGTCTGACTGCATATCTATAAAAGGCACTGCCAGATTAAGCTCCGAAATTTGGGTTTGACAACAGCTATTAGAACTTACATCTTAGCTGTCCGCTAAGGCCTGAGTCTAGAGAGAATGTTGACATCTCCAATATAACAAACAAGCCTCACCCGCATTAACCTCCGAGTATCTTCAATAGCCCTATGATACGGGGGGGTTGTTATCTATTGATATAACAGCCAATCCCAATTCCATACATGAGAGCTCTAAGATCAGACAGGTTAAGATCTGGATCGAAGTGTCTTGATTTATTTAACGACATTAGTAAGATAAAGTCTGCCACGCTCGTAAACCAAGCACAAGTAAGTCATCAGCTCCATATGTCTCCTTCTAAATCACAAAACAATGCAACATTTTCCGCAAATTCGTATCATTTGATGCTCCCTACCTACCTTTCTCAAAAGTTTAAAATGCGATCATTAGGTAATTCGTTAATGAACATCCCGTTTCTTAGGTTTGAAACTAAATCCAAGAAACTTGTTTGCCAGAGTACCTGTATGTTTCGTACAGGATGACAATGCCATGTTGCAGGTAAATTGGTGTTTTATTTGCGTTGTCTGCATGATACATGTAAAACAGCAAGATATCATATATTCCACCCGTGATGAAGTGTCTGATTCACTAACTGAGTTTTCAAGTTACAGGTTACCTAAAGTATTTTAGGTTCTATCATCAAGTTTAGAAAGTCATATATTTTCACAAAATTTCATGTAATGTACAAAAACGTACGATGCAGACCAGCACTCGTATGCACACATGCGTAATGTAGGTACCCTGATACTTAAGAGGCTGCTGATCGAGTCTAAAGCTATACGGGCCACTTTAGAGTGCAAGATTTTCTGCACTTATGGTCCAGATTCTGGACCCCACTAGTGCTTGGTGTTCTGTAGCTCAATGCTGATTGGACCCCACAGTGTTCGTGGCGGGGTCTCTTACGTAGTACTGCATTGCAATTGGCAGCACCTAGAGCGGGAGCTTGTACGTACTACCGACTATTAGTTGACGAGCAGAAAAAAAAAATTTAAAAGTTGGTTGGTACAAATGAATATTTGATAAATTTTCTTCGGTCAAAAAAACAAAACTTTTTTTCCCCTCGCACTACCACAACATTTTTACAAATTCTCGTACGATTGTCAATTGTAGTCCAAGACGACATGATATATTGATTAGACTACTGTTTTGCGGCCTTAGAGAGCTCCATTCCCGAGCTTCCTAATTGCTGCTTTCAGACAGCCCCTCCATCTGCCCCTCCATTATATCATATCATCTAGTCGTTATCGTCAAATCTACGCTACAACACCACCCCTCTCGAGCTCGCTGCCAGCACGAGCCGACATGGCGGCCCCAATCCATTATCTTCCTGCCTCTGCGCGGATAGTCGACTCAGAGGATGAAGGCCTCATGTGCCTTGACCTCCAAGACCAATCTTCCTACCAAGGCTACAGCTTCGGTGCCAAGAAGAGCATCGCTGGAGAATTGGTCTTCCAGACTGGCATGGTGGGATACCCAGAGTCGATAACAGACCCTTCGTATCGTGGCCAGATTCTAGTGATCACTTTTCCTCTTGTTGGAAACTATGGAGTGCCCTCGAGGGAGACGATGGACGAACTCCTTCGTGATCGTCCCGCACATTTCGAGTCCTCCCAGATCCATATCGCTGGTCTCGTCGTCTCTTCTTACGCCGGCGAGGAGTTCTCACACTATCTTGCAAAATCATCTTTAGGAACATGGTTAAAGGAACAGGGAGTTCCTGCCATGTACGGTGTCGATACGAGAGCCCTAACGGAACGTATTCGTCAAGAAGGTAGTATGTTAGGTCGAATGCTGCTACAAAAGCAGGACTTAACAAATGGAACTACCAATGGCGCCAATGGGACGCTAAGCCATCAAATCAAGAAGGACTGGAAGCCTTACTTCGATTCAATTGATTGGGTTAACCCCAATACTAAGAATCTTGTAGCAGAAGGTAGGTGCCCCTTTAAACGGGCTATCAATGTCATTATGCTTATTAGTTCGCAGTCTCTATCAAACAGCCCCAACTCTATAAGCCGGACCCCGCCACGGCTTTGAAGCATCCCTCTGGACGCCCTCTCCGCGTACTTTGCCTGGATGTTGGCATGAAAAACAATCAACTTAGATGCTTCTTAAAAAGAGGCGTTGAAGTGCTCGTATGTCCATGGAACCATGATTTTGCCAGTGGCGCCGGGTCCGAGTACGATGGTCTCTTCATCTCAAACGGACCCGGTGACCCTGCTGTTATGCGTGAACCCGTAGCGCAGATTGCCAAGGCAATGGAGGCTAACCGAACACCCGTGTTCGGTATCTGTCTTGGTCATCAGCTACTTGCTCAGGCTGCTGGCGCTAAAACCGCAAAAATGAAGTTTGGTAACCGAGGACATAATATTCCTTGCACAAGCATGGTTACCGGGAAGTGTCATATTACTTCCCAGAACCACGGTTTCGCGGTTGACGCGAAGACACTTCCAGAGGAATGGAAGGAATTATTTGTAAACGCCAACGACGGTAGCAACGAGGGAATTATGCACGTCAACAAGCCATACTTCAGCGTGCAGTTCCATCCGGAGAGTACACCTGGTCCACGCGACACCGAGTTCCTCTTCGACGTTTTTGTCAATACTGTCGTCGACTGTGCCAAGGACCAGACGCTTCTGAATGCCCCGGTCAAGTTCCCCGGTGGCACCACCGAAGAGAACGAGCGGTTGCACCCGCGTGTCAATGTTAAAAAGATTCTTGTTCTTGGAAGTGGTGGCCTCAGCATTGGCCAAGCAGGTGAATTCGATTACTCTGGAAGTCAAGCTATCAAAGCTCTAAAGGAAGAGGGTATTTACACTGTCCTCATTAACCCTAACATTGCAACGATCCAAACCTCCAAGGGTCTCGCCGACAAGGTTTATTTCCTTCCCGTCACTGCTGAGTTCGTTCGTAAAGTTATCATTTACGAGCGACCGGACGCGATATATGTTACCTTCGGAGGTCAGACTGCCCTACAAGTCGGTATCCAACTCAAGGATGAGTTCGAAGGGCTTGGCGTCAAGGTGTTGGGTACGCCTATCGACACCATCATTACCACAGAAGATCGAGAACTCTTCGCTCGCAGTATGGACTCGATTGGTGAGAAGTGCGCCAAGTCTGCATCGGCGAGCAGTGTAGACGAGGCCATGCGTGTCGTTAAAGACATCGGTTTCCCTGTCATCGTCAGAGCTGCCTATGCACTAGGTGGACTGGGTAGTGGATTTGCCAACAATGAAGATGAGCTCTTAGACCTCTGCAATAAGGCTTTGGCAGCAAGCCCACAGGTCCTAATTGAACGAAGTATGAAGGGCTGGAAAGAAATAGAATACGAGGTTGTACGGGATGCTCAAGATAACTGCATCACTGTTTGCAACATGGAAAATTTCGATCCTCTTGGTATTCATACAGGCGACTCAATCGTCGTGGCTCCGTCTCAGACATTATCGGATGAGGACTACAACATGCTACGAACAACAGCGGTTAACGTTATTCGCCATCTAGGTGTGGTTGGCGAGTGTAACATTCAGTACGCTCTAAACCCGTTCTCAAAGGAATATTGCATCATCGAAGTCAACGCAAGATTATCAAGATCATCTGCGTTGGCATCCAAAGCCACAGGCTATCCCCTCGCCTTTATCGCCGCTAAGCTAGGACTTGGTATTCCACTAAAGGAAATCAAGAACACAGTCACGAAAGTGACCTGCGCCTGCTTTGAGCCCTCACTAGATTACGTTGTTGTCAAGATGCCCCGATGGGACTTGAAGAAGTTCACCAGGGTGTCCACGCAGCTTGGCTCGTCGATGAAGAGTGTAGGAGAGGTCATGAGTATCGGAAGAACGTTCGAGGAAGCTATCCAGAAGGCAATTCGAGCTATTGACTTCCACAACCTTGGATTTGGCGAAACCAAAGCACTCATGTCAATTGACGATGAGTTGCAAACTCCATCCGACCAACGCCTTTTTGCTATTGCAAACGCCATGCACACCGGATACACAGTGGATAGAATATGGGAACTCACAAAGATTGACAAGTGGTTCCTATACAAGCTGATGAACCTCATCCGATTTAGTAAGGACATGGCCACTTACACCACTAGCCAAATCTCCAGCCGCCCCGACTTGATTCTCCAGGGCAAACGGCTTGGATTTAGCGATCGCCAATTGGCAAAGTTCTGGGACTCCAATGAGCTAGCGGTGAGACGCATGAGGCTGGAGGCCGGAATAACTCCTTTTGTCAAGCAGATCGATACAGTCGCTGCCGAGTTCCCTGCCTATACCAATTATCTCTACCTCACATATAACGCTTCGGCACATGATATAGAATTCAACGATCATGGTGTCATGGTACTTGGATCTGGCGTTTACCGTATTGGGTCCTCTGTCGAGTTCGATTGGTGTTCAGTCAGAGCAATCCGCACCCTCCGGGAGTCTGGTTTCAAGACCATCATGGTGAACTATAATCCCGAAACCGTCAGTACCGACTATGACGAGGCAGATCGTCTATATTTCGAGAATATTAACTTGGAAACTGTGCTTGATATCTATCAGATGGAATCTGCCAGCGGAGTTCTTGGTGCTATGGGTGGTCAAACCCCCAACAATATCGCATTGCCCCTGCTACGTTCGGGTGTTAAGGTCCTGGGAACGTCGCCGGAGATGATCGACAGAGCTGAGAATCGTTACAAGTTCTCACGTATGCTTGACGAAATCGGAGTCGATCAGCCAACCTGGAAAGAGCTTACGAGCTTCGAGGAAGCCAGGAGTTTCTGCCGAAAAGTTGAGTATCCAGTGCTGGTTCGACCTTCGTACGTCCTGTCTGGTGCTGCGATGAACACTGTATACTCCGAGGCAGACCTAGAATTATACCTGCAACAAGCTGCAGAGGTTTCGCGTGAGCATCCTGTAGTGATCACGAAGTACATTGAGAACGCAAAGGAGATCGAGATGGACGCAGTCGCGAAGGACGGAACTGTCGTGGGCCACTTCATATCTGAACACGTCGAAAATGCCGGTGTCCATTCTGGTGATGCGACTCTCATTCTGCCGCCGCAGGATCTTGAGCCAACGACGATCCAGCGTATCGAAGAGGCTACGCGAAAGATTGGCGCTAAACTAAACGTTACTGGCCCTTTCAATATCCAATTCATCGCGAAGGACAACGATATTAAGGTTATTGAGTGTAACGTCCGAGCTTCGCGCTCGTTCCCCTTCGTGTCAAAGGTCATGGGGGTTGACCTTATTGAGATGGCAACTAAAGCAATCATGGGGGCTCCGTTTACTGAATATCCGCCCACCACTCTTCAACCGGATTGCGTTGGTGTGAAGGTTCCGCAGTTCAGCTTCTCTAGATTGTCTGGTGCTGATCCAGTATTGGGTGTGGAGATGGCTTCTACCGGAGAGGTTGCTTGTTTCGGCGCGGACAAATACGAAGCGTACCTTAAGGCCCTGATGTCAACTGGCTTCAAGATTCCGAAGAGCAATATTCTCTTGTCAATTGGCTCCTACAAAGATAAAAAGGAAATGCTTCCATCTGTCCAGAAACTGCAGAAGATGGGATACAAACTCTTTGCCACTGCAGGTACCGCCGACTTCCTTCAGGAACACGGCATCCCTGTCCAGTTCCTGGAAGTACTCAGCAACGAGAAAGATGGCCAGAGATCGGAGTTCTCGCTCACGCAGCATCTGGCAAAGAACATGATCAATCTCTACATAAACCTGCCGTCGAACAACAAGTACCGTCGCCCCGCCAATTACATGAGCAAAGGATACCAGACCCGACGAATGGCTGTAGACTACCAGATCCCTCTAGTAACTAACGTGAAGAACGCTAAGATTTTAATCGAGGCTATCGCAAGATATTTCGAGTTAGAAATTAGCAGCCGCGACTACCAGACAAGTCATCGCACCATCGTTCTTCCAGGGTTGATCAACATTGCTGCTTTCGTGCCTGGAATCGGTACTCAGGGCAGCAGTGACCTTCAGGCTGTTACAAAAGCTTCAATCGCCTCTGGCTTCAGTATGATACGCGTTATGCCTATGGGTATCGACGCCTCTATCACTGACGCAAGAACTTTGAAGATTGCCCAGCAAAGCAACAAAGAAGGAGGCTATTGTGATTACAACTTTTCCGTCACAGCCACTTCTGAGAATGCCGATCAGATTAGCCAGGTAACTGGCGAGGTTGGATCACTCTTCATCCCGTTCAACCATCTGTCAGATAATATTAGCAAGGTTGCCGCGGTCACTGCGCACTTCGACTCTTGGCCGACACATAAACCGATTTTGACCGATGCTAAGACTACGGACCTCGCCTCTATTCTATTACTTGCCAGTCTTCATAATAGGCGTATCCATGTCACTAGCGTCACGACTAAGGAGGACATCCACCTCATTGCTCTTAGCAAAGAGAAAGGCTTGAGTGTCACTTGCGATGTATCGATTTATTCGTTGTACTTGTCGCAGAAGGACTTCCCGGAATGCAAGTGTCTCCCTACACCTGCCGACCAGAAGGCGCTTTGGGACCATCTCAGCACGATCGACGTCTTCTCTATCGGTAGTCTACCATACCAGCTCGCACACACATTGAAACCGAGCGCAGACCCTACCGTCGGCATTGCTGACGCGTTGCCTCTTCTTCTTACCTCTGTCGCAGAAGGCAGATTAACGCTGGATGACGTTAAGACGCGACTGTACGACAATCCGAAGGAGATCTTCGAGCTCCATGAGCAGGTCGGAACTTGTGTCGAAATTGAGATCGACCGCCCGTATACTATACCCAAGACAGCGTCGTGGTCGCCATTCGCTGGCAAGACCATGCGTGGTGCGGTGCAAAGGGTTACTTTCAACCATAAGACTGTGTGCCTTGACGGAGAACTTCTTCCCCTAGCTGCTCTTGGGAAGGATATGTCCACTCACCGCAGTATGCCGACACCCATATCTCCACCTCTGCCTCAGCAAAGCTACCCCCTCGATGCTCTCCGGACGCGACGCTTCTCTAACATTGGCAAGCCAGCGGGTTTGTCGCGGTTGACCGACGGTGAGACAGACGACCAGCGACCCGTGTCGAGACATCTGCCAGCTGCAGAAGAATTCGCTTTGCCAGGACCCGCGCGAGCACCGTTTGTCAATTCTCTGCATGACCTTCTTATGCAACCATCGGCCTTCAAAAACTCGCATGTGCTCTCCGTAAAGCAATACACGCGATCTGATCTCCATCTCTTATTCACTGTGGCTCAGGAGATGCGCCTCGGTGTTGACAGAGAAGGTGTTCTTAATGTCCTGCGCGGCCGAGTCCTTTGCACTATGTTCTACGAACCGTCAACCCGAACCTCGGCCTCTTTCGATGCAGCGATGCAACGCCTTGGAGGTAGGACGATCCCTATCACTACGACCCATTCGTCGGTACAGAAGGGAGAGACGCTCCAAGACACGCTCAGGACGCTTGAGTGCTACGGCGATGCAATCGTTCTGCGCCACCCAGACGAGGCGTCGGTAGATATTGCGAAGAAGTACAGCAATGTCCCCATCATTAACGGTGGGAATGGAAGCAAGGAGCACCCCACACAGGCCTTCCTTGATCTCTTCACGATCCGCGAGGAGCTGGGTACTGTGAAAGGCTTGACCATTACCTTTGTGGGTGATCTTCTCTACGGACGACCAGTGCACTCGTTAGTATATCTATTGCGGCACTACCAGGTCCAAGTTCAGTTGGTTTCACCGAAGTCGCTAGCTTTGCCAGCGGAGGTTCACAACCTGCTGAAGGAATCTGGACAGTTGCTTTGCGAATCTGAGGAGCTTACCCCGGAGATTCTGTCGAGGAGTGACGTGTTGTACTGCACCAGGGTACAAAAGGAGCGCTTCCCAAGCATCGAGGAGTACGAGAAGGTTAAGAATTCATACCGGATCGATAACGCGACGCTTAAATACGCGAAGCAGACTACTCGTGTGCTCCACCCGCTGCCTCGGAATGAAGAAGTTGCGGAGGAGGTTGACTACGATCACCGGGCGGCATATTTCAGACAGGTAGGTGTTCGAAGCAGCTTTTAGGGTTTGGAAATATTTGCTAACATGTGTTTTAGATGAGGTACGGTCTTTACTGCCGAATGGCCCTGTTGGCCTTGGTTATGTCCGGTTGAGAGCGGATATTTCCGCGTATCGGCCTTTTTCGCATTCTTAGACGATCCTTTCTTTATATACCAACGAAATGTTAGGGTATATAAATCTAGGAGTTCAAAAGTTAGATAGCTACTTGGTAACCAATTTTTTTCGTAAGGGTTCACCAAAGTTCACCCGCCATATAGATAGGAACACTGCATTAGATACCATTTAGGCTCAGGCCGCTTATGAGTGCATGATTAACGATTAACGTACAAGGCATTGGTACGGCGTATATATGTATGCTTTGTATTTGTTTACGAGGCATGATTGGATGTATGTATTATTTTTTGTTTTTTTATATTTGTACTATACCCTGTATATATAGTGTGTATATGCGTACCTAGCGTATGTATGTACGTTTTGTATATAGCTGTTAATATTTATTTTGTTATACGTGTGTTCGTTCCGTTTGGATGTATGTGTATTATGTGTGTACCTATTTTACTCTTATATCCATACAATAGCAATCGAATTAATCTCAATCAAACAGACCAACTTCAGCTGCAGGTCGATAATACACTATTATACACAGAGATTGCTCTCGTATGATGAGAGGTACCTAACTCAATCTCTTAATTATGATTTTATATTATATATGTATTAAATTTGTAACGTATAATACACTTCTAAACAAATACCCCAGATTGTCCTTGAATGTTGAGTTATCGTAAGTTATCTTGTAGCAAGCAATTACGTCATGATTGAATTCGTCGGCCCAATAGACATTCGAGTAGCCACAAACGCGCCAATCGAAATTCGATTACCGGACATATATCTTTTGCAACTGCAAAGTCTTATATTAGCCGTACGTTCGAAGTAAAGGGTTACAAAAAAAAATCGACACGCTTATTTCGTTCTGCTAATGAACAGCTTCGCCTACCGCTTAATTATCTCACCATCGCCGCAGCTTGTACGACTTCTTCCAAACCGGGTTATTTACGCATCACCCACCACCTACCGTGCTATGGCAACATCGGCGTCATCCTCTCTAGGCCCGGCACCCTGGAGGAAGCTCTTCCTAGAACACATCCAGACGGTGGCGTCGCCGGAATTCACTCTGAGCACGGTCCGGAAGATTTCCTCCTCTTATTCCCCGTCCGGCGCGGCGGCGAAGGGCTCTTACTACTACGCGCCGCGGGCCCGCACGTGCGTCTTCCGCGGCCTGTTCGCGGAGCTGCCAGCCAACCCGAAGAACGAGGCGCGGCTCAACCCGCCGGGCGTCTACGAGTCGGATCTGCTGACGTTCACGACGGACCGCCGGATGGACAAGATGGCGGAGCTCTTCGGGGTGGGCGACGAGGAGATGACTACTACTACCGACGGCTCGGAGAAGAGGGAGGGGAGAAGGAAGATTACCGACGGCTCCGGCGGCGGCGCCCCCGTGGAAGCCGTGTTCTGGGCCAAGGAGGCCGGGACCCAGTGGCGCGTCCGCGGGAAGGCGTATGTCCTCGCGCCGGACGTCGAGGACTCGGCCGCGGGGAGGGAGGTGATATCCACGCTGACGTCGCGGATGCGAGTTCTCAAGAACACCAACACCGACACCGACAACGCCGCCGCTGCCGCCACCAACGAATGGAGCTTCAGCCGGGAGATCACGGCGCACTTCGGCAACCTGAGCCCGCTGATGCGGGGATCGTTCCGGAACCCGCCGCCGGGGACGCCGGTCGCGGCGCCGGTGGGGGACGACAGGCTGCGGCTGGGGCAGCGGGTGACGGACCTGGGGGACGAGGTCGCGCGGGCGAATTTCCGCGTCGTGGTTATCGTGCCGGAGGGCGTGGACCGGACCGATCTGCGGGATCCCGAGCGCGGGCGGAGGTGGCTGTATACGTACGTCGGAGGAGGGAAGTCGGAATCGACGGCGCCCGGGGGGGTTGTGGAGGATGGGTGGGAGGAGGTTGAGGTGTGGCCTTAGCTAGAGGTAAGGACTTGATGGTTTAGGTAGAATAGGAGGTAGGTACCTAAGGTATACCCCTTGGAAACCCCTAACATGAAAAATCTACCCGGCTACGTACCATTTTGACGGTCTTGCCTTGGATTGACTTGCGAGGAAAGGGTCATGGACCCTACGTACAGCGCAAGAGTTGTATTGTACAATACATGAGGTACACACATACATACCTAAGGTACCTAACATAGCTCCCCATCCTGTCCAGGCGTTTCTGCTGCTATCCCTTACATACGGATATGACCGTATGCGTACTTGGAAAAACTGAACCTACCTACACATACATACCTCCTCACCTTACCTTACCTTGCATACCTATCTTAGCTACATGGCACATAACATGTGGTAAGAGTCTTGGCAACGGCCAGATCTATCACAGCCCTGCAAGTTTGGAGCTTGTGATGCGATGATGAATGTACTTTGTAGAAAGGGAGTTTTTTTTTTTTTTTTTTTTTTTTTTGGTCATCCCGGGCCGAGACACATGGGAATTTTCAGACATCGTTCTTACATAGTACGACGGCACGTCGCGTGATAGGTTAGATTTGAACCTTGTATGTATTGCGGCAACCTTCACTTGTTTTTTTAAGTCTTCTTTTCCGCTTCGGCATACTACGTAACCGGGCTATATATCCTAGATAGGTACTCACCTAAGGTAGGTTATTTATTACGTACACTGTTAACCACATATTAGACTTTAGCCATGTGGTTTTTTTTTCCTGTCGTGTTGCAACCTCGTGGTGCGAGGCTGGGAGCTAGGCAGGGGTCAAAACAGCAAATAGTAGGATTTGTTCCTTTGGTTCTTTCCTTTAATTTGCTTCGACCAATGTGTCATATTCCGTGTGTTGAAGTTCGGAAGACTTGGGTACCTAACCTTACTGAAATTAAATCGCACCATACTTACCCGGTGGGCATGGTATGAATGCCGTCGTACGTACCGTGGCTTTGCGGTCCGACTCAGAGACTGGATTTGAGAATCTGGGGGATCGTCTAGTTAGTGTTCATGGTCCGTAGGGACTGGATGTTTCTTCTTTTTATCTTTTGTTTCCGTTCAAGCCACACTCGAAGCATTTGGTTAGTTTGTTTTCTCCTTTTTTATCTTGACCTAAGTTATGAATTTACTCATCGGAGAAACGTGAGCCAATTGTGGATATAAGGTATATTACCTTAGGTACCTTAGGTATGTAATTTATTTTCTCGATCTTATTTTACGATACGTACGTAGTACCAAGCTATAATAATATTAGGGGCTGCTTCGCGATATAGGAGGTTTTCTAACCCTTGAACGCTTGGCTCTCGGATCTAAGACAAGGCATCGAAGGGATGTTTTTAGCGTTAGAAAGTCCTTGCAAGAGTGGGGAGGAAAAGAAGAATAGAAATAAAGATGCTTCCATTTGGAAGCTTTCCAATTTTACATAGTAAGCATGGGAGAGGGGAGGTAAGGGAGGGCATGGAGGGGGGAGCCACCACATCGCGACTTTCCCACGTGTTCGCATCCCGGGGTCCGTCCCGAATGGGGATAAACGGGAGAGTTAAATAAGAGTGGAAAATAAAAGAGGAAGGGCTCTTATTATTTGACCGCTTCACTAATCCGTACGAATTGAAGTTTATTTTTGAATCTTGGCGGTATATTTATTGTTTTATCATTATCATTATCATTATTGAGGCTGCGATACACTACTTACACGTACGTACCTACCAGGTAACCTAAGGTCTCTATCTCAAGTTAACTCGAGCTCTATGTTAATTATCTGAATAGCTTTGCTTTTTTAATTCGGCTTGTTTTGCTTCCGGATGCGGAATGTGCATAGCCGACTGTAACCCCTTTTCCCTCTAGCTTGCCCCCCCACTGAACGATCCGGCAGGCAAAAACCATCGTGACCTAAATTTTTTTTAAGTACATCTAGCGGGATTTGCTTTTTGAGCCCTATGGATTTTTTATTTTTTTCCTTTTTGCGTTGTTTTCTATGAATTCTAATGTGACGTTAAAGCGAAAAAGTCTCTCAACGATCATCACGGAAATATGTAACCCACGTGAGCTCCCTTACAAGGCGAGTTTTACAACGTTATGACACCGAGACTTGCACTTACATATGTTGTACCGTATTACTGATCGTACGTACATAATCAGTTCGTACTCTATTATGTAGGCATAAGCCAATCCGATATGGTTATGAATATGTATGGCACAAATTCGATCGCGCAGGATGGCCCTCGCATATATTCACCGCTTAATTCATGTACGTCTATGCAAAGCCAACTATGCAGATATGCATGGCTCCCCAACTACATTGGGCAATCGCTTCGGCATTCCGATTTATACCAAAGCGAATACCTACTTGAGTGATGTAAGTGGCTGTACTTTTTAAGGATGAACTAGGCACTTGATCTACCTTATTGACGACTTATACATACATAACCATATAGATATTATCAGCTCTACGCTCTACTATCCTGTATAGTAGTATATCCTACCTAAGATACCGAGGCAAGTAAGACCGACAACCTATCATTATATGCACATGTAGGTGATACGTCTGATTTGATCTAAGGTATAAAAGCACTTTCGATGCAAGCCAACTCATTGTTATATCCCGTTTAGGCACTGTATCCCCGGCCTCCCCTCCATCTTATCAGCTTATACGCCGCGATGACATGCGCAATACTACATGCTACATCAACTGCTAGCTAGACACACACAGGGCTAAGTACGGTGCTAGCTACGGCTCGAACCGCTAAAGACGGGTTCCGCGTGTGCAGTGACATGCATCGTGTTTAGCTAGCGCGACCTTTCGAGTAATTCGATCATGACCGGAGCCGAGTTGCTGCTAAATCGCCAGATTGTCAAACTGCAACTTTGTTGATCATCATCCATCCATAGTAGATGCGGCCCCGGCTCCACCAGCTCACCTACCCTCAAGGCTTCGAATCCCTCCATTTAGCAGTGGCGTATTATATCGATGGGGTCCGAATACCTACCTGGTAGGTAACTAAAAAGTATTATTCAAATCATTGTCGTAAGACTTTTCTCTTTTCCTTTTCTTAGTCTTTCGAATCTTTCTCCACTGTGGTCTCATTATTTACCTACCTCTTACATGAAATCCTGTGAACGGACCAGCCTCTCTCCAGCCTCTCTTCGTGCCTCTTATCTGCATAGAAGGCCGTGTGCTGCATGAGGCACGTACGCATTTACCGCAAAGCTGCTAACTACCTTACGAGGTTTATCAGGTTTATCAGTAGAATGGAGACGCACGTTGAGGAACAAGCTTTTCGCATTACTCGGATAGGTCAATCACCGATGCCACGTTGATAACCCCTCCTTCAACTTCACTTTATTATATTTGTAGTATAGTATATATGACACCGGCAGACCGGCCATGTGGACGCTCCCTTTTCAGACCGAACGACCGATAAAAGTGGCAAGATGCAATACTCTCTCATCAACAGGTTACATAGTATGTGAGTTTCATACGTGTAACTCGAATGCGAGATTCTCTCTCTCCCCCTAGTAGTATTACTTAGTAGTACCTAGGTAGGTAGTATCAGCCCAAGGTTGTTTCCATAGGAATTGCTACCACGGACAGGAAAGCATGTCCTAAATAAGAGCATTCGAGCGAGGGCTAAAACTGCCAAAGTCGCTTTTTTAATAAACTAGAACGGCAACCCGTTAATTAGTCGCCGATCAACCCGTTAAAACAGAAGAACATGCAGGCGGGAGCCAGCGGACAGGGGTTGTCTTTACCGCTAGGTGCCTTAGTCGTGCATCTATTAGGCTCTACGCTAATACCCTACCTGAGGACCGAGGTACCTATTGTACTGTACGTACCTACGTGAGATAGGTACTGTACACAGTACATAGATACCTATACCTGGTATCTTAAACCGTATAATATACCACGGCTAGGTTTCTAGCAAAGCCCGAACTAATAATATTGTATTGTACCTATCTACATTATGTACGAAGTACGAATCGTACATGTAAATGGACCCCACAGAAACCTAAAGGTTCGTAGGTACATAGGTAACTTACAATTCTCATAAACCTTCCTTCGATACCTATTAACTACCTATCAATCCAAACTCTGTTTCCACTCGATCCGATTCCTTCCCTTTTCTCCCCGCCATATCCGTCTGAACTAAGCCCATCCTTTTCTCTTGATTCGAAGAGTCAATTGATCGAATCTTTTTGTGACGGTTATATTGCACTGTCTTACCCATATTCTGATTGGATAATATCCGAGGGACGAGACGTCGAATTGGCCTGCTTTAGGTCCTAAAATCGTAGCATATCATATCATTACATTACAGCGTCGAGATTCGTTCAGGTAGCTCAGGTGCCCCATCGTGCATGGGCTTGGCTAGATGTCGTGACCATTGGCATATCAACTCAACAAACCACCTAGCCTCCCTTTTGCCTACCTCCCTGCTACCCTGCTCACCTCCTCACCGACTCCTCTACCATCCCTCAAGCTCCAAGCTCCTCTCAAGCTCCCCCAAGCTTAGGAGTCTGATGCTGGGGTGCGGTCACATATCTATTTCTTAGCTTCGATTTTCGATTCGAATACAGCATCTTTATCATTCCTGCCTATTCAGCATGGCGACCGATTCTCTTAAAGCCCTAATTACTAACATTCCCGATTGGCTCAAACGCCTCGATGAGCTCAATGGACAAATCGATCAGCGCCAGCAGGATCTGGCTCTGCTCGCCGAGAACCAGCCTAAGTCCTCGGCTCGATCTATTAGGAATAAGGGATCAACAGAGTCTCTTAAACCGCGTGACGAGGGTACACCCGCCCAAATATTAGATACTGTACGCGTCTCGACACCACCTCCCTTATCCCCGAACGAGACTCGACCACCTAATAGCGGCGCCGAGGCACCCTCGAGCCCAGTGAATTCGCCAAAATCAAATACCTCCCTTCAGCGTCAGACCAACGAGGTTATGGCGACGGCACAACGACGAGCGCGCGCCGTCGTTCGGAAGAAGCCCAAGACCGAATCCATGATGAGCAACGAGAACACGGTTCAGAAATACAGGTCACGGAATATGATCATCGTTTATTACGACAGCTACGTGCAATCATTCTTTGAGGAGCTAGTTAAGTTTGTATCGATGCAGCGCAATGCCATGCGTAAGGCCAAGATGGCTGCCAAGGTGGCACGCATCAGACGTTTAGCCGAGATCGAGATGCCCGATGATGATGAAGAGGAAGAAGCTAATGGGGGAGGGAATGGCGAATTGAAGCTTAGGGGCAATCTTATCGCCGTCGCTGCCGACGTCACAGCTACAGAAGGTCAAGAGGAGACGGCGGAGGACATCAAGCTTCGCTTCAAGAGTACTCGACAGATGGGACCGCGAAACCTGGCTGCGGGTAGGGTGAGTGCTCGGGTGGCTCGATCAGGTCTCAACGGTGGATTGGGTGCATTTCAGGACAGGGGTGATATCTGGGAAGAGTTGGATAAAGGGCTCGAGTTCGTGCAGAATATGTGTGAACAAGCAGCGCATCAATTCCTTCGGGACGGCGACTGCGCCGAGGAGATTGAGAAGATCAAAACGCGCCTTGGAACGACGAGGGAGACTGCCGATAAGGAACTAGCACGTTCTGAATCGGAAAATACCCCGGAGGAAGTTATACCCTGGCCCGTCCAGTCCCGAAGCTATCGTCCCACGACAATGCGGAAGAATATGGGCTCACCAGGAATGAAGACGTCCCCCAAGCAAGAGGTTGTCAAACAGAACGTCATAGAAGTAGAGGACGAAGGGGTACAGGATATGGACGACTACCAACCCGACGCCAAACCAACGGGGCAAATAGACGGACCCACGTTTTAGAATGACGAGGTCCCTTTGCTTTGTTATGCGTCATGCGCACGCGCATCAAGACAATCTCCCTACCATCGCTACCACTACCACTACTACTACTATTACCACTATTACCACTATTACCATTGCCTACCTCATACCACCGTCGTTTACGTATATACAACCTACATCTCAACCGTTCAAAAAAAATTATTTGCTCGCATACCGCGTGGCGGCAGAATTGGCTTACAGAGAAATAACGACTTTATTGATTGCTATCGCAACTGGACTGGACTCTATATACCATATACTTTCGCTGTAAATTCCGAGACGCCATGTTGAACACTATACATACCTGTTTTTTATTTACTCACTCTGGGATGTGGACAGAGAAAAGCATGCACATTTATCGTTTGAGTCCTTAAAGTGTGCTTGGAGTTGTGGGGTATTACCTGCTTGGGAGGGGGAAGTTTTTTGATATTTTTGAACATGGACAACCCGGACGGGGTCTGAATACATTTGGAATCGTTCTACTGCTACAACAACTGTTGATACTACCCCTACCATTACAACGGTGTTCGCACCTACTGACGACTTTATGGGACTCAGGACCAAGGAACAAAGCGTGTACATACATACAATGCATACAAGGCTTTATACTATGTATATCAATGCGCTCATTCAGCCATAATAACACTCCGGCCACACACTTTGTTAAAATACCCAAGAAGGGAGGTAGATGAGGGTGTGACAGAGGGGCTCATCTTTCGGAGAATAAAGGTGACACAGCAGATTCCATGTTAATGCTGTTACAGAGAAGGGGGCTGAAAATGCCTACGGTAGATCATGAGAAAGCCTTAATAATAAAATGTAGTTAAAGCTGTGCTACTTTGCTGGTGGTGTCTGTCTGGGTACCTACCTTACATTTTGTAAGTGGTTGTGCATCACCGTTTCATGTTTCGTCGATGATCTGCAAATAGAACCACCACTACACACAGACACACACCTATGCTGACATGCCTTAGCTAGCTAGCTAGCTAGGTTTACCTAGATTAATGTATTATGGCGCGCGTTTTGTCTAACGTCCGGGAGCTTAGATGTCAGAATTTAAGGTAAGGGGACGGGAAGGGCCGTTGCTTTGTTTGAACTTTGTTCGTTAGTGGTGGTGGTGCCAGTGTTGTTGGTGGCGAGTAAAAATGCGGGCACAGTATTAATTGGACGGATGGATTTAATCACATACGAAGGGGTCTGTCTTTGCTTTGCATAAGGTTAAATAATACGAGGATAAGAAATATGTAATGTATGTTCTGAGCATAATAAAGAAAGTAAAATCTCCGTATCACACATGCATCGCACACACGCACAAAGACAAGACGCACAGAGACACCGTCACCATGTATTAGGTATTATGTAACGAACCAAAAGGGCACGGATGCCGAGCCCGAACCTGAACCCGGGATACCGATTCGGCCCGTCTGCGAGGTGGCCGAGATTCGGATTGCGTAAGGGGAGGTTCAAGACTAACTGACTACCTAATTACCTACCTAATCCGTCAATTGAGGTATGTATATCGGAGTATTCGGAGTATGCGGAGTTTCAACAACGACAACAGCAGCAGCAGCACCGGAGCAGGAGAAAGCGGAGGCTAGGGACCTAGGTTGGCTTAGGTAGGTAGGTATACCCTATTCCGCATTTGATGGTGCTGCGTACCTAAACCAAACGAACCCAGCCCACAGCTATCCACGGTCACCGTTCCGCCTCACTATGCGCGTGCGGACGCGTTACGCTCGAGCCATCTTTTTTTTTTCTCTCTTTTCTTTTTGGTTTACCTATGCTAGGTACCTAGGTAGGTAGGCGGGAAACCCCGAGGGAAAAAAAAAGGGGAAAGAAAGGAAAAGCAATATTTTGCGTCGGTTCGCGTAAGAGGTTACTCGTAGGTAAGATAACTTCGGCTCGGGCTAGCGGATATTGAATCGGAAGGGGGGGCGGGGGCGGAATCAATAATGGAAGCGGACGAGTCTTTAGTTTTCCTTTACGAATACCGAGGCGGTTGTCCCCGGATCTCAGAGTACCTTAGGTACCTGACTTTTGGTTCTGAGCAGTGAAGAAAAAAATCCCGTTTGACGATGGAATGGGATGGGATGGGAACCGGTCCGTGCGGCGCGGTGGAGTTGGAAGCGCGATTGATTTATCTACCTACCTACCTACCTACCTCCTATGTAGATGCGGTTGTCGTCGCTTGAACCCGAATAAAAGGCACCTTACAAAACAACACAAAATCTCATATATAGAATCCGCCGTGTCAAGATGACGGCAAATCCATACGACTGCCCGCCCCCTCCCGCCCCCTCCCCCTTCTTTGCGAACTGGTGATCAGGCCGTTGGTTCAGCTGTTAATACCCACCGACAGCTTCAATGCTACAGTTGGTTCAAACGACGTTCGGGCTATTTCCTCCGTCGCGAAGACTCGGTGCGTGATCCGAGATGCGGCTGGCCGACTAGCTAGCTGGCTGGCTAGTTGTCGGACCGGGTTTTTACATCATGGAGATAATCCAGGCGATTGAGTCGTTTGATTACTACTATCTTTCCGTGAGATGTTAATTAGGTAGGTATGCTTGGAAGATTTGAGACATGTTGGTTCCATCGTGTTGGTTTTGGGTCTTTGGTCATATGAATACGGATCTTGGCATGGCAACTATCACCACCACTACTACTACCACCATCACCACTTACGTGAGTAAATCAGGGGAACTAGAGTTGTGAAGTTTTTTTTTTTTGCTCGTCTAAGTCTATTCTTACTTAGGAGGTACCTTTCCTATCGAATGAAAAGGGGAGAAGCTCTGAATCCGCTATGGCACAATAGATACATCAAGGTATCTAAGATACTTCGAAGCTACAAGCCGAATCTATATCAGGCGGGACCTAGACTCCATGGTATTGTCGTTACAAGTCATACCCAATACGTCCTCGAGTGCCAACTTGCTACGGTCCACGAGATTCTCAATTCGATTGGTTAGATCTCTTGTACTATTTCTCAAGGCGGCATGTTCTCAGGCTCTAACTTGTTGATATTAGTGGAGCGTGCGCTGCAGCAAGTTGGCACTCAAGGGCATGCATAGTTAGAACCCTAAACTAGCCTGCCTCTAGCTCAAACGGACATCTGCGTGGAGGACTAACGATGTTTCCTGATATCAAGATTCGCAGCTGGGAAGTCTGCCAACAGTATGTATAATTGCCTCTGATATGGCATATGTTATCAACCAACAAATGGATGCCCAAGCACCAACAAGATATGTAGTAGGTGCAGGCAAGTAATTACATATTCAAAAATCGTCACATGGCCCCAAGGTAGAAGAAACAAGCTCTGCCCCCAGGGGTATCCTGCCTTACGCCTCCGGTTTGACGACATGCCTAAGACCAACGCCTACCTAACCTAGCATAGGTACTTAAGTGAGTAAAGGTTACATATTGAAGCAACAGCCAAGGAGGTTAGGTGCGGCAGTATTTACCTAACAATCATCGCCGGCGAAAAACCATTGGCAGACCCGTCCCCTCCCCCCTGATACTTGAAAGAAAGATTAAATCTAGCGGCCACTGCCAGCACCAACAACCGCGTCGATCAGGCTCACTTTCCTTAGGATTCTCTCGTTCTCTAAGAGTTTGAAGCGTACATAAACTAGGTACTCTAGGTAGGCAGGTACCTAAAGTATACTTGACGCAGACAGCCCAGTAAGTCCCGGATATCTACCTATCTATAAGGCTACCTACCTTAGGTAGGTACCTAGGTAGCTAACCTGCTATAGTAGATCTGCGTGAGTTGAGTTCGATAAGCCCAAGGTGTTCTGTATCAGCTGTCTATCTGTCCATCTGTCTGCTTCTTGCTGTTTTCTTCTGGTTTAACTGGTGCCAACCTAACCTACTTGTTGTTACGTGCTCTCCGTACCTCAGAAGTATACCAACCAACCTAGCTACCTAGGTACTTACCCCTTATCGTCAAAGACGAGGGCAACATACATTAGGTACCTACGTATCTAAGGTAAGTAGGGACCCTTTCCCGAAGTAATATGAATGAATAGTGATACTTTGCCAAACCGAACACTTATGCACCTAGTAGTGGCCAGAAAGCGAAATATAGGTACCTACTGGCGCTACAAGTTAGGCATGCAATATCGTAGTGGTTCTATAGGCAAGACGCAGGAGTGGCGCCCCCTTCTTATAATAAAACGACGCATCGGGCTGCAACCCTTCATCCTCTTCTTGGAATCTCTAGACCAGAGGAGTTACTTCGCAAACATTATGTCATGGCCCATACCAGACTGGAATTGAAGTCACTACTATTGATTTGGCCGCGTAGAGAAATATACTAACCTCGCATTGCAAGGATATTGTCCTTCTCGAACCAAAGTCAATATTAGCATGTTCTGTTAAGGACGCGTAGATGCGCTTCGTAACTAATACTAGTGCGCAACGTTTCTAACGTATGTATGTAGTATGTGATGAGTGTCAACAGGCCCCGATTATCGCCAAGTAAAAACTGTCTTCGTATGGTATAATAATCGTGATGTGCATTAGAATTTATATACAAGTCCACCCCAACCAACCTCCAACCTCCACGCGTACCTTGCCTGCCTAAGCCGCCACCATCATAATCTTACAAGAACTCGCTCAAAACAGCCACCCTCGTCCTCGCGTCATCCGAGCCCCACTCGCCATCGGCCATCATCTTCATGATCTGAACCATCCGCGCTGAGAAGCTGTTAGCATTGCAAGCATGAAGAACACGCAAGTATAAATCAACTCGGAGAGACAACGCACTTATATCAGACCTTGCTCTCGCAAACAGGGGATCCCTCAGGAACTGGTCTGCAGTCGCCGGATCCCGTCCCACCTCACGGAGCACACTCCCCATACACAGGGCCTCCAAGAACGCCCTATGGTGAAAGACCCACCATACTCTCGCTTCAGGGTCGAACAGCGTGCATAGCACGAAGAAACACGTGATGGCCTCATGCGCTGCTTCGAGCGTAGCACGCACGTTGACAGGGACATCGGGGCTTTCGGAGGCGTGTACGAGCATGAGGTTATGGTAATAATTGCTACTCAGAAACAGCGTTTGTCGCACCACGCGCTTATTAGTGCACGCCAGCTGTGCTATGCTCTCCTGATCCCACGAGCGAAACACGTCCGGGAATGAGCGGTAGACGGCGCGGAAGTCGGCGACAAGCTTGGATTTCTGCCGCTGTGTAGAGCAAATGGGCACGTCAAGCGAACGCGGGCTAGATATTGTTTCTTGCACCAAGTTTGCCAGCATCCAGGAACCGCGAATGTACGCCGTGTCGATGGGATTCGACTCCCCGAAACCGGACACGTCATCGACGAAGTCTTCGACTTTGACGTCCGTATGCGTCGCGTTAGGGGGGAGTGAGAGTAACACCGTCAAGAAGGTGTCCTGAACAAGGACAGCCTGCCAAAGCTTGCGCCGTTGCTGCTTTTCGAATTCGCTTGCACCAGGAACCACTGCCAAGTATGTGAATTAGCTTCTCGGATTGCACCGCCATCACACCTGCTTGAGCCTACCTATGTTTGGGTCCCTATGCAAACCCATCGCGTACGCTTGTCTCACTACAACGCCTATAGTTAGTAATTTTCCACTTGTCTGTCCATCTGTGAAATGACCCTGCGTAACCAGCTGCGAGGACTAAGCGCTGCTAAGCACAAGTAAAGTATTCCTAATCATTCTTGGTGAAAGCCCACGCCCCTTTCATAATACGAGTATTACGGGAGGGCATTCTGGGCATTCAGGAGTTCACGTACATAATAAGCCTGAAAATGCCCAACCATCTGACGCATGATTGTCATTTATCAAGAAATAGCCAACCAGAACCATAGCTTGAACGGAGCGCAACGAAGCCGTATTTAAGTAGGAAGACATGCGTAGCGCTTGATTGCCTGCCGAGGCGTAGAATTCGGCAGTCTGTTTGCGGTCTTTCGGATTCGTCGTCAAGACGAATTGCGTCCCCAAAGCCATCATAGTGAAGAGCAGGCCAACGAAGGCGGCATCGGTCTTCTCGGAGTCCCTCAGAGACCAGAAGTGCTCGTACTCGAGATAGAATGTATGACGGTCGATTATGGGGTATACCGGATCAACGCACTCGTAGTATTGGCTGATGAGGATATCGGCCTGCAACTTGTCGGGAAGGACCCCGATGACCTCGGGAAGCCCGCCCTCACAAGTCCAGTAGTTGGTAAAAGGGTGTTCTGAACCTACCCCAAAGACATCGGATGCTGTTTGGTGGGATAGAGATATGTTAGAGAGGAGCCCTGTTGACAGTGCGACGGACCCACGAGATGCTATCCGACCGATGAGAATACCTCTATCTGCAATGCTTGGAATGGTAGGCTTCATCCCACTCATCGTCACCTTCTTTTTGGGTGGTTTCGTCATTCTACGGCCATTTGTAGCCGACCGTGACGTCTCTCTGAGACTTGTTAGTTGCCGCTGTTTCCTTTTAATAAGGCTATTTTTAGATAGGGGCAAACTTACTCGAGGAGGTTTGCCACGTGGGCATATTTGCATTCCGTTTGTCGTTTTATACCTGACAGGGCCTCGTAAACATGAGATCGTGTAAGAGGATGGGATTTTGCAAGTATGCTTACAAGCTAAACAATGAGGCCTACCTCGATCGCACTAAACTCGAAGTTGAATATGTTAGCAACTGTGAATGAAGGGCTGTAGTAGTCGATTGAAGGTAGAAAGGTAACTGTTCTAAGTAAGGGTAGTAGTTTCGTTTTAACACCAACACCAACACCAACACGATGCACGTTACTGCTGTCGAAATCCCTTCCATAAACCCGATATTCTACTTTGGCAATACGTTGCCACTCCTCCTCTTACGTAGATAGAGTAGAAACTTATATCCACAACAGCTTATGATCTAGTTGTTAGTTTCCCATTAATATTAAATATAATTAATTCCCCCCCAAAGAAACATGGCTTAGTGCACATGATATAAATCGAAATAAAGAAAAAGGAAAGAAAAAAAGAAAAATAATGCATCAGATAACTTGATGCGCATGAATTCTCCGTAGTGCAACGTGATACTGATGCAACCTTCGGGTGTCAAAAGAAATCAATTTTGTCTAACGCTGGCCAAATTGACGCAGAACGTAATGCCAGAATAAAATAAAAATAAAATAAAAAATAATTTATTCATTTGTTTGTTAGAATTTCAGAGGTTTTTTTCTTTTCACTTGCCTTCGTTTTCCGCTCGACGCACTCATAACAGGATAATGTCGGTTTGTTACGTTTCTGTTTCTTCTTTAGGGGCTCGGGGAACGGAGGTACGGCGGTGACGCTACCTCCGCTACTCGTGCCGTCGCCATCTTCAGGCTCAGATTTGGGGCCGAAAAAAGGATGAGTTGCCGAATCGGGCGAGGTATACAGTGTACTCGCCGAGTTCGGGGTGAGTATTGTAAGTGGCGATAGAGCAGAGGTTGCGCACACAGCGGAATTGGTAGAATTTCCAGAGTATCCTCCGCTGCCGTACAACAAATTCGTCGGAACTTGTGATGACGACATGCGCATTACTTGTGTATTTTCTCGTATTTGGCGCGGTACGCTGTTGCAACGGCTGCACTGGCCGCAATGGCTGCAATCCGGTATCCAAGAGGTCCAAGAGGATTCAATTGAGGCTGAAGACCAAAACTGCGGGTGGCGCATCCGGGAATAACGGTCGATCGTCTAATAAAGTGAGGCTTGATCGATTACCTAGACAAGGTTTGGGGTGGTTTCGCGGAGAATGGGAATGGATGGATATAAAGAAAAGTAACAATTGAGAAAGGAAAGCCAAGACTTTTTTTTGGGTTCCCCCGTTCCTCGAGGAATTTAAAAAAGAAAAAAAAAATTGGGGATTCGAAGGAGGGATCGGGAATCGATTTGGGAAAAGCTTAGGACGGAGAGTTGAGACGAATAATGTAAGGTTTAAAGTTTAAAAGGTATCGTAGGAATAAGGAACAATAAGGAATAACGAGGAATAATAAAAGAATAATAAGGAACACCTAGAGCCTTTTAGAGATTAATGAATACCTAAACAAGGTTTAAAAAAAGGGTATCAAAGTATCAAGGTATCAAGGTATACCTTAGGTATACGTTATTAAGCATGTATCCAGATAATGGATGTATCTTAACTTTTTGTATTGAGGTATCATATTAGATATGTCAGTTGACACACGCACGCACATACATACACCCCCAAAGGAGGTACCTAACCTAGGTACTTAACATTAACCTACTTTGGGTAGTTATCTTTTTTTTAAATCATCTTTCTAATATAATTGAGTTTTTGGTTTTATGTCTTATTTGGCATTGTTACGAGCTTCAATTGTATCAATACCTCTTACTCCCGACTACTTGGCTCGCTCACCTACTGCAGCTCTTGGGTACGTCACGTCACACATCACGCCCGGTCTACATATACACGGCACGGCATGTAAGTCTTGGCCCGTTCATACTTGAATGCATTTATATTGCAACTACATAGTATGTATGAAGGCGGTCGCATAGCAATATACCCAGCTAGATAAATCTGCCCGTAAATGAGATAGTACAGTATGTATGTCTGTAAGTCGAAGTTCTGGGAATCGAGTCGCATGTCGGTGTATTACACTAATAAAATGCAACTTTACAGCACCTAATCTTATAGATAACTAAGTCCATTAATTACCTGACAGTTAATTGGACGCCTCGATGGAGTCCCCCCGCAAGCACGTCTAGCTAAGCTCTTTAGGTGCCGAAAGTGTGCCGCCGGTGTGGACAAGGGTTTGTAACGGTTTCTGGCCCGCGAAGTGGGAAACGGGCAAGGGATCCTTGATGGATCATTGATGACAACTTGACAAGTCGCATAAACCGGAGGGCGACATGAACCTGCAGTATAGACACGCGCTGCGATTAGAAATGCCGAAAGCTTACGTTGACTGACTGACAGATCGACTGACAAAAACTAACTAATAACTAACTGGATGACAAGATGGGTCGGTTTTATCGGTCGCGCTCCTAAAATCCTCGGTGTTCTTATATCGTGAGCAAGAATTTGACACGATGACCTACGGCTTCCAATGAGGTATAGATGTAATATAATATACGACATCTCGGCTAAGACGGAAGACCAGGATGCCGCGTGTTACCCGTCAGCCCGTTTGGTTATCGCTCGCCGAGTTACTATACTATGTATAGGTAGTGTTCTTACTCGGGTATTGTTACTCGGCGGTCGGAGATAGTATCTTCATCGCCAAACAAAAGACGGACCCTTGGAAGAATATTATTTCAACGCGAAAAAAAAAAAAAAAAAAAAAAAAGAATAGTAAACGACGATCTCGTTCATTAGACGATATATTCCAGTTCGGTAACTCTAGGCGGCTCACCATTCCCATCTCGCCCCTCCTGCTCCTCAAGCATCCAATATCCAACCCTACCTACATGGGGGTTAAATTGAAGACTTCGTGCTAACCCAAGTCCAGAACGAGATTACGTCAATACTCATTTTAGAAGGCGTCGTAATGTGATAGGGCGCAGTTTTCTGTCATAATAGATTTGCGACTTAAGTTCTGACATTTCTATTAAGATAATTACTAAGACTTCTTTCTAGACCGTACACCATACCATGTCCAAAACCCTTCCCCCCCCCCAAGATGACTAGACTCCAAAAGATGTCTCCAACCTGCATTCCGGTTCTATGCGACTCATACGTTAGCTAAGATAGAAACTTGGCTGCGACCTTAACCATGCATGTCAGGAAGTGGAGAAACATAGTCTTATGCGGGCGACTTGTGTCGAACGACTCAGTCTGACAGGCACAGGTTTCTAGAGTTATTCTCGAGCTTTTCGACTTCTCTTCAACGGCTTTTGCTTGTCAGCCTGCCCAAATCCCGTTACTATGTCAAACTACAGCGATGGTATAATAGCCTCGCAGGTACTAAGGATTAAGGGCTAAGGATTAAGGGCTAAGGGTTAAGGGCTAAGGACCAATGGCTTCGTCCCCGGGAGTCTGGGAGTGAGCCCAGCTTCGTGGTAAGGTCCAGGCTACCTAGGTGAGATGTGCGTCAGCTCCTGCTCCTGCAATTATTCTTGCATTTACTTTGCATTTGTCGGGTTGACTAAACATGGTGCCATCGACGAATAGCGAGACACGCTCGAATTAATCAGCGTTCTAAAAACAAAACACCGATATTAGATGCCAAGCAAGAAGTTATTCCTTTTTTTTTTTTTCCTTTTTTTGGTCCCCCAAGCAAATAGCTTTTGTTTCGTCAACTCTGAATAATTTTCGCAGTTTTTTGACTGATCGCATTATGTTGCCTCAACCACACTTTCAACGTCGCCTTCAATTAACCGCGGAGACTGGGGGGCCTCTGTATTCGACAATGGAGAGAGGTGGATGAGCTGCATATACAATTACTGGCCAAGCCCAACCTCGAGAAGACCATCATCATTCATCTGATCGCCATAACTCATTTCATCATGTGGGAATCGCCACCTCTCAGAGAGAACCTCAACATCGCTTCGCCTCCGACGTTTCCCCGTTATTGCGCCCTGCCATGCACACCCTGGAAATTTCTATGGTTTATAGACCACCTTAACGCCCAAAGTTCACGCCTGTGCAACCAAAGCGTGCTTCCGGTATTGATGCAGTCATCGTTCAAGCTCATACGATAACGCCTCAATGAGATATCGAATATATTGAAACGCTGGTCAACTTCCTAGCACGGAGGGGATTGGTAATGAGGGGGGGGGGGTGGGGGGGTTGAGAAATCCATGGCTTCATCCGTGGCCTTTCGCCACGGCAGCGGTGAATGAGCCCAGCTAACATACTTGACCCCTCGGACTCCATTCGGACTCAGTGGGTTTCGTTAGAGTAAGACATCTTACTAGGATTTACAAGGTTTCACGAGTTCTATGGGTTCAAGGTATCATCAGACTTCTCGATGCCCGCACATAGTTGATGGATGATAAGAATCATTATGAGCACCGAGTGGTGAATATTCGAAGAGCGTGAAGATACAAACTATCCAATAAGATCTAAGTATTCACCTAAAGCTAGTTCGACGTGCAACCATGATGCATAAAGGAGCTAGCTGGTATCCTAGATAGATCATATCAACTAGAACAATCCTGTCAACTATGAGACTGTCACACATCTTCGCATGAGCATGTCAACTTTGCCTAGGGTTGAGGGGGAGCATAACGAACGGATGGTCAGCAGGAAACATAGTCCGAAACCTACCTGGTTGACTTGGCTCGGGATGTTCCGTCTGTCTTTTATGGAAGACTTCGCCAAAGTGAACTAACTACCCACCTAGGTAAGCTTACCTGCCGATGGTATTCCTCCTATGTACGGAGATCTAAGCAGATGACTATGGGGAAGCTCAAACGGAGCTATGCCTAAGAAAAATCGAACTACATCATGCAAGATCCAACTTAGGGTTCGGAACGGCGTTTCCACCAAAGCCGCCTCGGGACCGTGATTTACATAGTAGAAGCAGGTACAGCAATATCTTCCAATACAATCCAGGATGCTCGCTCGCACGACTTGCAAATAGCTCAGGGATAGCTCGCTGAAGAGTTCTTACCCCATTCTGCCAAGAGTTGATAGCTCATCTCATATACCAAATTTTGCTGTAGAGGGAAGAACCAAGACTATGGTCTACCATTGTGGCTTCCGAACGGTTCTTCGTGGCGGGACCATCCCATTGGCGCACTGCTACAGGAAGAATGCATCATGGGTAGAAACGTCAACTTCCCAGCACATTGGATAGCATAGCGATCTTTACCCGAGAGAGTGAAAATGAACGCAGGATGGCCTACGAATGGGCCAGTCACATATTGGCATGCTGGGACCGGTCCGGTGTGCTGGTAGCAGAGCTGGGAGGGATGTTGAAATCCCTCGTTGGGCCGCAACGAACCCTGTTTCACCCCCAGTCCGGGGTAATCCGTTTGGTTTACTACCTGGCGGACCACCTCACCTCTACCTAGGCTGCTAGGTAGGCATCGCTAATATCCAGCAAGGCTAGGACAGTCCACGATCGATCGATTTTCCCGGGGGAGCAGGGCCCCAAGGGACATAATACCTAGGACGTCAACGCTACTGATGCATCCCGCCCCCTCCCCTTCCCTGCTGACCGTAGACGCGTTCTGGCTGGCTTCCGAGTGGCGCCGTTGGAGACTATATCTCAACCTCCACCCATAGATTACGCCAGCAATGCCAACCTTTTTGATATTGATGGTGTCGAGGGCAAGAGTAGACGACCGCTGCATTGTGATGCTCTTCCACTGCTGCCTGCATCTTTCTAGACGCTCAAAATTTGACTGGAAGGGAGCGCATTGGCCGGTTCCCAAGGCGGCTGCTTACGGAGGTATCATCGAGCAATAATATAATATAGAAAGCTGGACTACAGCAAGGTTAGGTAGGTAGCTTGACAAATTCGACGAAGAAGGTCGAGGCGATGTACCTCGGTTCATGATATCTGACAGAATTTTTCTTCTTTCGAGACTGATTGGAGGCGGCGGGTGGGATGTTACATGGACAAATCGTCACTAGCTTTACCTAGGTACCTAGGTAGCTTACAATACATATCAAATCTTAACAGCTAGCTACCCCGTATAATACTATGTAGGTACATTAGGTAGCTTTATTGTCTATAGCTCTGCCGATCTTCCGAGAGACTCTTTTTTTTTTTCGGATTACATATATAGTAAGATACAAATAGGTATTTATAGAAGATGAATAATTGTTCTTAATCATACGGATACATATTGCCTAATTAATTCATGGTTCAGATCATAGAGTCGAGATTCGAGAGGACAAGGAATACAGACCGCCAAGGATACCTAATGTAATATGCAATACTACCATATCGATTTTAGTATATGTATGCGGTCCCTGCTTATCATAGGCAAGCTGGGAAAATGTGTCCCAATATGGAAGACCAAAAGGTTGAGCTAGCAGCTGAATAGGGGTAACTTTTGCTATTAATCAGCAACCATTCACACTCAGCCGCAATATGACTTTCACTTGCTTACCCCTTTTCTTCCTGGCGCTCCATCCAAACGCATGATCTGGAAACACTTAGGGATGATATTCATGGGAGAAATGTCTCATCGTCGACCCACTCGCTAATTGCAACTTAGCGTTATGTCGTTGAAATATCTTAAGACTTACATTCACATCTTTAGAGTCAACTCTATGAAGTTCTGCTCATGTTGAGTTGTCCGTAGTACTGTTATCTAGACATTTCTATTCTACCCGTTGATTTCCGGGTGCTTAATCCTCAAGAGAAGCTTAAGAGATGAAATAAAAATTCACTACTAATCGATATGTATTTCGATTTGAATGTAAACTTGCATTGCTCTTAGCTTTGCCCGAACTCCATATGAGGCATCTGAAGTCAATATGCTAGTTTACATAGGCACCTACCTTAGGGAATTACTAACATTCATAATCTGAGTCTAGAATTGCTTGTGAAGCAACAGAGCTTTCCCATACCTTGAATGTTGATTTAGTGAAAGCTATGGTCCCGACCTAGGTGTAGGTATCAACCTATCTCACTTTGTAATTAAAGACCACACGCCTTTTTTGAATAGAATAATATCGCTACAGGTGTTCTAAATATGTGAATTATTAGCATCATTGATACTTCACATAAAAGCCTGTGTAAATATCTTGCCAGAACTTTAGTTACAAGAACAGCAAAATCGCAGAAACTTCCTAAACCACACACCAGCAGAGCCATCACATACCACCTTAGCGCACCTTTATCCTTCAGCAAACCTTCTTTACCAAAACAATGTCAGGCAACGATCCGTCCAAGGGGTGGAAGCTGAAAGAGACTGGGTGGGAACCAAAACCCAGCACGGCGACTGCCACCACGGGTACTTCCACCGGCCCCAAGATACTACGCAGAGATGTCAACCGTACTGACACTTCAACTAGTACCGCGTCGAGTCCAAGTAAGGATACGCCAGGCAAATGAGGAACCTGACATTTCTACGACAACCACGTTAAACAAGTTAGTTACCCGCCAGGATTCAGAAAGCTCACCCAAGAAGTAATAGTTTCTAGTTTGGAACACCTAGTATGTCGCTTCGCAATTCTGGGATTAATATAGCATAGTCATTCTGCCTTGGCTACGAAATAGCATTTACTTATCGCCAAGCACTGGAAAACTATAGAACGGACAGCGTGCTAGTATCGTAATGCTTTCGATATTGACAGTTTTAATAACTTGTGAAATCTCATGAAATCAACATGAAAAAGTAGATAGCCCCCAAAGACGTAGGATTTGAAGTCTAGAAATTTGAGCCGTAGGATTCAGATCTACCCACTGAATACGCGTATTGGCCATGGTTTGATGAAGTTTACACAGTGAATCTCGAGAAGCAACTTTGAAATGAGACACTTCCATAACTTCACCTTGCAGGAGACTAGGTATTTGAATAAAAGTGTGTAAAAACTTTTTTTTCTCGTCATTACTCTCACTAAAAGGAACATTTGATTAACCCACCAAATCTTAGCTTTCAGTACTGGGAAATAGTATTCATCCTGGTTAAAATAGGAGATCCTCTTACTCTGGCCTAAACCAGGAGTTCCCCCGTAATCCAACCCGATCCCCCTATGGTATGATATCGAACATAGCCTGCAAACACCTCGAAAGTGGTGTACACCATATAATATATACAGAGAAGCGCAATGTTGGATAGTAAAGACCATTGCAAAAGACCAGATCCCAATCAGGTATACAAGGTATCCATCGATCCCATTGGAATACCACGCGGAGGGTCTAACAATAATGTGCAGAAAGACTATCCATGGACGATTTGCCTGTTCTCCCACCGTATACCAACTTCCTCACAACACCACTGTCCGCTCCCACGTCCAAAGCCGAGAAGCGCCCAAGATATGTATTAACGAACACAAATGACTTCGCGGAACAGCATCCTCGTACTGGAATAGCGACAATGTGCTTGTTATGTTCTTTCAAATACATATATCCATGTCGACGTCACTCCTCATCGATTTCCCTTTCCTATTCTCCATCATCGCATCACCATACCATCGTGATACATACCTCATCAGATCCCTCCATCAACCCGTATTTGCACATAGACCCCTATTCTCCAAACTTCAAGGGATATCGTTACACTTTGTACAACCGAGAAAAAGAGAGAAAGGGAAAAAAGGAAAAGGATTTTTCGAAGAACTCACTCACTCACTCACAACCACCATGCCATCATCCGACTCGAAACCCCACCACCGGCGCCGCGGCGGCTTCCGAGACATGCTGCAGCGGCTCACGGGGCTGAACCTGAACGCGCGGGCGGAGCGGGCGGAGCGGGAGCAGCAGCGGCGGCGGGAGCAGCGGCGGCGGGAGCGCGACCTGCGGCACATGCAGCGGTACGTGACGCCGCACGGGCACGTGAGCTCGGCGCGGGCGATCCGGCGGCGGGTGACGGAGGCGCAGCAGCGCGGCGTCCGCGTCGCGCCGGACGTGCTGTACCAGCTGGCCGCGCTCGAGCGCATCCTCGTCACGCGCCCCCCCAGCGGCCGCTCCAGCCTGCGCCCCGGCATGCTCGCCCGCCTCGGCCAGCTTAATGCTCGGTGGTACTTCCTCGGCTACGACGGGTTCTACTACTATAGCAGCCACCCGCTCGCGCTCGGCGCCGACTTCGATATCACCGTTGATACCTTCGTGCCGCCGTCCATTCGCATGGTCGCGTACCCGTACCGGCAGTTGTGCCGTTCGTAAAGTTGTTATGGCGTGCCGTAGGTATTTCTCGTCTCGCAGGAGAAACAAAAAGAAAAGATGGTGAGTACATACCTGCTTGGGTAACCTACCTCCTTATTGTCTCTACCCCAGTCCTCGGTACGAGTAAAGGTAGGATCGTAAGTTAGTTAGTGCGCCAGGATGGATCTAGGAAACCATTTTCTCGATTACCTATGTCCAATCCGTAATAAGTAGGTACCTAAGCTCCCGGCAAGGCCATCTCGACATCCATATAGGTGGCTAGGAACTGGTCACAAACCTTGTAGGTCAACCTGTACTGCTTTCTCGACACGTTTACGTACTTACTACGTGCTCTCTGCGAAGACGTTGAAAGCCACGAGATACGAATATCTATGATTCCAACCCTTGGTTGGTCCCCTTTTCTTAACTGCAACTTTTCTTTTTTTGCTGGACGAGCTTTGCCGAGACAACTTAGAGCCCGGGAACTGGAGGCTATTATACAAGCTTCTTCCCATGACTCTCTGAGGCATTGTTACTTGCTCTTTTGTCTTGCCGCTCTCCTGTTGTTCCGGCTTCCTGGTAAATGTTATCAGCTTTCCCTAGCTGTTTTTGACTTACCAAGCCTGATTTAGATAAACCCGTTGAAAATCAATAAAAGAAATGACCTTTTTGCGAATAGTTTCTTATTCTTTGTCTCGTCTGTGAATGTGAAAACTTGTTCGTTCCTAGTCGTGTGTGTTTGATCGAGGTAGCTGAGCTCCCTATACCTATACCATACATACCTGCTACCCCCTATTATAGGTACCTACCTAGGTACCTATCCGTCGTGAAGTCGTAACGTCATGATAAAATATGAACAGGAAAAAGCGCCATATATACAGGAGGCAGTAAAGAATATATACAATGAAAGAGACAGGCTCTCCATAGCTCGTAGTATGATGGCTACTCACCACAGATCGCCTGCCTGAGGGAGAAGTATTTCGGTGTGCTCCGGGGCGAAGTGCTGACCAGTTATAGAAAACCCGACGACAATAACTTCAAGGTTCTATTCGTGCTGAAACATGCCAAGCGCTGAAGAAGCCCTAACAGTTGAGAACAAACTCTTTTGTGTAAGATGGATAAAGGACTAGTCGGTTATGCCCAACACCTAGAGACGCAACAATTTTATTGTCCGCCAGTTCGTAAGGAGTTGTGTCACCTTACCGCCTATTAGGCTTCTCTCAAAGATCTTGAATGTGAATGGCATTATTATTGTCAAAAACTACCTAATCATTATCGTGCCAAAGACAACGAAGCATGAACTGGTCCGAAAAAGAAAAAGAAAAAGAACATTAGAATACAAGGTTAGGAGAACGGTCATCTCACATTTACTAGTAAAATGTACAAAGCCAAAAGCTATCTTGACGCAGACTCATGTTACGTTAATTCATAGCAGAATGGATACTCATGAACGCTTGGGAGATCTATTACTTAACTCAGTGAAGCCCTCATGGTCCACTTTTGCTATCCCGAAGACTTTGGTTTATGGACAACCGTCTCGTCCCAAATCTCCTTTATCAGGCTGGTCTGCTTCATAGTTCGCAAAGATCCTCCATTATCCATACGTTTGGAAAGTGGGAAAGCTCCCCATTCCTCCCCGGCCAAAGAAATCTTCCATTAAAGAGGGATCGCGCAAAGATATTGCGATAGTGGCCTAGGCGCTTCCTAAACCCCCAAATTTGCCCCGATGGTCATGCCATTTTTGCGGCGAAAGAGCCTGACCGCGTGATTCACAAGATTGTAGACTTTTCGTGGACTTTTCATCAAAACTGGGGTACTATACTCCCCGGCGGATATGCTCTAGCGCATTTTGGTCTATCACCAAATAATGTCAAAACGCTCCATCCAGAACGCACTAAAAGGCACTGAAAGGCTCAAAGAATCAATCAAAAATGCATTGATTAGCGTCTGTCTCCCCCAAATCGGTCCCTGAACCAATTAAATGGACCGCCGACAGAACCTCGTCCGTCACGTGCCCTGTCACTCTGTGCTGAACGACGACTAGAAGGGGAAGGGCTCCTAACTCTAGCTGGGGCCGTTCCAGAGCGTGTCGGGGGAGAGCTGGAGTCTCGTCTGAATGGCTGCGGCCGACTGTAAGAATTAGCTTGAACCGATCTCAGGCGAGCTAACGGTGGGCCTTCATCCTGTCTTCGAGGCTGAGATGCAGTGCCAGACGGACCGGGCTGTGAATTGCCAGTCTCTGAATTTGAAGTGGAAGCTACGGGGCGGCCAGCAGCCTCGCCATCGATAGATGCACGGCAGATAGGACAGGTGTTATGCTGTTTCAGCCACAAGACGACACATTGTTCATGAAACCAGTGTTTGCACGGTAGGACGACAGCTTCGTCTCCCACCTTTACCTCATCAATACATATAGTGCATTCACCCTTTAATTCGGGTCCCAACATAGCCTCGTCTAGCTTCTTCTTCGGCAGCTTTGCAATGGCTTCCTCCGAAGCAGGCGCTGGCGCATTGGACTGTGGGTTTGCTTCCATGAGGTTCGTGATGATGCGGTCTAATGCCTCTTGAGAGTAGACTGCATCGCCATGAGCCATGTGGGGATTTATCAGGCTCGCTATGAGCTGACTTAGAGCCAGCGAGAAATCCGCCGGCTGGCGGGGATTGCCTTCGCCAGCGGCTTGATTCTGACCGTTGGGAGAATCTCGACCCATAGGAGGAGGACCTAGGTCTCCCATTATGTCTCCAAACACTCTAATGAACGAGTTAGTATCTAACATAAATATAATTTACCCTGAAATTTTCCAAGTTCAAGATTAAAAAAGGGGGAGACTTTACCTTTGAAATGGGTCCTCAGGGCCAAATCCTGGTCCGCGGCTGGGATCAGGGCGAACTCGTCCGGGACTAGACGATGTAATGGTAAAGCTACTAACACCACCTGTGAAGCCGGGTCCTGAAAATCTCTGAAGCGTAACACGGGAGGGTTGACCAAAAAGTGTGTCTGGGCCGGACCGACCAGTAGGGGAGCTTCCTTCCATATCGGATATCATCTCTGTGAATCTTCGTATGATCTGTTCGGGGTGGTCGGGAGCCGTTCGGGCGCTTGTTCTAAGACCTCGGCCATCAGGGGATCGCAATATAGTTCGATGGCCAAAAAAGCCTCCAGGGCCTCGGAATAGGTGTTCATCAATATCCTCTTCGTCAGGGTCTTCATCGGAATCGAAGCGAGGATGAAGGCGGCGACGTTGCTCGAAATTCAGTAGGGGATCGTCATCTAGGTTGCGAGGGTCACTTTCAGGTGAAATCTACTTGTTGATTAGCAATATTCCTAAGCATAACGTCGCAAATCAAACATACTATCTCTGTAATCTCTTGGTGACATCGGGGACATTCTAAGGTGTCTGGACGTTCATCTCGGTACCACTCGTTCTCGCAGCTGTGGCAGTAGACCACCTCGCGATCTCCGGTCGCGTCTAAATGGCGGCTTCTGGACGCCATCTGGCCCTGTCTGGACTGCTGATAGGCGACTAGGGCAGTGACACCGAGGCCAATAGCTAGGCCGGCTGCTCGAATGGCTCGGAACGCCAGAATGACAAATCAATGGTAGAAAGTAGGCGTATGGATAGCTTGGCAGTTTTTGGATATTTTGAGGCTATCGCGACCGAACAAAAAGGGATTAGTTTGATTTAGGAGGGAGTGGCGACTACAACAATGAAGTCGGTTGAAGTCGGTAAGGTTGGATGAGGCTGACGTGGGGTGTTTGAAGTCCGATGGTGGTAAAAATGCATGCAGGCTGTAACCGCTAGGTTGATTTATTAAATAACTTACCTACCGAGCAAGGCAGATTTTGGACCCGGAGATTTGTGTAAGAAATGCAACGGCAGGTTGGAAATATATCAGAGGAAGGGAAGGCTCGCAACGGGCTGTTGTACATTTAACCTAGTTAGTTAGCAGCTAGATGAGTCTTATTATACGGTATCAACTGTGGCGCACCTCGTAGTCAAGTAGCAGTCAAGTAGCAGTCAAGTAGCAGTCAAGTAGCAGCTTAGTAGCAGCTGGTTGTGAATACGTCAGCGGATATCACGGAATATCACAAAAGTAGTTGTTGAGCCTGTGTATGGCGACAGTACCTTCGCAATATGTTGGCAATTTGATATCAAAGGAGAGACTGTCAAAAATATCCCGGAAAAGAGATTGTATATTCTGTTCGGCCACAGGGAACTTGAGTGAATTGTGATTGATGCCAGAGTTCAGTAGAAGATCAAAGATCTGAAGTCCATGTGCATTGTACAAGACTGCTGCTGCTGTTTTTTTTTTTTTTTTTTTTTATCCCGTCAGGGTTTTCTTAACCGTATCCTTGCTCTACTTTCCGTGCTGCCGTGGTAGTCATCCGACGGTCGGAAGTGATTGTATTAGTTGAGAGATAATCTTGATGCTTCTAGGCCGCTTTGATTTTAAATAATGCGCCTTGAAGAAGTTGTACTATGTAGTAGACTAGCAATTGCCAAATTGCCCTGATTCGTTTCGTCATTTACGTACAGGTGGATATTTTATTTTACCTAAGACCTAGCAGCCTAGCAGCCTGGGTACACCTTACACGTACCGCGGGGCAACTTCTCTTATCGGGACGCACCTACCTAACCCTAGTTACTTGCATGGCCACACTACCCACTTATAAAGCCTTGAGGCTGTTAGGTTCCAACAGTTAAATGGAGGTACATACGTTAGGTACCTACCTCATATATACTCAGACTCTTCTTAATATCTCCAGAATTCTGGGCAAAAACATATAATATTTTCACCATATATATATAGGTATTCATTCAGACCCTTATTTGTATTAATATGCTGCTAGGTCAGGTAAGTCAAGGAAAAGTCTAATTCTTGATTTATATCCACTAAATTTTGTGGAAGAAAGAAAAAGGTCACGCGAGGTCATCCGGATAATCATCAACAACCACGCAAACAACCAAATCCTTCTGTGTAAGAGTAAATGAATTTGACACCAATTAAAATTTGAGATGAGTGAATCATATCTAAATTAACTCGCACTTGTTACTGTATCATAATGCCACGACGCTAGATTCCCCAGCCCTAGTGCTTCAGTAAAAATCATTCCCTCGCCTTCGAAAGGGTTCAGGACTGCAACCTGCGTCTCAAGCAGACCGCCATCGCATGTATTTGATAAGGACACGGCTTCCCCCCAGCTCTAGCCAGTACAACGCCATCGGTTTAACACAACCGTATCATCTAACAACTACTTACGGCGTTATATTTCTTTTACGGAGCTTTCCTTACGGGTATACTTCCGCCAAGCTTTCTACCGTCTCTTGCCACGGAACAGAATTCCACCAACCACGCCGGCCGCAATAGCGACACCGCTTATGATTGCAACACCCATCAGGCCCTCTTTTGTTACCTTGTCATCGATCAATCTGCGCAAGTCCGCCGCTTGGTGATTGGCCGGTTCCTTATCCAGCAGCAAATCATTGTAACGCCTTGCCTCGCCGTAATTTCCGAGCTTGAAGTTGGCCAGGGCTAGGTAGTATAGGCATTCGCGACGGCGGTCGGGGGATACTCGGAATATATCCGAAAGGAGACGGACGCCTAGCTGTTGATCGCTTCGGGTATTCGACTTGATTAGACCCTATAAGAAGATGATGAGTAAAACTATCACCAGCCGGGATATGGCTCTTGCAGAAAAGTGTAGGTGTACGCACCCATGCGTAGTTGAATTTTGTTTGGATACCGGCCATCTCGCCCTCTTTCTCATATTGTGCGCGTAGAGTCTGGAGTTCCGCCTCCTTCAGCGGACTATCCCGTATTAAAAATTAGCTTAGAAGTTGGAGCGCGGGGACCACGGGGGAGCACTATGGGGAAGTCATACGTTTCCGCATCTACGGCATCTAAAAGTAAGAAAAACAGTATAATTTAGCGGGTCGAGATCTATTATGCGACTTAGAGCAAACCCAATAGGTAGGTAAACTCACAAGGTAGAGCCGTCATCTTGTTAGTAGTGTTGGCTGGTTTTTAGCCTAGGTATAGTTCGGATCGGGCGGTCTTTGTCGAGCAGAAAAGTAGTAGTGGTAAGAGTGTAATACTGGAAGAAATGCTCAATTTTCGCTTGAGCTGTATATCTATCTTTCCGTATAAGTGAGTCGGGTATGTATTAACAGGTAACGTACGAGGATAATGTTGTTAGAATATGTCTTAGCGACGGCAAAGTTAATATAATATGTATGTAAGTTCTGCAACCTTCAAATGTGGCGGGAGCTCTCAATTCGTCGTCACCTGGAGGCGGGTGGGCTCTGTGTGGCGCAATGACGCAGAACAAGAGGTGGGGTAATGTACCTTCAAATACGTATTATGTACATATGTACAATACGTATCTTTTCTGCGCTAGGTACCTAAGTCGTCCTGGTGATAACGCGGTTTGTTTTGTCCACTTCCCAATTCAGCCGTGATTTAATCGATATCTCAACTTTTTACTTAAACACATTAAACTATCACGATTGACTTGAAATCCTCCAACAATTGTAAACAATAACAATTAAGAATAAAATCACTGTACATTAAATATCCACGATGCTTCTCGACGAGGATCCCGCTACTGTAAGAATTTCACCCTTACTCTCTCTTATATTCTCAACTATTGACACTACGTAGCTCATCCACCATACAATCAACAATTTCAATATTGCCCCAGACAAACTCGCCGTGTCACGAATCAGCGACTCGCTGTCTACACTGAAACAAGCGCGAGAACTCCGTATCAAAGAAGCCGAATCGTCGTTGAAAAGTATGGATCAGCCATTATCTGATTATATTGTCGAGTTTATACTAACGTAAACGAACCAGAACTCGGCCGTTCCCTTAATACTCTCCAAGCGCAACATGAAGAACTCACATCACAACACTCATCAGCTGCACACGCGTCCGAGATCTCGCGCCTCGATACACAGAAATTCCGCATCGCAAAGGCCGTCTCCGATCTAGAGATGGAGGCAGAGCGCCTGTCCTCGCAGCAGGCCGATCTAGCGGCGCGTTTACAAGAGCTGGAACTCCAAGGACTAGAGGGATCGCCCGAAGAGGCGGCAAAGAGAAGAGATCCGGTCGATGACGAGGTATTGCTGCGCTTAAAGGTGTATCGAAGCCTAGGCATCGAGCTGGAACGGGACGAGAAGGACGGCGAGTTCTCTAGGGCCATTGTGCGTAACGATCGCAAGGGCGATGTTCATGTGATAAACATGGACAAGAAGTTCTCGCGCTTCTTCTACGCTAATTATTTCTGGCAAACGCTCTAGGATGGTGACGGCTTCGGCAGAGTTTTCAACTTAAAGGGGTTACTTATGTGGGATGAACTTTATTTGTGAAGGTTTACTTGCCGCACGGTGTTAGGCGTTTTTTAGGTTGGTGGAATACCACAATTTATATTGAGTCTTATACACACATGTCAACTTACAAAAGTTTGGAGGCGTGATACAAAGTAGCGCCCAATCCCCTCTTTTCGCCCCTCATTGAGATCAAACCCGTTGTCCATAACTTTTTGACCTTGAACCCGATTTTCCCTACGGACTGAGGCCCGAAAATCCTATAAAACGCCAAACCCCTTCTATCCAAATAAGGTAATTAGGTATTTACCTAACGTAACCAAACCCAATCATATCTGAATTTTCTTGTTGAAGAACCCCTCGAGCGTCTGTGCCGTGTCTTATCTTCGTTCTTTCTTAGCATCGGCTAGTCCTGGCATGCTTTCCTTCTAACTTGGGGAAATACTCGCCGTCATCGAGCTTGGTGAAACTGCGTGCTCTGCTATTTGTTGGCGTTCTTGGTCTTGAGCTGTTGGGTGACGCATGCAATTTTATTCCTTCTGGTCCATAGACCGTCGGCGCATTTGCGCCCTTTATGTAAAGGCCAAGCCCGTTGTTTCCCAACGACACGACGCCTCCGCTATGTGATCTAAAATGATGTTGGCGGTCAGGGAGTTCTAGTCGTGAGTTGAGATTGTACCACTGCTGGTCATCCGCATCATCCGCGCCAACACCTATACTATCCAATCTCCATCCGCCGACACCCTCGAAGTCTCTCTCGAGGCCGGAAGTGGGTGTCAAACCAAGACTACCAAAGCCGTTTTGGGGTGTGGTAGAGCCGCTGCTATAGCTGCCTTGAAGCTTGCTGCGTCGACGCCGGTGTCGAGCCTCGGGTGAAGATGGAGGGGAGGATTCCGACGAGTGTGACGGAGACCCCGAAGGAGTGTGCCGATTTGCTATGTATCGAGTGCGCGCGGCATGGCCGACCAAAACATAGCGTAGCGTCTCGATTCCGACGTTGAAATATACCAGGAATAGACGTAGGAAAAGGAGCATAAATGCCAAGATGGTGGTGAAGCCGGCGCAAAGGGCGAGCGGAAGGGCGACGAAGAAGAGGAATGGGAAGATGAAGAATTGCAAGGGGCTAAAAACTGCCATTGTGGTATCCGATATCCTGGCAGCTAGCTAGCTGTATTTTGGCGGGATTATCCGCGTAGCTTGAGAAATAATTGACAATCCAAAGAGCTTACCGGATCACATTGTTGAGGTTTTGGGTCAGTCCAAATGTCTCAAATGAATTCGCGTATCAGAGAAAAAAAGATCAGAATGAGTGCCGTCGGAGGGTAACACAGATGAGGAGAAAGGGGAAGTAATGAAGAATATATACATAATAAGACATGAAGAAACTCGAGACTAAGACACTCTATTCCAATGTAGTCTCTGTAGTCTCGATCATCGTAAGAGGGAGAGTGGTGCGTGGTGTAACAAACTTTCGATTTCTAAACTAGTTACCCGAAGCAAGTACATAGGTAATTGTTATAACAGCGAGCAGCTTTCACTTTCACTTTCACTTTCACATGCCGAAAGGATCTAACAAAGTGCAGTTATTTAAGGTGTGTTATGTGTTATACCTGTAAGGTACTTGAATTAGGTACAAGACAATAGTATAAGACAATACTTTCTTTTATCAGCGAATACTTTACCTCTAGGTACATCTGATAACTGATAGATAACATTACCTATAGGTAACTACCTAAAGTGAAGTGCTTATACCGGCGAGGTAGTATCAGTATAATTGTGGATAGGACCTACCTCTATGCGCATCGTCTGATCTTGTATACGTATATTATACATATTTATACACTACCTAGCATTCAATAAGAGGGAACAGGGCGGCGATCTTATCTGACGTCACGAGACTTGAAAGAACCCCCCAAATGGTACGTACACACTGTGTTCATTGGCGAATACCAATGAAACACATTATCTTATAACGATACCTCTTTTGGACCGAATAACAACAATAATAAAATAAAGTAATTACCAACATAAAAACTTGACTATTTCTTATGAATTTTGGTTTAATACTTCAAAATTTTAACAGAAAGCATTAGAGAGCGCACCACTTCTTGTTTTCTTCTTTGACAGCGTTCTGCCGGGTCAGACATACAAAACCTGCACAAGAAACCTCATCTCGATTCATCCATTTCATGTGCTGTGCTACAAATCTAGGTAGTACCCTGCTTACTTTGCATGTGAGTCACAACTACGAGCCATAAACTATGCCGCCGAAACTGCTAATATACCTATTCAAAAGTAGCAAGATTGTCTACCTCGGTAGGTACTAACACACTGGCTTGGAGTGTAAAGGGTGGACTCTGTGATAAGAGAATATCTAGATTCAATTTTGACCTTCCGAGGACACATATACTGCCGACGCGGTAAAATTCGGTAATTGCTCTAGCTTACATTACGACATTGAAAATCTTCGGTAAAGCATTGCTTAAACTTGGTTGCATAATAGAGTTCTACTTTACCGAGTGGAACCTGCAAGGCGCTGTACAGTCGTCTAAGTGTAGTTGAATCATGTGTCAACAACACCCGGGCGAGGTAGAGCCACCCGCAGGTTCGGAACCATCAGGACATGATGGACCGGGTGCGTCTGAACCTTTCCCCTGGGACGTTGGAGTATACGACGCACACTGTCATCCAACCAACACGATGACGTCGATAGCAAGCATACCGGGTATGAAGGCACGTGCCTTGACTGTGATGTCTTCACGAGCCCAAGACCAAGACCTCGTGGCCGAAGTAGCCTCCGAGCATGGATCATCCTCTCAGGCAGAGGTTTATTTGGTTCCTGGTTTTGGTTGGCACCCATGGTTTTCCTATCAGTTTTACGACGACCTGTCTGCTAGTCCAACTTATGATGGAACACCATCTGGGAAAATCTCGCACTACGATAAAGTGCTAGCACCGTCGCCTTCATCAAAGGATGTATCCTTTAGCGAGGGTCTGCCGGAGCCTCGGCCACTCTCCGAATTTGTGCGAGAGACCAAGTCCCGTCTGGAACGGTATCCTCTCGCATTAGTTGGTGAAATTGGCTTAGATAAAGCATTCCGGCTTCCTCAAAGCTGGACTTCGGCCCACGAAGCTCAACGTGATGCGGGCCTTACACCCGGTGGCCGCGAAGGCAGGAGACTTAGTCCCTACCGAGTACAGGTAGCACATCAGGTTGCAATTCTTCAAGCCCAGCTGCGGCTTGCGGGAGAAATGGGGCGTGCGGTTAGCGTTCACGGAGTTCAGGCGCACGGTGTGGTGTATGACACCATAGCCAAACTCTGGAAAGGATATGAAAGACCCGTGACATCAAGGAGAAAGAGGAAACAGATTGCCGAAGGGGCGGAGGACTTCTCTAGCTCATCTTCAGACGAAGATGATGATTATACTACCTTTACCAACCGCGGGAAGGAAAATAAAGCAAAACCGGGTCGCACCAAACAGGGGCCGAAGCCATACCCCCCACGGATCTGCATGCATTCTTTTAGTGGTCCTGTCGACGTTGTCAGGCAATATCTTCATCCGTCGGTACCAGTAAAGGTTTTCTTCTCCTTTTCAATCGTGGTAAATTGGAGTACGGGAGGTGGTGGCAAGGCCGAGGAAGCTATTCGTGCTGTGCCTGACGATCGTATATTGGTTGAGAGTGATCTGCACACGGCAGGCGAGCAGATGGACCGGTATCTAGAAGAAGTATGCAGAAAGATATGCAAAATCAAAGGATGGGAGTTACGCGAGGGGGTTGAAAAACTGGGTAGAAATTGGAAAGAATTCATCTTCGGGTAGTGTCCATATTCCCCAAAGCATCCTGTGGTTCATCCAAGGTAAAAGGTATTTCGAGACACTTTGTGGCGATATATGTATAACTTTTGGCTTCGTCTCCATAACACTAGGTGACTGAATAGGTTAGGAGGTATTTATAGAACCAAGTTGAATCCAAGTAAATAGTTATGGCCAATATGTAACTTGTATCCAATAAACGTCGTAAAAGAGTGAATTTATCAAGTATCTGATCAGGTAGGAGTATGCGAGCAGGCGAAAGCAAGTAGCAAGTCGAGGGTTGAATGGGTTGAATGGGTTGAATGGGTTGAATTAGGATAAGGTGCATACTATGTATATAAAAAGTGGGGATACCAGGATACCAGGATACCAGGATATGCACAGATAAGCATAACTAGTGGCCCCCACTTTCATGTGCCTGGCTTGTTCGGCTGAACCTCTGACCACCTGGGCACTGACAGGTAATTAATTGCCCAGGCTAGGTGAGCAGAGGTCTATCTTTTCCCTGAATTCCCACTGAATTCACTCGCATATCTTCCAGTTACAAACCTTTTGCACGCACCCACTAGCCCTATGTGCCCCAAAATCAGCCCAAGTTTATTTGATTGCTACCTGGGAAAGTACTGACCACAACCACCCCCGAACAAAATCTCGGTTGTTTTTTTTTTCTTTTCTTTTTTTTTCTGATAACCCGATGGGAACACAAGCATCCATCATTCTGACGCATATTCCATCCCGCAGTACCATCAGTACCATCAGTACCTTCCATACGTCCCACAGCTAAATCCTTGTTACGACTGCATAGGGCCGTCCTGTCACAACCTTTCCCCCCCTACCAAACCTTTATTAGTAGCTTCTCTCTAGTTGCGGACGCTTGGCTTCCCTCCCAGGCCAGGCGTTAGGGGCTTTTATACATTTGGTGCCTCTGGTGTCTCTGGTGTACGAAGTACGTACAATACATACTTGACTTGACCTAAAGGTACCTTCATACGATACCTCAGATACCGTCCCAAAGGTCTTTTCAGCCCAGCTGGCCCACGCGGGAATTGTCGATATTCTCAAGATTGACGAATTGGCACCCCATCCCAACGCCTATTACGCAGAACTTGTGGTCCCCGCTCTTATTATCTGTCTTAGCTTTTGGCTCATCCTCATAACGAATCCTTGGCTCTCGTTCTCGTCTTAGACAATACTACCTCTACTACGTACGAGAGACGACGCTCGGGGACGTCTAGGTATTTGGGAAAGGAGTAACCTGAACATAGCTGACCTTAGCCTTTTCCTATCCTATACACACACATACACACACACACACGCACACGGTACGGTCCATTTTGGTAACAGTATAGGTACATGAGAACTACCTATTCGGGCCTACATCTATACAATCTCTCAAAGTACCTGGTTGATACCATAGGTTCGAATCGCGCTGTACACCCCCCTTATTGCGATTTTCGAATTGGGTAATCAATTCGGTCCCCAGGTCGACGCCGTTCATCCCAAACCAATCGATTGGGAAAGAAAGGATTATCGCTATAGGTCCAGGAGAAGTTTGGCTCAAGGTTTAACGTTTAGTAGAGTGACACCAAGGTCTCGTTGTTTGGCTCGGGAGAGGGTTTCAGGGTGCATAGCTGGCACTTCATCGTCATACACCCTTGCTATTTTCGGACGCACCCCACACAAACGCGCGACACACCACATTCGCTTGTTGTGGTGAACAAATCTGAGCCCCAACGAGTCCCGTCCCAGATCTGCCCTCGCCCACGTCACGCTCGCGCCGCCCAGCCCTGCCAGCTGTGCCAGCCGTGGTGCTAGCCTATCGTGAGCCATGTACGCAGGCAACTATGGTCTTCCGAATGCCATTCCTCCTGCGGGATCACAATACAATGGCGGCGCCCCACACCCAGCTTCTCACAACCATCACTTACAGCCCGGTCAAGGTCATCCCAACCAGGCTTCTATGTACAATCAGCAGTTTCCCATGGGTGCGCAGGCCGCTGTTGGTTTCCCCGGTGTTCCTAACATGATGTCAGGTCCTGGTCCTGCAGGAATGATGCAAAATACCGGTATGCCGCACATGGCCGCGGTTAGTGGTCCGAGTAAGCACCTTTCCTTGCCGTCGGGCTTCTTTGTCTCCCTAGCCACATTCCATTCCCCGTAATCCTCCATGCTACTGTCCAAGGCGGCTGATAGCAGGTACACACATCATCCACCGGCGCGGAAGACACCAGTGGTCGTGTAGTCTTTGTGCTTCCGTGGCTCCCTTGTTAACCCAATAGACGCGGCGACAGCTGCTAATGTTTATTCACTTTACTTGATCACGCTTATTATAGTGATGGGTTGATTCGCTAATCTATATAGTGCCTAACTACCAACCACCGTACACAAACTCACCTTATGGCGCTGGTATCCCCAGCTCCGTCGCTCCCCAGATGAACATCCCTCCCAGCTATATGGGGGGCGGCATGGCTATGTCTGCATTTCCTATGCATCACGGGATGAACCCACAGCAACAGATGATGCAGCGTATGCAACCACCTCTACCGAATACACCGGGAATGTCAACTCCTACGCCTCAACGGACTTTCCAGAACCAAAGCCCTCAGAGCCAAACCCCTCACAGCACTCCTACTCCAAATAACGCGCCGAACGCACAGCAACATCCGGTTTCCACACCGCAAAACGCGCATAGTACACCGCAAAACCAGACACCGAATAATGCGCAACGGCAACAACAGCAACAACAGCAACTGCTATCTAATAATATTCCGACACCGCAAACCCCAACGTTTCCGGTACCAACCCAAAATAACGGACCCAATAACGCGTCATCCGCGTCGACGCCATTAAGCCCGGGTGCAGATTCTAGGGATAAGGAGCGAGTCGGCGTGATCTTGGAGATTAACAACGAGCTACTATTAGAGGCTATGCAAATACAAAACACACAACGGATACTGAAAGAGGAGAGGGCATCTGCTAATGGTACTGATGGTGTTACAAGCGAACCGGAAAAGAAGCCAACCGAGGAGGACATGTTAGCGCAAGATTATCTCCAGTAAGTTTGAACGCGGTGTTGGACGGGAGACAAAAGCTTACCTACGATTATAGATGTATGCGGAGGCTCCAGACAAACTTGACATATCTGGCGGCATTGGCCGATAAGAAAGGCAATGTCACAGCCGGGCCATGTCCCAGCTACTTGAGAGCACCACCACTCAATACGAGTATCAAGTTAAGGATGATGGTTGGTCCAGACGGATCAGAGAATCAAGAAGCTCCGGACCGGGGGGAGACGGCCAAGTACATCCAAGAATTGTATAAAAAGCTTCAGGCCCTTTATCCAGGTATGGATCCAAACAAGGAACCAACACTTGGACTTCCCGGCGGACGGCAGAATGCTCAGCAAGCGAATGCGGCAAAGCCCGGCCCTCCTCGGACGCCTGGTCAGCCTAGCCCAGGGGGACAACAGACTCCAAAGATGGCGACTTCGGCGCCCCCATCCTCTATGACGAATATAGCAGGACCATAGAGTTAGTTCGACCCGATTAGAGTATTCGGTTTTAAGAGTTGAGTATAGGTCGACTTTTTGCGGGCATATAATATACGGACCTTGAAAGATTCAGACTTGAATGGATTGGACTTCTTGTTATGAATGAAGATATTTTTACTCCACGTGGTATCTTGTATAGAAAAAAGAAAATACCCCGCTAAGATCGACGTTACATGGTGATATTGCGGCCTTGAGGAATTCGCGGGCACCGGCGTTACGTTTTTTTTTTTTTTTTTGGACGAGGTATTGCTTTACCTTCGTTAGATACCTACCTAAGTATATACGAAGTCAAAATAATGCTGTATAACTTATAAACGGTTGCAAGCATTCATAATAGTTGATGCCGAATACCTAGATATTTTTTGGGAGGGATTTTATGTTGTTTACATTTTGTATCATACCCACTCTGTATGAAGCTATGTACAGTACGTATAAAATTTAAGAAGTATGAAGAAGTCACGATGTATCATACCTTAATGTTTACTCGACCTAATCGGACATTGCATTAATGCTGTATGTTTTGGTGAGATGATTCTTCATTCTCACCTGCACCTTTCTGCTGCTTTGCAGTAATTGTAGGATTTTACCAACATCGAATCCTGCCTAGTTGCATCTAGTTAGATGTAAAGAGTTTTCTTCGAGCTGTGGATTCTAGAGCTCAGGCTTTCCCTATCTCGCTACGCTACTATTGTAGATCGTGACAGCACGCGTAAAGGCGGGCAGCGGGCACATGATAGAAGCTTCAGCTGCAGGACGCAAGGTTGGGTGGGTGGATAAGTTTAATGCGCTAATGTCGCGGGATTATGCGAGAAAGCGGCTCTAAGATAACCCAATCATGCAAAGCAAGTCGCTTCTGGAACTCTGGGTATAAAAAAACATAAAAAAACAGGGGTTGGACCGCTTAGGTGAGTTAACTAGGTAGGTACCTAAAGGTTGGTTCGTTCAATAGAGGTAGGTACATATAGGCTTGAAAGCCTTGGGTTCATGTATGTACTAGGCCTACTCGGTAAATAATATATGTATTATGTATTCCTATGTCAAATACTTACTATGCATACCCGGGCATTAGTATGCTAGACCGCCTCTTATGAGCCAGAGCATGCATATTTATCCCCATAACCCAACCACCGATATGATTTAGATGGTACAGGTTTTACGTCCACGTATTGAGTTAACAACAACAACAAAAAGTGTGTTTAGGAAGGTACTGTAAGAATATAATTCATACACACTAATAATCTAACGGTAGGGCTTACAATAGTGGCGATTTAAATATTTTATTTTATACTATGTTAGATACACAGGGGGATCATTTGGGATTCAGGGTGGAATAGATTATTTAAATAGCGGCTAATGCAGGGACGTAGGTGTAGTAGTTGTAGTAGGAGCACTAAAATGCTCCAATTGGAGAGGCGCGTCGAAGGTTTGGTGTAACTCATTAAACCGATGATACGGGATGGAATGCAACCTAACGTAATAGGGGAAATTGGGGAATTTGACCTAAGTTGGTTTTTTTGGTCTCAGCTGGCGCCTCCCCCTCTTTATCCTCCTGCCGCCTGCGAATGCCCTCCTTCTATCGTTGAGGGCCCTTAATTCATATCATCGTGTTTCGTCTTAACTTATTTTCTTATTCGCTCATTATATATCCCTAAATAATTTTCTAACAACTAATTACCTACCTAATCACAATAACAACAACAATAATAATAATCAGCCCTTTTGAACGGGCACATTCTTCATAGTCATTCGTTCATAATTCTTTTCGACCCTCATTAATTCGTCTACATACCTACCTAGGCTATCCACTCCTTACTACTTCCATCAGATGTTTTCTTTAGTTACTAGTATATCCACCAAGTAAAACTGACAGGCCTATTAACCAGTTAGACAGCGAGAGACTAACAATTGTCATTGCATAAACTTGAAATATCCCCTTCTAGGCCATTCCCCCCCATCGTATTAAGTATCGATTTCGACCCTAGACGGACCAAAGAAGGAAACGTTCTTAGCTGATGCTGATTGTATCCCCCGAATCCCTGAAGCGAGTCCACTCTGTCCCCGACTCCCCCTGTTTCCTTGGCGGGGGGCACCCAAAGGCTGGTTAGGATGCTGTAGCTGTTTGAACAAAACCATTTTCAGTGTTAATGCGTGTAAAAAAAAAAAAAAAATACACCGCCGTTACCTCGACTTGCGCTAGATACTCTCACCGTTTTTCAAGCCGTTCGATTTTGCTTTTGCGCTGTACGCTGTACGTTGTCTGCCGTCTGCTGTGAGCTGTTGGCTGTCGATGCACCGTCGTACGAGACTCAAGACAAACTGAGGTCAAGGGGTGATCACCACGTTGAAGCTTGAGAGACAAGAGAACACTGGAGTGTAGATCGGACTTTCCAGTCACCCACTAACCACCTTCGTTTCGAACCCGAGTTAACTAACCTACGTGATGGAAGGGGACTCAGAGATACAGCAGAAAAATGACACTTCTTCAGTGAATGTGCCGTCAAGTCCAGCAGAGTCGAACTCACCGAAATCGCCTGTCGAGAAAGTCGAACGCAGGATGCCGGAACACGATTCGATGGTGACGGTTCGATTGTCGGAGCCTCCTTCTCTATCAGTGAATACGAACCTTCCGTTAAACCCTTTACCTTTTAGAAAGAGCATCTGGGGACACGAATGTACACCTACAAGTGCAACAACGCCTAGCGTACCGCCTGTCATGGAAGTAGAAGAAGGAGGGATGGAAGATACCGAAATGGATTTGAAATTGCCTACTAGCCCCAAATCTCCATCGAAGGAGATGCAAACTACAGGTTCTACAACAACTACCCAGGAAGAAGAAAAGATAACCGAAGACGATCCAATGGACGAATCGGATACGGAAGAGGTCAACTGGGACCAATTACAAAAGACGGAGGACGAAGAAGTCAAAGACCAAGACGATAATGTATGCTGCACACCCTACATCGTATACCCTACAATCCTATCATTTGTCTACCTAGGTAGTTACGCAGTTCCATACGCCAAGTTCAAAGAAACAGTTTCTTTAACTGGTTGAAATAAAGGCTAGATCTGCGACGATGATGACAATGACGACGACGACAATAATGCTAACATGATATTTGTCCAATTTTTTTAGTCTACAGCATTGCTATTGGCACGACTCGAACAAGAGAACAATAAAATTGCTACGAATCCAAAAAGCGTTAAAGTCAAGGTTGTCGAACAACCTCCCATCCGCCGACCTAGACCCCCATCCATGGCACAGATGAGGGATATGGTAAATGCACCAACTCCCATGGCTCTACGATATTCTGTCCTTCCTCCCCCACCGATGACCGATCTCGAATTCTATATGGCTCTCGTCAAAGACTACCAGCAGACCGCCGCCCGTCTTCCTACATTGTTATCCAAAAAGATCCGAAAGGGAGTACCACCGCCTCTACGAGGGGTTGTGTGGCAGAGTATGGCGGGTGCTCGAGATAGTTTTCTCCTAGAGGAATTCGATAGGCTCAGCGGCGAGTCGAGTCCTTATGAAGGCATTATCGGCAAGGATCTGGGTAGAAGCTTTCCTGGGGTGGATATGTTCCGAGACCCAGACGGCGACGGTCAACGAATGCTCGGGAGAGTTCTCAAATGTTTTAGTCTCTACGATACAAAGATTGGATATTGCCAAGGACTCGCTTTCCTAGTTGGTCCTCTGCTGATGCACATGCCAGATAGCCAAGCCTTTTGCGTCCTAGTCCGGTAAGTCGTTATTTCGAAAATCTATTTTGGAGGACAGAATAAGCTGATCACTATCTTTGAAACTAGGCTAATGGAATACTATGACCTACGGTCATGTTTCCTGCCCGACTTGTCAGGTCTACATGTCCGCATCTATCAATTCCGGGAGCTGCTCAAGCAGCATTTACCCACATTATCGAACCATCTTGAGGAGCTTCAGGTCGACCCGGCCTACGTTTCACAATGGTTCCTCTCATTTTTTGCAGTGACATGCCCCTTGCCAATGTTGTTTCGCATCTACGATGTAATATTTGCCGAAGGCGCTTCAGAAACAATCATGCGGGTAGCTTTGTCGCTTATGCGAAAGAACCAGAGCCGCATCTTGGCGTGTACGGAGATGGAGGATGTCATGCAGCTCCTTTTATCTCGTGGGCTGTGGGACTGTTATCATTACAATGCCGACGAATTCGTCGATGATTTCGTTAGCTTATCTGGGGTCGTATCGAGAGAGAAATTAGCCCAACTAGAACAGGGGTATCGCGAGGAAAAGATCGCCAGTGCCAATGCCGCGCGAACGGCCGATGTTACCACAGCTGCTTCCCGATTTTTGGGCCGCTTATGGGCCACCAGCATCTCCTCCCCGAAATCTGGAACTCTTTCTCCCGGATTTGCCGCACCTTTAAGACCCTTAAGCATGTTACGCCGAAGTGCATCGAAACAGAGCCTGGCTTCTACATTGAATTCGATGGAAGCCAGCTCTTCTAGCGTCCTTAGTTCGACATCCACCGACGCTACTACCATCTCTCGCGATTCCACTTCAAATGCCGACGACTCGTCAATTCGCGAATCAACGCCAGTCGTCGCGAAACAACATTCGAGTCGTAACGCCGCCGACAGGAACCTGCACACGCAAATTGAAGATCTTCTTACCGCCCTCAGCGAACTGCAACGAAACCATGCGCTATTGGCCACACAGCTCCAACAAGAAAGGGAAGAAAGAGATGCAGACAAGAAGGCCGTAAGGTCGTTACTAGATGGATTGAAGAAGGACAGGGCCAACAATGGTGCTACCAAAACAACAGAGGATAATCAAGATGCCAATGCCAAAGCAGAAGATGAAAATGAGGAAGGAGAGACTCCTGCCCGGAGTCGGTTATCGGTACTGCTAGAGGCAGTCGAGTGCCGCTTTTGCGATGATGAAGGACGCGAGCGATCTGAGTCGTCAGTACTGACTAAGAGCCAACTCCGCGAGGAATTAGCCAGAGCCAAGGAAAACCTCAAGATCGAGATGTCTAAATCTATAGACTTCAATCGGCGCATCGAAGAACTTGGACAGGAAGCAAACACCTTACGAGAACAGCTTCGTGAAAGTCACGCTCATGTCCGAAACCTCCACCAGGACAAGCAACGTCTTGAGAGACAGGTCCATACTATGCGTGTGCGAGCTTCATCTGAGACAGGCGGGTCGGAATCTGGAGGGTGGTTCTCGTCGGGGAGTAGCCTGACTGCCAACAACGCCTATAACGGGGCCAACCGTGGTCTCCGGGAGTTAAAGCTTGGACGTAGCAAGTCAACACCCAACACGCAGTCGGCCTTTGGTCAGCGTTCCGGGTCGCTAGTAAGGACGCAAACGGAGCCAGTCACACCGGGCGAGCATGATGCGCTCGTTCTAGAGCTGATACAAGCCAAGACTGCCGAAGCAGTGGCTCGTCAGGAAGCCGACGAGTACAAACAGAAGCTCGAAAGCCTGCGAAAGGCTTACGGACTTGGTCCAAGCGATGCCCCCAACGCAACGGCAGCTTCGACTGCGATGGGGATGATTGGACGGTTCACGGCTACAGTCTCCGAAGCAGGCAATGGTGCTAAGAGTACTCCTACACCCACACCACCTGCTACTAATGGTGGCGGTTTCTGGGGTTGGCGACGATAAATATCGTTCCCTACTATGTTTGACGGTGGTGCTGGAATAAATAGCGGACGGTCCTGCGCGGTGGAGGTTTTTTTTGGGATCAAGCTCTTCTCAGATCAGAAGCGAGCGAGCATTGTTGGGAAGGGCGGAAAGAAGATTTGCATTTCTATGTCGATTTCATCGGAACAGATTACATCTCCAGGGCGGCGGATCATTATGTTTTATCTCAGTTACCATAATAACTTTATGCCAACCCGGTGTATATAGACGGGGGATTTGGCTGGGTGGCTTCTTTTTTTTTTTTTTTCCTTTGCCGATGGACATTTGCTTAGCTTGAGAAAGGTATACGCGAGCTTAGAATACGTACACCGCGCAAGGCCGAAGAGTGGCAGCTTGGAAAGGCATGTTGCGGATTGCTTTTGCTTTTATGGCTAAACAGCATAGAAGAGTTCCACGATATCCAAATATAGCATTGCCAACCCGTCACCCATGGAGACTTTCAAACTTTGCATCAACTAGTTTCTACTGATAGCATATAGTAGTATTCAGATGTGGGATCGTGAATAACCTACCTAATCTATTTACCACATTTAGTTTATTACCATGTAGGTAGGTACCTAAACTTAGGTATTATATCAGAGAGCCTACCTAAGGCAGCAAGTTTATAGTAGTAATGACGAGGTCGAAGGTGAGCATGATCTTGAGGCCATGATGACTGCTCATGATATAGAATGCGTCATTCGGGGATCCATCAGTTTAGAAGATCTGGGCAATGGGCAATGGGCATGGGGGCATGGGGGCATGGGGCATGGGCCGGAAGTTGGTCGTGTGCTTCTTAGCGGATAATCACATGCAAGGTAAGCGACACTACACCACGATATCGCAGAGTGACGACATGGGTGGCTTTGGCCCTCTGGAGCTTGTAACTACTATTGTACCTGGGTATGTTTCGGATTAGAAATGAGTCCCACGAGATACGGTCGTTAGAGCAATGCGATGACGATGTGACTTTTTTTTCCTTTTTATTTCTTTTTTGTAGTGTATTGTAAGTAACGGAAATGGAGTTTTCGGACTTTTTTTTAAAAAAAAAAATAAGAAAGGTCGTTTGAGCTCAAGTGATAAGTCGTGTTTTACCAATTTCTGGGACGGAAGCATGACGTTTGACAAGTTTGGTTAGGTACCTACAGGACACGCTACACTTAAGCTACCTTGTAGGTTAGGTACCTAACAGCTAACCTTAGCGACACCTAGCGACTTCGGGGTACATCTCTTTTCTGCAACTAACGGGTAGCCCGCATGTGTAATTATTGTACTAGCTAGTGAAAGTAGTGAAAGTAGGGGAGGAACCTTCAAGAACATTTTGAAGCCGGACCGTAACCTGTAACCCGTTCCTCCCCTTAGTTGCCTTAGGTACTGGTTAAGTTGTGGCTGTTACTGTAACACTTGCTCTCTGGGTTTGTTCGGCAGGTGATTTGTAGTACGGTTTGGTTGGTTGGTCAGGTAGGTGCATCATGTTGGCCCTGGCGTGGCGTCATAACGAACCAGGCACTAGCCACATTTGCAGATGTACCTAGGTCCTAATGCCAGTAAAGCAGCTCCGCTGGGGGTCTAGTCTTGATGAAATCACTCCTTTTTTTATTTGCGCTGGCCTTTGCTTCAACCAGATCGCTCAATCCCACTAACCTCTTCCCCTACCAATAAACCTGAAATTCCTTCCCGCACCAAACAACCAGCAGAAAAAAAAAGTTCCGAAGACTTTCTTATCTTCTTTTACATCTTCGACGATTCTTTTCTTCTTTTTTCCCCTTTTTTTCTCTGCTTAACTTACTACCTTAAAACAACTACAATATAAACATCACCAACAACACCTAAGAAAGAAATAGGTACGTGGTTTTCGATATCGCTTTTCCCCATTGACACTCGGACCCAAGTAACATTGGAGCTCACCCACAATTTTTGGAACAGCAAAGGCATCCGACACTCCGAGTAGAAACACCTCCTTCTTCTCTGATTCTTCTTTATTAGCTACGATAACAATAACAATAACAACAACAACCAACTTAACAAATACTTATCACACCAAGATCATCTTCATAATGGCCTCTAATGACCCTACTGCCAACGGCAGCTCTGTTGACACTTTGAAAGGCAGTAAGGTAAGTTTATCTACATTCAAAAGATGCAAAGATGATTTTCGTCCCACCCCACGCTCCGGAGAACACACGGGCTAACTGGTATACCGTGTACAGTATCTCAGATCTCACAACAGCAGCTATCTTTAGCTATATTTCTTTTCCCCCCGGCTCCGTCGGCCCCGTCGGTCCGTTCGTATCATAGAAACTAATACCTATTGACGTAGATGCCAGAGCTGCCTACGACCAGCTCGCAAATGGTATGTCAACGGACTAACTAACTATCCTACTTTTCTTTTTCTCTCTTCCTTCTTATTTCTTAATTTGGGAGTAATATCATGGCTAATGGTGATGATATCTTAGGCCCTGTGGCCCAGAACGTCAAGGACCAGACCGCGAAGACATCTGCCGAGTTTTCCAACCTAGCCAACGCCCGGCAAACACCTTCGCAGCCTGCTGCTACGGGTCAACCTTTGACCCATTATCATTCGTTCTTCTCAGAGCTCTTGTCTTGGAACAACCCTCGTAAGTTCTAGACCGCCTTCTTCCTTTATCAGACCACCGTACGGATAATATCTAACCCATCGTAGGAGCTTCTGCCATCGCCTATGCTTCTATTGTCTCGGCCATCTTCGTGGCTAGATACCTCGACGTCATCCGATACACCTTCAAGCTCTCGTATATGGCCTTGGCCGTTACCATCCTTGCTGAAGTCTCCGGAAAAGCCATCCTCGGCAACGGTCTTACCACCCAGTTCCGACCCCGCAAGTACTATACTATTCCTCGGGAAACTCTTGAAACCTTAATCGGTGACGCCCACGAGCTCCTTAACTTCTTCGTTATCGAGTCTCAGCGAATCCTATTTGCCGAGAATGTCACCGCTTCAGTCGTTGTACGTATACCCTTGACTATATCGCATTTAACCACTATATTATTCTAGGTACCTCTTGCTAACAGCGTGGTAACAGGCTGCTATCGGAGCTTTCCTTTCCTACTACTTGGTTAAGATCGTCCCTTACTGGGGCCTTGCCCTGATTTCCACCACGCTCCTGTTCTTCGTGCCTCTGATCTACTCAACCAACCAGGAGCTTATTGATCACTACCTTAAGCAGGCCTCGGAGGTGATCAACAGCCAAACCGAGCAGCTACGTGAGGTTGCCAGCAAGCACACTTCCCAGGCCACTGAGCTCACCAAACAATACGTCGGTGACTATACCGCCAAGGCCCAGCAAATTCTCCACGGCCAGACCAAGCATGCTGCTGCCGCACCTCAGACCAACCTGAAGGACTCGGACTTCCCTCAGGCACCCAAGGACGCCTTCCAGAAGAAGCAGGAGGAATCTTCCGAGGAGGAGTCGGAGGACGAGAAGGAACCTCTGATCTCTACTTAGACGAGTTTCTAAGCAGGGCGTGATGTGGCTCAACAACAGTAGAGAACCACCTCTCTCTCCTCTCTCTCCTGTACCTACATAATTTGCTAACTACTCCGCCTCTATTTTTTTCCGAGATTCGACTGGCAATAGCAATGGCAAGGCAAGGCAAAGGCACGGCAAAGGCGCGGCGACTTGGTATGACTTTGAACTCTTCACAGCATAGATATTTGAGAGATTGAGGAAAATCACTTGTTTTTTGTTTTCTTTGAAAGCTTCCTGGATTGGGGGGAGGAAGGGAAAGAGGGGAGAGAAGGGGGACCAAATAGTTGATATTATCTTTTTCTTTTTTTCCTTCGGCCCACGACTTTCCTTGACAAATGACATAATTGGAACCGTCCCTCCCTTCCTCCTTGAGGGGAGACGGTTATCTGGTTCTGGAGTGGGATGGAGGGGAGAAAGGGAAGGCTAACGGTTTAATTTTACATGTTAACCAAATCGTTTGTGTTTTTCTCTCTTTTTTTCATTGCACCACGGACTTTTGGCAATTCCTGTCTCCCTCTTCCTCTCTCCTTTTCTCTCTCCCGGTGTCTCTCGTGAGTGACAATGGTATTCTTTTTTTCTTACCGTATTTATTAAATCGATGCTGCTGCTGCTGCTGCCGCTGTTGATGTTATTGTTGTTGTACTTTCAACAAGACATGTACAAGCAGAAGGGAACGATGAGATAACCCGATAACCCCTTGAATATTTGTTGTGATGGACTGCGGTGGTGGTGGTGGTGAATGATTGTAAGAATGAGAGAAGAAGAGAGACGAGATCGGATTGGAATGGAACGGAATGGTCGAGAGGGATGTGTGGTATGTATGTATGTGGTCGACTTACATTACCTTACCTGAGTGTACTGTGGTAGGTAGTAAGTAGGTGGACGGATAGGACGGACAGACAAGATGGATGGATGGATGGACGAAACGAAACGAGAATGGCTTTTTGCAGTACGAAGTAGCATTAAGTACCTCAGCAGTACTATGGACGAATGTTGTTGTTGTTTATCGTGTTAATTACGTGAGTGAGTGCTAGGAAAAATTGTTATGTTATGGTACGAAATGACAGTGCAGGGAAGTGAAGCAGTGCAGACAGAGAGGTGAGGACGAGGCGGAACTTCGAGCGTAGTAGTAAGATAGTAATATTTTCGAGTATTTCCCTTCCTTAGGTTAGGTATACTTGGCCTGTTGTTGCTTAAAGGGTGTCTTGTTTATTATGATTGTGATGATGTTGTGTTGACGTATTATGTACAATACACCTACCTACCCTACCTGTCTAACCTGCCTTGGGTAGTGTTGGTAGTGTTCTAGGCATATCACGGTAATACGATATGAGTTTATGTAAGAGGGTGGATATTTAGTTGATATGACATTACCTACCTACTTTGGTGGCATCTAACATGAGGTTGGTGTGCTACTTACTTACTATAGAAATGGGTAGAGAGAGTAATGAGATTTACGGTAGTACTTAAAATGGGATCTCTCACTTGGCTATTAAACAACATAAGCCTTGGATTAAGGTCTCACGCAAGCTTAGAGAGAATATGAATATGGAACGGAAATACGCACTACTAGAAGGGAAGATAGAAAAAGTACGAATCGAATCACGATAATACATAGCGTTACCTCACTTCACTACGTGGAAACCTGGTTCATGCTTACGAGATAGAATTGATGAGAGGACATTCTCCTATCTAGTATACATATACATGTACGTAAACAGAATACCGTATATCAGAAAAAGGCAAAGCAGCAAAATTAATAGGTACCTTAAATTAAGCAACCAAAGACAAGACCAACCACCAACGCCTCGTGATTAATCGTCACCCCTCGATCAAATCCTCCCTCACCCCTCATCCGCCTAGTCACCAAAAAGGTATCTGCTACCACACCATCCTTGTTCCTCACCGACGCCGAGATGAAATTAACGATCAGGATCGTTTACCTATAACATGATTTTTGTATCCTGTTACTGATTTTCGTTGCGAGTGGTAGCTCGTTGACCGACAAGTATGCGTAAAGTCAGCTACTAACAATCACTCGCTGTCGTCCATAGCGAAAGCATCGCTCGGTTCGCCATCGTCATCATCGTCGTCGTCGTCGTTGGGGAGCTGCAAGCTGTCTTCATCTTCGTCATCATCGTCAATGATGTAGACTGGCTTTGACTTAGATGCTGCCGCTCGCCCAGGTCTGCCACGAGCCGCTGGTCTCGGCGGGGGTGATGAGTCGGCTTCAGCCATCTCAACGTCGTCGTCTTCATCATCATCCATGTCGAAAACATCCTTCTTCGGCTTTGCCTTATTCTTCTTAGCAGCATAAGCCTTCGCCGCTGGTGATAAGTTTGTAGCTTTAGACGCCGTTACCTTCTTTGCGGGCGCATCTTCCTTAGACTTGTTGGTCTTAGTTCCAGCAGGCCGGCCACGGCTTTTCTTGACTGCAGGCTCGCTGGTGCTGGTGGCGACAGCTACCGGCTTAGACTTGGGCTTAAGTTTAGGCTCCTCCTTTGAGGACTTCGACTTGCTCAGAGGCTTAGAAACAGGGGGTAAATCATCGTCGGAGAGGAAACTGTCCAAGTCATCTCGACGGGTAGTCTTAAAGGGTGATGGCTTGGCCAGCATCTCATAATTGGTGTCGTCATGATCATCCAGATCTAAGGCCTTCGAGGGCTTGCTCTTAACTTTCAACCCGCTACTGTTACCACTGCTGCTATCCGGTCTCGACATGGAAAACAAGCTAAGTCGACCTGTCTTGTTCTCGGACGTGCTGCTAGTGCCGTTCGTAATACCCTTGACCAAATCACCGACATCACCGAGCATCTTGTCGTCATCACTTTCTGACTCGTCGTCATCCACGATGAACTTCTTGGCTTTCGAAGCTGCGGCACGTTTGGTTCGAGGTGCCGGTAGGATCTCTACATCCGAGTCATCAGCTTCGGCTTTCTCCTTTTTAGTCGGCTTCTTCAGTTTAGCAAAGTCATCGTCTGAGAATGGGTCCGAGTCCGAATCCGCCCCACCACCTGCTGTGTCTTTCTTGGAACCGCCATTGAACATGGCTGCAAAACGTTGAACAGACTTTTCCTTAGGCGGATCTTTTGGTTTTGGTGCAGCGGGTTTGGCTGCAGTCTTGGGACCTGGCTTTGATTTGGCTGCTGGGGCCCAGTCATCCTCCTCATCCTTTACCTTACGGCCTCTTCCACCACCGCCAGCGCCGATCTTCTTTGATGTGCGGCGACCCTTCCTACGGATTCCAGTAGCTATCTCCTGCTCGAGGCGCATTTGAGTCTCCCACACTTGCTCAAAGTCTTCTAGATCTTTACACCAGAGATCCTTCTCGCTGAGCGCATCGAGCGTATCTCGCTCAGCTTTCTTCTTGATAATTTGCTCTTTGAGACGGTCGAGTCGCTCTTGGGTGAACGACCAGATCGGCATCTGTTTGTTTGTCTGTTAGTAATAATCCTTTAACACATAGTTACGCATGAAAACTTACGGAAAGAAGGTAATCGTAGCCATTTGATGCTTCGCTAGTTTCGTCGACTGTTTCTTCCTCGTTGTTCTCTTCTTCCTCTTCCTCTTCCGATTTGGTCTTCTTAGCATCTTGTCCTTTAGGGAAGGACTCGTATTTCCGCTCACGAAGCTCCTCTATGATGATTTGCTTCTTCTTGCGAGATACCACTAGCGTGCCGTCCATGATCTCCTGAATGAATCTAGCCTGGCTTTTCAACTTGCGATAGTCCGCGTCGTAGACACCAAGCCAATGCATCTAAGTCAAGTCAGTATAATTCTTGAATATATTCCTATTATCCAACTTACCTTTCGTTCAGTATACATGTTCATACGGTAGTTGTAAAACTCTTCCAGGATATCTTCCACCTTTTCGTATTTGCGGATCATGCCACGAGTATCGAATGCAACCAAGTTAGATGTAGCGACCTGCTTAACCAACTTGAACTTCTCGAGCAGGCCCTCCTGTAAGGCTTGGGCCATGTGCTTCTCATCCAACTGAATTTCGAAGTGGACAGTGTTGTGGTCGTTGAATTCCTTGTAGTCCTTGATGAATGAAGGAGTCTTTTCAGCTCGGATGATTTCCTCAAGCTTTGCCTTGAAATCATCAGTCCACATGCGAATAGGCAATTCGGTGATGATGACCTCATTAGGCTTCCTCTCGTCGACGGTCGCAATACCGTTGAACTGGTAACGATTAGCGTCGGCGGGCTGTGGGGTACCCTTCCAGCCTCTGAACCAAGGAGTCATCGTCTCGAACGGCTTTTCGTCTTCACCGTCCATGCGTCCCATACGTCGCTTCAGGTTTCTAATAATATCCAGAGGGTGATAGTTTGGGATTGATGTACTCCAACCGGTACCGATACCATCCGCGCCGTTTACCAAGATCATAGGGATAACGGGCACGTAAACCTTGGGTTCGATTCTCTTTCCGTCTTCAACTTGATATTCTAGTCTGGGCTCGTCTAGAGGTGAGAACACGCGACGGGCGAAAGGAGAGAGGCGAGTATGGATATAACGAGGACTAGCAGCATCTGAACCACCTTGAAGTCGGGAACCGAAGTTACCACTCGGTTCGAGACAGTTGACATTGTTGGAACCGACAAAGTTCTGAGCAAGCCCGATGATAGTCTGGTGCAGAGATATTTCACCGTGGTGGTATGATGTTTGTTCAGATACATAACCAGCCAATTCAACGACCTTCTTGTCTTTGATCAAGTTTCGCTTCAGACAAGCGTAGATAACCTTTCGCTGACCAGGTTTCAAGCCGTCAACAACCGAGGGGATGGACCGCATGTTATCAGCCATACTGAACAGAATTAACTCCTTGTTAACAAAGTCGTTGTATGTGACCTGCTTAATAGCGTGGTCAAGGTAGGTTCCCGGGACAAAGTTGCCAAGCCATTCTTTACGAGCATCCGCCTTCTTCTTGGAGAAAGCAAGCTCAATTAATTCGGCTTCTTCAGGACGCATCACGTCGAAAGTCTTCAAGTGCGTATCAAGATCTTGGAAATAGACCTGGGCGTCATTGTTGTCGCTGGTACCCAGACCCTTGTAGTACTTCGACTCCCATTTTTTCAACTCGTGCTTGTGCTCCTCCTTCCATTCCTCGTACTGAGGTTGAGTGAAGAATGATTTCAGCCTCAAGGGCTTCTTGGGATTCGGGCCTTGCCAGACCTTTACGATGGGCGTGATGAATTCTTGAAAGAAACCGGGAATCTTAAGAAGGGAGGGGTATTGAACTTGAAGGAAATTGATAAGAAGACCTTTGATATGGCTACCATCGTGATCCTGATCGGCCATGATCATGAGGTGACCATACCGAAGGGATTTGGTATCGGTATAAACAGTCTTGTGCTTCAACCCGAGGAACTGCTTGATGTTTTGAATTTCTTGATTCTTCATGATCTGGTCGATTGAAGCATCACGAACGTTCAGCATCTTACCTCGAAGGGGGAAGACACCAATCTTGTCCGGATCCAGAATGGCACGGCCAGCCACAGCCAAACTCTTGGCGGAATCACCTTCTGTCAAGATCAGAGTACACTGCCAGCCATTCTTGGTCCCTGCCAAGTTGGCGTCGACAAGCTTTGCGTTACTGATTCTCGATCGTTTGTTGCCGTCACTCTTGGCAAGCAGCTTATCGGCCTTGGCTTCCGCAAATTGAATGATGTTGTTGATAGCATCCGTCTGGCTAATCTTCTTGAGGAATCCTTCAGTCAAGACACATTTGCTTCCGAACTGGCTGAGCTTGGTAGTCATCTGCTCTTTAGTCTGCGAAGTGAACGCAGGGTTGGTAATCAAGCAGTTGACAAAGATGAAGATGTGGTTACGGATATGATTGGCCTTCAACGCATGTCCCTTCTTTTTCTTGTTCAAAGTCTTGAGTAACGACTCGCAGATTTGGTCAGCAATATAGTTGACATGCGTACCACCAGAAGTAGTAGCAATAGAGTTGACGAAGGAGACCTGCTGGAAAGAGCCGTCTGATACGGCAAAGGCAATCTCCCATCGAGCATGGGCTTTGTTGTCCTCGAGAATGACGGTACTCGTAGGTTCAATACCCTCTTCGGCACCTCGTTCAAGAGCAATAGCTTTGGCGTACATTTCGCAGTACTTCTTGAAGTCCAGCTTGATATGGTTGTCATTGAGGTAGACCTTGATACCGCGCACCGTACCAGCCATATCATAGACTCGACGGTAAAGCAGCGACTCGAGATCATCGTCGATGCCTTCAGGCATACCAAACCTGTTCCAATCAGGTTTGAAGCTGACGCGAACAAAGTCGCTAGATTTGCTGCTAGATATTTTTGCCTTCTCCATCTTGCCCATGTTATCCCTCCACGTCTGCTTATATCTCTTTCCATTCTTAGAGTCTTGGCATTCTAGGGTAAATTCAGTACTGAAGACGTTACAAAGCTTAGCACCATAACCGTTTCGACCACCTACGGTCTTTTTCTCGTCATCATCGAAGTTGGAACCGGCAAGGAGGTGTCCGAAAACTAATTCGGGAATATAGACCTTTTCCTTGTCGTGGATCTCTACCGGGATACCTTTGCCGTTGTTCTCGACTGTAATCCGACCTTCTGCACGGTCGATAGACACCTTCATGTACGTCATACTCGGATCGCGCTGCTTGTTGTCCGCAGCGTTGACGAGAATTTCGTCGAAGATTTTGTAGAGACCGGGCACAAAGCCAACCTTGGGTCGTAGTTCCATCTGGCTGGTCTCCTTATTGAAGACCCACATCTGCTGCTCAGTGCGCTCGACAGAACCGATGTATGTATCAGGTCGCTTGATAATGTGCTCGAGTTGTGTCAACTTCTGATACATCTCCGTAGCCGTCTTCTTCTTTGACGGTTTCGAGTCGTCGAGCATCATACTATCGTTCTCGATCTCGCCCAAGGGTGGACCACTAGACTTCTTGGCGGCAGGCGCCTTCTTTTGCTTCTTTGCGCTTGGGGGGGTGTTGGAGAAGCCCGAGACATCGTCACCATCATCGCCGCCGTCGTCCTCGTCGCTGTCAGGCTTTGAGCGTTTCTTAGGAGCAGTCTTAGTCGTTTTTAGGGTTGTCTGAACCATTTTCTTTGATGTAGCTTTTACAGCTGGTTTGGCTGCTGCTTTCTTTGCAGGAGCCTTGGCCTTAGGTTTCTGTGCGAGCATCGTGTTAGTACTATAGGAAGGAAATGAAAAGTGAGTGTATGTTTTTTAGATACGAGAAAAAAAAAGAGAATCGAAGACAAGCAAATTGTTTTTCGTACCGGCTCTGGAGAGTAGCCATCTGACTCGTTATCGAAGTCGTCAAAGGCCGACTCCTCCATATTATCGGAATCCATGGTGAGTGCGTTTGGTGCAGTGCACTACGTTCACACGCGACGTGAACAAAAACAGGAATTGACCAACGTCTTGAAAGTAGAGAAAGAGCGCCGCGATTGACGACAGTTGCGCAAGGACTCATGAAAAAAAGAAAAGTAAAGAGACCAATGCTACAGAAAAGCCAGTTGTTTCAATTCTTTTCTCCTTTTCTTTTCTCGCAGAGAGAGGGGGGATGTTACAGGAAGAGAGGTAGCCTTGTGCTGGCTCGTTGTATTATTGCATGTAAACAATTTAACAATTTATTTTCATTTGATAACAAGTTGTAGTCGCGTCCCTTGAAGAAGTGGGGCAATGGTTACAGGCTAGCACTAGGTAGGTACTAGTGTACTTTTGGTATATAGGTTATGTACCTGGTACCTGACAGTCAGACCGGCCAGAACTGCCAGAGCATATTTACAAAATTGGCAGCTGCCCCAAAACGCGTCTCCATTTAGCGGGGCTAAACATCGGCAGCTTGGCCACTACAGAGGTACCAGACATAAGCAAACTTTTTAAACGCATGAGCCACATTCAATCAGCCACGGCAAGATGATAGATCTACCTCTCTCTTATGTACCTTGTACTAAAGATACCTCTCATCTCAACTTGTACATAACAAGAATGTGTTCGCTTGGACAACCTGGAGCTTCACCGGCTTACCAGTTTCATGGGATATTCATGTCGTGATCATCCCCCCGGTCTAGTCAATCTACCTCATACGCCATATTTATCACTTCATCGAAATCCCAGGGTATCTCGCAGTAAGCAAATCACTATTATTGAACTCTAGTATATAATAAACCTCAACCAGATGGATATTACCCAAAGTAAAAAAAAAAACCAAAGCCAAAACCAGCTACCAAGAGGTTATAAAGACTGATGATAATGATGGGAGATACATTTAGAACAACATCATATACATACAAGCTGGAGGCTTCCACGTTTAGACCGGGTGATCTCTTCCTTACCCGGTTACCCCCTTTCGTCCTACCAGAGCACATGGCGTATCCAAGAGGGTCTTATGAAAGGAAGAAACACGGCAAGCAATTGGTGCGTAATTCTCCGCCGTGCATGGCGTCGTGTGATTCCACTTAGCAATGTTTCCCAAAATGTAACGAGACGTAAATTTCCCGAAGTCGACTGTACGTCCCCGTAGCTTTCGCTGCAAAGTCGCACCACGCATAGGTAAGGTAGGTACTAGGTAGGTTACTAGGTAGGAATCGCGCGGAGCCCTCCTTTCCTGCCAGCCTACGCCGTACGACAGCAGATAGCATGGCAATCATCCATCTAGACCTTCCCATCTTACCCGAAGCAGCGAACCAGCCCTGATGAGCCTCAAACTTACCCCCTTTGGGAAGTTACAGGAAGCGAGAAATCCGACGAGACCGGATCGTTAGTCTATGCCATCTGCCTTCTTTTGCCGCCGGTTCCATCACCCGCGTCTATTCAACTGACCTGTAAATCATAGCCAGGATACCCTTTCCACCTTCCCGTCTACCGGAACCGGTGGGGCACTCCAGCTCTGGCAGTGACATGGCTTCTCGACAGTACAAGAGCATTTACCAGAGCAATATTACATAGCAGACGCGGGAAAGTTTATCTTCTTGGCTGAATAACCTAAGGCAACCATTACCACACCCTGGCTTTACTTGTTGTCATCGCTCTTAGCTATATAATACGGGCAAGCTATCCTGCCAACCATACCTGTTTGTTAGATGCGCATTTGCGATCATGCAATCTGCTTGGTACTGTAGAGTCTGGTCTGGTAGCATAGCGGAAAGCCGCAGGTTCTAGTGTAGTCAGAACCACAACTTGTTGAGAGACAGGTCCAGGGGGGGCTATGACTCGAGCCTTAGGTGTCCCACGAAGGTAGCCTACCGACCGCTCAGCTACCTACTACTGAGATTCCGGGTGTGCTGGGAAAGGTGAACAGGCAATTGCCAACCGGTCTAGTCAATGATCGCGGAATCGAAAGAAGAGGGGTAAATAAACCCTCTCGTCAAGTCGTCCAGGTACGCCGTAATCGTCACCCAAGTTCATTTTCATTCAACAAGATCTCCCTTCTACGAGTCTCGTCGCAATGTATTTTACCTAGTTACGCAACGACCCCCCCCCTCCCATAGCCAATGTGATGTTGATCTTCATTCAGTAAACTAGCGATGGTACAGCCTATCTATGCCTCTATGGGGCAATATTGATACGGGATCCGCCTCTGTGTTGCCCTGGGAAGTATTATTACCCGTAGAACGGCCTTGACTCTCGTAGAGAGAGCGTAAGTTGGACGTAGTTACAGCTGCAATCTCCGCATTCACGACACCCATTGCCGACGGGAAGCCCCCCTTAAATGCTCAGGGAATTCTTTGAACCGAGAGAAAGAGAGCCCTTACGTGGTCCCGGATAGGCACAGAGCTCTCCACTAAGTGAATCGCCCTTGCGGCGGTCAAGCCCAAGACTTTCTACTCGCTCTCTGTCTTAAATAGAAGAACAGCAAAGAATGGCGTGGGTGACATGTTCCGCCGTGACATCTTAGGCCTACCCTCATACAGGATGGGAGCCACTGGGTACACGTGTGTCGAGTCTGGCAATCGTTGTCTAGGGCTCAATATGCTTATCACTGGCCTTTTCTTTGTTCTACCCTCTTGAGAAACCGTCTAGCCCTAGTAACTTTGACGGCACTATCTGCAGCTTCCCGTGAGGTTGCTTTCTGTCAAAACTCCTATATGGATTCCCAAACAAGCCTGATCCTTGTTTGGGGGGGTTTCTGTGCTGAAGTATTTGCTGCATCAAACTCATTTGCTGTCTCTAGCTACAGGTCCGATGCGTCATGCGGTCGCCTGTGGTCGCCCCTTTTGGGCCGGAGTCAGAACTGGTGAGATGGATTGAAACCTACCTTACCTCGATGCTGTCCTATAATCCACCGATCGACGTGATACATCTCTCGTACTGCCTGGAACTATCTCGTCGGCAAGGCTCCGGAATCGAACGCATCTCTAGCGATCTAACTCTCCTATCCTCCGAAGCTGTTCAGCTACGACGCTGTCCTGTCCTGCCGGCTAGCGGTCCCCATTTTAATCATCCCGGATCCGCCCCCCGTTGAATACGTACAAGGTAAACTTAGAACTCCTTCGATCATCTTATCTCCTCCCTCGCTTGGCTTCCCTCTCGTCACCTCTCACTTTGGTGGCTTCAACCTCGATATTCTAAGAAGCGGTGGATATACACAAACGAGCTCCTCTGCTCTCACAGGTCGATTCCAAGACATCTTCAACAAAGAAAAGCTGCACCGAATACCAAGATCACCAAAGGCCGCACCGGACACCGCTCAAGTGCTCTGCAGAGGAGCTGCATGACTGGGTACAGTCAAGAAAGGAAGCAATCTCGGTCCCCTTGTACCAGCATGGGCTCGCCGTCTCGCGAGGGCGTGCTTCAGTAGTTCGTCTGTTTGCCAAGTTCAAAAGGACTTGGTTTCCTCTCTCTCTCCTTTCTGGCTTGCCGCTGCAAGCCCTGGCCTGCCTGTCTTGAGTCTCCTTACTTAGCTCTTCCCACGGACCTTTTTTCTTTTCTTCTCGTAGATAACCATCCGCAACTTTGCTTGCATCCGTACTCCTATCCGCATTCGAGACATCTAGTCCCCACTGATACTCACCGCCATGCTATCACTGGCGTCTCTTCTTAATCCCGCCCCTCCAGGGCCACCAATCAACAGGTTTCCTCCAAGCCCAGCCTCGTCGTCTTCCCCAACGGCGTCCATACCAGACGAGCCGGATCTTCTAGGCCAGCACGTAATGGCTAAGCAAAAGATACCAAAGTCTGCGGCCCTGTTGCCCACGAGTAGACCCAAGGGCGTTGTCAACTTCCCCCCTTTCGAAAACCTGGACGAGGCGTCGCTCCGCCAAGTTCGGCAATTTCGCGTCTGTCCCTTCGGGAACATACAGGGCCAGTCCCGGCACATCCCTTATAACAGCACGAAGAAGGGTTTCTTCGAGAAGACTGGCCGAGAAAGTTTCGAAGGTAAAGAATAAGAAAAGAATTTCCAACAAAAAAAAAAAAAAAAACTACAACCCCCCCCTTCCCCGAGAATGTGGTAGTCGATTTATTGACCCAAAGCAATAGTTTTCCAGTATACTTTTAAAGTCCCCGGGGACGAGACCGAATATACCGTCATGTGGGATTACAATGTCGGCCTCGTCCGCATGACCCCTTTCTTCAAATGCTGCAAATACCCCAAGGTAGGCAAGCTTGTCCCAATCCTAGCAGATAAGAAACTCGCTTCAATATTCTACTCTAAGAACTAACGGAAAAAACCCGTAGACGACGCCAGCAAAGATGCTAAACTTAAATCCGGGGCTTAAGGAGATCACGCACAGCATTACGGGGGGCTCCATCATGGCCCAAGGTGAGTTTTTTATCAGAAAAAGCCCACTCCCCCCTTTTTTTATCTTAGACGTGAACTTGTTATTAATTCCACCCGCGTAAAAAAGGTTATTGGATGCCGTATTACTCCGCAAAAGCCGTATGCGCGACCTTCTGCCACAACATCGCAGGGGCCCTCATACCCATCTTCGGTCCCGACTTCCCCTCGCACTGCACGCCCTCGGAAGCGCCAGAGTACAGCCGCATGACCATCGACCCGGCCATCGTGCTCCAATCCACGCGAGAAGCGGAGCACTTCCGCATGCTATGCAGCATCAACTCGGCCGCAGCCGCCGCCAACGCCAGCAACAGCAACAACAACAACAACAACCATCACCATGCGCACTACCGCCGCCGCCCGGTCCCAAAGGCCCTCCCAACACCTAATAGCCCGTATGCTACGGACCCGGATAGCGACACCTCACCTATAGCCGCGGAGCACGCCCACCGCCCTCGCTACCCGTTCTCTCCCGTCCAACTACCTCCGCCGCCGACGATAGCAGCAGCAGCAGCATCCTCCCTGCAGCCCACGAGCAGCGGCTGGACGCCCGCGAACGTAGTTTCGCCGCACCGCCACCAGCACCAGCACCAGCACTACGAGCCCTCCGGACTGAGCCCCTGGCTCACCGCCGTCCCACGCTTCACCACCGAGACACACATCCGGCCGTACCCTGCTCCTCTCTCCGCCCCCCTCCCCGCTGCCCCCCTCGTCCCTCCCACGCCATCCTCGCATCCCTGGCGAGGCAAGCGAGCAGCCGAGCACGTGACGGAGACCGATTACTCGCCGCAGCAGCAGCGCATCATCACTAGCAACATCAGCAGCGGCCGAACTGCGGCGGAACCCGTCCACCAAGACCCTCGCAACGGCAGCAGCAGGAGCAACAGCAATAGCAGTAGCAGCAAGATAAAACGCCTGCCGCCGAGCGACTCGCCGCTAGGCGCGGCCGGGGGGCGCGCGGACAAGAACGCGGCGCTGCTCTTGATGAACCTCAGCGTTAGGGACTCGCGGGGCGGTGGAGGAGGAGGTACCAGGAGCGGAGGGTATGGCGGCGGTAGCACGACGGCGGCGACGACGACGGTGTCGGGAACGAGTTCGCCTGGGGACGGGGCGTTTCCACGCGTTAAGAGGGTTAGGTCGAATTCGATGTGAGGACCTACCTAAGGTACCTAGGTAGGGCAGGGTAAGGTCGCTTGTCTAGGTTGAGCTTACTCCGAATATGGTTCAAGAAAAGGGGAGAGGGGGAAGGAGGAGAGAGGTGTCGGACAACTTTGGTTTTACTACTGGGATAGACATCGGGCCGGGGTGAAAATTGGGAAAGGGGACTTTGGAGTTTATGCGTACGCCCCTTTTGAGGTCAAAATTGGGCACGGCAGTAGCGGCGGCGGCGATGGCGGCGGCGGCGTTCTACCGGTGTATCTAGACGAGTTGCTATGCTTACCTGTGTATTATCCTGCTATGCGTTTATTTGAATACGAAAATAGTAAAAGTAAAGACGAGGCCTTGAACCAGCCAGGTCCATGTCAATACGTTAGGAGGTACTTTAAGAGGTTATTTATCATGGAAGACAGAGATAATCCCGAGCAGGACCTAAAATAGTGACTCAAAAAATCCCCTTTTTGTTGTCTTCCTCATCTTAAATTAGAGGTAGGTAACTCCTATCCGAGTAAACTAGCTACTCCCCCCCTTCTCCGCCTTCTTCTTCTCCTTAAACTCCTGCACCCAAGCCGCGGCCTTCGCCTTCGGCAGCACGAAGATCTTCACGACCTCGTCCACGACCTCGACCTTGCCGCCCATCAGCATCTTCAGCAGCGGCACCTTCTTGCCCACCTTGACCAGCCCGCCCGCCGCCGTCTCCATGTAGCACTCGACCCCGTCGAGCGTGTACTCGCGCGCCGCGTCCCACGGCAGCGGGAACACGTAGCTCAGGTGGTCCGCCAGCGCCGCCGTCTCCTCGAACGCCTTGATGAAGTCCGACTCCAGGTGCGCCGGGTACAGCAGCACCGTCGGGAAGCTCAGGCTGCTGCGCGGGTCGTCCGGGTCCGGCACCAATCGTATCCCCGCGTCCTCCATCTCCGGCGGCTGCGCAGTCGTCCGCGTCCTAATCTCCCGGCTCTTGAGCGCCACCTTGACGAGCGCCTCCCTCCGCTTCCCCCGAGCCAGCCGCTCGCTTTCCTTCTTCTGCTTCGCCGTCACCTCCTCGTGCTTCTTGACGACATCCCGCGCGACGGCCCGCAACGGCCCGTTGTCCGCGTCGAGCGCCAGCCCCCGCGCGCACGCGTCGTCGGCCTCGGCGACGCGCCCGACGGCGAGGAACGCCCGCGCCGACCGGTAGTACGCCTTGAGGTTCCGGTCGTTGAGGCGCAGGGCCGCGGCGCAGTCGAGCCAGCAGCTGCGGAAGTTCTTCAGCTCGAGGTGGCAGGCGGCGCGGTTGACGTACAGGGATTCCAGCACGGCCCTCTGCCTCCCGACCTCCTCGTCGGCCACCTCGGGGTCCCGCTCGCCCCGCGCGCGCTTGCGCTCCTCGGCCGCGAGGACCAGCACGCCCTTCGTGTAGAACTCCTTGGCGTCGGCCCAGCGCTTCTCGTGGAAGCACTCGTTGCCGCGCTCCTTGAAGTCGGAGCCGTTCTCGAGCGGCGTCCCCTCGTACGCAAGCGCCTTGAATGCTTCCGTCTGGTCGTTCTCCTCCAGCTCCGTCATGAAAAACGGCGTCTTCTTCAGGTCCGCGACGATCTCGTCTATGGACTTCTTGTTGCCGGGCTCGGGCTCCGGAAATACGGCCGCTGATACCGGCTTGGAGACATCTTGCGACGATGTTTCTTGCTGTTGCGATTCGGATTTCTCACTCTCAGCTGGAGAGAGCTTTAGGCGCTCCGCAACCTCCTCGGAGATTTCTTCAATGTGCATCCTGAGCGGCTATCTCGTTGCCCCCTACTTCTTATACGTCGTCTCTCTTTTTATATTTTCACCCAATTACCTCCTTATAGGTAGAATTAGCGCAATAAGGCTGCAAAATTCATACAATATTAGGCAAGTTTTCGCTTTTAAGTGAGAGGAAGCTCATAGAATTCATAAGACAATTCAATTACGTCGGTATATGCAATTTGCAAAAATTAGTGCCCGTTTGATTGGGTCCCGGCCACAATTCGACGATTTTATATGCAATTATATGCACTTAAGCGAATAGCCTCATGGCTTCATCTACCTGTTACTTAAGGGTAGAATTATATACTTTTCTACGTAGAATGTCGTGAAAATGGATACTTAGTATACTATTTCTTTGTTTTGTTTTGTTATAATTTTAAGAGCTTGTCTATTTTAAATGCAACATTATTCCATCTTCCAAGTGGATAAGTTCCATTTCATCTATGTAGGCCTTTTTGTCTTAACCACCTAACCCGTTTATGCAACAACACCATTCGCCTCTGTCTCTCTCTTTACCTCGTCAACCGGTACCGTCGTATTGTGCCCGTTGACCTCGGCAAGCGCCTGCTCTATAGCCTTCAAGAACCTACTGACCTCGTCCTCCGTCCCGACCGTGATCCGCAAACACCCCAGACACCCGTGCTCCTTACCCCTGAACCGCACGACAACGCCCTTGTTCTCCGCCAACGTCTCGTACACCGCCAGCGCCGTGGCGTTGTCCGGCTTGCCCTCCGCGTTCAGCATCTCGAATAGCAGGAAGTTGCTGCTCGTCCCGCCGCGCAGCCTCCCCACGCCCTTGATCTTGGGCAACTCCCGGAGCAGCCTCTCCCGCTGCTGCACGAGCTTCTCCCTGTGCGCGCGCATCGTCGCCAGGCCCTCGCCTGAAGCGACGTACGACGCCAGCGCGCTGGTAGGGCTGGAAATGTTGTACGGCGCTTTGATGTTGTTGAGTAGCCGTGCGACGGGCGCCGCGGCGAATGCCACGCCAAGTCGGATGCCCGCCATGCCAAACGCCTTGGAAAGAGTTTGCATGACGACCAGGTTCGGCCACTCGGCAACCCATTCCGCCAACGAGCTCCCTTCAGGCGCAAAGTCGACATATGCTTCGTCAAGGACTACCACGCCGTTCCACGTCGGGTGCTCTAAAATCTGCTTTACGTCTTCCTTGGCTAGCAGCGAGCCGGTCGGGTTTCCTGGGGAGCACAGATAAACGAGTTTAATGTTCTGCTCCGTGGACAGCGCTTCTATTATTTTGGCCACGTCGAGCCCAAACGTCGGCGCCGGTAATAGAGGGACCTTGACTAGGCCGACATCGTTGACCTGTGCTGACACCGAGTACATGCCGTAGGTCGGAGGACATACCAAGATGCGGTCGCGACCAGGCACGCAGAAACATCTCAGCAATATGTCGATAGCTTCGTCGCTACCAACGCCTACGAACAAGTTGTCAGGCGTGATGGTTTTGTCTGTGTGGTGGTGAGTGTTCCGCAGGTTGCAGAGCAGCTGCTTGAGGTCCCGTTGGTGCGGGTCGGGATACCTGTGCAGTCCCAAGAAGTCTATATCAGGCCCGGAGCCCTTGGACAAAGCCGAGACGGCTTCCGGTGCTAATGACGGTCCAATGGCGTTCTCGTTGGCGTCAAGAAGAACATTTGTGCCATCGTCCTTGTAGTCGCTATAATACACGTAAGCAAGTATTCGTCAATAACGTATTTTTTATTTTTATTTTTATTTTTTGGCTAGTCTTACTCTCGTGCACAGCGGTACGGTTCCAATGCTAGAATATTGGGCCTTGCACAGGTTTCTAAGTTGAAGGGTGACATGATAAGGCCGGATTGTACTCGACAAACGTTTTGTTGCTATTCCAGGTATTCTTCAAAACAGGTACCTAAAATAAATTCGGATGGTTCTTACCGATGAATAAAAGAAGTTACTTATTATTAGTATAACCAAGACCAACTCATTAGTCTCTTATTAGCTTATTTTATAGACGACAAGTTGAGTCACAACACAGATTTGAATTTGTCGAATCTCGTCTTATTAAAGGAAATTGTTTTTTTAGTAACATGTTTTAGCACCTTTCGCATCGTCCGTCATAGGTACAGAGTACCTAACCTAGACCTAAGGTACCTAATTGCAGGCTTCAGCATCGAATCCGTTGTCCGATCGGAGGGTTATGACCTCCACACTTCGGTGGGTCTTGTGTACCCCCCTTTTTTTCTACTATATACCTCCCTTGAACGCATATTATACTAGTCTATGTATCTTAACTTTATTAGTCACGTAATGAAGTCACAGATAGGCGTATTTCACATACATATCTAAGATAAAGTACTTCCTACAATAAATCTACAAGAGTTAAGAGTCAACCAACAATAAATAATACTCTTTGACGATTCACACGAGACTACATCTGGTCTTGAATATGGAATTCTTTGCGGAACGAAGCAAAAATATTTCCCCAATTAATATCGAAATAGGTATCAACCCGTGTTCTCTCAATAAACCCAAACGCCAAACTACTATGCTTGTGCCCATTCCCAGTGTATCCAAAAATCATCCCATCATGCAAACGCCGAATTAGACAGCTCAGCGGGCGGGATGCGCAAGGGTTAGTTACTGGCCGGCCGGCTTCGGTGGCACCTTGCCTGTGCCCTTGACGTGCTTGATCTCGCCGGCCTTGAACGGAGGCCGCGCCTGTTGCGAGAGCAGCCCCTGCACCGTTTCCAGCGCCGTCAACTGCTGACCCAGTCCAGTCACGCCGTCGAAACCGCCGGTATACCACTTCTGCCCGCACGTCACACCGTCCTGTCCTCCAGAACAGGCCTTGCCGGCCGCGGTAGCGGAAGCGCCTAGCAGTGACTGGACTTGGTTCAACGCCGAGGGCATCATCCGTGCGGTTCCCCACATGAATCGCGAAAGGTAGCCCTTGAATGACTTCATGTCGTTGTTGCACACCTCGTACGGCTCGCACGCGTGCTCGAACATGATGTTGGTCGCGTTCGGGTACGGGCTGAAGTAAGAGTCCGCCGCCTTCAGGAGGCCGGTGGCACGAGCCCCCCACGTCTGGTCTCCGTTCGTGTAGTTGTAAAGGACGGCGGCTCCGTACATGTAAATTCCCTGCGAGTACGAGAACGACAGCCTGTTGATCTTAGCGCAGTTGTCTTCGATGCCGGCACCGTCGTAGACCATGTAGTCCTTGTCCACGAATCCAATCTCCTCAGACCAATCATACACCTTCTTCGCCCACTCGAAGTACGTGTCGTTACCAGTTGCCCGTGCGAGGCGTGCAGACAGCTGGAAAAAACCGCCGTTGGAAACGCTGTTCTTGTACTTCATGCCGTTCGGGTTGTCCTCGAATATTTGCCACATAAGTCCGCCTCCACAATTAGTAGTATTCCACCTCACGACCATCGTGTTCCAGATGTTTTCCGCGATGTCCAGCCAAGGCGGAATGTTGTCGTCGGGCTGGGGGAAATTCCGCTCAGCGGCGTTAAGAATAGCGAAAGACCAGAAGGCCTGGTCATCATTTCCTTCGGAGCCAAAGTGCAACGGCACCATTAAATCAAATTTGGGGCCGACTTGCGATAGCAGGGCCTGCGTGATGACTTCATCATAGCTAGAATCACCCGTATAATGGGAATAATCTAGCATGGCTCCCCAGGCCGCACCTGCTTCCCACCAGTCTATTAAATTCAGTTAGCAAAGCTCAGGGGTGGGTGAGAAAGAATTTAGCAGGTCGGCGAATCTTACAGTATGGCTCAGGGAAAACCGCAATAGTCTAAGAAGCACATTAGCTTTAACTCAACGAATGCAGCACCCGGGATTGTAGTATTCCATACCTCTGGGGTGTTCGTCACATTTCCGGAGTAATATGACATGAGCCCATGCGCAAGCGTACTAGATACGCTACGTATAGATGCTAAACAGCTGGTTAGCCTATGCCATCTAATGATATATCGGGATATGATCGTCAACACAAGTACATACCTGGGTCATTGACGTTAAGGTCTTTTGGTGCTACGAATGTCGCTGCCAGCGCAGCGGCGGTGTTTACCGACTTCATGAACATGTTTGCGTATGTGCCCAAGGTCGCTGAAAAGGAGTGTATCGCGCAGCGAACTCAATGTTTATAAATATTGGGAAATTGCAAGCGTCGTCTTGTAATCCCTTGTACTTCCAAATCTCGAATGTTGAAGGGGGAACACTAGGTATAAGGGAAATGAAAAAAAAGAGCAGTAATTTTAGGATATAGGTAGAAGAAGCGATGACGAAATTGACTTATAATTCAACAGTAATAAAACCTTACGCGCAAGAAATGCGTACAGAATAGAATAATAATTCCGCTCGAGTGATTGTCTAAATCTATAACAAATGAAGAAAGGAACGACGAGCAAGGAAATAGAAAGAGAAAGAACAATCAACGCTGACTTGACAAGAGACACTAAAGAAAAGAAAAAAGATGGACTGTGACTTGGAATAAGGAACTTGTCCGTGACAAGGCCATCACAACGTGTAAGCGGGGGAGACAATAAGCTTTTATTCAGATCTCGTAGGAATCGTGGTCCAGAAACAGTCCACAGCCACACAAAGGGTGGTTGTATCACCACGCATGTAGCGTATCGTGTTTATTGGTATTCGTAATAGGAAACTGGCGTGTCCCTGGTATCTCCATTCACAGGCACCGGCACCTTATGGCGACCTAGCTTGTGAGGATTGGTTGGTTGACATATTCGGCCCCAGGAGGTTTGGAGCCATGTATTTTGATAGACCGACTCCGTGTGGAGGCTACTATCGCGTATACACGTAGTCAAGCACCAATCAATCCTATTACGTTCTACTATGTATTATGTATCCATCAGCTAGGTAAAAGAAAGACTCTACCTAGATCGACATAACGACTTTCGAGTCTTTACGCTGGAGGAATTTCGATGACTTCCAAAAAGCTTGTTGTATGGGGTTAAGAAAGCGGATGACCCAGTAGCCTATCAAATCTCCATGGATCGTCAAATGGATTGTCAGGGGTATCGAGGGGGTAACAGGGGCCCCCCAATGATGGTGATCTAAAAATGTCAACAGGGACGACACTTGATTGGTTACGATTCAATTCAAGCTTCTCGTCAGGGCCTGAAACATGAAACAAAAGCCACTGGACTTCCTATTTCTGCGCTTTAGACGCCAACCGTGTCTCTACCGTCTCTACCGCGCGATTACAGAAAATGTCGCTTACTTGCCTGGTCTAAGCAGGTATCTGCTATGTAGTGATTCCAGCTTCGGGGCGCTATTTTTATCGCTTGTCAAAATAGTATTGTTATTCAGCGTCGAGACGATTCACCAAAAGCTACTTAGGTTAGGTAGGTACGGATGGACGGGAGTGTGTCAAAGTATACCTTAGGTACTTGATGGAGAGTTGATGCGGTAATTGTGAAGGTCAAGTCCGTACGAAACTCATAGTACATCGCAGCACGACAAACTCATTGCCAACAAGACGCGGCAAATGGGTCAATGATTTTTGTGTGTCCAAATAGTAAAACACAATAGCCTCCATGTCATCAGCCCTGTAAGGGTGCTTGCCCGTTTTGCCAAAGCAATCACAAATTGGAAAGCTCTGTATTGATAACATGCAAACAAGGTTGTCGCCTCCCGTCTTTGCCACGTTCTCGCCGTCTTGGCTGTGGCGAGAGAAGATGTTATTGTCTGTACGGCTGTACGGTAGACAGCGTTCTTATGACACATGTATACCTACTAGTACGCAAGTGATATTAGGTAGTAGCATATCGACAGAACTACCGAGTCTAGCACATGTGGTCATACGATAAGTCATCACTGCCGATGAGGATAATCTGGCGCCCGTATCACAGCAGAATGCTATTTCAACTCGGACGACATATAATCTTATATAGGATAAGTTGCGCAGATGAGATGATATAATACGTATCGTGTCCCAATAAAAAGAAATACGTCCAACATGTTCGCACACGTATGAAGATAAAATCCAGTAAAAGAGATGATAAAAAGTTAGATGGAGACTAACAACGTGATAAATCGAGAAAAAAAATTTGGTACAGAAGGAATTTAACCTCCAAAGTTGGACTCGCGGGGAATCGAACCCCGGACCACTCCCATGCTAAGGGAGTATTATACCACTAAACCACAAGCCCGTGGATGTTGGAAAAGCAGTTTGATTTGAGCAATTATAAAACTTGTGCACGCTACTGGAGGGGCAGAGGGGTTACATTTCCATCAACCCCACCATACCCACATCAACTTGCACGCATATGCAGAAACATAAACTATGAACTTAAGAGGTAATTAATCGATTAACAGGTAGTTAGGCCGATTCCACAGTCTCTTCACGACTTCAACTATTATATCAAAATTGGTTATACAAGGTAGGCGTGGAAAGAAAGTTTAAGTACTATGAGATTATCCCACTGTAATTAATACCTATGTCTGTATGTGAAAGTGTTACGGGATATACTTCAAACAGCGAATACGATATAATGTCATATCATATCACCACGCAAAGCTATACGATCTAAGAGTACCTAAGCTATAAGGTATTGTGAGCAATGCGGTTCGGTACTAAGACGGTATTGCGATGTAGCTAGCTCTATTGGTGGAAAACATCCCATCCCGAAAAGTTCATAACTCTATCTAACCGTGTCTCAACTCTCGACGAAGAGGAAAAGGTCTGCTCATTCCTACGGGCCAATCAGATTCCTTTGTTCATTTCTTCCCACCCGTCTTCATCCGTTCTAACACCTTGCAAATATGAGCATGCTTAATCCCAACAGCTCAGATACGATCCTCTTATGAGGCCTGCTGATGTTTATAGTTAAGTTCTTATCCGATGCTTCGAAAAATGCTAAAGAAAGTTGCGTTTATGATATTGCCCTAACTGGAGTTATCCGAACGAGTTCTAGCCCAAGCTCGCATTCTAATACAATTTCAAAGTACCAAGGTTAGGTATGCATTTAGGGTATGGAGCGACACGACGCTCCAATGAGGCAATTAATCGTAAGTGTTGACCCTTTCAGGCTCAAAGGATTCCAATGTCGAGAGTACATCTGAGCTTATCATTCATATTAGAGGGTGTGTACCTGTCTTTATATCTTTCGGAACCTAGTTTACTCAATTTATCGTCTAGTCAATGTCTGAAATTAAAGATGGATGTTGGTTTGATAACCGGAGTCAAACTTTGCCCGACTTGCGACTCCCCATTTCCAAGGTAAGGTTCTTATATAAATTTAAACTCAAGGACTTAGATGGTAGAGGCACAAGATTCCCTCCATAATTTGAGATGACAGGCATTAAGCGTAACGTTGTATGAAGGGATGGCATAAGGTTAAATCTTCTGATATAAATGAGATAAATCTACTATGACAAGTTACCGTCGTGCCGGGCTTCCCATATCAGACGTAAGTTTTCAGCTAGTTAAGTAATGGGAACCTAACCGTGTAGCCGGCGGCCGGTGTACACTAGGGTATGTCCGGTGACATCCGTAAGCTAGTCAAAAACGCCGCCGACGGACCTTCAACTCAAATACCCACAAACCTCTCTTATTGGCTCAAATTGGCTTTTATTGACGAACTGAGAGATACCGGTTCCCATATTAGCTAGCTTATCCTCCTATTGACAGAGCTGAAGGATGGAATGAGCCTCGCAAGACCGATCATATGGACCTAGCCGTCGACATCACGTACACTTTAACTTGGAAAATGTAGAAGATCCGTTCCACCGGTATCAATTAACAGCTTGCGTGGAAACATTTCATTGTGAAGGCATGACTACGATCTTCTAGTCTCTTGCTGATCGTGACCTGGTAATTTTCATTTGTATCCCACCTACTCGAGTAGCCTAAACCTGGACGTCGTAATTTCAAGAGGCATTTCCAGTGTTTGTACGTAGTCTGATACCCCCTTTTCGCCGCTTGATCCTTGGAAGTTACCTGGAGATGTTGACTACCTCCTATCTTCCATCTTGCTCATTGCGTTGGTGTATGATGCGTCCTCACGCTATAATGAACTCTGAAAGGAGAAACGCGAAATTGCGTTGAGCCGAATCTATCCTTCATGATGTATATCAAAAGAGTTTGCTTGTTAGAGACCCAATAGCATATAATAAGGGAACAGTCGAAGATAAGTTATGCTCCAACCAGCAACATCATCTCACACTCTTCAACTTCATACCTCATATCAATCTTCAGCTTCATACCTCGTATCAATATCCACCACAACCTACCATCCTATCTAAACTATCCACATATAACTCCTCAACTTCAAAATGATGTACATCACGATCCTCACCCTCGCGGCGACAGCCCTGGCCACTCCCTACGCAGTCGACCCCTCGGACGACAAGAAATGTACAGCCCCTGCCTATGCCTGCAAGCACGACTTCTCGGGCTGGCTCGTCTGCAACATAGATGGCACTTACCTCGTGAGCAACACCATCACAAGCCCCCTATCCTCTCCTCCCCTCTCCTCTCCTCTCTCCCTTCTCTCTTGTTGTTTCCTTCCCTCACCATCGCTAATTAATTTTCCCGCGTAGGATGGCGGAAACTGTACCTCGGACACTACGTGCCAGTACATCAACGATCTGCCGTACTGCGGCCAAAAGTCCGAGGCGTGGCCGAGCGACTCCTGGTCCTGGTCCGAGCCGAAGCCCACCGAGTCCGGGTACAAGGCACAGTCGAGCGAGTCCTGGTACAAGGCGAAGCCCAGCGAGTCCAGCTACAAAGCCCAGTCCAGCGAGTCCTGGTACAAAGCCCAGTCCAGCGAGTCCGGGTACAATAAGGCGCAGCCCAGCGAGTCCTGGTACAAGGCGAAGCCGAGCGAGTCTGGATACAATAAGGCGAAGCCGAGCAAGGCCAGGAAGTACTAGATCGATCTGTCAGGCGAAGTTCATTAGACCGATTACAAATTGATAGACGGCACAAGAAATGGTCGATAGAAAATCGGGAACGGAATATGTATTAGCTTTTAACGCTGCCATTCCTTTGGGGCTGGTTGAGAATGTTAACGAGTGGGAATAGATACTCTCTTTGAATGCTACACGAACACATTCACTAACACATGGATACTCATGACTAAACGCTTAGTGCTCATCCGACCAAGTGAATTCCTAGTGTTATGAAACATGTTGAAAATTAAAAGCATTACCCAACATTCAAGCGGGTATATCTTGGATTGGTTTCCGCTCTTTATCTTCGGTCCGATCTTTCTTAAGCCACCGCCCGAGGATGATGGCTAGATTCTTGCTGCCCACGACCACACACCATTCACCACCGATGCTCCAAGCAACCTGGCGTCCAACGAAGTCCTTAACTGTAACATTGCTCTGCGAGTGTGCTCTGATGGGTTCCTCGACGCGTGTCATGTCATATTTCAATTCCCACTGCTCCAACGTCTCCGGAGTATAGTTTGTATTGAGATCATAGTGTGTTTCGACGTCCACGCTACCTGTATGTCCGGACACGACCGACTCCCTGTCGCTAGCAGCGTCCCTAACCTTGCTAACGGCATCTCCCTTATGTCTATTCATGGGCGCTAGCCAGCCCGGCCGTTGGATTGGCTGGGTCTTATCACGATTGGGGTCTCGAACTTCGCTGATGAAATCGTGATAGCTCCCTAGACGTGCTAGGTCCCAGAAGAAAATCATGGCCTTGGCATTGCCGAACGCCAAAATCGGGTGTTTGTCCTTGTCGTGAAAGAGCTTGAAGCGTAAGTAGAACTGATGACCGCAATGCGGCGTCCAAAACTCTAATAGGCGAGTGTACTGAGGTGGACACGCCGATGCTGTCGCAGGGGCAAAGGCTGAACGGGTTAGACGTTCTGTATCACTCGTAGTAGGTGCCTCAGACATTTCAGGGGGAGGATCACGAGACGAGAATCCTTCGATTCGCCATAGCACGATTATGTCCTCATGGCAGGCCCTGGAGAGAATGAGATCGCCAAAGAAAGCAACACTAGAGTCTTATTAGAGACTATCCTGCGGACTTGCTGGATGGCTTACCAATCTACTATGCCGCTATGCACCTCAGAAGTAAAGAAATGAGGGTAATGTATTACGATTGGCTGTGAAGGGGTTTTGCCGCTCGGTTCAGGAGGTAAATTAGGAAGCGTCCACTATAGTACGTTAATGATATGCAAATATGTTATATGTTATACAGGTCTGATATCGAAATTTCTTACCAGACAAATAACATTGTCGTGTCCAGCGGAGAGAACATAACGGCCGCTATTATGAAATGCCTGAAAAGGGTCAATAACCAAGGAGACTATTAAAGCGGTCAGAGCTACATACCACAGTCAGCAGCCCTGATGAGTGCCCTTCTCCGGCAAGCAGGCACACGCATGGTTGCTTTTCGTGTGCAGGATCGAGGCTCCATATCCGAACTGTAGTGTCTTCCGATGCTGATGCAATTAGGAGGAAATTTGTCGGGCACGTAGCAAGATCATTTATTTCCTCCAACTATTGTCAGCCTGGTACCTCTGGCCAATTTACTTTCGAACTCACTCCTCCATGGCCTACGAGGACCTATAAGATTATTAGCTGGGCGAATAGTTGCAATTGTCTTTAAACATTTTATCTGACCTTTACTAGCTTACCCTGAACAACGTCGTAAACCTTGATTTTGGCGTCCCTCCCAGCTACGCATAAATAGGGGACTTCGGTCTCAGGGTCCTTAGTCCAAGTGCAGCTGCAATTCAGCGCCTCCTTCTAAATTTCTGTAAGCTATTATGGCCGCGACATAAGCTTGCCGCGACGGAACTCACGTCGTCGTCCCTGAAGAGCTGGACAAGCTCGTAAGGGGGTGTAATCTTGCTGGAGAGCCGGTATATTACGATATGCTTTTTGCTGACCGCGGCAAATACCGGATCATGTGTGACATCCCCATATGGGTAAAACTTCACATCGAAGAATTCTAATATGCGTTGTTAGAGATTTGCTCCATAGCGTCGAAGAGACGCCTCACCTGTGTCCTGGTCGTCTGATGCCAAGTTTTGGGAATCATCCTACGAGGGTAAGGATTAGTCTATACCGAATCCCGGGTCCGAGACATAGGAGTAATCTTAGAGAAGCCTCACCTCAAAACCGATAGAGGCCTTCACTCGTGGGAGGTCCCACTCGTCATTGCTGATCGTGGATGGCATCTCGAAAGAGTGTCTTGCATAATTGTCATTCAAGTTGATAGGCTCAGCCTAAGGAGCGGGGCAGGCTTGTTAGGAGGTTAATGAGAAGTTAAGACCGAATGGTTAAAAGTGAAGCTGGGATTGAACCATTCAGGGGTCGTTTCTAGGCTGTGGCTGCTATGTAGATGCTGGTTGAGTGTGAGTGGATACGCGAATTTCGTGAGAGCTGAACGTCCACGGGGGGACCGGGGGGCACGGGGGCACGGGAGCACGGGGAAGGTGCTAGTTTGGATACATAGTAATTAGGTACCTACCTAAGGTAGTGGGTGTTATTGTTTGGTCTGGTTGGATATGATGCTAGCTGAATTCGTTATTGTTCAATGATGGTTGATTGTTAATCGTGGAGCCCCAAAGTTCTACTTTAGGTACCTAGGCTGCTAGGTGCTTTGACATTGTTCGAAGGATCGGATTACCAATAGCCAAAAATTCTAAATAGTTTTTGAAGCTATGTATTGTGGATAGGTACCTTTAATTTACAAAAATGGTTGTTCAGTAATCAATTATTCCCTAACGTCGCAGAGGCTGCACTGATCATTAATTGCCCTTGCGCCGTAATCAAGCCGCAAACCAGAGTTTACGCTAGACAAGGTTGTGGCTGGAGTTCCCATGCAGCTTGTTTACCTCTGCATTAGTGTTACCTATGCACCTAAGCAGCTAAGTAAAAAGGGTAACTAGCTTGAAATTAGTTAAGGAACTTTGTACGGGAAAGCTTAAGCCAGTATGTCGATGATAACAACGCGAAGAAAACCCGCCTGGTAAAATAAAATCTCATAATAGTTCAGTCAAATGCTTCAAATACCTATACTACTTATAACCTCATAACGAGGTGGAAATCCCATTGTCGAACTAACATACCCAACATTTTTTTTCTTTTTTTATGTAAAATATTTAGGTATTTACGGGTTCAATGAAAGAAAGGTACCTTGTATTATATCTTGAATTCTTGGAAGTTGGTACTGTGTAACCCTTGCACAGACCTCCACCATTATCAGAACTTTGGGATACTTCTTCTGGATGTCTTTTTGAACGGGCCGTTAAGCTCAAGAATAACTACTTAGGAGGTAGTGGCCGGGTCTTGGCATTTCTCTTCAAAAACAGTACCATCTTTAACACAAAAAGAACCACGAAAATAAATCGTAAAAACTAGGGAAAAGCGATAGTTACCTCCTACCTTATATAAGATCTTCTGGAAAGTAATATGATAGGTATATTTTGTCGGGAATGCTAAGACACGTCCATTAATTCTTTAGTTGACGGATGGGTAAACTGGGCTCTATCGTTATGGTTGTTCGATTGCTTGTTATCTCTATGTATGCCGGGGCGCTCTCCACGGCCCAAGGGTTTATTACGTTCTTCAACCTGGAGTACCCAACCTAGTCCAATTGTAATTCGCCCCAAGCTTCTTCAGCCGCTAAGTCTTGCAATGACGCCCAAGAAAGTGGTTGAGAAATCCTAGACTCCGCCCAACTTAGCGGTCTCTACTATGTAGTATTGGAGGGGACCCTGGTAAGGCGAGTACGGCCATTCACACACGCACACACACACCTTGAACAAAAGAGCGAAAAGCGTATTCGCTATGTGCGATGGACGATATACGATGTGCGATACTGCATGCGATGGACTGCATAAAATCGTATTCACATGTAACAAATAGCAAATGCTGTGATGGAGCAACCTATGAATCTTGGGATGATGTATGCAGTGCATAAAAATCTCTTCACTCGAATGCAAGCTATTTTATTCTGCCTGTTTCGTTGGGAGAGAGATGACGACGCGCCGTCGTGCCATCCACATAGTATGCAAACTAGAAACTATATGTGGTCACAGGAGACGCGATAAGTGCTACGATATACCTTGGTAGCTTCTGCTTGGATTTTTGCCTTCATTTACGACTTTGCAACTTGTACTGATGATAGGCACGGCTGATGCTGGTGATAATACCGTTACTGGATTTTTTGGTCTTGGCAGCGTAGACAAGGCAGTCATGCTCGAAAAATTGGATGCAGGTACATGATATAATTATTTCATATCTAAACCGTACCTTACGTAGGCAGACTGACAACGTAGTTAAGTAGTATGCAATCGTGCCATCAAGGGGTACACTATGATAAAATCGTTCGCTCAAGAGAATGACTAGGCTGTATGGTCCAATCAGTGCTCGCCGATGACCGAAGCTGTTCAGGGCAGCTCAAAATCACAAACTCTGATGACAGCTCTTAATATCTTGACCCCTGTCAGGCTTATTTTAGTCTCCAACACCTATGGGGAAGTGTTCTAATCTTCTGAGATTTTAATATCCGTTAGTCAGGGCTATGCGCTACTGTTGCTGTGATCCCGTATGGAAGCTACAAGAGCCCAAGCCGTTATTATGTAATTAGGAATTCTAACAAAATCACCTTCTTCATCGGCATATAATAAACAACTCCTCAAGACTCAAGAGCTTGGTCTGCGACGGAGTCCGAGAACAATACCCACTTAGCACATATGTGGAGAGAGATACTATACCACAGTAGGACTTCAAGGGTCTTTAGCAACGCTTGATATCAATATCACCACGTGCGTCGCCGAGAAGTTGCCGAGGAGGCGAAACTAGAAGCTGTCCTCAGTCCCAGATTATAGTAAATCCTAGTAGCAGATCCCGAGGGACCTGGTTAACCCATCAGCCCATCCGGAATCGTTTAGGTTATAGGCTTCGGAAATAAACCCGGATTGACTTCTAGGTATCTAAGCTTGGCTAAAGCCGTACTAGAGTACCTCTCTCATACAGTTCATAACCAAAAAAAAACAAAAGACAACTCCCGCAACGTTGGTTCGGCCCTTGCAAGTTGCTAGGTGTACGTAACTCGAGGACGAGAAATGGTTATAAATTCAGTTAAACCCTTGCGGCGAACCTCCATCTCGCAAGCAATTCCCAAATTGTACGAATATCCCTGCTCGTTCTGATATCATTTATGACCTTGTGCGGAATTATATGTTCTCGGTTTTAACAGTCAATTAAACGAGTTAAATAAAACAAATATTTAGTAACAATTGAGAATATTTATTTATAAGAAGAATATATACGAAGAGGTCTATTATTTTATCTTTACGCATTAAATAATAAGAAATAACTGACTTAAATGAATTATTTATGACGTGTGCGTGAGTAGTTCCGTCATGCGGAACGAGTGCCGAAGGGAGTATAGGCCCAGAATCGGCCTAAAATTTTAAACGCGTTCTATGTGCATGATGTACCTACCTGTCAGCACGCATAGGGATTATTAGTACAATTAAAGATATACCTAGCTCTTGGCACCTTAGGTACACCCACATTACTACTTCATACAAGTATCGTATGTACATGATCCGTAACAATTACTGCGATGTTTTAGTTGCTTTGTTTTTTCGTGGGTGTATTGTCGATCCCCTAACGCAAACAAAATCCTAAGAGAAAAAAGTTCGGTTTTGCATGCGTGCTAATGGGGAAAATAAGGTTAAAATAAAAAACACTGGCACCAATGGGAGTAATACGTAACAGCATACCTGGTACGAGTACACCACCTCTAGGTAGTACCTGTATGGTCTTAAGCAATTTGGACGCCCCCCCCCCGCAGCAGCAGGTTGTATAGTACAGAATAGTCCAGTAATATGGTACGATTATAAGATGCCTTGGGCTTGTCTGGGCAGAAAGTATGCGATAGAATGGCTGCGGACATTTTTGTCAGAGCCTAGACTCTGATATAATAACTGTTAGGCTGGTTTCTCCCAGGGGTTCGCTCGCGAGTCTACCATAGGTAGTAGTCGTGAGGGACCCTTGCGAATAAACTGGGCACCATGGGAAAGTTTGGACGGAACGTACGGGTGCGAAACAAGCGGGAAGTTGGGCATCTGCAACATACATAGGTAGTACATATGGAAATACATGGGGTTTACTTATGGGAATCAGACGTATAGGTAATTCCTACCCAGTACCTAAGTTAGGTAAAATAAACGCCAGTACCTAAGATGTAGTAAATGCAGTAGATGCAGTAGGATGCAGTAAAATCCAGGTAAATATACTACATGTAGCCAGGTAAAAGGGAAGGTGCACATGCATATTGACCTACCTGATATCTGGGATGTAGGGAAGTACCAGGATACGTATACTTTAGGTAGGTAGGAGGTATTGCACAATTTACTTTTAGAGACATGTACAATAGGTATCTCTAGGGGTATAAACGCGGCTAGAGAATGCCGTTACGCTACCTGCATTGCCGAGCCTTAACTCACTCAACTCGCTCAACTCACATATAAGGACTAAAGTATACATTAGCGAAACAGGTACCTAGCTACCTAACCTTACCTTAGAACCTGCCTTATATTTGACTCCCCCTGCTTTGCCGGTAGCATTGACAAATGGGATTGCGTCCTGCAAAACTGGCGTAAGAGCCTTAAAGACAACACAGCAACCTCTTCGAATTCAACCCGATATGCTTTGACGCCGGACTTACAACACCTTTTATTTTTTTTTATTTTTTTATTTTTTTTTTACTACTTTGCCCTGCTTCGATCCATTAATAATAACGGCTGATCAAACAAAAAACGGTATAATCTCTTCGGTATCCCTTAGGTCACTATAGGTACATACCTACCTGTACGAACCGTTCCCCTTCATCGATCCATTTTCCCATTTTCACTCTCTACCTCTCAAGCTACTTCGCGAACTAGCTTCGCAAGCTCAAGCCCCCGAGAAGAACGGGACCTATTATTATATTAGACCTGGACTTATTATCCCCGCTACCCGTCACCCGAAACCCGAACTCCGTCAAAAATTCAAACACGCCAAAACGACTTATGCAATCTCTTATTTAGCTCCCCGCCAGGCCTACGCTATATTATATATGACGAGCTGGTGGCTCTGGATGTCCCCTCTGGTTATTGCTACTTGCCCCGTTCCCCGCAATCGGTACACTTCCCCAGTGGCTACCATCGCTCTCCTCTCTTGCAGAGAGCATATGTCGGTCCTTGCTCGCCACTGCACCGAGCCGAGAGACTAAAGGTCGTTGTGACACCACAAGCAACGTCCCTCTTAGCTGGCAACTTGCTGTGACGTGCGTAGAAGACATTTGACGGCTTCTCACCACACCGTCTTCCGCACGAGACGACCGCCTTAATCTCGCCATTCTTTTCCCCTGGACATTACACGAAACCTGTTCTAGGGCCAGTTTGTATGACTTGCCCACCTATCCGACGGTGACAGCGGGATCTTGGTCATACAATACTCGGCTATCCAGAGACACCTCGTTGGCTCGTCCACCTGGGCCTTTCCGTAACCGTCCTGAACAGCCGACTACTAATTCAGTCGCGGAGCACGAATTTCGGAACTTGCCATCCCATCAGACTCGCTTCTGGAGCTTTGTTGGGACACGACGTCCTGCCCGTCCCCGGGTTTTTGTTGGAGCCCTCCGAAACAAGCATTTAGTTGGTGTTGGTTGACTGTTTTTTTTTTTTTTTTTTTTTTTTTTTTGTTTCCTTAAAAAAAAAAAAGCCTTGGCTTATGGGTCGAAGTTGGAATTCTTTTTCGTTGAACAGCAGTAGCATCCTCTCAAAAGTGGACATCGAATCAAATGGAGCAGACTTTTATGACTATCCACAGTTAGTACCCCTGATGCTTCGGGCATGACGAAGTCACGATCTTCCCAGGCAACACGCTCCACCTTGCGCCATTCACACCCAGCTAGCTAAATCGCGACTAATCATTAATGCTCTACAGACCTGTCGCCCGACGCCAACATACTTTTTGTCTCCGAGTCCATCGTCGATATTCTAGGGTACTATCCGCAAGATGTACAAGGCAAATCATGCTTCGATTACTTTCACCCGGAGGAGGTCCCGTTTGCACGCTCCGTACATAGCAGGGGCGTTCTTCTCGACAAAGCTGCAGTTTTACACTATGCCCGAATTATGTCGAGTAACGGCCAATGGGTAAGCTGCGAGTGTTGCTTTACGATAGTTCACGATGTTCTGGTGGCTTGCACGAGTATCTATAGACGTGGTGAAAGAAGTAAGAGTACGTTCCAGATGCCTTATCACGTCGTAGATTAAACCGTGCTAGCTACTGACGGTCATCCAGGACGGGCCATAGAAGCACCCCAGATCCGGCGAATATTCTCATCTTCACCGAGAGATCCTCGGTATCATATGCTCGAGCACTTATCGCCTAAATTTAAGATGCAGCCCATGGAGAGGGAGCCACGTGCTGCTCTCATACTGAACAGATTTACCAGGACTTTATCGGTGATGTTCGCGACTAATGCAGTCTCTTCCATACTCGGCGTGAGACCGGATCAGATCAAGGACAAAAGTTTCTACGAATGCATCGCAGAGAACTGCCTTGCAGATGCTATCAAGTGCTTAGAAAGCGCCAAGGCCAACGACTCCATCGCTTACCTCCGGTTTTGGTATCGAGATCCTCGAAGGGAGGAGGATTTTGAAGATGACGATGATGAAGATGACGAGGAAGAAGAAGACGAAGAAATAGAAGATGAGCAAGATGGCGAATTATCCAAGGGCGACGACGAGAAGTTGAATGGTTGCATCCATGCTGAAAACGCTATGGATGTTGACGAGGACGAAAGTTTCGGCATCAAGATAAAGACCGAAACTAGTACGAGTCCGGAGTTCTCCAAAGCCGCCCTTTTCGCTGAAGGCGAACCCGATGCCTCTTCTGGAATATATCAAACACCAGTAGATGCTTGCCGCCAGGTTCCGACACGGGCGCGGCGGACTAACGGGCGGCGGAGAAGGAACCGGAACCCAATTCCCACATTTGAGCTGGAGGCTGTCGTGTCGTGCACCTCGGACGGTCTAGTTGTCGTGCTGAGAAGAGCCCGGCCGCCAATTCCTTCCCTCCATCCGCCTTTGCTTCCCATAAATTTCGAGAATGGCCTCTTTGCCGCACCGTGGAGCGAGCAACCAATTCGGCCTTATTACCCTCCAGAACATTTCTGCACATTCCGGCCGCCCCTTCTCCCGCAATACATGCCTCTACGGGAACATATTAAAGCGGCAGGTGGGCCACCGGTTGAACAGCTGATGAAGTCGATCCGGGACGTGGCTGTATTTGCGTGGGCGCTTGTAGGCATAAACGGTAATTATGCAGCATACGGGCGTGGAGTGCCGAGGGAGAGTTCGCAACCGCACGACGAATCACCAACGTCGGATTCCAAAGCGCCCATGCCATCGCACGTCAGGTTTGAGCCGCAGCCATGCCAAAATTGGGGAGGCTGTTCCCAGTCGGAGGGTCGTCCAATGGAAGCGAATATGCTCTTGGACGGAGGTTACGTGTCTGGCTTTAATGCCGAGGTGTCACAGGGAGGTTACGGTGCTACGTCAACAGAGTGTAGCAACAGAAGTCCTGGTTACTCAAGCCTACCGGCGTGGCCGCGCGCAAGGCCGTACACGCCTGCGCTCGAATCCTGGCATCCATACGCACAGACGCAACATCCACCTCAACTCCCATCATCCGGATTCAGTCCGCATGCAGCAGAACCGTGGATAGAAGCTTCGGCTTCGTATGCTAGACAGCATGCGAGTCATCAAGCAATACCGACGCAGGTACATGGATTTAGAGATAATCCAGGGAGCTACGAGAACATGTGGTCATAGGATTGGAAACGCAAAGCATTGAATTTTTTTAAACTTTTTTTGGGGTGACCTTTGTGTATTAATGAAGCATGGTCACCATTGGTAGGGATCTGATTATTCGGCCTCGCTTAGGCGTTCTGGGGGATCATGGAGCATGAGGCAATGCGGGAGGGCACCTTTAATGGCTATCTTATTATGCGAGACTTGGTTTATACGACGGATGGTATTTTTACATAGAAGGCACCTCTGAGGGAGATATCACAAGGGGGGTGGCTTTACGAATTGTCATGGTGAAGATCCGATGTTGAAGGGCAGGATAAGATCTAAAGTATGGATATCCAGGCTCTGGGAAAGCGGACAACACAATACAACAGGCGCTGAAAAAAAAAAAAGAGATACCCGCGCTGGATGAATATGTTGTTGCATATAATTGGCAAAGGACAATGCAATACTTGAGATTGACTAGATTAGGTATTGACTTGAGGTTAACTTGACATACCCGATTTGAGTTGCGTATGTGACTTTCCTACGGCTCGATAATTCGGTCAGAGTGATTTTTATTCGCGTAAATAAATAGGGTAGGTAAGAGTGCAGCAGTGGCACATTGAGTGAAACAAAGTCGAAGCATGGAACTTTGTAAGTCAATGTTTGGAAAGTTGTGTTTGTGTGGTAGGTATAAAGTACTATGTATCGGTACGATATACATGTAATGCACGTGTGAGCTTGGACCACTTTTGTATTGTACAATACCTGTCTAAGCCAACCTGGACTTAGAATTGACACGGTGGTACCTGAAAGCTCCAGCAGGAATCAACTACCTTAACTAACTCAACTACATGTAATAATACGACTTTAATCGGAGGAAGAGTAAAGAGTAGTGGATATTCAGACAGAAAGAGAGAGAGAGAGAAGAGAGAGAGAGAAGAGAGAGAGAGAAGAGAGAGAAATAGTAGTTTCTGCCGTATCATCAAGCAAGCCACCGAGAACAAGCACAAGAACGAGCACGAGCACGAGCACGTACCGCCCAAAATGGCATCGGCCAGCCACCACCACTATGATAATCCTGAGATCGAAGACGACGACTTGATCGACCCCGATGATGGTGAGTTATATATGTACCTACCTCCTATATATTCCTAGTTATATATTCCTATATATATACCATGCTGCAAGGAGCAGAAAGCACCATGGAAACATGGTCTTATACTGCTACCTAGATTGCTATATCGTGCTGTCATGTTAATACTGACGCAATCCAGCGGACCTCAACGACTTCGACGACCCTCTCTCGCACGCACAATCGCAGCGCGAGCCTCTCACAGGCAACATCGCCTCCTCGTCCTTGTCCTCCTCTCGACCTTTAAACCAAAACTTCCTGACGTCGCGGATCCCGGGCGAGGACCGCCGGGCGCCGCAGAACACGATCGACGAGTCGGTGTGGGACACGCTGCGGCGCGACCTGCTCGCCGTGTGGTCCAAGATGCGCGAGGTGCTGTGGCCGCGGTACCTGTTCGGCGGCACCATGTTCGAGAGCGCCGACGGCCTGCGCGGCGCCTACGCCAACCTGCGCGGGGCCGGGCTCGCGGGCGCGCGCGACGAGCTCACCAGCTTGGCCGGCCGCGTCATGGACCCCGAGAGCCTGCTCAACCAGAATAACATGAGCCCCGGCCTGCGCGACTGGGACCTCTGGGGCCCGCTCATCTTTTGCCTGCTGCTGTCCGCCCTGCTGAGCTACTGCTCCGCCGAGGGCCAGAAGGATGTCGTGTTCAGCGGGGTTTTTGCCATCGTGTGGATTGGCGAGGCGGTGGTTACGCTGCAGATTAAGTTGTTGGGTGGGAATATGTGAGTTTTCTTTTTCTTCCCTTCTCCTGCCCTTGCCTTGCCTACCCTCCACTCTGTCTTCAGGCTTGGCTTCGCAGTTGAGTTAAAAGAGCTGTATGGAATGATGGATGAATGGATGGATGGGTGGAATGTGTGCTAACAGACTACGATAGCTCGTTCGCGCAAAGCGTTTGTATCATCGGATACACGCTGTTCCCGCTGGTCCTCGCGTCTCTCATGTCCGCCCTCGGCCTACCCACGATCCCACGAATCCCCGTCTACCTCGTGCTGGTGGCCTGGTCGCTAGCCGCGGGCGTTAGCATCCTAGGCGGAAGCGGTGTCGTCAAAAACCGCGTTGGAATAGCCGTTTACCCCCTATTCGTGTTCTACCTCGGACTGGGATGCCTATGTTTCATCAGCTAGATGCCGTGCGTGTAGTAGGTAGGCAGAAATGAGGTTGATCAGCTAAGGGGAGTCGAGTCGAGTCGATCAGAGTGTGATGTGGACTTGCATTGGTTGGCGCGCGGTTATCTTACAACAATTATATGCTTAGGAGGTACCTAGGTAGGTAGGTAACTACTTTTTTTTTCTGTTTCTCTCTTCGGGTGCCGCGCTTGCTTCTTTGTACTCTAGGTCTCGTTGTATGATCAAAATGAACTGACTTGGTTAATGCCGTTTATCGTGAGCTAAGCCATTTGCTCTAAGACTCTCCCTGTAATGAATAGATTGGGTCTACTCATGCTTGAGATGTCGTAGGGAGTCTGGCAAAGTAGATCGAGGTACTGCTTTGGGTAATGTGCGGGATGTAATTGCGATCCTATCGGAACCCCCTTTCTATATGTGCTAGATAGATAATCGATGACAATGGGGTATAAATCCGTAACCTAGTACGTATTTGTGTTGTTCATGTAAATAATGGTTCATATTGTTCGGGGTATCTGCACATAAGAGACAATAGGTAACAACCACATACCACTACCACTACCACTCATCATCGCCCCTCTCATCCATCTCGTCATCCTCGTCCTCATCCACAAACTTCCTTACCCAACTATCCGCACCCCCTTCTCCTTCCGCCTCTCCCCCTCGTCCACCATCTAGTAATTTCCGAAACAGCGCTCGAGCCCTATCTCGCTCGTCCCTCCTCCTCGCCAGCGCGGCGTGCTCTTCCGCCGTCTCCGCACGCATCCGCAGCTCGTCCTCGCCGTTTTTCTTACTCTTGCCGCCCTTTTTCTTTTTCTTGGAAATACGCCTGCTGCTACTACTACCACTACTACCATCCGTGTTGTTATTGTCGTTATCGTTGTCGTCGTCGTCTATAAGCCGCGCCGGCAGACACAAATCCCCCACGTACAGCGCCAGGTGCGCCCGCAGCCGTAGCAGTCCGCCGTGCGCCCCGTACGGCGCGTTCTCCATCACCTGGTCCATATGCCGGGCGACGGCCTCGGCGGCCGCGAGCGCGCGCGCGCGTATCTCCTCGCGGGCCGCGCGAATTTCCTCCTCCCCGCGTCGCTCGCGGCCCTGCTCCTCCTCCTCTCCCCCCCTGCGCGTCGCGAATGCCTCCTCGTCCAAATACGCCATGTCCGCATCGACTCCGTACGCGAAGCCGTATTCCTGTTCCTGTTCTTGCTGCTCTTGTTGTAGTTGTTGTAGTTGTTTCTCGAGCCTGAACTCCGCGGCCCGCCGCTCCGCGTCCACGTTGTACACCTCGACGCCGAACAGCGCCGGCCAGAAGTCCAGCGCGCTCGTCAGGTGCGGCCGGTGCGCGTCGTGCGGGTGCTGCTGGACGAGCGTCTCCAAGTACGTCTTGACCTTTTCTACGTTGGCCGCCGAGCCCCACCGGCGAAACCCAAACCCAAACCCAAACTCCTGCCCCTCTTGCTCTGGATTTTGCTCCTGTTCGTGTTCGTGTTGCTGTTCCCCCTCCCGCATTAGGATCTCCGACCCGATAGCCCACAGCCCCGCCTGCCGGATATCCACGTCCCGGGTGCGCACGAGGAGCCCGAAGGCACGCTTCGCGCGCGCCAAGTCCCCCTCGGCCAGGCAGCGGTGCAGGATAGTCGTCAGCGTGGCGAGGTGCTGCAAGCGTTCCGAGAGCTGCTGCGCCGAGGCAGTGGCGTCCGTTTTGAGCGCCGTGGAGATCATCTCCGCGGCGCTTCTTCCCCCGTCGTGTGTATCTTTGCCCGCGCCGCGTCTCCCGCGGCTCGCGCTGCCGCCCTCCGGCCGGAGCGGCTTGTGCGGAAACAACGGGTTCGCCTTCGACGGGATCTCGTCCGCGGGCGACAGCCCGGCGACGGCGAATTGCCGCAGGGTGTCGGGGCCGTGGCTGAGGGGGTTGATGGAGTCCGAGGGGAGGCGCGAGGACGAGGGCGTGCCCCAGTCGGATCCGATCCATATCTCCTCCCCCTCCTCCTCTTCGTTGCCGTGGGTATCGTCTGTTTTCTTGCGCTTGTTTAGGCGATGGTGCGCGCCGAGGCGATATCCCGGCACCGGGAGAGCGAACGGTCCCATCGTGCTTTCTTTTTTTTTTTTTTTTTTTTTTCCTTCTTTTTACTTTGACTTGATGTAAAGTTTAAAGATGTGCAATTCGTGAGTTCTTGTAAGTTAGCTCTAATATTTCTGAGCTTTTGCGCCACCACCGTTTGCGGGCCGAGCCGCTCTTGCATTAGCGCCTGTTGTCCTCAATCATCACCATCGGCGGCGTCTTTGATAGATAGGTATGTATTGCTCTTTTTTGTAACACTATTTTGAATTGTCAAGCGTTGTTTTACGAACTTTGGAAGGATTGTGGGCTAGTTGGTAGTGGTTGATATATCTTTTTCGAAAAGCTAAAAAAATGTAAGTCATAACTTTGGTCGGTACATCATCCCTATCCGTACACCGTGCGTAGACAAACAAACTATCAGGTCTCAGGAATGCTCAGGTGAAGGATGTAGTAGCATAACATTTTAACCGCAGAGTTATTTCGAGTCGATGAGTAGCAGAGCAATGAAATCTAACCTACGTTGCCTAAAGAGTATCCATCATAGGAAATTCAATTATCTAAACCTCGCTATACCAAAAGCATCCCGTAACCACCATTGATATAGCAGGCAAAGGAATACCGACTCCTTAATAGCATTATGCTTTACTGACTAGTATGGTGTATTGACGACAATGTATTATAGAGAACAGGGGCTTTCCATTTATCAGGTATCCAGATCTAACGAGAGAATACTCAACTAAGGGTAGTAGACACGGCACGGCAGACCCTTTCGCAATCACAACTTTTACGATCCCACAAAACATTAAGTAATAATGGCAATAGTTGACAACGAATTCATGCGACAGTAGCATTAGAGACGTCCTAAGCGCAGACCACCTTCTTGTATGTGTATGCTTTTTATCTACTGTACACCTGCTTCACGATTCCTCCAGAAGCAGATCCACGGAAAACCCCCTCCCTCAAGTGTAGGGCAAAAATTCGGAGAAGCAGACTCATTTATTGCGCATTCCGTTCGAAGTAAGTCCATTGGCCCTCGGCGGGCTTCTCTTCTAGCTCCTCCCATCTGTCGTTCCTCGTTAGTTATACTTCCATTCTCTTGCCAGTTAAATTAGGGAGGAAAAGAGGAAAACAAAACAAAAAAAAAAGAAAAGAGAGATGGACGAAGAAGGACGAAGAAGGACTTACACCTTGTGTTCTTTCATGATATCCACCAATCTCAGCTCGTTCTCGGCAACTCGCACCACCTCTTCAATCAGGCCTCCTCCGATCTTGCTCTCGATCTCCTCGATCCTAATAATTCCCCAATCGTTAGTAAATCCCGAACCTCCCCTTCACAGTGCACGCGTGCATGCATGTATTTACAACAAGTAATAAAATAAAATGACAGGGCGGGACATCATATCAAACTCACTGATCAGCAGTCAACTGCGGCTCCGGCTCCCACTGGACCTTAGTATCGGGCCCGTCGGTCGGCTCCTTATTGAACAGGGCCTCGTGCGCGCGCCTCTCCTCCTCGCCCCTTAGCCCCTCGCTGCCGGGGCCCTCGTCCCGCTCCCCGTCCCACTCGAGGTACCGCTCGTCCTGCGGCGGCGGCGCCGACCGGTGCACGAACAGCTTCCCGCCCGACGCCACCTGCAGCGCGAGCGAGCCCTCGGCGGGCGAACCCGACCCGACGGTCGACACCCGGAAGCGCGCCGGGTTCTGCTCGGCGATCTGGCGCGCGCGCGCCGCCCACTCCTCGTATCCGGGCGGCTGCGCCGCTTCGACCACGGACAGCCGGTGCTTGGTCAGCGCCTCGACGGACTGCCGGTACAGCGAGGACTCGGGGAAGTCCTGCAGCTTCTCGAGCGTGCGCGTGTACAGGTACAGGAGGGTCGAGCGCGGCGAGCCGTGCGTTAGCAAGCCCGTGAGGCCCGTCGGCGCGCCGGGCTCGAGGTATCGGGCGGTGGTGGTGGTGGGCTTGACGGCCGCGAAGAGTCGGAGTGTCCGCCGCATCGTCTCGTCTCGTCGGGTTGTGTTGTGTCGTGCGTAGTATATAGGTACTAGGTAGCCAACCTAGCTTTTCGCCTTTTTCGACGGGATGGGAGGAAGGCGTAAAAGCAAAGGCGAAGTTCGGCCTCCAATTAGTGAAATTCGGGGTGAGAGGTTTACAAGGTTTACAAGGTTTACAACAATTGAAGCTCCAAAACGTCAGAGCTTCCGCGGTCACATGATATCGTCCAATGAGATCTATCGAATTATTAAGTTATTAAGACACCTGGATATGCTTTTATCCAATACATAGTATGTACATATTACCCCGCATTTTCTACCCCACTATCATCACCGCCAGACTCCTACCCAGGCTGCTAGGTACCTAAGGCTCTAGGTAGGAGGTAGGTATTGTATCCCGTACAATGCAAAAGTCAACTCCCAAAAACAAAGAAATTCATATGGGTATCTCACAGATATTAGATGATGAGCACAATTTATACTATAGTAGCTTAACTCTTATAATTCCATTTCAATAACCTGTTCATCTTGAATTCATGTCTAACTATCTGAGCTCGAAAGTATTGGTGAATCCGTATAATGAAGTCTGATGGCAAAGCAGATTGACTCCTTTACTATTATATATCACACACAACATCAAAAAACGTCACATGTTTGAACTTCAAACTTGCAAAAATCGCATCGATTGATCCATCTCCCCAAACGGAAGCAGAACGTGAAGCATCGAGAAATTCCGCTAGGGGAATCCCTTTCCATCGCCCCATTGATTGGTCTATATCACACTTGCTCAAACACGCAATCATGTAGAATCAAGCAGGCGAAAAAAAGAGGTGAAAAAGAAATATAATCCTAACAGATCTGCCACCGTCCCCATAGCCTAGTATAGCCCGGCCCCCTCCCCCATCCGGGTTTTTTTCTTGCAAAACCTTAACAGCAGACCTTGTTCCGTCGTAATGTGCGAGTTTTCGCGGGTATCAATCATCTACGAAGCGCTCTCGCGGCTCTTGCGGTAGTTGGCCTAAAATGACGTGTTAGCCCTTCCGTAAGGTAGATATTATCCAGGGTAATCTCCTCAACGAACCTCCTGCTCGACCTGTAGACCCTCAATGACAGGGGCGAGCTCGCTCAAGATCTCGGTAGCCTTCTTGTGGTACTCGAGCTGGGCGGCGATGAGCTCGGCAAGGTTACGAAGAGGCTCGGGAGTATCCAGAACCTGAGAATGCAAATTAGCTTAGAACTCATAATAATAACACCTTGAGAATCAACTCACATTCTTCATCACGCTCACAGCCTCCTCAGTCTGAGTAACAAACTCGTCCTCGGCCTTCTCAATCTCCTCCTGGGCCTCGGCACTCAGCTCCTCGGTGTGGTGATCCTCACGCGGCTGCTGGCCAATCTTCCAGGTAGTACCCTTAGCGCGGGCCTTGACCGAGTCGAGGGTCAAGCGCGCCTTCTCGACATTCTTGCGCGCGCGCGTCGCGAACATCAGGTTGGTGTTCAGAGTCGTGTTCCAGCCGGCGAGGTAATGGCTCTGGATCTGGGCGTCCTGAGCGAGGCGGGCCTCGCCCAGTCGCTCGCTGGCTAGCGCATACTTCTCGAGCGCGGTCGCGAGGGGATCTTCGCCGGCGCCGGTGTGTTGCTGGTGAAGAAGCTGAGAGCTCGCTAAGCTGGCTCGGGCGATGGCGTGCGAGAAAGTCTTGGGCTGGGGCTTTGCGGTGGGGGGTGCGGTCAATGCAGCCTGGGCTTCGGCGGGGGTGGTGGCAGCGGAGAGAAGCTGGACCTTCTCGCTAACGGTGCGGCCGAGGTCCGAGAAACTCTCTTTAATATTGTTAGGGTAGTCGTAAGCTTCGTGAGAGTATTGCGAGCTATAATAAGATCCAAGGACGTCAGCTATAGATATTTGGCGCATAGAAAGGATAGGTATACACCTACGTCACTGCAAGCATCTTCTGATGGACCTGTTTTAAAGCATCCACTCGCTTTTCGAGGTCGATATAATCGGGGGGTAGTTGAGTCTATTAGACAAGCCAGTGTTAACCGCATTCGCCCAAACACACACACACACACATCCTCTCTCTCCCCGCCCACATGAGCATTTATTATAAACGTACCTTATCTTCGGCCTGGCCAAGTTGCTCCTTGGTGTACTGAAAAGTACGAGAGGCGAAGGGGGTAATCTGTGAGCCAATAGAGCTAGGATGATATCAGCATCTACCGCTAGCCCGTACAATGCAGATAACCTTCGTGACGATATGCGGTGTTGGATGTGTTGGGTGCGTAACATACCTCAAGCTACTACCAATAGCCTTGAAATTTTCCATTTTAGCGGTAGAAGGGCGTGAAGATGGTACTACAGAAGATTTCGTTTATGTTATTCGCTAGAGGTCCGGATGGTAAAAAATCAACAGAATTAAGGGTGTTGTAAAAAAAGTTGTAAGTTGGACGTTTTCGACTTGCAAAGACGCAACCTTCAAGTTTCGGCGTAATCAACTGCCTAATTATGTCTACTACTTGCCTTTGGTCAGGGGCACCGGTACCACTTGCACTGCTGTCAGCTGGCGGCAGTCACGCTAACAGGTAAGTACCCTACGTACCTGTTTCTAGGTCTTCCCTGACACGTGAGTGTTCTGCCTCCACCCTTACTATGTACAATACATGCGAAACATGTGCTAATCTTCAGGGACCGGCTGTGACGCAGCTGTCATGCACTTGAGCCCCTCTCTCACTACGACTTACATAACTCGTATACAAATTTCAAGCTTCATTACACAACTTCAATTTAGGTACCTTATATTGTAGCAGCTAGGTTGCTTAATCTACGACATCATCTTCGTCTCGAAGCAAAGCAGGCGAGAATAGATATGTAAAACTTGTTTCCAACGTAAATTAAACAAAAAAAAAGGCGTAACGAGGTAACCTTCACCTCTGGTATCGAGTTATAAGTTAATGCAGTATTTTCTCTCTCTCCCGACCGAAACGCCGTCTATTATGAAAGTTCCAAAAACTTGCCACCAACTATGCAACCCGCCCTGCTGAGGCCTTGCTTCTAAATGAGCTAACTTATAATTTTGAGAAGATTTTTTTCCTATTTTCCTCCGCCGGGTCTCCTTGACTTACTGCGCCCGGAGACGGGCCTGTCTTCCTCAACCTCCTCCTCACCAGCCCCGGGCCCGGGCCCGTGCGTTGTCGTTGTTGTTCTTGTTATTGGGCTATTTCTCCCGAGAGGGCTCCCCCCGTTCCTATTGCGCCGTTGATGATGCGCTTCGGATACACCGAGGTCCTGAGCCGAGACCCGTGACGGATCTTGGACCGCTAATAGAGACGAGAAAGGTCCCGGCGAAGTTGCGCGAGATGAAGACGAATCTGGGATGCTATCCTCGTCTCTGTAGCGTTCTGTGTGGCTCACCTCTGCGACCTTCACGTCCCAACCCCCCTTTTCCAGTTCTACATCGGAGAATTCGTACACTTGACCCGGCGGAGGGATAGCATACTTCTTTGAATTCTCCACGAACTGGGTATACTGGCTGGCCTGTGCCATCTGGTACTTCTTTCGATCTTCTTCTCCCATAATACTCTCCACCCTCCGTGGTAAGTATATGGAATTGTTCCCGGTAGTCAAAAAACTGTCTACCGAATCGCGATCGCGAAGAACATAGCGCGACCCAGAAGCCCCTGGGGCGTTGGAGCTGCTTGTTGATTCCTCCGGATACGCGTAAAATCCGTTTGCCTTCTTCTCGGGGGCTGCAAATTTGCCCTCGACCTTCTCCGGAGGTAGCACATTGCTCTTAGATCTTTGGATCGTTGCAGTCGCTTTCCCTTTGCTCTTTTGCCGTTGCACTTCGGCTGCCGGTATGAATGTCTCCGGAACGACGTTGAGTTCGTCTCCCGTCTGCTCGGCCTGCTCGACAGCTTGCTGCACCGTCGTATTAGCACCTGCAGTGGCAGCGTCCGCACGAGGTCCGCCCCACGTCCTTTGACCAGCAGTAAATATGCCGTAAACCATGTAATACCAGTTGAAAAATGGATTAAGGATGAACATTATCGGGTAGAGCCAGATCTTGAATCGCTTTAGCTTGAACCCGAAATATATCATCATCAGCCAGTTCAGGCCAAGGGAAATAGCAATGAACCCGACGGGAAGCTGATCAATCCTCATAGTAGTCGTCATTAACGAAAGCATCATGACGAAGAAGAGCAAAGCCGTTGTTCGTATCGTATTCTGCATGAATCGTACGACGAGCAAGATTGGATACCGCTTCCAAAGACGCCAGTCGGTCAACATGCAAACCTCGTTCGTGATGAACCCAAGGAACCATCTTCGCCGTTGCTTAATCAGCGACCTGACTGTCTGCACTGCTTCTGTTTTACAAAATGCTGAAGTACACATCTGGATCTGGTACCGCTTCTTGGCCCCAATCATGAAAAGATGCGTAAGCCATCGATCTTCGCCCAAATGACTTTTCGCAAAATCGAACAAGTCTTCACACTGTTCAGCTTTGTCGGCAAAGTAGTACTTGGCCATTCTTCGAAACGCAGAAAATCGCAGCATAGTCAGGGCACCAGGTAAGCATGTGACCGATCCGCATCCCGACTCCACAGTCCTTTCAAACAGCTGACCGTGGATATATTCCATATCTTGCAGCAAGGTGATTACGCTATGCTTCCTCGTCGTTGAGGTTATAACACCCGTCATGGCCAACATGTCCCTGCTGTTCCCCGGACTCAATTCCATGTCGTATATGAAGTTTTGCAGACAGACCCTATCCAGCATGCAATCCGAGTCGATAAAGAGGATGAATAGGTTATCGTTCCGCTTGAGGTATTCTTTATAGACTTTGTCGATGAGTTTAAAGGTCGACTTTTGGCAGTGGCGCTTTCCACCATGAGGAAACCGTGAGACTGTAATTCGAGCGGATCGGTACGAGACGTCAATACTTTGCGGATATGACTCCAGCGTAAGAGGAACGCCAAGTTTTTCGATGGTGTTGAGATAAAGTTCGTCTTCCTGGTCTCCATCGAACGAGAGGAATACGTGGATGCATGAAGGGGGGTAGTCGCAATCTACGACGGAGTTGATAGCAGTGACGAGGACGTCGGGTTCCTCCTTGTAGCAAGGCATAACGATGACTACTTTTGGTGCAGAGACCTCATCCAGGACTTCTTTAATACGTTTCTTCCTCCCAAGCTGATGCGTAACAAGTTGATAAACGCAAAAGAGCCAAGGAACTGTTAATAATACTGCAAAAGTCCAAAAAGCGAACCACTGGAGGATATCAACCATATCCGGTGGCCAATATTGAGTAATCTGGCTAGGGAGCGGTAAAGTGACAATCATGATAGGCAAAAAGATACAACTGTCGTTGCTCTGTTAGCATTGGCCAGGAAGAGGGGGATCTATTGAAACATACCGGAGCCCGGTGAAGAAGAAAGCGATGATAATTGCTAGCACTCTAATCGTCCAATGCTCTGCTTTTTGAAAAACCTTGACAAGGCAGTATAGGAAAGCTGATAGCCATAGGAACCACTCAAGGATGGCCGCCAACATAACGACCCCCACAATCGCGGTGTAAATAATCTGAAAAATAGCTGTTAGTACACATCCTTGAGAGTCAACGATCTTTAACCAAATACATAGATTCTTACCTCGTGGACCGGCCATGTTGCCGTGATATCTCGAGCCATCGTAGAATCGGCCATGGCAGTAGTAGATCGGCCGTAGGCCGAGTGAAGAGAAAGGTGGGAGAATTTCGCAAAATAACCCGATTTAGTTTTCAAGTTCGGATAAGGGCTTGGGGTGTGGCTCGCTCCTCATGCGAGTATCGTCATGACTTATAAGAAAAAGCCCGATAGTGACAAGTTGCGGTTACACCAAAATATTTATTTACGGCTACCCGCAGCAAGATGCAAGGGGACCCTCGTTTTGAGCTGTGCGGGTTCTTAAAAACGAGGTCAGCTGCGTTTCTATTTCCCGTATCAGCTAGGGATGTGCTGTGATGATCTGGTTGAGCTATATGCACCTTGGACCTTGGGAAGAGGTGGCGGCGCCGAATATTTTTGGCTGAGAGATGGGCTGGCTAGGGATTGATCTCAACGAGCGAGGCGAGCGCCACGATAATCCGTAAATAATAGGGAAAGATTTTAGAATGTGTGACAGCAGAGCCTTCCTGTTTGCTCGCTATCTCCGGTGTCGTCTTTAAATCCCTAATTTCGCTATTTCTAAATCCGGAAACTTTGGTGTAGCAATGGGATCACTACACCGAGAAGGTTTCTGTTATGTATAAAAAGAAGTATTTTTACTATTGCTCCAAATTGAAGCTAGTTTATACAATAGGGGTTTGCGGATATAATGTGTAAGCCAACGAAGGATTGATGGTAAGTGAGTATGATCGCTATGCTCGGCGACGATACCGAGCAAGACAGCGCAGATACCAGGGCGTCGATGTAGTTTAAAAGGACGATGAATGCTCGTTGGGCATGAAGGATTGGTCTAGCTGGAACCACAAGGCCAATAAACTCTTATGTATATTAGTTGGATAATGGCGATGGCGATGGTCCGGATCTGGACCTAGATCTTGGCAAAATGATACAAGGGCTAGTGGTAAGGGCTGGTGGTAAGCAGGACCTGCAGGCGGACTGCATGTATGGGGACAGCAGGTATCCCTGGGTTCTGCGTGATCTGGATATTCTTGGACTCGCAGGGTAAACTAGTACCTAGGCCGGACTCGTAGGGTACAAGACGGAAGATGGCATCAGATGTCCCGGAGAACTCAAGCTAACCGAGAAGTCGTTGCGAGCGACAGCTAAGAAGCATAAACGGGACCAATGTGTGTGGAAAAGTCGATGATAAGCATCCGGATCATTGGATTCTGGGCTCTCTAAACCTAGCCAGATCGGACACTTCCATTTCAGGCCGCGTCGGCCGGAGTCGAAGAAGCACAAAAATGGTGATAGAAGACGTCTAGAAAGCTGAAGTGGTTACAGGGATATGGCAGTTTTGTCATTGATCCCATGAACGGTAGATGAAATTGCCTCGGGGGGGCATTTAGTGTACCTAGTTGGCGGTTATATGAGATTTTGCTAGGTATTTGCCGAAGTTGTATAAGTAGATTCTGAGATGAAGAAAGTCTCTTATAGAAATTTTAGATAAGGTTGAAGTAACCAGAGAGAATAGGAAACTACCTACGTAAGGACCTGGGTGATAAACCTTAAGGTCTGTCGACACTTGCCTCTGATGGTCGGATTAATATCATAGCACACACACTTACTAGATGATACGCCTGAGGCTATTGAAGGATGTAAGGTACACTTATACCTACATACGTAACCTACCTTAGGAGGTAGATATACATGTATTTAAGAGTGCCCCATAAAGTTATAGCTACGAAATCTAGATGAGAAGAGCGTAGAAGAGGGTAGAAAAAAAAAGGTAAGAAAAGAAAAACAACCATAAGGCGTAAAGTAAACTATCTCACGGAATATCCAATCAATATCGAAAACCTGACTGCGTGGCCTACCTAACAAACGAGTGGATTATAGACGGACTGGATCACTTTAGCCAGTAGCTCTCGGTAGTAGTCGTCGTACTTAGTGCTGGTCGGCCCAACATGGTGGCTGCATACCGGGCCATTTAGCAAAAAGATAATCAATATTTGCACCTTTTTTGCACCTTTTGATGCTTATTTGCCTCGGTTTCCCTCTCCCCACAATGCCGTTTATAGAACATAAGATAAGTTGGGCTGTATGTATGCAGTGTATATGCATGTATTGCCAGGCGAACCCAACATACTGTACGTAGGTAGTGTTGGTTGCATTCTGATTATCCGAATTGATGGGTTAGGGCGGATCCGTCAATATGGCACCTCAGTTGAATGATGGGTGACGTGATGACGGGTCGTACGGGGGTTGCACGGGATATCACGGAGTTGTATAATAATGTAAGTCGACAAACCACCAACTACCTATGCCGACTTTTTTTTTCTCGATAGCTGTTGCACGAAAAGCAAAGCGACAGCAGGTAAAAAGTACCAATGACCACATACCAGATGGATGTAGTAGGTACCTAGGTTATATGAGTACCTAGTAGTTGTATTAACGGTAGAAAGAAACGTTGGATCCCGGCACCAAAGGGATAAGTGTCAAAACGTCACGCGCGGCTCAAAATGGACACAGCGCAGCGCAGCGCAAAAGGTGCAGCTAAATAGACTTGCGAAAAAAAGGGGGGTGGGTGGGTCGTTCTAATGGGCGATCTAAGCGAAACTAGTAGTACATAGTATTCTTAAATGTTGTTTTCCCTCTGTAAGGGTTGGGAAAAGGTAGGAAGTTCGACCTGCCACGTTACTACCCCCCTCCTTCCCCCCGCCAGGTACGAGCGGAAAGTAAGCGCTGAAGGAGGGGCTAAATAGGACACTAAAGGACTAAAGGACCTAGGTAACCACCACACACCACACCTGCCTGTCTGCAAACCTGTCAAAAGCACGGCGTTCGGGGCTGCGGGGTGGATCCGAGATCTCCGATGTGATGATGATGTACAATGAACCTATCAATTTTATACCACCTACGAAGTTTGTATCTGCATAGAGCTACCTAGCTACACTGCTACACTGATACAGCACACTTGTCCAAAAAATACAACGTTGAATCACATTTCATACCTAACCTTCCACTCTTCCTCTTCGCATCCCATTGCCTAGATCTCTCGGAGGGTATTATCCAAGATCCATGCGCGCACACGTAAGCTGCAATATCCGTTCCACGAGAGCAATAAAATAATATTGCAGAGGGTAGCAGTCGCGAAAGGGGGCAGGGCCGGGGGGATGAGGTAGGGTTGAAGTGCAGTGAAAGTGAAGAAAAAAGAAATGAGAAAAAGGTTCTCGCCAATATAAAATTTTCTGGGGAGCATATGTCGGTATCTGAATGGTTAATTTACTAGGTATTCTATGTACTTCCAAAGGGCTGCGAGATCTCATCCCCACCCCTACAGGTGGTCTGGCAGTCAAGCACGGCTTTCCCAACCAAGCGACATCAACCGGTTTATCCGACATCCCGCTTCGATGATGATGATGATGGTCTACATAACATACATACATCGTAGTAGTAGTAGTAGTATAAATCCGTCGGCCCTGTTGTGAAATTGTCTAGCCAGCAGCGTGACTAACGAAAACTACCTACCAGTCGTAAGGCAACAGTGTAACCGAAGCTATTAAATGGAAGCATGTGCAGCAGCTATTTGCAATTCCATGTAGTCAAGCTCGTGCTCGCATTGTCCCGAGTGCCTGGACCCCCCTTTAGGCCGTGGAGAACAAAAATAATAATGCTTGGACACGGTCCTACAGTAGCTAGAAACAGCTGCCGGCCCTCGACGCTTTCCCATACCATATACAGCCATATTTCTTGTCCAGGGCCTGATGCCCGGATTTGCAAAATAGCCAAAAAGGGGGGGCGTGATTGGTGGGAATTAAACGACGAGGCTTGCCCGTTTTGCCTGATTCATGAGACCAAAAGAAGACGTCAAAACAATAGTTTAGAAAAGAAAAGAGAGAGAGAGAGAGAGAGAGAGAGAAAGAGAGAGAGAGAAAAGAAAAGGGGTGACGAGGACCAAGGCACTGTGATCAAATTTGCCAAGCAAAAACCTGCAGTAATAGAAAAAAAAGAGCCCAGCAGGAAAACTACTGGCCATACGATCCCCAGCCGAGCGCTGAGAACGCACTATCGGGTAAAGGTGGTGGTGGCGGACAGTGGAAAGAACCGTCAACAAACTCTCGATCCCGCCCTGGAATGATGTTTTTCTATGTCTTAGCTCCAATAATCCCGTACGAAAATCTGCACGATTTTGTTGGCCTGTCACTTTTTTTTTCTGCTCTGTTCTGTTTTTTCTGTTTTCTTCTGGTTTCCGACCTATCGATTTTTCAGCTGCAAGCTCCTCGTGCATCGCCAAGCCTCTCAATACGAGCCGCCGCGAAGAAGAGGAACCAGTCAGGAAAAAGTAGCTAATGCTGTGCAACCCTATAATGTGCATGTCAAAAGCCCCAGCGGCACGAAGAGCGGGATCGAAGAAAGCTCTGAGAGAAGAAAAAGGAAAAAAGAAAAAAAAAAGGAAACATACAAATGTCGCCATAGCTCTTCTCTCAACTTGACATGATGTTTACTGTGCAGTCCGTCTCAGGGGGATTAGCCCCCAACTGCCAGCGTGAGAACGATGACTTTATGGGCCTATGAGATTAGACCTCATTTCCACGATGAGATGCAAGTCATGCTAAGCGAGTTGAACATCGTATTCATAGTTCTAGGCACTGCTGTAGGTATTCTTGTATTGGGATTGATGGGTTATGATTCCTCACTTGGGGAATTTCATGAATTTGCACAAATAGTATAGCAAGAGCTACTTGTATAAAGCTCACCGTGGTATCTACACCGAGCTGTCATGCTAATTTTACGTGGAGGAACATTAGGTACATACATCACTTCTAGCATGCTACATATTTCAAGTCAGTGCAAAAATGAGTGACTTTAGCTATAAATCAGCATACATAGAACAAAAGGCAGCGCAGCGGCTAGCGCCATAGAGGCAATCTGCAAGTAGCGGTTCGTCAGTCTATCCGCGGGTTTGTTGTCCATCGTAAGATGACCCGCGGGACGAAGTCGGGCATCAGAACCTAATTGGTTCACGCCAAAAAAACGGCCCACCCGGGAACGGCCGGATGGCCAGCAAAGTATCAACAACTTCTCCGATCCTCTTTGTTGGCCTGCGTCCTCGAGCCCTCGAGCCCTCGGGCTATCTCTCCCCCCTTTATCGGGCTTTTGCCGCCAGCAACTCGGACGTGTGAACTTCAGTCACCATCGACGGGTTCGGGTTTGTCATGACGGGCTGCCTCGATTATGACACTAATATGGCCTGAGATGATGAGACTTCCCGCCTCAAGTTCTTTCGTCGAGGAATATACTATGCTTCCACCGAAGGTTGTGACTTCCGCATGAGACATGTGCATAACCAGGAGACGTCGAATCCCCATACCGCAACGCTCAAATGAGTAAGTGTATGATTCATTCGAATCGACTAAGGGCGAAAATCAAGTCCTAAATTTGTGATAATAGCCGTATTTGTCAGCTTCGATTCATACCAAAGGTAGGTATCTTGGGTACTTGGTAAGCCTTCAGCGCTTCCCACGTCCACGCCGATTTGCTCGGCTGATCTGGGAATTTACGAGGGGATTATGACACTTGCTCATAGTGCTCATAGTGCTCATAGTGCTTCCATCCACTCGGCTTGGAGCTAATTCTCCAGGGGCAGTGCTAGCAAATGAGCCGTTGTGACTTATATCATCTTGTTTGACCTTTCGGTCCGTGGAATTTCCATACCAATCAACATCGCTGAGTTGTAATCTGCGGACGCGTTGTCCGCTACGCTCTCTGCCCGACTTATCTGAGCGGTTGGTATGATACGAAGTCGGCTTGTCGTGACCTGGACGAATAGAAGTGTGAATATTTCTGTTGGGATTGAGTGGGGTCAAAAGAGTATCACCATCGGGATCTTCGCTCTCGCGAAGGTCATAGTTTAGCACCAGATTCTTGATACGTTGTTGCTCCTCCCGCTCCGCTTGCTGCTGCGTCTTCATGGCAACCGCAAAAGTCGAATCCGAAGGAAGTGCGACAGTTCGTGTCTATAAGCATTAGTTAGATAATTAGAAACACTTCTGATACCAGATAAGATTGACATACCTGTTGGCGATTGCCTTTCTTCGTTAACAGAGAGAAGGCCATCGTATTCGGTGCATTCTCTCCGTTTGCACCATCAGTGTCTGTAGTCGAGGAAACATCGCGAGTTTTGGGTCGGACTGGTAGCGGAACATCGAATAGCGGCTTGCGATCGAATTTGCGAGACTCTAAACTTTCAGCCATCATCTTTGCATACTCACGTTCAAAATCTGCTTCATCTTCCGGATCAATCTCTTCGGCTTTCCTTGTCACCACTATAGCTTCTTCTTCCGACTCATCCTCGGGAGATTGCGGCTGGTTTTCCGCGTCCTGGCCAAACCAGGGATATTTAGCGAATATTCCCCATTGGTAACTCAGGGTAGAGTTAGAAGCACATACCTCGGCATCATCATCCTCTTCGAGATCCGAGTCGTCCCCGTCAGCCTCTGGGAGCACGATATCATTATCCCCATCACCGTCACCTTCATTTTCGCCACCATCGCCTTCATCATCAGAGGAAGCGTTACTAGAGGCCTCATCTTGTTCGACGCTCTTGTCCAGGCCAGCATTCTTCTGGTCCTGCGCCACTGCGAGTTGAAACGCTTTAGCGGCTTCCTCTAGAGTGGTTGCTAGTTTCCACTGCGGTCTAGTGAGAGAAAAAGTATCCTGGACAATGAACTCAATATCCATAGGGAGAGGTTGCTTTGTATATATGTAATACTGCAAGATGGTTAACTTAAGCCTGCCAATAAAAATGAACTAGACAAACCTGTAAGAATGAAAGAAAATAGTCAAGCTTTTTCCCTGCGGCGCCTCGATTGAAGAACATGCCACAAGTCTCTAGCATTGTAGCTACCAAGCGAATTCTGAAGAAGTCATCAGGTAAGTCGAAGGGATTGAGTCGGCCAGGGACAGGTACACCATCTGAAAAAAAAAAGTCAGTTCGTTCCACTTTACTTACACTGGTGAGCTCAACTTACTATAGCCAAGTGTCATGATCCTGTACATGGTGTCAAATATTACAGGATGCTCTAACATCCGGTAGTTATAGAGCTCACCCAAATACTTGACCTCTGCAATTCGCCTCTGATTGAACTTGAAGTCGTTCTGTTCTAGCCCAAACGTCACAGATTCGATAACGTTATCGATCACCGTAACCGTAAAATCTGGATGATAGCGGTAGATGGCGCTAAGCAGTATCGCAAGGATGTGTATGCTACCGTACTTCACCTTGGCAGGCCTTGAAAACACTTTCGTAAGAATGGCTACTACCTCGGACTCTTCCCAATGGAGCCGGCGAATCTGCTTGAGAACCTTGGTATAATTACGTTTGGTTAAGTCGACGTAGATGAGCTTGCGGATGAACAGTTCGGTAGGAGTTCGCTCTTTTTGCTGAATCGAGGCCCTCTCCGGCGGATCGACGTAATATATCGCATTCTCGATGAGCATGCGCTCAGGCTGGCCAATGTGCTGAACAGATTTCTTGCGCTGAAGAGTCTCTAGGAAGGTTGCCATGCGAGGTGAGGTATCAGCGTTACGGAGCAGATACCTGCCGCAGTTCTCCAGAAGGTTACAGATGATCTCGATATTCATCCTGGAGAAATCGTCAAGGCTAACTTTTAAGCAATGGAAAACGACATGCTCGGGCACGATACCGAATTTCGTGAGCTCAGCCAAGTAGCGAATATTGCTCAATCGCACTTGCCCAAGAAAATCCTTCTCCTTTCGCCGCTGAAGACTGCGAAACTCCGCATCAAGATACTCCACCACACCTTTAGGGACGTCAGGCATATATCGACCAAGCGTAGCTATAAGACGAGACCAAAACGGTAGGAGATCCGTGCGGCCCTTGGGAACTTCGGTAAGTCCTTTAATAAGGCGGTTTCTGGACGCTTTGGAATTCAAGAAGCAGAAATCGATCGCTGCTTGATCGACAGCATCTTTGTGAGTAAGCTCTGGCAACCGGGTTAGTAGAACGTCTACTTGCGCGCCAATGGTCTTATTGGCGATGGCGGTTGACTGATCGTCGTTCGTTTCCGAAGGCTTAGGTGGCTCCGTAGTCTCGTTAGAATCGGTTCTCTTGCCAACCTGCTCATCCGTGTCGGTTTTCTTCTTCTTGCCATCCTCCAGCAGTATACCAGGTACCTTGCCTTTAAGGTCCACCAGGTTTTCGTAGAAGCGGCGCTCGTCCTCGTCTTCCCAGATACCTGCGCCTTCACTCTGCCCGCGTAAATACTCCCCAGTCTTGACCAAACCAATAGCGCCATTAGTAGACGAGAAACCGTCTCCGGCCTCCTTGAGATCTGGCATCTCAGCACCAATTGCATCCGCTATGACCTGAGCATTGCTAACGAGACGTTCTTGAGCCTTTAACTGTCGTTCGAAGTTGGCCTGGCGATCCTCGAACACTTCTCCGGATTTGACATATGCTTCCGAGTTTCTGCCACGCTGAGTAGCGATATTCTTCTGATCCCGGACTAGATGCGCCTTAACATCCTCGAAGTAACGTTTAAGGATGTTTCTGAATCGCTCCCGCAGCTCAGAGCTGGCAAAAGGAGGGTCATCAGAGTCAGATGCATTGGCTTCTTCCTGGCCTTCGGTTCGTTCCGAGGTATTCTCTGCAGATTTGGTAGCGCCGTCTTCTTCCACGGTCTTGCGGCCCTCTGATCCGACAGATTTAACCCCTAGGATATCCCAACCAAAGGATTTAACAAAGATAACTAGAAGGGGTAAATTCACATGCTCTCGATCGTAACCTAGGAGGTCCTTAAGTACTTCGAGAGGAAAAGGCTCAGCACCACCACCCTTCATAGAACTTGTCGATTTGATCTTTAACTCGGCGTTCTTTCCGTTGACACTACGTGTGGCGTCATCAGGTTTAACGTCGTCAAGGGTTCGGAGGACGCCGACAAGCCACAATTCGGTAATGACTCTTAGAAGAGCTCGTTGTCGAACGAGACGTTCCTTCTCTTCCTTCTCGCGAAGCTCGGGGGCTAGAGACTTTAGTAGACTCTTATCCGGGGTAGCCATTCCCTTGCCAAGAAGCCATCCTAGATATTCTGTAAATTCGGAAGGGCCGAACCGTTGGTGTAAGGCGCTAACGATCTCGACGGCCGCATCGATTTCTCCGGGGGTCTTAAGCTTGCCCAATCCTTCATAACATGCTGAGATGATTTCGGATAAGTATTTGGTGAGACTCAGGGTTCGTATATCTTGCAGAAACGTGTTTAACGTCGCGGGGGTGATGGCAGTTCGCAATCGCTTGATAAAGGCAGTATTTTTCCTGAGAGAAGTATCAAGTGACGAGCTCACGGGGAAGACATCTATACTGACGATTAGTAGCCTTGCATGTTAGTTGAGTTAAAGTGAAACTATACCTAGTTCGCCATCCCACGCGCGCTGGTTGAGCGAGAGTAACTCGCCTAGAAACCAAATGTTAGCGGGGAATCAATGACAGTTAAAATTGGGGGATGATGTGAGAACTGACGTTTTCGTATGCGGTCCATATCGGATAGCCGCTCGTAATATGAAGATCGATTGGGAACCCAATTGCTACATTCGCCACGGTGGTAATCCTGCTAAGGGATATATCGCCCCCGAAAGAGGAAGCGATTCTGTGTATTAGGCTTGGTGGGCATCGGTAGACAAGTCAGCAAGTCTGCCCTGCGCAAAAGGGAAGCAAAATGATTGCCGGGACGGATTGGTAGACTACGGATTGCGGATTGCGGATTGCGAATTGGAGATTGGAGATTGCCAAGATGGTGATTGCTGTCTATGGGTTGAGCTTTGTCCTTTAATAGTGAAGCAAAGGGTTGAGAAAGAAAAGATTATTAGGTCAATGCGGTTTGTTTTGAGACGTTGGTAGTGTTGCGACGGCATCTAGTAGTGATATCCCGTGAATGAGTGAATGATGTCGTTCGAAATCGTCCAATGAAACAACAGCACTCTGGACTTTCTTTGGAATTCGCCAAAATTTCGGGGAATCGTAGGCGGTTTCTTTTTTTTTTTTTTTGGTCTTTCTAGAGAATTAACTTTTGGTGGGGCAGTATGCAGTAGACAAGCCCGATGGGCTTGGGAGGTTCAGCCTCGTGTACAGCTAGTCCAGTCAGCCAGTATTCAGTACATGGTACAATTAGGTATGTAAAACCAGGTAGGTAACGCCAAGGCCAAAACGTATTGTTAGGTACCTACCCAGGTACAATACAATTAGGTAATTGTACACTGCAACCAGCTGTGGAAAGTAAGACAAACAGGCAAGACAGGGAAGAACACTGGACGCAACGCAGGAACGCTGTTGCACAGTTTAGGGCTGTCTTTTAATGCCTTGGACAAACCCTGGGGTAGCCCGTGAAGATGATGTCCCTAACAAGCCTAGAATCATGTCCCTAGCACCTAACTTAGGTTAAATAGGTACATATACCTATTGTACCTTAGGTCAGGTCCTTGTGGGTACAGGTAGGTAGGTAGCAGGCGTCTTCAAAGAAGGTTCAAACAAGTGCCAAACCCGGAAGCCTCCAAGCTCAATTTTGGATAAAATACCTTGAGGGTAACGTAATGTAGGACGCGTATGCAAAGCAACATCTCAAATTCACACACCTCAAAACATTATATGTGTATGTTTTCGAGTCCAGTCAACTCTCCTTTGCTTTGTTACTTTGAGCGGAATTCGCGTTGCTTTATTCAGTTTCATACCTCTTCTTTTTTTTTGTCTTTGAGGCCAATTCGTTACGATCTTTTTATAGTAGGTTACCTACCTAAAAGTCATAGCTTGATCACTTGTTATGGCAACCTGTTATGGCATACCTACCTCCTAAGGTAGGTAGCAGCAATACGACACGGTGGTCTGGGGTTTCATCAGGAATCTACTCGACGACTCTATTGCGTACTTAAAAAGAACTTGACTTTACTAACGATAAATTAATTACTTATAATTTCTATAACGACAACTAACTGCCGTGATAGTCTCCAACGTGGATAATCCGAACCTATTTACGATGGATTCTTATGGAGCAAAAAGACGCCGGTCTTCCATATTTCCTGTAAACAGAATCAATTATACAAATGTTTTTTCTTCGGGACAAGTACCGAGAGATTCGCAGCTGTCTGTTCTTGATGTTGGTATCTCCTCACGTCTTTTATTAATGCGTTGGTCGTCCATCTGCTCATGTATTCCTATTGATTACTTTCGATATCACGTCACCAGATATCCGTCTGGCGTTGGTCCAGAATCCTGCGCTTAGAAACCCGATGTGGGTATGGCACGAAGGCTCTCGTCCCTTTTCGTTCTGAGGGCTTTTCTATTCCGCATGAGCTAGCGGATAGTTTTTTTTTGATGGGGCGCGATCTGGTGTCTGGGTAACCCAGTCTCTCCGTCTGGTCTAGGCGATTTTCATATCTCCGCTGACTGCTAAAGCTATTCACCTTATCATTGGTCATAATTCGCTGTTATAGTCAAATTCTTGCTAAAAGGAAACACAATTGTCGCTGATAAGCCCTAGACCGGATCAAATTATCTCTGTTGAGCAAGTCCGCGGGGATTTCCTCGACTGACTGATGCATCTCCTCGCTTCAAATATTCACAGATCCGATAACTGACCTGGCTCGGCTCGAGGCGTTCTTATTTGCAGCGCCGCATAATATGTAAGCCACTTCCGGGTCCCGACGATATATTATTACGATATATTTATTGTCACGGTTTCAATCCGGCTAGTCTCTGAGGTGGTTGTCTGCAGATCCATAGATGGTGGTAGCTTGCCGGAGTTGCTATTGTTGCGTCTGGTTCGTGAACTGGCAACGGAGAGTAGTCGATTCGGTGGATCGATGATCAGTTACGCTCGTCTGTTATTATGGACGCGATACCTCAAAATAGACACAAATTTTCCAATTAAGCGTTACTACTCTTCTTTTCCTGTTGCTCGTCGTATTTGGAATTTAGTTCCGTCTCTATTGTATAAACTTACCACTAGTTTTAAGCGTTGCGTCTTATTACCCCTTTCTTGGGAATTTTAAAGCCCATTGTAGGAATATCTTGTCTTACGTGGGAGCTTTGCATGCATGATGACATATATCCTATAACTAACACCCGCGTCCTAACATCTCTGTATCAACCCCAACTCGCAAATACTCATATACGATGGGAATTTTGAGCCTACCTATCGAGAGCCAGCCACCACCCACAGCGCATATGCTTCGATATCCGCCTTCTCCCCCGCCGACGCAAAGTAGTTCGAGAAGAGATTCGAGTACCAGTTGTGACTTTGAGCTACAGAAGCTCCAACACAATGTCTACGAATCGAAACCTGAAATTTCTCGAATATACCCCCTCCCACCGCGAAGTAGGCCTGATAATAGCGTATTAGCGGAAGATCTCAAGACGCCAGATAATCATGTCGTAAGAGATCCCCGGCTAATACGGCTTACGGGCGTCCATCCTTTTAATGTTGAAGCGCCATTGAGCGATCTCTTCAATGAGGGCTTTATAACAACGAAAGATCTCCACTACGTTCGCAACCATGGAGCAGTGCCTCTGGTCGAAGACTCCGAGACTATGGACTGGGAGTTCGCGATAGAAGGGATGGTAGAAACTCCTATTAAAATGACTCTAGCGCAGCTCATCAACGAATATGAGCAAGTTACCTATCCGGTGACTCTAGTCTGTGCCGGCAACAGGAGGAAAGAGCAAAATGTCGTAAGAAAGACAAAAGGGTTCTCCTGGGGGGCGGCAGGTTTGTCTACCGCATTATGGACCGGCGTTGTAATTGGCGATCTACTAAAAGCAGCAAGGCCTAAGCGCGGAGCAAAATACGTATGTTTCGAGGGAGCTGATAAGCTGCCCAATGGCTACTATGGGACATGCGTCAAGATGAACTGGGCTATGGACCCAAACCGCGGAATCATGATAGCTCACAAGATGAACGGCGAGCCGCTTCCTCCTGATCATGGGAAGCCTCTCCGGGTCATTGTGCCGGGACAGATCGGAGGCCGGAGCGTGAAGTGGCTAAAGAGGATCATTGTCACAGCGGCGCCTAGCGATAATTGGTATCATATTTACGATAATAGAGTGTTACCCACCATGATTACCCCTGAGATGAGCGCCAACATGCCGGATGCATGGAGGGACGAACGTTATGCTATTTATGATCTGAATACTAACAGCGCCACTTGCTATCCGGCGCACGACGAAAGGTTGTCATTAACGGGGAATGTTTCAAGTTACCGAGTTCGCGGCTATGCTTACGCCGGAGGGGGCAAAAGAGTAACTAGGGTCGAAGTAACCCTCGACAAGGGGAAATCCTGGATTCTTGCCAACATCTCGTACCCCGAAGATGAATATCGACTTGCGCCCGAAGGGGAAGAGCTGTTTGGTGGGCGACTAGACATGTCTTGGAGGGAAGCTTGCTTCTGTTGGTGCTTTTGGTACTTGGATATCCCGCTATCGCCGCTGCAGGCGGCGGACGATATTTCAGTACGAGCTATGGACGAGTCTATGATGGTCCAACCGCGAGACATGTACTGGAGTGTTTTGGGCATGATGAATAATCCGTGGTTCCGAGTTGTCATACACAAGGAGGGCCATTCACTACGTTTCGAGCATCCAACTCAGCCAGCATTGATTCCCGGCGGTTGGATGGAACGAGTTAAGAAGAACGGAGGAGACCTCTCTAATGGATACTGGGGAGAGAAGATATCTGGCGAAGAAGAGATTCCGGTTGAGGAAGAACAGGCGAAGGAGATATGCATGATCAGGAAGGATATAACTCGGACAATTACGATAGACGAACTGAAAAGACATGACGGCGAGAACGCGCCATGGTTTGTGGTTAACGGTCAGGTTTACGACGGGACAAAATTTTTGGAAGGACATCCTGGTGGAGCGGCTTCCATCATCGGCGCTGCTGGACTGGATGCTAGTGAAGAGTTTCTTGCCATTCGTGAGTTCGCAAGCTGTAATACAAATTGACGATTGAAGCTTACACAAAAACAGATAGCGAGAATGCCAAGGCGATGCTTGTGGATTACCACATCGGCTCACTTGACGAGTCTTCGCGCACTGCACTAGCCGATGGAGATTCGACTGCCGAAGTAACTTCAGCACCGCGAGCGACGTTTTTACAATCTAAAGCATGGACGAAAGCTATCCTATCTGCTAAAAAAAAGATATCAGACGATACCAAAATCTTCACCTTCGATCTCGAACATGCCCACCAAACTTCCGGCCTTCCTATAGGCCAGCACTTAATGATACGATTGCGCGACCCAGTTACACGCGAGGCCATCATACGATCATACACACCTATCTCAGAGACTACGGAGAAAGGGAAACTACACGTGCTTATCAAGATTTACTACGACACACCCGGGAGAAAGGGCGGGAAAATGACACAAGCGCTCGACTCGATACCCATCGGCCACTTCGTCGACTTCAAAGGTCCGGTTGGGAAATTCGAATACCTCGGGCGGGGACTATGCTCGATCCAAGGGCAACGGCGGAAGGTCAAACGGTTTATCATGATCTGCGGCGGGTCTGGAATCACGCCGATATTCCAAGTCCTCCGCGCCGTGATGATGGATCCAGAGGACCCCACTACGTGTCTGGTTATCGATGGTAATCGTGCCGAACAAGACATTCTCTGTAAGGCTGAGATCGATAGCATGGCTGCCGACAATAAGACCAAGTGCCGCTTGTTATATACGCTGAGTTGGCCAGAGCCGTCGTGGGCTGGGCTTAGGGGTAGGATTAATAAGGAACTGCTCGAGACAGAGATTGGTTCTTGCCAGAGCGTCAATGGGGAGGATCTAGTGCTTGTTTGCGGACCCGAATCTCTTGAAAATAGCGTTTACTCCATCTTGAAGGATTTATGCTGGAAGGACGAGGATATATTATTCTTTTAGTCTTCTCAAGGTATGTGATGATGTAGCGACATTTTCTCTATCTATTCGAGATGTATATAAGGTATTAGATGTACAAAGCGGGTTTCAAGTTTAAGTTATTATGATGGGGAACATGACAGATACGTAAGATGTGAAAAAAATTGACGTCTTCATATATGATGGAGTAGTTGTAAGTCATTAGTGCGTATAGCCTTAGAATCTACATAAGCTTTAGCCTTTAGGTACCTGTATTTAGCTGCTTAATGCAAAGTACCTTAATGGGAAGACACGCTTGGGAATGTACGTAGTCATATATTATACCCGCAGAAGGTTATACGCGCATGACGATCTAGAAACGGGAACCGGTGAGGATAGATGGGACCCTGGGAGAGGATGCTGGTGTGGTGACACCGATCATTTTCCTCACCTTGTGCTTCTTATGCTTACTGATGCATATTGAAACCGGGTCGGCAGTCTCGTAATGGTAATCGTCGACAAGCAACTTGCATGCATACCTAGCTGCACCACATTTACAACGCTGCTGGGTCATTCCAATATTGGCCAGTAGTCCAGCTTCGAGTTGATCGATATTACTTAACCCCGATGCCAACACTAGTCATTGAAAAAAAAGTAGCCGCCATCTTGCATTGCATCAAATGGATCTAAAGATATCTGGGATCCAATAGGATATTTCCTTATACGTGGTTCGTACTGCACAACCTCAAAAATGTGTTCCCCTCTGAGGATATGGGGATAAATCATACCTGAAGATGTACCCGACCAACGTATTTGTATTGTATTGTACCTATTGTAAGGTAATAGAGGTACCTTAAAGGCTCACCTAAAGGCCTAAATACAACCTGTGGACAGCACCTGGCCACGTTTAACCCCGGTTTATCCGACCCCATAATTTAAACATTCGGTACCTTGTACCCGCATAGGTACCTAGAACAAGTACCTTTCCAGTGGTACAGACAGCAATTAGGTTAGGTAGGCACTAAGGTTATCCACATTGAAATCGTCACTACAAAGTACGCGCAGCCTCAGCTTTCCTCGAACTAACCCAACTGCTACAACTTCAACCACGAGATTCAGGTTCTTTTTCTCAATTTGCACTGTTGTCTTATCCACCTCAACACTCCGACATTGTGGTCCGATTTTATATTTTTTTTTTCAACTAGTTTCAACAAAAGTTTCCAACTTAGTCGTCTTAACGCGGGCTTTTTTTTTCTCCAACACAGCTCCTGTACTGACGCTTTCTTCAATACCTTACACCTACCTCTCAAAAATAATTACATTTAATGGCTACCAACAAACGCAGTCCTACACCGGATCGTCCCTCTCTTGAGGATCCAGACACAGCCGCAGCACGCAAGGAATTGAGACAAACAGTAATATCTGAGAAACCCGACTTATCTATCATGTCTGCTGCGAAAGTCGACCCCGCGCCCGACGCCGCCACAAGCGGTGATAAGCCATCGGGCAAAGATTCCACGCCAGGTCTCGAGTCTCTCGACGCTCGCAACGATAGCCTAAAGAACCTAATATCATCACCTAAGAAGAAACGGGCGCGCGACGAGGTAGACGTTCCAAACGACGCCGCTTCGGACGGAAACGGCGATGTATCTCCTATCGCTGCTGATGCCACCATCTCTGAACCCGAGAAGAAACGTCCTCGCGACGTCTCAAGCGAATACAAAGCAAAAGCTGACGCGCTTACCGTAAGAAAACCTAGATTGATTCGGCATCTGAGCTTTTTACTAACCATCTATAATAGGCCTCTGATTCCAAAGACAACGGCGAAGCTAAGACAGATAGCAAGAACGACACACCAAGTACCGAAAAGCAAGCGGTAGCAAAAGACGATGCCGATACCGCTGAGAAGAGTAAAGCTACAAACATAACGTCTAGCTCCGCTTTCAGCAGCTCCGGAATTGCAGGATTTGCTTCTCAGGCATCACCTTTCTTACAATCTGGCTCGAAAACATTATCCTCCTTCGCAAGCCCGTCTGGCTCACAGTCACCATTCGGCGCCACTGCCTCCACGTCTACAACTTCTATTTTTGGAAGTTCTAGCTTATCCAATGGTGCCTCTCCCTTCGGTCAGGTAGGAGGAGCGTCGAAACCTTTCGGTAGTACCATCTTTGGTGGAACATTTAGCGGCAAGCTTGGCGAATCAAAGCTCACCAGCTTCGGCAAGCCCGGTGAAGCATTTAAGAGTAATCAACCGACTAGGCCGTTCGGAGCACCTGTGAGCGAGGAGGAAGATAATAACGAAGAAGAGGACGGTAGCTCTGGCGACGAAAACCGGGCTGATAAGGAGGACAAAGATGCTTCGGAAGAGAAAACCGCAGCGGATGATAAGAAGAAGCCAAAGCTTCAGCGAGGTGGGTTACCGCGTGTCGTTGTTTGACAAGTATAGTACTAACAGACTTTATAGTGGTTGTCGACGATGGTGAAGCTGGTGAGGCTACCATCCTGCAAGTCCGTGCCAAGATTTTCCATCTCGATAAAGCTAGCTCCTCGTGGAAAGAACGAGGCGCTGGAAACCTGAAGATCAACGTCCCTATAGCTTGCGTCGATATCGATGAGGAGTCTGGCGCAGCTATTCCCGGATCCTTTGACGCGTCCGGTCTTGACACCGCCGATTCCAAAGTAGTCCGTCTAATCATGCGACAAGACTCTACCCACCGCGTTATTCTTAATACCGCGATAATTCCGGCCATGCATTTCCAGGAGAAGTCTACGGTAAAGGCGACATATGTACTCTTCACCGCCATAGAAGATGAGGGTGCCGTTAGCATCCAAGTAAAGGTATATATCCGACGACTTATAAAATAGATTTAGGTGCTAACTTTACCATAGATGAACACGGCAAACGCCAAGAGCTTCCTGAACGAAGTCGGAAAGATACAGCGTGAACTTCAGTCAGCTTAGGCAGCTGACGAAACCACTGGTCCTCCGACTTCAGTTGCTAGCGCATCTGGTTCTGGGAACGCCGAAGCAGAGGCTCCCAGTGCTGATGCTGAAGGACATATATGTGATGGAGAGAAGAATAACAAAGATGTTGATAATGAGGCTCCAATATCGGAGCAGGAGCTACCGCCATATACCGAATCTGAAGATGATTCTAATCAGTTACCTCAGCCATCCTCGAAGGAATCGGAGGCAGGAGGATTCCGCAAAGAAGTCTCCGACAGCCCCAATCAAATAAGCAGGTCTTCATCTGGAGCTTCGATTAAGCGTAAGTTGGCAGAGCTTGATGACCCTTTGACGCGATCCAAGAAGATCAGACCCGATGCATCTTCTTACTTTGGGGAGCGGTCCCAGACGTGAGGTGTGTTCGCGTTCGTTGGACGAAGCTATTAGATGTGACAAGGGAGTTTTACATCGCGCATTTTCAGGGGGAAGCATGGGCATTGGTACTCTGGAAGAGTTGCAAGCTTATGAGGCATAGGTAAACGACGGTGGCATGGATATTTGTCGGCGGCAATTCTGTGATAATGGAGCTCATACCCCTTTACTGTGTAAATGTTCGGATTCCATTCCGTTACGCAAAAGTGCTCTGCGGAATTGCCGAGTGCAGTGTTACACATTGGATTAATCCTTAGTTACTTTTCATGAATATCAACCTCTTTTTTTCAAGTAATTCCCAGTAATAGGTAAGTAGGTAACTATGTTCATACCTAGGTAACTACAGCTCTTTAATATGTAAGAAGATTCTACCTATTCAAGTCTTCCGAATCCACTCTATGAATCGTGTACATAGTACCTAACGTGGTAAAATTCGTACAACGAGGTCCTTGCAGTAACTACGTGTGTTTATGTAAGATCCTGCCTGACATCGTATGTACGTAACTTAAGGTATATATCACGTGATCTCGCCAGCATTTCGCGCCACGAGAAACGCGACTAAACGAACTTATCGTCAATGCAAGAGCACAACACATATTCTCAAGACCAGGGGTCTTCAGGCTAAGCACCCTTCGTCCTTATGCATCTTGATTACGGATGAAATGTCTGCTCTCAAGGCAGCTGCGGTCTCGAATAGAATTATCAAGCGGAAGAGGAAGAGGCAAACTTCCGAAGAAGACAAAGAAGATGACCACCCAGGGAACTTGGAAGAGACTCTCGATGAACCTAGTGTTGCGAAATCGAGGAAGAATTTAGCATCTCAGCGCAAGAAGAAGGCTAACGAAGTCGTCGAGTGCCAAATTGAATGGCCTCAATTATTTAAGGATTTGGACAAAACACATAGAGCTCTTAACCTCGTGTTCACTTTCTGCTCCACGCGCAGGCATCTTGCGACGACTTTTGATACCATCCGATCGGCAGTAGAGTCCAATACGAAACGAGAATTAATAGTTGAGGATGTCGCAGCTATCGTGGCACTGCGGCCGGAAGGCATTAATTTTACCTACGTGGATGAGGTGATGCTGCATACCGATATTAAGGGAGCCGAGAGAGACACCACGTTTAAGACTGGTAGATCAAGGAACATCACAGTTCAAGGACCGGCTCCGGATGCCTCTGTTGGCGGATTGACCGGTATGGAAGAGCTTGGGAGTCGCCATCCCGACGATTTGCCACCGGGCGGTCAAGAAGTTCTCTACTTTGAGTTTGTTGACGAGGACCTTAAAAGACAAGTTCAAAGCAAGAAGACAGGAGAGCCTATAAATCCAAACAGAAGACTTCGCGATGATGACCTCAAAATGCCGGTATACAGTCAGAAGCAGCTCACAGCTCTAATCGAAAAACGTAACCAAAAATTTACCAACGCAGTAAGCTCCTTTATAAACCGTTGCGTAGGGGAAAACTTAGATCCGGAGGTGATGATCCGTCAGGAAGCGGAGGCCTACATTCCAGTTCCATCTGTATCATCCACTGCTACCCCTATGCCTGAGCAGAGCACCATACCTGAGTCGATACCCAAAGAAAGGAAGAGCATACCCGAAATCATCCAAGAACTTAAAGACAGTCCCTGGTATACTGGTCAGATCGTGCCGGATGGGCATCGTGTGTTCGACGCTCAGGAGCCTGTGTTCGGGGAGCTCGATTTCCTATTAAGCCAAGATATGGTGAATGCGTTGTACAATGCGAAGGGAATTACCCAGTTCTATGCCCACCAAGCCGAAGCGATCAACAATCTCCACGCCGGTCGCCATGTCGTGGTATCAACATCGACAAGCTCGGGAAAATCTCTTATATATCAGCTTCCGGTATTACACGCGCTTGAACAAGATCCCAACACCCGAGCTATATATATCTTTCCGACGAAGGCATTAGCTCAAGATCAAAAGAAGAGCCTGAAGGAGATGCTCGCGTACTTTACGGAGCTGGGAAATGTCCTCGTCGAGACTTTTGACGGGGATACTCCGATGCACGACAGAAATCAAATTCGCGACGAGGCCCGAATCATATTCACGAACCCAGATATGCTTCATCTTACAATACTGCCCCAGGAAGATAAATGGCGGACTTTTCTAAAGCATCTTCGTTATGTCGTTGGTAGGTAGACCCTCACTTGGAACAACCAAGTATGCGTGACTAACTCTAGGATAGTTGACGAACTGCACTACTACAACGGCTTAATGGGCTCCCATGTTGCATTTATCATGAGAAGGCTTCGACGCATATGTGCTGCCGTCGGGAACCGAAAGGTCAAGTTCATATCGTGTTCTGCCACTGTAGCAAATCCCCAAGAGCACTTTAAAACCATCTTCGGAATTGATGATGTACATCTGGTTGATTTTGACGGATCGCCGTCTGGGCGGAAGGAATTTCTATGTTGGAACACGCCTTATAAAGATCCCGGCGATCCATCAAGCGGTCGTGGAAATGCCATAGCCGAATGTGCTCGCTTATTCTGCCAACTTATATTACGAGGCGTTCGCGTGATAGCGTTCTGCCGCGTGAGGAAGCAATGCGAAGAGTTGGTGAATGCTGTCAGATACGAATTAGAATCGCTAGGTCGTCCGGAATGCACGTCTCGCGTGATGGGTTACCGAGGTGGATATACCGCACAAGATCGTCGACGGATCGAGAGCGAAATGTTCGAGGGCAAGCTCATGGGCATCGTTGCCACCACTGCTTTGGAACTGGGTGTTGATATCGGCACCTTGGACTGCGTCATTACGCTAGGGTTTCCGTACACCATTGCGAATCTAAGGCAGCAGAGCGGGAGAGCGGGCCGGAGAAATAAAGACTCCTTATCCGTGTTGGTAGGGGATTGCTTCCCAGCCGACCAGCATTATATGCAGAATCCCGATGAGCTCTTCACCAAGCCTAACTGCGAACTTCAGGTCGACTTGGACAACATACTCGTCTTAGAGGGCCATATACAGTGCGCGGCATACGAGATGCCGATCAACCCCGCCGAAGATGCTATCTACTTTTCAAAAGACCTGGCGAAGATCGCGGAAGAGCGTCTCATCAAAGATGAACTCGGTTACTACCATTGCCATGACAGGTTTAGGCCGATGCCCTCTAGATTTGTGGCGATTAGGGACACCGAAGATGATCACTTCGCGATAGTTGATATATCTCATGGGCAGAACGTGGTACTTGAGGAATTAGAAGCATCGAGAGCCTTCTTTACTATCTACGACGGCGCAATCTTTCTACACCAGGGCAACTCGTACCTGGTGCGCGACTTTCAACCAGACAGAAAAATCGCCAAGGTGGAAAAAGTCAAGGTGGAATGGACTACACAGCAAAGAGACTTTACCGACGTGGATCCTGTGGAAACGGAAGCAATACGAAAAATTCCTGGTTCACCCTCACTTGCATTTCACGGCTCGATGCGCATTGTCCAGAACGTCTTCGGCTACTTCAAAGTCGATAGGAAGCGCCGCATTCTCGACGCCGTACAGGTCGATAATCCTCCCATCATCCGGCATAGCAAAGGCATGTGGCTCGACGTCCCCAAGCGCGCCCTAGAGGTCCTCGTCTACCGACGGCTTCACGTGGCAGGAGCCATCCACGCCGCCGAGCACGCTATCATAAGCCTGATGCCCAACTTCGTCATTAGCCTGCCAGATGATGTCCGGACGGAGTGCAAGTCGGGTCTGAAGGAGTTTGCACGGAAAGAAACTTCGCGGAAGAGACCCGCTCGGCTGACGTTCTACGACGCGAAGGGCGGCGCCAACGGGGCTGGCATCAGCACCAAGGCGTTCGAGTTCATCGAACTGCTCCTCCTCCAGGCCCTGGAGCGGGTCCAGCACTGCCACTGCCAGACGGGGTGTCCGGAGTGCGTGTGCTCTGAGTTCTGCCAGGAAGCCAACGAGGTCATGAGCAAGGCCGGGAGCACAGTCATCATCAAGGCGCTCCTGAATATGGAGATCGATGTCGAGGCCCTGCCTATGGGCCCGGAGGATATGGCCCCGGTTGGTATCGAGACGGTGGTGCTGGCTAAGCCAGTGCCTTCGAGGTTTGATTTTAAGGAGATTAAGATAGAGGAGGATGATGATCAGGGTTGTATCGTTGTAGATTAGGTCGAAGTTGGCACTAGATGTTTAGCAGGCTTTTGACCATATTGCTATACTTGCTATTATACCTGGTACTATACCTGGTCTATTTGGTTTATTCTGCCTATTAACGAAAAAATTATACTCTCTCCTGTCATGAAGAGACGAGAAACAACTGGGAATATAGCAATCAGGACCAGAATATATTCGTACAATCACTTCTACCCGTACCCGTTATGTACCTCATCTCGTGCGTAAATAGGTGTCACGTCCACAAGGTGTCCACGGATAAAATTCTTAGGCAGCAATAATAAAGCCCACACACTTGGTACAAGTTCTACTGCAAACATTGCATCACAGACCATACTAGAGAGGACGTCGCTTGACTTGCCCACCCACATTCCTCCATTCCTTTAAACCTTGCAAGCTTCCCAAGTGCAAACCTCCCCCCTTCCAAAAAGACCTGCCTCCCAACTACGAACTGCACGAACCATACCTAACCCTGCGAAGATGCGGTTCAAAATGACACCTTACGTTTTCTTTGTCTTCCTCTTTCAAGTGCTCGCACTCGCTGCGCCTTACATGAAGTCTCGCGAGAGCCACGACGAGGCAACTACCTCAGCAGAAATCGCTGTTCCCGAAATCCTGAACCAGACTTCCACTGGCACTCTTCTCTTCCTCTGGAAGCGAGATGAAATCGACGACTGGAACCGCGACAACCCCGATAACCGGATCGCTGCCGTGAGTGCCGACTACCTAAAACACACTCATTTCCCCCTTTTCTTTTGTTATTAGTCCCCTCCC